CGCTCTCAACGCCTCTGTCGGGGTTCAAGGCCATCGGTTGTTATACTGACCTCGTCCGATATTTTGTGCGTGAAAGGCGTTCCCATGAGACGGTCAAGTCAAAACTGGTTCACTCTTCCATTCAATAATGTTAGAGTCAAGCTACGTAGTGGTCTTAGCCACAAGCATTTGAATGCGAATCTTAACTCTGGCTAATGTTTCCTCTAACACTATCTCTTATCTCTTTCTATCGCTTCTCAACTTTCCTGACGAGGTAGCTCTCATCGCTTATCTTTGTTCAGCAAGCTCGTGATTCTCGTTGTGCTCGACGGGGACAGCCTTGGATTCGTGCTCAAGGTCGGATTCCGACGAGACAGCGATAGGTGCATCCACCTTTGCGTTGAACTCTGAACGGGGGTTGGTCATAAAAGCAGTGACTGCAGTCGAACAAGTCAGTAAGGGTAGTCTTTTTCACTGGGAGGGTTCGAACTCACTTATGATGCCCACAGCCATGAATGCTGCTCCACAAATAAAGACGTTTCTAAACGAGACTACGTATGCTTGCTTGATGGCCAGACCAGCTGCAGCGATAATCTCGGGACTGATACCAGGAATCTGTTCTGCCAAAGCAATATTTCCCGAGGTCAAGGCGCCAATGAGCATACCGATATTTGTGCCCTCCAAACCCAGTGGTACTACAGCCTTGGTGACCTTCGGAGCCAGGTTGCTGGTGAGGGTACTCGCAAATATGGCGTTGATAATAGACAATCCAATTGAACCGCCTAAGCTGCGGACGCCAGTACAGATCCCAGAAGTTGTGGCAATCAGCTCGGGTGGTGTAGCAAACTGCGCAGCTGTGAAGAAAGTGACGAGGGCTAGGCCCAGGCCTGAGCCGTAGAAGAGAATGTAGCCCCAGTAATGGGTCGAGGGAGTGTTTTCGTTGACACTGGCCATGACACACATGAAGATGAGAAACATGACAAATGTTCCTACGCCGGTCATTCTGACTGACTTTGTTTTGTAAATGTAGAGACCCGAGAGAAAACAGGCGACACCAAAAGCACAGAAACCGACCATCTGGCACAGGTATTGTCTGTAGGTGCTTAGATGGCCTGCCTGAAGAACGGATAGTGCGTAAGGAAAGAAGACGGCCGCTGTCATATAGCCCATGCCCTCGATAGCAGAGCCGACCACCGAAATTGGAAAGTTGCGGTGGTGGAAGAGAGCATGATGAAACAAACCGTCTTTCTTAAACTTCGTGGCGTAAACAGCCAGGATACTGAGCAGAACAACACCGATAAGAAGAGGTGCAAGGACATGAGCGTCCTTCCAAGGGTAGGGATTTTCCGCCCATAACAGTCCTAAACAGAGTAGAGTGCATCCGGTTCCAAGAAGAAAATATGCTGGCCAATCCAGAGCCGCGACCTTCTCTCTGAAACTCAGAGACTGGAGTTCCCTGGGTGGCGGGTTATAGAGGAGGAAGACGAGAAGAACGGAAACAGCGTAGATTCCGGCACAGATGTAGAAGTAGATCCGGAAGCCGCCAACACGCGACTGAACCAAGTAACCACCCACGGTTAAAGCAAAGATGGACCCGAGAGCATTCATGATGTTGGCAGAGGCCTGAGCCCAGGAACGGAAGCGGCGGGGCAGGACTTCAGATATGACGGCCAGAATGAGGCCTTGTGCACCGAAGCCGATGCCTCCAACACAGAATCCGGCGATGTACATTCCCATTGAAGTCGCACGGGCAGAGATGATGGCACCAGCTATCCCACCGATATTGGGAACGACAAGGATCCATTTTCTGCCCCAACTGTTTCCAAGTCATGTCAGCATAAACGTTGACCGTAAATGGATCAGGCACATCGGGAGGAATTGGACTCACTAGTCGGAAGCCTGGGAAAGCGGTGCTGCGAGGGCAACAGTGAAGATGATCACTGCCAGTGATGGCCATGAGGTGAGACCGACACCTCCAATTTCAGAGGCAACACGCTGAGCAAAAGTCCCACCGCCCACCAAGATGATCAATTCGCAGAAGAACAAGCTGAGAACCGCCTTTTCGTGCCGTCATTAGCCACCGTCATTCCAGACTACATTGGCTAGATGGAGAAAACTTACTCCCACGAGGGCGAATGTTTTGGCATGATTCCAGAGGGTGCCTCCCTCACTTTCATTGATGTCGACGTGGGTAGCTGGCATAGTGGAATAGACAGAAGATTCTTCTTTAGCTATCGCCATCTTCTTGATACTTAGAAAGAGGTTGCGTACGACTATGATAATGAGAGGAAATGAGATGTGAGAAAGCTGGGGATTGTGTGAGAATGCCACTTTCGTCTTTATACACTTATTAGAGGCCCCATGGGGTTTCCGTGACCACAATGCCTGGAAGTCGACTTCGAAACGTGGCGCTCGATGCTCAGATATGAACTCTATTAAACTTGGACAACATTAGGGTTGTCAGCAGAAATGGTCGAGACTCATCTGAGGGAATTCAAGGCGCCTGGGGACCCCATCCGGAACCACCGTGCCTCTGGAACTTTAATATGCCACTCTTCGCACGATTCCATGGGATGGTGGCTCGTATTCGCACGGAGAATGGAGTAGTTAGGGGTGGAGCGGAGTTTTCTAATTGTCGTCGTAATAGGATAGAGTATTGGTCAGCCTGGTTGGGGCAGAAGTTTCCCCCATAGTCGCACCCTCATGGCCTGGGGTCGGGTGGGGTCATTTGCTCCTAGGGTTTGGGGGTGCATCTCCAGGAGATTATGGCTAAAAGCACCAAATAATCAAATCGGTATAGCCATTACCAAGACTGAACGATACTGGAATCGAGGACTTTCAAGACACCTTGTCACAACTACGAACCTTTGAACCATGGCACAAGCTACTAGCGGACCCGTAAGTTGATACTACTTGGAGTTGCTGTCACTCGGCGCTGATGATCCCCTTCAGAACGGCAAGCCGACGACGGTGAAGGTTGTAGGTCTATTCAAGAGGAAACCTGGATTGTCCATGGAAGAGTTTAAGGACTACTATGAGAATCATCACATTAAGCTGTTCGACGAACACGTTTCACATCCTGGTGTTCTGCGATATGCACGCCGATATCTGGAACCCTTTGCAGGGTTAGCCTCCCCCTTGGCAGCGCCGAAGACTGGAGGCTATGATGTTATTATGGAGGTGTGGTATTCTGACAAGGATTTGTTTGACTCTTTCAAGGGACAATCCAATCCCGACTTCAGCGAGATTGTGAAGAGGGACGAAGAAAATCTGTTTGATCGCGAATCAATGGTGATGTTCATTTCGGAAGACCACGAAAGCAAAGTCGGGCCTTGGATCATCTGAGAGTGAGTAGAATCTGCTTTAGACAATTGTGTTGGGATATAATCACTCTTGTTTCCGTCGACGATCGACCGATGTATATAGAGTACATGGATATTTAAGGGGTTAGCCCACCATCAATTGTGTAGACTGCTCCGGTTGTGAATGTTGCCTCGTCACTCAGCAAAAACGCGATCAAAGCTCCCACTTCTTCTGCTTTACCTGCCCGGTTGATTGGTGACTTGTGATCATTGTCGCCTATGTGAACTTCTCGAGCCGTATCCAGCATTTTAGTATCGATACTCCCTCTATCGTGTCCATTAGTGACCACACAGGATTGAGCATGTTCTGGACGAAAGGGGATCTACTTACGGGGCAATAGCATTCACTCTCACCCTGCGGTGCCCGTTCTCGACCGCAGCGACTCGAGTGAGTCCGATAACAGCGTGCTTGCTTGCAGCGTAGGCTAGCGCCTGAGGTATGCCCATCTTTCCCGAAACACTGGCAGCGTTCACAATTGACCCTCCGTCTTCAATGTGCAGTAATTGTGCACGTTGACAGGCCATAACACCTTTGACGTTGATTTTCATGACCAAGTCAAAATCATGATCGGAAACTTCATGTGCCCCTTTTCTCCCGAAATCTCTGCCAACTATTCCCGCAAGATTGACACCTCCAGAGAGCTTGGAGAAGTGTTTGACGGTGGCTACGATCCATTGATCTACCTGGTCGGAGTTTGTCACGTCGACAGTGGTTGTGAGTACCTTCGTCTTGTACTTGGTGGTTATGTCCCGAGACAAGTGCTGCAACGCACTTGCGTCTGTGTCGGCCAGAGAGAGTTTCGCTCCTCGAGAAGCAAGCATACAAGCCGTGGCTGCTCCAATGCCCCCGGCTGCTCCAGTGATAGCAATGACTTTATCTTTTAGGCTCGACATGTTGCTTGGTACATGACATAAGGGAAACCTAGATTGAGGCAAACGGGAAGGACTGCGCGGTGTCCGAATGAACCACCTGATACTGTGGCGGGGGAGATGGACAGACTCAGGTCAGATTGATGTGAGAACCTCCACCACAATGTATAGAGCGACATAACTCCGGCATTCGGCCTGGTCGGATCACGCAACGTCGACATATCGTTACAGTTGTAGATACTTCGTTCAGGGCCTACCAATCCCAGAAGTCTGGAGGGAACAATGAGTTGATGCGTGGAGATGTGTCCCCCCCTTCCACCCCTCCATCCGAAGAAGCTGACAACCGCCTTCAGCCGTTGCTGAGAAGCAGCGAGTTTGGGGGATACCCCTTACAGCAATTGACATTCGCCCTGCTCCTGGCCTCCGCGAGTACGGTTACCCCGGTACTAGTCCATCTGAACAACCCTTCAGCTTCAAACATCGACCCCATGTGTTACGGTGATAGACGGAGGGTGGATTATGGGGCTAAGGCTGTGGCAACGTAGTGAGTTCCAGAGCATTTCATTCAGACATGCCTACCCCTTTTTTACCCGAAAAAAAGGAATCAAGATCGGCTCATAGAATAGAATTACAGCCTTGTATAGAGATTCAATATTTATCCTCATATCAAAGTCAAGCTCACCAGTTGATTCCATGAGTTACACGGTTTGTGAGCATTGTATTCACCAGGAACATCTAGAAGACACGAGGCAGCCTTCGTGAAATCTCAGCCTTGAACCTATTGTGACAATGGGGTTGTTGCTCTTGGCTCCCGTCATCTTTACAGTGGGCGTCTTGATCTATTCCATCGCTTGTATAGGAAGAAGAGGTCCAAATCTCCCCAATGGTACGTCCACATAGTACGACGGGGAAGAATGTTGGACAAGAAAATTAACGAGAGAACAAAAAAGGCCCACGTACGTTGCCCATTATCGGTAACTTGCATCAGATGCCCTTGCACAAGCCTTATCTGCAGTAGGTTGCAAAAGCTTGCTTATCAACCTCCCATACATGTGTGCCATACACTGACCATTAACACAGATTTACAGAATGGGCAAAGCAGTATGGCGGCATGTACAGTCTCAAGCTGGGCCCAGGGACAGCAGTTGTCCTCACGGATCGACGGATCATCAAGCAAATCATGGACAAGAAGGCCTCGGCCTCGAGCAATCGGCCCGTATCGTTGGTTTCGCAACACCTCATCACGGAGGGAGACCACATGCTCATGATGGACAACACTCCGAGGTGGCGGATGATGCGTAGATTGATCCATAAGACTTGACGGAGGCCCTTTGTGATCGGGAACACAGCAAGATCCACCAGGCTGAAAGCGTCCAGCTGCTTTACGACGTCCTTCAATCGCCGGATGAGTGGATGCAGCATCTCAAGAGATTTAGCAACAGCATCATCATGAGTATCGGTAAATCATCTCTCTCTCTCTGCAGCAAGGAGATCCAAGGCTGAAAACTGGCTGACTGACGCGCTTTCTTTCTTCAAAGTCTACGGAATTCGATCACCCTCAATTGACGCACCGTGGACCAAGAAGCTCAACGACATCGTCGAGCTTTGGGCTAGGATCAATGAGTTTGGAGCGACTCCGCCGGTTGATTTGTTTCCAATTCTGAAATTGGTTCCTCAACGATTTCTCGGAAACTGGATGAATCGCGCTAGCCTTGTCCATGACAAAGTACATAACCTTTATGGAGGTCTACTCCGATCTGTGGAAGAAAGACGAAGGACGACCGGGCCAACGGACTGTATCGCGGACCGACTGTTGGAACAGGAGGAGAAGCACGGTCTTTCGAGCCACAACATTATGCTTCTGGCCGGTGTCACGCTCAAGGGAGGTTCAGACACCTCTGCTTCGACCTTGAGCTCTTGGTTGCAAGCGATGATCCTCTACCCCGAGGTACAGAAGAAGGCTCAGGCTGAAATAGACGCCGTCGTGGGTGACAAGAGACTACCGACGTGGTCCGACTATAAATCCATGCCTTATCTTGCCACCATGGTCAAGGAGGCGATGCGGTGGAGACCAACAGCACCACTGGGGTTCCCACATGCACTCTCAGAAGGTAAGTGTCTGCCTCAGGGCGTTGGATTTTGAAGCCAACAGTTTGTGTACTTTTGCTGACTTTTTTTGGTCTCCAGACCAGTGGGTGGATGGAAAATTCCTTCCCAAGGGAACGGTCCTGTTTGTGAACGTCTATGGTTTGCACCAGGATGAGTCCAAATTTCCGCACCCTAATACTTTTGATCCCGACCATTACAAGGGACGGACATTGTTGGCAGCAGAATACGCAAATTCTGCAGATTACGAGAATCGTGATCATTATGGATTTGGTTCGTTCATTGAAGATTTTTCATGTCCGTTTATGATTTGCTTTTCCCGCTGACTTACTTCTCTTGGAACTATAGGCAATGGTCGTCGCCTGTGCCCAGGGATACACTTAGCGGATCGAAACCTCTGGCATGCCATCACCAAATTACTCTGGGCGTTCAAGATTGAACCGAAGATGGACCCTGAAACGAAAAAGCCGATTCTACCTGACCCCAGCGTCGAGACAGGTTACAGGGAGGGACTTACCATGTGTCCCTTTGAGTTTCCGGCCATGATTACCGTCAGATCTGAGGCGAGACGACAATTGATCCTGAAAGAATATGCTGACGCGAAAGCAAACTTCTTCCCCAAGTATGAACAAGTGGATTTGTTCTAGCAATGATAGTAGAGGAAGGAATATGTAAACAATTGACCGACCATAAGAGTTAGATGGAGGTAGCATGCTGACTTGGTGTCTGGTCGAGGATTAGTCTAGAAGAGCAGAACTGAAACAAGTATGATGTGATAGGTGAAAACCCCAGAGATGATGATGTTCAATGGCTAGTTGGAATGACTCGAATGTTTTCATCCAAGACGGAAATCCCCAGCATGCTGTATCGGTCCTTGTTAGCCGGTCTTGTAGTAGCAGATATCTCGACCGAACACATCGAGAAAATTCGAGGTAGGCAGGAGGTTGTCGGCTCTGAGCGATTGAACATACATACTTCCTTACTTACTTGACCTTTTCCCTTGGAAACCTCGTAGGTGTTATTCATCATCTAGCACCTAAGCAAGTTTTTCTACGGGCGCTTACTTGCTTTCTATCTGGTTCGAGTGTCCTACAGTCCAATTTCTTGGTATGTGTGAAAGAGTCGTCAGCTTTGTCTTGTCCTATATGAGCGTTGTTATACCATGGTCCGCCTTGATCACGGCCCCAGTCAAGGCAGATGAGCGGGTAGACGCCAGGAAAGCGACCAAATTCGCCACCTCCTTCGTATCGGAGATGGGAGTGTCCAAAGCCTCCACCACGGCATCCAGCATCTTTGAACCTTCTGGATCTAAACCTTGGGTATTGGCCACATTCGCGACAATGTCCGTGTTCATCCCTCCCGGCATGACCAAGTTACACCTGATGCCCTTGTTTCTGTAAAAAGCAGCGGTGGACTTGGTGAGGCCTTTGATGGCGTGTTTGCTGGTAGTGTACGCCGCACCTCCACACCACCCGTGTTCACTTGCCAACGATCCTATATTGATGATCGATGCGTCCGTGGCGGATCTACTCAGGAAATGATTGACGGCAGCCTTGCTCAACAGATAAGGTCCTGTGACGTTGACGGAGAGTACCTTGGACCAAAGGTCTTGGTTGATGTCCCCCACCGGCTCGAAGCGATCGAAGATGCCGGCGCAATTGACCAGGACGTCAAGCCGTCCGAAGTGGTGCACCGCCTTGGATATCAAAGATTCAACTGCCCCGGCGTCCGCGACGTCTGCGGGCAGTAACAAGACAGATTCTTTCGGTTGGAATTCTGCCGCCACGGAGTCGAGTAGGCTTTCGCTGAAGTCACTGACGACCACCTTTGCACCTTCTTCTAGCAGAGCGAGGGCGATTGATTTGCCTAGACCTCCTGCTCCTCCTGTCACTAGGCACGTTCGTCCAGATGTAATCTTGGAAGTGAGTGCCATGTTGTGGGATCAAGGATGTGAGAGTTGGCCGATGATATTGGACTTGGAAATGCTTCTCGGCTCGGAAAAGGTAGTTTCAATTTATCTCTGCACGACCTCGTAAAATTGAAAGTTATTCGAATGTTGTGCTACACCTCCCTAGTAAGACGATGCGGCTATGGCTGGGGTATTCGTGGGGGAAGAGTGTCGCCGGTAGGGACAAGGAGGGAGTGTGGTGATCATCAACTTCGAGTGAGCGGGCTTAGTGATGAACAGCATCTTCATTAGCCTCGTGCCCATGAGGATTGTTGTTGCTGTCTGTGTCCCGCAGTCTCTCGATTGACTTGACCTGGAGTCTGTCAGCAATGGGGTGCTGTGCCGGGGGTAGAGAGAGATAAGCGAAGAACTGACAGAATATGCGGGATGTCCGATCCACAGTCTGGGGGAATGTAAACCAGAAGGAGGCCCCAGTATAGTGTGGACACTTCGCCTACCACCACATTTCCCATTTCTTGCCGAGAGCTCGGGTGAATATGGAGTCTGTTGACTCGTAGGTGCGACCTGGATTGCTAAGTCGGCGAATGTTTCTGGAGACCCCCTGATACAAATTGCTCCTGTCCCAGAACAGAATCCACGTTGACCACATCATCAAACAAGTGCTTGACAATTCCATACCCTCAACTCTAATTCCCACGCTATAGCACGCACTAGGCTATAGACTCCCATTGAGACCTTGCAACCGATAGCGAAAATGACTTACCTTACGATGGTCGCCTACCCAGCGGCGGCCGAGGCCCAGTTCAACTTACAATATTACACCAACAACCATATGCAGCTGGTCTCCAAGAATTGGAAGCAGTATGGGCTTCTGGAATGGAAAGTCGTCACTTTCGACGCAGGTCCAGATGGATCAAAACAGTACAGCGTTGCGTCGACCATGACCTGGGAATCAGCCGAGGGATTCCAAAAGGCAATGAAAAGTGAGACTGCCGCCGAGCTTGTGGCAGACATGGAGAACTTCTCTGATCACCCACCTATTTTCTTGATCGGCAATGTTTCTGCCTCTGGGTAAACAACCTCCATGGATGGATGAACCCCATCTGCGAATGATATCTGGGGTGGGGTTTGATCTGGAATGATATCACCAAGGATGAGAGTCAAGACATGAGAAGATCGCGGTTGGTCCACGAGTTGTATCTCACAGAATGGCATAGAGGCTTCGTGTAGAGAATGTCTATTCTATGCGTATAGATCCAATAGCATCGCCATCATTTCAACGTCTTCCCAACTGGTAGTACTCATCGAATCTTGCTATGCCACACTCACCACCTAGCGAATCCCACTAAGAAGCCGCGCAAGGAGCTGGGCGATATGCACTTTATGTACAAGTAAGATCTGCTCGCCTCTTGCTAGTTGGGCTCGTGCTGGGAGGGCAGATTTGACCAGGTTCGGTGCCGTGAAAGCTCCAGACCAAAGAACCAGACTGGCATAGTAGACAGCGTAAGGGATGTGTGGTGCTTCGAATACTAAGCCTGGCAACTCCAGGGGTAGCGACGAAGTTCGAGCTGAAGAATGCTGAGTCTGTCTCGCGGTTGCCGCCTCGGTCAGGGCAGCTTCGATACCGGCAATCATATTCTCTGCGTGCCACTGGGCAGTTGTATAATGCCTGTCATTTGTCCATGCATGGATCTCTCTTGCAGCCAATCCCCTTTCCGCGTCTCGTGCTGCCGATCCAGGCCCAGAGTGAGCAAAGTTCTGCAGAACAGTCAAATTCGAATGTAGTATAATACCCATCATGTGGTACACAACCAAGTGAGATAGGTTTTCTGGTCGGTGGATCGTCCGAAGCCAGGTATCGCAGGCTAACTCTGCGAAATCAGCTCTCCATACGAAGAGATCATCGGACTGATATTTGTCCGTGCCGTAAACATTCTGCTGGGGGTATGTCGCAGGCCACACAAAAGAGCTCAGAGACGCCAAGCTCGTCAGGCCGAAGGTGGTATTGGGGCCCAAGTCGACCGTGTGCCCACCGCCCACAAGGCCAGCTATCACGTTATGAAGCTTAGATATGCGACTCCGATTTGTGGGCGTACGTAGGAACGACTCGCTGTATTTTCGTGCCAAAGAGGGTGGTCGCTGCATGATAATGACTCGATAGCAGTCGAGGATATGGAGAGCTTCAAGGAGTCTTCATGGGCTCTGTTAGTATGTAAATTATATAGCGATGACAAGAATCATGACCCACCGGGTATTATCCTTGTCGATGTCATCTGTTTGAGGAGACCATTGGCATGCTTTGCTATACTCTTGGACAGACTGCAACGGTAGTTAATCGGAAAGTAGGTTCGAACTCCCGGGGCGAAACAACATACATGGATGAGGTTGCCGTGGAATACTTCCAGGAACTCGTAACTCCTCTTGTCACCGCTGCAGAGACCGTACAAAGCTAATAAGACGAACTAATCTAAGTCAGTATTGATCATAAGTCATGATTCGATAGACATACAGTTTTCGCCACGATAAACTTATCCAATCGACATGCAGAGAAATCGTCTGAGCAGCTCTGAGTGTTAACCTATCATGCATTAGTGACCACAACGCCGTAAGAATGTCAACGTACAGTTGAAAGGACCATCCGCCGAGCATCATCATACATTGACTTCGCGACTTGTGCGCTACCAGGGGTCGTGCAAAACAGTCCCCCAATAGCAGCTAGAGCGAGCGTGAATGCCGGTTGATTTTTGGAACTGGTGATAGCTGTATCTTCAAAGAGAGAAAATGTCTTCGGAATATGCCTTCGAAACACATTGTGAAACACTCTGATGATGTCTCTGTTATGGTCTTCAATATGTGGTGGAGCCGAATACCATACTTTGCTAGCTCTAGCAGGAGAAGGTGATGACGGCCGCGACTTTCGATCAAAGTATTCTTGCATCATGGCGGTCAAATTGTTCAGCGGAGACGGCATCTCATAGTCTAGCATTGGCGGATTTGGTTCGAAGAGCTGTTCGCTCCAGTCAAGTTCGGATTGGTCAAACCAGAACTCACTGTTCTGTAGCTAGTCAGTCCTTTGAATTAACACTAGAGGTAGAGAAGCGTTCCATGAAAGGGACCTGCCAAAAGTCATCCACGCCGCCAGGAGCAGTATCCGGGAGCGGATAAAAGTCATGGCGATGGAGATCGGCCGTCCGGATAGACTGGTCACCATCCGCTCCATGAAGGTCAGGGAGTGCGTCGGGACAGGGAACAGGTAAACTCTCATTCAGAGTCTGCAGGGGGTCAATGATGGAGGTGATGTTAAGACAAGTGCTGCCAGGAGGGTTCTCGCTTGTTGCTGAGCTCAAGTTGTCATTCAGCTGAGCATTAACAAGATTCATTGGACCACGAAGCTCATCGCCTCTTGTGCTGTCAGACCGAGAGGGCGAATCGAGGGCGACTGCTGAGAATCCTGTAGGTGGATGATACTCGCAATGAGAATTGGATGCTCGACAGGTACCACATGGCTCTGTCGCATCGCACCGCAATTTTCGCCGACGACAAGTTCCGCAGGCGATGCGAACACGCTTGCGGTCACTATTGTCCAGATCGTTGTCCGGACTTGCGTAACATTTCTTGACATGAACATCTCTGGCATCGCACCGCTGAAAGGCGCGGCCACAATGGGGGCAAGGGTATGGTTTTTCTTTGGTATCTACTTGCTCAGCATGATGATAGCAGATTGGCTAGATGAGGGCTCTCACGTGTCCGGCGATGCCTTACCAAGTGTTCGGACCGGGCGAAGCACCGGGAACAAATGTCACACTGACCATAGTCATCATTCCGTTTGGTCGAGAGGAAACTGGGGACAACGGAGGAGGGTCCTGGCCTTGAAAGCCACTAGTAAGCGTACCTTCTTGTCTTTCCTGGCGCTCATCATTATAATATCATGGCTTTTTTCGGTACCGGAATCTCGTATTAGAGACGAGAAAATGAAGAATTTGTAGTCTCGGACCTGAATGGGGTCCATGTCAGGCTTTATTGCAATGTGGGATGTGGGCAGATCTAGATCCCCAGCCGCAACCACAACCACAACCACAACCCTGGGGTATCCGGGGTCAAAGGCAAATTTCTCAATTCCGTGGCCATACCTTATTGATAGTTAGCACCTTATGAGCAGCAAATGGGTGCGACGATAGGATGCTCTCTCCATTGAACACGAGGACTGGTAGAGCTGACAATGCAGCCAGCGCAAAGATACCCAAGATCACTCAACCCGAGGCAGTGGCCAGGCGAGCGTGACCCAACTCGATGGGATGTACACGAAGCCAATGAGAACCTCGAAGCAACATTCCTCGAGCGTTTCCGAGTTGCCCTGCTTCATAGTGAAGGCTTTGACGACGATGGCTCGATTGTGTCAGACTCTGCCGAAGACAGCTCAGTGGATCATTCACCGGTAAGTGAAGATTCTCAACAACAGACTTCAGAGGCTGAGATGTACATGAAAGGACGTCCACGCATATAACTACCCTATGATATTACTATCAGAACATCCAGTCTACCCGCCTGAGCATGAGCTGGTCCGCTTACAGGCAGATTTTCTGACAACATTTAAACAACATATCTTCATCGACAATGTAGATCTACTAAATTCTCCCATGTCTGCTCTACCACCGTATCTTCAACTCGCAATCTCGTGTTTGTCATCCGCAACGTCATCCCCAGAGGAATCAAGTCCGTACGCGATAGGAAGTGAGATGAGCCCAATGGATAGATCCTCCGGCCTCTTTGTTGCTGGTGTCAATCTATGGTCGGTTATGCTGGAGGTCGATAATCGAGAAGCACGACTCGTGGAAGCAGTAGTAGCAGTAAGTAATACCGACCGAGATTCCTTTGGAAAATGGCTGATTCTTCTTGCATAGGCCTCATTCCTGGCTACATATGGGCAGATGTCAGTAGGTTGGGACAATTGGCGGAAGGCCTCCACCATCCTGTGTAATGCAGTCACTGTGCGTCGATCCAACGGCCGACTCCTCATCTGAAGAGATGTGTTCTGACCAAAACGTGCAGATCTCGAGGCGCTTACACCTGACCGACGAGTGTTCACCGCTGTTCTCGTCCAGCGAACTATCGAACAAGGACATGTGCATGAGAAGGTTGGTGCATCCAAGCTGATCCATGATTCATCTTGGCTGAGAGTTATGCAGTGCACTCGTTAGCTACATGTTCCTGATTGACACCCTGCAAGCCACTCACTGTGGATTGGCCGCAAACTTTTCAACCCGTGAGCTTTTTATCAAGATGCCTGGTTCGAGCCGTCAATTTCACACCGTTTACCATTGTCTGTTACATGGAGATAAGATCCCACAAGATGTACGCAACGGAGAGGATGCTCTCCTGTTGCTCACGGCTCTCCTCAGTGATATCGTCTATGCGCAACGATCTCTCCAGTTGACGTCCTTCATTGGCAACGGGCCATCAGGGCACACCGGCTTGAAGCCCCGGAGTCCTTTCACCCCATTGTCAGCATCTTCCGAATTCTCTCGGCTCAACGAGGCCATGACGGCTGGACTCTCACGATGGGAGCGCCTCTTCGAGTCACATGTTAGCAACGATATACTTGCTCTGCACTTGTTTTGCAAATTACAGCTCATCTGTCCCGACACCTGGAAATTGCCACAGATGGCAAGCTACGGCGAGACACAATCGAACAGCCAAGGCTTCCGCCCCTCAGAACCTTTCCAAGTCTTGGACAAAGCTGCGGCGCTCGCTTGGCAGGTGCTAGATTCTTGCCACAAAATACCTCCCGAGAGCAGATTGTCTGTCTGGTTGCCAGTGATTGTATTTTTGTCTGCATTGGTGGTGTGGCAGAGGCTGCGCACCGAACCTGTCCCTGCTTCGCAATATGGGACATTGAGAGTTCTGGGTCTGTTCAGCAAGGAGATTGCAGGCTATCACTGGCCTTGCAGCATCGAAATGATTAGAACCTTGGACAGACTTATGCAGAGTTGACACGGCCGCCGGGCAAATAGCACATACAAAGATGTACGACTAGATAGTAAAGAGTTGCAGTATCCGTACCTTTGTTTCCTATAAATAAATGATCCATTATCGCTCTGGAGGAGAGCGCTTGGTGCGGAGTAAAAGCGGCGCCATTTGTCTTGGTTGCAAGAGCTCAACCAGCCCTTTGCTAGGCCTGCTTCGTACTCGTAATGGGTGGTGCCAGTACGAGTACTAGTCCTCTCGGTACGGATAATAATAATAATAATAACAACAATACCTAATCAGCAACCTCCAAAGCAGCAATAAAGGAACAACGCAACAAGGTGGTCAAAAAGTCGCAGGCGCTTCAAACTCCCACTAGAAACATCACCGTGCTGCGCTGTCTTGCCGTGCTGTGACTGTATAAATTTCAAGACTCCTCTTCTGTTTTCTTGGTCACCACGGTCCTCTGTTTGTCCGCCCGCTGTTCCTGAGCCGTGTTCAACCATCCTAAGCCAGCCCAACGTCTCCACCGCTGGTTGCATGTCTTCTTGAACCACAATCTAATCCTCCTCGGCCACGAATCTGAACTAAAACTGCGCCCTCCACCCTCAGCCTCCCTCAATTCCATGAGAGCTCCGAACGAAGTCAACCAAGGTCACCATGGCTTCTTGTTGAGCCTCTGACTGACTCTGACCATGCGTCGACTTCTAGCACGGATCTCTCAGTCACCGCCGATTGCGCTTACGAAACTCACCATTTACTGTTGCCCTCGACCGTGCTGGCAATCACCTGAACTTCGATCTGCCTTTTCCTATCCTGCCTTTTGAACGGCCCTCAACTGATGAGTGAGACTGCTCTCGACAACTGAGTCCACTTTCTTATGCTCTAGAAGCACCTTCTGGCCTTGTGTCATCCGGGACGCGGTCTACCCTCGCACAAGTTGGATCGTTGGCAGGCTGAGATAGTGCCCCTCGCAAGAGTGGCTGGAAGACAAAGCAGCCATGTCTCTGAACAACACACCAGCGACGCAATCGCAACCCTACGAACACAATGGTGAAGTTGATGTTCCGATGGAAGATGCCGATCCCTACAATCGAGCGAAATATCCTCCGCGTCCTGCACATCAACACAGGCTTTCAGCCCAATTCCTCCCTGAAATCTCCTCTGCTGCGCAGAGATATTCTCCTATGAATGTTCAACCTACGGGAGCCGCATACCCTGCGAGCCCGAAAATGCCAAATCCTGGCAACTTCTCCTATCTTGGCCAGCCACAATCATCACGACAGTCACCGACACGCCAAAGCAGCTACAACTCGGACCGCTACCCTGAACCTCCAACCCCTACGAGATACCCCTCCAACTACGCGTCTGCGCTACAAAATGCTGAGCTGAGCCCCGAGTCGTACTATCCTCTGTCTACTGGTGCGACGAGACCTGCCCCGCCATCGAGGCAACCCTCTCAAGGACCTGGGCCGGTTCCTAGGTTTAAAAAGGTCAAGACTATGCAGGACTTCACACCGAGAGTCAATACGCAGCCTCTTTATCGCAGGGCAAATCCAGAAGGTGGCTTCATCAGCCCGCTACAAGCTCTCACTACATATCTGCCAGCCACCTACAGGATATGTAATCCTAGCTTCAAATACGAGTCATCAAGAAATCCTAGGCGGGTGCTAACCAAGCCTAGCAAGGGAACCAAGAACGATGGCTACGATAACGACGACAGCGATTACATTCTCTACGTTAACGACATTCTCGGTAGTGAAGAAGCAGGCCACAAGAACCGCTACCTGATCCTTGATGTGCTGGGACAGGGTACCTTTGGGCAGGTCGTCAAGTGCCAGAATCTGAGGACCCAAGAAGTGGTCGCGGTAAAAGTTATCAAAAATCGCACGGCTTACTTCAATCAGAGTATGATGGAAGTATCAGTCCTGGATCTGCTGAACCAGAAACTGGACAAGAATGATGATCATCACCTCTTGAGGCTGAAAGACACATTCATCCATCGACAACATCTGTGTCTTGTCTTTGAACTGCTCAGTGTCAATCTGTACGAGCTTATCAAACAGAACCAATTCCGAGGCCTCAGTACAACCCTCGTCCGTGTTTTCGCTCAACAATTGCTGAACGGACTCACCCTGCTGAACAAAGCGCGTCTGATACATTGCGATCTCAAACCGGAAAACATCCTGTTGAAGAATCTCGAAAGTCCGATCATCAAGATCATTGACTTCGGTTCAGCTTGCGATGAAAGACAAACCGTTTACACTTATATCCAGTCCCGGTTCTATCGTTCCCCGGAAGTGCTCCTGGGCCTGCCGTACTCTTGTGCCATTGACATGTGGTCACTCGGCTGTATCGTGGTGGAATTGTTTTTGGGGCTTCCGCTCTTTCCGGGTTCGTCTGAATACAACCAAGTCTCCAGAATTGTCGAAATGCTGGGTATGCCGCCAACATGGATGCTGGAGATGGGGAAGCAGTCTGGCGAGTTCTTTGAGAAAACTGCAGACGAATTTGGCCGTCGAACATATCGACTGAAAAGTATGGAACAGTACTCCCGCGAGCACAATGTCAAAGAGCAACCGAGTAAAAAGTATTTCCAAGCGACTACTTTGCCCGAGATCATTCGCAGCTATTCGATGCCTAGGAAGAATATGAAGCCTGCTGAGATTGAGAGAGGTGAGTAGAAACGTTCGAATTGCGCTTTTCGGTGCTGACATTCTCAACAGAAATGAACAATCGGGTTGCTTTCATTGATTTTGTTCGGGGTTTACTGACAACCAATCCTCTCGAACGATGGTCGCCCCAACAAGCGAAGATGCATCCATTTATTACGCAGCAGAAGTTCACGCAGCCTTTTGTACCTCCAATGAACCTGAAATCTCCCGCAAGCAAACCCATTTCTCCGGGAGTGCAGCAACAGCAGCAAGCTGAAGCTCTGAGCAAACAAAGAGCTGCTCAAGCTGCGCAGGCTCAAGCTCAAGCCCAGGCCGCCCAGGCCCAAGTTCAGGCCCAAACAGCCGCCCAGAATGCATACGCCATGCAAATGAGCCCCTACCCTCCGTCACAAGCGCCGCCAATGTACAACACCATGTATCCTGCACACCAACAAGCTGCTCCCCCACCGTATCCGACTCACTCTGCGAACTATGCACCACAAATGGGCATGATGCCACAACAGACTCCTCAGATTAACCCGAGCCATTACAATCACCAGCAAAGCTTGTATGCACAGGCTACACAGAGAGCTGGAAGGCAACGAGCGTCAACTATGGACCAGCAACAAGCTGGAATTCCACCGACGATCCAGAGGGTAGCGAGTCATTTGGATCCTAACCAGCCCATCAGACTTCAACCCAGCCCTGCTTATTACCCACCGCCAGCGGACGGTTACGTTGATTCTCCATCGACTGCTCGAAGACGTGGCAGCCGTAATCAAAGGAATCGCGACTTTATCCGCACTTTGGAAGATGGCGCAATGAATCAGTGGCATTGAAAAGCCAAGCAACAAAGTTCTGCGAACGCGCGCGTCCTACTAAAGCCAGAACATGCCAAAGCAAACTCAACCTTCAAAGCGGTTTTAACATAATAACAGGGTGGCAAATGGAGGACTCGATCACCCATTAGAGGCTAGCATAGCCTATGAGACTTCCATGACCATTCTCGGTGGGCATAGGATTTAGAAGCATAACGATGCTCCAGTGATCGCGCGCAGCGATCTATGTGAGATCTACGTTATAAAACGAGCTACGAAGGAGGTTTACGCTGATGGAGGATTGGGCTATTCATGAATTTGGGATTTCGGGCCCTCATGATTCTTCAAGCAAAGCCAAATTGGTGCACTGTACTGCATTGGTGACCAGAAGATGGTCAGAGACATTCATGATGTGTACAGACGTCTGAACCTCGTAGGAATCGAGCAGGTGTTCAAGTTCGACATGGCATTTGAAGAATCTGGGCCCTTGTATGACTACTAACATCTTGTGTTTGTTAAGCAATAACATCAAGCGCTGCGTCTCTACCTCCGTAGGTGATTACGTAAAGAGTGATGGTTTGCAAAGGAGATATAGACCCTGGCATGACTTCGTACTCCCATTGAATATCACATTGGTAAGATATCGCAATATTTGATTCTGGTTATAGGCAGAATTTCTGCTGTGGTGACTCTTAAGGAATCGAAGTCTAAGGAGTCACCCAGATTTTCTGCAAGCACAAAAAGTTCACTCACGTGATATATCTTGGCATCTCGCCGCGCACCACGAATTCGCCGTGCACCGACGGGCCGCAGGCCAGACCTTTTTTTATCAGGACATCGTTGAACGACGAGTTTATCTTCGCTTCTGCTTTACATATCAACCACACCAGTGCCAGTGAATATCAAGATGTCGTCTCGATTTTTTCACGGCGGAGACTCTGACAGCGAGAGCAGTTCCTCCGAGGAGGAAGAGCTCTACTCTGGCCGAGAGGAGGAATCCGAAGAAGAATCCGAAGAGGAAAGTGAAGAGGAAGAAGAAGAGTCTGAGGACGAATCTTCCGAAGATGAAGGTCGTGGTACGGGCGCCAGCCGGTTCTTGAAGCCTTCAGGACTGGGCGGCGATGAGTCGGACGAGAGCGAGGACGAAGACCGCGAACGAGTGGTCAAGAGCGCTAAAGACAAGAGATTTCAGGAATTGGAAAGCACTATCAGAGCGATCGAAAATGCTCAAAAAATCAATGACTGGGCTGTCATTTCCACAGGTCCGTTGTTATTCCCCCCTTGAAGGATGTTGATACTAACCTCCTTTAGAATTCGACAAGATGAACCGCCAGGTCGTCAAGGTCGTTCAGCAAGGCGCCTCTCCCAAGATTTACATCAAGATGATCGCCGACCTCGAAGATTTGATCAATGAGACCAATGATAAACAAAAGTCGGGAGGCAAGAAGATGAATCCCATCAATGCCAAAGGTTTCAACGCAATGAAGCAAAAGATCCGGAAGAATAACAAGGATTACCACACCGAGATCGAGAAGTATCGGGCGAACAAGGAGGAGTTCATGGAGTCAGATGAAGAGGAGCAGACGGAGGTGGAGCAAAAGACGCGCAAGAGCAAAGTCCAGAGACTAGACGCCATTGAGGCTGCTATTGATGAAGAAGGATTTGCGACGGTCGGTAGAGGAGGCAAGGCTCTTGTCTATACACCAGAAAGTATCCTGAAGCATCTGCGCTCCATCGTGGAGTCCCGTGGCAAGAAGAACACCGACCGGACCGAACAGATACGGATCATGGAGAGATTACTCGAAGTCGCCAATACCCCCTACCAGCGGATACGGGTCCTATTGACTATCATCTCCACAAGATTTGACGTCACCAGCTCGTCTGTGCAGGCTTATATGTCACAAGAGTCGTGGCGAGCAGCGGAGCGAGAGTTCTCGTCCCTGTTGCAGACACTCGAGGACGAGTCTCAGTACATTGTTACGGAAGTCGCTGATGAATGGGAAGACGACGAAAAGCAGCCAAGCCCGGCGGCTGGTGAGATCTTCAAGATTCCTGGCAGCGTTGTTTCCCTGTTGGAGAGACTTGATGACGAGTTGACGAGATCTCTGCAACAAACCGATCCTCATACTGCCGAATACATCGAAAGATTGGGCGACGAACAGCTTCTATATACTGATGTCGTCCGGACGCTAATTTATACCGAGACAACCAACAAGAAGCTCGAGAAATCTGAGACGCGCCAGGAGAACATCAACCGGACCGTCATCAGGCGCTTAGAACACATCTATTTCAAGCCGACGCTCGTTGTGAAGATCTTGGAAGAGAAGACTTGGGCGGCTTTGCCACCAAGTCTCAATTCAGAACTCACCCCGCGCGACAAGTTCACAGAGGTTGCGCCGCTTGTTCAAGGTCTTTGCACTCATCTATTCGAACACAGTGAGGGCATTATCCGAGCCCGAGCCATGCTGTGCGAGATCTACTTCCTTGCTCTACAGGATAATTACTATCGCGCGAGGGATCTTGCTCTTATGAGTCATCTGACCGAGAACATTTCCTCGTTCGATGTGAGCACGCAGATCCTCTTCAACCGAACGCTCGTTCAGATTGGTCTCTGCGCCTTCAGAGCAGGACTCTGTTATGAGGCACAGGGTGTCCTCCAGGAGATCTGTGGCTCTGGCCGCCAAAAGGAACTATTGGCCCAAGGTGTCATCATGCAGAGGTATTCCACCGTAACTCCAGAGCAGGAACGGTTGGAACGTCAGCGACAGCTTCCCTTCCACATGCATATCAACCTGGAGCTGCTGGAGTGCGTCTACCTGACTTGCAGCATGCTCCTCGAAATTCCTCTCCTCGCACAGACTGGTTCATCACCGGACGTCCGAAAGAGAGTCATCTCCAAGACTTTCCGACGCATGCTCGAGTACACCGAACGACAAGTCTTCCAGGGACCTCCTGAGAACACTCGCGACCACGTCATGCAAGCAGCCAAGGCTCTCGCCCAAGGTGACTGGAAGAGATGCCAGGAGCTCATCAGCAAGATCGGCATTTGGGATCTCCTTGGCAGCGATAAGGACAAGATCAAAGCCATGCTGGCTGAACAGATCCAAGAAGAAGGACTACGAACCTATCTTTTCACATACGCTCCTTATTATGACACCCTCTCGATAACAACACTGTCAGGCATGTTCGAGCTGGATCCTAAGAAGATTGCAGCGGTCGTCTCGAAAATGATCTCACACGAAGAACTCGCCGCCGCGTTGGACCAGGTCAACGATGCCATTGTCTTCCGAAAAGGTGTCGAGCTCTCTCGCCTCCAGAGTCAAGTCATTACTCTTTCCGAGAAGGCGATGGGTATCCTCGAGTCAAATGAGAAGGTGCTGGAGACGAGGACGGCCGGCATGGCAAATGCATTCCAGCGAGATCAAGGACAGAGAGGAGGCCGTGGTGGCCGTAGTGGGCGCACCAACCTGCAGGGCCTGGCTCGCGGTCAAGGTCAACGACGCCCTGGTGGCCAGCAGTTCAGTGGCGGAGCTCTTGGAGGTGCAATTAAAGCTTAAAGTCGAGTTTTGATTAGGGGAGTTGGTTTCATCATCATCAATGAATTGCATTTTTGCTGGTAGCCCAAGGGGATCAACATATGGACACAATTGACGCAACGGCACAAAAAATTAGATAGTGGTGCGCTGTCAGCGTAGAGAGAATCGTTTTGTATGAAATGAAAAGATCGCTAGTGTGTCAAATGAATCCCCGTCTTGAGAGGTCTCGGTTGTTTGAATCACTACCACTACTACTATGATGTAAGGCCGACCGCTCGCTCTAGTGCCGCTTTCTCCCTCGTAAAGTACTCCTTTGCCGATGACAATTTGAAGTCAAAGTCGTTCTCGTCAAAAAGCAAGAAGCCAGGGTTGTCGAGGTATAACAACTCGGAAGCCACGATCGGGTCCGTCTTGCCCAGCTCGCGGGCCAGGGACTCGCGGACGTACTCCACGTGAACCCTATCCTGACCGAGCGCTTCGTTCATCGCGTTCGCAATGTCCTGAAAGGTCAGTGTCTCTCCGGACAATGCGAGCTTTTTGTTTCTGTACCGACCAGTCGTGTCATCGAGCAGGTGGACAAAGGCGCGGCCGATATCCCTGGTGTCCAGGACCGACTGGGGCTCGTCTGGGGGTAGGACGGTGCGGATGACGCCGTCGCCCGCCAGTTTTGGGAACACCATGCGTGACAGCTTCGGGTCGACAAAGGAGTGAAGCAGTCGTGGGACCCGGAGGATGGTCCAGTTGTCGAACCCGGCCTCCTTGACGGCGCGTTCGACGTGGATCTTGGCATAACGATACTTGAGCGTCGGATTATTATCCACGCCGTTGAGGTCTCCTCGTTCGAGACGGTCGACGCTGGGCACCGAGGACTCGATTACCCTAGCAATACCGGCTTCGCGACATGCCGCGACGACGTTCCGGCCGTGCCTGGCTTCCCCAGACGGGTCGGTGAAGACGGGAGACAGGTTGATGAACGCCGCCGTGCAACCCTTGGCCGCTGACGTGAGCGAGCTCGGGTCGTCAAAGTCGCCGGGGAATACCGTCGCTCCCAGCTCAGACAGGGTTTGTGCCGCCGTCGACGACGGGTCTCGGGCGAGGGCATGGACCGCGTGGCCGGCGGAGAGGAGGGATCGAGCGACGGCGCCTCCTTGGGCGCCTGTGGCCCCTGTCACGAAGACGACGTGCTTTTTCGAGGACATTCTTGGTTCAGTCGTGTGATAGTCAAACGTTCTGATTTGCGATAAAACGGTATTTTTGCAGCCTAGAAATCCAGGATACTCTAACGACTTAAGCACCGACTGACCTGTATGTGCTTTTTTCTTCAACCGCAGGAAGAAAATATATGCCTTGATAGTATACGGACAGTGTCGAGGGAAGAAGGCCCTTGTAGTAGTTATCGGATCTGTGACTATTTACCTACTCGTATAGACAATATCCTTGATTGTCGCGGAGTACCTACGCCCGAGATACCACCTGAAGAAGCTGACTGCGAACCAAAACTCGGTCCGCTTTTGGTCCGAAGTTGTGGAGTGCTTGTGACGCTCCTCATAGCGTGTGTTCAGGTGGCCTAACATGCTTTTTGGAATTCGGACGAAGGCGTACCATCTGTGGAGTCACCTCATGACACGCGGAGTGTGAAGGAAGGGTGGTTGGGATTGTTGAGTCTGGGAAAATAGATAGATACAAGTGACGAAAGACGTTGAAAATTGCAGTCGAACAAAGTGAAGTGACTGTAGCCTCGTCGCATAGAGTAGAACGAGGCTGTGAGGGCGGATAAACTATAATCCGACCATTTCAATACCTACAAATTGGTGCAACTGTGTATTTCACTCGATGGCAACGACGTTGCATTATTCTAGATATCTGTCTACCACATACGTGACAGGTTGAATGCGCCTGTTACAGCCGCGCTCCCTCGATAGTACTCTTAGCAATGCCAGCATCGAGTTCTTGCCATCTCTTTTCCACATCCTCCTTGGGGACGTACGACAGCAACCACTCGCCAGCTCCAAACTTGCGCCAGACCAGAGGATCTTCACCTCGAACCAAGTCTCCCCATTCGATCGGCCTGCCCTGCCGATATTCTTCCTCGAGCTTTGCGAATGCCTTCATCTTCCGATCCCGGTCAATTTGTTGGGGACCATCGTCGTAATGGTTGACGTCCTGTTGTATGTTGCCCTTTTCGACGATACGATTTGTACGTTTGATGCGGCAGGACTCATATACCGACAGGGCCTTACGCCGCTCCTCCATGGGGGCAGACTTCGTCATGCCCTTCAAACAGTGACCGAGAACTGCCCCGTCCTCGAACGACATGCCGGCTCCGCTGGCCAGGTATGGCAACGTTGCATGGACCGAGTCACCCAAAAGCACCATACATCCGCTCGGATGGACCCAGGTGTCGATCGGATCCCAGATCGATAAGCGCCACCGAAGCACTGACTTGCACTTCGCCAGCAATTTGCTCACCCTAGTTGCTTTTGTCAGGACAGACACGACGTCCCTCGCCGCAAATATAGGCTGGCATAATTCTACTCACCTGGGATCCCAGTCTTTGAACAAATCTTGCATCTCAGTGACTTGACCCGCCAGCGTAGAAGGTCCGTCTTCTGGCATGTCGTCTGGGACAAGTAGTACCATATTCAAAAGTTTCCGTTGTCGAAGTGCATACGTTACTACTGCTATAAGTCTGGGGACGACACAATGAGTCGAGGAGGTACTTACCGATATGTGCACCAGGGCCGTACCAATACGTCACAGCACGGTCATCCAAGAATGGCTTGAAGTCGGGATCTGTTCGAAGCTCGTCCCCATCTAGCAAAAGTCGATATGCCATATCTCCGGTATGGCGAGGGTGGTCTTGTTTACCCAAGATGAATGAACGACATCGAGAGTGGAGACCGTCGGCGCCAACGACAAGATCAGCCTGCCATACCTTCCCAGCCTTGGTTGTCACGAAAGCCACGTTGTTGTCATCGAATCGAACATCAGTGACCAAAGAATTAACATGCAGCTCGGCACCGAGCTCGGCCGCCCTGTCGAAGAGTGCCTTGTGCAGATCAGCCCGGTGTAGGTCGTAGAAAGGCGACCCATATTCCTTCTCCGCGGGGTCAAAGTCCATCGAGGAGATCAAATTTCCCTTCCAGTCCAGGATGTTGCAGGCGTCCGTCGTGCATATTCTAGACGGCTCGATTTTGTCGAAAACCCCCCATGATTGCAAGACTTTGCTGCTATTCGGCAAGACCTGAATCCCTGCCCCGACTTCTCCAATCTCGGGGGCTGACTCAAGGACTATAACATTGTGTCCAGAAAGACGCAAGGCGATAGCAGCACCTAGACCCCCAAGACCGGCCCCGACGATGACAATCTTCAGATATGTAAGTCTGCTGGGTTGGTATGGGGGGATCGATCACTTACATCTAGACCGGACATATTGACTTACTTTGGACGATCCAATAGTTAGTAGAGATGACTGGCTAGCACCTTCTGGAGATTCGTCCTCTGAGCAATGAAAGGCAGCTTATGCGTCGCAGGGGGTACTCCGCGTCCTTTACAAGTCTTCTCACTTCCTTCCCCTACCTTGGCGATCCAACAGGTCAATTGCCGACACCAGATGCTCTATCTAAGAAACCACAAGAGCACAGTCCCTGACGGCTTTTGGTCGCCTACATCATTTACCATAAGCCACCTACAAAAATCCAGCACTGCGGCCAAGGAGACTGGCAGATAAGGATCTATCTTCAAGAGTGGGGGAGGCTGACATATGATGTTCGGTATATAATGTCGGCTGGCACCACAAAAGTGGAGGTATACCCTTCGATGGCGGCTTGCAAGGCTGGATATCCGACGATTATTTCAAAACAACTCACCATGCACACGGCCAAGGCCAGACAAAATCCTTCCAACAGACCATCATAGGCCGAGGTCTTGAACGTTCTGAAATTTCGGAGGTTGATCGCAGTCCTTACAACTTGCAGCCGCCTTTGAGAGCCGTTCCAACTGAATTGCTTGATAAGTGGCGGGTACGGCTAAAGCCGCAGGTGCCTTGTCTCTTTCAACGCGGTTCTCCGGAATATTAACTTGTGTGTCCTCTCGTTAGAAAGCCCAAGCTCTGTGACCTGAACTCATTCACATCAAATCTACTTCGAAGACTTGGAAGAATTGTTTGAAAGTCCGATACATAAAAGGCCCCGGGCAGGGAAGACAATGCGGTGGCTAGTCATCAGATATGTCCCAGCCCGAAGTTCGGTCGATTTTCTTCAAGAGTGCTGGTAATTTGTCTCAAGGACAAGGCTGAAAGTTAACAGCTGCAGTCAATCCGGTAGTGATTATCTCCCAGTTAAGGACCCTCTTTGTCTGCACTCGCTTGCTCACTGCAAGATCAATCCCATAATCTGGGGTAGACAGGGGAACGAGGCCCGGTGAAGAATGGGGAAGGAAGATGTCGACGATAAACCGTGTGAGCATCAGAAGGACGAACTGGCCAATACCCAGGTTGTCCTAGGTGTCTCGCAGCTACTGATTGCGGCTATTAATGGACAAGCTGCAAATAGAGGAGAGGTCGTGCATCTCCTACCGCCGAGCCGTCCAGTAAGACGGTCGAAATGCTTATCTCTGAAGCATACCTATGTTTCCAGATAGGCTATCATGTATGATCGGAGGTCAAAGTCACTAAGCAATACCTGTTTGGCTTGTGTACTGCCATTGTTATGGTACAAGAACTGTCCCAATGCGACATTATGACTGCTTTTGACAACTTCCAATTTCCAAGATCAGCTTGACATCCTCTTGTCGCTTCTTCAGGCAGGAAGTCTTGAAAGAACCGCCTTTGCTTTTGACATTGGCTTGAATAGGTCTGAGGATCATGACGACACAGTCCTTTTTGACGCCGGAAGTATGGAGCGTTGCTTCGCGGGCGGCTGTGTATGCCATATGCCTCAGTGGTCTAACGCTTGCAGTAAGTCCAAACGTTTCTGATATCGATACGAAATTGGAAAATTCCTAATCTCCGAACAGGCCTATTACATCGTCCCATATGTCTCCAACAAAGGCAAGATGAATGATATACCCGGGCCACTGGTAGCCAAGTTCTCAAATTTTTGGAGTCTTTACTGGGCAAGGTGTGTTCTTATCCCGCCCTTGACAAACAGGGAAGAAAAAGGCTCAACGGTCTGATTGACAGGCAACATCAGCTCTCATGGGTTACACATGATCTTCACAAGAAACACGGGGACTTCGTGAGACTGGCGCCAGGCCATATCAGTATCGCACACCCAGACAGCATTAGAGTATGAGGATCATGTCCTGCGGTCTCCAGCTTGCCGGATATCTGTGTACGTTCTGACTTCGTTGTGTGTTTTCCAGGACGTCATGGGGCACGGCAACGGCTTCCTCAAGTCGGACTTTTATTATGCCTTTGACAATATCCAGTCCGGCATCTTCACGACTCGGGATCGCGCAGCCCATAGTAGAAAGAGGAAATATGTCTCTCACATGTTCAGCCCCAAAGCCATGGTCGGATTCGAACCTTACATGACCACGGCAATCGGAACGCTGGCACATCAAATGGGGTCTCTGATCGACACGGGTCATGCAGGAAGATACACCGCTCTCGGTACAACCAACCCTGAGATCAGGGCACTACAAAGAAAAGGAGAGGCAGCTATCGACGTTGCCCAATGGTCTGCTTTCCTTGCGTTTGATATTATTGGTGATCTGGTCAGTATCGATACCTCTCTCACATCCCATATCGTGTTACGGCACTGACACACTTTATTACCTTGTAGGCCTTTGGAGAACCGTTCGGATTCACGGCGCTTGGACAAGATACCAATGGTGGCATCAAGAAACTTCGGGACCGAGGAGAATGGTGCGCAACTGTTGGTCAAATGCCCTGGATCAAGAGTATGTCTCTTTTTCACCTTATTTTGGTACGGTGCTGATCACGCCGCCCCTCAGCATGGACACCATACTTTGTCTTTGACAGCTTCTTCACCAAAGGTCTTCAGGCGACCAAAGACCTCGCTGCCATTGGCATCGCCAAGGTGGAGAAACGCAAACTGGCCTCTCGAGATTCCTCCCGCCGCGACATCTTGTACTATCTCCTCTCCGCCAAAGACCCGGACACGGGCGGCGACCTCCCCGACCTCGAGGTCAAAGCCGAAGCGCTCACCCAGCTCATCGCGGGGTCCGACACGACGGGCAACACGATAACACACTTGATCGACATGCTCTGCCGCAATCCCACCGCACTCAGGACGCTCCAGGGGGAACTCGACGCGGCGTTCCCGGGCCCGCTGACCACTCCAGGCTTCGTGGCCATGTTTGAAGATTGCAAGGACCTCCCCTTCACCCAGGGCGTCATCAACGAGACCCTCCGGCTCCGGACGACCGTGTCGGTCGGTCTCCCTCGCGTGGTGCCCAAGGGTGGTGCCATGGTCTGCGGACGCTTCTTCGAAGAGGGCACCGTCCTCTCGACCCCCACCTACACCACCCACCGAGACACGAGAGTCTGGGGTCCCGACGCTTTGGAGTTCAAGCCCGAACGTTGGAGCAGACAGGGGGGTGCCGAGTTGGAAAAGGCTTTTCTGGGATTCTCCTATGGTCCTAGAGCTTGTATTGGAAGAAATGTGAGTCTTTCTTTTTCTCTTCTCCATTTGTGTGTGTGTATGGGTGTCTTGTCTTTCACCACACATAAACCCCCCTTGAACACTTTGTGTGGCCGGGTTTTTCTCTCCTTGCTCCGAAACACTCCCACAAACACACGTGCACGCGGCTCTCTCTCTCTCGCTCTCTCTCGAATCTTATGAATGCTGACGATGGAATTTCTTTGTTTGATGCGGAATGACAGGTCGCTTACATGGAACTCAAAAAGACGGTCGCCACTCTCTTCCGACTTTTCGAGTACAGACTTGTCCACCCGGACCGGGACTCTCATATCCGAGAAGGATTCCATCTAAAGTGCCAGGAGCTTGCTTGTTTTGTGCGCAGGAGGACATGAAGTGGGAGTTGTAGCAAATCAGATCAGATTTACCGGTTTGGAAACCCGCATATCTGTGACCTCAAGGTTGTTTTTGGTGTCTAGTATCAACGATGAAGAGACAACCAATCTGGACCGTCGTAGTGTATGGATCGAGTTCGATGGAATGAATACATACATACTCCGTATACGAGCGCATGATTAACAAAAGAAGCAAAGCATAGTAAATTGAGCATGTCTTTTGATTTTTTTTTCCCGGTTTTCTTTCTTCATGAAACTCAGTACAGGAGCATCTCACTTGTTTGGTTTCTCTCTATCCCCTTCCTCTTCTCTCATTGTTCTTGCGAGGAAGAAGGTGGTTTAGTTATTCCAAGCCTTTAGCCCTGAGTGAACTGGTCCGATTTGGGACGTTTTCTGAGCCTGTACTCCAACGACATCATTTTGGTGTGTAAAAAAAAGTCACAATCAATTTCTCTCCTTCATTTCGTTATCATTCTGTCACACACACTCTCTCTCCTATTGTCGTCTTATCGTTCTGCCTCATGATTTGTATCCTGAGAAACTAATCAAGTGTCAGTCTGTCCTTACGGCCAGGTTTAGACAGCGTAGTAATACTCAGTCAAACAATCCAGTGTCAATTGCTGATGCTAGATTCGGCCACCATCTTCTTGTTCATCCAGTCAATGACCAATTCGCGGCATGCCATTGCATCTTCGAGACTGTCGTGACCCTTGCGGCTTTTGCGCTGCACGTCGATGCCCAATTTGACCTTGCACAGGTTCTTCAACGACTTGCCGCCCTTGGTCTTGTCGGCGTCGGCGTCGTTGTTCATGGTCGACTCCAGAATGAACGAATCCACGACACGGTGGTGCAACCATCTGAGGTCGGAAAAGTCTCCGCGACCACCATGAACGACGACGATCGTGTCAGGTCCGACATACCTCCACAACATCTCGCGGGCTCGGTGTTTGCCAAGGACGCAGGTGCCTCGGCGGATGGCATTCTGAATGTCCCCTCGAGTGATGCCGGAATATCGCGTGCTGTAGTGCAGCATGGGCACTTGGGGCTGGACAAGATTGTCGACCAAGATGTTTCCGGTGAAGAAGTCCACGGCCGTGAGTCGGATGAGCTCGGATTCTCCGGCGACAGAGACACCCATCTCGCAGTCGAGAGCGATGGCGGTGACGGGGTTCAAGGGGTGGAAAAGCCCGTGCTGCTGCCGATGCTGGCCACCACGTCGTTTGTTACTGGATCGAGGGTCCATCGTTGTCTGCAATGTCTGGAGCTCAAGGCTGGGAGTTGGATAATGTTGCCAGTATTGTCGATTGGACAGGTCGTCGGTGAGTGGTGGCGTATGTTCTTGCCGTGTTACACAGCCTGGTTTGGATACATGCTTACCACAACAGGTAAAGATCTATTAATGTGAAGAAGTTCATGTGAGTCTGGCGGAATTACACACGATAAAGTTGAAGCAAAGACTGCTCAGAGAATCGAGAGAGGGTCGTTTACCTTGTTTCTGACTTGGCCTGGATGATATACACATCTAGGCTTCGGGGTGGTGGGCTTGGTTGACGATTCTCCTGGCTTGGTCGAAGGTTGAATCTCGTTTGTAGTGGGCCCTTGACCGTTTTGGTCCATGCCACCACTATTTGAAGGTGTGTTGGCTGACAGAGGCTTAGGAGTGGAGGGAGGTTGTTTTGCATGATGATGGCGATATCGGGTCATTCTTGCTGTTTCCTTGGTCAACACTCTTGATGTCTTTTGTGACGGAGTAGAGAATCGTGGATTTCTCACCTCTGCAAGTGACACATCTCGTTTTGGCCTCGATTTGCTCCTCGGAAAGAGGGTCGACGATGTAGCCTTGTTCCTTCAACTGATCTCTGCCATGGCACAATTGACGCAACATTCCTACATTGGCTGGGGTTTCCTGAATTGCTGTCCAGAGAATATCGCCCGACGGTGACTGCGCCATATTGTCTCCTCCTGTGATGGAAGACAGTCGATTTCAATTGCAGGCCCAACTGTCGATTCAATTGATAAATCTGAGAGAAAAGATAAGCGTTCGCTGGAAAGAGCCTTGTAGGGTGTCTCGATTCTTTCTGGCGACGAGAAAAATCAGATAACCGTTGGGTTGAAAAAGAAACCTTTACTGGCTGTCAACGAAAAGATCGTTTTCATATGAGAGCCTTGAGGGTTAACAAGGCGCGTAATTGTGGTAGTGAAGCTTATGGGTACGTGCTGTTCACTGTGTCCCGCCTCGCGGTCCCAGATCCTGGAAAGTGCAGTGAAAACGAAGTAATCGCTGACAGTCAGGGAGTGAATCTATCCAAGGTACAAGGCAGCAGATGTATGTTTCTCATGAAACAAAAAGGAACGACTTCTTTTTGTTTGTACGAATGAATCACTGTCAAGAATTCCCCCTTACGGCTATCTGCATGCGACGACGCCACGCTGTAAAACATCTTTGTTCATGATATCTCCTTCCAGCTTATGTGTTTTTCGACTGCAAGAACTCGGCGGCTTTTTGTCCTGCAATACGCCCAAAGACGACACACTCGAGCAGACTACTCCCTCCAAGTCTGTTTGCTCCATGAATGCCACCAGTCACCTCCCCAGCAGCCCAGAGACCTTTGATCGGATTTCCACTCGCATCCACCACCTGAGCGTCAGGAGTGAATAATACACCGCCCATTGTATAATGCACGACCGGTGTGACGAGGCCAACATATACTGTCGTCTCGGGCGTGGGGTTCTGCATGTTCCAGTTTCCGAAATTCGTCCTGCCGAAAGGGTCTGGATTCTTTCCCTGGACAGTGTCACAATATTCTCGGATACTTTTCATCGCCGGTTCTGGATTTGCTATGTCGGATAAGGTGGTTTTCTGCATAAGTCCTTTCCAGAGGTAAAAGTCGACGTGCGATTTCGTCGCTTGGTACGTCTTCTCGTCCAGCACGAGCAGGACGTCCCACTGCTTGATCGGGTCTGTGGACATGTCTGGTGCCTTGTCGAGTATGGCGTCAGTGACGACCTTTCTGGTCTGGAGTTCATCGACGAATCTTTTGCCACCTCTCAACAAGATGCCTCCTTCGCCTCTGAGTACTTCTGCAGCCAAGAATTTCGTCACTTTGAAAGAATCCTTGAGGTCGATAAACCCAGTCGGATGGACCTGGACTTGGTCCATGTCGAGAAGCTGGGCTCCAGCGGCTGTCAGAAGATCTGAGCTGCCAGGAAGTGCTTCGTTGGTTGAAGGGTATCCTTGCAAATCAGGACGATGTCTTGCCAGCAATCCCATAGAGTCTCCCGCAAATCCACCCGAAGCGAAAATGACGGGCCCTTGCAGCGTCTCGCTCTTCCCATCTCGAGAGACTTCGACCCCCACCACGCCCTCATCCCGGCCACTGAGGACCTTTGTCACCGTTGAGTTTGTTTCTATTTTGGCCAGATCGTTGGCTTGAAGCTGCTTGAGCAGAGTTGTTACAATGCTCGCCCCTGGTGGTGTTTGGCCGGCTCCACGATGAGTTCTAGGATGGCTGTGACCACCTAGTGCCGCTACCCGTGAGAGATCGATTCCCTTCTCATCAACAAGCCAATTGACGGCGGACGCGGATGATTTTGTCAAGGTCGATATCAGTCGCTGTCGGCTTTCTGTCACTGTACGCATCACGTCTGCACTGACCGACTTGACTGTGTCGGCGTGGAAACTTTCAACCGAGTCGGACGAGTCATTTTGGAAACGAGTAGGAACCCCATTTATCCCGCTTGATGCTTTGATGGAGTTTCCACCGGGCTTTTGCTGGCGTTCAAGGATCACCACGGGCACATTTTTGGAAACCAGCTCGGACGCGGCCGACAGGCCTGCCAGGCCAGATCCAACGACGATGACGCCCCCACGCCGAGCTGAGGTTGCCATGAAGCCTGTGTGAAAAATTCTGCCCACGAGTGGCCGATACAGCATGGAGAAGAAGAGAATAAAGAGGGAAAACGCAACTGTCGTAAGCCAGGGGCGCGAGGGCATTTGGCCCGTTGTTTATACTTGGCCAATGGAGGAAATCTGTGGGGTAGAAAAGAGGTTGGATCTCTGGCATGATGATGTCGGTAGTTATGGGACGGTAGGTTGAAAAAGTGCGTGTGTGGATGGCCCAGAGGTACTCGATGTTTTTGTTTTGTCAGAAATCAGACCACATTTCACGTGTTGGTAGAGACGAGTCACTCCACTTACTTTTTTGATCTGGCGGTGGGTCATTGGGTGTCTATGAGACCTCTAAATCTTGAACAGTGTACATTACGACTATAGTGAATATCTTGCTTCTCATGTCGTGTGTATTTTATCTATGTGTCCGCTCGAGGACGTGGAGGATGTTGGCTGTATGAATATACATTGTTGACCAAACTGCTGTTCTCGTTTTCATTTTCTCCTCAATTCCCGTGAAATGCCTCATCGTTTACCTAGTGCGACTGTCTTCAAAAATCTCTCTACCCCTGTTACCGTGGACAAAATCAATCCACATGATCGATTTCAGAAGGGTAAGAGCCTCTTCCCAGGTATCAACTTCTGCCTGTGAATAATATTCTTTATCGAAGTAAAGGGCAGTGCCTGACGAGGAGGATGAAGTCGTTTCCTGCTCAGGCACCACATGATAAAGCATCACAAGCCAGAACATGACTGGCTTGGGCGGCAAATGCTCACCCTCGGAACGACATTGACACAGTCGGACCAGAGTGACCTTGTAGAGCTCAATAAGTCGCTCGTAAGGGTGATCGAGATAACACCTGATCAGGAATAGGGTGGTGCAAAAGACCAAAAGAGCGACGCGGATAACTTCGTTGGGGAGATCCTTCTCCTCGTTGAAGGAGAGGTGAGTGAGTCGGTAGAGGATGGCTATCATCATCTCATTGTACATCTCCGGTGACATTTTCCGGTCTGTCTGGTAGGCCAAATTGCTGAGGCACGAAAAGGCATGGACATCCTTCCAACAATTTCGCAGCTTGGGATCCAGATTGTCGGTGAAGGCTCGAATCGTGGGTTCATATCTAATGTGGCGGCATCGCACTAACCCCCGGTCCGCTATGTAGCAGTCCCAATCAATCTCATCGTGAAGAAACAAGCTCGGTAGGAGTCCTGATCGTAGCGCTAGACTCAGGTCGGCCCTGATTTATCATATCAAACCGTAAGTTTAACAATACGCGAAAGGCGAAAAAGTAGCAATGAGTTCGGACGACAGAAATGGTTTGTTTGTGCTTCCCCTTAACCTACCTGCACACTTTGACCTGGACATTTGTATGTGTGTCCAGTTGCCTCAAGCCCCCTCGGAGATTGACGATCCTGCGGAGACCGTCGAGGTGAATTCGAGCAGTGGTGAGATCATTTCCAATCTCGGCGGCAGTAGCCAATGTGATGATGACCATAATGGTCGAGTCGCGACATACTTCGTCGCAGAGACCTCGTTCAAAGGCATCGATACGAGCTTGAAGAAGCCGCAACGTCTGGTCGTAGTGGAAAGCCGCCAAAGGGCTGGTCCGGTTACTGTTTGACATCCCATCGACGAAAGCGCGGACCGAAAACATCATCGAGTGAAGGCAACAGAGATCATTGATCATGTATGGAAACCATCCCCTTTGTACCGGGTGAACTTGGAGGCATATCTCGTAGGGATATATTCCAACTTTGTCCATATTTATCACTAGTGGAGAGTGAGAGTGATTTAGTATCACAACAGCAACAAGATCAGCCAGGTGTCGGATTTTTTCACATACGCTTTACCAATTCCTGTATCATTCCAGGTTCGATACCGGGAGGTAGTTCGGTAGCGGAAAAGGTTTCATCGATCATCGTCGGCCTGGGACTAGGAAGCCGAATAGTATTAGACCGCTTTGATGCACCTGGAGGAATGGCGCTCTTCTCCTCTTGGAGGCTTCGATCCGGATCTATCCAAGAACGCATAGATCGGGCTTTGCGGCGAACTTTCCAACGGGCTTTCGACGCATGGCTCACGGCGCCTTTGCGATCTTCCTCCGAGATTTGTTGGTCAGAGGTCTTGAGTATGAATCTAAGGCCTGCGGTGTCTAGAAGTAGATGTTGTCTCAGTAAAAAGAACTCATGTCACTCAACTTTTGGGATTGGACGGACTATTCCAAACGTACATTGAGTCTGGGCCATTGTAGGCCTTGACCGGTTGCAACCTGATCACGGCTACAGGTTCGCAGCGCATCGCCCCATCTTGAAGAAATGTTACAGGGTATCAACCGACAATGTGCAAAAGAGTAGGAACACTCTTGTCGCTGCTAGCCTCGGGACTTCGTGTACTGGCGATCGACAGCGCCACCCATCGACGAGCAAAAGGGAAGGACCCTGACTGGCACAGGAAAGACAGAAGTTGGCGGCCTCGTTTGCCTCCAAAAACTCCACTTGAACTATTGCCAAGACATCTCAGACTTCCTAATATAGTTTAGCTTGTTGACTCGGGAGTATTGTGCTTTGCAAAATTCCGTAAAAACCTTATTTTTTTGCAACATGCAAAACATTCAACAATCATAAAAGCGGTGAGAACACAACGCCATATTTCTCAACAACCACCCTATAATTTCATAAATATTATATGATAATCTTACTCCGGAGCAAATTCTCTATCCAAGTATCTAAATTTTACTATATAAAAAGGCGTGGTTGTGATGCCGTCACAGCCGAAGTTTGATCCTGCGGTAAAAGTGGCCGTGTCAATTGCACTTCGGGCAGGAGTGAAAGGCACAGCCATTGTAAAGGCTTAAGGGGTTTCCAATGCCTATATTTCCAAAGTTCGACGGGATCTACGCTATCAAGATATCGAAACAAATGATATAGCACCTGTTAAAGGTCGTCTAAAGTCAATTCATCATGCCGCAATGGAAGGACTTCGTGATTTTATGCTAGATTGGCCGACGGCGCGGCTGGATGAGTGCTGCGATTTTCTCCGCGATGAGTTTGGTATTAACGCTCATATATTAATAGTCTCCTGGGCACTTAACTCTATGAATGTCACGTACAAACGGGTAACCAGAGTTAACACCAGGCGAGACGATGAACTTGTCGCTTCCTATATAGCACAGATGGCCAATTACACCAGTAATTAGCTGGTAACACTTGATGAAAGCGCCGTAAACAATAGAACTATGGATAGAAAGTTTGGCTGGTCAGCCCGCAACACTCTATGCTGAGTGTAACTACCAGGTGGCCGATCTACCAGTTGGAGCATTTTACCTGCGATGATAACAGATGGGTGGCTCACTTATGAGGTCTATTAAGGCTCTTTTAACGCCGAACGATTCGAAACATTTCTCCAAGGAGTGCTTAACAAGATGAACCCCTTCCCAGGAGATCATTCTGTTTTGATCATGGACAATGTAACTATCCACTGATCTGATAGAGTTAAGCGAATGTGCGAGGAGCAGGGCGTCATTCTTGAGTACTTACCTCCATATACTCTAGAGCTCAATCCAATTAAGATGTTATTTCACGAGTTAAAGGAGTGAATGCGAAAGAATAGAGAACTAGGCTATTATTATGAGAATAGCTTTGATACCTTCATTTATCTAGTAATGACTAGTGTCTGTGAGGTCGAGATAGCTCATAATTACTTCCGCAGATGCGGCTATATTTAATGAGGCATAGTAACTAGTAGAGAATAGATAAAAAAAGAAGGGGCTATAGGTATCTTATCCTGTAATAATAAGCCTAGTCTATATACCTTAATCTGTCTATTCTTAAGGTTATGCAAATATAGCTACCACGTGATCACGCTAACTATAATTAGCTAAGCCATATGCCATAATAGATATAGTGTGAGATAGTAACACGCAAAATAATTCTAACACCACACCGAGTTATGTAATAAGCCCTCATTAACTGCTATTCCCTGACGATATAACACTTACCGGACGTCCATTTATACTATCATTAAAACTGTCTCCACTTGTTATAGCTAAACGCGCAAATTCCTTGAGGTTATTGCGGATTTTAGTCACAAAACCAGCCGGAACAGTCATAGCCTTTCAATGTTTATCTGTATATATTCGTAGATTAGAGAAGCCCCATCTATGATCCGCAACAGAGAGCTTAATCTCTAGTAACTTGGACGCATGAATAGGATATTTAGTCGCTAGCTAATTAAAGTACTCCTACATGTTCTGATTATCGTCACTCTCTCGTTGTGGAGGGCTTAATCGAGGCCTAGTGACGGCGGCAGCAGCGGCGGCTGTCAACAGCGGAGGTTGATAGATGTGTGCGGGAGGTTATGCCAGGTAACTCGTCAACGAGATTCCTCCAATATTAAGCACGAACGGATGTATATAGTTTGGCGGGTAAATAGGCGGAGGTTAATGCATAGCATTATAGCGTTTCTCGTTCCTGTTCCGTTCTGAGAGAAGGGCCACCATGATCGCGTCTGGCACCTGGTCAGCCGTCACACTAGGAGCCTTCTTTGCAATCATATCGCTTTAACGCTAAACTAATGGCGTGAATAGAGGAAAATGCTGTCCTCCATGATCAACGTATAGACGAGAGTAATTCTTGCAATTCTTTAACTTGCAATAATGTCTCTTTGAGATATCAAGGAAGCTTACTCCGACGGCGGCCTCTTTTTGTGCCTGGAGTTATTTTTCTTCTCGCTGTTGTTATGTTGCGAAGATTACCTTACCCTTTAACCTTTTATTCCTAGCCTTTTCCTTGCGATAGCGACGTGTTTAGGTTAAGTCAAGATGACGGCTTAAGGAGACATTATCATGAGATAATGACGATGTCAAAACGTCCTCACTAAATGAGCCATGTTAACTAGTTAGTTGACGTCGTTTTGGCTTCTCAACAATCGAGTATACTAGTGCCAAATGCGCACTAAGTTTAGTCCTACTTTTACGGCCATCTTTTCGAGCATGATGAAGCTCCCACCACTTTTGATAGGCCTTCTCAAAGTGTTCCTAAGTCTTTATAGTCAAGGAATAAAGCTTTTTATTACCTTGTTTAATTGTGAACTCGCCCCCGAAGATAGGGAGACATAATTCATGAGTCTTTCGATTGTAGTCGTTATATTGATACTTAAGTTAACCTTTATACTTAAGGAGTGTGTTGACAATATTAAAACCCCGACATAATACTTCCGTACTAAGGATCTTAACCTTCTTAATAAAGATTTCTATGGCGATATCATAGAAAAGTTTATTAATCTTAAATACTAATTCAATAGAGTCCGTATTAGTTAGGCTTAAGTCATTCTCCGCGGTATGCGGCGAAGTATTTGATTGATAACCAGGTTACGCCGACAGAGGGGCTTGCATTAATGTCTCCCCCTTCTCTTTATCGTTTTCTCTAGCATTACTAGATATAGACGAGACTTTATCATCCTCATTAAGAAGATTTAACGCTTCCTATGCTTACGACATAATGTCCTCCTCAATACTTAGTCTCGGCGGCAACTCTGGCGACTCTGATGACTCTGGCAGGTCAGGACTAGCCGTTCGAGAGGGACGAGGGCTTAGAGACACAGCGCGACGCTTTGAACTTGCCCTATTAGCCCTTGTTGCAAGGCTATCGCTGTTGCTTTTGCGCTTCATGCGAGCGTTGCGAGTAACAAGGGTCTCGCGGAGTGATTGAGAGGCCAATGACTCCTGGAGTCGACGGGATGGAGTTATTGTGCGCCTTGTACGATTCGACATCATGTTTGTATGTAGTTACGATATATTGCAGTAAATTACAGTGCTATCTAGGGCTATTGCGGCTGCAGGATGAGTTTGTTGATACAGGCCATATGGCGGTGTGCAGATTTCATACAACTTGCAAAAAAATAAGGTTTTTACGGAATTTTGCAAAGCACAATATCTCAATCCTCGACATGTCTGTCTCTGTTGTTGTCTCACAAGGTATTGCAATACCACTCTCGCACATATCACTAATCACCGAGAATCTAACAAGATGAACGGGATCTATGCAATGAAACTGCATACTCTCGGAGATGGCGTATCCTCCGGAGTTCAACTTAAGCTCCTGAGGTCCGGTGCGGCGGGTGCCCCTTGAGATGTTTAAAAGGTTAGGGTACTGCGCATTGTAACGCCAAAAGGTACTTGATGGTCCCTCTCTCACCCCCTTACAACGGCACGGACTAGTATATACACAAACCGTCCAAACCTCAAAAAGATTCCGACTTTTTCAGCAACTTTTCACTCCATAGATTTTAAAAGGATGTCGTCCCAGAACCAACACCACCACCGCACGAGCCAGAATGACAAGAGCTCGACCAAGATCATCCCTTCCAAGGACATGGATCCCTTTCCGGACAACTTCTTCCCCATCTTCTTCCGCAACCAATTCCGGACCAAGATCGAACTTCCGAGCAAGTCACGATACCCCGACGTCGAGGGGTTATGTGGCATCATCACGGGGAGCAACACGGGGCTCGGCCACGAAGCGTCGAGCCAGCTCCTCTCACTGGGTCTGTCCCGCTTGATAATGGGGGTCCGTTCGATTGCCCGCGGCGAAGCGGCCGCCAGTAAACTGCGCTCCGTCAACCCGTCGGCCAGGATCGACGTGTGGGACCTCGACATGGAATCCTACGACTCGATCCAAGCCTTTGCGCGCAGAGTCGCGACGGAGACGGATCTTCCACGCATTGACTTTGTCATCCTGAACGCCGGCGTCGCACCCGTCACGTACACCACGACGAAAGCGACGGGCCACGAACAGACCATTCAAGTCAACCACATTGGGACGTTCCTCTTGAGCACACTCCTCCTACCCACGCTCCGGAAGAAGAAGACAGTACGTGACGACTCCCGGGGGCCCGGGTCTGGTATTCCTGCGACCCTCACTATCGTCAACTCGGTGACGGCACACCTGGCCAAGTTCCCCAACAAGGACTCCCGGCCACTTCTCCCTTCATTCGACGACCCCAAAACCTACGACCCGCAAGAACGTTACGGCGTCTCCAAGCTCCTCAACCAACTAGCCACCGTCAGGCTTTGTGGAATGGTCGACCCCGACGATGTCATCATCAACATGGTCGACCCGGGCTTGACGAAAAACACGAACCTGGCCCGAGACGCCAAGGGTGCCCTGGCCCTCGCGGTCAAGGTGTTTAATGGCGTGGCGGGTCGACCACTAGACAGGGCCGCTTCGACCTACGTCTCCGCGGTTTTGGGATACGGGAAAGAAAGTCACGGATGTTTCATGATGAATGGCAAGATCGCACCGTGAGTTCTACGTCTGTCTCTTTTCAGTTTTTTCCCTCCCTTCCCTCTTCCCCCCTTTCATCACTTTTTCTAAACATTCAACGTACTCCGTAATGAATCAATTCATATAATCCGTAACTGACAGTCTGTCTAGCCTCTCTCGTTGGTACTATAGTCCCGAAGGAAAGACGATGACAGACGTCATTTGGAAAGAGACAGCCAAGGAACTCGAGTCTGTTGTAAACCTCGAAGACATCGTTGCCTCTTTGAAGCATCAGTCTTGAGAGATCATGATACTCAGGCAAGAGAAAATGACCCAACCAAGTATCGATCATGCTCTCGGGAGGATTCAGTCCCGAGGACGGTGTCAATTGCCCGAGGCCCGACAGACGGCAACATGTATACCTGTCTAGATAGGTATGGAATGGATTTTGGAGTTCAATCGAGACTGGATCGAGTGCAGCGGAGATCTAAAAGTGTCGAACGAAGATTCCATACTCAAATTACCATCTAGGTAGGCATAGATACCTAGGTATCTTACTGTTGTAATCATGTTTCATCATGTCCGCCCTCTTGCTGCATAGTAGGCCAACAAGTCATTCATTAAGTCTCAATCTGTCGACTCCAGGGTCCCATCACAAAGCAAACCACATCGAGATCGCCATCCAATACCAAACACCTAACAACACACCGACCCATAACGTAGACGTATTCAAGGTGACAGCACGCGGTAGAACACAACATAACATAACGACATGTCCAAACGTTTCATCAAAGTCATTCTATTCCATATGTGTCTGTACCTGGTATTTGAATGACAAAGATTGCATTTTGCCCAGTGTTCCAGGACAGACTCTTATCATTCATTCACAAGAACCTGGCCCAAAAAAAGCGTGACCAAATACCTTCACACATATCATCGTTTCTTGATCTCCGTTGCCCAACCATCAATGCCGTCACCTTTGCTACCCACCGTAACATCAACAGTTACAGTCTCCATTCCCTTTGTGCCTTGCATGAATTCAGAATTCGCCATGCCACCAGCATTCGCTCGTGCTTCTGGCGGCAACTGGAGCATCGGTAACAAAAACTCGCTGATCTTTTTGGAATCTTCCACTGAGAAGTGATACTTTTCTCGAAGCACGTCAGGTAAGGCCCAGTGTCGTAAGCGGTGGATGTTACGGAGTTCCCCTTTGCGGCTAAAGATCTCCTGTGACCATTTGCCAGAGAGACACAGGGACTTGGGGAATGGCCCGAGAAGCTCGATGATCTGTGCAATATGATCGTCGTCTTTCCCGTACTTTGTACCGGATTGAGGGTCGAATAAGTAATCACCAGTGATCAACTCAAACACCTTTAGAATCGTCAATATAGAGTCTTCGTAGTTTCGACTTTGGTACTTACCATGCATGCCATACTCCACACATCTGTACTCGCACCCCATTTCGCACCCAGTATCACCTCCGGTGACCGATACTGCCTCGTTTGAATGTCATTCGTGAAGTGATGATTGACCCAGCAGGCGTTCCCCAGATCCGCTATCTTAACCGAAATTATCTCGCTTGCTGGCTCGTCTTCATTCTTTGCGGCCTTCAACACTTTCTCCGCATCGCTAATTTTCTTATTGTCAAGCGAAACACCGGCCAGGTCCTTCTCAAGTGGATCGGCTGTCCCTTCCCTGGTCTTGGATGACTCTTCGCTGTCCTTCCCGTCTTGCGACCTTAGCTTCAGTTGCTCGATCATTGACAACCCCTCTGTTGACTTGTTGGCAACCGAATCGTTGATGACTTGATTCAGGCTGCTCGCTTGGTGATGGTGCGTGTTGCCTAATTTATCTAAATTCGTAAAGCTCGCATTCAATGGGCTGGGTAGAGGTTGGCTACCAGTGATCAGAGTTCGCCTTCGTCTGCGGCCGTTCCGGTTGTCGTCTTTTGTAGAATCCTTTTCATCCTTTACAAAAGCCTTGACGATCTGTTCGACATCGCCGATCTCAATCAAGACGTTTTCTGGCTTCAGGTCGGTATGAATAATACCACATTCGCGATGTAAATAATCCAGACCCAGCAAGACCTGTTTGGTGATTTGTTTGACCAAGGGCATCGGGATTCCACGATGGTTCCATCTCTTAATCAGACCGAGCAAGTTCTCTCCCAAGACTTCAAAAACCATGCATACATGCACGCCGTTCGGGCCCTTGTGTTCGAAGGAGTCGAGAAGGCTGACGACGTATCGGCGACCAGGATGGCTAGGGTTGGCCTGATTGACCTTATTTAGAAGTTTGATTTCATCGATAGCGGTCTCTGTGTAATGCGCAGCCGATCTGACGACTTTTAAGGCGACATGTTTACCAGTGGTTGTATCTCTTGAAAGCCAGACGGTTGAAAAATGACCCCATCCAAGTTTTCGCACCACAACATATCTACCATTGTTGTATGTCTCCCCTACATGCACAGGATGGTAACCACCCTTGCAGTAGTCTTCTGAATCCTCTTCGTCGGCCGTGGTTTCGGCGGGGTCCTCCTCGGACGTGGATGATGAGGGTGATCTGTGAGATTGTGAGTTATTGTTTGATGAGACTTTGCTGTGTGGTAGAGGAGAAATCATGGTTCTGAGGGAGGACAATCAGTTTGGAGGCCGAGTGACGCAAGGCTTGGAAGCGATCCATGCAAGAAATGGAAGATACGGGCGCAGCGCAAAAACAGGACAATCAATCAGACTTACTCTGCTTCGACCTGAGTGGGGCTCTCGTGAAGAGAAGAGGACGCGTTCTCAGTGGTGATTATGGGCTTGAGATTGTCCCCTTTCCGTCGTTTCTTCTGGCCGTTACTGTTGTTTGCAGCGAGCGCTGCAGTGGTCGCAACTTTCTTCGCAGGATTGAGAACGGCGTTTTTGATGTCAGTACCGTTCATCATGGCGTACACAGCTGCGTTCGCGGCCAACAGTGTGTTGGGGTGGACAGAGACTGGTCCCTTTGCAGGGCCAGCTTGCGATCGGTGTGAAATTGTGAAGGATTGTAATGATCTGAATTAGAATTGGGAAAGTGAATAGACTCGGGGCGGGCAGCCGCAATGAGCGCAGCTGGCCTGGCGCGTTTAGGGCCTAGTAGTGGCCGCAGATAGATGGGCACCAAGTGGCAGTCTTGGGCTGGCACCGTCGCTGACGACGATGAGTGGACCTTGGGCGGTGGGATGCGATCTGATCGGGCTTCGGACCACAGCACTACCACGAGTGACTCTTGTTATAAGAATGCTGACGTTCCCTCTGTTTACTCCTTTCTCTTGCCGCTATGCACCTAAATCTATGGTTGACACCAAGGAGGGACAGAAGTCTGCCGGCTGCGCTTCGGTGGCGGCGGCTTTTCTAAGTCTTCCAGTGAAAGGATTGTGCGCAGCGTGTATCGGGATAAAGGATGTGATTCGCGGGCCAAAGAGGATACCCAACCATGCGGGCGGCGGCTAGTAGATCGAGGACATGAAGAATTTGTGATCGACTTGAGGTTGGAGGCTGAATGTTCCAAGGTCTGGATATCTGAAACTGTGTATAGCGATCCGAGCAGGACGGAGTTGAACGGATGGTATTGAGAGGGTCTAAAAAGGCGGGCGCAGGGTGATTCGAGAGAGCGAAATGGCAGAAGGCCGCCGCGAGATCGATGGAGGACAGAGAAAGGTGAGTGAGGGCGACAGTGATATCAATACTGGACTCGGTTTGACAGGTTATTGGAATCAGACTGGGATGTGATTAATCAATGGTGGGGTTTTTTTGGACGATTGCAATGGTGATGTATCTCAAAATCCAAAATGGACAAGATGGAGATAGAGGCTCATGGAGGAGAGCAGTTGCTACTGTCTGTACTATCGAATAGATTCAAAACACCACAAGTCCCAACAAGAACCATCGATGTGACATTGATCCAACTCTGTTTCCCATCACATCCGGCTTTACCATCAAGCGTTGCGCTCTATCTACAAGTCAGTGCTTTGTGTTGGCTCCTTGGAAAATGATGACATAGCGACAGAAAGGCGCCACTTGCGACATCCCAAGCAAGACTCGGATTTCCCACGGAAGAGTTACTGAGGATACTACCTACAAGCTACCGTAGGTATGCATGAAACTAATGGCTTCATTCATCTCAAAGGATTGTTGTGCCTGGTAAGGTCTATCTTCGCTCGAACCAAAGTAAAGTCTGATGAAACGAATACGGCCAGTGTGTGCATCTGCTTGTTCAAGCTCCAAAGTAATTTTCTTGCACCCAGCCGAATTCACACCATCGAAAAACATGAGTCCTCAATTTCCAGCTTCTTTTCTGTGATTAATGCACCTCACTCCCTCGAGGAGACACCAGGAATGTTCAGGTTGTCTGAAAGACAACTAACTTGAGCCATGGGTCTTTTCTCGCCGCCAGATTCACCTTTTGCCCCTCCATCGTTCCTCTACCAGCTCATCTTCCACCCACTAACCACCTGCTTCACCGTCTTTCACCACCTCCTCGTTTACTTGCGCGGACCTCCATATGTTCCTCCTAAAAACCGCGTTCCAATACGAGTGGTATGCATTTCCGACACACACTCCAAGATTCCTCCTTATGCCCTCCCAAAGGGTGACCTCCTCATTCACTCTGGCGACCTGACGAATACGGGCACCCTCGCCTCCATCCAGCAATCTATCGACTGGCTCAAGACACTGCAGAAACCCTGGTACGGATCCTCAGACGGATTCCGACACATTGTCGTCGTAGCCGGCAATCACGATAGCTTCCTCGACGAACGCAGTCGCAGTGCTCATGACAGACGCAATTCCCGCCGCAAACTCGACTGGGGTAAGATCATCTATCTCCAGCATTCAGCTGTTACCCTCCCATTTCCAGATGATCGACGGTTGAAAGTCTATGGGGCTCCTCAAATACCAAAGTGTGGTGGGAAAGAGTTTGCATTCCAATACATCAGAGGTCAAGATGCTTGGACAGATACCGTCCCTGACGATGTCGACATACTAGTTACGCACAACCCTCCCAAATGGCATCTCGACCTCCCAGAAAGTGGCGGCATGGGTGATGAATACGAGTTAAAAGAGGCCTGGCGTGTAAAGCCCACACTTCAAGCCTTTGGCCACGTCCATTCGGGTTATGGAAAAGAGGCAGTGTGGTGGGACGAGGGCCAGAAATACTACGAAGAGTTCCTGGCAGCTGCATATAACAAACCTGCTGGTCAGCCCGCCAGCCATCGGTTGCCGCTTGCTGAACTATTCCACCTTCCACTCTTTATGCGAGGGCTTCGAATGCTCGCCGTTGATATGCAGGGTTTGCTCTGGACAAGGCTTTGGGGCGGAGCTCGCAATGGAGGTTACATGGTCAACGGCGCACTGACATATCAAACTTCTGAGAAGCTTTATAACAAGCCCCAGGTTGTTGTATTATAGTACAAGAAGAAGCTAAGATCAAGCGCCACACCTAACAAAGCTACATGAATTCAATTTTTCAACCCTCTTGTACTCGCTCGTCTCGGACAAGGCTGCACAAGGCTTAACTTCTGGTAGTGCCGATTCCCGGTTTAGTTGCCATGTGTAGCGCTGACAGCTCACTAAAGTTTCCCTGGTCTGACACTGACGTCTGTTCCTGACCAAGTCTCACCAGCCATCGCTACGAGTCGTAGGCCGTCCACTCCATTGACCACCGGCCTCATCGGGCACTACTACAATCAGACTACTCGACAGGCAGAACGAACCTCTGCTGTCGCCAAAACATAACCTCCAAGCAGTCTTCATCACTCCTTTGAACCAACCTCGATTATTCCAACATCCCGTCCACAGACAGATCGCATAGTGCCTCCTTAGAAAGGCAATGATGACCTAAGAGTGACCTCAGTAACATCCGCAGCTTTGGTCAACCGTTTGGAAATCTGCGACAATCTCCTCCTCAAGGCGCCAGCATCCTTCAACCTTTGGAATACTGTGCAAAGGGACAACCAAGTAGTGCGATCTCACAATGGGTGGTTGGGGTGCGTTGGTTCTCTTCTGTGAGGTTCATGTCGCATTCACTGACACTCACTCTAACAGGACTCTTCTTTCTCCTACTATTCCTCCTCGTGATTTTCGCTGTCGGTGGATGGGTTGGCTATACCCAGTGGACAGCGCGCAAACAGGGCCTGCCTGCGCCGTCTCTAAAATCATGGAAGACATATGTCCCCTTTATGAAGACGCAAGGCTCATCGAATTACCCTGCACCTCGCCACGCCGGACCTCTCGAATGGATCCGTGACCAAATCTCCAAGCTAGGCAACCGTCGCACTGCGCGCGGAGCGTATGAGGAGGCTGGCGACAGGGAGGCCGGATACGCCGGTGCCAGGCGAGGTCGTGGAGTCGAGGACGACGCTTGGGATACCCGCGTTGGCAGCGAAGACCCCTACGCACCTGGTCCTGGTTATAGTGGCTACGAAGAACAAGAACTTGGACTGGCGCCAACTCCTGGTCTGCAGAACGAGCCATATGGACGAGGTTATTCGGATGGAGCGGACAGAGGTCGGGCAAGTTCGCGACCCGGCGGTCTCGACCCTTTCGGTGATCAGCACGAGGCACCCAGCTTGAGGAGTGTGAGCCCCAGGCCAGAAGGAGATAGTCGAGGACACACCAAGGGCAACGCAAGTTTGGATACTCAGGGAAGTGGAGACGGAAATACTAGTCCGATTAGTACGAGGAAGAGTGTTTTCCGAGAAAACATGTCATGAGTTGGGTGGCCACGGGGTGAAGATGATGAAAAGCTAGGTATTTCCGCAAGAGGCAAAGCGAGTTGTACTCCAGATCCAGTCGAAAACGCATTGCGCCCGACTTCAACCATCAGGCAGGGTGGGCTTCTGTTTGGCTTGCATGCGAAAGAACTGGATTATTCAGATTAATGTCGATTACAGCACGAAATTTGGGGCTTGAGAGCGAACTTTGTACGCGTTGGATGAGAAAACACAGGGTCGGAGTTTCGGACCTGATTGAGTAGCTTTTCTTATGAGCACATTCTTCAAGTTGACATATTGCCTGTTTATCATGAGCATCGTTGCCAGCCCGTGGAAGCCAGGCTTGAAGTTCTAACAAACAAGCTCGACCACTCGCCGTCCATCAACACCTGAGGCCGGGATCTTGGTCATCTCGACCCATCCGCCTTTAGCCGGGGCGATGATCTTGCCGTCGACACAGATCAGCCTCCATTGTTCGTCGTCTTCATCGAACTCGATCCTCAGACCCTCGATATCCTCGTACGTGACCTTGGGGTCGGTGACGTGCTGACCAGACTGGTACGCCATCCCCAAGATGCGCATGATTTCCGAGGCAGGTTCAGGGCCGATGTGTACCAGATGCAGTGTACCATCGACCGGCTTCGTCGCCGGGGAAATCTGAAACGTTTCCTCGAGGTTCGAGACCAGTGAAGCAAGCACATAAGAGTGTTCGAGCCCAGCGCCCAGGTCTTTCCACTCTCCACTCCCATCATCCGCTTTCCTCCATTTCACCTTTCCTCTGTACTTGTGGTCGTCCTTGAGGAGCTGCTCGGCGGCCATGCGAAACCTCTGTAGACCGTGTCTGCGGTACTCTGTGGTGTCACTCAACCCCACAAGGCTCGCGTGTAGGCCCCAGCTGAACACAACCGCGCCGTACATGATACTCTCGTGGTCGTCGTCGTCGTCGTCTTCCGAGGCTGCTGCTGCTGCCGCCAGAGCGTCTCGGCCTCGTCCCTCGTCAACCACTAGTCTGGCGCCCGGGCTGAACCGAGCTTGAAAGGTCGGCAGTGACTTTGGAGGACTGCTCGTCAACATGGTATTCAGCGGGTCCCCAGCGACCCTTGAACTCCAGGCCAGCGCGTTGGCCGTGCCCATGGGTACGAGGGCAATCACCGGCTTGATAAACACCGACGGTAGTCGGGGGTCATTGCTGCTTCGGTTCAGTACAGAGGTGAGGGTGTCCACAATGTCCACGACGCCCCCGTCCCCCGAAAGGAGGATGATGGTCTGTTTGACTCCCTTGACAGCATTTGGCAGGAACAAACTCGTTGTCAGCTCGGAGATGGTTTTGGCTGACTTGGTCGTATGAGTGCTGTGCTTGATCTCGCGGTCGTCCAGGAAAGGTTTGAGCGTCTCGTCGTAGTATTGCTGGGCTTTCCTCTGGCCGGACAGGATCGAGATGACCACGTGAACCTCACGGTCACTGCGTAGGTGAAGAGGTAGATGGATCGCAGCAGCCATGCTTGTCGTATGAGATGTAAATGTGAAGAGAAGGGTCTCAAATACTCCGCGTGATATTTGATGGTGAACCGTCCCGGTGTTCAGTAGGTTTCACTGTGCGACCTCACGATGAAGCCATCCTACGGGTATTTCGCTACCATTCGAAGAGTTGTTAATCTCTAGGCAAATGCTCCGAGGTTTCGCTTTACTTTAGTGATTTATTTCATGGAGATGTCATTCTTTCAGGATGTTTAACGCAGGTGTGTGTCGTTTTGAATACTCAGGCAACTTAAGGCTTCATACGACGCTCCGTCCAGGCATCAAATCGCCCTTTCGAGCAGGTCGCGCGGAATCACGCAATTTCTAAGATACCGCGATACTTCCAAACACCTCGTCTTACTTCTTCAGATTCCAGTTTGAAAGATTCAAAAGTGTCATCTGGGACAATTCTCCCGCTATCGATTTGGTATTCCTCGGACAGGATTCCAATAGCTATCCGCTTTATGCATCTTATGCGTCGTCGTGTTCCAGGCTCGCTATCATCCCCTACTTGCCAGGATATTGTTACTTCTAACCAGAACATCCTCTTGACCTTCTCAAGCCAGGCCAATTCATTACTCTGATCCAACACGTCTGCTTTTTTCCCGCAATGAGATGCGATATATTTATTGTAGGCTTTTTGCCAGCATAATTGCCTAGTGCAATCCCAAGGTAACCATCCGAACAGACCGGCCTCGGTGTGAAGCATGAGTTCAACAGTCCGTATTGGTCAGCTTCTGGTCCCCCTCTATGTGTTGTCTTGCATTGGTCTGATATCGTCCACCGTCTCCAATAGGACCACGTCGACCACCTGGAGGAGCTATGATGCAGCTAAACAGTTGTGTAGTGGAGGTTTACGGACAAGACTGTGAATAATGTCGACCCAGTACCGTCAATGTACCTCTGATGTCTTTTCCCCTCTCCATCCACTGAACGTTGTCCGTGGTGCCTGTCCTGATCATCGTCTCTGAGCAGACAGTTACTTCTAAGGAACGCTCTTGAAATTGAAGACAGATATACTGTCAATCTGTATCAACTGAGCTTTGTTGCTGCTAATCTTCCAGAGGCCCTCCCCAGAGGCCGCCATATCGAGCAAAAGAGACCTGACCGGACACCGCAACTCTACGCAAAGGTGAAGCTTTGATGAGTGTGAAGATATACGAAACTACTCTCTAAAGTCCACTTTCAGCTCTCCACCACTAGGAACTGGGATTTCCAGTCACTCGTACCGCTATACCATAGTCATGGACGGCGGGAATGGCTCGAAGGTATCTCGACTCCCCGCTCATGTCACCGTCAATGAGTTCGTGCAAAGACAGTACGACTACATCATTTGCGGTGGTGGCACTGCTGGTCTGACTATTGCCGCTCGTTTGACCGAGGACCCAAATGTCACTGTCGGTGTGATAGAAGCGGGCTCGAATCATCTTGGGAACCCTCTCGTCGACACTCCCGCTGCGCTCCTAGAGATGCTCAACAATCCTGAATATGACTGGTCTTTCCGCACCACCCCTCAGGTAATCAATCATTCATCGACTCTTGCTCATAAGGTTCGAGGGCGCGGGCGCCCGCGCTGACTGCTCAACGGTAGGCAGGAAACAAGAATAAAGTCCACCATGTTCCGCGAGGAAAATTGCTCGGTGGCTCCAGCGGTATCAATTACATGATGTATGTGACCAAGACTACTCTATTGTGCCTCTGTCTCTCGCTTGCCTAAATTTTCTGACTACGTGTGAAAACCAGGTACGTACGCGGGTCAGATGAAGATTACGACGGCTGGGCCAAACTTGTCAATGACCCGTCCTGGTCTTCCTCCAACATGAAGCATTACATGCGCAAACATCAGACGATCGAACCCGTGGACGAGCGCGTCACCGCCGACCGAACATGCATGCCCTGCGTCGCCGAAAACCACGGCACTTCGGGACCCATTCACACTTCCTTCAACGACTTTCGCCTACCGATAGAAGACGATGTCATCCAAGCCGCCGAGCAAGCTGCGGGAGTCACCAAGAAACCAACCGATCCTTGGTCGGGCGACCACATGGGCTTCTACAATACCCTCGGGACCGTCACACGCCGCACGGGTCCTGACAAGGGCAGACGCTCCTACGCTGCAGGGGGCTACTTCCGACCAAACGCGCAACGTCCGAATCTCAAACTCATCACCGAGTCCCTCGTCTGCCGGGTGCTCCTCGACAACACCAACACCGTGGCGAGGGGCGTCGAATTCCGAGACAAAAGCGGCGCCCGGCACACCGTCGTGGCCACTCGCGAAGTCATCGTGACCGGTGGCGCCATTAACTCACCCCAGATTCTCGAGCTCAGCGGGATCGGCGACCCGAAGATCCTCCGTGCAGCAGGCGTTGAGTGTCTCGTCCCGCTGCCCTCGGTCGGGACGAACTACCAAGACCACGTCGGTTCCGCAGTGACGTATCAACTCACTCCCGGCAACATGTCAGGCGACGCCATGTTCATCCCCGAGGTGATGGCGGCGGCGCAGAAACAACTCGTCGAGGAACAGGGCGGGCCCCTGACCGCCGTCCAGTCCGTCCAAGGGTACTTTCCCGCCTCGACGGTGCTCGAGCCCGGCGAACTCGACGAGATTATCCGGTCCATCGAGTCGGCCGAGCCGGCTACCGACTTCCAGAAGAAACAATGGGCCCAGGTCGCGGCTCACGTCAAGGACTCTAGGTCCGCCAACCTCCAGCTCATCTTCCTCAACGCCACCGTCAACCTGGCCGATGGCGCGGGCGACCAGAGCAAGCTCATGGCTCCTCCGCCGCCCGCGGACCCTGGAACGGCCGCCCCCAACGGCATGAGTCTGGGCGTCAGCCTCCAGTACCCCGTGTCCCGGGGCCATGTCCACATCAAGTCGTCCGACCCGACCCGGCACCCCGAAGTCAACCCTAACTACCTCGCCCACCCGGCCGACGTGGCCGTCCTCGCCGCCGGGCTCAAGTTCGTCGAGACCATGGCGCGACGCTCGCCTGGGCTGCGGGGCAAGCTGGGCCGGCGCATAGGCCCCCCTCCCCAGGTCGTTCCCTCCCTCGACACCGCCGGCGAGCGCCGCGCCGCCGTCCGCGAGTTCTGCATGGGCGAGTACCACAGCTGCGGCACCTGCGCCATGGGGGACACGGTCGATCAGAGGCTGCGGGTCAGGGGCGTCCGGAACCTCCGCGTAGCCGACGCGTCCATCTTCCCCAACAACGTGTCGGGAAACATCTGCGCCACCGTGTACGCCGTCGCCGAGAAGGCGGCCGACATGATCAAGGAGGACGGTAAGAACGACAACAACGGTTCGTTGAAGGCGAAGTTGTGAGAGTCGGGAGAGCCCTCTATCTACCTTGGGCACGAAACCCGTAGCTTTAAAGCAGTTAATCACCTAGTTGATTGAAGCGCACACCGTTATGAAGTTGAACGACAAAGGGTGGTGCTTTTCTGGGGTGACACTCCTTTTCAAATTGCAATTCATGGGTGGACAGCACTCGTACACGAGGTAATCACATAAAGAAATGCTAGATGAGAAGGTCAAGGACAGGAAATCTTTTGGCGTGTCTTTGCAAAGCCTCCTTGTATGGGCTGCATAGTCAATCATTATTAATCCTGAAGACGCAGAACATCTCACTGGCTAAACGTTACTGCTTATGAGGGGTAGAGACCCGAAAAGCTCCCAGCAAATAACCCAGGTGCCGGAAACGCCTAGCAAACGACGAAATGATATATGCCATATTCGATCGGTGTATGGAAAACTCGCCCCATCCACCTTCCCTGGTCGACCAATGTTGTCCGAGAGTTTGGCTCCTCCAGACCAAACCCAACTACTGTCTCGAGAAGAACACGGTGCTCTCCATACAAGTGATCTTTTCCTTATCGACGGTATTGACATCGGCCAGAACAGTATACTTTCCAGGTGGTACCTGCTTGGGGATATCGACTTCTTTCTTCAACGTCAGGACACCCTCTTCGATCGGGCAGGACATGTCGATTTGAGGCAAGTTGTCACACAGGTCGGCTTCTTGTTTGATCAGGGTGATGAGGCCGTACTTGACTTGGAGGAAAACCGTGGCGCCGGGCTCGATGTCTTTGTGGAAAGTTCCGTTTGCAGTGATGGTCAATTTCTCTCCTCTGTGAGGTCCCAGATGTTAGTAGAAGCTCAAACGACAAGGTAGGCAACAAGATGGTGAAGATTGGGGGTGACGTACGGTACGGGGGGGTTGGGCGAGAGATGAACGTAGTCAATTTCGAGAATATAGCCCTTTGGATCGGCGCAGAACTATTGAGCATAGGTGGTCAGTTGTTTTCTGTCTCGAGATCAAAAGGTCGACTAGGAGCTTACGTTCAATGGGTTCTTGCCGGGGACGGGGTTTTCAGGCTCATCGACGAGGGCATTTTGCTTGCCGCCGACGGTGAAGAGAGATCTCGACGAGGCGACACTGGCGGTGAGGAAGGACAGGATGACAGCTGAGACCTTCATGGTGTCGAGAGACGGCGTACGAGTAGACTGTCGACCACACGTGCAAAAAGTTCGCTGATATCGACTAGATCTGGAATGAGATCTCTTATCTTGAGAGGGAAAGCAAGATACGGGTAAATGTGAGGCAATGAGGTTTGGGATGAGAGTGGATTGTGGTGTGGCGCAGGTCGCAGGTCACCAGGTTCTCTCGTCATTCGTCACTAGTTTCACAGAGAGTAATTGCGTCACCGAAGCTCTCTTCGTTTTTGGTATTTATGATTCACCAAATCATATTGCTGACTAAGACTGAAGCGCCCTCGTACTCGTACTGGAGAGTCCGGATAACTGTAAATCTCCTCCTCGCCTTGGCTTCATTCCATTCCGACGAAGAAACCACCTTCAAACCCTCGTCAGAGACCATCATGGTCCTAAAACGAGGTTATGGGCGCAATATCTGACTTGTCTCTTGATTTCTCATGATCATGAACCGCGAAATCTACTTCCCCAGATCGATGTTCGAGTAAGCGAAGTAGTATGTGGTCAGCAATGTCACGCAATCTGGATCTGACTAGCCAAGGATGCGGGCAAATTCTTGTTTGCACGTTGACCACATACATATTCGATGGACATTCGGAAAACATGGAAAACATCCTTTCATTCTAATCATCTCTTCATCAGACCTTGGACCTCGGTCAATTTTGTTTTCTCGAAGAGCTCATGATAACCTAATAATTGTCCTCTTTGACGGGGCGTACGGTAAGCCAAGAGAAAAACTTCGCAACGATTACCGCTTCCGACATGCATATCAAAGGTACAAATGCCCTGAGTATTCTCGCGTATATCAAAAACAATGCTACAATATTCTAACTAGCTACTTACCGACATTTTAACGTGATGGACAAGGGTCTTTCGCCAGTTGACAGCCCTCCAAAGTGATCATGGCCAGGGACAGGTTGGTCTGACGTGGACGTGGGCCCGAGGCTGAAGTTCCACAGATCACTTGGTTTGATTTTCACGATCGCTGTTCCTGGACACTGCTCTGGCGATCCTCTGACTACCGCCTCGAATACCGAGGGTGGAAGACACCTTGTTTTCTCTGCTTGGAGCAGGCAGATATTTCTTCCATCGCGCCAATCGAACTCACTGCCGTTCTTGAGGTCACCCACTGCCGACTTTCCTAGTCATGGTTTAACAGCAGGCACTGTGCGTCTTCCGACAGAGTCTCCGAAAGAGCTCGGTAATTCATCTTTTTCCTGGTCGGATGATCAGTTTGAAGCTTCAAGAAGACCGCCTGCAACTCCCGAGCGGTGCGAATCTGTACTGGATGTCCCACCACTGATTCCCGGCACAATTGACGGGATTCGGCACGGTTGACTACAGTATACTTTTTACTACATCTATACCCCATATTTTCCTACTCCAAACAGCCACTTGAGTCATGGCTTGTTTTCGTAACACCTTCTATTCTCCGCAATGTTCGAAATGCGGGACGCTATATTTCAATCCGAACTATACCCCACGGCAATATCTCCAGAATTCCAACATCTGCCCTGAAGTCTATACGAGCTCTCAACAACAATAGTATCGACCGCGAGAGAGAGTCTGTTCGTCGAGTACAATTTCCCCAACCAGGCCCCACCCCCGCTAGTTCCACCCCAAGTCTAGCAGAGGGCGAGGGCATATTTGCATCCCTTGCAATTACGTATGTGCTGTGGTTTGCTGCTGGGTCCCAAGTTCGAATAGAACTATAAGTACTGAAGCAATGTCCGATCTCGCGCAGGGCGGGAAGCAGGTAGGTCTGTAAACACATTTCCAAGCCAAAAATCATCTTTCGTTGGATACCGACCATGGCTCGACTTGCAAGCGCCTTGTTGCTTGCACAGACCCTCTTGCTATCATGCCTAGTCGACGCTCAACAGAAACCTCAGGCCCTCGGGACCAGGAGGTCGTTCTACACGGTGCCCAGTACCATGCAGATTCCTGTGGTGCAGTCCACCAAGTACGGCCAGACTGAGCCAGGTTACATGTTCATAAACGTCCTCAACAGGACCGCGCCATGGATCACACCAATGATCCTGACGGACGATGGGGATCTGGTCTGGTACAGTACAGAGATCTCGTTCGGGCCGCTGAGACCGCAGACCTACCAGAACAAGACGGTCTTGACGACCTGGATCGGTACCACCAACCCGGAAGGACTAGGCTGGGGTCAAGTCAACATGTTCGACGACACCTACACCTTGATCAAGAACGTCACACTTCAACCCCCGAACTTCCAGACCTTCGACCACACGAAATACTCGTCCTACGTCGATGTCCATGAGAGCCAAATGACCACCGACGGATCAATGTTGGTCATCGCGGTGAACATCACCACGGCGAACATGTCCTCCGTCGGCGGCCCGGGGCACGGATACGTCATCGACGGCCAGTTCTACGAGATCGACGTCGCCACCAACAAGGTTCTCTTCTCATGGAGTGCCCTGAACCATAGCTCTGAAATTCCGCTGGACGACAGCGTTCTACCCCTGACGACCTCGATCTCCGGGAACGGAACTTCCTTCGAGGAACCGTGGGGCTACTTCCACATGAACTCGGTGGCCAAGTATGGCTCCAACTACCTCATCTCGGTTCGCCTGCTTTGCAGCATCTTCCTGATCGGACCTCAGGGTAACGTGATCTGGAGGCTTTCGGTAAGTTTTGCTTCTCCTTTTGTATATAGCAGAGAACAAGACCTCCAGAAACACACAGTACAGCTTGGGCTAATGTTCTCTTGCAGGGAATGGACGGAGGTGACTTCAGACTCGGGGCGAACACCCACTTCTGCTACCAACACGACGCTCGCATTCTCCATCAAGACGCCGACAAGGTGACCATCACCATGCACGACAACGGCAACACCGAGTTTGACAACAACACCGTCACCAGGGCTCTTGCCTTGGACATCGACATGAACACCAAGCTGGTCACCGTCAATCGGACCATGCGCAACCCCAACGATCCCATATTCGCCGTCTCCCAGGGAAGTTACCAGACCCTCGCGAATGGCCACGTCCTCACCGGCCATGGAGCCTGGCCCGTCGCCGAGGAGTTCGACGCTCAGAACAACATCACCATGACTTTCCAGTTTGGCGATTCGTACGACGTGTCGTCGTACAGAGCCTACAAGGCCCCCTGGAGCCCCAAACCGGCCCACCCGCCCGTGGCGGTGGCCTTCTCCAACACCGCCGGGAACGCCACCACCGTGTACATGAGCTGGAACGGCGCCACCGATGTGGAGTCCTGGAACGTCTACGCCGGGGCCAACGAGTCGTCGATCGCGAAGGTGACGTCCGTGCAGAGGTCCGGCTTCGAAACTCCAGCTCACCTCGATCAAAAGTACGGGGTGATCCAAGTTGAAGCGGTAAGGTCAGACAATGGTGGTACGATGAACTCTACTGTGGTCAAGGTCACTGCTGGTGGGAAATAGATAGAGAGCGTGCGTTGTCCGAGATAGGGGGAGACAGAGAGAGTGTGTGTGGGTGGATAGGGGGGTAGGGTGTGTGTGGGTGTGTGGGTGGGTGAGAGACAGTTCGCAGTACGCAGGACGAAGTAAAAGTAATCCAATTGAGGTAAATTTAGAAGTGTTGCCTCGTATGTGAGCTGAGAACTTGAAAGACTCTCAAGCCAATAATGACAATCAGATGTATCAATTCTACGTACTTTAACATTGCACGGTTGTTTGTTGAGTGAGGATGTTTACCTTGTCTACCGAGTCTACGGGAATGGAAAACAAGAATGAGGTTTTCGACGACGACGACGACGATCTTTCTCTTCTTCGTGCCACCACACCCGCGCCCTTGTAGGTTCCTCTGAGCACTCGTGACTACCTACTTAGGTACTCAACCTTACCGAACCTTGATGCCGACCCCCTTCCCCCCACTCGGTCAAGTCCTCCCGGTCAAGATTCCCCGGTCTTCCCCCTTTCCCCGATCTTCCCCGTTCCAGGGTGGACAAATGAGTACTGTAGTATTAGTCTACAAGCTATAAAGTACTACCAAAGTCAAAATACCTATACTAGCACGGCGTAGTTCATGTCCCACAATCTTTCTTTCTTCCTTTAGTCATTGAATAATATAAGTTAGGGAAGTAATAAGACGATGAGACAAGACTTGGGAAACGATGTACGTATTGGGATTCGTCCGACCTATCAGACGAGATACTCGACACGATAGCCTGTGGATATCTATACAGAGTACATATAGATCGACCCTTTTCGATATCCGACATTTATAAACACGAACAGACACAAAACACACATGCTCGGCCCACTCCGAGGCCCTCTCTTTCTCCTTTTTCCCTCTCTCTTCTCCAGGGTCCACTGACTCATTCATTACTCAAGCAGTTGCGAAATTCAATGCTCCAGACTTGACTCTCAATCTCTTTCCAAAGAATTGTAAAAACACAATCAACAGAAAGGCGGCTCCACAAATGGCGGCTTGAATACCGAATGAGGTCTTTGTACCTTGTGCATTCGCCCATGTCACTTGGAAATATGAGATCTGTAAAAAGGGAGAAACAAAAGACGTTAGCGAAATTGGAAACAAGACAAGATACACGGAACAAAACAAAATAAAAGATTCCAAAAACAACAACAACAACAATAACAAAAACAACAGGTCTGACTTACAATGAAACCACCCGTGGTTCTACAGAAATTGATCCAAGAAGCCACTTCACCAGACGCCTCGGGGTAACTGTCGAGGTTGTAGGCGTTGAGGGCGACGGTGGTGATCATGATGCCAAAGACGTACAGGCCCCAAAAGACACTCGTCACCATGTAATGGAAGGCGTCCTCGAGGGCGAAACCCAAGCCGACGAGACCGGCGACCATGAAAGGGGTCGAGATCCAAATGGCCTTCAACCGGACCTCGGGCTCGAAGTGACCTTTATGTTTGTTGATGTAACTCGTGGCGATGAAGTCGTGGAGCCAGTGGCCGCAGACCTCGCCCAGCAGGGCGGCCACGATGGGGGTGAAGTAAAAGTAGCCGATCTGGAGGGGACCAAAGTTGTAAAGGGGCGTGAGGAAGATTGAGAGGGTGGTGTTGATTCCCACCACCCACGCGAACGTCAAAAGATAATAAAAGCACGAAATGAAGACGGTGGGTTTGAGGGCGACCTTGACGGGTCGCATGAGTGCCTGCCCTAGGGTGTTGCGGAGGCCGCGAGAGCGGAATTGCGCGGCACCCACAAGACGGGCGATTCTGCTGCCGCGTGCCGGTTGGGACGATGCCGGGATGCGACGGTCGTAGTATGTCTCGTCGACGAAAAGAATTGTCAGGACCAGACACAGGGCAGTCTAATGAAACGGTGAGAGAAACGTCAGTCAAAAGCTCATGTCCTTTCGGAGGATCGTTTCAAAGACGGATCCAAGGTCGTACTCACCTCGGCAATGTAAACTTCGAATGGGACTCGCCACGATTGTGTACTGATGATGAAGGCGGCAAACAAGGGACCAAAGTACGGGGACAGGATGATGAAGGCGGCCCAAATGTTGATCTTCCTGGCTCGTTCGTGGAAGAAGAACATGTCGTAAATGAACATCAATCCACCCCCTTGGGCCACGGTGCTGAAGAAGCCGTTCAGGATACGTGCGGCCATGAACGACTCGAACGACTGGGCCGCGGCGCACCACACCGCCGTCGCGGTGGCAAGCACGAGGAAATAGAACAGGACAGGGAGACGGCCGAAATACGCCGAGAGAGCGACGACGACGACACCGCCCGCCCCCAGCATGAAGACGTTGCCCACCTGCGAATGGTTGACATGGTCGGGGGTCATGTTCCACACCTGCGCCTGAGGAAGCAAGGTAACCGCACCAGTGGCACTGCCGTAGTCGGGGAGGAAGGACGTCATGGAGATGATGATGAGAATCAAGTGTTTCTTGAACCTACTCCAGTTCAGAGGGTCCTGGGGGTCGGAAGAAGGTTGAGGGAGTAGGATGGTATGACCATCGCGCGCTCGTTTGAGATTGGCATGTTCCGGGTCGGTCGCGTCGATGATGTATCCTTCTCTGTTTTCGAATTCGTGAAGTTGGGTCACATTTTCGATCGAGGTCGTGGGCTCTCCTATCTCCTTGTCTGCCTCCATGGTCATGGTGTTGGTGGTCTGTCGCTAAGTGTTTTGATGGTAGGGTGAACAGGACTTTTCTCCTGGAACAACAGGTCGAGAACCAAACGAACCGCAAAGGAAAAGTAGGGTAGAAAGGAGGACACTGCGCAGAATGTGCGAAAAGCTCTGGGGGGGAGGGTGATCAGTCAGTCTTATCGTTTTTTTGTCTCCATAGTCCGCTTTTGTAAGTAAGTCCACACGCATATTCAGGCGTCTTGATCTTATTGGAGCCTCTCGCCTGAAATGGGCAATACTCGCTGAACATCCTGCCTCTCACATGGCCCAGTATGCCCCCGGATAAGTGCCCATCGGATAAAACCCCACGCGACAATGCCCCATCCCAGGCGGCGGGCGGGCCTATCATTTAGGCAAGAAGAGCGGTACCCCGGGCAATCATGAAGCCTGGACAGGGCCGAAGCTCGGGGGCCCTGGCGCACTTTTGATGATTGATCGCAAAAGCCGAGCCCATGGACCGAAGCCACCGCAGCGAGTGCGATTCGTTGTGGGGGGTTTTGCTCTGGCTAATCTCACCTAGGAGAACAGATTGGGTAAGCTTCAGCTGTGAAAATGCGTTAGCTTTCGCTTATATCAGATTCTCATTTGTTGATTTCCCGGGGAATTCATTTCACGGGTTGATGATCAAGTTTCCATGTGGGTTTGATTCCGAGGATGCATTGCAAGTCCTTGAATCCATGACAGCCATGACGATGTGGGGTGAAAACGTTCGGAATGGTCACGACAGGAATGCATCGGAATGATCAGTAGGCCAAAGGCTCGTCTGGGCGTGATAAATCGGGGAGCCGGTTAAAGAAGCAAAGTCATGCTCGTGAAGTGTCCTTGTGTGACCGAGCTCGCCTGGGGGCTTGAGGGCTCGAGAGTTGGGAAAGAAAATGTCAGGTTCATCGCTGTCAAAGAGACAGATCAAGCCAGGAACCTAGAACATTCCTTGTGGGCTGTAACTCTTGTCGCTGTTTTTGTCTTGGTGTTTCGAGCACCTTCAGGTGTTGAGCTATGCGCGCGTGAGTGAACTTCTTATCTAGACAGGTATGCGATCCTTGGAAAACAAGAGAGACTAAGACAGCGTAATGGAATCCCTCTGAATTCATGATGTTGAATCGAGAAACTATAAGATAGAGAAATCTCTTCGACAATAGCACGAGTACTGTCTGCGTGGCTGAAGAACGCATGCGCATGTCTCGATCTGGTGTTTAGACAAAATGGTCCTAGGGATAGGTTTCTGTCAGGTCAACGAGACACTCCAGCCACTGAACCGATATAAAAGATACAATGAACGACGCGAAGCATCTGGAGCTGCGATATGAACAATGCCCTCGTTGTGAGTGGTGTCTGGTGTTTTCCCGATGGCAGCCCCTGCCTCTAGGTAGGTAGTTTTGGAGGCGCGACATTTGCTGTATCTTTGCACTAAGGACCATCATATCTCCTCTTTATGAAGATAGATACCTCGCAAAGATTCATCATAGCCCAGAACGATCATGAAATTGCGGCTTTTAGCATCGCCAAACCCAGCTTCATTCATCCATTATCGCCTTGTGAAATATCTCTCTTCTGATTGGCCGGCCACGTACAGCCAATAACTGCACCTCAAGAACGAATGATCCGCTGTAAAGCAGGTTCCGAGCTTTCCCAAGTTTCGTCAAGCTCTCGAACATCGACGACGTTGAACCTTGAAATCGAGACATTCCTTTCCAGCTTTCCCCCAACGCCCACCACAGCCCTAGTCCCGGCCGTCTCAAAAGCAAAGCCATAAAATGGCCATCTCACAAGAAGGCTTCCAGTCCTCCGGGCGCACTCCCCTGCGAGTTTACAACAAACAACCCACCTACAACACATATATTTCACCTTATGGACCCAAGTACGTTTTTCTCTGCCCTTTCTATACCAAAAGAATAGACCTCCCGATCCACGTACTGTCTGCTGCTCCTGCTCCTACTGCTGCTCCTACTACCATCACACGCGAAATTTGTAAATTCATGGACTAACACGTTCGTCACGACAGGACCAAGCACATCCCTAACCTAATGGGCCTGAGCTTCCCCAAGCTCCTGCGTTACGGTACAATCGCCTCCGGATTCGGTGTCGCCGCAGGTACTTTTGCCCTCTTCTTCTTCGGCGAGGTCCCCAAGGTTCGAAACGATATTCTTTCCAAGGTCCCGGTGATTGGTGAATACTGGGTGCGAGAGGTCCCTCCGGAGGACAATCCTTTCTAAGCACCAGCCAAGGAGGAACAAACGAAGGTGGGACAGAAAGAGTCGTTGTCTTCGTGGTGATGGTGTTGGAGAGAAGAGCGGGGCGCAAATTGTATATATCAATCATGGCGTGAACTTGGGAGACAAAGAGTTGCGAATTGAAGATATGAAAAGAGAAAAAAGACCAATCAATGCTTTGCTTGGGTGACATAACGTCAGGTAGTCCGTCGGTCGTACGAGTAGAAGCACTGCCCAAACAAAAACAATAGAACAAACCAAAGTTTCAGGAATCAAGAATACAGCATCAACACCAAGCCATGCTAAAGAGATCTTCGCTGTCAGTAGGTATGACCTGGCATACTCCGTACGAATATTAGAAACGTTTCGTGGAGAGGACATGAGGTTCCAAGCTAAGTTCGTGAATGCTTATTGGACTCGGGTCACGTCTTTTTGGTATCATATATACACAGCTCGCCAGGACTACGCATCTAGACAAGCGGTCTCTAAACTCTGTTACCACGCTCAAAGTAGACCCATTGACCAGTCGGTGCTTTCTCCTCGAGCTCTTCCCACCTAATGATTGATACATATATGCGTCAGTATAAATACTCTCAAATTCAGATTCGATACGGAGGATTTCGAAGCCAGTGGGAAAAAAGAGGAAACTTACGGTTGATGAACCAACATCTCGTCCACAAGCTCAAGTTCACCCTCTGCGACCTGGATGACTTCCTCGATCAACCCAGCCCCAATCTTGTTCTCGATAGTCTCGATCCTGTGGGAGAAGAAGATATATATCGTCAGCCAACAATGATATTATTTCTGTTGTTTCGTTGTGTTTATTCGCAATCGACTTGTCTCTCTCTCTCTCTCTCGCTCTCTGTTTTGGGGAGGGGTCAAGTGTAGATGAGGTGAAATGGAACATACTGCTCTCTCGTCAAAGGAGGTTCAACCTCCAAATCTTCGACCGTGGGCAATTTCCCCTCTGCGGCTTCCTTGTCGACGATCTGTACTTCGGCACCGACGGACTTGGCCTTCCTCTCGGCCTCGGCCATGCTGTTCGTGCCCTCCTGCAGCGCATCCTGCCGCGTGACGATGCCATCCCAGTTGTCCACTGACTCAACGTGCGCCTTTTGACTCCCCAGGCTCCCGTCAGCGTTCATGAATCTACCGTACGCGGCCGGGTTGGCTTCGATTTGTTTCCGCACCCGCTCGAGCCATTTTTCGTAGCCCTCGGGTCGTTGGGCCTCGACGATCTCGAGCCGTTGCTTCGTCAGCGCCTCGACCGACTGTCTATATACGGAGCTTTTGGGTATCTGTTCGAGTTTCTTGAGGGTTTGTCGGTAGGTGTAGATGAGAGCTGGTCGTGGGGACGGGTGGGTGGTTAGACCTGTCAGGCCCGTGGGTGTGTTGGGTTCGAGGAACTTTTTGGCCGATTTCACGGTCGCGAACAAGCGTGAGGTCGGACGCATGTTGGACAGCTTGGCCGGAAGTGCTGTGTTGGTTCAAGGGAAAGGTCTTTGCAAGCTGGTACTTTGTACAGGTAGAGGACGCTTCTTTGACGTCGGAGAAAATGGGGCTAACACGGCGAAGAAGTACGGTGGAGCAAATTTACGCTAGACGGAGTGAGCTTCGCCGACCATTCTGGCCATAACATACCAAGCACGGAGTATGAGAGGGTGAGGCAATGGCTTGCAATCCTTTTAGCGAGGGAAACGCCGTTCGATCCATATCTTATTCGGATAACTACGAAGAAATATGATCGAAAAATATGCCAGCACAATGCAGTTTTTTTGAAAAAATTCCTATATTTCCTCTTAAATCACTATGGATTGTGGATGTAGGTAGTGAGCTGTTCATGCCAGTGTACCTATCAGCCACGCACGCCCAATCTTCCGACTGACCTCTCCAGAGATGCTGATACTTGGCTCTTGGATATCAATGCTGGTGGCAAACATGCCGCAAACGCCTCGTAACACCAGTCTCCAATTGCCGCATGAGTTTGGCACAAGTAATCATATACATATCATCGAACCGAGCGCATTCAAGTCAAGTATGAGCCTGGCCCAATAATGACCTCCTCCCAGGATAGTCCTGTGTGCCAGATAACAAATTCCCCATACTTGCTGCAGGTTTATAACGTCTCACTCGCCAAATAGTCTTCTCACTCTTCGAAGTACACTGTCCTTTTCTGGATCATACGGATGATCTTTGCTTGGTATTTCCAGCACTGCAGGGAAAGGGTCCTGAAATTTGTCGACAGCCTCTCGTATTACTTCTGCGAGCTATGACAGGAGTCAGTCTTGCAGACTCAACAACTTGCCCTTTCCTTTGGATGACAAGACGTACATGTTGGTTTATCAAAACAATGCCAATGTCCTTTCGTTCTTGTGTAAATTTGTGGAAGGCTTGCTCTATCGTTGACTTCTCTGTTTTCCCGTCGCAAACAAGAAAGTTCTTCTGTGCATCTGGAGGATCGGTGATATGACCAACGCCAGCGAGTAGTAGTCCTGTGACAGAGCTGCAGGAGGCAATCGTTAGAGAGAAAACATGCAGGTGGCCCAGTAAGCTTACTCTTCATCGCCTATAACAGCTATGAATTGCCGGTCCTGGGATATGATTGTTAGATTGGTTCCCCAGGCATGGAAGTCCAATGTACCTTGTACGCGGAAGCCGGGGTGGCCATGGCGGGCAAGGCTTCTTAAAGACGAGCTGGATCTGTTGCTCAATGTCCTTAGAATTGATTCCAAGCAGTGACAGTCGATTTGTTTCAATATGGTCGAGCTTTAAAGTGCCATGAAAGCGGTTCGAGCAATGGGTTTTGCGGGAGAAATGACGATGTTGCAGGCGCAGGTGGAATTGAAGTGCAGTATTCTGTACCTGCAGCTTATCTTATCGAGATTCGATCTCTGAGTGGCTGCTTCCTTTGTTTACTAGGTCCAGAGTAATACAGTACCACTTTCTCCGCAGCCAGAGTCCTTGTCCTGCAATTCCTCACATTCTCAACCTCGATCTCGAATCCTCTTGGGACTCATCTCCCTGCGCAGGAGATGTCTATTATCGACTATTTTCAAGACACTCTTTCCTCCATACGATGCCCAAGTACGTGAGGCGTCAGCCGCTTATCGACAGAGTCAAGGCTTCCCTCAACCCTTACGACTTCCTTCTATGGCTTTCGGAAGAGATCGAATCAAACGGCTGGGATCAACTTGAGAAAGAATGGGCTACGCCAATCGGTGTCTTCTTGAATGTATTCTTCATCGTCGCAAGGGCGAATTCAAAGTCCACATCCCGCAGCTATGACGATGTGTTCGGGGATGTTCCACGAGTCGCTTGGACAGCATGGCTGGTAAGTTGAAGAAAAATGGTTTGGTATGCCATAGTAACCGTCGATACAGAGTAGACTCATAGTTCTGTTCTTGACCAGTCTATGCCTCTTGAATGCAGCCTACACATTTTCACGCAAGAAGCACTACCGACTCTTCGAGAATTCCATCGATACAGTTCCCAGCACTCCTTCGGCGAAGCGAGTACGAGTTGACTCTTCTCCTGTCTCTTCCTCCCCCCTACGATTCCTTTCTACTATCCTTGGGACAGAGTCGGCCCAGTCCAGAGCACATCCAGACCCGAAACGAGATGTTTGGGAAGTCGCAATTTGGGACCCTTTGCCTGTGTCGCTGCGCATTTTCTGTTACTTCAGCCCGGGTCATATCCTCATTTATTGGCTTTTCTTGCCAACAATCGCCTCTGATCCTCGACCGAGCGTCACCATCGTCGTCACCATGTTCCTCGCATTCCTTCTATCGGTTCAACTATGGTATCTTCAGTCAAGCTTTGCTACTCAGACCAAAGACACGGCGTTTATTTCGAAAGAGGTCATGCATGAATATGATACGAAATATGTTCGACCACGGACGCAGCCAATCTACAGGGATGTTGGCACACAGTTTAGTGAAAATGCCTCCTACAGCGCTGGCCGTGACGAGCAGTATAATACAGTGGAGGTGTACACACCAATGGTAGTCATTAATCGTGGCTTTAACACACACGCCAACGCAAATTACTCTCAGTATACTGATCCAGACACGGCGCTCTCGAGCAATTTACGACATCGTGTCTCTACCCCTGATCTCAAGTCCCCTGCACAAGCGATACAGCCGAGTTCTTCAGTAAGGCCGTTGACTGCCATGCGTCAGCCAAACTTTCGCCCACTTCCTGCTGGTGGTGATGGTGGGAGCCTTGGCGTCTATTCACATGCTGCATCTCCTCTCAGAAAGAGTACTTCGAGCAATTTCGCACGGGAGCGTCTCACTCAAAGCCCCGAGAAACGATCGATCAGTCCTGATAAGCGGATGAGTGTGCCTGCTGGAGGAATAAACACAATTGCCGCATCTCAAAGATGGGGACATTTGAAGCCCGATAGACATCGAAGAGAGAGCGGCCGTTTCTAGCTAGTATATCAGAATCCAGCCTCGTTTTTACAATGGCCACGTCAACCCCTTCTCATTCTGTGGTTCTCACGCTGGCGCTCGGTCGTTCCTTCTTGTTAGTTGGGCACGGCCTATCATGTAGTTGGGTGGTGAGACATCTGGATCTTGGAATACCAAATTTCATGGGGCGTTGTCCTCAGCACCAACCTCGTGCACAGACCTGTATATGCCACCACCATATCTCATATCACAGCAACCACTCTTACGGTTACTATGCCATCTAGATCCTCGAATCCTCCCTTCCTTCCACGTTCTTCTCGACCTCTCAGAAAATTCTCATTCTCGACCTGTTCTTCATTCAGCTCTCAGAAGGACGTGTGGGATTCCAGGATTCCAAGTGAGACTGTAACCTACGCCGGCATCCAAAAGAACGAATCAAGACATAGACACAGCAGCCAGGCTGTATTTGACTTTCAGAAACAGCAAGCGGTTGACTCTGTGGCTCATTTTCACACGGCTGAGAGAGCCGAGCTCGCCGCCTCACAACGCCACCAACGCCTGATAAATAACGAGGAGGCGTCACGCATTTCTCAAGCCCAAACTCAGACTGACGAAGTTGCGACACTCGCAGCACCTCAGGGGGTGGATGCATGGTCCATCCCCTTGGATCAATCAAGGAGGCAGACAGCCATCTTCATCGGGCCCGTGGTAGAAGCGCCTTCGAAGGCACCCGGTCGAGAATCTGGCCCAGCGGCAGGAACATATCTGCGAGTTTCGAGTGCCTACGTGGATATGCATCGACCCCTCCATAAGGAAGACTATTTGATTGCTCGAGGAGCCAATCCGCGGACCGGCGTGGTGACTCCAGGCTCCCATAGTGCTAGCAGTTCTGTCGACGGCAAATCTCCAGTTCCTCATGGTCGATGGCGACAAAGAGGGGATGAATGGATCAGTTCTGATTTCGAGCAGGAGACGCCTCCCCCGAAACAGCGCAAAGAGAGGCTCTCACCACCACATCAGCGACTGAGATTGCCCCCGAAACTGGTGGCACGTGAGCGTGGCTCTTCTGTTGGCGAACTCAGTGCCCCGATCAAGCCGCTTGGACAGAATTCACGGTCGAGCAATGGAGATACATTTGCTTTCTACAGGCATGTCAGGGAGTCCGAGATGCATCGGGAAGTCCCCATAAGGACAATAAGTCCACAGATGCGGCAAAAGCAGTCGCCTGGAGAGCCGGGTGTTCGGAGAAAACCAGTAGGAACACCACCGAAGGGCAAACGGGACGGTGCAAAATCAGATTCGCCTGCAATCGATGAAAGCGATGACACCGTGCTACGACCTCCAAAACTTGAAACCGATCTCAGATCTTCCTCTGCACCCGTACCTGCACCCTTGCGCAACTTCGGGCCTTGCAATGTTGACAAAGATCTCCCGACTTTACCAGGAGACACACCACGTTCCCCGTCACAAGAATATCGGACTATAGCAACGCAGAACCCTTTTTTAGGCGGAGAAGAAAAGGAGACAGCAAGAGAGTTTCCAGATCCCACGAGCCAAGGAAGCACTGGCCGTGCTATAGCTCAGAAAGATCTACCATGTCTGCCGATGAACAATGGCCCGTCCCGGTTGCGACAGGCTTCAACACCTATGGAATTGGGTACGGTAAGGGACAATCTAGTCAGCTCGAAGAATGTCATGAGCCCACCAGCAGAAAGTCCTCGAGGCCCGAGAGGGGGAAACCCAGCGTATCCATTCACACGACTTGCGCGACAGACTCATCCACCGCCGCAAACAAGAAAGGGCAACGGCCCCTTGGGTGTAAGGCCGATGCCAGTACCCATATACGACAATCCGCCAAAGCAACATTCGCCAACTATGACGAGACCAATGTTGGTGAGAACAGAAGGTCCGAGGTCGATGCCACCAACAGCGATGCGGATGCCGAACAGGAGCAGGGACGACCACGACCTCTTATCGAATACCACTTCCACTCTCACAAGCACTACTATCAGCCGGCCTGGTCTTCCCAGGCAGCTAATGGTGGGACCAAGACCTTCGATGCCAGATCCTCGGATGACGAATACTGGCCGCCCTCGAGTGCCGAAAAGGCCAGCTCCACCAGACACACCCGGCATTTTCATGAACACCGGTATGAATATGAGTAGCGATTCGATCATGCCGATGCTGCTGCCCAGAGTCAGGCCAAGAGGTATGTCCCGTCCAACAATGCCCGTCCGAGACCAAAATATGCACGATGTTCCGAAGATGATGCCCGTGCACAAACACTCAAACCTGACATCGATGGGACCTGTGCCTTTGTGGGGAGAAACAGAATGGGAAGGGAGCGTGTCAACAAGAAGCCCCTTGGACCCAGAACGAAGCCTGGTTCCGCCACCCTTACGGCCACGAGTCCAGTCAGGTCAAGAGCATTCGACGGGGACAGATATACACAAAGAAGGAGAGAATACAAAAGTGAACCGCCCTGGTCTGACGAGGAAATGCAGCCGCTGTCACAACGGCTTCGTAGACGTCAAGCGTCCCGGTCTCGGTGGTGTCATCCATACGTCCGGCCACCAAAAGAACGGAGAAAGAGTAGACGAGGGTTCTAAACTGATTCATCCAACTGGCAGCCCACTTCCAGGGTTACCGGAGGAGTCTGATGCTAGCGGAAATGAGCATCAACATGGAGAGAACCAGGAATGCCATGACGTCTGTTGTCCCGACTGTTGTAAAGAGCAAGATGTACATGGAAGTTGCCTTGGACACCCAAGCCCAAGCTCCATGGGAAGTCCTGGTAAAACCATCTGGTCTGAGGCCCATAGTCCAAGCAGCGCCAGTGAGAGCGAGGGATGGGATTATGGCAAAAATCAAAAGGGTAATCGACCTCCGCCTGAGATCCATCTGACCGAAGAGAACACATCTAGTCCGAGGAGATCAAAACTGCGACCTACAGGGAGGTCCCCTATTGAACTTTCAGCTCAGCCAAGAACACCTGCGACTCCTTTCAAGAAAGCCGCAAGCTCACGAAATGAATTGGTGTCTAAGCAGAAGTCATCAACGCCAGGTTCACACAAGAGGCAAAGAAGCTGCAGTTCGCCGGTCATCGGATCAGCTGGTCCTGTCCGCAAACCGAATAGTAGCCAGGGTGTAAGGTTAGCCAGCGGCTCTCGCCTCAGAGTCCCGACACCGACAGGGCTTGCGATCTCGTGTATTGGCCTTCCGAGAAATCGAAATACTAGTGGGACAAGTATTGGTACAATTGAAGTACAACTCCCTGGCCTCGGATCATTTGGAGGTGGAGCCGTCAGTGACTTAGTCCTGGTGCCATTCGAGGCGACAAAGATGTGGATCAAGAATCACCCGCAGGCCATGAAGATAGGATGGCAAGCATTGGAACGTGGTTGGCAAATGAGTCAGGTCATGACCACGACTGCTTGGAGACTCTGGGCCCTTGTGTTTGTGTATTCAAAAACTGGCAAGTTGAAGCTCAAAGTATCCAAGGGCGAGACTGCAGGGGGATTCGTGATTGATTGTGCAAGGAGTGCGTTATACTTACTCGTCTTTGCGGCAGTGGGTGTTTTCCTTTTACGGGTTCTGGGGATCGTGTTGGGACTATTTGGGATTGTTGGTTGGTTTGTCAAAACCATCTTTTGGGTCTTGGGGAAAGTGCTAGGATCAGGGACAGTGAGGTGATTCTTGAGAACAGGTAGACGGAGTACGTCGTGGTGGATGGGTATTGTTACACTCTGTATCATTGTTATTATCCACCATTAGTAGACAGTATCAGCGTTTAGGTAGAAGAGGTAATAAGAGGTAATCATACTTCATTACAATCGCATTGGTAGAAACACTGAACATGTTGTCTTCATGCATGGGTTACGGAAACCCCTTTTCCATGCTAGCCTTGGGGAGATGAATCCACTACTTTACTCGAACATGTCCACGAGCATTGATACTACCTAGATGTTGAGATGGTCGATGTGCTTTGCTTTGATCACAATGACTATTGCAGGAGGGTTGTCGAGTTGTCGGTGTAGGGGGGATTTTTTCTCTTCAGGCAAAATATAAATAGACAAATAATATTGTGCTACATCCCAGGAAAAATATGGGGGAAAAAAGCTACATCTTCGCCTTCCTTTGTCTTGGATCTGCGTGGTACCTCTCCTTTTCGAGCCTTTTCAACTCTGCCCTTCGAATCTTCCCACTGATGGTTTTGGGTAGGAAGGAGGCGTCGACAAACTCGATCTTGCGAGGGTACTTGTAAGGGGCGGCGTTTTCCTTGCAAAAGTTTTGAAGTTCGAGGGTCAAGTCGTCGCGTGACTGAGTCGAAGACAACTTCGCCGCCGCCGCCGCATCGGTCAGCACCACAAAGGCCTTGACGACTTCATCTCTGATAGGGTCCGGTGAGGCCACAACGGCAGACTCGACCACGGATGGATGTAGTTTGAGTGTGGATTCGACTTCAAATGGACCTGTTTTTTTTTGGTCTGTCAGAGATGGAGACAGATGAAGACAAAACACCCACATTGGTATGTGGGTGATGAGTATAAAGTATTGTGTCCGTCTTTGAAAAAAGGTAAAATGGAAACTCACCTATTCTGTAACCACTAGAATTTATAACATCGTCACCGCGTCCCACGAACCAAAAGTAACCTTGTGAATCACGATAAGCTCGGTCACCCGTGAGGTAATATTTCTTGCCGACTGGGAATCGTTTGACTTTACGATCAAGACTTTCCGAGGAAGAAGAGGAAGAAACAGACGATGATGATGACGACCCGGATTGAGAGCTGGTTGTGGTGATGTATCCGTCAAAAAGACCGATGGGCGATTGAGAGTGGCCATCATCGTCAACACAAATAGCTATATCCCCTTCCTCTTCATCTTTCGTCACTTTCCCATCCGAGTCGATAATCACCAACGGTACACCGGGGATTGGTTTCCCCATGCTCCCAAATTTGATCGGGTTGACCGCCTGGTTCGCACACACGAGGATGGTCTCTGTCTGGCCATAACCATCGTAAATGTCGAAACCGGTGAGTTCGGCCCATTTCTTGATCACTCCTCCGTTGAGAGGTTCCCCGGCGCCACAGGCGTGCCGGAGCCTTTTTTTGAGACCGGATTGTTCGAAGAACTTGACGTTCTCGTCCAGCACGAGTTGTCTGTAGACCGTGGGAGGGGCGCAAAGTGTGGTGATGGGGAATTTTGTCAGGACCGCCATTGTCCTTCGAGGAGTGAAAGCCAGGCGGTCATCGTGGACGAACAGAGTCGCTCCGCACGTCCAGGAGGCGAAAAAGGACCATGCTGCCTTGGCCCAACCTTGTTCCGAGAGGTTCCAGTACACAGAGTCTGGGGAGAGGCGGAGCCAGTGAGTCCCCGTCAGGACGTGGGCCAGAGGGTAGGCCTGTGGGTGTCGGACCATCTTGGGAGGGCCGGTGGTTCCCGAGGTGAAGAAGATGAGAGCTGGAGATGTAGACGTCAAAGATTTGGGAGTTTCAAAGTGAGTGGTCTCTGGGATACGGGATAGAGATCTGTGAAAGTCGATGATGATGACTCCTCCTGTACGAGTGTTGTTGCCGCCACCATCACCACCACCATCACGGCCTCCCCCTATCTGTAGAATGGTTCGTAGGTCTGGACAATTCTGCTTGACCCGGAGGAGTTTGGATACGGAAGCCTCGTCACCCACAAACAGCGCTGCTTTACTGGCTCGGAGACGAAATTCGATGTCCTTGTCGACGAGGAGTGTCGTGCAGGGACACAAGACGATGCCCGCTCGAAGACACGCCGTCGCAATTTCCCACCATTCTGGAATTCGAGGGAGGATGATTACACATTTCTCTCCTTGTGAGACCCCCAGGGAGGTCAGCAGTTTGGCGACTCGTTGAGATTGACGTGAGAAGTGGGCGTACGTGAGCTGCTTCTCTCGCGAGAGCGTTTGATCTGTCCAGTGGAGCGCGACCTGTTGGGGAAGCTCGTTGGCCCAGTAGTCGACGATGTGAGATCCAAAGTTGAAGGATTCTGGCACATTGGCGGGATGTAGTGGAGGAGGAAGAGGATCTTGTGCCATTTTCTGCGATACTTCGCCAGACTCGCTTGCTTCTCCTGTCCGCTCGGAACCCCCTTTCGGCTACGCACGGTGGAAGTGTCTATAGCTTCTTCGGGGGCACCGATGGTCAAATGTTTGGTCGAAGGAATCCAAGAGATCTGTATTGGTCACAAATGACGTTGTTAGCACATCAAGCAGAACCTCAGACGAAAGCGTGGCAGTCCCGAGGCGTTCGCCGTAGAGTGCGTGATCAGATATCAATTCATACAGTAACGAGTACAATAGACCGGTCGACTCGACTTTGTCGGCTTATCTCGAATATCATTCCGAGTCAACAAAGGATCAACAACCTTCTTACTCACCTACTGCGCACTGCAACTCGGTATTGTAAATATAAAAGTAGTCGGCTCATCGGCTTCAACCCCCGCACCTTTTGGTGGTTTGGTTTTTGATATAGCCGAGAAGATGGTGTGTGGATTCTTCTGGCTGTAAAGACTTCCTTACCTGGCTTGGGGATCATCTTGCTGGCTCTGCTGTTGTTCGAGCATTGTAGACTACTGTTTTGAATTATCATGATGATTTAGCGAGCCAGTGTAACATGCAACACATTGATGTAGTTTATTTACACAGTATGAAGATTTACTTATTTACCTTATAGTGATTCTGGGGCTCCCCCGCACTTCTTAAGCCCTGATAAGCTACGTTGTTTCAGGGTAGTATAGGCCTTGCCTGCCTAGAAATGTTTGCCTTTAGCGACGCCTAGATGGATACTTTTGGTTAAAAGCCTTTCCTTTATCAAGGCCCCCAACAAGCTTGCGATTCCAGGGCGCTTTGTGCCTAGAAATATCTAAAATTGACAATCCTCAAGTGTAGGGTACTCCGGTTCTAACAGCCACAACCCTCAAAATACAATATACAGTATCATCTCATTGCTGTACTCCACAGCTTATAGACAATTCAGGATCTTGTAGATTGGTCTTGAGAATCTATCCGTGCCCTCTTGAGATCTTACTTATTGTCTGGATCATTTGACCAAGAGGCCATGAAAAGGTTCCAGGACAATTCGATAGTGGTGGTACCTTGCCTAGATTGGTATTCGAACAGAATACGGATACGAAAACAGCGAATACGTCTTACACTCGGGGGAGACGGAGATGCAGGATCTTCTAAGCAGAATTCCGTACGGAGGAGTTAGGGAAAATTACTGTTATATGCCGACATCCATGCCCTTGTCGAGTTCGATGGATCATCATCCAGGGACCCAGGCGACGTTGGGCAGATGACGGAATCTTCTCCCAACCTTCCCACTGGTGGCCGGGCGTCGACATCTCCGTTGTTCTTGTCGCTGACTGGCCGTGACAGTCTCCTTTCGACACGTACATAGGTTTGTCCGCACCGCTGTCACCCTGCTGACTGACAGACACGTATAAGGTCCGCTCCTACTCGTACTGTCTGATCTCGTTGATTCCCAATTGGTAATCAGACGATTTTTACAAGCTGTCACCAGCCAGCATTACGGATTTGTCGTCCTACTACGTCCTTATTGCTCTGACGTTAGGAGGCCTAATGAATATTTCGGTGTACAGCAGGGGCAAAGTGTACAGGATTTGTCGTCCGAGAGACCATAAATTCATCATTCATCTCGATTGTACAAAAACTATCTGACTAAGATCAACGACTCCCAGCTGCAGGGAGTCTTACACATATCAAACATCAGCCCTGAGGCTGTGTAAAAATCGGAGGGGGTATCTCAAATCAAAATCTGACTCCTAAAACGTCGCAAGGGAATTCCCAACATCGTTTGCGGTGGGATCGAGACTCGTATATGAGAGGGGAGAAATGGGATGCTGCCGTGAGGCAACAACAACCCTGCCCAACGTATACAGTTACATGCCACGTATGGCACACAAATCACATCTCAACTCCCAAGCAAATTTTGCCACCCAACCCTTTCGTAAAGAACAATGGCGAGACAACTCGCCGTGATGGTCTCGATGTTGAGAACGGGTTTAGTCTCGTGATCGTCACGATGTAAAGTGTCGGTGAAGATTACCAGCGACCCGAGAACCTGCCAATCCCGACGCTGCTTGTAAGCCGCAATGAGACTGCCATCAGGGCCGGACAAGACAATGTTGCCGTTAGCCCAGGGGTGGCCGTCGTCCAGGGCCGGGATCGAAGTGAGCTCTGGTGTAGTCAGGCAGTGCCATTTGAATCCGCCCAAATTGGAATCGGTGGTGCATTTCATGACATATTCGCGCTTGGTGCCGATCCGAGACACGGTCCAGCGAGCTCGAGGCTCGTCAGGGTCGATACGGTGCTCGTAGTGCATTTCGCGAGTTATGTTGTACATTGTCATCTTGATGGTCATCTGGGTCATGCCTTGCCATCCTGGATACTGAATGTGGGCAAGAGGATATGGCTTCTCGGCACTTTCCCGGTCTGTTACCAGACCTGAAACTTTATTTCCCTGACTGGGATCGTGCTTGGACGGAAAGATGTCGAAGGACGGCGGGAGCATTATCTTCTGCTTCCACCATTTCATAGAGCTGGTGGTGAAGCATGGCCGAGTCGTGGTTTGCTCCTGTGCATGCACTTCAGAATCGACTTCGACGGCTTCTAGCTGGAGGTTCTGCGGAGAAAGGAGTCCCAAGGTCGCGCTTTTGAGGATCTCGAATCTCCTGATGTGCTGCTGTTCGAGCTGGAGCTGCCGCTGCTCTGGCTGTTCGTCCGCTGAGTCAGGGTTGGGCGAGCGTGACCGACCCATATCGGAAGATCAAGAGAGTCTTCGATGCGGAATTGATTGGTGGGAGTGGCGGTGTCTTGTTGTTTTCGCTTGCCCTTCTTGTCAGGCTTCTTCTCCTTGGGGTGGCACGGGCAGCCGCCGGGATAGTATATCTCGCGAAGGGTGATGGTGGTATAACGCCTTCGACCGACATTGGTCTGGTTAGCAGCAGGCCCATCCTCGGGAAAGAGGGTGTTATATGAAGGAAGAATATCCCCGTCCGTAGACGCCATTGCTTCCGGAGTATCGAGGTGTGCTCTTGAGGAAAAGGTGCTTGGGGAGGGACAAGAAAGCGAAAAGTGGACAGAAAAGAGTAAGTCGGGGCTGACCTGTGGAGGATATATAAAATTGTGAAGTCGGATGCACTTACGAGCACACTGGTGAAGCAAGGGGCCACAATTACGATGTGTGGATAAGTCAAGGGGTTGACTGTTCAGAGTGAGCCCCGTTGACTGGTGGTTGGTTCGCCAGCTCGGATGCGCACGGAAAAGGGCTGTGCAGTTGTACAAGCTGATGCTGATGAGTTAGATGATGCGTCAGCGGGAGTTGCGAGTCGCTGATCGTTGGTCTTCGCTGTTCTGGGCCTGACGCTCGAGGCTGCCGGGTCTGAAGTTTTTCGTGTGGTCAATGCTTGTTCACTGAGGCCTTGAACACGACGTTGATCGTGGAGTGGAATTATGTCAGCAAGCGGTGAGATATATGTACAGTAACTCTTTCGGCAGTTGTTTCGCGGAGCATGAAAGTGACACAAAGGATCACAGGGCAAGATAATAATATAAGTATGAAATTGATCGAATGTACTTGAAATAAGTCGAAGACAACTCTGTCTGCCTTGTGAGGCTCTCTTCGAACCATGTTGAGCGTTGGCTTCTCTCGTTATTGTCACAAGATGGCCCAGGCTAGAGCTAAACCACACATGAGAAAAATCATTGGTGCTCGGGTTGTATAATTAGACACAATGTGTGCAAGGGCATTTAATCGGCGTTCGGGTTCCTTAAGATGGGGTTGGTCGACCTTGACGTATCCGTATTGTTGGCCGGTCGGGGGACAGGGTCCAGAATATTCCTTGGATGCGACATTTTCCGGTTGACCCCGGATTTTCGGATGCTCCAAGTCGCGCACCCGGCTCGACGATGATGAGGATATGGGATTGACCCAAACACTTCTCACCATATGCACAGGGCACAAAGCACACGCTCAGCCCAAAACCCTAGACTTGGCTGTTTTCCACCTGACCATAACATCATGAGATATGCATGGGAGAACTTCTTGTACGCCTTGGCTATTGCCTTGGAGCTGACGACTCTCGCCTGGTGCAGGTCTGGGCTTTCCATGGCTTCGTATTTGTGCTTTTTGTGGTAAGCACAAGCGGCAGACTCACGGTCTCAATCATCTAAGGCGAATATGGCCGCATCGTCAATTGGTTCGCATGTCCGTGATATATGGTTTAGTACTTCGCCGTTGGAAACAAAGACAGGCTCACTGTGTCTTCTACTCGACTATATGAAGGGTGAAGAAGCAACAGACAAGTGTCACAACTGATCGAACCAAAAATCGATCAAGACACAGATCCATCGCGTTGAGATTAGCTAAACTCAGGCCCTTCAAGTGCTACTTGCATTCGGCACTTGGAAGCAAAGATCAGTGTCTTCTAGCACGGAAGCTTCGTCGTTCTCGAGCGAGGGGCTTGTGTGAAGCGAGGCAGCGTGACCAGAAGGTCATGGAACCTCGTGATCTTCGTGCAGAGAATCGTATGAGGATGGCTCTTTTCTTTTGAAACGAAGAATCGAGAGAGAATAAAACAGAAACGGGCGCCAACGGAGAGAAGTATCGGTCACGTGTAATGTAAAAGCGGCAGCACTTTTGTCCTCGTTTCGCTCGTCCAATCATGATTTTCTAATTCACGACAGCTTCGAACCCGACTTTCTACTGCCACGATCAACATTCAACCACATCCCAGCCCAACTCACGCCAAAGGTCGCCCTTCTTCCAGGTGCTCTAGGAAGTCTGAGGGATGAAAAACCACTACAAAGCTCTTTTCTTGATCTTCATTTCCTAAATTGTCCATCATGAAGCTCCCGACATCTAGGCTGCTTTTCAGACCTCACCAAGGACGAGTATTTACTCGACCGACTTTCGCTAAGCCCCGATTTGCTGCACATTCGATACGAAGACACAATTCCACTGCTCAGACCGCATCGACTGGTGGTTCCAGGATCTTAAACTTCTTCTACGGTTCAACCCTGGTCCTAGGTTTGGGTATCATCTTTGTCTACGTCACAGACACCAGGGCCAGTGTCCATCGATACGTTGTCATCCCTGCCCTGAGATGGATCTACCCCGACCCGGAGGAAGCTCATCATGCAGCTAACCAGGTCTTGAGGTCTCTCTGGGATCTCGGCCTTTATCCTAGAGAGCGAGGGGATCCCGACAAGGCTGGCGATCTCGAGGTGGAAGTATTCGGTCGCATGATTCGCAACCCAATAGCCACATCGGCCGGTATGGACAAACATGCTGATATCCCCGACCCTCTGTTCGCATCGGGCCCAGCCATTGTCGAAATTGGAGGAACGACTCCTTTGCCACAATCTGGCAATGACAAGCCTCGAGTCTTCCGCTTGACTTCTCAGCAAGCCATGATTAATAGATATGGTTTGAATTCCGAAGGGGCAGATCATGTTGCTATGCGGCTACGAGACCGAGTGAGAAAGTTTGCATACCGTCTTGGACTGGGTCATGATGCTGCTGCCGAACAAGCAGTATTGGATGGAATTGCTGGTGTTCCACCTGGAAGTCTAACCCCTGGAAAATTGCTCGCCATTAACATCGCCAAAAACAAAATCACCCCTGAGGATGACGTTGATGCTGTAACCAAGGACTACGTATACTGTGTTAATACTCTGGGTCCTTACGCTGACATCCTGGTTGTCAATGTCTCCAGCCCCAACACTCCAGGTCTTCGATCGCTTCAACAATCGGACAAGCTCCAGAAGATCCTCACAGGCGTTGTGGATGCTGCACGTTCGGTAGACAGGAAGACCAGACCTGCCGTCATGGTCAAGGTCAGCCCTGATGAGGATTCAGATGCCCAGATCTCTGGTATATGCGACGCTGTTTGGGCAGCTGGGGTTGACGGAGTTATTGTAGGTAACACGACCAACCGACGACCAGGCCCAATGCCTCATTTGGGAAGTCTGTCGCCATTGGAGGAACAACATCTTCTCGAAACTGGTGGCTTCTCTGGCCCACATCTCTTCGATAGGACTTTGTCTTTGGTAAAGAGATACAGAAAACTCCTCGAGGAGAAACCTGCGGAGCTCGAACCCGTGCTACATTCTCCCAGTGCTCTGCAAGCCGAGGCTGCGAAGATAAAAGATGAGCTAGCGAGTGCGTCTGGCTCGAAAGAGGATTCAACACCGGACAGCGTTACCACCTCTGTAGATACAGGAGTTGTTCCAGTCACCCCGATTGCTGAGGAGACGAGTTCGGAAAAGCAGCCCTTATTGAAACTACCCCAAGAACGGTTCTACGATAAACCCCAAGATGAACAGGACTCTCTGGTAGGTGTAAATGCTGAGCCTGTCGACTCCTCCGACCAGCAAGAGAGCCAGATAGAACGTCTAAGAGCGATTCAGGCAGCCATAGAACGGCTGCCTCCCAGAGAACAACGTGAGGCACTTGAAAAAATGGAAGAACCTATCCATCTGGCCTCGAACGATGAACCGAAAGTGATTTTCGCGACAGGTGGCATCACCAATGGCAAGCAGGCTCTGGATGTGCTCAACGCAGGTGCTAGCGTTGCCATGGTATATACAGCTCTGGTTTACGGTGGTATTGGCACGATCTCACGCATCAAAGATGAGATGCGCGCAGAAATGAGGCGGCAAACAGAAGAGAGGCGATCGAATTCTCAGGAATGATGTCTGTCTGACTCGGAGCATATCATGATGTTTCCGGCCGACGAAGAGCGAGATGATTGAGCTTGATCATCTGGCCATGCTCTTCGATCATCTCTTCCGATATCGCGTCGAAACCATATCGAGCCAATATGCGCGCGCTCGCGACGTTTTCTTCAACGACATCTGCCGCTAAAGTCTCTGCGATGAAAGTATCGTCATCAACATCGTCTCCGATCACCACTTCTTTTCTGGGTAATTGCCAGTATGCGTGCAGCCAACCTTCCAAAGCTTCAGTGGCGTAACCCATCCCCCAAACTTCTTTGACAAGCATGTACCCGACTTCTGGCGGCTCCGCAATATAACATCCCATGATCCCGATGACCTCCCCGGGCTTTGACATTTCTTCGATGGCAAAGTTGAAAGTGACAGCATCATTTGGTGGTAGAAACAGGTTCATCCAGGCCTGAGTGGCCTGCTCATCCAGGTCTGGTCTGCCCTGACTCGTCCATTTCATCACCTCTGGCTGAGTGCGCAAGATGTGAAAGCCAGTAAGATCTGATTGCCGAACGGGGCGAAGAAGTAAACGAAGAGTTTTAATGGGCGATGCCGGTACTGGGAAGACAGGACGAGTCGTTTTCATGGCTGTGTAAAGAGAAAAGTTGTGTGCATCGATCAAGAATGGCCAGGTTAGAAAAGCCGCAGTAGAGACTACTTGTATTTGAACCACTGCTGCAATAAAAGGCAAGATGACAAGAACATCTTTCTTGCATTGATCGTGACTCAACTTTCGGATTTCCACAAGTATGAGTACGAGGTAGACGACACCATGGACCAGCAAAAAGATGGATTCGAAGGATGGAATACTAGCAATGCTACCGTGGCGTTGCCGCCCAATCAAAACTCGGCAAGCGCACACTGGCGTGCCAAGAGTGGTGTTGATATCGGCTTACCTTCCTTGCAGCCGATAAGAAATTCTTCTGAAATTTTGTCTTGTCGATACGGCAGCCGTTTGAACATTTCTGTTCTGCAACCGCCACTTCAACTGCGACACCACGGTCCGATCGTTCGGCCAGTTGACAAGATGAAGACCACTTGGAAGGACATTGCCCCTGTTCCAACATCCCAGGAGTTTATCGATATCGTTCTTAGCCGAACACAGCGACGACTACCCACTCAGATTCGAGCCGGTTTCAAAATCAGCAGAATTCGAGGTACGGCCTTTTCATGGCGAGATTCACCGCTCTTATACTAATCGCTCATCAGGTTTCTATACTAGAAAAGTCAAGTTTACCTCGGAGACCTTCTGCGAAAAGCTGCAGGCAATTCTCGAGGGATTCCCCCGCCTCCAAGACATTCATCCTTTTCACAAAGATCTTTTGAATACACTCTACGATGCCGATCATTTCAGAATCGCGTTGGGCACATTATCGACAGCCAAGCGATTGATCGAGACTGTGGCAAGAGACTATGTCAGACTGCTGAAGTACGCACAGTCATTGTTCCAATGCAAATCCTTGAAGCGGGCGGCGCTTGGTCGTATGGCCACAATCTGTAAAAGACTGAAAGATCCCTTGGTATATTTGGAGCAAGTACGACAACATCTTGGACGTTTGCCCAGCATCGACCCTAATACTCGGACTCTCCTCATCTGCGGATACCCAAATGTCGGAAAATCCAGTTTCCTCAAGTCGGTCACTCGAGCCGATGTCGACGTACAGCCCTACGCTTTCACCACGAAGTCACTTTTTGTTGGACACTTCGACTACAAGTACCTGCGTTTCCAAGCCATTGATACTCCTGGTATTCTTGATCATCCACTCGAAGAAATGAACACCATTGAAATGCAATCGATCACTGCCATTGCCCACTTGAGGTCGGCCATCTTGTATTTCATGGATCTCTCAGAACAGTGCGGATACTCCGTGTCGGCACAGATGGCTCTTTTCACTTCAATCAAGCCACTCTTCGCCAACAAGTTGGTCTTCATCGTGGTCAACAAGACCGATGTGACCAAGCCAGAAGATCTCGACCCAGAATTACAACAACAGTTACAAGATCTCCTCACTCAGAACTCCAACACCGAACTCCTTCAACTGTCTTGCATCACCAATGAAGGCGTTCAAGAAGTTAAGAATACCGTCTGCGATCGACTCGTTGCCGAACGTGTTGCAGCCAAGCTCAAGGCTGGTCAAGCCTCACAGCCTGCCACGGCCGATGCTCCATCTGGTCGCCTTGGAGACCTTCTCGCTAGGATCCACGTCGCGAGACCCATGGAAGGCGCAGTCAGTGAAACATATATTCCCGAAGCCGTCAAGAATGGCACCCACAAGAAGTATGACAAGTCTGACCCGGAGAGGAGAAGGCTGGAACGCGACCTCGAGGAGGAAGAGGGCGGTGCTGGTGTGTACAACATCGACCTCAAGAAGTTTTATGACTTGGCAGATCCAGAATGGAAGCACGACAAGGTTCCAGAATTTTTCAATGGCAAGAACGTTGCAGATTACGTTGACCCCGAGATCGAGGAGAAGCTAGCTGCCCTCGAAGCCGAAGAGGAAAGGTTGACCCAAGAAGGATTTTACGATGAGAGTGATAGTATGGACGATGAAGAAGAGGCAGAGATTCACATGAAGGCTGAATTGATTCGCAACAAGCGCACATTGATCATGAACGAAGCGAGGATGAAGAAGAGTCTCAAGAATAAAGCCCAGATTCCTCGCGCGAAGAAATCGCGAACCTTAGGGCAGATGGAGAAACATCTCAACTCGATTGGTTTGGACGCTTCTTCTGCTACCGATCGAGCCCGAGCCCAGATCCGCAATGCTCCTGCTCGTTCGACGGCCGGTGATGACATGGAGATCGATACGCCTTCGGCTAGAGTCAAGGCATTGTCGAGGGCACCGAAGACGAATAGATTGACTGACGGATTGGGCGCCAGCGCCACAGGGGTCACAGACCCAGCTACGCGGGAGAAGGCTTCTCGCATGGCCAAGTTGAGTCAGAGAAAGATGAACCGTATGGCGAGACAAGGTGAAGCTGATCGTCATGAGACTGCGTCTCTACCAGCCCATTTGATCAAGGGCAAGAGAAAGCAAGGTTCGACGAGGTCAAGATAGACGCGTGCTTTTAGCTGGAAATAATGATTGATGAGGAGCTAATTACATCATGCCTGTTTGTGTTCGGAGTCTTTGGTTTTTTATTCCTTGCCTTGGGCGGGTTTGGTCAACTTGGGAATTTCTCAGAATGTCAAGAGGTTTCAATAGGTATTTGTCTACTTCTCAGGCTGTCGGTCGAAACTTCGGAAAATATCAAACAAGACGACTTCTTCCCGTACGATGATCAAGTGTCCAACACGCCCAACTTCACTCGATAGTAGCTCATGAGTTGTAGTGACCACTATATCTAGGTAGGTAGCCACGAGTATTTTGCACGGTCATGATCCATGGACGGTCCGGATCGTACTCGTGCTCGTACTTGTACTTGCGGGTCCCTCCTCGGCCGGACCAGCCTCGCCAGCCTTTTCGACACTGCTCCGTCCGTTACTTGTCCGTACTGACTGCTCTACGTCGTCGAACTTTCGTCCCCAGGTGTAGTCCATTGAACTCGGCGAATTTCAGCTTGATGATTCCGAGAAGAAAGGAGCGCATCCATGTTTGGGTGAAAGGGAAAGGGAGGCTAGACAAAGCGAACCTGACCGGTCAGATCGACAGGATTCGCCTGCAAGAAAAGGAAAATAAGCTGCTTATAAATGCTACTTGTATCTCACTGGAGACCAACGTTTGACCTCGAGTGCGAAACTTTCTATTCCAACGGGGGGGTTCTTCATTCAGGAAAATCGCTATTTTGGCTGCACATATATAAGACGGCCTGACTGATTGACCTATCCCAGATACCTACCGAACCATCCCACCTTTTTTTCCAATCTCACTCACCACCACCATGGCTCCTCCTCAGAAGACACAAAAGGCCCTGATTGTCACCGAGCTTGGGAAGCCAGTGACACTGGTCAATGACTGGCCTGTCCCCCAGCCCGGCCCGGGCCAGGTGCAGATCAAGGTCATCGTGGCCGGCATCAACCCTCACGATCACAAGGCGCGAGACGACGGCCTCTTCGTCAAAGACGCCCTCCCCGCCGTCTTGGCCAACGACGTCGTCGGGGAAGTCACGGCGCTCGGGCAAGGAGGCGCCACCAAATACTCGCCGGGCGACCACGTCTTCTACCAGGCGGGGTTTGCGCCCCCGATCGTCCAGACCGGACTCCAGCAATACGCCGTCGTGGACGTGGACCACAGCGCAAAGGTGCCCGACGGTATGAGCGACGACGAGGCCGCCACCATCCCCGTCAACATCCTGGCTCCGTTGGTGGCCCTCTTCGACTCGTCGCACGGCCTGGGCCTTCCCGCACCCTGGACGCCCGAAGCGTCGACCTTTGACCACAGAGGAACGACGCTCTTGATCATCGGTGGAGGCAGCAACTGTGGCAAGTTCGGCGTCCAGCTCGCCGCGCTGGCGGGCGTCGGTCGCGTCGTCGTCGTCGGCGGCGACGAGGCGGTGCTGAAGTCGTACGGCGCGACCCATTTCGTCAATCGCCACGGCTCGCCGGACGAGGTGACGGCCAGGATCCGCGACGTCGTGGGCGACGAGTTGATCTACGCCTACGACGCGATCAATCCACCTTCGACGCAGAGCATCGGCGTCAACTCGTTGTCGAACACGAAAAAGGGCAAGTTAGCCCGCCTCCTGCCCCTGGGCCCCGTCGATGAGACCCAGGTCAAGCCTAAGAAGGCCGGTTGGGAGCTGATCAACGTCTTCGGCGCCAGTCACTTCAGGCCGGACCTGTGCAAGCCGTTCTGGGAGCACTTGCCCCGTTACTTGGTCGAGAAGAAGATCAGGCCGACCGAGTTTACCATCCTCAAAGGCTTGAGCGCGGACAAGGTCAATGAGGTGCTGGACGCGTATCGCGATGCCAAGAGGGTCACCAAGACACATGTACATGTCCAGGAGTAGTGACGTAGAAGGGGTTTACTTTTATATCACCCGGAACCAAAGCGTAGACCATTCCCTCGTTGGATATCTGGCTCACTACACTGCGTTCGGTACGTCCGTGCTAAACAAATCCTCGGTCTTTCCGAACTTCCCTCAGCAGTTATAATCTCAAGAGTCCGTTCTCAAACCATCAGTTTCACGTGGCTGCGTTTGAACCCTAGTGATTGTTTAGTGGATGGTGGTGGTTCAAAAAAGAGGATAGACACCAGGTAGTTTATAAAGCCGAGATCGACCTCACGGTCATCGTGTTCTCTCAACTGGTCCATGAATAGAGATTTCTCAAGCTGATGTTCGTCGAGGAAACCGAGATAGATTGGCTAAATTCCATCTCTGCGAAATTTGTCGAGTTGGAAGATTGTCGGCAAGTTCAGCATATGAGTATGCTATACCGTCTCGTAGAACACGTCAAGCACGAAGGGTGTCGATATTGCGTTTGGCAAATGGAACACATCTACACATGAAAGGGAGAGCATTGGAAGAAGAATGGTGTGAACTCTGAATGGTCATACTCGAAAGGTCTGTAGATAAGGTCCCTTGATCGGGCACACCGGCGTCAAATCCAAAAGAGTGTTCTAGAACTCCATTGTAGCGGCCTTCCAGATACATATCATGTTTTATGCCTCGTAGCACGTAGCCTCGAGCGCGTATGTAGGTCCGAAAAGCCGGGTGCGTGTCTTGAATCGGCAGGAAATAAACAGAGTATGTGTGTCAGATACGCATAGAAATATAGAATAGCTGTCAATGTCCTATATGAAGCCGCGGCAGCCCGGTTGTTGGTGGGGGGGGGCTGCATACTTGAAGCTATCATGCAAGTCATCCTGCGCTTCCAAGCCCTCAGTCAGATATTGCTTTGCACGCGATCTCTCGCATGAGGTGAATGCTTCTGATCTTGTCTAGGTCGGTAGAACTGTGTCATGTCGCAAGACATGGCTAGATCCCGCTTTTGTTCTATGTTAGTACAGATGACGTGAATGATGGACGGCAACGCATACCATGAACATTTGCGCTGCCACCTCTGGGTTTTGCGCAGCTTCAGCTGCGAACTGAAGAAAGGGGTCTTCTGCCAGCACTGACTCGCCGTCCTTGCTCATTCGCTCCATGTTCTTGGTGGACAGTGGATTGATGACGTCTCGATAGATTCTTCGTCGCATCTCATCGTACTTGTCTAGTATGGTCATGTCCGCCTGGCCAGAATAGATCCCGAGAAGACAGTCGGCCAGGCTGCCCATGTCGGCGATGCCGCCGGTAAGACCCAGGCCGCCCCTGGAGGTCGGTTAGCATCATCGTGCAGTTGTTGAACAGAGACCTTGAGGGGGCCCGGGCAGCGTACATGGGATTGCACAGGTGCGCAGCATCTCCACCGAGCAAGACTCTTCCCACCTTCATCTTCGGGGCACATCTCTGATGCATGCGGAAGAAGGCCATGGTTTTGATCTTGTATTGATCCGGCTCAGGATTGCCGGGGAGGATCTGGCGGAACTTGTCGGGAAGCCTCTGCCTGAGCTCCTCCTCGGTAAAGCGAGCGTCATCGCCATAGGCGACGCGCCACAATCCATCCTTTGTGATCTTCATGGAGATGAACCAATGCTCAGGATGGATGGTCCACTGGATATCAGACCAGCCGTATTTATCGAGGTCGTAGTATACCTGCACGGTTCATCATTAGCGCGTCCCGTACCGGCAACAAGGTCTTCGTCCACCTACATTGGTCGTTACCATCTGTTTGTCCAGACTATAGCCAGGGAAGTCTCGGCCAAACAGAGCTTTCCGAACGCCACTTTGAGCACCATCACACGCGACCAGGAAATCCGCCTCTATCCTCCGTTTCTCACCGTGGCAATCGATTTCTGCCCAGACCTGATCGTCGTTTTGTGACACACCGATGACTCGGTGGGACCACAGGATACTTGCATTGGACAGTGTCGCGAGTTCGGCGACAATCATCTCCGCAAGCGAGTTCAGAGGATACGCAAGCATGTGGTCAGGAACGTCAAGGGTGTCGATGTTCTCAATCTCCGTGATCTTCTCGCCACCCAGCTTTCTCCATGCCATGGTCTTGACCAAGAACCCGCGCTTCAGAACTTTGTGGAGGATTCCTGCGCGTTTTATGACCCTAGAGTTCCTGTCAGCAGGTGGTTGAATGTGCGCTGTTGGTGGGTGAGAGATACTGGGATGCGGCTGGTCCATAGAGAAGCGCCCTCGGTCTGTCATCGACCTTATCGTTTGCTTCGAGGACAGTCACGATGAGCCCATTCTGAGCCAAGATGAGAGCCAGCAGTAGTCCGGCCGGCCCAGCCCCGACGACGGCTACCTGAAGGGCCTTTGTTGAGGTCATAGTACGTTCCATCAAGCAATGAGGCTTTGTCAGGGTCTCGAGGCGATGGAAAAATAAGGACGTTTAAGTATCGTCCATAAAAGTACCCTTCGTGGGTTCGGTTTTGGCTCAACCGTTTCCGGTATATAACACAGACATGTTGACGACAACGGTGCTTTTGGCATCGCTAGTAGAGCCCTCGACAGGCATTGCAGGCTTCTGAATTAGTGCATCGGCCCCCGTAGTGCTTGAGCGGCGTGTAGTGTCGGCGAAAGGGACCAATCCAAGCTTGAAGTGACAGGTGATCACAGTTGCCATCATTGTCTCATAGACATCTACATTGCGTGGCCGGAGGTACTGATCCTGGCACCCGTTTCACGATGTCAGAGAATACCGAGAAAATAGAACTGCAGTCTGTTTCATTCCGCACCCCTCGGACCGAAACTCCGGCCCATTTCGCGCGAGAGTGACGACCGACTACGACGTACTCTCCGGACTGGGAGGTAGAATGCCTTTATCTATTGTACACTGCCATTCACTGCGGACTAACAAGGTCCTACGTTCATAGCCGCCATTGCAGAAAATACTATGTGCTTAATTACAATGGCTCTTCACCCCTACCGGTGCTTGCGAGTCCTTCAACCTGTTTCTGCAGCTGCCGTTCATACTTCGTGATATCTATCCCGGATTAGCTTCCGGATTAGCTTCGTAGCTCGCTACTGGACTCCTTTCATTGCATTGTTGTTGGTAGCATCATGTCCGTTGGCGATTGCTCGACGATCGGGAGCAAAGTGCTCCACATTTCCATTCCCGGATCGAAGGACATGTCAAACCACTAGCGAGGATATTAGAAAGAGCTGACGGGCCTGGAATTACCAGAATCATGCTTGGGCTCACAAACCTCATTAAGACCGTCTTCGTACAGAAATTCGGTTTGCTTGAGGGCTGTGTTTCCTGGATCTGGTCCGGGAATCCCGGGGACTACAGCCTGCTGGAGGTCGGAAAGGTCGTAGGCGGATTGTGATCCGCCGGCGCTCTTTGCGCGTTCAACAACACTCCGGGCCATCTGGGAAAGATCCCTCACGAATGGTGTCGATATCTGGGATTCAGTCGCCAACTCAAGGCGAATAAAGTGACTGGCACCCAGCTCCATCAAAAGAAGGTCAGACTCTGCAGAGGGATGGTTCGGCGCCTGCAGAATGTGGATGAATAGATTAATGAGGGCATAGATTGGAATGTAGTACGCAAGGCTGGCAATGATTCAGTGTTGATCCAGCGTTGCTAGGATTTTCCTATACTCACAGAAAGGGACAAGCAGCATCCAATGGAATGTGCCGGCTGGCTAGAATAACATCTCTCGATGTCTTCGCCACTATGGAATAAGACCTTTCGACCTGATCACGAAATGACGGATGCTGGCGTAAGCTGATGATGCCTCGAGACCATGGATAAGTCAAAGTCGTGTGGATGTCGAATAAAAGGCCATAGTAGGTAAAGTGAAGAGCCAGGGCCACTTTGAGGCTAAGATCCGCTGGTAGAGATGAGGGGTCTAAAGCGCTCTTCATGGACAGGACACGCTCCACGGCCTCACCGTGTACCCTCGCCTTTTCATCGAGGAAGGTGACCATCTGGAGCAGTTCCGTGGGATTCCGGCGAAAAGCTCGGGCACTGGAAAGTGACTTGCCTACAAAGGAGCAGAGTTGATGAAGATCTACTAGAACCAAGCGGGCAGGGAAATTCATGAGGCAGTATGATGCACCCGATGTTGGTATCTGACAGTTGATCTCTTCGTCATCTATGATCTGGCCCAGCTGGTGAGAAAAGATGTGTATAACATATTGATTAGACATACCGATGGCCGCCCAGAACGGCTGGAGATGTGCTTGTCCAGGCAGTATATAGACCAGAAGATCCAACTGCGGTGGTTCACCTCGTGCTCGGGCAGGTTCCAAGACCGGGCGGGCTGTCTGTGTAGGCCTTTGGCACAAGCAAGACGTAGCGCGTCCGCACAAAGCATGAACTGGAGAAGAGGACTACCCACGCCCTCGGTGTAGTAAGCCTGGCTCGATGTCAGCTTCAAACGAACCGGAAAGGAAGATCAAGAAAGACTTACCATAAGAACGAGTGCCTGTACACCTACGATAGAAGACGGCAAAAACAACAGCTCCGTATGAACTGCGAGGGCGTTTTCGAAATATGGCCAAGATGCCCTGGAGCTCTCCACCAAAGTTGAACTCACTGACATAAGCAACCGGCAGCCCGAGGCGAAGATGATATTGCGGAGCGCGTACCAGGATGCATCATCATCGTCGTGCTTGAGACTGGTGAAGTGCATACGTAGGCGTGCTTCAAACCAGGGTCGCTGGACAATGCCAAATGTAGCCTCATAGCCACTATCGAAGAATGCTTCCATACCTAATCAGTGGAGAAATAAAAGGGGCACCCATGAACCGGTTACCTCTGGCGTACTTGAAGGCCATCTCCTCATCAGGATCCGGAGCACGTTGGGTTGAGAGCTTCTTTGTGAGTTTCAGCCGGCGTGTCATGTCCCTAGTAAATCGTGTGGCGGATTTCTGAAAGCCTAAGCTTTTGACTCTTTCTGCCACCCAATGCATACCAGGCTGAGAACATATGGATAGGAATGATCGTGGACCTTGTTCCTGTTAATACCTGACCATCCAGCTTCCGGCTAAGCATGGATCTACCTTGGTATTCCAAATACTACGGAGACACAAATGAGTACCGGCATATGCGGCTCAAGGTGCGGATGGCATGTATCTTACTGTCTCTGCGGAGTAAACGCTGCTCCCTTCTTGCTCTTCGTCACCATGATCACTGAAGCTTCCTGGTATGTCATCGACAAATGATGGAAGAACAGATTGTTTGCAGGCGTCTGAACTGTTGTCGCCAGGCCTGATAGGAGGATGAGCTGGCAGTGTCTCTGTCTAATTGTCAGGCCAGCCTCGCATCATTTGGGGTCAATAGTTATTCGAGCAGAACATCCTGACCTTGGCTTTGGGCGGAATGGTCGCCATTCTCCTGACCGGCCGAAAAGTCCACAGTTCCAGCCGAGCTGTATGCTTGGTGAAGCTCATCTCGGCTACTCAAGTTCGTTGGCACATGCGGTTGCACAATGGACGAAGAGAAGCTACTTTCTCTTCGAGGTTGATTCGTTATTGTGGTCATCGGGGGCATCTGCCCATTCGATCCTTCTGGTGAGGAATGTGCCGAGGACTGCAGAATCGCCTCAAGCCTAGCCAGCCTCTGAGCCATCATCTCTGAATCTAAAGACTTATCCTTTACCCTTCGCCGGGGCGAGGTCCTGCAGTATTGGCCGTGCTTGACGCAGTATGAGCATGGATTGGCTCCATCGCCTACAAAACATCAGAAGCGTGGTTCGCTCGTTGTGGAGGAGAAAAACTTACAGCGAACTTTTTTCTCCCTACAGTAGTCGCACGCAAGCCAACGTTTGCGTTTGACACCGTTTGCGCTATCTGCCTCCTTGGATCGTTGCTGCGAGGACATCATGGAGTGACGAGTGCAACTGAAGCAAGCTGTAGGTTGGGAGAAGTCACAGCTTTGGGCGAGACGTTGAGTATACTATCACCCTCAGAGAGACGTTCCGGCCTGGGAATGAGGCAACGAGGCCCGAACTCAACCACAACACCGACGTTTATTGCATTTCAGGAATTGTCGTTGACCCCCCGGTAGTCTCTTCCCAATGACCCACAGGAGGGGAACTTGGATTTGCGGGGTAAATCGAAGGCGTCAAGAGTGCATTTCTACGATTCCGTGTAGTTGAGACGCCTAGAAGATCTTGAGCATTCGCGTAACAAATACTGCACAGCTGGGTGGGGCTCATACGCCGTCTAGTGAACCTCCTAACCCCTAAGGACTAAAAACGGCTCTGAAGTTGGGGAGTTATCTGACCCGTGTGTCACTAGCCAAAGGCATAGCTTGCTGAGATAGTCTAGCATCGATCTACCTGCAACACATTGGGAAACCGGCATCCTTTGTAACGGAGTGAACTCTCCGGACCGAAACCACCGAGATCCAAGTCAACCCCCAACCGGGATTTCCATATGTTTTGGCCACAAGATATTCGGACCGGATTGCCCGGCAGCTCGAAATGCATGTCCGAGCTGGTCGGCGACGTTGTGCACCTCTCCACGTCAGGCGATAAAACTGCATCATTTGGAAGACTATGGCTGGTTGAAAAAGCGCCACGCTTGGATGACTTGAGGCTTCATTCTTGATATTCACACAACTTCGAGGTCTAGGGCCCCCAAATCTCGATCAATTTAGGAACTATCCAGCGGCTCAAAAATATTTCTCAGAACTCCCTCCGTAACAGACATTCAGGCAAGCTATGCTTCGGGAAGTTCACCTTATCAATGGTCTCCATGGCTTTTCTCTGTTGACGGGGTTCTTAGCTGGCGCAGTAAGTTCATAAATTGCACCACAATCCTCTTAAGAACGCGGAACCACGTCAGTAACAATGCTAACATGTGGCATAGCTTGCCCTATATCGGATCTACCTCGTGATTTACAATCTCTATCTTCATCCACTTGCTAAAGTGCCTGGACCGAAGCTGTACGCGGCATCAAACATTCCTTATTCGGTTGGACTCTGTAAAGGCACCATCTGGTTCGACATAAAGCGTTTTCATGATCAATACGGCCCCGTTGTCCGATATGCACCCAACGATGTCTCCTTCACAACAGTCGACGCTTGGAAAGAGATCTACGGCCACAAAAAGTGGAACGATCCCAACTTTCCAAAGGATCGCAGACTTTACCGCGAGGGCAAGACCGACACAGCAAGCATTCTGGTCGCCGACGATGCCGATCATTCTCGCGTGCGGCGCTTGATTTCTCATGCGTTCTCCGAAAAAGCACTGCGTGGACAAGAAGGCATCATGCAAAGCTATGTCTCTCTACTGATCCGCCGACTGCAAGCACACGCAACATCTTCTAACCCCGTGGTTGACATGAACAAATGGTACAATTTTACGACCTTCGATTTGATTGGCGACTTGGCTTTCGGAGAACCGTTTGGTTGCCTTGAAAGTGAGGGCTACCACCCATGGGTCGCCATGATTTTCGGCGGATTCAAACTATCAGCATTCAATCAAGCACGAAAGCGATTCCCCTGGCTCATGCCTGCCACCAAATATCTACTGCCCAGCAAATTGACCCAAGCACAAATCGAGCACTTCTCTCTCAGTTTCTCCAAGGCTCGCCAACGTGCCATGGGCGGTTTCAAATATCGCGAGGACTTCATGTCATATATCTTGCGGCACAATGGCGAGGACGGCAGGGGAATGACGCCTGATGAGATTGGAGAGAATTCAAACATTCTCATCGTTGCTGGTAGTGAGACCACGGCATCCCTCTTGACCGGTACCACGTACTATCTGTTGAAAAACCCCGAGTGCCTTCAACTATTGACAACAGAAATCCGCTCAACCTTCGAAAAGGAAGACGACATCAACCTCGTCAGCGTTGGGCAACTCAAGTATCTCCTGGCCTGCCTAGACGAGGGATTGCGGTTGTATCCGCCAGTACCGTCCGCTCTGGGCCGCGATGTGCCAAAGGGTGGACATTACATTGAAGGATATTTCATTCCAGAGCAGGTGAGCAATTTGCCAGTCCCAAAACCCTGAAACTGTGTTAATACCAGCTTAGACAACGGTGGCGGTTGTCCATTGGCCTACTTATCATTCTGAAAGGAATTTCCATCTTGCAGATGAGTTTCGGCCTGATCGCTGGCTGGGAGATCCAGACTTCGCTTCAGATAACAAAGAAGTGTTGCAACCCTTTCACGTTGGCCCGCGAAACTGCCTAGGGAAAAAGTGAGCCTTCCAACTTCCCACCCCCTCAACTTGTCAGGTCTTCTTCTCCTTGTTTCACGCTAACCTGGAAATATTCGGATTCATAGTTTGGCTTATGCGGAAATGCGTTTGATCCTATGTCGAACGCTGTGGAATTTTGATCTGGAGTTGCAAAGTGACAGCGAAAATTGGACAGATCAACTCATCTTCAATTTCTGGCAGAAAGGGCCCCTGAACGTCAAATTGATTCCTCGGAGTCCTGGCGCAAAGGAATAGGCTCATCGTACTCCACTGATTCCAGCGTCAGTAAAGCCAACAAGTTCGAGACAATCCCAAACGTACATCCCTCCCACTTGAACAGAACCAGTATTCTCTTCTGGAAACATTTTTTTTAAGGGACTCTCCCTTTCTGCGATGCTGACCTCATATTCTAAGCCAGAACAATATCTGGACTGCTTCGATTAGTTGATAGTGAGTACTAGTCATGCGATCGTGGGGTCGTCAAGGGTCTCCCATGTTTGCTTAATTGACAGGTATCTATGTGCAGCAGATCGTCTGTCCCTCTGATCCGTGTTACATTGTCTATAAATAGCTAATAATATTATGATCTGGAGACGTCTCACATTGTCAATGCCACTGCTCTTCATTCAAGATATGATTATATCAGCTAGGCCTTTGACTACAGATACAACATTCACGGTACGGTCACCACCACCTTCCCGACAGCTCTGTTCTCTTCCATGTACTCATGTCCATGACCTATGTCTGCCAGCTCGAAGGTCTTGTGAAGGAAGATGTCTTGTGGATAAGTCCCGTTCTCGACCTTCCGGATCACATCCTCCAAGAGCTTGTCGATCGTTTCGTGGTCAACATCGGCGTCTTCAGAACCTGGGCCGCTGTTTGTCATGGTGAAGAAACTGACGTTGCGTGTTGGCGGTATCGAGAAAGGTTCAAACTGCCCAGCGCCCCAGTGTTTGTTTAGAGGACCGACCAAGACCGTGGTTCCATACCGGGCACACAAGCTGACGCAGCCCATGACACGGTCGGGACCAACCAGCTCTATGACAACATCCACTCCGACAGGATAGAGCTTCGCGACCTCCTCTTCGATGTCTTTGTCCAGGATGACATGATCAGCACCCGCTTCCTTCAGTCTTTGCACCTTGTCGGAATTCCTCGTCGTGGCAATGACAACAGAGCCAGCATCCTTGGCGATCAGGAGGGCCCAGATTCCCACGCTCGACGTGGCTCCATGGATGAGAACAATTGACCTGGGTGGTCGTTCGCGGAGTCGCCCAGCGAGCATCAATGCGCCCCATGCTGTGTACATGCTCATCGGTATCGCCGCGAGAACATTCCAGGCCAAGCTGGTCTGTGGGAGGCGATACAGACGGCGTCTGTGACACAGGACGAACTCTGCGTAGGCGCCATCGTATGCTTTGCCCCCGCCATAGACAAAACCGGTCACTTTGTCGCCCTGCTGAAATCCCGACCGCGCTCCCGCTTCTTCGACCTCACCCACGAAATCCTCTCCAAGGATCTTTGGGGGGTCCTCATGGTATTCCTTCTGGAATATGATGAACTCGGCAATGAAAGGCGCCGCTCCCGTCCTTCCTCGGAGTTCTGCTCGGTTGAGCCCTGCTGCATGCACCCGGCACAACACCCACTCGGGAGAAGGAAGGGATGGGCGCGGATAGTCATGTTGATATGTGAAGCACTTGGGAGGCGCATCGTAACCAGGGTTTGTCAGAACGGCGGCTTTCATCACCCCGTTTGGCTTGTTGTCCCATGTGGGCATCTTGTGAATTCGGATGAAAACAACGTTAACAGTTGAGTCTGCTCCTTACCAACGTCCATTCCAAGTGAGAGGCGCCTATGTCAGTTTCATATTGGTGATGAAATCTCCTGAACCATCTCTGACCTCGCCGAACTGCTCGGATATCGGGTACATACTTTGATTCTCCGATCTACCACTATCCTATAGGAGAAAGAAAGTGGGCATTGCCCCTAGCTGTGCTGCAGATGTAAAACTCCAATCACCGTCCAAGGCGACCTGCTTTGTGGAGCCTCTCGGTCCGATTCTTCGATAGAAGAACCACAACCGTGTATTGGTCTTGACGACGTTCTTTCACTACCCTCAGTTTCGAGTCGGGAAAAACATTGACAACACGAGAACACGACATGTCGACTCAAAGAGAGGTTCTGGCTGTGCCTAAGCGATACATCACCACCCATAACGGGGAAGGGCTTGCCGTCTTCTCGTCCGACGTCGAGGAAGAAGCCCCCCAGAGTAGCCTCTCAGACGGAATGACAATCTCGTTGTGCTATGCAACCACCGAATTCCCGGTCATCTTATCCGAAGATCACGACATGCGGGCGTACGAGACACTTGTCCAGAGACCTCCTGGCATTGTGGTTGCTGGTGGCTCTGTGGCAAGGATTGTTGACTTTCCGCCCGGACATGTTGGCACCATGCATCGAACCCTGAGCGTCAATTACAACTTTGTCATCCAAGGACAGCTCGAATTGGTCCTGGACTCCGGCGAAACGCGACTTCTCGGGCCCGGCGATATGGTTGTCCAGAGAGCAATCAACCATGCATGGAGGAACCCGAGTCCGACGTCTTGGGCACGAATCGCCGCGATGGCGTTACCCGCAGAGGGGATCACGGTCGGCGGTCGGACTCTAGAAGAGACGGGGTTGCCATCCATGTCCGACTCTACATCGCAGCAGTGATCAAGGATGATGAAAGAGTCAGCATCTCAACTTCCCCGTGTCCCCGAGTCCCCGGCATGATCTTGAGCTCGACGACGTGAACTGTCAACATTCAACACACCTCAACCTCTCCGCGAGGTGAGGACACCTCGGGCATCTTCGCGTATTCCTCATATCTCCGTACGTCGTTCCCTTTCTCTTCGTGATGGGGTAACCTGCCGGCTCGGAGCATGCGGTCCGAGAATACGAGGCTGAGAATTCCATGCTTCTACCCTCGTTAACCCCTAGGCTATACATTTAATGCGAGGCATTGGCAACTTTGGAAGTGCTCAGATAAGAAACAATAAACATTCGACCAGCAAGAGAATCTCCTTTTTTTGCCCCGTCATAGTCGTTTCATTTTGCTTCACAATGTCCAAGATAGCAGAGCATGAGCCGAAGGTGGAGCCTTACTTGGATGATGTGCAGCACAAGGAGGAGATCGCCGTAGGCGAGACCGAGGCAGACCCCCACGACCCACTCGGATGGACGACTGCACGAAAATTCACCATTCTCATTATCATCGGGCTCTGGGTCTTTGTCGGGACCTTCAACATGATCATCATTGGTCCGGCCCTCCAGATCGTGCCCGTGGATCTCGACTCCTCCTTCTCGTCGTCGACGTACCTCATCGGCGGCCCCCTCCTGGCCTACGGAGTTGCGTCCTTCTGCTGGGTGCCTCTCGCCAACAGACGTGGGAGTCGGCTCGTCTTCGTTCTGACCGCGGTCGCGGCGGCCTGCATGAGCGTCTGGGGCGCCAAAGCCACGACGTTTGGGAGCCTCGTCGCGGCCAGGACACTCGCGTCTGGCTTCTTCGCCTCACCCGAGACACTGGCTCCCCAGATGATCGGTGACGTTTTCTATATCAAAGACCGTGCAAAAGGCATCGCCTGGATCAATATCGTTCAGGCCACAGGGTACGCGGCGGGTCCGTTGTTCGGATCGTTCATAGTCCAGGATACGTAAGTGCCCACACACACCTCGTCTCCCCCCGGAGACCGCTGACGGCGAGACAAGCTCTCTCGGCTGGCGATGGACCCAATGGATCGTTGCGATCATCACTTTTGGAGTCGCTGCGCTGATATTCCTGCTCGTGCCTGAAACACAATACACAAGGTGTCCTGGTATGGAAATCCGCGCCCGATCGTGGAAGGACAACTTCCGCTTCTGGGCCGTCAGTGGAGGTGGCAAGCCCAAAGTCCACAGGTGTGGTGAATCTTTGTTTGGTTGGCTTCCACCGATTTAATTGACAATCTCTCTTTTCTTAGCTTCCGTGCGGCTTTCGTGGTCATGTTCCCATACTTTCTGCATCCTATCGTGATCATGAGCACCATTTTCTTTTCAATCTGCCTGATGGTGGCCAATTACCTGATGGTCAGTCCGAGTCCGTTGAAACTGACATCAGGACGCTGACCTTGGGGTTCAGACAACACAGTCCTATACATTCCTGGCATTGTACCAATTCAACCTGGGCCATTCCGGCCTTACCTTCGTCGGCCCACTGATTGGTACTTGGCTCGCCATCATTGTCTGCGGCATCCTCGCAGATTGGCGATTCAACAGGCTGACCAGAAAGCACCATTCGAAACCTAAGCCGGAAAGCCGACTTCCAATGTATGTCTTTACGGGCCCCGTTGGAGTTGCTGGGACCATCTTGTTTGGCGTCTGCACCCAAAATCAATGTCACTGGATTGTGCCCGTGATCGGGTCTTTTGCAGGTATGGATCGAGAGCTTGGGGGGGCTTTACCATGTGTGATCGATATTGACTGAGACTCCAGTACTGTTCTCTTTCACCTCCGCCGCCGCAATCCTGTTTGCATATCTCCTGGACGTTTACGAGGCTCGCCTTGACACGGTCATGGTGGTCTTCAACGGATTCAAGAACATCGCGACTTTTGGAATCAGCTACGCAGTTGTTCCGTGGAATGCGGGTGGTCTCACGGTACCTTTTGTAGTCCTAGGTGTTTTGCTTTTCGTGGCTCACCTCTTTATGCTCGCCATATATGTCAAGGGAGAGGCTATTAGGCATTGGACAGCAGAGAGATTTGTGACGGGACGGGAGACTCATCATGGTGATACCTTCTGAACCGAAGTTGCGCCTGTAATGGGAAAAAATTCTCTGTCCAATTCATAAACAGAATTTCGCAAGTGCCTGTTGTTCCTTCATAGCCCACCAGTACCCTTCTCGACAAACTGATCATTCTCGATCCAACGAATCCTAGTCAATGCTATCCTCGATTCATTCCTAAGCCTAAAATTCTGCAATGGTGACATGGCCCATCGGATATAATTCTCTGTTATGCAATAGCTTTCACCAAAGGGCTGTTTCCGGTCCGGCCTTAGGCATTGGTCAACGGGTTGGGAGGAGCGTCTCTTGACCAGGGTGTTGGCCTGACCGGTCGGGGAATTGAAGCTTCGGGAGTCGGGGCTCGTTTCTGCGAGTTCGACTGCTGGGAGCAGGGTTCGGCTGGTCCGGAGAAGGTGTATACAGTCGGTTGACAGGTTCCGGATACAAGCGTTTCAGTATCGTGAGAAGAGGGGGTAGAGTATAGTTCTCCGTAGTAAAGCGTATAATATACGCCGTGGCATGAGAATGGCGGATCGGAACACCAATATTTTCGTCCTCTTTGTTGTATTCGAGGACTTGTGCCTCTCCCTGGAAGCTCTGAATGCCCTCATTCAAAGGAGGTCCATTTGCAAGGTCGTCTCAAGCATCTTCAGCTCGGGGAAACGAGCAGCAGGTGACGATGGCGCAGAATGTACTACTTCAGATCGTTCGAGGCATCTCTCCAGAGTCCCCTGGCAGTTTCATGAATGACGGATCGTTTCCATGGACTCGCATTGTCCTCACCGTCCAAATAAGCTTGGTTCTCTACTTCATCCACGTGCGCTACAATACCTCCCTGCGTACCGTTCCAGGTCCATTTCTCGCCAGCCTCACGCGGTTGTGGAAAGTCAAGACCATTCTGGGAGCTCGACAAGAGCTGGTGCTTCTGGATCTACATAGAAAACACGGTATCTGCCCCTATTCCTCTGTGCACATGCGTAGGTGTGTGTACGTCTGACAGAATCCTGATCTGATTCCAGGCCCTCTTGTCCGCATCGGCCCAAACGAGGTCAGTGTGGCGGACCCCCAAGCGCTCAAGGTGATATATGGACCCGGGACGCGGTTCACGAAGACCAGGTGAGAGAAAGGAGGGTTCTTTTCCTTCCTCGCGCAGCTGAAATTTCACTCTGATCGTGTTTTGATGCGTATAGCTGGTATCCGTCATGGTCCATGGGAGGACAGTCTGGAAAGTATGATGTCTTCTCCGACCCGACCATCGAGGGACACGCTGCGACGAAACGCCTCCTCTCGGCATCTTACTCCATGTCCTCGGTCAACGAGCTCGATGAATTCGTCCAACGGCCCGTTGATAAGCTTCTCTCTCGCTTCGAGGAGTTCAGCCGCTCCGGCCAGCCAATGAATCTCGCCGACTGGCTTCAGTGGTTTGCGTTCGATGTCATCGGTGAATTGTCGTTCTCCAAACAGTTTGGATTTCTCGACGCCGGCAAAGACGTCGATGATACGTTGAAAGCCATAGATGAGACCTTGTGGTCTGGCATTGTGATTGCTGAGCTTCCCGAGCTAGATGCAATCCGCAAAAGTTTTGTGTTTCGACATTTGCCCTTGGTTGGCGGCTACGACACACGTTTAAACTTCATTATTGGTGTGGGTGCTCATTTTCCGACTGGGTTTTCTTTCTTCAACTTCTTGTTGAGATCTTCTTTCTTTCCTTTTCATTTCGATACGCTAACGTAGAGTGCTTCTGGTATGCGCGAACAGCAAGCCCAACGTGTACTGTCTGAGCGTCGTCAAAGCAAGGAAATCGGCCGGCGAGACCTGCTCTCGAGGTTTTACAAGGTTCAAGAAGAGCACCCTCAGTATGACGACCTTGACCTGCAGATCACGATCACGGTGAATATCTTTGCAGGATCCGACACTACCAGCATCGCCTTGCGTGCAATCATTTACTACTTGATTACCAACCCGCATTGTTACCAGAGACTGCTGGACGAATTGGACGAGGCATCATCCACAGGGCAGATGGCCGATCAGTCCACGCTCGCCGACGCCCAAAGGCTTCCGTACTTGCAGGCCTGTATCAAAGAGGCAATGCGGCTGCATCCGAGCTTGGGCACACAACATACCCGTTTCGTGCCAAAGGGGGGAGTGACAATTGCTGGGACGCATTTACCAGAGAAGGTAAGACATCACGTCACCACGCTGGGAGAGAGTGTGTGAACGTACATCATTTGCAACTGGTTGACGGTATTATGAAACATAGACCACGGTCGGCATCAATGCTTGGGTCATGCATCGGCAGGAAGGCATATTCGGCAAGGATGCCACGCAATATCGCCCTGAGCGGTGGCTCGAAGGGGACAAGGGATTGATGGAAAGGCACTGTATGAGCGTCCGTACCACCTCACCCCCACCCCGGGCTACTTCCTGGCACCAACGCTCATTGTTTGGAGGCCAAAAAGACTGTTAACAACCTTGACTCTCAATATTCACATTGTCACTAACGCCTTCGTCGCGATCATATAGTTTGGCCACGGCGCTCACGTCTGTCTGGGCAAAAATATCGCCCTGCTCGAAATCAACAAGGTCATTCCGCAGATCTTGAGGAAATATCGGCTGACACTCTCGCATCCCAATGATGCAGGCGGTGGCTGGAGTTGTACGAGCCACACATTTGTACAGCAGCGGAATTTTGATGTATACGTGGAGCGGAGGAACGTCAAATGATTGTATTTCTTGAGCACTGCGAAGTGACCCGCAATCCATCAAATGTTCACATTCACAGATTTTACTTTTTTCGAAGAACTCCATGGACTGGGCAGGCAGTTATCGTCGAGATGATGACTGTAGTATTTACTGTCGGTCTCGTTGGCTGGAAGGAGGACGCGGGTGCGTCCAAGGGAGATTGCAATACGTACAAACAGCGGACTTTGAGTCAGATCCCTGGGCATAAAATCCGATCTTCACGTTCGATGGCCCCTGGTTGTCTTGCATGGGTCTACTTGTTTTTGTTCTTAGGGACGGCATGAAGGTGCGTGGGAGCGTGAGAAGAAGGTGAATTTCTGTGTCGTCGAGTTAGGTCAGCGAGCGACTATGAGACTGTTCATCTCAACCAATATATATCTGATAGCGAGATGTTTCATCTACTGTACGTTATTAATAGATAATCATTCATACTCTCCACTCCTTTTCATTAGCCAGTGTATCGAGCTCAAGAGAGCTTTAGACAACAATGCCCGACCTGAAAAAGCGGAGTCTCAAGACGTCTATTCGGGTTTCTAACCGATAAGAGATTCAACATGGTAAAGACATTATCCGATGTTGTCGCTTGCTGAAGAATATACTCAAAGAAGATACTGGACTCCTTCTCTGATCTTGTCCATGTCCGAACCTCTCTGGGACAAAGTGCGGCCGATATCTTTAGTCCCCCCAACGGAGGACCCATACATTTAAACGGTAGAGAAATGCCGATCATCTCGACGATACAGTAATAAGAATGTTCCCGTCTGGATAAACAAAATGCGGAGGATCTTTCAACAAACAAGCTTAAGTGGAAAGAAGTAATTGATCTACTTCATGTATTTACCAGGGTAACATATTTAGCCTAATACAGTATTGCGTACATCACGACTTTCCATTACCACCTTCCAAAGACATGTTCAAGCGAGACAAGAAGCGGACGACGGTATGGTATATATACATCTATATATAACAAGGGAAGCCAAGTGCGTGGACAAGCAATGACAAGCATCCATCATACAACTCGACTTGCCATACACAATTCGTGTGTAAGTAAGCAAAAGTAGATTCCCAAGGTCTTGTATCGATAAGATCGATCCCTCTCTCTTTGGTGCTTCTGTCTCAATGGCACCATCAAAGCACCATGGAGTTGTCATGCTCATACTCTACACCTTCATCTTCTCCGTTTGCTGCACCTCCCTGAACAACAAGAAATCCCTCGTCACGACACCAGGTATACCGGATGGCCACTGGGTCGATACATGGACGGCCATGCCTCAATTGACAGAATATACGAACCTTCCACCATCGCCATATGTATGTTGTATTTATCCTTCACGGCTGTTCCAGTTCCAATTTCCCTCTTTGTCGTGAGCCTCCTCCCAAAGTGAGAGTGGTTTCTTCTCTTCTTCCACAAAGAAGATCAGATGACTTGAAAACATTATGAGTCGTGTCTTCTGATCAGAAGCTAGAACACATCCACGAGGATATTCAACAACAGCACGATCCGGCAAACGATACACACGTCGATCGGCGCCTCACAGATCCGTATCCGAATCTCCAACGCGTTCGGCCTAACCGACTTGCCCATCACCAGCATGACGATCGCCCTGCCGTACAATGGCTCGGCCGGGGCCAGTGCGATCCAGCCGTCCACTCTGCAGACCGTCACGTTCAGCGGTGGCGACGAGTCAATCGTCATCCCGGACGGGGCTCTGGGTGTGTCCGACCCACTGGATTTCGCAATCGGGCCTCAATCCATGATTAGTGTGACCATGTACCTCGCATCCGGACAGCAAGGGACGTACATCACGAGCCACCCAGGCAGTCGAACAACGAGCTGGATGACTCTAGGAAACCAGGTGGGAGCGACGAACTTGACCGGGCCAGAGTTGAATAGTACTGCTCACTGGTAAGGATGATGACTGACTCGGCCTTCTTTTTCTCTTCGACCATTCCCCCCTCCCTCCCTCCCGCAACCCCATACGCAGATATACAACAAATAGCATATGACTGACTCTCTGATTTACACCTCCTTCCCAGGTTCTTTTTGTCTGCTGTCGAGGCATGGACACCACCTACCACCCACGCGTTTTCCATCATAGGTGACTCCATCACCGACGGTCGAGGTAGCGATACAGACATGAATGATCGGTACGTTTTCTTTTTTTGCTTTTTTTGGGAGGAAAACCCTCTACAACCCTGAAACCCTGAAATCCCTTTCTCTCTCCTTCTTTCATTTTGGGGATGTATGTATGCGTGCCGTCTTGTCAGTTAGATTTGAAGACTAAGGACTTAACAAAAAAACAGGTGGACCGACCTCCTCCTCGCTCGTCTACAATCCAGCGGCGACCCAATGCTCACTTCACTCGCCGTTTCCAACCAGGCCGCGGGAGGGAATAGGATCCTCGAAGATGGTTTGGGTCCCAGTGTCCTTTCTCGCGTCGACCGGGACGTCCTCTCACACGCTGGTGTCAAGTACGCCATGATCTTCGAAGGGGTCAACGACATCGGGACCGCCGACGACACCGTCGCCAACCTGACCGTCACGTACGACCGACTCATCGCGGCGTACAAGCAGATCTCGGCACGGATCCACGCCTTCAACATTCCACTGTTCGCTGCGACCATCACTCCATTCTCCGCCCCCGACGGGAACACGACCCTCCAACCCTACACGAGCACACTCCGTGAGCAGACCAGGCAAAAGGTCAACGACTTTATCCGCAATTCGGGTGGCACGTTTGACGCCGTGTTCGACTTTGACGCCGTGGTGAGAAACCAAACCGTGCCGAGTCAGTTGGCGGGCGCGTTGCAGTCGGGGGATTATTTGCACCCCAATGAAGCTGGATATCACTTGTTGGCCGACTCGATCGATTTGAGTCTGTTTAGCAAATTTACGAATGGGGTCGGTGGATTTCTTTGAAGTTTCTGCCCTTTTCATGTGCATAGTTGTTCTTGGAGATGAGGTTGCCTCCAAGATACACAAAGCTCGTGCTCGGTAAAGGGTAAAAAAGACATCGACAGCAAAGAAGGGCCGGATTAGGAGCGGAGAATCATATATATATGCCATGTGCTTATAATGGTAGCCTTACCTGAGTCTAATGTCACTTGAATCAAGTACCAAAAAAGCACCAAACAACGGCCACATGGTTCCGTTTTGGCCATAGTCCCGTCATTACCTTTTGTTTTGTATTATCTCTTTTTCCCGCCAGGTTAATTTCACTGAAGGCTTTCTTTAGGAAAGACAAAAAATGTTCTGCTGCGTCGGTTTGTTGATCATTAGGTAGTATCTGGATCTTCGCCGTTCCGATACGTCCACAACCGACTATACTCCCGGACTTGGTGTCTCCGGCGACTTTGACCACCACTGGCGGGGCTTCCGGAGGTTACAGCCTGTACCGTATCCCACTCACTCAAAACATCCATGTCGACTTGCGTGGTCATGAATCTATTCTTGTCCTTGACGCAGCCCTTGGACATGTCGCGTTCGTCGACGCCCTCCAACTCGAACATGTGGTTCAAGTAGTGCTGGTTGAGTTGGTGACCGGACGCCTCTCGTTTGAAAAGCAAGCCGATGAAGCGATTGTTCTCACCCTTGGCTTCTTCTTCCAGATTAATTTGAAGGACCCCTGACGAGTTGGAGTCGGGCTGCGTGCCGCCAGCGCCAGTTGGTGCACTTGCACTTGAACTGTTGTTGGCCCGAGGAGACTGGGAGCCGCTTGGCCTCATTGTTGTTGTTGTTGTCGTCGTCATCGTCGTCGTCGTCGCCGCCATGACCGTCTCGTCGTGGTTCTGCCTCGTTGCTGCGGCCTTGTTCGGGCGAAAATGGAGAATGCCAAATCTGGAAACGTAATCTCCTGTATTCGCATAGTGCTCGATATGTTTGACTAGTCTCTGATTTTGAGCGCCGCCCAAGGCTTCACCACTACCATCATCACTGTTGCTTGGAGTGGAGCTTTGCAGAGCAATTGTTGCGACCCCGGAATTATCACGGCCATTGGCCGGAGCGTTCCAGTGGTTCGAGGCATTACCAAAGGTGTATATCTCAAGTTTCCGGATTTCATCGGCCGAGACACTAGAGTATAGCCAGTCGAGAACCATTCCGCCCTCGATGGCGCCTTGACTGTGGAGGATCAAAACGACCTTGTGCACGCTATTGTCGGAGAGGACCTTCGTGAGTGCCGAGTACGCTTGTCGGATGTCGAGGGTTGCATAATTGAGGTCGCGCTGGACGATGCATTCCAGAACGTCGAAGATGATACCTCGGCTGTTTTTTGGTCAATAAGTTGTCGTATTGACGGTTCTGAGATGGAGAGAGAGGGTGATTTTTACTTACGTCTGGTTGTGGATCGCGTAGACTGGTCGTCTGAATATCATCGAGAGGCGATCCAGGTTGGCCTGTAGCCAATCGCGCCTGTTGTGTTCAATTTTGTCAGCCAAATTGCTATTCCTACTAATAGTTTTGTAGACTGTTGCCATAAGGCCTTACCCAACTGCAACACCATTAATAAAGACCCATTTCTCGCTGGGATGAGTCGGCCAGCCGTCGACGCATTTCGGGTTCGAGGAGATGAGTGTATGCTGTCGCCTTCCGTTCAGGAGGACACATACAAGTTGGTTCCCGAGCACGAATGCGATGATGTACAGGAAGTATAAGCTGGGTATCAAACCAAAAGCCAATGGGACGAGTGAAACCAAGAAAACAACTTGGCCAAGTATGAGCAGGCTGTGCAAGAATATAGCCCCTATGTTTGCCGGAGTCAAAGCCAACTCGTCGAGGTACTTGGTCGGGCACCACGGTAAGATGATGCTAGGAAGTCCTGCGGAGGGCGGCCAGGTGATCGTGATTTTGACAAATAGCCATAGATCGCTGAGCAAAAGATACAACGGATTTGCAGTATAAGGCACAGGTGTCGAGTGTTCAGCCATGTTGAGGATGTGAAGGTGTGAATTGAGGCCGGATATATAGGTAACCTATAGTTTTGTCAATGTCGATAGGATGCCGATTCAAACTGTAGAAAGCAGACAAGTTTGTTCCTGAATGTTTTGTTTTAGGAATAACTTGGAGAGCACAGTCGAATAGGGCGCGTTCAGCTCATTAAATGTTTCAACTTGCTCATTTTCACATGTCGAAAAGACCGGAAGAGCAGGCTTCAGGCTTTCAGGGCGTAAGCAAGGTTACACAAGCAGCTGTCAAAAAAGGCAGCCATCTTTCAGCCAAAGAAATACGAGGCTGTCACAACCTTCAAGACAGAAATAGGGCCAAGATGGAGGCGGTCAGGTTCAGATCCCTGCCCAGATTTTCGGGGTCCAATGACATGATCACACGGGGGAAAGCGGCTGATTCCAGGACAGGGCGCTGAGAGGTGCGAAGGCAGAGATAAAGCAAGGGATCAGTTCAGCCTCATAAAAGTCCCTCAAAAAAGAACATGTGCCTTGATGTAAAGAAGGGTTCACCGTGATCAGGGTTCATTTCACGGAGGATGAAAATGTCTGCCAGGAAGTAATTTCTTGTCGTCTTTCGGCGTCCAAAAGCAGATGAATGTAGCATTTCGCGGTTTGCATGTGCAAAATCTTAGACATGTAATATTCTGTGAGGAACAAACCAGGCACTCATCTTGCTGAGGATGTGACTGAGAGTCGAAAGAACGCAGGAGCAACATCATCTCGTCAAACTTGCCTGGAATTCCACGTCTAATGATTTAATCGAAAACACTAAAATATTCTGGCCCTAAAAGTGTCTAACTTACTAAAACCTATTAGGGCACTTAACCGAGGCAACATCTGAACGAGTTACTCGGCACCGAGTTTAGATCGTGTAGCCAGTCACCCAAGCAGAGCGAGTATCAGCTTAACAAAGACATCGACACCCTAAAAAGATTGATCGATGTTGATTTCCACAAGACTCGCTCGAGCACACTTCCGACGGTATTATCCTCTCATCTACCACACATCCAACCCCAAGAATAGTCGATTTTCACCGTCATTCGTCGTCGCCAGCAAGGTATCAAAAAGCACACGACCCTTTGCCCACACATCACCCTCACCACCAGGACGGACTACCATGTCCAACGACACCACACGCGACGATAATAACCTCGCCGAAGCCGACCTCTTCAGGTCGATACCGTGGTGCCAGAAGATCCTCCGGGACCCGGACTACGAGCTCGAACCCACCTCGTCTCGGATCCACAAGGGCTCTACGCGCGAGGACGCCCTGCTGGCGGAGACCCTCAGGACCTCGGACACGATACGGGGATGGACTTCGCTCTACCGCCGACCGACCAAGTCACGGCCGCTGAAGGATGAGGTGCGCACCCTCCTCAGCCTCGAGCCCGGGCTGAACGGGTACCCGCGCGTGTGCCACGGCGGGATCGTAGCCACCATCCTGGACGAGGTCTTGAGCATCCTCGTGGCCGTGTGCGCGCGGTCCGAGGGCCGGCACGGTGACAACGTCACGGCGTACCTGAACGTGACGTACGTTAAGCCCGTGCCGACGCCGAGCGTGGTGCTCGTCAAGGGCAAAGTCGACAGGGTCGAGCGGAGGAAGCACTTTGCCACCGGCGAGGTCGTGAATGAGCAAGGCGTGGTGCTCGCAAAGGTAGACGGGTTGTTTGTGAGTATAGAAAGGGAGAAGTTATAGACGCAAAACAAATGCCATAAAACTTGGATCGTCTACTTCAGTGGCAGCGGTGTTGTTGAAACTTATCATCTAGATAAAGTTTCAGCATTTTATTTCGTATTACTCTGACCATTTTTTCTGTAGAGGTGGTAGATGATTGGCCTTGCGGTTTCGGTAATCAATTTTGCTTCATTCGGCAACTTAATATCCTCTAATATTTGAACCTTGCCTGCTGGTATTCGCCCATAATGCATGTCGTTAGGTAAATGGCTATCAAGGGGGGATAAAGTGTACGTCCTGCGTCGGCCATCCTGAGAGTGCCTTGGATCTAGTCGCGCATCGATTCTTTCGGGTGTCATCGTCTTCTGAATTATCGCTGGCCATTGATGATCGTATCGCTGACTTGTCCCTTTGACCTCTCGGCATCGTACTTTGCGCGTTGCTTGTCTCGAAGCTCTTTGACACTGTTGATGTTGATTTTACCAACTTGGACACTTTTCCACAATTCCTGCGCGGTCATGACGCCCTCACCTCCGAAGAGGCCAAAGTCAATGTCGTGTCTGTTGGAGTGTCGGAGGGCAAAAACAATACTGTTCCGCCCCTCGGGATTCCCGACGACCCTGTGGACCCCGGTATTGACGGTGTTCGACGAGAGTGCCCTCAGCGTCTCACCGATCAACACCATGGCCTTGTCCGGACCCACGGGGGCATCCACCCACGCCGGGGTGTCCCTGGTCGAGCCGACCCGGTCCAACGCCTGCAAGCCTTGGCCACTCGCGACGCACAGCGTGAGCAACCCCAGATCAGAGTGCTGGCCCGCGAAACCGGTCGAGGGAAAGTACCGAAACAGACGCATCAGGGTGTGAGTCATTTCTTCTTCGCCGCCCGGCATCGTCAAGGTGCCGTCGAGGATGTTGTCCCATACGGAAAAGTCGAGATCGCTCGCCCGGGAGATGTCACACAGGATGCGGAACAGGTATTGCGCCGCCTCTCTCCACGCCCAGGCGACATTGTTTTCGAGCTGTGCTCCTGCTGGTGCCCCCGTCGACGCCGCCGTGAGCGGGTCGATACCCAAGACTTCTTTCGGACCGCCGTGAACATGACATCGAAACGTGACGTACTCCTTTTCGTTTTCGACGGGATAGTACCCGAACTCGGTGCCTAGCTTTTTCGGGTACAATCGAGTCTTTACTTGACTCGTCAATTTCAGGAATTTTCCGGAATCATTAAAGAGCACTTTCAGAGTGCGTGAAAGTGCTTCCGGCAGATCAACACAAAGCCAGCCTTGGCGAGCGAGGGAGACGAGCTGTTCATCAGACAAGAGGGGCGGAGGCCCTGCAGGTGGTGGCACTGATAAATCATCGTGCTCGTCCATTTGGGATCGTCCACCTTCTGCTCATCTCGAGGATGTAGCAGAATTTTGGATTACCAGGCAGACTACCACTGCTTTAAGTAAAGGATACCAGTCAGGATGGTCCAAAATGGGAAAGGAAGGACGAGGCCTAAACTGAATGAGAAGAACAAAATGCGTATTCAAGTGCATGGTTGATGCCTGTGGCGGTGACGCGGCATTGGGGGGCTATTGTGTTATAAGCGTCAGCCACCGTGGCTGTGATTACTGTTCAACCCCACAATGCTCACATCCCTCGCTTCATCCACCTCCGATTCTGCCCCACGCAAGAGAAAAAGCATCTTCCACCGGAGCCCGTGTCGCAAGAGAGCTACTTTAGGCCAGGGCGTTGCCTTGCGTGGCCCTTTGGAAATGGGGTTTTTTCGCTTTAAGAAAGTCTCGGGGGATTGTTCCTTGAAACACAGATAGATCAGGCCTAGAAGATTCCCAGACAAACGATGAGTGCTAACAAGCAGCCATATGTCCTGGTCACGGGCGCGACGGGATTCATCGGCGCTCACGTCGTGGATCTCTTGCTCGAACGTGGCTGCAAGGTCAGGGGAGCAGCCAGAAACATGCAAAAGGCACGGCAGATGCAGGACGCACGTCCGAAGTACGCCGACCAGCTTGACTTTGTCCAAGTCGCCGATTTTACGGGGTCGTCTTCTTCATTTGCGGACGCGGTCAAGGGGGGCATCGACGGTATCGTGCACCTCGCCAGTCCATTGAGCTTCAAGCCCAGGGACAATGAGAAGGACGTGGTTCTCCCTGCCATCCAGGGCGTCAAGTCCGTGCTCCACGCGGCCGCCGGAGAACCATCAGTCAAACGTATCGTCATCACTTCATCGTTTGCCGCAGTCATCGACATCGACCGGAAAGAATCGACAAGGTTCACCTACACGGGCAAGGACTGGAACCCTCAGTCTTACGAGGAATCCATCGACCCCAAAACCAGTCCCGTCCTTGCCTACCGAGGGTCCAAGAAGTTCGCAGAGCTGGAGGCTTGGAACTTTGTGAATACCCAAAAGCCCCATTTTGACATCGTTACTCTATGTCCACCCATGGTGTTTGGTCCGATGAGACATCCGGTAGCGAACTTGTCGGAGCTCAACGAGACGAGCGACGCGCTGTGGCAGGTCGCGAGTGGCCAAGGGATCCCAGAAGGGATCACGTTCTGCATCGACGTCCGGGACCTCGCCCTCGCTCATGTCGAGGCGCTGCTCCGACCCGAATGTAGAAACAAGAGGTACACCATAGCGGCGCCGGAGAGGTACACGTACACGATGGCCGCCGACATCATCGCGGAAGAGTTCGACTGGGGCAAGGAGCGGGTCGTAAAGTACGGCAAACCCCAGGAATTCGACGAGACGTGTAACCTCGACGGCGAGGAAGCCGCGAGAGACTTGGGGATCAAGTCGTATAGGACGTTCCGCACTTCGGTCGTCGACTTTGTGAAGCAGGCTGTTGAGATGGAGGAACGGGGCATATGAAACACAAAAACCTAGCATGAAAAAATCAAAGAAAGAGAAAAAAAAAGAGAGAGAGACTCACGCTCACACTCAACAAAGAAGAGAAGGCGGTGCGAGCAAGCGATCCTGTTACTGAGTACTTGGTCAGGCAGGGTTATCAAGCATCTCGTGCCCTGTATAAATCTTCTTCTGTATCGGTCTGTTCTTTTTGACATTTCTCGTCATCTTCACACAATGTAGCCCACGTAGCACTCATACGGGGACTCGTCTTTTCTGTATGTAGATATGCTGCTGTAGTTGCTCGCGCCTTGTTACATACCTATTACGATTGATGACCTTTGGACCACGGAAGAGGGCATTTCACGGCATGACTTTCCCTTCCAAGAACCTCTTCCCTTTTGACCTATCAATCGCCTCGTGTTCGGCGTACCCGTTTTGCGTTCGGAAGCGAAAGGCTACCTAGGTATGTAGCGGCACCGAACTTTTATCTGCGAGTTCCGAGAGTCCACAGCCGATCTCCGCATCTTTCTACGAGAACTGATTGGGCGAAGAAAGTTGAGATGCGAGGGGGTCCAACGTGAGTAAGCATTCGGGGGCTCAGCTCGAGGGCAAAGCGGTTGGCAACTTGATAAAGTCGTGCATATCCGTGCTTGGAAACGAAGTACATGTAGAGAGAGGTTTGTTGGTGAAATTCCTACAATTTCACTACCACACTACCAACCGTTTGTACGCGTGTAGACAGCGAGGAAAAGTTGAGAGCCAGACAAGAATGTCTCCGTCTTCTTCGTCGGACAAAATGCCGCCCAGTGTGCACACAATCGACCCTCATAGACTGTTCGACTCACGTCCGGTCTTCTCTCACGTCGCGACGTCCACCGGAGCTTCGCGAGTCGTCGCAACGGCCGGCCAAGTCGGGGCGGACGAGAGTGGACGAGTCCCCAAGGACATCGACGAGCAGATTGCTCTCGCCATGACGAATCTAGGCCGCTGCCTCGAAGCTGCGGGTGCCAAAGTCACCGACGTGTACAAACTGGTCTACTACATTGTCGACTACGACCCGAACAACCGCCGACACACGAAACACGTCAAGGCGTTCCTGAACGGGCATCGACCTGCGACGACGCTGGTTCCCGTCCCGGCCCTCGCCAACCCGGAGTATAAATTCGAGATCGAGGCGTACGCCGCCGTCCGTCAGGAGCCGTTGCGGACGACCGAAGTGGTCATCGTCGGGGCAGGGCTGTCCGGACTCAAAGCGGCCTACAACCTCCAAAAGGCCGGTGTCTCGTGCGTAGTGGTCGAAGCCAGAGACCGAGTCGGCGGCAAGACGTGGTCTGTCGACCCGCTGGGACAGGGCAAATTCCAGGACGTCGGAGCTGCTTGGATCAACGACACCAATCAAAGCGAGATCTACGCGCTGGCAAAGTCCCTGGGGTTGGAACTCGTGACGCAGAGGACCGAGGGCAACATCATCCAGGAGGACATCGGAGGCGGCTTGGGGCTTTTCGAATACGGAGGGACCCCCCAAGCCATGGCAGAGCCCAACGGCGTGGAGAGTCTGGTGTACGTGCGCGAACTGTTTGAGAAGCTGTGTCAACAGCTAGACATACACGACCCCGTCGGTACCGGTGGCAAGTACGACAAGATGACCCTGGAGGAATGGTGCAAGAAGGAGATAAGCTCCGAGACTGCATTGGCTTCAGTGAAGCTGTGGACGCGAGCCATGTTGGGTCTCGAGCCGTCCGAGATGAGCGCTCTGTACTTTTTGAATTACTGCAAGAGTGGAGGAGGTCTTTTGCTGATGAGGTCGGATTTCAAGAATGGAGGCCAGCATCTGAGATTCGTCAGAGGTATGTTCTGATGGTGGGCGTGAAGAAGAAACCAGTAAACTGACACTTTTTACTCGCAATGATTAGGAACGCAATCGATGTCCATCGAGTTGGCGAAGCTGCTCACACCTGGCTCCGTGGTTTTGGATTCCCCAGTCCGCCGCATCTCGCAGACTCCAGAGGGTGTCTATGTGTCCGCTGGACGGGGGGACTTCAAGTGCCAACGAGTCATCATTTCCGTCCCGACGCCCCTGTACAAGGAGATCACATTCGAGCCACCTTTACCCGAAGCCAAAGCAGAGCTAGGCAAGGGCAATGTCCTCGGATACACCCTGAAGGTCATGGTGGCGTACTCGGAACCCTGGTGGCGCAAGTCGGGACTTTCGGGCGCTGTGATGTCGTTCAAGGGTCCGATCACGACGTGTCGAGATTCCAGCAACGACAAGTACGGCTCGTACACGCTCACCTGCTTCACGAATGGCGACTTTGGTCGCAAGGTGTCTCTTCTCACGCAGCAAGAGAGATTCAAAGCGGTCCTGGAACATCTGAAGAGAATGTTTGGACCGTACGTTGATGAGGTACCAGAACCACTTGCGGTCACGGAGCATGAATGGGCAAAGGATCAGTGGGCTCAGGGGTGTCCTTGTCCCGCTTCACCTCCTGGGATCATGACCAAGTATGATCATGCGTTGAGATCGACGCATGGGAAGCTTCATTTCATTGGCACCGAGACGGCGTATGAATGGAAGGGATATATGGATGGAGCAGTCCGGTCGGGAGACAGAGGTGCTCAGGAGGTTATGGCTGCTCTCGGCAAGGCAAAATTGTAGTAGGTATTTTTGGGGTTGATAGCAGGATCGAAAGTCGAGTACGTAGATGCATCCCTAAGTATTGAGTACTCGTGGTATTCGCGGTATATGTAGTGTTCATGAGAAAGGTACTTACACCTATATACCTTACCTACTGGTAGTAAAGGCCTGATGTTGATGACAAAGTGTTTTGCTTACCTCTGACTCTTCCATGATTGGGTAATGTTTGGGTCTTAGGGCACCAGTCTAGGCGTTAGATACCCTATTGTAGGTGCCCGAGGGACGGATTACGCCTTTACGGATTACGCCTTTACGGAGTACTTGTACTTACGAACGGATTTACAGGGGAAATTACCAGATATTCTCTTCTCATACGGTAAATTATTGTCCTATCATTGTGCTAGAATTACCAGGCAGTCGCGCATCCCTCAATCGGACTCCGCGTTAGTAGCAGCCCGCGGCTCCTTTTTTCTTTCTAAATATAAAGATACGGAGTATATTCTGTATTATTGACCTGGGCTTACAACACGTATTCTATTCCGTACACTCTTTCTCACACACACACATCACGACCTCACACTCTTTTTTTTCCCCTTCATCTTCGCAGACTTCTCAAATTCCATCACCATTTGATTCTCCCAGCACCATGGTCTACTCAACTACCGTCCAGAGCAAGTTTGCTCACAAGGTCGGCGAGCCTGTACCTGAGTTCAACTCCGAGTAAGTAGGCTTTGATGCTCTCTCTACAACCATCCCTCAGCCCGTCTATTGTCTGTCGCTCTCTACAATTTCCCAGACGAACATCAGAAACGCTTCATGACATGTTTTGTCTTTGCACCCATTATCCTCCCCCAATATGCGAATGCATGGGATTCTTTTCTCTAGTGCTAGCTGACACTTTTTTGTCGTGACTGCGCAGCCACCCCGCCCATCCAGCCCTCATTCATTTCCCCATCGCCTTCAACACGCTCGCCTGGGGTCTCGACATCCTCTACGCCTTAACGGCCGTTTACGTTAAGCCCGAGTTCCTCACCAGCCGCTTCGGCTCGGCCGCGACCCTGCTCGACATGACGCGTCTGTCGTACTTCCTCCTGTGCGCCGGCCTCATCACCACCGTGCCAGCCATCATGTCCGGGAACAAGCAGCTGATCGGCATGATCAGCAAGAACGGTGGCCCGTGGGAGAAGGACGTTCAAGGCAAACAAAAGAGCACCATGGTGCCACGCATCAAGGCTGGGATCACACACGCAATCCTCAACGACATCGTCTTCGTTGCGAACCTGTACAGCTGGTACCTCCGGAAGGATAAGGACGCCGCGCCAAACCCGGGCAAGATCCCCAACCAGACAAACATGCTCATTAGCGCCGTCTTGTTGCCACTGTTGATGATCGGGGCCAAGATCGGTGGCACCTTGGTGTACAACCATGGCGTCGGGTTGCATCTGGGCAGAAAGAAGTTCGAGTAAGGGATTTAATTCGAGAAGTTGGGTTTTTGAGACGGTGGAGGCTTGTTTGGGTGGGTAGGTGGGTGAAGGGTGAAAGAAAGAAGAGGTTTCAATGGAGTACGGGTGGAAAAGGGGTCGCAGAGAGAGTGCTTCGAGAAGACGGTGAAGGATAGCAATGATAGTGTTCGAGACAGCTTGGGCAATACCTATTCATGGTGCCAGGTGAAAGAGAACTTCATTGTGTGTGTGCAAAATGCCACTTCGATCATGTATTTGGTTAAGGATATTTTCTGCAAAGTATGCAATTCTAATCAGATTCAAAAAGTTCACTTCATTTCCTCCGCACTCTTGATACCTACAGAGAGAGAAAGAGCAGAAGTTTACCTACCTAGGTTGATTCTCGTACGATGTCGGGAAGATGTTACCAGGTACTTAATAATCCTTCAAAGGACACCCCTTTTCGACACTCTCACCGCCAAACTTTTCCCTCACAATCTCCCTCGTCAGCTTCATCAACTGCTCGCCCAACTCCGCGTCCTGGGCCAACTCAGTGCCCGGCTCGGCGATGGCGGGCGGACAGACGTACTCCCCGGACTTGGTCGTCGCGGTCGCCGCGTACACCGTGCTCACGCAGCCCATCCAGATGTCCTTCTTGATGGGTTTCATGGCTGCCGACATGGCGTACCCGGCCGTGGGGTACGGCTCGTGGATGTCGTCGACCGACATTTTGGTCTCCACGAACCCCGGGTGCGTCGCGTTGACGAGGATGTTGGGGTTCTCCTTGTGCAGGTGGGCGTCGAGGTACCGCGCATACAGGATGCCCGCGAGTTTGGACCGGCCGTACTGGGCCTGAGGGCCGAGGTCGGTGTTGAGTTCGTCGAGCGAGGCGAACTTGGTGTCCTCGGGTGCCGCCTGGTGGGCGTTGGACGCTTGGATCTGGATCCGCACGATGTTGTCGCCGTCCTTGCCCCTCGCCGTCTGCTTGAGCAAGGGCAAAAGGTGCGAGGTCAGTGCGACGTGGGCGATGTGGTTGATGGCCATGTGCCTGTCGATGCCCGAGTCGGTCAGCTGGTACGTCATGATCCCCCGTGCGGCGTTGAGACAGAGAACGTCAAGTCGGTCGGTCTGGTCGCGGATTTGCTTGGCCAGCCGGGCCACGGCGACCACGTCCGACATGTCGCACTGGATCCAGGTGATTTTGGAAGAGTATTCCGAACCCAAGTTCGTCTTGACCTTGTCGACTGCCTCATCGATCACGTCTTCCGACATGGACACGATAAAGACTTTGGAGATGTTGGCTTTGAGGAGTGTGTAGGCCGTCGCGTACCCGATCCCCTCGCTGCCGCCGGTGATCAGGGCAACTTTGCCCGACTGGTCGGGGACGTCTTTGTCGATGTCGAACTGGTCCTTGGGGTCGGCGAGCTTGTGGGCAATGCCACCCATGTTCTCGGCGATCGTGGACCTGATGGCGTCCATGACTGTAGGGCGTGAGGAATGGATTCTTGTGCTCGTTGAGAATGTACTGAATGGTTCAAGGATGGCGAGGCGTCGTAATTGCGAGGGTAAGTATACACGTTGGTATAAGTACCGACAAGTGTGAACGTTCAGCCTGGTCGACCACAACGGACGGGAAAGACCGTTGATATAATGCACGACGCCGAGTACAGGGGATATCATTGTAATGATCAGAGATCCATGTGTTCATTCTACATGCATTGCGTCCTGTAATGACACTGGCGCAACGTTCCTTGTCTGCCTCCGAGCCTTCGCACACCTCGGTATTGGTGTGTCAAACACTCACGTCACGACAAAACGTCCACCAACCTTTCGAGAAATGTTGATGATGTGGTAAATGAAATCCGAGAGGCGTGACTGGTGCGGTGAAAGAGTCCAGCTTGACTGAGCGGATCATGGAGTCGAGTCATGATGTCGAGGCTCTTGCGAGGAAAATGGTTAATGGTGAACCCATCCTTGGACATTCCATGGCCGAAGAAGGTTGTTAGATCATCCCTGGTGACAGACGGAGCTGTTCAGAGTCGGATATCCTCGTTACCTCTGGTGATGATAGTCAGAATGCTTTGTTCGGAAGATGTAGAGCGATGAAGCAGAAATGAACCGAGAACCCAAGTGATGTCATGCAGTAACAATATGATTTAATCCTCGACGTTTCGGCGCTGATCACAACCACCGCGAAGTGTTTGTAGAGGTGATTGACCTTGGATGACTTCAGCAGACCTACTTGTACAGGTATCCATGGTCACCAGGACCCTTTCAGGTACGAGGCAGCAATAATTCTGTCAATCTCGATACTGAGAATGAAGGTTCCCATGTGCGATGGTACGTGAGTCAGCCCGATACTGTATAACTTTGTCAGACAAGAAACATAACAGCTATCTCCGCCAACAAAACTTATGAACTGTTTCGTCAGACACTTGAAGCTTTTCGTGGCTTCAATGATTGCAAGTCGGGGACAATCGATCAAGCCGCTTGCACTCATGTCCTGATATGTCCGTCCAGTATCTCAGCCTGAACTAGAAGAATATGCCAGTCTCGTCACCATCTAGTAGCTCGCCTCGGCGACAGCAGATGCATTCATGTGACACCTGCAGACGTCGAAAAATCCGTTGTGACTCGGTTAGAGGTTCTTCGATGCATCAAGAGCCATGCAGCTCCTGTAAACGAGCCGCGATCGAATGCAGGTAAAGCACAAACGCATGACGCAGTCACCAACTTGACCGTTGGGACCTACTGACTCTGTCTTGGTCAGGTTCACAATGGCATGGAAACGTCCAATCCGGCGCAAGATGATGACCGCTACTGGCCGCAACGACCACAATGGAGCAGAAACAGTCGTCCACGGTCGCACGAGCTCCGATCACCATGCTGGGGATGAAGACCAGTCCGCGAATGCGTCTCAAGAAGGTATTGAAAGCGAAGTCTCGGCTGCTCAAGGACTGGTTCGGAGTAGCCTTTCCCAATTCTTTCAGCACGGTCTGCCCTCTTCAAAATGGGATGTTTTCGATACGTCGGATCGAATGAGATTGGCCTACATTGGGACAAAAGTGTCCAACCTGAGTCATCTGATCAACCTGGACCAATCTTCCAGGCATTTCTTGGTATATCCACATCCTGAGGTCCATCCTTCACCACCGCTCACGAGCCGAATGAACATTCCGTCTGCCGCTCGAGATGGAGCCCAGGACATTTACGCACCACTCAGCAAAGAGCTGAGAGACGAATTGATTGAGTCCTTTTTTGGCAAGATCCATCCTATTTTTCCCGTTGTCAATGAAGAACAGTTTCGCTCCAAGTATGACCACGAACAGGACGACACGCCTCTTCTGCTTCTCTACGCCATCTTGCTCGTCGGCGCTCACGTATCCCAGCATCTCAAAGTGAAAAGATCGAGATCCACGTTTAAATCAATCCTCTTTAAAAGGGGAAAGTGGCTCTTTGATTTGCGCCACGAGAACGATCGGCAGCATCTCGTCGCGGCTGCACTATTGTTCACATGGCATCTCGAGAATGCAGATACAGTCAGCATGAATGGATATTACTGGTCCGGAGTAGCCTGTCGTACTGCTTACGGCATAGGCATGCATCGTAATATCCTTTCAGACCCAGACACACCGGACCGAATGCCATGGAGGGATAGACGCCTCTATCGTCGTACATGGTGGACGCTGTTCCAGGTCGAGGTCATGTCAGCGCTGGAACATGGTCGTCCGTCTATGATCCACCTGGAGGATTTTGACCAGGGACCTCTGGATGCGAGAGACTTTGAAGATTTCCAGGGCGCTCAGAGTACTCTCGCCCCGCACCTCCAATACTGTGCAAGGAACGTTGAGCTGTGTTGTATCGTGCTGGACATGTTGCGATTGACGTCGCCAGGTCACCCCAAAACGGATTCCCGACTAGATCTGGAAGCTTTCCAGACAAGACTTGCAAATTGGGCAATAGGACTCCCTATGACCACCGACTTCTGGTCGTTACAGCTGCAACTTCATTATCACTGTGTTGTTCTACATCTTTTCCGCTTGCATAACAGTGGTCCGGATTTAGCACTGGGTTCCATTAACTGCGCCGAATTGTGCAGTGGTGCTGCACGAGCTATTCTTTCTGTCTTTGAGACGATGATCGCCACCAAAGTTCTCGACCAGTGCTATTCGACAGGCGTAATGGCTCTTACTGCGGCGGCGATCTACCTCTCCAAGGAAACCCAACGATCTATGACCGATGGAGCCATACTAGTGGCACTGAATCATGTCAGAGATCTCGAACGGGTCTTTCCCATTGCGACTGCAGTGTCCGAGTATTGGCCAAACGCTGACGGTGTCCTGAAATTGTTTACCAATCTTGCCGATAAGTTCAAAGTTCTCATATCGGACCAGCAACAGCCTCCAGCACATCAGGAAGGGTTCGACATCAATACTCTGAATGAGATCAACTGGGAAGATATCTTTGCTTATTCCTACCACCAACAATCGACTGGGACAGATGACTGGATGAATGCTTGGCCTGGTCTTGAAGAGTGAAAATTTCAACATTACAGTTGAAATATTATTCCAGAGTCAGTAGCCCAAGCTCCACTCCTCATGGGCAATTACTTCGTCTTCCGGGGGCATGAAGATTTACTCTTGAAGCAGCCTAGTGACGATCCACAAGTCTACCATTTCAGTCTTCAGGTTGAACGAAGTCAATATTCACCAAGATTCTTGACTTTCTGAGAAGTCACGCACAGAACTGGAGAACAATATCTTGAAAATTTCGTCGCATGCATGCAGAAGTCTACTCCTAGATTTACAACTCCCACTCATCACATTCATGCCTTGTGCAGAGAGGACCCTGGACCCGACCGTATCCACAAGAATCCATATACACGCCGAAGTCAAAACTAACATACCAAAGTCTGTCGACTCCAGCACAAGACCAGTGTCTCAGTTCCAGATAGTCACTGAGTTGCGCACTTGCTCAGTTGCCTAGTAAGGCCCTCATCAACCATCTTTTAAAAAGACATAATATACCCACAGTTATCGTTGACCATCGGTTCACGCATTTTATAAGGTATTACAATTTCAGTCCCAACCCTCAGCTCCAACTGTGCCTTTGATAGCCTTTCGCTTTTCGTTCAGGCTGCTGCCATCCTCTAACTTTTAGATCCATCCAGACCTAATCCACCGCTGTTGCCTTTTCACACGAAGATTTATATAAAGCGACTGACCACCCTCCTTCGTTCAAATTTTCTTCGGTCGTCGTCTTCCATCATCTCGCTCCATTTACATCCCATTCTAATCACATCTGATTCAGTAGCATCCCATTGCATTCACATTCTCTTCCATTCGTGTTAGAGTACGAAGTCAGACAGCTTGTTCAAGCGACCGATTCTTCTCTTTCGTTCACATCCCCTTCCACTTTCCTTCCATTCACACCCCTCCCACTTGCCCACACATACGAAGCCAGACAGGCACATCCGAATAAGCTCTCTACCCATCATGCATAAACTTTATTTGCTGATCATGCTTGTTCTCTTCTGCTTCAACCTCAACATTCGTCCCGTTGAAGCAAAGTGCTGCCTCCCCGGCCTGGACTTCATCTGTGGTGATACTTCCGGTGCCACACCGTGCTGCGGATACGCGAGATGCAATGGTTTCTGCTGCGGATGTCCAGGAGGTTAGTCCTGCTCATCTCATTATGTTTGAATGTTCCCCCCCATCCAATGCTGTTCTATTCTCTAACGTATTGAATTCTCATGACAGTCAAGGTCATCACCGAGGAAATTTGGATCAGGAAGCCAACAATGAGTTGGTTGAGTACGGTTAGCGCACCGCCGAACGTTACATGGACGTGCCGGGATAAGCATATCACGACATGGCGTTATCCATTCACAACATTGGTGCCAACGACCAAGCTAACTGGTGGTATGCTAACGGTCACGTCAACGTCAACGTTGATCCCAACCCCGACGCCGACGCCGACACCAACATTAGAGCCGACAACACTGCCAGAGCCAGAGCCGGAGCCAGAGCCGGAGCCAGAGCCAACGCCAGAGGTTCCACACACCTGGGAAGACTGGAAGGAGCCAGAGCCAACGCCAGAGCCAGAGCCAGAGCCAGAGCCAGAGCCAGAGCCAGAACCAGAGCCAACGTTCACCACAGCCCCAAAAGTAATAATCGTCACCGCGGGGGTTGATGTGAAGGTGACCATCATGCCGCGTAGCGGAGATGGTGGTGTCTTGACCACAGAACCCCCGGCCCCGACCACCTTGGCGAGCGTCAGGAAGCCAAGATCGGTGACTGCTCAGAACGCTACGATAGACGAAGAGCTCATGGACATGTTCCACACCCTGAGTGGGGGACTTACCCTCAAGGGAAAGCAGGTCGTCTCGAAGGACCAGTATATGGGGTTCTTTGGTCTCTCGCGCCTTCAAGCCAGGACCCCCAGGGGGCAAGGTATTCTTCAGAAATTCGCGTGGCATGATCGAAATGGCGATGGACATTTGGATGCGGAGGAGATGATGTTGAGGTGTGACGAGGACGGTTGCGATGACCCCTCATCAGACGGAGAGGAGAAGGTCATTGTGGTCAACTACAACTGACACACATGTCAAAGGTCCGGGGGGCGAGGGTGAATTGAAGGTTGAAAAAAATACTCTCATCTCTATATATACGGACTGTGGAAAGTCACGCCTATGTAACAAGTACCGTACAGGTGGTTGGGATGCCGAGAACATGGCCATACAGTTGACATTCCCGAAAGTACAGAAGACAATTGTGCATACGGGGCTTACGAGAAATGTACCTTGGGACCTGGAGTTTTACCGTGGTGATTTTATTTGCCATTTGATATTTGCGACACGATATGGGCAATGATGCTCATAGTTTCATTCTTGCAGAGAACGATGGAGTTTATAGTATGGGGTTTTCTGGGAAAATGAATCTCTTCTCACCACTGACCAAGCAGCCCAAGATCTTCTTCGTCTTTGTTTTTTGTTTCCTAATTCGTTGCCGCCCGACATCCGGCTTTGATGGCGAGAAAGCAATAATTCACCCCGCTTCGCTTTGGCTACGGGATGTCAAGATAACAAGTTAACACCAGCCTCCGCGCTGAGTTCCGAAGCGGATATCAATGAGTGCCGAGATGTTATCAGAGGAGAAGCCGGCGACTGTCTATGAGTAACGACATGCGTACGCCAAATATCCAGCATAGCCGTCTGGCTGATAGCAGTTCCTTCTGCCAAATTGATGCTGCATTCGTGCTTGATACTGGTCGTGTAGACTTTTTGCATCTATTTTTCCTGGACCTGGTGCTTTTTGAGTGACGGTTCGGCTCGTTTCTTCTTCCAAAAACCGCACAACATGGCCACCGTAACTACCTGGCAGACCATCGCTACAGAATCTCAGGAATCTCTACTCAATTCAATCCCTACCAAATGGCGTCTACCTGGCCCAGTCGACGCTTCGATCACAGACGTCCGCTCAATCCCGCGCACCTGCGGCTTACTGACCGAGAAGCAGCTGGAGTTGACGGAGCAAACGGCCAGCGAATTACTTCCCAAGCTGCATGATGGGACGTTATCATCGGCCGAAGTCACCGAGGCATTTTGTGCTCGAGCAGCTATTGCGCATCAATGTGTAAGTGAGGTCTTTGATGCTTTTATTTTTATTACCAGGATTCCCGAAAATAACGGTTTGCAGGTAAACTGTCTCACGGCATTCTTCTCAGAAGAAGCCATGGCTCGGGCTAGAGAGCTAGATGGTATTCTTGCGAAGACGGGAAAGCCAGTAGGTCCTCTACATGGACTACCTGTTGGTATCAAGGTTCGGGAGACCTCCTCCTGCTAGCCTTTCCCTCCGCTGGCCCTGCTGATATTCCATCACCAGGACATTTTCCACATGAAAGGCAAAAGATTGACAATGGGTTACGTTGCATGGCACGACAATGAGTGCACGACGGACGCTTCGGTCGTTCAGATCCTCAGAAATGCAGGTGGTACGTAAGGATGTTATCTTGTGGAGAGTCACCTTCCTCGCCTTCGTCTGGAGAAGCCCATCTCAACCAACCCCTGTCTTATAGCCGTCTTCTTCGTTCGTACCACGATGCCCCAGACCGGCATGTTTCTCGAGACCTGGAGCAACCTCTGGGGCCGGACGAAGAACCCATTCAACACGAACTTCTCGGCCGGTGGGTCGTCCGGTGGTGACGGTGCCCTCGTCGCCATGCGAGGCGCGCCGTTCTGCCCGTCGACAGACATCGGCGGAAGCATTCGTGCCCCGGGGACGTTCAACGGCTTGTACGCCATGCGTCCCACCTCCGAACGTACGGCGAAGCGAGGGATGGGCACGGCCGCCCCCGGACAAATCTCCATCAAGGTCTCTTGCGGTCCGAACTGCCACAGCATGTCGGATTTGAAACTCGTCACCGAGATACTACTGACACATCATGGTCTCCCGTTCGAAACGACCGCCGTCCCCATGCCTTGGAGGAAGCAAATCAGAGCTCAACAAGGTGACAAACTGTGTTTTGGGTTAATGACGACAGACGATTGTGTCACACCTCATCCACCAATTGCTCGTGCATTGCAGGAAACGGCAGCAAAATTAAGAAGAGCCGGGCATGAAGGTATGGTTTTTGGGGTTTCCTGGAATCTTTTTCTTTGGGATTGGGTGTGAGCACATGCTGACTCTGTATTTTAGTGATCGAATTCAAACCTCCTTTTGACTGCTGGGAAATCGCACATGCAACTGTACGTTCGTCTTGCATGTACTGATCAACTACCCGCTCATACAATATATTGAAAGTCTCATCACCCCCAACTCCATCCATCCTCATTCCAATTCCCCTCCCCTCCAATCTGACTGACACTGTGGGTAAATGTCATATAGTGGCAACTCTGGTTCCAGACCGGCGCGAAGGAAACCATCGACCTGGTCGAATCCTCTGGTGAACCAATCTACTCGACGTTCCAATGGTACTTGGACTTTTTCAAGATCAAACCTTTGACCGTCCCCGAATTGTTCAAGGTAAGCCATGCGCCAGGCACTACATGTAGCACAGACTTGGTGGTTTTGTTGCTGTTGACTTGAAACTGTCTCTAATTTACGTGGATTCGAAGCTCAACACCAAACTCGCCGAATGTCGATACTCCTTCACGCGGGCATGGCACGAGACGAGCGAGCGCACCGGCACCTCGCGTCCCATCGACGCCCTCATCGCCCCCTGCGCCCCTTCGGCGAGTTTCCCCCACGGCCACCCGGTGTGGTGGGGGTACTTTAGCCTCTGGAACCTGTTGGACTATCCCAGCGTCGTGATGCCGATGAAGAAGATGAGAGTCGATCCGATCAAGGACGCAAAAGGGGATATAAATCACACCCCAAAGGACAATGTCTTTGACAAGATGAATTGGGAAATGTGTCAGTATTCTTCTCCAGCCCCTGGCCCTTTCTGTGAAAGACTTTGTGTCACCCCCCACCCCTTTTCTCACTCAAATTGTACTTATTTTGATGAGTTGCCTGTACTGTTACAACTGTGTGATATATATCCGAGTACTGACTCCGCAAATTAACAAAGACGATCCGGAACTTTGGAAAAATCAACCCTTGACTATTCAAATCGTGAAACCTCAATTCATGGATGAAGAACTCATATCTGTCTCTGAGACTATTGATGAGTTATGTAATGCGTGAAGAAAAAAGGACTCGTGGGTGAGGAAATAAAAAAGAGGTCTATCATATAGCACGTATAGAGAGAGAGAGAAAGAGAGAGAGAGAAAGAGAGAGAGAGAGAGAGAGCATGGATAAGTCTCGTTGGCATCACTAGGGGGAGGAACTCGACGAGACTTTTGCGAGATAGATATTGATATCAGGTTTTCAGTAATGTCCACGGACACGCTATTTCCGCCTCCTTTTTGTACCTTTTTCAATCTCGTGTAGGGTGGTCCAACAAGTCAGTCCATCCACATCCCGTACTCATATCTCGGGCACAAAAAGACCTTTCAATTTCTCGTGATGGGAAGCGCTTGAAAGTGGAAGTCTCATCTTAGTAACAAATGGTCGCTATCACTGATCAGTTGAAATAGTCGCCATTTTGGGAACCATAATGCCTTTCCCTTATCGTGAAGGCCTCATTCCATTTAGCGAACACAAAGCCCCCCCTATTTCGTCTCGTATTTCTTTCTGATAATCTCGTCGTATTGTAAATACGCACCAAGCATAACTTCTGCACTCGCCGCACAGCTGTGATGTATTCTGTCAGTCAAAAAACTCGACTCTGGATTGGAAAAGTGTTACATACTCTTCTGGCCGACTGTATTCAGCTGGATTATGGCTTACACCGTTCCTGCACCGGGCAAAGATCATGGCAGTAGGAACCTTCTTCGCCGTATACACACTTGCAAACGATTTCGTCAGCATTGAAAAGGGGTTCGTTCACAGATAGGAAACGTCGTGCTCTAACCTGTCATGTCCTGCTCCGCTGACAATCTCGTGCGAGCAATCATATTGCCCCATCGAGGCGCGGATACAGTTCTTCATCTCCTCGTTGAAATAGGTGGCAGGAGATTGCCAAAATCTGTCCATCTCCAGGGCTACTCCGTGCTCCTTGGAGATCTTCTCGAACTTCTCCCGGCACAGTCGTTCTAGCTCTTCGACACCTTCATCTTCCGGAGACCTCAGGTCCAGATTCATGCTCACGTCACCCGCGATGGTGTTGGTGCTCTGGGGAAGGGAGTTGATGACGGCAATGGTCCCTCGGGCTCCGCGCGCGGCGAGTTCAGGCTGGGTCGCGACCTCATTGACGGCCACGATCATCTTGGCGGCCGCCAGGAGAGTGTCGTTCCGTCGGTCCATGGGAGTGCTGCCGGTATGTGCCGACCGCCCTTTCAGGTTGAGGTGGTACCACCTCATCGACTGCACCGATTTGACCAGGCCGACTGGCTTCTCAGCTTCGTCCAGAATAGGTCCTTGTTCGATGTGGACCTCGAAGTGTGCCAGGAGAGGATTCGCTTCATACGAGCACGGGACGTCACCTACGTACCCGATACGTTCAATCTCCTGCTTGAGGGTGATCCCATCTGGGTCGGACACCCCGTGGGCATACTCCGTACTGTACACTCCTCCCCAGACGCCAGAGCCCAGCATGGCAGGGGCCCAGCGCGCCCCTTCCTCGTCGGTCCAGTTGATCACTGCCAATGGAGCGTAGGTTGTGATGTTGTGTTCATGAATCACCTTGAGAACCTCGATGGCACAGCAAACCCCCAAAATCCCGTCATACTTTCCACCTGTGGGCTGCGTATCGAGATGTGATCCCAGCCCGATTGGGGGAATGCCATTGTTCTGACCTGGTCGAGTGGCGAAGATGTTGCCCATCGCGTCGATCTTGTGACTACACCCATACTTTGCCGTCTCGGCAATGAACCAGTCACGTACTTCCTTGTCGTCGTCGTTGCCTGAGAGCCGGTTCATCCCTCCGTCCTCTGTACTTCCCCATTGACAAGAGAATTGTAGGGTTTCATTCATACGCTCCGCATTGGTGCGGAGGTTCGCGTATGTCGAGCTCAAGGACTTGGTGATCATGGTCGCGGACATTTGTTTTCTCAAGTACGCAGCATGCAGTGTGGCTTAGAGTATTTTTAATCATTCACCGAAGAAGACAAGACAGTATAGCTACCAACGATCGATCGATGCTTCTTCAAATCCATCTTTTAAAGGAGATGAGGTCGGTTAGATGCCGATTGAACTGAAGCTAGCGCGGTCCTCCGACAGCGGCAATGCGGCATTGCGGACAGCGGGGGCGGCAACTGTTATCAGCCTGATGCCCCTCTCAAAGTACTGCCGAGGACAATGAGCGTAAGATCGGCTCACCTTAAAGGGGGAATTACAGACTCTGGATGAAGTCACAAGGAGAGTAGAAGCAGGTGTGGCTGTTTGAGGCGGATCTGATATCCCACTCCACCCTTGCGGTGCTTCTTTTGCTCCATACCGTACTCCACATTCTCGTGACGTGGACAATATCATTTCTAAATATGCCCCAATTGTATCGTGAAGAAGTGAGGATGTGCCTCGTTCTCTTAACATTCGTTAGTTGTGCAGGCGAATTCCTATGTCCAAACAACCGGTGACTTCAACATCAGAGAGCGACAACGACCTATACCGGAGTAGCGCTAGCATGCACCAAATTCAGGTCACACAGAGTCAAAGCAAGTATTCCACTGGGCCACTTGCTTGAGAATTCACCCGCTCTAATAGTATAACAACTGTGCGATCGTCAACGTGCAACATGTTCGCGATGTCTTGGAATAGGGGTGACGGCCTATAAAGCGCTTGGGACCTTATATATAATTCCGACACCGGATCACCAAATATACCACGGCAGATGGGATAATAGGAGGTGCATATTTGGATGTAGTTGCCGGCAAGGAGATTCTATTCTCGTCAAAAAAAACAATTCCAGATCCGTGGCACGTCTTAAAAGCGGCAGACCATTCCTTGTGCCGCCAAGACTACGGGGAATTTATCCGTTGGCAACGGAGCGCAGAGCACGATTGCGCAGGCCGCAGACCGGAAACGCTGCCCAACGACCCGTATCACGACACTTTTTGAGTCCATTCACTACATCTATTCCTCGTTGCATATACCTACTCGCAAGTCCGCCGTCCTAGCGGGAGACAGTACACCCGAGACTCTCGCGCTCCTGGCACACTTCGAAGCTCAGCCCACACCTCTGCCTTCTCAGCCTTACCTCGCATGAGAACAACCCCACGATCCCTCCCACCCTTGCAGCCATGGCGCGCGTCTACGCCGATGTCAATGCCAACATGCCACGGTCCTACTGGGACTACGACTCGGTATCCATCTCGTGGGGCATTCTGGAAAACTATGAGATCGTCAGAAAGATCGGTAGGATGACGAGGCGGACCACCATTGTACGAGTATGAGGCTAACAAATCTGCGCGCAGGACGAGGAAAGTACTCTGAAGTTTTCGAAGGCATTAATGTTGCCAACTATCAGAAATGCGTCATCAAAGTGCTCAAGCCTGTTAAGAAGAAGAAAATTAAGCGTGAAATCAAGATTCTGCAGAACCTCTCCGGCGGGCCAAACATCGTAGCCCTCCTAGACGTAGTACGCGACAGCCAAAGCAAGACACCGAGCCTAATATTCGAAAATGTGGACAACACTGACTTCAGGACACTCTATCCGCGGTTCGTCGATTACGATGTGCGGTACTATATCTTTGAGTTGCTCAAAGCATTGGACTTCTGCCACAGTAAAGGGATCATGCACCGAGACGTCAAACCGCACAACGTTATGATCGACCATGCGAAAAGAAAGGTGCGTAGATCGACTCCATGAGCGCAATGGGATACTGATGCCGTCTATAGTTGAGACTGATCGACTGGGGCTTGGCGGAATTCTATCACCAAGGAACAGAATACAATGTCCGAGTGGCATCGCGATACTTCAAGGGTCCTGAGTTGCTGGTCGACTTTCAGGAATATGATTACTCGCTCGACATGTGGTCACTGGGTGCCATGTTTGCCTCGATGATTTTCCGCAAGGAGCCCTTTTTCCATGGCAACAGCAATTCAGATCAGCTCGTGAAGATCGCAAAGGTACTTGGTACCGACGAGCTCTTTGAATATCTCGACAAGTATGACATCGAACTCGACGCTCAGTACGACGACATCCTCAGCAGATTCCCCAAGAAACCATGGCAGAGCTTCGTGAATGCCGACAACCAGCGGTTTGTGAGCCCGGAAGCCATCGACTTCCTCGACAAGCTGTTGAGATATGATCATCAGGTTTGTTTTTCCAGCCGCCTTCCGCAACTATCCTGACCATTTCTAGGAACGTCTCACAGCCCAAGAAGCCATGGCACATCCCTACTTCGCGCCAGTAAGGAATGCAGCCGCACAGCAAAACTCGCAAAACCACGTTTCTTGAAAGACAGGATGATGGACAGACGGAAACTAATCTTCAAACACGATCGCACAGGCAGTCGCAACGATCCACACGGCCAACGTCCTGGGAGCATACGAAAGAGTTGTAATGAGTGACGAGATATCAGGTGGCAGTAATCCACAATTTTCACCACAGGACGGCCAGGGATGAACGACAGGAGCACGATGACGAATTGAGGGATCTAGTATGCAAGGCTGTGGGATGGGCCCTCAGCCTATACCCAGGATGGACGTGCAGATTAGGATAGAGTGTTGTTGCTGGAAGAAACTCGACTCAATTGTCACACTACTGTTATCCCTAATCATCATAGAAGCGCAACATATACCATTCGATTACCGACCTATCTCCTGCGTCCCAAGTGTGATTGTGGAATACTCGTACTGTATCTGCTTCTCTTGTCGTGTGATGTCAGTCTTGGCATTGGCCTCTTCCCGATATAGTGAGCTGCGGTTTCACGAGGGCTCTGCGACTCATAATTTCCTCCAGCCTGACAATCGCATTAAATACACTGACTCTCCCCAAGAGACACTGCAGTGACTCATTGGAATTTTGACGTGTGTCATATGTATTAATACCTCTCGTACTGCGCCGAACGAAGCCATAGGGCTTTCAAGCAAAATACTCTGCAGGTCTCTTCGCCTACGCCCACCTCCTGCTTGGAGACGGCTATATCGTTTCAACATGGCTCTCAATGCTGCGTCTCACAACGTCAGTAAGTACAGACGTGGTTTCACTCCTTCACGACTCGTGACTGACCTTTCCCTCAAGCTGGCGATCCAACGGGCTCCCCTTCGGGCCCTCCTCCACCCGTCTCTTCAGAAGTCGCTGCCACTGCCCAAGATGCGGCGAAGAAGGATGCGTTGGGCAACAATGTGCCCGGCAAAGATCAACAAAACAATGAGAATGGACAGACCGTGATGGGTGCTGCAGGAAAGCCAAAGACCGCTAAAGAAAGTATGAACGACGATAACGCTGATGGACCACATTGACACTACCTGCCCGCCATTTTCGCGCGGACTGCATTACTCGCTTTGACTCCTTTGAGGACAAGTACCGGAGCGCCAAAGACTCATGGTGTATGACTGGGAAAGTGTCTATAGAGTTAAACGCAGCATGTAGTCAAAGCATCTACCCGCAATAGACACAGTCCCTCCCTCTATACGCTGCCCCTGCAAGTTCTAGGAATTACACATCTGACATATATACGTGACGCAGTTGAGAAAGAGCGCAAGAAGGCCGAAAAGCTCGCCAAGTTTCTAGAAAAGCAATCCAAACAGCAACCGCCTGCCGCGGACGCAGCCTCGAAAGCCCCGAAGAAAGAGAAGGTCAAGAAGGCCGCCGCTGTCGACGCCTATGAGCCTCAAAAGATTGAATCCGGTCGTTACGAGTGGTGGGAAAGCCGGGGTTACTTCAAACCTGAATTCACGAAAGATGGCAAGATCAAACCAGAAGGAAAATTCGTCATTCCGATCCCTCCTCCCAATGTGACGGGTTCGTTACACATGGGCCATGCTCTCACCAACTCTTTACAAGATACCATGATCCGACATGCACGGATGAAGGGGAAGACTACCGCATGGATCCCTGGTTGCGACCATGCTGGGATCGCCACGCAAAGTGTTGTGGAGAGAATGGTGTACAAGATGGAAGGCAAGACCCGGCATGACATAGGCCGTGATGCTCTGCTTGAGAAGATCTGGACCTGGAAAGAGAAGTATCACCAGAACATCACCAACCAACTGAAGCGTCTTGGTGGTTCGATGGATTGGAGTCGAGAGGCTTTCACCATGGACGAAAACCTTTCGCTTGCGGTGCGCAAAACGTTCATCGACCTCTTTGAGGAAGGTATCATCTACCGGGCTAACCGTTTGGTCAACTGGTGTTCTGCATTGAGCACCTCACTTTCTAATCTCGAAGTCGACAACAAAGAACTGAAAGGCCGGACGAAACTGAAGGTGCCTGGCTATGACAAGATGATCGAGTTCGGTGTCCTAACCTACTTCAAATACCCAATAAGCAAAGAAGGCGACGATTCGCACAAGACGTCGACTTCCCCTGACAGATTCAAGGGCCACGAGTTCATTGAGATTGCAACCACTCGTCCGGAGACTATGCTGGGTGATACTGGTATCGCTGTACATCCTAACGATAAGAGATACCAGCATTTGGTGGGCAAGACTGCGATACACCCCTTTCTTCCTGATCGAAAAATTGTTATCTTTGCAGATGAGGAAGTAGAGATGGATTTCGGTACCGGTGCTGTGAAGATTACACCCGCACACGACCCCAGCGATTTTGCCAAAGGCAAGAAGCACAATCTCGAATTCATCAACATTCTTAATGACGATGGTACGATGAACGACAACGCCGGCCCTTATGCTGGACAAAAGAGATTTGATGTGCGTTACGGCGTTATCAATGCTCTAAAGGAGCTTGACCTCTATACCAAACAAGAGGACAATGCAATGACGATTCCCATGTGCCAGAGGAGCAAGGATGTAATTGAGCCTGTGTTGAAACCACAATGGTGGATGAAGATGGCGGATCTCGCCCAAGCTGCAGATGAGGCTGTTCTTGATAGGAAGATTCTCATCAAACCCGAATCAGAGTCTCGACGTTTCCACCACTGGATGCAAAATATCCAAGATTGGTGCATCTCTCGTCAACTATGGTGGGGTCACCGTGCACCGGCGTACTTCATCCAGTTCGAGGGTGAAGCCAATGATGAAGGAGACGACAATCTTTGGGTTTGTGCTTACGATGAGCAGGAAGCACGTGCCAAGGCAGAAAAGAAATTCCCAGGCAAAAAGTTCACCCTGCGATGGGACGAAGATGTGCTGGATACCTGGTTCTCGTCTGGTCTCTGGCCATTCTCGACTTTAGGTTGGCCAAAGGACACCTTGGATATGAGAGAGCTATACCCTACGTCAATGCTTGAAACCGGCTGGGACATTCTCTTTTTCTGGGTGGCTCGTATGGTCATGCTGGGATTGAAGATGACTGGCAAAGTTCCATTCACCGAGGTCTACTGCCATTCACTCATTCGAGACGCTGAAGGACGAAAGATGTCGAAGTCGTTGGGCAACGTTATTGACCCATTGGACATTATCAGAGGTATCACATTGGAAGACCTTCACAAGACTCTTTATGCGGGTAATCTGGACCCAGCCGAGATTGAACGGGCAAAATCATACCAGAAGTCGGCCTTCCCTAAGGGTATCGAGGAGTGTGGTTCTGACGCCCTGCGATTCACCTTGGTTAACTACACCACCGGTGGAGGTGACATTGCTTTTGACATCAGGGAAATCGAAGCCAAGCGACGATTCTGCAATAAGATCTATCAAGCCACCAACTTTGCCCTTGGTAGACTGGGTGAGGGCTTCGTACCCGATGCCAAGTCGACAGACAATGAGCCCAAAACGCTCTCCGAGAAATGGATTCTCCACAGGCTCAATGCGGCTGCCAAGGAGGTCAATGAGGCCATCGAAGGGCGGGAATTCTCTGTGGCAGCCGGCACACTTTATCAGTATTGGTTCTCTCAGCTCTGCGATACGTTCATTGAGAACTCCAAGTTCATCCTGACACCTGAAGCACCGGACGACGTGCGGAAGTCGGCACAGCAAACCCTCTATACCGCACTTGAAGGAGGCCTGTTGTTGATGCACCCACTGATGCCTTTCTTGACAGAGCATTTGTGGCAGAAATTGCCCCGTCGCAAGGATGATAAGACGGAGAGTATCATGGTTGCTAGATATCCAGAGTACACAGAGAAGCTCGACAACCCCAAGCAAGCCGAGGAGTACGAGTTCATTATGGCAATTGCGACTGGCTTTCGAAGCCTGCTGTCACAGTATGGATTCAAGGAGCCTGGAGACCTGCTCATTCAGACATATTCAGAAACGGCCTTCAAGACTGTTTCCGACGAGCAAACCTCCATCAAGTCCCTCGGTGGAAAGTACGCCGGCGAAATTGAAGTTCTTCCTCCTAGTGCCGCTTCCCTCCCTCCTGCTGGATGTGCACTTCAGAGCATCAATGCCGACGCAGCGGTGTATCTCAAGGTAGCCGGCAAGGTGGATCTCTCGGAGGAGCTCAAGAAGCGTGCTAAGGGTGTTGAGGACGCCAAAGCCCGAATGGAGAAGAGCAAGAAAATCATGAATGCGGCTGGATGGGAGAAAGCCAGCCCAGAGACGAGAAGAAAGGAACAAGAGAAGCTAGAGGATGCAGAGAGCGAGGTGACGAGGTTACAAGAAGCCATCAAAGATCTAGAGAGGTTGCAACTAGAGGGCTAGAGGGCCGGATATATTGTGAATCGAGGAGCTATTTCGTGGGCGTGCCTTTCATCTGGACTTGGTCGGCTCTATCTGTAGAAAATTATGAGTGTGGTTGGCTTTTTATGCATCTATGAGATACTAGAGGACGGTCCATGGGTAGAATGAGGCCGCAGCGTGCCTAGAAGCCCAAGCTAAGCAGACCCTAGGCGTGCTCTTAGGCACCGAACCTCGCATATAGGGGCTATACCATGTACTAAGTTTAGTTCCCTTCCAGGGAGTTACTTGGTGCCTGTCGGCGTCTAGTGTCCCGGCCATTCCCGACGGCAATAAAAAAAAATTAGGAGCGGACAACAACAATTCAGCGAACTGCGCAGTCTCATTGACTTTGATGCTCCCAAATGTAGTGTATGGAGCACCTCACATAGACTTCTACATACCTAGAAATTTCGAAGAGCCAGTTTCTAGCATTAGTTTTCTACTTCGGCCACCTGCGTATATTATGGGTTGAGATACGGAGTACACATCTTTTAGCACCCGACGAATTCGCTCGCGTGTGCGGTGGCCGTTCCATTTCTTTTCCTCCCCCCCTGCGCCTCGACAATCAGCCGCAGCTGCAAATGCCGCTGACGCAGGTCCTCCGCGTTGAAACGCGACATGTGTCCCCTTGCCTAATAAGACAGTATTCCAAACACAGTCAGAAAACATTTACAAGACCTTCGAGCAGCTCGTTGTTGCGTAAATCTTCATCTACCACGGTCTCTCTGTCGGTGCGAAGTGTACTACCGCCTGCGCTGTGCCCTCTAGCCACCCGTCCTCCTCGCTCCTTTCCGATGTCCTTTACACAAACCCTCACCCAGGCCAGGAGCCACGCCGGCCACTCACACGGCCATGGCCACTCCCACGATACGGCGTACCTGACCTCGAACAACAAAAACGACGCTGGCGTCAAAATCACAAGGATAGGTCTGTTTGTGAACCTGGCCATGGCCATTGGGAAGGGAATAGGGGGCTACGTCTTCCACTCCCAGGCGTTGATCGCGGATGGGTTCCATGCCCTGACCGACCTGGTGTCCGACTTTATGACTCTGGCTACTATATCTTGGTCACTCCGACCGGCGACCTCTCGCTTCCCCAGTGGCTACGGCAAGATTGAGAGTCTGGGTGCTCTGGGTGTTAGTGGGCTGTTGTTGTTCGGTGGCATGGGGATCGGGCTCAACGCCGTGGACGCCTTGTATTCCCAATTTTTCCTTGATGCTGCTGCACATGCCCACGAGCACGCGGAACACTCTCATGGTCTGTTCTCGTTGCTCGGGCACAATCATAGCCACGGGGCCGTGGTTCCAGACCTGAATGCTGCATGGCTGGCTGGAGGTTCGATCTTGGTGAAAGAATGGTTATACCGAGCTAGTAAGTCCAGCTCTCATACCCCTGTGCTTGTACGACTGCATATACTAACCTGGGACAGCTATCAAAGTAGCCCGAGAACGCAAGTCGGCTGTACTCGCTTCGAATGCGGTTCATCATCGTGTCGACTCTCTTACGAGCATCGTCGCCCTGGCTACGATCGGCGGGGCACATGTCTTCACGGACGCATCTTGGTTGGACCCTGTTGGAGGACTACTGATCTCGGCCATGGTCATTCGAGCTGGCTGGGGTAATACTAGATCTGCCTTGCTCGAGCTGGCCGATGTGACCGTGGACGACGAGGTCAAGACATCCGTCCGCCGCGCAGCCACGAAAGCCCTCAAGGGCGATGCCGCAAAGGGCATCACGGCGGTCCCCTTTGGAGACCAAGTTGAGATCAGAGATGTTCAGGGCACGAAATCCGGTCAAAACTATCTCCTCGATATCGAGCTTGCTGTACCCCAAGGTTTCACTCTTCACCAGATGGAAGACATAGAGAATGCAGTGCGCGAAAGGACAGGCGCAAAAGTTCGAGGTGTCCGCCGGGTCCGGGTCAAGTTCGTACCCACAGAACACACACAGTCTACTCTCGCAGATGACTTCATTCCTGCCGATGTCAGTCCACGGAGCAGTCCGGAGCCTGAAGACGAGCACGATCATGACCACAACAATCATGACCATCATCATACGAATGGACACATCCGCAATGCAAGTAAAACAAAGAAGGAGACCTGAAAAGTTGCGGATTTTTGAATGTTTTGGCACTCTGGTATTTTTTTTGGTCTTCGGTGCAAAACTCCGGCGGCAGCTCCACCAAAATTCGAAGCGTGATTTCAGGCTGATATCATCCCGCCGACCACCGGCGACTGTAAAGAAAGACCGGCCAGGCCGTCCTTGACCCCGCGCGTTATTCGACCACAGCCAAAAAAACATTTCTTGCAGTTGGTACATTCGATCTGTGCTATTCAGGGATCCGTATAGACTCGTCAAACGACCTTTTTGAAAGCGCGTGGCATCGCCAATTTTGACTATGGCATCTACGGGGCCTTTATACCTGGGCTTTGACCTCTCAACCCAACAACTGAAAGGGCTGGTGGTGGACGATAGTCTCAAAAAGGTGCACGAGGCTAAATTTGATTTCGATGCCGACGCCAAGGGTTTCAATATCAACAAAGGTGTTCTTGTCAACGAGGCCGAACATGAAGTGTTTGCTCCCGTTGCAATGTGGTTGCAAGCCATTGATACTTTGTTGCTTAGATTGAAAGATGATGGTCTCGACTTCAAAAGGATCAAGGGCATCAGCGGCTCGGGGATGCAGCATGGCAGTGTATTTTGGAACGCAGATGCAGAGCAACTGCTAGCTCAGCTCGATCCCGAGAAGACATTACAGTCACAGCTCGACGGCGCCTTTGCTCACCCATTTAGTCCAAACTGGCAAGACGCCAGCACGCAAAAGGAATGCGACGAATTTGATGCGGTTTTAGGAAACGAGCACCAGCTAGCAAACGTCACGGGAAGTAAAGCACATCATCGCTTTACCGGTCCACAGATTCTGCGGTTTCAAAGAAAGTACCCCGATAAATACATCAAAACTTATAGGATCACGCTCGTGTCATCGTGGATTGCTACCGTGTTTTTGGGCAAGTTTGCCCCGTTTGACATTTCCGACGTATGCGGCATGAATTTGTGGGATATCAAGGCTGGGAAGTGGAACGAGAAACTTCTCGAACTCGCCGCCGGACCATCTGGCGTGGACGCCCTCAAAAAAAAACTGGGCGATGTCCCGGAGGACGGTGGCATCCATCTGGGCAACATTTCGGACTACTTTGTACGCCGACACGGCTTCAGCTCGGATTGCACCATCATCGCATCGACGGGAGATAACCCGTCGACGATCCTCGCCTTGCCGCTCAAGAAGAACGACGCCATAGTCTCGCTGGGCACGTCGACCACGTTCCTCATGAGCACGGCCCAGTACAGGCCCGATCCCGCGACGCACTTTTTCAACTCCCCCACCACACCGGGACTGTACATGTTCATGCTGTGCTACAAGAACGGCGGCCTGGCGAGGGAAAAGGTACGAAACGCGATCAACGCACAAGCCGGCGTCGACGATACAAACTCATGGAGCGCGTTCGACGAGAACCTCCTCTCGACGCCGCCGTTGGCCCAGGACGACCCGAGCAAGACGCCGATGAATCTGGGCCTGTATTTCCCCCGACCCGAGATCATTCCCAACCTGCCCGTGGGCGAGTGGCACTTTGAATACGACCCCGTGTCGGACGAGTTGAAGAGGAGCCGGGGCGTGCCGCGGTCGCCGGAACAAGACGCCCGGGTCATCGTCGAGAGTCAATTCTTGTCGCTGCGGCTGCGGTCGCGGGACCTCGTCCACTCGCCCGGCCCCGGACTCCCCCCGCAGCCGAGGCGCGTGTACATGGTCGGCGGCGGCAGTCGGAACAAGGCCATCGCCCGGGTTGCGGGCGAGGTGCTGGGCGGGTCCGAGGGCGTGTTCAAGTTGGACGTGGGTGAGAACGCGTGCGCGTTGGGGGCCGCGTACAAGGCCGTGTGGGCCGTTGAACGGGACCCGGGCGAGACGTTCGAGGATCTGATCGGCAAGCGGTGGAGGGAGGACGAGTTCGTCGAGAAGATCGCCGACGGCTACCAGCCCGACGTGTTTGAGAGGTACGGCCGGGCCTTGAAGGGGTTCGAGATGATGGAGCTGAAGCTGTTGGAGGAGAGGAAGGAGGGCAAACTGGATGAATGATTTGGTCCTCCTCGTTCCATCCCATCATGACCTGTCCTGCCTTGTCCTGCCTTACCCTACCTTACTCCTTCCTAAGAGAGGGGAATGTGTGGAATATGCTCTTCAAGGTACTTGTGAGGCAGGCAAATGAAAAATGTATTTTTACTGAAGAGCATATACCGAATGAAAACTAAAATTAACATGACATGATATGAGGTGGCAATCGACGGGCGTGGTATATCATTAAACATACGGATCCTTGGTCATTCTCCAATGGACGTAGTATATCATAAATACACACGATTACTTGATCATTTGTCTTCATTGAAAAGCTCACTCATACATATCAGGTCTCACACGAAAGTTGTTTTGATACAAACAAGCCGTTCAGTTTGTCTCAAAGTCATGAAAGCCATACCATGAAAGGGAGAAAAGAATTGGAGGCTCGACCTGGGATGCCTCTTTTTTTTCCAAGACCGACACGTCCATAGTACAGCTGCCTCCTGGGGCAAGCAGTCGATGAGGACCACTCTGTTTTGCCCATGTCTTTCCCATTCCCAGTGCATCAAGATTGCCCAAAAAAAAGTCCACAAAGTTTGGTCTGATACACACGGCTTTTTTGGTCCCATATTGTACGCTGTAATCGGGACGAATTGATACTGCCACAAGACGCACAACGGGGCCAGTGGCCAGACACAGAAGCTAGGTGCAACGAACGGTATGGTGGTGGACCGTGATGTGCTTATACCAAAACCTTCGCAGCCATCTGTCTAGACCTTCCTTTGAATGTCCCTCTTCAAAGCTCTGTCATTGGTGTGGTGCTGGACTGGCTGGAGCGGGGAAGAGTATAAATCGGTTGATGGCAAATCACTTGAAGAATCTTCCCATCATGTTCCCGGCCAGGTTTCTCGCGATTCCCGACCCCATGAATGCCGTACCTGCGAAACTCGACGCTTGACTGAACTTGTCACACCTCGAAAAGGCAACCGTGTTGGTTATGGTGAGGATGAGTGCGATTGCTACGAAGAACAGAAAAAGCGTCAGCCATGTCCGAGGGATCCCAACAAAAAAAAAGGAATGGGGGTCGTCAGACTGAGTGGCAGAGAGAAAGACCAACAACTCACCGATCGTCACGAGCCATATCAGATTCTGTAACCTCACGATGGCCAATATCGCCAATGCCACCCACAGCGCGGGGCCGATGTACATGCTCAGCCAGAAGAATCGCTTGTCCGTCTTGTTCTCGTTGCGGGTTCCCTCCGGGGCGGACTCGAAGACCCAGTGACTGTCCCCCGTCGAGGTGTTGACCTCGTTCCACCACCGCAGGCCGACCAGTCGGCGGCCCGCGATGTTCTTGAGGTAGTAAAAGTCGACCGACAACAAGAGGAGGGTGAGGATGAAGACCAGCACAAAGTTGCGGATGAAGAGGACCCCGAAGAGGTACATGAGTAGGCTCCCTGTTTTTCAATTTACGCGCACCGGTCAGTCGAGGACACACAGCGTAAAATGTCAGAAACCCCCTTACCGATTCGAAAGCCCAAGTACGTGAGGAGCGTGATGGGATGCGCGCTCAGGCGCCAGTTGAGAGTGCCTGGTTCGTCTGCCATGTTTTGGGGAGGGGGGACAGATCTGGGGATGATACAAAGAATCCTAGGGTGGGTGTGTGTGGATGTTATACCTGTGCCGGGACAAAGGGCATCGTGTGGGAGAGAGTTGGCGATTCGAGGTGAGTGAGTATACCAGGTAAGAATATGGCAAAGTGTCAAGTGGGTAGAGAACACATGCGCGCGTTGGGAAATATGTGATCACGTGAGGGACATACCTAGTACATCTTCCAGTCTTTCCTTGACTCCAAGCTTCGACTGGCATGTTTCCCTCAACCCTCCAACACGAATGTATGATTTCCTTTGTTCTCAAGCTAGGCTTGGCCACGTCCTACGACTCGCGCAGTAGAGTCATCGTTCTCAAGGTGATGCAATGACATACAAAATATCTCGTAACATTTGCCGTGTGAGGATTTTACACAACGACAATCATTATCCATTTCACAGCGGGAATGGCCATTCACCCGACAATTCGTCCGTGGACCTGTTTCCGTGTGTATCGGAACCAGTACGACGCGAGTCGCTGACTTTCCTCCCAAAAGTAGTATCGTTGCGGGTGATCGAGACTACAAGGGACGGATATACAATCTGCAAAGCCCGTTAAGGGTGTATATAAAAGGACAGACGGGCACGTCGTGATGGCCATGTTGAGTCGGGGTCTAAAATATCTATCTCTTGGTTGAGATTCAGAAAGGCAAGGTATTACACGTTTCAACTGAAGAGTGGAAATACTTAGAAATCATGTTACCCGCAAACGCAGTTTGGTTCAGTAAGTTCCCGTGAAATGAAGGAGTGCAGACGGTTCAGTCTCGGGACAACAACAGACTGATTTCAGACCAAAGTTACCGGCTGCTCAAATGGAGGTATCGGAGCTTCGATAGCACAGTATGCCTTGTCCCAAGGTCACCGTGTCGTGGCCACTGCTCGGAAGACGAGCGCACTGTCATACCTTGCCGACGACCCGGAGACGACACTGAAACTTCAACTCGACGTATGCAGTACCGAGTCGACCGACGCAGCTCTCGCGGCGGCCCTGGCGACATTCGGCCGCATCGACGTCATGGTCAACAATGCCGCCATCAACGCCATCGGCGTCACCGAAGCCTTGACCGAAGAGAGCATGCGTGCCGTCATGGAGACCAACTTCTGGGGTCCCATGCGCATCACACGCAAAGCCATCGCCATCTTTCGGGACGTCAATTCCAAGTCTGGTGGTGGAATAGGAGGCACGGTCGTCAATGTCAGCACCATCGGAGGACGAATCGCCCTGCCGGCCGAAGCACCGTACCACGCGAGCAAGTTTGCCCTGGAGGGGTTCAGCGAGTGTATCGCATCGGAACTCGCGCCGGACTGGAAGATTCGGGTCTTGATCCTCGAACCAGGCGGCACCAAGACTCACTTCATCGAGAATTCGCGAGCGAACACGGGACCGTCTCATCCCGCGTACAACGACCCATCATGATCTACCGGTGAATCTCATGCTCGGAGCCATTTCGAACCCGGCCCTCAACGATGGCTTGGTCGATCCCAGAGAGCTGGCCAAATGTCTGTTCAACACGTTACAGAAGGACCACATACCTTTGCGATTACCTACCGGGCCAGATGCGTATGCAATGATCAAAGCCAAGGAAACGGCCAAGTTGGAAGAGCTGGAAACATGGCGAGAAGTCAGTGAGAGTGTTGGTGGTACTGGGGTCCTGGGGACCATCAGGGACATGTAGTTCCTAGCCTTAATATGTGCAGTAGGATTCCTGGAGCCGTGAAGATATACCTAGTAGATCATTCATCCGAGACAAGCGTTAAAAAGTGATGCAAGTCTCATACAAAAACATCCCATGTATGTCGAGATAGGTGTGTATATGGAAGTATTTTAAGCCGAGATGCTTCTGGCTCGCTTAACCTGCCCCGGCCTCATACGACTTTATTTGATGTACGGGCAACAACTATAACACAACGTACTCGACATTGCATAGATCTACAACGAAGCACGGCGCACATCTTTTGTCCAACTACACAGTCCTCCATCAATGGAACCGTTAGGACGGTAACCCACGTCCCTCGACATGCCTCCACCACCCTCGAACCTCCCTCCAGCACCGCATCCACTCCGATACGCTCACGATGCCGCTCGCAGCGTACCCGGCAACAGTCGCAGGTCCAGACCGTTGACGTACGCACTCAGTATCGCCGGTATCGCCGGTTCGGGAGCCTTGATCGGTGCTATTCTCAACATGAACTCTCAACGACAATCTCGGCAGGTAAAGCTTTTTCTATTCCGAATCTGAGGAGGTGACTCGCTGATGTATCAAGTAGAAGCAGAGCCCGTCAAAGCCACCACTATCGCCACAAGCACAAGCAGAAACAGAAGGGGAGGCCCCGCAGTCGCGAACACGACCACAACTAGCACAGGGAGTAGATCACTCCCAAGCCATTCAGACGTTGGAAACGAAGAGAGGACACCTCGTGGCGCAAAAGTTGCAATTGGAGCGGAGGATCAACGACTTGCACGAAACTCGACGACGACGACAGGCCGAGGAGGAGGAGCAAGAAAAGGAAGCTACAAAAGTGAAGTGAGAAAATGGATCGGTACGAAACTCTGGCTGGCAAGTGCCCGAGGATGAGGAAACGAAACGAAACCTACCGCAATCGAAAGCATTGCCCCCACGGCATCGGTCTTGATACAGACAAGAGCAAGAGCGAAGGCCCCCTCATGTGTCGTCGATGCTCTCGGAAGTACACCGCCGACCAGGTACCTCCATACCTGGCACTACTACTAGGCACCCTCTGAGGCCTCAAAATGTCCGGTCCTGGACCAGCGGGAAGATGAAAGCCGGGCACATTTGACAGACTCATTTCATGACTCGATGGCTCGAGCATCCGAATCGTCAAATTCTGACCATGTTATGCTCGACTCGTCGTCCAGGTGACGACTTTGATGATGTCTCTCCAAGTCGGTCGAGAAGGGACAATCCGTCGTCCTCCCACAACATCGTGACCCATACCACGATCGAATGGAATGACAAACACAGGATCGCAAAGTCCGTGTTTGCAGGTTCTAAATTACTCAATGGTCTACGAAACAAGCGAAACATGCCTTGTTCCTCGTCCCTCGAAGCAAGTCAGATGTTTCAACGCTACAAGAAATCTGCACGACCTCGGCACATCCTTCGTAATCCCCGACGAATGGATGGTCCGAACGGCGAAAGATTGTCACTCCGTACTCGAACCGACTCCTTGTCTCCCTTATGATATACTACGAGTGTATCCGTACACAACAATATCTACCACACGAACGAAATCAATTTTACCTTGACCAGTCGTAAGATACATATAATGAACCCGAGTCACTCGCCCACTCAAACAAACAAATCGATACGGACAACACGTCAGTAATAGTAGCAGTAGTGGAAGCGATAGTGGTAGTAGTAGTCAATAATTTCATCCAATTGACCTCCTCGAACAAGAAAGACCCGCGTAGCATGGCATAGCTTCTACATACACACAATAGACAGACACACACAACACTGAAAACTCCCCTCTTCTTCCTCCTTTCCCCACCCCTGAGAACATGAACGAGGCGCGTCGAGGGCGCGTTAACGGAGAGAAACAAGAGAAACAAGAAACGAGAAAAAGAGCAACCGGCACAGCATGTTTCTTTTCCATTTCTCGTCTCCCTACTCCGTGAACTGGCCCCCTTGCTTTCCATGACCCCCTTCCGCATTTCCTCATTTGTGTTTGCAAAAAGAAAAAAGAGTAACCCACATCGCCGACCGACCCATGCATAGATGACCCCTTTCGTTTCCATTTGGTTTGTCCCATCTCCACTGGCTTCGCCCGCCACCCCCCCCCCCCCCAAAGTTGTGTTTCCAAACACACAAAACAGAAATACTGTGCCGAACGGCCAGATGCCATCCCACCCGAGTCGCCAACCATGCCTTGTCGAATTTTTACCACAAGCAGTAGCGGTGGCAGTACCAACAGAACCGAAAATGTGGTTTTTCTTGGTCTGACAAAAACAGAAAAAGCAAGCCAGAAAGACCGAATCGTAGCCGTCCAACATAATAGTATCGGATTCAGTGCTAACGTAACCGTCTGGTCGTGTCCAAATCTTGTGGGCTGTCAAATCCAATTCTTCCATTTCCCCGTGCTGCTTCCAATCTCTGCCCTGGCAACTTGACTGTCCGTGCGGACGGCTTCTGAACATCCAGATTACACTACTTCTGTTTGCTCGAGGGCCCGAAGTCAGCCTCGACCGCTTTCTGAGCTGTTCGTTGCTTTTCGACTTTGAATTCTGCCACAATCGCAATGTGGTCACTTGGGAAGTGGAAATTCGGGAATCCGGGAACACGTTTTAGGTACTCGGGGTCGACGGCGCCCAAGAGACCAGTCACTCTCAGAGTGTTGCTGGAGTACCAGATGTAATCCAAGACATCGACAAAACTTGGCGTGTAATTCGTAAACGGCATCTCGTCCTCGATGGCGGCGTATGAAGATTTCAACGTGAACTGATGTTGAAGTCCAATGTCGGTAAGACTGCCATAATCTCTGCCAGCAAGATCGTTGTGCCTGGCACTCATTCCCTTTTGCGTAAAGAGCTCATAAACAGCCGAATTCGCTCCTGAGTTGAAGTCACCACAAATGATCATCGGTATTTGCGTGCCGGAAGTATACGAAAGTGACGGTCCAGGCTCGGGAAGCTCCTCGTCCTCAACCTCGGAGAATCGGAAAGCTTGTTTGTTGGTGGCAGGGGGCATCTTGCAATATTTGTCCGCAAGCTTGCCCACTTCCTCCATGAGCACTGCGGTTTGAATGAGCTTGACGTCCTTGAAGGCAGGATCCCAGTAGACATGAGCGTTGGCGACAATGACCCGAGAACCTGTGACTCGGTTTTCCAAGAACACTACCGTCGCAATGTCGTCTCGTTGCCAAACTCGATTGAGCATATCAGCAGACACGCTGGTGCCGGATCGTTCAACCGCCTTTCGCCCGAGTACAAGATGTTGACTGTCCAGCTGCATGTACTTTTTGTCCTTCCAGAAGGTACCACAGCCATCAACAAACTTGGCATTCTCTCCCAATGTTTCGGCACGGCTCTTCTGGGCATAGTACCCCTTGTAGCCTGACCTCGAGAGCTCGGCGCGGAAGAACTCATCGTAGCTAGTCCTGTCCAGTTCTTGCAGACACACTATGTCGGCATTTATCTCACGAATCTCTTCCAGGATCAGCGTCTTGCGGTACGCCCAGGTCAAGACTCGCTCGGGCACGTATCCGTACTGTGATGCAGTCGCGTATCGCGCACACAAGATGTTGTAATTCAAGGCCTTGATCGTGTCGGTACCGGGACCGGGAATCTCTTCGAGTTGGTGCCATTCTCTTTCTCGCGGAGGGGGCGGTTCTGTATTTTTGTCAGCATTTCTACGACTATAAACGAGTGGTTAGGTTGACAAACCTGGCATGCTCTCCCGGAGGTACTCGATGAGCTTCTTTGTGCCACCTTCGCTGATCTTTTCGCGCTGGCCGGGCTCGAGCGGATTACCATAGACACCAAGCACCTCCAGGTTGAACAGAAACCCCAGCTCATAGCAAAGGGTATGTATCTGGTTGCTGAAGAGTAGGAGTTTCCTCAAATTTGTCAACATTCCAATCTCTTCCGGAAGTTCGGTGAGTGCGTTGAAGGAGACATCTAGGTACTCCAAGTTCTTCAACTGCCCAATCTGTGGCGGAAGGGTTTCTAACTGATTATATACAAGATCGAGTCGTTTGAGGAAATGGTAGGCGGAGTTGAAAAGCACCGGAGAGAGTGCACAAAGACCTTGACCTCCCAGATCGAGTTCATCCCACGTTTGTTTGCTCGGAACGAGAGCGCCTGATGTGTTTGCATTGCGTGCATTGTCGGTCTGCATCTCCTCTGCAGCTGCTCCAAGGGGCACAAAGTTTACACCCTTCGACTGGTGAGCGACTGAACGTGCACGGGAATTGGGCTGATTGAGCTCTTTGCTCTCCTCAAAAGCCTCTTTTTGCTCGCGCCAATGCACATTGTCTGGTTCATCCATATCATCATGAGGTAGACCGTTGCCATTGCCATTCTGTAAGTGCTTGTGTGCGTACGTCTGGAGATGAGGGGTGGATGTCTGGTAACCTCCGGAGGAAATATTGTGTTGATGGCCCAATTGTCCGGCATGGTGGTGTTGCGGGTGATGCTGATTGACATTATGGTGGGTGTGGTAAGGAGGTTGGTACTTCGGAATGTGAATGTTCTGGTGACGCTGATGATTTTGTGCACCGTTCATCAGCCCATGTTGAGTTTGGTACCCATTCTGTGAGAACATGTTGAAACTGTGGGCGAGGGCAGGATTGACTGGCGATCGTGACGGAGAAGGCGTATCGTTGGCGAAAGGTCGCCGTCCGGAAGGCGACGAGGCTCGATTCTGATTACGATGTGCTGTGTGTTGCGCAGGGAAAAACTGCCCGGCTCCAGGCTGATGGAACCGGAACCCACCATCTGCCATCTAACGGGGCAGACTTGTCTGAGTTGTCTTCGAGGGAACGAACACGCTTCGATCGTCGGAGGAGAGAGTTGCAGCAATCGGTAAGGCTCTGCGGGTAGACGAGGAGTGGGCGGAGGGTAGACCAAGTCTTCGTTTCTTCCACATGAGACCCTTGGGAGAGCTCAATAATGGCAGAGGGTACAGCTGCAGAGCTTGAGATCGACTGATCAGGCGCCTTCGCGATCCGCGGGTTGAATGGGGTTGTTGGCGAAAGGTGTTCGAATCGATGAGAGCTTGACGATGGATGGATTCGGTGGCGGGGAAAGGGGCAGTGACAGGTCCTTGAAGCCAGGTGGACGATGGAGAGACTGTCAGAATATTGTTGTGAGATACACAGAGATATCAATGGAGATGTAGTCAATGGAGGTAAGTGAGTGAGTTTTGAAGAATGAGTTTGCTTTGCGCAGTTGAAGGTCAGGGCGCAGTCCACGAGTCCGTGACTTGTTAGTGGGATGAACAGCCGCATCTATTGGCGCCACAGCCTCACCGGCGCTTTTTCTTGGCATCATCAGCGATACTGTAACAACACCAGTCAATTCAATCTAGGTACTCAATCACGGTCGGTATAGGATACCATATGGTGCTACTACCTAGGCATTCACTTTCTGCCTATTTCGTATCCATCACCTGGACCATTCTATATATTCGACACAGCTCACCGCCATCATTCAGTCTCTGGTATCCCGCCTTTCACCGAATGCCATCGAGTCTTCCTCAGTCCATCAGTCAACAGGTCATCTCGAAACTCGAGATTAGCGAGGTCGTCGAGATCATCGCAGTCAAATCACCCAAAACGCCCTCGAAACACCATGAGCCCGTCAATATGCCAGCTTGACAAAGTGGCCCTTGCGCAAAATCTGCTTGACTGATCGATCTAGTCGACGAGAGCCCAAGCATACCGCAGACATCATCTCCAAACCACCAGGCAGTAAATAACACTGCTAGTCCGTGCCGTGTCATGACAATGTAGTACGATCTGTCTGTACGGTCTTGCTGTGATGAATCTAGTCCACTTGAGGTTTGAGGGCGTCTTCCAACCAGCATTCCTCAGGCTAGCTTCAGTCTCTGTTTCCCCCGCTAACTGGCATGATAACTCATGGATATCGATGTTTCATTGACCTGTACTTTTTCAAAAAGTACAACGCCTCGATTTCTTTTTTGACGAACTCGGCTCGCTTGATCCCCTGGCGTATTTGGTCCTTGTCTGTCAAATCTGCCTTGGACATGAATGCTTTATGAAGCCTTGTACGAAAATAATCATAGCCCAGGGGATAATGTCTGCCCATTTCCAAGAGCTCTATCGACCGATCAGTGTCCGAGCATACAACGAGACCAAACACTTAGAAATCTGACCCTTGTATACATTGATAACCTGTCTGCGTAGTTCAGAGGCCATATTGAGTGAAATGAGCTTCACTGTCCCATTAGACAAGGTTGTATGGCCATTCTTGCAGGCATCGGGAAATATGGCGAAAGAAACATGTTCCAACTCATTCGACTTGTGAGCAGCAAACAACAGTTCGCGTCACGCCAAGACCTCGGCATGTTTGGCCGACAAGGTGACATTATCGTGAGCTTCATCAGTGTTCAGCCTCTTATGCTTGTCGATATATATAATTTATGTCATCTCTATATCAAAATATCTATACAGCCCAACAAGGTCATGACCTCTCAAATACCTGACCGATGCTAACACTAATAATGTCGCTGTTTGTTGACTTGGTTCACAAATTTCCCCTTGTTGCTGGCAACCACTCCAAGGTTATGTTCAAAGATGGCGTACAGTCGACTCCAGTGGTTCGTTGACACCCAGCTAACATGAGGGGTGATCAAGAGGTTTGGTACTTTCCATAGTGGGTGTTCCTTGGGGAGCGGCTCTGGATCAGTCACATCCACAGCTGCTCCTCTAATCATGCCTTTCTCTAGTGCTTCAATCAAATCCTCGGTGTTCACATGCCCACCTCGGGCGATGTTACTCAGAAAAGTCTTCTTCTTCGCCAGGATCTCAAACTGCGGTTTGGATATCATGTTTCTCGTCGAAGGTGTCAGCGGGAGGCAAACGACCAGAATATCCAGGTCCTGATTTAGGAAGTTGTTGAGGGTTTCTTGAGTCGTCCCATGAAACCATTTGGATGGAATAAGTCCGTCTGGGTCTCCAGTGCCGGGCACGCAGTAGCTATCGTCCTTTTTCGACTCTGATGTTGGTCTTTCATGAGCCGTATACGCCACCACGTCCATGCCCAATCCTTTTGCGAGGTTGGCACACTGTCGCCCGATCGCACCGTATCCAAGGACCCCCCTATCGAAGTCAGACAAGTCAACCCACAAGACCACGGCACTTACATTCGAAGGCCCCAAGAGTCTTGGAAAGTGCTCTGGAAGAGTGGCTCCCAATATCCTTCTTTCATATAGTTGCTGAACTTGAGAAATTGATGTTGATGAGAAAGCCAGCTTCCTATTACCCACTCGGCTATCTGGGGGCTAGTCGGCTGGACATCAGTCTGTGTTTGCTCAACTCAACGAACAGTACTCACGGATGGGCGCCATTGGAGGTGCAAAATACGACATTTGGGTCTTGGTAATGGGGATTCGATGCCCAATGATCAGCACCTGCTGAGCTCAACTGCACAAAGCGAAGGTTCGGCGTCACGGCATCTTTGGGAATCTGGAATCCCCATAATATCGTGACCGTGTCCCAAATGGTCTTCGGTATGTCTTCTACAGTGATCGGTGTTCCGTAAACTGTCCGCCAATGGATTTTTACGCCAGGATATCGTGACTGGAGGCTATCAATGACCTCTTGTCTGGGTTCAGCTGGCACCAAGATCAAAATTGTGTCTTGGGCCAAACCATTGGCCCCTTCAGTCGATCCCATCACGAGCCACCGTCGCCGGGAATACACAGACTACCGCTCAAGGGAAAGCCAAATTGGATGACTATCAACTTTGCAAAATCCTTCAAGCGCATAAGTTTCTACCGCAGCGCCAGTATCACATCAATCATGAAAAGTCGAGATAAGCCACCTTTAGCCCGCCGCTGGCGCCGCACATCCCCGCGCTAAATAAAGAGACATTGTAGCTGCCCCTCGGCTTGCTCTCCGCTTAGTGTGCCGATATCCCTAGGCCAATGTTGAAATACACCTTATGATGGATATTTGGTGCTGATGAAGGTGCATGTGCAACATGAGGTTGAACATATTTGTGGTATCAAAGTCACCAACTGGTCGCACTTGTGGCTGGCTGCATCGAGTCTTGAGTCTAATTCCCGTGCTTTGTCATGGATTTAGTGCTCGCCGAGTCTAAGCACTGGACAATATATGTATACTTGTGAATATGAAAACATGAAAGAAAATGTTTTGATATTACACATCGGAATCGACACTAGTTCAACACCAACAGTGTTTGGGTTCAGTCGCGTGGCTTTCCATATTTCCTCTGGGGAAAGATCGAATATCCTTCAATATCCGACCGAACAACTCGGAGGTTTTACTCTAGCAACCATACAGTATTTGAGTTGTCCAACCATGATTAGTTCTGTTAGATGATTGTGAGGCAAATCCCCGCGTCAGGCAACCAGCCGAACTCGTCTATTGATTCCTTCAGTGGTGGAAATACGACATACTGATAAGAACCATCCGAGGGCCAATGTGACTGCGAGTACGGCGAGACCCGAACAGCTGGATCATCTCACGATGACTGCGAATCGTTCGGGGGCGAATTGCGAGGGTTCTTCACAGAGCCAACATCAGGAGATATAGCAATGACTCACTCTGTAGGGAGTGTAGGACCCTTCCGACGCATGCAATATCCATTATCAGCAAAAATCCAGAAGGCGTCAGACAATCCTCCGAAATGTCGCGTAATGCTTTTGCAATCTTGGTTACATTGGCGAAGGTGTGGAATACAATTCGCACGCGTTACTGTGATCCAATACGAGGCGAAATCGACATTTCATCGTTTAGTTGTACAATAGGCGGAGATAGGATGATTCGGAAGCCAGGCTGGAGTCGGCGGCGGCGTGGTTAACCACACTAGGCATGACCGATGAATCCTTGGGCTCCGCGCCGTTACCTTAGTGCCCAGAGGAGGCGTTTGCTTGGTCAAAGCTTGACAAGGCTTGTGGTAGGCGCATGGGTGCAATTGGTGGTTTCCCCAGCTATCTCTATCGCCATCGACATCATGCAAGGGTCCTTGTGGCTACCGAGCCTCGTGCCCATTCGGTCTGAAGAGAAGCCATGGTTACATCGACTGCTACTTGCCCATGCCCAAATTGTCGCAACCTACCTAACCTGGGTCGATCAGTGTCAGGTGGTCGCGATGGACGGGCGTGCCCTTTGGGACAGGACATTCTCGTTAAAGTCTCCTGATTGCCCTCCGTTGTGCTCCTTCACTCCGGAGTCTTTCGCCTGCATTGGTGTGTCCATCATTTCCCAGTCGCAATAGCTTCACTTCACGTGCATACGCGCTTTACCATCAAGGTCTCGTGGAACTTCGATTGCAAATATGTCTTTGCCAGATGCCATTGATGGCGGGAAGCCGAGCAACCCAGACCGCCCAACAACCTGGATCAGTCCTATGAACAGAAAACTCTATGACAGCAGTGTCACCTTTGAAGAGTACCTCCATTATGCGAAACGCACACGGGCTGAAGAGGAGGCAGAGCAGCACATCCCCCAAGGAGGCATTCTACAACAAGTGTTCCGCAGGTCGTCGGTTACTTCCGAGGCACCTGGAACATTTCACCACACTGGTGTGAGCCCTGAAGAAGGAAGTCCAGGGGAAAAGACCGAGAAAGAGGCTGCCGCAGCGCCAGACGCCGACAAGGACGGCAACCAACCACGTCGAAGGAGTATTTTGTCAAGACATTCCCTGATTACCGAACAAGAGTGGCGTAATGCTGCACGGGCTTTGCGCACAGCGACCTGGGGTGCTGGCTTTTACTTGATCACGACAGACATCTTGGGTCCATACGGTGTCGGATTTGCTCTCGGAACCCTGGGATGGGGACCTGGTATAGCTCTCTACACCGTCTTTGCCTTCATGGCCGGTTATTCCGGCTATCTTCTCTGGCAGGTTTACTTGGGCCTTGACTCGTACGAGTTTCCGCTGCGCAACTATGGTGACCTTGCGTACCGTACCATGGGCAATGGCGCTCGATATGTCGTCAATTTCCTGCAGTCGGTCCAATTGCTTCTAATCTGTGGCCAGGTCATCATTCAGAATGGTCAGGGTATCTCACAGACGTCCAGATTCCGACTGTGCTACGCCGTGTGCATCATTATCTTTGTCATTGCAGGTTTCCTCATGGGTCAAGTCCGAACCCTACGAAACTTTGGCATCTTTTCCATGATTGCCGTCGGCTTCAACCTCATGGTCATCTTCATCTCAATGGGTGTGATGGCACATTCGCCACCCAACTATAGTATCAGTGTGCTCGGCTCCGCCGGTTCGGCCGTCGATCCAGCCTCAATCACTCCCGATGCGAAAGGCAACTACCCTCCTATCAAGCATTACGGAGGAATGCCTGACTCGTGAGTAGCTCACTCGTGCAAAGCAACACACTTACTGACTCTTTTGCAGTTCCAACTTCGTCGGTGCAATCAATGGATTGATGTCTGGAGTCTTCGCGTATGGTGGTGCTCAGATCTTTGTTGAAATCATGGCCGAGATGAAACGACCATGGGACTTCATCAAGGCCATGTGGCTCGCACAGTTTTTCATTTACTCTGTTTACCTGATCTATGGCTGTTACGTGTACCATTTCCAGGGACAATACTCATACACCATCTCATACATGGGTCTGAGTGTTTACGGGTTCCAAGCTGCTTGCGACATGATGGTTGTCATTTCGGGTTTGATTGCCGCTGGCTTGTACGGCAACATCGGCATCAAGGTGTTGTACAACCAGGTGCTCCAAGAGATCTTCAATGCACCACCCCTCACGTCAAAGTCTGGCAAATGGCTCTTCGGCTCGATCGTCCCTGTCTACTGGAGTATTGCTTTTGTCGTCGCCGCAGCGATTCCGGATTACTTCGGCTTCGTCTCGGTCATTGCGGCATTTTGTATTGTGCAGTTCAGCTACTCCTTTCCTCCAATCATTCACCTTGCCTATACCATGCAAAAGAATGCGATCCGGGGAGGTGAAGGCTTCGATGAAACCACCGGCGAGACCAGACGAAATGACCACGGTATCAAGCGTTTGTTTCGAGGCTTTTTTGCCGACAAGTGGTACATCAATGTGTGGCATATCATTCATGCTGGCGGAGCACTTGCAACTGCTGGGCTTGGTGCATATGCAGCCGTCGAGGGAATGATCGAGGCTTTCAAGATTCCACAAGTCAACGCTTTCACGTGCACCAGCCCTCTCAATCTCAATGCTTGAAAGCCGTCCTTCGCAACCTGGATAGCGACCGAACTTTGCTGTCCAACTATTTGGTATCATTTTTTGGAGGCTGAGTGCAGGAAGGGATGTAAACGAAGGTGAAGAGGTCTGATGTAATGGAAATGGAATCACGGTCAATATTCTTGCTACTTTGCCTGGAGTATGTGACATGTACGGCCAAGCCTCCAATATGTAGTCTTGTACAAGAAGAGAAAATTACAATCACGCACCTAGATCTTCTTCGATCAGGGTCATAAGAGTTGTGTAAATATTGATACGATTGATTTGCGCCGTAAGCCAGAATCTGATACAATTGCCTTGCCTTTGGCCATGAATCGCTGGCGCTGACAGACTTGGCTGATTCTCGGCGAAAGATCTTCACTTCCGAACCTCTATTTATGTCTGCACGAATATCATCAACATAGGTCTTCCTCGCCCAGAGATTTGAGTCTGAGAAGGACACTGAGGATCTTCCGTCTCTGGGTGACTGTAACAGGAAATTTGTACCCCATGACTAAGGCCAAACGATCAAAACTCGGCTGCCGCACTTGCAAGTACGTTGAACCCCGGATTGGCATGATCCGAACCTGGTACTCACAGCGCACAGAATACGACGTGTGAAATGTGATGAAGGTCGCCCTGCTTGTGAGTGTTTTGCGTGCCCATGATGATGCGAAAGGTTATGCTCGAGAAGGCTCTGGTGTCTTGAAAGATTCTCAATGACAATCTGACTTCTTCAGGCCAAACATGCCTCTCAACCGGTCGGATCTGCGATGGTTATGGGATCTGGGGTGGAGGAGGGAACACGTATGGACAGCGCATGAAGAACGCTGAAGGCCAGCGAGGGCCTTGTCTCGTTCAGAGACATCCGTTAATCAAGACAACCCTTTCAGCCACCGGCTTGACCACCGATGAATCCTTACATTTCGACTGGTTCACCCACCGATCCAGGCCGAAGCTACCGGGCGCCTTTCGAACCGAGCTATGGGAGCAAGTCATGATTCAAGCTAGTGTAACAGAGCCTGCGGTGCTGCACGCAGTCCTTGCTTTGAGCTCTAGTCACCGGAGCGACGTCGTGAAACATGTCTGCTCAGGGCCCACGCCAGGGAATGAGCTTGAGAGGTTCACACTGCTACAGTATAGCAAGGCTATCAAGCATTTGTACCCGCGACTTCAGAGGAGAGACCACGAAACATCCATCATGGCACTTGTGGCGTGCGCGCTATTCATCCACATGGAAAACATGCTCGGTCGATACGACTCCAGCCTCATCCATCTCACCCACGGCCTAAACATCTTGAAAAGCATGTACAACCCGTCAGGCACGTTGGCAAACTCGGACTGCATTTCACTAAAGTCTTGGACTGATTGCACGAATGACTGGATCATCCAAACGTTCCTCGCCTTGGATATTCAGGCCAGAATTCTCAGAAATGACTATCATGATCTACTCTGGAGTCCAATCAACATATTGACAAGACAGAAGACTTTCCACTCACCCGAGACTGCGAGACAAGAGCTCGATATGCTCTTGATCAGTACCCTTCTTTTGACTCAACAACTCCGAGAGACAAAACGGGCTCCCAGTTCCAATGATCTGCAGCAACGGATTGACATCCTGACGAGGTTAAACTCCTGGCTAAAAATGGTGGATGAGACTCGATCTCAGTCGATTGCTCCAGTCAGCAGCAAAGATGACTTCGCCTACCAGCTCCTATGCCTATATCACACCGTGACTATGATCATGACCGATGTCTCAATCTATGCGGATCCTGAATGCCGTTACGATCATCACACATCCACATTCATCTCAGTATTAAGGCAAGGGATTAGTCTCTTCAAGAAAGCACCAACGCACAGCACGTCGCACGAACCTCAAGGGAGTACGGATTCAAGGAGTATCTGTGACCTGGGTTGGATCATGCCGCTCTACTTTACCGCCACCAAGTGCCGACATCATCGGATAAGGTTGCAAGCCATCAGGATGCTGGAGATGAGTCTGCATAAGGAAGGCATTTGGGATTCCGCAATGGCAGCTTCCATAGCTCGTGAAGCCATGCAGACTGAAGAGGGACAATTTCTCGCAGACGTGAAACTGATGGACGACTTCAACAGCCTTATTGCCCCTCGAGAAGAGGATCTATACCATCCACTAGTACCGCCGTCGCTCAGATTGAGGGATCTCAAAATCTACCTAGGACATGTGGGAGGACAGACCCTTCTTAGATACAGGAAAGGACAAAAGTCTCACCTAAAGGTCTACGATCCTTCGACGCGCATTTTCACTAATGCGTCGAGCCTGTCAAACCACGGTGCCTTGCTGCAGTCTGTGGGAGTATGAGAAGGAAAAATTCGAGCCATTCCGAAGAATTTCACTCTTGTTATCGCCGACCATCAACCCAGTAGACTGCAGAACTCCCGGGATTATGCTCCTATCAAGACGAAGACGACAGCACCAATTGCAGTCCTGTCCTTCAGACCATTACCGCATACTCAATCAAGGACAAGGCTCACGATTTATTGCCCCTCCAACTCCTTCTCGGTCCATTCCCAAAGTTTCCTGGCAAGCTCTGGGTCTTTGGCCACGGCACCCTGCTTTCCACCAATCCCAACCGGCTCATAATACTGACCACTGGACACGTTTCTCGCGGTTGCTGCCCACAATTGATTCTTTGCACCCTCCTGCACGCTGACTCCGAAAAGTGGAATCACGACTCTGCGGAGGAAGTTCACCACAAGGCTGCTCTCTGGTGTGGAGAAGAGATCTGTTTTGACATTTCCGGGGTGAATTGAGACAGCTGTGATCTGCGGATATCTCTTTGCGATTTCTTGAGGGTATAAAAGATTCGCCAATTTACTTTGGCCGTACTTTGCCGTTCCGCTCAGGTCCCCGCCCTTGGTTTTGAGGCTTTCGAAGACAATTCCACCAGCTGGACCGTACTTGTGTCCAAGTGAGCTGACGAAGACGACTCGCGGTTCGTCCCCAATGGGATTCCTGTCGGCCTCGAGAAGTTGAGGTACGAGAAGCTTGAAGAGCAATGCATGCCCAACGTGGTTGATACCTATATGGAATTCGTACCCTTCTTTGGTGGTAGTGGGAGGACCTCCCATGACGCCGGCATCTGCCAATCGTTGATCAATAAGCTAGCTAAGAGCGGGTATAACAGGGCTCACTCACTGCACATCAAAATGTCGAGCCGAGGGGATGATTCTTGGAAAGTCTTGACGGCTTTCTTGATCGATTCAAATGAGGCCAAGTCCATCTCTAGGAAACGAACCTTCGCCCCAGGGGTTGCGGCTTTGATTTCGTCGACAGTCTCATTGCCAGTCTTTGCGTTGCGTGCGGCGATCCACAGCTGAGCCGGATTGTGCTTGGACAGGTCGAGGGCACTTTGTTTGCCAATACCAATATTTCCACCGGTGATCAAGATGACTTTGCCATCGAGACTCGGGATATCCCTTGCGGGGTCAAATGAATTGCCACCCATTTCGTTTTGAGACCGAGAGGCAGAAGCTGTGAAGTTATGTGGCTCAGAGATCATGGGAGTTGAAGGGGTATAAGTACCATTCTTGGGATCAGGCAAGACATCTGCTAGGGTAGCCCTGGGATCGGAAAGCGGAATTGTTTATTCGTCAGAACCTGTTTGTCGGAGTTCAGATAAGGAAGACGGTCGCAGATTGCTTCTCTTGGTATTTGCTCACCTGGCTATAGCCTCCTCGATATAGCGACAACGCTGGGACCAAGACCCACGAGTGCCTCGGCCAGCCAATCAATGTACGAGTTAGACGAGCAGACCAATCAGCGGACTGTCGCGGAACTCGGGGAGGACTTGGTTCCAATGTGCGGATTCGGATCTGTTGACAGGTCTGTGAGACAATCATTTACCTCCTCAAACCCATATCTTGTACACCTAAATGATGGAAGATACATTTCTTGTCGACACGACAGCTCTCTCGGTCGCCAAGACCCCTGGAAGTATCTCCTCATCGAGAGCCAGTGTACTGCACGGTCCGGTCAGTGCGGGAGTGCCCCGACACACTCTCGACGCTGTTGAATGAAGCTGGCGACACTTGATACACCTCCTGAGGAAGCCAACGATCAACCGTACAAGGTTGACCGAACATAGTGAACCCGAGCCGGGTTGATGCCGACGCAACAAGCCATCGCTTACGAGGATTTTTTGGGCCCAACAATCGCTCAGAAACACATCAACACGTTTGATGCCTTGTTAGGACATTTGACGGTATTCTTATGGGCCAAAGCACTCGTTCACGCATCTATTCAACATATGTACTTCCACAAGCCTTGGTACTGCTTGTCTTGATTATGCAATGGCGCCACCCGCATTCAAGTACCGGAATGTGGAGAAATCGATTTATCCGAACTTTGCTCCCGCAATCGGCGTTGTGGCATTAGATCAACATCCATCCACATGGTAACCACTTTCTACCTTCTTACGGTGAATGACCCGCAAAGGTCAATGATGTACAAAGGTCACGGGTTCCATACTTTTCACCTACCACCGTTGAACGAGAGACAGGCTTCTCGAAGCGATGTGACTCTAACCAGTGGCATCATGGAACGTCCAACTGCGCTAACCCCATTGACTGTAAACCTGGGGTAGCGAAAAGCACCTTTCGGCAGTTCTTAGCCGTCGCCCGTTGTCATGATGTATTTCGTATAAGATACACTGCCTGCCCGAAAGTATCTTCTCCTCTTCAGAGGCAGTCAGCGTCTGGGAGCCACCCGAAGAACACATGAGAAGAGCATCTCGCCTTCATTAATCAACAGTAGCCATGCCGAGTCTCCCTTGGACCTATCTGGCGATGGCTTGCTCCCTCGTCACAGGTGCTCTCGGCCAGTACCAGAATTGGGCTCTTTCCCTGGCTGCTGCCGACAGACTCCTGGCAAATCTTACACTCGCGGAGATTGCCAACATAACCGCAGGACAAAATGTGAAGGGAGTCTTTGCCCAGACCTCGAGTCTAGACGGTAAGCCTAATCTACACACCTCACCTCACAACCAAGGGATGTACGACTAAAATATCATTCCCTAGGCCCCAATGGAGTCAATACCCTTGTCGGGGTGAGTAGTTTCGTTGTTGCTCAAACCGCCGCCATGTCGTGGGACAGGGATCTTATCGAAACACAATATGCTGCAATGGCCGAGGAGTTCAAGGCCAAGGGCTACGGAGGATCCTTGGGCCCAGTCACAGGTCCATTGGGAAGGAGCGTGAAAAGTGGCAGACTTTTCGAGGGGTTCGGTAGTGATCCCTATCTCAATGGGAAGCTGTTTGCCAGTGCCGTCACGGCGCTTCAAAAGAATGGCGTCGTTTCTACTGGAAAACACTTTCTAGGTGAGCGTCACTGCTGACCTTTGCAGGCTGATGAAAATCCCTGACATCAAGGGGTAGGCAATGAACAAGAGACCAACCGGAGCACATATTTGGACCCCACCGAAGATCCTAACAAGAGAACATCCAGTAACATCGATGATCGCACCACTCATGAGCTGTACCTCTGGCCGTGGATCGATGGTGTTGCAGCGGGCCTGGGCTCGGTCATGTGCGTCATGAACCGAGTCAATGGTTCCTTTGGTAAGATAACAGGTTTTTATGAAGATGCGCCGTCTGATCGTGGTGATTTTCAAACAGGCTGCCAGAATCACTATCTACTTACCGAGTTGCTCAAGGGCGAAGTCAACTTCCAGGGTCAAATAGTCCCCGATGCGACGGCGGTCGTTGATCCTTTTGCCGCCCTCAACGCCGGTCTCGACAATGCGGCGATGGCTGGCGGCAGTGGCAAAGGCATCATGGCTGCGATCAACAATGGAACAGTCTCGGAAAAGGTCATTCGTGAAGCCGCACGTAGGGTCGTTGCTGTACAACTCGAGATACGAAATGGATCTTCAACACTGCCGTCCCCACTGACCCTGCAAAACACACCAATCCGCGACCCGAACACGAAGACCGTCATTCGAACCGTCGGAGCGCATTCCATCGTCCTACTCAAAAACAAGGGAAACGCTTTACCTTTTAGAAACCCCAAAAACATTGCGGTGTTTGGGGCTGACGCAATCAACAACGGAGCCGGCCCGACGTGGGTCGAAGACGTCGCAACTTTCCTCGGAGACACGTATCCCGCTCACCTCGTCACGGGTGGTGGTTCAGGGTCGTCGTCGAGTCCGTACATCGTCTCACCTCTTGACGCGTTGACATCCTTGTCGGCTCAAAATGCATCGTTTGAGGTCAAGTACATCGCCACCAACAATTGGACCGTTGCTGCTGCGGGACCCCAAAGCCCTCTTGGAAATCCTCAACCGACCATTGCCCAATGGGCCGGATACTCGGACACGTGTCTGGTTTTTATCAATGCATACTCCAAGGAAGGAGCCGATAGGGAATCCCTCAGCGATGCCGAGCAAGACACCATGGTCAAGAATGTCGCAAAGTATTGCAACAATACCATTGTGGTTATGAACACCGTGGGTGCGAGGATTGTTGATGCTTGGATCGACCACCCGAATGTCACGGTGGGTGACTAAGATTTCTCTCAAAACCCCCCCCTTATCCACAGCACTTGCTACGGTATACTAACGTTTCCTCTTTCTCCCCGATTTCAACAGGCCGTCCTCAACGCCGGTGCTTTGGGTGAAGAATCGGGAAATGCCATCATGGATGTTTTGTTCGGCGCCGTCAACCCGGCCGGTCGTCTACCGTACACCATTGCCCACAAGGAGTCGGATTATAATGGCGACATCTGCCCTTGTTGCGAGTGTGATTACGTCGAAGGTTTGTTCATCGATTACCGACACTTCGACAAGGCGGGAATCAATCCTCGGTTCGAATTCGGTTTCGGTTTGAGTTATACGACTTTCAACTATTCCGGTGCGACTGCATCACTGAGTGATGGTGGTGGTGGTGGTGGGAGTAAAACCCAATTCAACGCCTCCGCCGGTGGACCTTTGGTCCCAGGTGGTCCCGGTCAACTTTTCGACACCGTCGCCACCGCCTCCGTCACGGTCAAAAACACCGGCGCGGTCCGAGGTGACGAGGTGGTTCAACTGTACGTGTCTTACCCTCCGGGTTCGGGTGAACCGGTCAACCAACTCCGCGGGTTCACGAGGCTACACGACTTGAAACCGGGGGCCTCGGCCGAGGCGGGTTTCACCTTGCAGAGACGAGATCTGAGTGTTTGGGACGTCTCTTCACAGACCTGGACGTTGTTGAACGGGACGTACCGGATCCATTTCGGCAAGAGTAGTCGACAGTTCGAGGGGGGTTCGGCCAACCTGACCCTGAACGTGACGTGATTTGATTCGAACGTTCCAAGGCTGCTGAGCTGGACCACGGCAAGGACAAGTCGGTGGGTCTTCCTTGCCTGGTCGCCGAGAATCAGAGCCAACTTCGAACGTCAACAACATACAAAGTAACTCCGTAGCAAAACGGCAATTCGTGAGTGTAGAGTTGCCTTGCCGAGATTTGTGCATTACACTCCTCCGTACCTAGCATACGACTGATACAGTACAATACAATGAATGAATCCCAATAGCAACGGCATCAAACCATGAACGTGAAAGTACCGAGCCGTATAAAAAACGCGATACCACTTTTCATCCGAATCCGAGTCGAGATGGACCGCCGTGGGGCTGCCCTGGCCAACAAAAACCTGAGAGAATCATACCCTGTCGTATGGTGTAAATGATACTGTGTATATAGGGCTCATGTACTGCTAAGCAGCACAGTCCTTACTCGAGTGGTCAATAGTAAATACATCGACGAATAAACAATGCCTTCTTAGTGCTACATAAGATACCGATATACCGAAATATCATCAATCGACAAAGTCAACAATATCATCTATACCTTCAAACACAGCTCAAATCTCCCACTCTAGCAAAGCGTCCAACGGATCTCGTTGGGACGGTGCAATGCTAGGAAGTCCAAACAGATCAGCAGACGTCAAGAAACTAGTAGCTACATTTGCGTCTTGAAAGTCATAACCAAAAAGATCAGTGGTACCACCATCACCACCAGTACCATCTGAAAGACTTGTCGATTGCTCAAAGGGCAATGTCGTGGATGCCGCTGCTCCAAAAGCCGTTCTCATTTGAAAAGGTTGCGGTGTCTGTTCGATCGTACTAGTACTGTCCATGTTAAAAGGCATACCAGGGACACGTCCGAAAACACTAGTAGAAGTACCACCAGCATTTGGACCTTCGAGCGAGATTGACCCAGAACCAGTAGTCATATCCTTGTCCGCCACATCGTCACTAACTTCCACGGTGTCATGCTCATCATCGGATTCGGAAGCCGCGTCGTCAGGTGCTTGGGGAGTTGGGAGATAACAACGTAAAATAAACGGGTCCTGCACGTTTGCGGGTTCGAAAAGTGAGTTGCTGACCGGCGGCATCGTGCGCGTTTCATCTTCGGTGGAAGTCGATGAGAAGATAATGTTACGGATCGTGATGTCTGCCATAGATAAACGCTCGCCCGAGTTGGCTTCAATTTGCGCCTTGAGATCTCGCCACTTCATAATTGTCGTTAGTCCTGATCGGTGCTCATTTACAAACCGACCACATAGAACTTACAAAGACTGTCATGATGGGGAAATAAAACTTCAACTCTTGCAAAATCAAAAGACACATTATACTGTGTCTCCATGACCAGTCGGCTGGCCCATTCCTCAAACGTAGCATAACCGCATGGACCGACCCAGCAATGAAAGCGCAGTAGCCCAAAAACGAAGGTACCTTGGAAAAGTCGGGCCTTGTCGCTAGGTAAGCCCGCGCCATTTCTGCAAAGAGGTTTGCATTAAGGAGAGCGGTCCGGGCACAGAACTCGGCCAAGTTTGCGGAGATGTCGAGGCCAGCTCCTTTGCCAGAAAAACCCGGCACGGCGGAAGCATGGAGGTATATGACACAAAGATAGTATATTGAATTTAGGAAAAAGGCATTTCGCCGTCTTCGTTCGGGGTACTGAGGATTCATGACATCCTTGCTCCGTAGTTCTGGCGGAATGGTTCGGTAGAATTGTTCCAACTTGGAGTCGTACTCGAACACAGTCGTCATGTATCCTGCAGACCGACTGTTCCATGTCTGTCGCACTAGGTTCCTGATTTGTCTCCTGGGTAATACCATTTAGTACTTGTCTTGTGCGAAGACGAGAAGAAGGATCGAGCCTCACCATAGAAGAAAAAGGCGGACACAGCAAGTTCCGCAATTCCTGAGCCGAACGTCGTCCCAAGTTAACCAATCATTCGGGTCTATGTCTGGCTCTGAGCCCTGGTCTGCGTTGTTCAATTCCTGCTCCCACGTTTCTGACTCGCCGAATTGGCGTGAGAATAACCTCACCGAGGCTTCTGGGTAGCTTTCATCGCTATCAATCAAGCTTGCCTTGATCCAGCAAGCCTGGCGGAGTTTATAGAGCCTTCTCATTTCTCGCATGTCGTAGGGCCCTGTCCTGAAGCGGGAGTACAGCTTCTTCTTGATGATTCTGAGCGATTGTCGAGAAACACCTAATTACGGTCAAGATGATTAGCACAGGAAACCCGTGGAGTCTTCTGAGATCATCATTCGCATCCGTATGGCATTCAAGAGGAATGAGACAAGAACTTACTCAAATAGAAGACGACTCTTTCCACTTCGCCTACTGCCCACCAATAAAACCCTAGTAATTCGCATGCTCTGATGTTATCAAGAGATGGTTTATCAGCGTCGGCCAACGTCAGTCGACTCGCCGCTTCTGCCCATGCCTTCCCTTGTCCATCGGGTAATGATATTGAAGCATACCCGCGTTTTTTCCCACCGGGCTTCGGTCGAAGTAGTCTAGGAAATATGAGACGTCTATTCATAATCAAATGAAATCGGCTTACAGAGAGACCACAGCAAAGATGCTCATGATAACTTTCGAGGGAACGCGTCCAGCACGGTAGTCCACCAAGAGCTTGTGGCGGTCGAAGATAAGTGAAGCGGCAAAGAATCGAGCAAAGTAGATCTCAATCATACACAGACCGACTTCGAAATCCGGGAGGAGGTCTTCTGCGGAGCTGGGAGAGACATTCTTCAGGAGTCGCGCAGGTGGAGAAGGCCCTTGACGGATATCGGGGACCGTAAGCTAGACTCTGTCAGTCGAAGTGTTGCTTGATTCGATTGAGTGATCATGGTAGTTCAACGCTGTCGACAGAACAGGGGTTCCAATTGACTTACTGGAGAGTGGACTGATTGTGGTAGAGGTGAATCAGTCAAGAAGGAAAAGTTGGAAGATATCGAGAATCTTTCCGACGTCGTACTCATAGTAGATACTGATTTCGACGCATCATGAGGTTTTGCATCCTTCGTGATTTGTCTGGCAGAGGCAAGAAGCCTTCTGTCTGGAGGCTCTGGGTATTCGCAGGATAAGTGGCGACGAACACAACGCTGACATTCAGGCAACACTCTTGAGCAGCGAATCTGTGGTCCAAGTTGTTAGCTCTTGAAATTCTGGATACCATGTTTGACGATAGAGTTCTTGAGTAGTAAGCGAGCACTACGCATACCTTTTGCGAACGACAATGAATACAAGCCGTTGGAGATATTTTAGAATTCGTCTGCTTCTCTTGAACCTCCTCGATAACCCCATCAAGGCCAGCCGGAGATATCGTGGTCATGGCGCTTTAGGCAGAGGTGAATATGAAGTTCTAAATGAAGAGGCTGAAAATGTCAGCAAGAGGAAAAGACGAGAGGAAATCCGGGGATCTCGCGGAGACCCGTCACTCCACAAATCGACTGCGTAGTGTAAGACGGGCATCTTGTACGGAGTACGAGGCAATGGTGTGAGTGAATGTGAATTTCGGCCCCGGGTCGTACATGGGTTCTAGGCACTGTCGTCCAAGGGTCCATGGTGTCCAAGCATAGGCCGAATACGGGGATAAGAAGACCATTGTAGAGGTGGGTGGAAGATGACGGGCGATGGAGAAGCGAGGAAGGAGAATGGAGAAGATTAGGACTCGGCTGGTGGTGGCTGACGATGAAGTGCCTTCTTCCCCGTCCCGGTGCGAGTAGAAACGACCCTCTGCAGAGATAATATTGGATGTCGCGGGAATAGAGGCCCCCATCACCTCCCCGAGACCCCCGAAGAGGGCGCCAGCAACGCCGAGTTGGTTAAGCGAAAGAGGCTACTGTAGGTGCCCTACAGGGGTCGATGACTCCAGTAGGTTTAGGTCTTGGTGATGCCCGGAGAGCCTACCAAGTAAGTCTACTGTATGTTTCTTCATTTATAATAGCCTATGTCGCATATTCATCACTCCTCCCTGATACTCCGTACGTCTCACGCACTTCCTCCGTCTCCATGCACATGATCAGTCCAGGGTACAGACATCTTGTCTAGTGTGATTATCACGAAACTATCATTGGCCAAAGCTGGGGTGAGACGAGAGACATTGAAGATCCTCATCTGCGTCTGGCCGCTTCTGTAGGGTTGGTATCAAAATTCCCAAATCCCTTCGAGGGAATCACAGTGCGCTATCCAGATCAACGCATTATTGCCTTCTCCCTTTTTCAACTCAGCTGTCTGCCGGATGATCTCGCGCGCTTCCTCCATGTTCTCATGGAACGTATTGGTCGGCACCACCGACACCCCTTTTCCAAAAGGTGCCTCTGGGTAGTAGACGAAATGGTGGCAGTGAAAGCAATCCCCGCCCAAAAATGCCCATTTCGTCTCTCCGGCCTTGTTCTTCATCCTTGCTAGCGCGGCGATATTTCCCAAGCAATGTCCAGGGGCGTCGATGACCCAGAAACTTCCGTCCCCGAAGAAGTCGAGCGCATTTCTATATGGCCCAAGTGGCTGCCACTTATCGGGGGCCTCCGAGGGCGAGGGAAACTCTTCGATTGGCAGTTCAGAAATCTTGGGATCCCAAACCCGTCCGTCAAAAGTGCTATCGGCTTCAGTCGGCCAACAGGGAGTCGAATACTCGAAGCTGCCCTTGCCGCAGAAGAGCCTCGCGTTCGGATGATATGACTTGGCCGGGAAGATATGATCCCAATGGCCGTGGCTGACACAGTTGTTAGTATCTCAATCGGCAGGGCAGTAAGTGCATCCCTTACCTCACAATGATGTATTTGACGTCTTTTGGGTCCTCGCCCAAGGACTCGATATCTTCAGCCGGGCTTGTTGCGGCGGCCTCTGTGTTAAATACCTTATGCTGGACGCGTTGAATACGAGGAGGATACATTGTTAGGTCCTGTGTCGAGTATGATATCAGCTCTTGGGCTCAAGGTTTGCTCCTCACAGCGCGGGCCAAACTTGCATGAGAAACACCAAGATCAAACCACATCTTTGTGTTTGTCGAAGGATGGGTAATGTAGAACCTCCAAGATGTCTGCCTCACTGTTCCCTTGAGACCTTCTATGGCCAAATCCGCCCGCGACTTCATCCACGCTGTGTCAAAAGGGACGACTTTGACGAATGCATCCTCGGACTTGGGCACGGGGAGTGGTGTTTTTGCCTTGTATGCCATGTTGAACTATCACTGTGGACAACTGTTGTTTTCTAAACTCATGAGATACAACTGCAAGACTTCCAGACACAGAGCCCAACTTCCACTTTATCAAAATCAACATCTGTTGTACGGTCTTCGTGCCTGAGGCGTGTGACAAGGCTCTTAGCCCCACCCGGACCGACCTCTATGATCGACACGATATCTCGTACAACGACCACTCTTATACCAACTCGATACCAGTTCGTGCCCCCAAATGAGCGTCAGGAACACCTATGAGACCGTTGTATGCCAGCTGACTTTGCTACACAAAACAAGATGGGACCCAAGTATCCTTTGGAAGTGCCGGCAGACTCCCCCTTTCCCATAGGGAACATTCCTTTCGGTATCTTTAGTACTCCAGAAGGAGACGGACTGGGTGTAAGTCTACTACAAACGGCAAAATGACATACTTCATGCTGACAATCATCTCTAGTCAAAGAAGAGAGCCGGTGTTGCTGTTGGGAGTTATGTCCTAGAACTGGATAAATTGGCCAAGCATGGAGTATTCGATAGCATTGGCCTCGAAAGCCAACTAGGTGACATGTTTTTGGCTGTGCGTTTGCCTGTGGACATCCTTCTCCCTCTTTGAAATCTCGCACGATTCGCTGACTTGAATATCTGCAGCCTGTTCTGAACAAGTTTGCGGCTCTTTCCACCAAGGACCGTAGCCTTGTCAGAACAACAATCATCAAGAACCTGTCAGACGGCGGGTCTCCTCTATATGAGAATCAAGAACTCAACAATGAGGCATTTATTCCTTTGAATAAAGTGCAGATGCACATGCCGGTGTCTGTGACCGATTACACGGACTTTTTCAGTTCCTACGTGCACGCGGACAATGTGAGTGTTTTATGTTGAACATATTGCTTATTACTTAATCTGACACAACTCAGGGAATGCGAAGCTTCAACAGTCCCATCCCAACAGCATTCTGGGAATATCCAATGGGCTATAACGGCCGTATATCATCCATCACGGTCTCCGGAACCGATGTCGTCCGACCACGGGGTATCTTCAAGCCTGGTGGATCTGATAAAACGGGCTATAATACTTGCGAGAAATTAGATTTCGAGGTGGAAATGGCCAGTATCATCGCCACACCTATTGAAGCCCCGAACTCGGTGTCTGCGAAAGAGGCACCAGACCACATCTTTGGCTATGTTTTGTTGAATGACTGGTCGGCCCGAGATATCCAAAGTCACGAGATGTATCCTTTCGGACCGTTTCACTCCAAGAGTTTCCTGACGAGCATATCTCCCTGGGTCGTAACGCTGGATGCGCTTAGAGGGAGCCCGACAGCCGCGATACCAACCGTCGAGTCCAAAGTATCTCCCATCTTGGACTTGGACGAGAAAGACCAAGGTGTTTTTGATGTTGACCTGAGAGCTAGAGTATCTCGTGAGTTCGAAATAGATCCAGCCATCACTACCTCATGTCACTGACATTATCATGCTCAATAGGCAAAGGTGGAGAGGAGGTTGAACTTGTCCGCACCAAGATGGCCGATGCGTACTGGAGCCCATACCAGCACGTGGCATACCAATCCTCATCGGGTTGTGGATTGCACGCAGGCGATATATTGGGTACGGGCACGTTCTCATCTCCAGTAAGTGCTTTTCTTTACAACTCCGGGCCGAGCGAGTATATACTAACAACTGATGTGTACAAAGGATACTCGGCCACCTCAAGGCCCGGACGAGAAATCTTACACGACCTTTGGTTGTTTAGCCGAGGTGCATATTGTCGGCCACAAGCTTCCTGATGTCAGTGGCGAGAAATTCGACTGGTTGAAGGACGGCGACAGATTGACGATAGAGGGCTGGTTCAAGACGCCAGATGGGAGCAAGGCTGGCTTCGGAGGTGTCACTGGTGTGGTGCTGCCGGCCAAGTCGTCCTAGATCGTATACGGTTGAATAGTGAATAGGTCTACACTCATTCAAAATCTTCTAGATCGAATAGCCGGTCCGAGTGTCGGATTATGTACGAATGTTTCTCTCGGCCATAATATGCTCAACGGAGATAGTGTGCTAGTATCAAGCCCTGGATCTCTCGCTTCTTGATGCTATTTACTTTTTATTCTCACCCGGAGCGACAATCATATTCCCACGTGGTATTGAGATCAGACGTACAACGCCTTGCGTACCATGAGACCCAGCAGCATGGTGAGCACGTAGCTCTGAGGGTTAATCGTACCTCACTAGGTATCCTTTGTTCCAGTCAATGGCTTCTGCCATGAAATCATGGGACATTTCCTTCTGTTTCGAGCGAGAAACAATGATGTTCTCCGCAGCCTCGGCCGAAAAGCAATAAAACAATGTACGTGATACTTTTTCTACCAGATGCGGAAATTCTATAAGCGATCAATGGCAAACAGACAGTACGAAGGAAATGGCAAGTCAGACCTCGTATGATGAGACTCTAGCATCAGTATTCACACTTTGTTGATACGTGTTTATTTCATTCTCCAAGTGCTGCTTCATCTTACCATGCAGAAGACATCCATAATCTACAACTCCGATGTAGAACCCTCCGAGATCTCATTCATACGACTCTCGATCAATAGTCATCCAATTTCTGCCACACGCATATGCACTGATAACGGAGCGAGAAGGGAGTGTCGTCCCGGAGCAAGGGACCCTTGTTTAGATACGGAATATACCAGACAAGACAACGCCACCAAACCCCGGGCCGACTATATCTTCTGGCGTCCCAATCAAGACAATGTACAAGTACTCGTACAAGACCAAAAACACCCACGATAATGGACTCGGTCCGGCCATGTACTTCCAACTCTCCACACACCACTTGGGATGTAACAAGCTATACTCCGCCCTTACCCCGGGCTGCTTCATCTGGCGACGTGCATATTAATTACCTGCCCAAGGGATTATTATTTGCAAGTCCACGACGGAGGACAGCCTCTTCGACACCTCAATCGTTGTTTTTACTTTTTATAATTCCAGAAGCAAATTCTCTCTCCCCACACACACTTACTTCACGTGGCCCCCCCAAATGTCTCTGAAGAAGATGTCGTCGCACATCAGTCAGCAGCAAGTGGCGGCGCATGAGCACCGCGAAGAGCACGAGGCTGAGAAAAAGCCCGTAAAGGGAGAGATCGGCAACGAACTCCTCGATCCCAATATCCGCGACGACCATGGAGATCCTCATCGTGCGGCTCTCGAAGACTTGGACGATGAGCGCAAAGTCAGCATAAGGACCTGGATAGCCATTTTCTTTCTTGGATTTACGGGAAACCCTTCCATCAGCTTCACCATCAACACCGTCTTTTCGGTCCTCGTCCCCATCTCCCTTGAACTGCAAGGGTCTACCGACAATGTCAGTTGGATGGCCTCGGGCTGGTCCTTGGCTGCGAGTGTGGCATTTACTCTGGCAGGACAACTGAGTGACTTCTTCGGCCGTCGGGATACCTTGTTGTTTGGCCAAATTGTTCTCATCATAGGTCACATCATCGGTGCCACATCTCAATCGGTTCACCAAAGTATAGCGGCCATGGTAATTCTTGGATTTGGAACAGGGACTGCATTCGTGTGAGTCATTGCCGGCGCACTTGTTACCTTGCCAGTATTCCATTCTCCCCGAAAACCATACCTCAGTATTGTTGTTTATGTCACCTTTCGTCTGTTCTCTCATCGGCTGTTGTACACACTTGAATACTAATACCAATGGCCACTCATCTAGCAACTACCCGGCCATATCAGAACTTCTACCCAACAGGTATCGTTCACTCGGTCTCGCATCCACAGAACTGCACATCCTCGCGACCAGTGCCTTTGGCCCTCTCATGGCCAGGGCGCTCACGAAGAATGCCTCGTGGCGCTGGATATACATCCTGGGAGTCATAACGGGGGTCATCTCCTTTGCCGGGACGGCAATCTTCTACACACCTCCGTCACGTCCCTTTTTGGATCGTAGTCGCCGCGACATCCTCGGCGAGCTCGACTACGGTGGGATCTTTTTGTTCACATGTGGGACGACATTGTTTCTCCTCGGCCTGGGCTGGGGTGGCACGACATACCCATGGGCGTCGGCACACGTCCTCGCGCCCTTGATCATCGGCATCGTGGTGTTCATCAGCACATTTTTCTGGGACTTTTACGGTCCGGTCAAACGGCCTATTTTCCCTTACAGACTATTCAAGAAATTCCGAGAGTTCACCTCCCTTTTGGTGGTCATCTTTGTCACCGGTCTGGTGTTTATCAGCATCAACACACTGATCCCGGAAGAGATCGCCTACGTCTTCACTTCGGACTCCATCAAGGCTGGAATCTACAACATCCCCGCGGGTGCTTGTGGTGCACTGGGAGGCACCGTACTTGGTGGTCTGCTGTTCAAGATCAAACACGTCCACTGGCAGATCATGACGGCCGTGGCCATTCAATCCATCTTCACCGCTCTCATGGCCCTGATCACCCCCGACCGCATCGCCATGGGAGTGGTGTTCCAGGCCTTCACCAATATCCCCTTTGGATGGATCTTGATCGCCTGTTATGTCACCTGTGGACTACACATCCCACAACGAGACATTGGTCTGGCTTACGGCTTGATAGGAGGCGTACGATTCCTAGGAGGAGCAATCGGCACGGCCATCTTCACCACTGTGGTGAATAATCGATCCGCCACGACGATCCCCAGTCGCGTCATCACCGCAGTTACACCCCTGGGTTACCCTGTCGATAGAGTTCCCGGACTCATTGTCGCTCTGTCGGCTGGGATCAAGTCCGAGTTGGCACAAGTGCCCCAAGACGTCGTCAGTGCCGCTTCGGAGGCCGTCCGCTGGGGTTACACCGACGCCTTCAAGATTGCATGGCTTGTGTCGATACCGTTCGGAGTGGCCGCTTTCGTGGTCAGTACTTTTATTCGTGACCCTTCGTTGTACTTCACAAAACACACCGCCGTCACGATGAGGAAGACTCGACTGGACGGGCCAAACACAAACACTTTGAACAATACCGCCACGGACATGGACGATGGCACGGTAACAACGAATCCTACAGATTTCAAGAGACAGGAAGATCATGTTGAAAGTGCGAATGCCTAGCGGGAGGGAGGACACCTACGTAGATACTATGTAGGCTTGACGCAATGCATGAAGAGTTAAATGCCTATCTGCGTGAGACTATAAAGATTGTCATGTTCAATTATTATGTCCTGTGTGTAGTCCTTGTGAAATGAAGAAAAATAATCACCTCTGCGTACAAGACTGACTACGTGAACACCATCAGTGAGACCGGGACTAATTGGTAACAAATACAAACTATTCCAGATGACCCTTGGGAGGTATGCAACGCTGTCCATTACATAATCTATTTAGGGCAACCTCCTTTGCTCGAATCCTATACTTCTCCCAGCACTTGAGGTCGTCCTGGACGTGAGAGAAAAACGAGATTGTCGCACGTGATGAAGTGCAAGGCTGTGAACATCTTCCTATTGTAATAAACCCCCCCCCCCCCGGGCGGCCGAACGCGTTTCAGCCTCGTCACGTCAAGTTTGGACAAGGCTGCAACATGACACGGATTTCGAGTCCGAACATTTTTGTGGAGCTTTTCGCCAAACACGCACCGGGGTCAAAATGTAGATCGCGATTTGTTTCCACTTCACTCGTCCTCTCCCCTTTGACCTGACCTTCGACCTTTGATAGTGATCCGCCCCCCCGACAACAATAACAACAACAAAAAAGTGACTCGGATCTACAATGGAAATCTCTATAAGAACCAATTTGAGGCATTTTGCAAAAGCAGAAGTTACCACGGTTGGGCTTCTCAAAAACTCACGACGTTTCCCCCCCCCCCCCACCCATCTCTCTTTCTCGCTGGGACCCCTCGGCCATGATGAATCCACTCCTTCTACGTGTCGACAGATTTCGAGACACGGTTCGTGTATGGTCCATACGGAAAAAGGTATCACTACGCATTGTCTCGTGCAAGAGGAGTATTGTTGCCTGTTCACGCAGAATGTGCACGGCCATAACTGCCTACAGGAAATACTCAATGCGAAAATATCGAAAATTGTGACACCAATATACATTGAGCACATACCAAAGGGCAAGACAAGAATTGATTATGCCATACAGATGACAACCACCATCGGTTCCCCAATGCCTGCGGCAACAATAATGACTGAGAGACAGAAAAAGACCCGCACCTGTCTTTTTTCTTCCCACTTTTCATTGCGCCTCTTTCTGTCCTGATGCCTGCTCTACTGAAAATCTTGTTGGAACTGGGGATGATCGATTTGATCGACCCGACATCTTGCACGAGAAGGGCACAAAAGAGGGGCTGAGATGGGTACAATTCGACATCCAGAGGTCGAGCACATGTCTTTTTTTGCTTTCTCTGCACTACGCCTCTTCCTAGTTTGCTGCCTGCTCTACTAAAAATCTTTAGAACTAGGGATGGTTGATTTGATCGACCCCAAGGCTCTTACAAAATAGGCGCAAAGAGGGGCTAGATGGAGACGATCCAAAGGTGTAGTCGACAAGATATTCCCTCATCGTCGACCCGAACATCATCCGGGTCCCTTTACAGCCCAAGATCGTCCATTGGCACCATTCATGTTCAATGGCATCCGCAAGAAATATGCGGAACATACCAAAGATCTACAAACTCTTCTACAAACCTTCGACGCCTCGACCTGCCACACAACTCTCCATTCTCCTCCGATCAGAGGGTCAGAGAGTGGGCATCACGGCGAGCACAGCCCGCTCGGATTCTCCTCCTCCTCCTCCTCCTCCTCCTCCTCCTCGAGAAACTACAAATAATGTCCTCCCCCGGCCGAATCTGGTTTCGAATCTCTTCAGACTCGCTTGAATTACCATCATACAACGTTACACCATTTCTTCTCGAAAACTTCGCTCCACTTTCAAAATGGGTTGTATGTTCAGCTGCAGACGTGCATCAGTCATGGACGATGAACCAGCACCTCGTCCTGTCCCTCCCCGGACCACCTCAGTGTCCGAAACCTCAATCAAGGGTGTCGTCGTCGGTGGACAAGACCTTCGCCGCAAGGCGAAGGCCCATCCCCGTCCTCGATACCCGAGCAGCGTCTACTCTCCCCCGGGCACGCTCACCCAACACATGCGCGACCACCAAAGGGACTCGCGACCAGGCCTGGACCCTTCGTTCTATCAACTCCCTGAATGGGCTGCCACCTATCGCAGCTGCCAGGGCAATCCGTTCGCAGAACGCCCGAGGCGTAATGACGCGAACTAAGGATTCGCTTGTACTCACCGGCAGTTGCGATGGGGGGTGGGCTGTCTTCAGGTGTGGGTTCAAGGATGCTGGTCGCCCCCGAGGTGTGTCGTTGTCGATGTGTGTTTGGGTGATGTCGTTGGACGGGCGGTTGTAGGGGCGCTTGCTTGTTTGTTGGTTCTCGTGTTCATTTGGGGGTTCGGAAAGGGCGTTGGATCAGGGCGTTGGGCGTCTGGCAAGTTCTTGTGCTGTTGTTCTCTCAGTCTGATATTTTTTGGTGCAGGATGGCTGTTTTTGCAGCCACAGAGTCTAGGAGTATGACGGTGTTGTGTGTGTGTGTGTGCTGTGTTGAGGGTGACTTCGGTCACCGACAAGAGGCCCCCAGGGTCCCTGGTTCTTTGTGTCTTCGTCAACAGTGTCGCGATAGGAGTGTCTGTGGACAAGTAGCCTTGGTTGCGAAAGGCCACAGATTGTCTCTGAGAGGCATTGTTGGCAAGCTCACTGATCCAGCAATTTTTTGTTGAACTCTTCTCATCTTGATGAGAACCTTCTTTTCATCATTGTCTTTTTGCCTTGTGCAAGACCTTGGAGAAGAAAAGGTTGGTGTTGTTGGCGTTGTATACCTATAACATCGTTGGTGTATCTTATAGGTAGTACACCTGGTCATCGATGTAGCTCATTGTCGACAAGTCATCGTCACTAGCTCGTCGTCGATAGCTCATCATCAACACACATCACCATTAGTATGTCGTCGTCGGGTATGCTGTCACCGCCAGATATCACCGTCGATATCTAATTTCGTTCTAAACATGTCGTCGTCGATCTTGTGTTTACTGTCAGTACCCACTTATTGTCGTCGATATAGATCATCGTCGCCGTCGGTACTCCTCGTCGTCCACCTATGTTGCCGTCTTCCCCCTCCCCACATCGTCACTATCACCTACCTGGAAAAGGTATTATGCTTATTTCCCAGTCTACCCTGCCATTGACACCGGGTCTGTCTCTCATGTTAACCCTATCGATATTCCTTCTATACTCAATGCCACACCCGTTGCCCTTTGTATATCATCGTCGTCGTCGCCACATGCCATCACTCTCATTCCGTCACAGAATTACCCCAATCAACTTCTTACTTTATGCATTGTCTTGTCATCACGGCTTCTCCGTCGTAAAATTTCGTACATTCTCGTCGGTACATGTCCCCATAGATGGTTCACATCATCATCGACTCAATTGGGTAGAGCAATCATCATTGGCCGCCCACAGCTTCTTCGACCCTGATAAATCGTCGATGAATAACGCATGTTGGTAGGTGATGTGTAATCATCCATGAATACATAACACATTTGACGAATATCAACGCTCCCAAGCACCACAGCTAAGTTAGTACCAATGAAAATGTAAAGTCAGATTTCTAAACGACAACACAAGTTAAACTGAAATCACATCACGACAAAGTTCTAAAAACCTTCAGGAATAGAGTCATCATTCGCTGTCTGTTCAAACATTGCTTCATACGCTCCATCTTCATAAACTAACAAAGACCGGCCAGCTTGTATGCCTCATCTTCCAATCGCCGACTCCCGCGCATGTTATTTCCAAGCACTTAATCCTGCCCAAGGATCTTGCTCTTGACTTCCGCCCTGACCTTGCGGTGGCTGATGACCTTGTGGTGGCGCTTGTTGCGGGTATCGGTTGGGCTGTGGGTAGCTTGCGTAACCTCCGGGTCCGCTAGGCCATACGCCCGTTGGGTTGGGAGGATATTGAGTGCTCGAGCCTCCACCAGGCGGTCCCGGTGGCGGTGGTGGAGGAACATAATTTTGTGGCATGTTGTATGGCGAAGGTTGATAGTTTTGATATTGTGGTTGTGATTGAGGCATTTGAGAGTGTGGCGAAGGGGACTGGTAGGGAACACCTTGTGCGTTTGGTTGAGGTGGATAGTTAAATTGGGGATGCTGCGAGTATTGGTGTCCGCCTGGAGCGTTGAAATTCATCGTCTGGATAGGAGTGTGGGATTGCGGCGGAGCATGCTGTGATTGAGGAGGGAAATATGCGTTTGTCGAAGCCACGGGGGGAGAAGTCACTGGTGAGTAGCCATATGATTGCTGGGTCGGAGGGTGTTGGCCCATAGACGAGGTAGTTGACCGCTCAGGATACGCCATCGGGTTATATCCAGTCGAAAGAGGTGTAGCAGCTCCTTGGGCAAAGGCATGTTGCGCGTCAATTGGTGATGCATTCGCAGGTTGAGCCGGTTGCTGAGGTTGACTTGAATAGCCGTTGGGCACAACGGGCGCAGGTGAATGTCGAGGTGGGATGGTAAAGCGAGGGTCTGCATTAGGAGTGGGATATGATGGAGAGATGGCCGCTGGCGACCTGGATGCGTTCAAAGTCGGCATTGGAGGGAGCGCAGGAGCTTCTATCTGTGATGGAGAAGACGACTTTGGCTCCATCGACAACCTGTTCATCAGCTCTTGCATCCGTCTTTGTTCGGCAGCAGCCTGACCACTGGCAGAACTGTTCTTGGTTTGCTCAATCTGGTGAAGTAATTGGGCCCCTTCGGCTCTTCTATTGCTGACGAAGGATTCGACGTTCTTCTCCAGACTGTCGACACTTTCCTTCATCTCCTTGTAGAAGCCTTGAGCCCGCAAAAGGCCTTGTGTGAGATCCTCATGAGCATTGAAAACCCTTCGGTATCTGCTAAGGACGCTGTTCCTGCTCTTTTGTATTGAATCGTATTTCTGCTGATCTGAGCGAACTCTCTTGTCCTGCAAGAGATCACCATAGCTCTTCGTCAGATCCTTCAGCAGAGACGATTGCTTGTGTACAGTTGATATCAGCCGGTTTTGGTGAGAACGGAACTTTTCCAATTCAGCCTGGAAAAGCTGAGTCTCCTGGTTGGCTATCGCTTTCTTGTTCAGAATGAGAACGTTTGAGATATCGTCCGTGTGGACCTTCTCTTTGAGATCTTTCAGAACCTGCATTCTCTCACGCTTTACCAGGCTGAGTTTTCGTAGAAGATCTTCCACCTTCGCAATCTGTTCTGCCACCGAAGGACCGCCTTCACCGTAATCCTCATCAAGCAGGGAACCTTCCTGGGGTTCTCTGCCTTTGCCCTTGGATGAACTCCCGGCTTTTATCAAGGCTTGCTGGTAGAGAACGTCGACTTCACCCTGCTCTGTCGCTCTTCTCATCTCTTCGAAATCGCCCTCATACTGTCGAGCAGTGGCAAACAATTGCGAGTCACTGGTTCCGGCCTCATCAATTGTGTCGCGGTAACTCCTGATATCGGCTCTTAGTGTAGAGGTCAATCTGGAACTGGGCTGCTGTGTCCAGTCGGCTCCGTACTTCGACCTCATTTTCTCGCAGACACTCTCCTCCATGTCCAGCTGTTTCGTGCTCTTGGAAAGACTGTCCAAAACCAATTGCTTGTCTCTCTGGAGTTGCTCAAAAGCACTGCTAAAAGGCTGCTGTTGCGAAATATCTTGACACCAGCGTTCAAATTCTTTGTCAATTCCCATTTCTTGATCCAACCCGCCTTTCAGTATATTTAAGCTGTCCGGAAGCTTGAGATAATCCAAGCTTGCGGCCATTTCACCATTTGCTTGCTCGACCTTTTCGGCTTCTGATCGTATCAACTTCGCCTTTTCTTCATCGTACATGCTGGCCGACTCGGTTACCGATATGGGCACGATTTTCTGAAAAAGGTCTGGCCCAATGATTCTTTGGATATCTTGTCCCTGATACAGTTCTGAGAGGGGAATTGCTTTAGCTGCCGGGACTTTCGTGACGGGTGACAGTGAAGCTTCTGCCGGGACTGTCTGGTGGTAAATGAAATCGTTGTCTTTGACTAGGGATGTTAACTTTTCTTGCACCGTCTCCAACTGTCTTCGAGTGATCCCTTGCAGCGTCGTGGCGGCATCTGCACCCAGTTGCGATGACGATGAAGGGGTTGAAGGGAAAGCCTTAGCGTAGGAAAGAGCCTGCTTGCTCGATTTCTCGGCGAGTTGTAATCGAGCAATCGCGGAGCCGTGGAGATTAGTCTCATCTTCTGTCAGTGCCTGGTAGTACTCGGCCAAGGAAGACAGATGTAGAGCCTTGATCTGGATGAACTTCAACCAGGTATAATCAAATACTCCGCGAACACTTTCTGCTTCGAGGGCTTCCTTGGCCTGGCTGAACAGGAACTGAGCCTGTGCAGCAAGCTTTGCTAATAGTGCTGGCTTTTTTGCATCTCGAATCTGTTTCTCCAAGAAGACTTCCTGGGCTTGACCCAACATGATGTTTATCAGTGTCTTGACAGTATCCCGATTGAGGTCAGTAGACGGCGCATGCAGGAAATTCTCGTTGATATAGGTAAACATGCCGGCCGACGCTTGAAATGAGTGGTAGGCAGTCTTCAGGTCTTTGTCCTCTGATCGATTTTGCGATGCTGCATGGCAAGATAGAACAGCCGATATATTGAAAATGACGGAGGCCTTCTCAAAGGCAAGCGAGTATTGGGAGGTCGTGGAGTGCGTAAAGGCATCGTACCAGGTGAAAGAAATCTTGATATGGTTCTCGTCAACTGGAAAACGCAGGTCTAACAGCTCGAGTTGTCCGTAATATCTGTAGAGCAGGTCTCTTCCCGACGCCGAGTCGTTGCCTGCTCCTCTCATGTCCTGCCTGAGCCTATTAAGGGTCGCCGTCTCTTCAGAGTATTTCTCGGGGTCATCGCCGTAGGAGGTACGGATATAATTCTTCAGAGGTGCGACCCAGTCTATCTCTTGTGTCTGTTTGAGCGGACACGATAACATGGGCGCCTGCACCATTTTGACGGTAGAGATCCGCAAGATTATGTGGTGAGTTGGGAGTTCGACCGGGAGGCGCAATACGCGACACGAACTTCGAATGTTAGATGGCAAGGGGAACCATGGTTAAAGGAATAATGTTGAAGCCTGACAGAATCGCAGGTAGCCGCCAAAGTCGAGTGATGAGAGTGACAATGATGGCAGAGTGGGGGATTGGATGAGATGAAGCGTAATAGCGAGAAGCGAGTCAAGATCGTATACGGAGTATCGTCTCCAATACATCAGGAAAGTAAACAACAGAGTATTTCCACAACTGCAATTATCTACCAAGGTGGTTCTACCATTGTATAGTTATGGTTATATTTATATTTATATATATTGTGGTGCTTTTAGCTTTCATTTAGTATGTAATTGTACACTGAGTTGAAGGGTATTCTGTCCTCTTAATAATCAAGGTCAACAATACATATACATTTTCGAAAACTTCAACTACCAAAGGCACACATGGACAACCCAAGTGCCACGGTTGAGAAAATCCGCTATAGATGACGTACAATCCCTGGAGGTCCTCGTTGTCGCCGTCGCTATGAAGTATGAATCAAGATGATTGAGAAATGGTGGATCGCGAAGGAAGCAGGAGGTTAGCCAGATCCTGAGGCCTTCTTTGGCTCGTCATCGTCTTTCGAGTCTGTCTTGCCCTGAGAGCCTTTCTCTTCGGGTTCCAGGTTGTCATGTTGATGGGTCAGTCTATGCCATGCAGATTTGAGAAATCCCTCGTTCTTGTGATCTGCAGCTTTGTTTGATGGCTTCGAGTTGGAGTCTGAGGATGTTTCCCTGCACAGATGGTAAGCATTTTCCACGACCGAGTAACAACAAACTTACTTCTTTAAGGAGTCGATGTTCATAATCCTCTTTGCGGTCTTGTCGCCCATCTCATCTGCCAGCATCTCCAAAAGAGTTCGCTGGTTGGCAGAAAGGTATCTGGGCATGTTGACCTTGAACTCGACCCTCAAATCACCTGAAGCATCCCGCCGCCCACCTAGGCGCTTCATACCCTTGCCAGGCAGTGTTATCCTGTCACCAGTGCCAGTTCCAGTTGCGATCTTTACCTTCACCTCTCCCTCTAACGTCGGGACCGTGACTTCACCACCAAGCAGAGCGGTAGTAAGAGGTATTGCAGCAGTATAGAGCACGTCCGCTCCATTCCGGCTGAACCTTGCATCTGGTGCTACACGAATGAAGACGTAGAGATCTCCGCGTACGCTTCGAACATTTGCTCCCACAGCCGTACCTGTTGGGGCCGCATCGCCCTCTCCAGAAACGCGAAGTCTCATTCCATCTTCAACTCCTCCTGGAATGTCGACTTGAACAGTCTTCCTTTGTCGTATTACTCCATTGCCAGCACAAGTATCGCACTCTGAACCCCTTGGAATGGTAACTCCGCTTCCTCCGCACGTAGAGCACGTACTCGACATATGAAACCCTTGTTGCATCACATGTACCCGAGTACCCGTGCCATTACATGATTTGCATTGTTGTTTCTGGGAACCTTTTTTCATTCCGTTGCCTTTACATGTGCCGCATTCAACAAGAGGCGTAATGGTGATATTCTTCGTTACACCCTTCGCAGCGTCCATGAACGATATATTGGTTTGGACTTCAATGTTGTCACCCTGTAATATTTCTTCTTGGAAAGGTGATCTTCCTCTTCGGCCACGACGACTACCTCCAGTAAAGGCACCAAAGAGGTCTTCAAAGTTGAACTCGGCCCCGAACCCTCCACCAAAACCGGCGAAGGGATTTCCTCCAGCAGCGCCTCCGAAAGGATGTCCGCCTCCGGCACTAGGATCAAAACCAGCGCCTTGGTCGAAAGCTGCTGCTCCAAACTGATCATAAGCAGCTTTCTTCTGGGGATCATTCAACAGCTCATAGGCTGATTGAGCATCTGTGAACTTCTCCTTTGCGCCGGGATCCTTGTTCGTGTCAGGATGATACTTTTTAGCCATAGCGTAGTAGGCTTTCTTGATCTCTGATGCACTGGCACTCTTCCCGACTCCGAGCGTAGCGTAGGGATCTTTCGTCGCTTGAAATGCCGAGGTAGTGGAAAAGAGTCGTACGTTTGTCGACGGACATCTCGAAGAACGGGAGCACGGAGGGAGGCGTGATGAAGGTCTCTTAGGTATTGCTGTGTTGTAGAATGCCCTTGTCTGGGCTTTGCGTGTGAGACTTGCACTTGGTTGCGGGCATGGTATAGAAGATCGGAGTAATCGAGGAGCCGAGTTGGCCCAGGCCGCACTGGCCGCACTCATCTGGATTGTGTTGTTTCGATCAAGACTCGTATTAACGTTCGGAAATCGGATATCATTGGCAAGCAAAAGTGTATAAATGAATGGTATCAAAACAAGTCGTCAGAGGAGATGCTTTCCTGTTGAGCATCGGGAACATTCTCGTCGCTTTTCGCGGCTCTCCGAAATTTTGCTCGGCGCAGTTTCCTCTTTTGTATACGCCGCCTCTCATGGGCAGATACTGATCAATTACGCATACAAGTGGCACCTGGGACGAGTATGAGAGTCCTCTAGCACTCAGCACGACCTGATTTCCTCTTCATCCATTCGAGCCACTGTCCTCATACCTTCCGATATCATCAGCTCAGAGCAGGACGACCTGTCGAGGAATTGAGCTGATCTGCATCCGCAAGCTCTTTCCACTTATCTCAGCACCGCTCATTTGCCGCAGAGTATGCTCCGCGGCCACGGTGTAGCATGGCGTACAGCTCTGCGGACTGGCCAACGCACAATATGTAGAGACTGCAGACGTCAAATTCTTCAGAGAAGTGCACTAGGCGCTTCCGCGACCGCTCCAAGACCATCATTATCATCTCTTCTGCACGCCCGCCCAGGATTACAAATACGAGAGTTCTCCTCACATCCAGTCCGCCGAAAAGACAAGCCTCCGGAGGACGAACCATCCCCTCAGCCAGAAGGCGCAGAGACGAAATCAAAAAAGGTAGAGAACGAGTTGGAGGAAGCACCGCGGACCGAGGACAGTGCTGAGTCGAAAAGATCGCCCTCTGAACCTCAACCTATACCTCAATCATCCAGCGATGGGAAGCCCGCAGCCGGCGGAAATGTTGGAGAATCGTCCTCAGGAGGCGGGCAAAGCTCAGGGGGCGGTGGTGATGGCGGCAAGCGAGGACGAAAGACTACCCAGATATCCAAGCCTACTGTTCCGGAGATATACCCCCAAGTTATGGCAATCCCCATAGCCAAACGACCTCTGTTTCCTGGTTTCTACAAAGCCATTACGATTAGGGATCCAAATGTGGTGGCTGCGATTACCGAGATGATGAAAAGAGGTCAGCCGTATGTGGGGGCGTTTCTGTTCAAGGACGACACTGCGGATAAGGATATCATTGAAAAGATGGACGATGTCCACGACGTCGGAGTATTTGCCCAGATCACAAGTGCTTTTCCTGTCCATGGAGATGATCAGAGTTTGACTGCTGTGCTATATCCCCATCGGCGGATCAAGATGTCGGCTCTGCTACCTCCATCAGCATCGGGAGAACAAGGGCCGTCAACCGTTGAAGTCCAGCCAGTCAAGGAGGGTAAACCGAAGTCTGAGGCTGCCGAAAGCAAAGGTGATGTGGTGGCGAGCTTTGAGGAACCCAACAAAGAACAACCCACACAACTGAGTGTCTATGAGCCAACAGCATTCCTCCGAAAATTCCCTGTGTCTCTAGTCAATGTTGAGAATCTCACCGAGCAACCTTACGAGAAGAAGAGCGATGTCATCAAGGCTTTGACAGCAGAGATTGTTAACGTCTTTAAAGAGGTTGCTACCCTGAATCAACTTTTCAGAGATCAGATATCCGACTTCAGCATGTCTCAGTCTGCAGGAAATGTTCTCGAAGAGCCTGCGAAACTGGCTGATTTTGCCGCTGCAGTTTCCGCCGGCGAGATCGACGAGTTGCAGGACGTATTGCAGACAATGAATGTTGAAGAGCGCCTGCACAAAGCACTTGTTGTCCTGAAGAAGGAGCTCATGAACGCCAAGCTACAAAACAAGATCACGAAAGACGTGGAGAGCAAGATCCAAAAGAGGCAAAGGGAGTACTGGCTAATGGAGCAGATGAAGGGTATTCGACGAGAACTAGGCATTGAATCTGATGGCAAAGACAAACTGGTGGAGAAGTTCAAGGAGAAGGCACAAAAACTTGCCATGCCAGAAGCTGTCAAGAAAGTTTTCGAAGAGGAGCTTAACAAGCTGGCCCATCTCGAGCCTGCTGCTTCAGAGTTCAATGTCACCAGAAATTACCTTGATTGGATTACTCAGATCCCTTGGGGGCAAAGAAGCGCCGAGAATTTTGGTATCAAAAACGCCATGACTGTACTTGATGAAGATCATTACGGACTCAAGGACGTCAAGGACCGGATTCTTGAATTCATTGCAGTGGGCAAGCTTCGTGGCACTGTCGAAGGCAAGATCTTGTGCTTTGTTGGACCACCTGGCGTCGGCAAGACCTCAATCGGAAAATCAATTGCGCGAGCTCTTAACAGGCAGTACTACCGCTTTAGTGTCGGCGGTCTTACTGACGTTGCTGAGATCAAAGGCCATCGTCGAACTTATGTGGGTGCCTTGCCTGGTAGAATTATTCAGGCTCTGAAGAAATGCCAAACGGAAAATCCTCTGATCCTCATTGATGAAGTCGACAAGATCGGTCGCGGCCACCAAGGAGACCCATCATCTGCTCTGCTGGAATTGCTCGACCCTGAACAAAACTCCAGCTTTTTGGATCATTACATGGATGTCCCGGTCGACCTCTCCAAAGTTCTCTTTGTTTGCACAGCCAACATGACGGATACCATCCCTCGTCCCCTACTTGACCGTATGGAATTGATTGAGCTCAGCGGCTACGTTGCCGATGAGAAGAAGGCCATCGCGGATCGTTACCTCGCACCGCAAGCGAAGGAGCTTTCTGGGTTGAAGGAGGTGGACGTTAAACTTGACGAAACTGCCATTGAAGAGTTGATCAACAAATATTGCCGCGAGTCGGGAGTGCGGAATCTCAAGAAGCAAATTGAGAAAGTGTACCGCAAATCTGCACTCAAAATCATCCAGGATTTGGGTGAAGATGCACTCCCAGAGTCAGAAGCGCTCACAGATGAAGGCAAAGCTGCCCTTGAAGAGAGTAAGAAGGATGATACCGATGTTAAAGACACTCCCGAGAATATCGAAAAAGAAACGACAGAGCAACCCCGCGTTGCACTGAAAGTACCCGAGTCAGTACACGTCACCATCACCAAAGACAACCTGAAAGACTATGTCGGACCACCGGTTTTCACATCCGACCGTCTATATGAGAAGACACCACCTGGTGTCGCTATGGGCCTGGCCTGGACTAGTATGGGTGGTGCGGCACTGTATGTCGAGTCGATTCTCGAATCTGCCTTGTCGCACTCGAGTCGTCCTGGACTCGAACGAACAGGCAATATGAAACCAGTCATGAAGGAGTCAACGACGATTGCGTACTCATTTGCTAAACACGTCATGGCGACCCAATTCCCCGAGAACCTCTTCTTTGACCACGCCAAGATCCATCTGCATTGTCCCGAGGGTGCTGTTCAGAAAGATGGTCCCTCCGCCGGTATCACAATGGCTACGTCCCTGCTCAGCCTAGCAATGAACAGACAGGTCGACCCAGCGCTCGCCATGACCGGTGAACTGACCGTCACCGGCAAAGTGCTCAGGATAGGCGGTCTGCGAGAGAAGACGGTGGCAGCGAGACGTGCGGGATGTTCGAAGATATTGTTCCCCAAGGACAACTGGGGTGATTGGTGCGAACTGCCCGAGGTAAGTTGTTTTACACCTTGACTTTTTGATATTCTCTCCTTCTGTCTTGTATTGTTCGTATTGAGCGCATGCTGACCCTTTTGTGTTTCTACAGAACATCAAAGAAGGCATCGAAGGTCATGCGGTCGACTGGTACAGTGACGTTTTCGATATTGTTTTCCCCGGCGCCAAACCCGAAGAGATTAATCATTTGTGGAAGGATGCCTTGCAAAAATCCAAAGAGGGTAAAGAGAAGGATAATGATGAGGACGACGATTGATTCAGTGCCTCTAAATTCTATACGACTCACTAGAGGCAGTTGGTGCCGCGAGTTTTCAAACAACTAGGTTTCGAGATTCCTACCTAGCCCTTGGAGCCGTGTACCGGGTGGATGTGTGTGTATGTGTGTGATCTTCCCAGTCATCGGCATCATTTGCGCATCGAACTGCTTGCATCTGGCCACTCGCCTCACAACTCGTCCTTGGCCCGCGACGCTTATATTTGATCTGGTCTGGTTTGGTTTCAGAATGCACACGAATCTCATCCTCGTCAACTCCCAACTCTCGTCAGGCCCCCGCATCTGCATTTCTGGAGTCGAAGACAGCGGTTGATTGGGCCATTTTTTGACGTCTTGCTTACCTGGGCTTGTCACGAGAGAAAGTATCTGTGGGAGCGCAGGCAATTTCTGTATGGTATGTATGTTTCAACAAAGAAAAGGATGGGATAAATAGAATCTTCGCTCTGCCCACGTGGCCGCTTGTTTGTTTATTTGGCCGGTGGTTGTAGACTATTGACGTGATCACCTTTGTCTCCAAGGGAGAGGAAAAACCAAGATATAGAGTCGAAACATATTGTTGCATGACGTTATACCTTTGGTACCTATACCGGGTTATACAGAGGTATGTTTGTACATATAGAAGACATACCACTCGTGCAAATACACTCTATAAATCGCTTCTACTTTTGAACAGCAATTGACCTTCTATCCTGTTTTCAGGTTCAATCCATACTCAAACATAATGCAGTAATTCGTAACGAGTCGTCTCATCAAAATCAACGGTATGTAACTGGGATTCTAGTTCATCCATAGCCACCCTCGTCATCTTCCTCGTCGGACGATATTGGGATTGCGTCTTCAGAACCTCTGATGAGGGCGTGCCTGTAGCTTCTCAGCAAAGCTGTTTCGTGCGTGTCGAGAATCATCTCGTCATCCTCGTCATCCTCCCTTTTGATGATGACTTCTTTCTCAACAATCGGTGATCCCGGAAGTTTTGCTCCGTTTTGGTCCGACGCGTCTTCTCTTCCGTTGAAACCATCAATTTCCTCTTCGTCCTCGCTGTCGGCAATCTCCGTGGCTTTGCGCTTCTTTGGTTGTTGTGATAGCTCGTCCGGCAGAAGAGGGAGATCCATCAGTGGAGGAGGAGGACGTTGTTCTTCACCTTCAGTCCCATGAAACGCATTGAAGAGGTCTTCTTCCTCCTCCTGATCGTTGGCTTCTGGGGAATGTAATTGTCGTAGTCCGTCTGTCAAAATCACGAAAGCGACCGCGGGTTTGTATATCTCTTTCCGACCAAGGCGCTGAACTTCGGCGTATCGGAGAGCTCGTGTTTCAAGCTTGGACAGTTGGCTTTCTTGATCCTTGTCTGGAAAGTCACGGTAGAGCATGATTCGCGTGTTGACGGCGATGTCCCATGCTTGGCTGGATAATGCCGGCTTGAGCATGGCCTTTTGTCCCGTCTTCAGGCTGATGGTCGAGTTCGTCAACGCCAATATCGCGAGATTTCTAAGGGCGGCCATTTTGGACATGGCTGCACCCAGGCTCTCAATGATCTGAAACCTTCTACCAGCGGCTCGTTTCTCGAACTTTTCCTTGACCAAGCTTGGAGCTCCGGGTTTCAGATGTTTTGCATTCCGAGAGAACGAGCCGAGAATCAAATTGGATAGATCGTCCACGACTATCAAGCCCGTCTTGGGCCCCGGCAGAGTCTGGCTTGGGTGTAGGAAGATAGTCAGGAGCCTCGGAAGAGAATGCGCCTCCAGATACGTGAACTTCTCGTTTATCAGGGTTTCGATGTCTGGGGAATTGCTCGGGGTCAGAGACGACTTGGGGTCTTTTGGTTGCTGGTGACCCGCCATCAACTGGCGAAGCCGGTTCGGTGTAAGGGGCGAGCCACAGTTGACCCAGAGTACGCGAGATTCATCGTGACTCGACTTTATCAAGTTCGCGACGACTTGAAGACCGAAGGTCGTCTTACCCCCTCCTGGAGGGCCGAACATCTCGGTCACACATCCTCGTTGGAGGCCTGGTGTGACTAGGGACAGTTGGCAGGGTGAGAGAGATGCATCTAGGGTTGGGAGGCGAGTTGAGATACCTTTCGCCTTCTCGGACGCACTCTTGAGAGCTTCGACTCCGGATACCGTGGGCAGTCGATGCTGGGTCGGTGAGAAGTTGTGGACATCAGGTCCGGGATTGTCCATTTTTCAGGTGATTCAATGTTGTCCAAGGCATGGTGGGCATGAACACAGGACTTTTTGCAGATCTGTGCGATAGATTGAAAGCAACGACACCTTGAGAGATAGCTGCAACAGACAGTCTCGGCTGCTCGAAGGTCAAGCGCAGTTGTCCTTGACTTCCCTCGATCCTGCCGGAGCAACACTGTCAATCTCGACGACAAATCATCACCGCCTCACGAGTCACGACGCGTCGCTTTCAAATGACACAACTTGACCTTAATGACGCCGAGTCTTGTCTTTTGAAATTGACGGTTATCAATGGCCTTGGGTCATGAAATTCAACACTTCACCGAATGGTGAAGACAGCATGTTTTGTAGTGAACTTTCCCTGAGCAGGGTCATCACTGGCTGATTTACACAGACATCTTATTGCAAACAAGGCTAGACCACAAATTGCATCTCTTACTTACACTCATGGCGGCCGCGTTGCGTTGCTGCTGTACACTCACACAATATGTCGGAACCAGCCGAACGGACAAGTCCTATATCAGTACCATCTCTCTCCACTCGCGCGATACGTACCGCTTCTTCCGGTGACCGTTCGAGTATGTCAGTTCTACTAGACAAAGGGCGCGAAGGGTCCTTGAGACGCGGATATGATCTGTAAGCGTTGACTGCGCCAGGAACTTCCCGAGACTTTGCGCAAGCTTTACACTGGGATTTTGTTACGTGCACCCAACAAGAATACTCAGTTAGCAGAGTACTCTTCATGAGACCAGTGATTAAAACATCTTTGAATCCTGTGTTATTGGCATTAAAACCTCGTCTCCTAGAGAGGCCTGGAGTATAGGTATCCTTATTAAGCTAACTCAATCCGCCCAGAGATCACTCTCTCCTTGATCTAGCTGCCTTTTTTTGGATGAAACCTGCTTCTCAGTTGCTGCCATGGCCAGCAACGTCGGTGCAGAGAGGCTTCCCCCTCCTTCTCAATCCAAGATGGCAATTTCTCCCATTGCATGGACGATAGCGGATATCCGACGACAAGGAAGCGCCAAAATCGATGCTAAATGGGCTGAATATATCAATTCTGGCTCCATGGACTCTATCTCGACCCAGGCAAACGAGGAAGCCTACAATGCGTACCGCATCGTGCCACGGATCCTGCGCAATGTCGCCGAAGTAGATGCATCGACCACGATATTCGGGCAGAAGGTGTCGATGCCGTTCGGTTTCTCCCCTGCAGCGATGCACTGTCTGGCCCACCCGGAAGGCGAGGTCGCCACGTCACGAGCAGCTGCAAAGGCCAATATCGCCATGGGTCTCTCGCACTGGGCGACGCGGTCCATGGAGGACGTGAGGAAGGCGAGCGCCGAAGTTGGTGGTACGAATCCTTATGGCATTCAGTCGTCCGGGGCCAGCACTCGGTCTGGTATGCAAACGTTGTTCAAAAAGGCAAGCGAGCTCGGGTATCGCGCTGTGATCATGACCGTCGATGCACCGACGCTTGGTCGACGCTTGGCCGAGTACCGAAACGGCATCAATTTGCCTCCGGGAATGAAGTTCCCAAACATTGTCGACGAGAAGAGTGGAGAATCACCCGCGTCGTTTGTAGGTCTGCCTAGGGATGCCTCGACCACATGGGACAAGCTTTTGCCCTGGCTTAGTGACCCTGACGTCGTGCCTGAAGGCATGGAAATTTGGCTAAAGGGGGTGTACGCACCCGAAGACGTGTATATGGCGGCCACGTACCCACGAGTTAAAGGTGTCATCATCTCGAATCACGGCGGTCGCCAGCTCGACGGATGCCCGGCGACTCTCGAGGCCTTACCTGACTGCGCCGAGGCAGCGCGAAACATCAACTCCACGCGCTCACCGGAGAACAAGCTGATGCTGGGTATTGACGGTGGCATTCGTAGGGGAACTGATATATTCAAGGCGGTGGCTCTAGGCGCAGACATGTGTTTCGCGGGACGTATCCCCATATGGGGTCTAGGTTATGCCGGTGAAGCAGGTGTCAGTCGGGCCATTCAATTGCTTCGGGAGGAATTCGAAATGGCCATGCGGTTGGCTGGTGTTACGAAGCTCTCACAGATCAACAAGCATTGCTTGGCCGTCTTGACCACTGGGAGACCTGGCATCATGTCTAGATTGTGACAAACAAGGGTGGGCTTGGGCTGCCATTGACTACGAGGCTAAACGGGAAAATCCCTTCTCAATAAGTATCTAGGTCCAGGTGAAGCAGGCTGTCTACGGGACGTTAGTAATGGTGATGAAGTTGAGGTACAATTCAGCAAAGTATCCTCGCCTTTCAAGACACCCAAGACACTTCTTAATTGTGTCGAAAGCTCTCATCAACTCATATTTCTCGACATAGTTGACCCTGGACGATGATTTTCCTACAGCCTTGGAAATGTACTGTGGGGCTGCTTATCGGCACTTTCCAGATCCACTCGCTTCTTTCCGAAGATCTGGTGCCCCCCTTACTGAGGACGGACAGGGCCATACATGAACCACTTCAACCTCCAACAGAAGAGGGGACTGCATCAATCGTTTGGTTCCGTTTCGGGAGACATGTCCCTGTGATACTCTAAATCAAGCTGGTTCTTTCAAACGTCTGCGAAGTTCGGATCACCTTCAAACCCTACAGAACAGTCCCTTTTTTGAAGATTTGAAGTATTCGCAATGGGCTCCTACGAAGCAAAAAAGAAGCAGATCCTGGTCGTAGGCTTCGGCGGCATCGGAACAGTCACAGCATACAACCTCGAGGCCAGTGGACTCGCCGAAGTCACGGGTGTCTTCAGGTCGAATTACGACGTTGTCCAGAAAGATGGCATTCAGATGTGGTCGTGCGACCATGGAGAGGTCAATGGATGGAGGCCAACCCGGGGTGAGTTAGCAATCCCATCGTGCCAGGTCAGAACGACGAGAACATTGTTTCCGATGTCCGGCTCCTTATGCATTGGGCCTTTTGAGTCTCTTTGACTGACAGATTTTCATCTCCGGCGTATGATAGTGTGCGAATCCGTGCCAAATGTCGGTAAAAGCGAGGAGCAAGGGCAAGGCTTGATGTTCGACTACGTCGTCGTCACGACCAAAAACATCCCGGACGTACCTCCGACGGTGTCTGACCTGATCTCACCGGCCGTCACCCCCGGCAAGACGGTCATCGTTTTGATCCAGAACGGCTTGAACATCGAGAAACCCGTGATTGAGAGGTTCCCGCAGAACGTCGTCGTCTCTGGCATTTCGCGAATGAGCTCTGCGGAACTACGAGCGGCGACCGTCTTTCACCAGGACCACGACACTTTACTCGTGGGGGCCTTTGACAATCCCAATCTCGACAAGCAAACACAAATCGACGAGGCTTCGAAATTTGTGGATCTGTACAAGGCATCCGGCAAGCCGACCGTCGAACACAACCCGGACGTCAGTTTCGATCGGTGGAAGAAGCTCGTCTACAACGCCTCTTACAATTCGGTCTGTACCATCACGGGCATGGACACGACGAGGTTGAGGTCCGCCAAAGACCCCATCACCGAGCTTGTCCTCCCCATAATGATGGAGATCAAGAGCATCGCCCGAGCTTGCGGTGTAAGGTTGGCTCCGGACCAGGAGGACATTTCGCTGGCGGGAGACAAGATTGACGCTTATTTCAGTCCGAGTATGTTGCAGGATTCGAGAAAGGTATGTTTGACATTGACAAGCTCCCTCGGGTGACTCCTCATTGCTCGTGTAGTCTCGGGAACTGACAAGGTACAACAAAACTTTAGGGCAATTTTATGGAATTTGAGATCATCGTCGGAGCTCCTCTCGCAGAAGCTCGTAGACACAACGTCCCCGCTCCCACTTTGGGGTTCATTTATTCGATGCTCAAGGCCTTGCAACTCCGGACCAAGCAGAACAAGGGCATGTTGGAACTTCCACCCATGAAGGACTACGGAGGAGGCGACATCATGGAGCAGTTCAAGCAAAAGGGGAATGTAAAATGATTCGTCCGCCCCGGTCAAGGGCGAATGAGACCCGAGGGTAGAATGAGAAGTCGGTACAAGGGGAGCAGGTGCTCGCTCGCGACACAGTCGAGACGTTCAAGGGTCAAAATTTCACGAGGTGAATGTTTTGTACATACCTGTTTAGGTGCCTCGGTAATGTAATCATATATCGAGTAGTCTCTGGCAGCGGCATGGAGGTTTGAGATTCCTCGACGCCCATATCCTAGCCTTGATTGCATTCGTGGCAGTTCCCATCAACTCTCCTGGAAGCCATCGGAGTGTGCGGCATCCACAATACGCTTTATTGCGTCCCCAAACTTCCCGCCCCAAAAGAATCCTTCCAGAATCCCTTGCAGGTCACTCCATGATTGCACCTCGGAAAAAGCAGCCCAGAATTGATTCGTCAGTAACGTCGCCGTCTCCGTCGTCTTGTCGACTTCGCTCCAGCTATCAATGAGAACCCACCAGACCCACATCCAGCACCCCTTTTGATCTGTTGTGAGCTGTTGGCGGCCCAGCAGCCCAATCTCCCCTGCCAACAGCGTCCGTGGGCCGCTGTACAACGCCATGCCCTTGTGACAAGCCCTCTGCGGAGCGAACTCGTTGGCCGTGTACAGCAGTAGCGCCAGGCAGAGGTATTTCTCCAGATCCGGACCAGGGCGGGAGATTGACGGACAGCATTCCCAAAAGTCACTGTACCGACCGACCTGCCAGCTAGAAGAAAGGTCTTGTCGCTTGCCGCCTTGGTTCCGTGATTGCTTCGTGCGAGCGTCCGCGACACGGAGCAGGAGCCGGACCGTATTGGCGTGAAGCGGGGTCTGGATGATGAGATTCTGGAAGCTAGGTGGCAACTTTTCGAGTGTGGTCGTGAGGTTGCTTTTCAACGAAGGGCTCGGAGGCGGTTCTGGTAGCAAACAACGAGTGTTGTAGAAAAAAGGGTCGGCCATGTCGACGACTCCACTCTTCGACGCCTTAGGCTGTCGGTTGAAGCATAATGCGAGGGGAATACAGTCCGGAGGAGCGAATTGCAAGGTGAGCGCCTTGACAAATCCGTGAAGGCCAGTCTTTTGAAGACCACCGCGAGATTTCATCATTTCTGAGATACGAGTTCGGTGAATGCTGTATCCTGCATAGTCGCCCAATGCACGCTAGAATTGGTTTTGTTAAGTCTCTGCTGTAAAATACCTACGGGTCGTTTAGACAGGGTCTGCTTACCGAAAAAGATGCCAAACAGACGATTGCTACAAATGTAGCATCGTCGTTCTGGAGAGGTCGCTCGGACAAGATTTTCCGGAGCAGAAAGATTGCCGTCGCCGTGTGCTGAAGCGCATTTCGAGAAGAATTGGTTCGAGGAATCACATTTCCCACGACCAAATGTAGCAAGGCGAAGGCAGCATGATATAGGTATTGAGCCGAAGAACTCGCAATGATTTCTAAAAAGTACTGAATATTGATTTGTGGTTAGAATAGAAAATAGCTGTAGTCAGGAAATCCTTACTTACCACGCAGTTGACATTGCTGACTTCGAAAATGCTGTAGACTGGGGAGTTGTTTGGTACCAATACTCGCATGACTGGCCTTGATTAGTCTTGGTCGGTCGTGACTTCTCAATTCCAGTAGAGGATACGTACAGTATTCCATGGCCCTGTAGATGGTTGGTGAGTAGCCGTGGCTATAGATCGATACCTTTGCGGGAATGGTCGATTTCATTCGGTCGATGATCAGCTTCAAGAACGCCCCGACTGCCTGGGGAGACCCGGCCACTTCACTTTCGTCGCATTCCTCGAGAAGTGATTTGCGAGGGTGACGACGTATCTCTAAGTACACATTGGTAGACTGCAGAACACTTGCGGTTGGTCTAAGATTCCTCAATTTTTGAGACTTTGACCACCTCCTATAGGCCTTCGACATGTGGGAGCCCACGGCGAAAGCCTCTGCTTTGGTGCGGCTGAGATTTGAGGCATCCTTGTTGACGAACAGAAGTGGAGGTCCTGGGTCTGTTCTGGTATCCCCACCCGTTCTCGTCATGTTCTTCCAGATATCAAGGGCGCGAAGTCGCGACCTCTGGTCTTGTAGAATTTGTCGAATCAGGGATCATGTTTCGGGTTGATAGAATGGGTCCTGGTTGTCAAGAGAACCCCTCAGGTGTGAATAGGTTGAGCAGCTTCCAAAAAAGAAGTAGAGAGCATGGAAAGAGCACTTCCAGGTCAGAAGAGGAAATGAGTGCAATTGCTACAAAAAAGACGAGTGTGATAATTTGATGCGCCAACCGAAGACAGCAAACGGTATCAAATACCTCATTCGTCGATACCTTTTTGGGGCACTATTCATCGTCTCCGGTGGAATGACTTTAGTAAGTGTTTGACTAATTTGTGAGCACACACTCCGACTTAGCAAGAACCAAATAGTAAATCAACAACTTCCAAACATTCCTCTCTGATGGAAATGCCATAATATTGCAGTTCATCATGCATCTCAGACGCCGTAATGTGAGACCCATTTCTGCGGTGCTGGTGGCCAATGATAGAGGTGCAGGCTAGACTCAAAGCGGTACGACGATTCCCTCCTTCTCTTCTTTGATTTGCACAACATCTTCTTTTCGACATTCAAGTCTGACCATTAGCCTTGGACCTGAAGTTATCGATGCTCGATACCAAGGAGTTGATAAGCTCGAAGGTATCATGAATATCATTACCACCAAAGATGACTTAGCCACTTGGCTGATTGTAATCAGATGCGGATCGTCCGCGTATCTTAGAAGCGACAGATGCAGAGTATTTCTACATTTCCAACGAATCCCTCATCATTCGTAGCTGTTAATGGCTTCCAGAATTGGTCTCTCGCTTGCCAGTTTTTCCGTGATAATGCGATTATCAACCCACTTTGGAAGATATGCCCCACAGCAAAGAGCCAGACTCCTGATCATCGTCAACCCAAGAAGAAGTGGAATGATATTTTCACGAGGTGCGAACCTGAGTCTGATAAGGAAGAGGCGGAGATTTCAGAGAAGGCTTCATGTGCCAATACTAATTGAGATGCTTATCAGACGGCTTTGCCATGTCAACTTGGCATCAAAAAACCTCGACTGACACATTTGCGCAAGTAGAGGCGACCACCAATCAGGTTCGTGCTCGGCACCTCGATGAGGCTGCGGTTGACATCACTATCGCACTCCATCACAAGCTCCTCCCATCCTGACGAACACTGGACAAAAGTCGAGTCTGGGCACACAACTGCTGAAGGTGCCAGGTCATGTCGCCGAGACCTCCACGTCGGCCTCCTGGGTCTTAGGAGGCGTCGTTCGCGTGCGGAAGCTGGTGTAATGACCTAGCTTTCGAAGTTAGCCCATGTCGAGTCATAGAGAGTTGTTCTAGGCTTCTAGCTCGTCGCCATTGACGAGATCATGCGACATCGGCTGATTGAAGTCGATCTGGGCGATAATCTGGAGCTTGATGAAGTTGGCCTTGATATACAGCAGATCTTCCCCATCTCGACGAGCAGGGGACTTATCTGGAAGCATATCTCTGAGATCTACTTTCGATAACCGAGAGACCCTGCTCTCTGACGCTGTTTGATGACTACAAGAAGTTGAATAGGGATTTTGTTTTCAAAGCACTACACTTTCTATCCTACTGGACTAACTCACCACCTCTATCGCAGTCTTTCATCTCATGCTCACCATGGAGCCCGACCACATCGGACCCGACACAACGCCCAAACGTCCTTTCATGGACAGGGCCAAGGATGTCCCACGTCGAATCGTTCGAAGCGTCACCACGAGGGACGGTCTCATCGGTGACTACGACTATGCATTCCTGTTCACACCGAACCTGCCCTTCATGAAGAAATCGAAACAAACGGCACCATTCTTTGGCTTGAACGACAAGATGCCCATCTTACTAGCACTGCTCCTCGGATTTCAGCATGCCTTGTCCATGTTAGCTGGTTTGATCACGCCGCCTATCATCCTGTCGGGAACTGGCGGCGCCAATTTGCCGACCGAGACTGCTCAGTACCTCGTGTCAACATCACTGATTGTCTGTGGGATTCTGTCCTCGGTTCAAATCACACGGTTTCACATCTATAGAAGCTCTTACTTCATCGGCACTGGCATCATCAGTGTGGTTGGCACCTCGTTTGCTACCATCCCAGTTGCTTTGGGAGGTTTGGCCCAGATGTATGAGTCGGGCTATTGTCCCAGCGACAGTGACGGGAATCGTCTTGCCTGTCCAAGAGGTTACGGTGCCATCCTAGGAACGGCTTGTATCTGTGCCCTGCTTGAGATTTGCCTGTCATTTGCGCCTGCCAAGGTTTTGAAGAAGGCTTTCCCTCCACTTGTGACGGGACCTACTGTGGTTCTCATTGGTATCAATTTGATCGGATCTGGTTTCGAGAACTGGTACGCATGCCTGAACTCCTTGTTTGAACCGGGTACACTAATGACTACAAGGGCTGGAGGTACGGGTTCCTGCAGATCAAGACCAGAGGAAGGCCTGTTCCAGAATTGCCCCAACAACAATGCGCCGCATGCCTTGCCTTGGGGTTCGGCTGAGTTCATAGGACTGGGATTCAGTGTCTTTGTCACCATCATACTGTGCGAGAGATTCGGCAGTCCCATCATGTACGTTGGCTTCTCGTCCAGGCGTGAAGAGCCCAAAGCTCATCCTAATTGTCATAGGAAATCATGCGCGGTCGTTGTTGGTCTGCTTGTTGGATGCATCATCGCTGCAGCCACGAATTATTTTGACGATTCTGGAATCAAGAGCGCGAAAGCTGCTTCCTTCATCTGGGTCGAGACCTTTCCACTGTCACTTTATGGGTCAGTCTACCTGCCAATTGCTCGTTGAGAATCCATGCTAAACTGTTTTTAGGCCGATGGTGTTACCGTTCTTAGCAGTATTCCTAGTGCTCATGATGGAAGCGATTGGAGATATCACTGCCAGCTGTGATGTATCTCGCCTTGAAGTCGAAGGACCGATTTTCGACTCTCGTATCCAGGGTGGTGTTCTCGCCGACGGATTGAATGGAATGTTCGCCTGTCTCTGCACCATCACGCCAATGTCGACTTTCGCCCAGAATAATGGAGTCATAGCCCTCACTCGCTGTGCCAACAGGAAGGCCGGATACTGTTGCTGCTTCTGGCTGATTCTCATGGGCATCTTCTCCAAGTTTGCTGCTGCGCTCGTGGCCATTCCGTCTTCAGTCCTCGGTGGCATGACTACGTTCCTGTTCTCGGCTGTTGCGATTTCTGGCGTTCGTATCATTTCGACCGTACGATTTACAAGACGCAATCGTTTTGTCCTGACAGCAGCCATGTCAGTGGGTTTCGGTGCAACATTGGTTCCTGATTGGTATTTATCCCTCCTTTCCTAGTACTCATGCTGAGTACCTGACTCGATAAATGCAGGTTCAACTATGTCTTCACCTATGAAGGTGACAACTCTGCCCTCCGAGGTTTTGTAAGTTGCTCCTCATCTGGTAATCATGGATTGCTTGTTCTCATGCTGATTTGTTCTCTAGATGAACGCTATCGAACTCGTGTGCGAAACCGGCTTTGCTGTTACCGCTTTCCTGTCTTTGTTCCTCAACCTATTCATTCCGGAAGAAGTTGATGACGACGCTGTCAACACCACGGCAAATCAAGTGGACGAAGTAGACGACGACAAAGAATGGCAACGCATCCAACGTCCGAGCCACGCCAAGTCCCAGCGTGAGGGTGAGGATCACAAATTAGCGAGTACAGATGTCGAGTCGAATGCGGGTGTTCAGCAGGGCGGAGCCGACAAGGTGCAAATCATCAAAGACGAGCAGGCTAGCTCCGGTACGAGCACAATACGTTGATGCCTACTTGAGTGGAGTACTCAGGAAGATCTTCAGAGACGAAGCGTTGATAATAGGGACTTGATATGAGAATCAACCTCACGACAAAGCCAAGAAAGGAGTTACGAAAGTCGAGCTTAGCGGTACTGGTGGATAATAGGGGTAGCGGTAGGAGAGCCGCCTTCCTCCATATCAGGATCGCCTCCCCAGGTGTTTGGTTCTGGTGGGAACGAAGCTGCCAAGAGTGATAGTCAACAAGGATGATGTTCGACATATTGAACATAACGCTCTCTATGTACGGAGCACAGTGCCAGCTGTCAACGACATAGTTGGTGGGAAAGCAGGATCAATGACCTTGTTGAATGTCTTATGCCGCGCGTTTGATGCCCCTTGTTGCGTCAGCCTTATTCTTACGTACAGGAAGATCGACAACAAAGCCACACCAGGGTTTCTCGAGCTGTCCTGGCTACAGTACTCCGTACCTACAGTAGATTCTCGGCATCTCGTCTGAACTATGTACTACCAGGCTGCGATCGTACTAGTAGTACGCGAGGTATATCGTCAAAGGTGCCGAGCATTGATCGTCGCTGCTAGAAGGGTGCAACACGTATCTGCTTCGTTTTGAGTGAGCCTTGGCTGTGGCTCCCGAACTCGAGTCGATGGTGACACCTGCGGTGTATCGCACGAGTCTTGAGTTACAGGTGGATGGAATCAAAGTGGTACGAGATCTTGCCAATGTAGATCGTGAGCCAGGATGAGCACTGCATAAATATACCAAGGCATTCCAAGCATTTAATACTTTGTATGGACCACCTTGGCACCGGCTAAGAGAAGTGGTTGAGGGGCCCTGATTGAGGGGTGCCCAGTGGCTAAAAAAGAAACAAGACCCCCGGAGTCCCCTTGGCAGCCTGTAAGCACCGCCTAGAAAAAGCCACCGGGAGCACTAGGCTTGTCGCCTGTATTGGTGGAACTCGGGAGTTGCTGTAGGCGGGCTTGTTGAGTGCCGTCAAGTCCTCGTTCTCCATACTCCAAGTCAAGTGGGCTGCGAATTCCTCTCCACCATCACCAACAACTTTTTCTCTCTTCAACCACCAAACGATCCCCAAGGTACGAAGCAGGGCTGCTAATGAATGTTTAGTTTAGTTCCCAGACTTGGCTGCGCGTTCCCCTCCGAACCCCGACACCGACCTCTCTCTTCCTTGTCCCTCGATCACAACACAAGTCAAGAGGGACTGATACCACGTTCGCAACCTCTCTCTGCTTGTCCTCCCTTTCTCTCTCCTTCGCGAACATTCCCGTCCAAATGCCCATTGTACCGACATGAATCCTGTCGCGAGCGAGCTTAGCTCCATCTCGTACCATCACAGCACCCTTTTACTTCCCTCCACCACCACCAAAGCCTCAACGGAAGCCGCCTCGCAAACCACCCGGACAGACACAGCACCGCCCTCTGCAATGGTTCGTTGGCATATCCCCCGGTGACCAGACCTCTCGAACTCCGATGTAACGACATAAGCCCACGCTTGCCTCACCCGTCGTGCTCGAGTTAAGCGCCAGCCTTGTCCTCCACCTGCGGAGGTGCACTGGACGTTTTCCCTCCCCCCTTCGCAGTCATGTTCGAATGTTTCGCCAGCAATGACACCGAACCCGTAGACGAATACGATCAGATCCCGTTCGGCCTCAAATGGCGCATGCATTGGGGAAAGAAAGAGACGGACCCTGCTATGGGCGAGCCGGTGCTGAGGCTGAGCAACACCCGGATCCTCAAGACACACTGCATGAACACCGAGTACCAGGCCCTCAAGCTCATAGATCGACACACCTCGGTCCCCTGTCACAAAGTGCTCGCCGTGTACAACAGACCCGAGGGCAAGGTGGTTGAATATGAGGCCTATCCCGGAAAACCGCTGGAACAAGTCTGGCCTGGCATGTCGGCACATCAGAAGAACAAGATCATAGGCGATCTGGGTCGGTTCGTCGAACAGCTACGGAAAATGCAACCCCCCAAACAATGCGTGGTCGGAGATGCTACACTGGGTGCCGCACTGGATCACCGATTTGGTTCGGGCAGGATAGGTCCCTTTTTCTCCATTGAAGCATTTCAAGACTTCGAAAGGAGGGGTCATAAACCGGATGAGTTTCCCGAAACTGAGGTGCAGAGGGTGCATGCGCCACAGAAGCCGTACACGCTCAAGTTCACGCACGCCAACCTTTGTCCCAAGAACGTTCTAGTCGACGATGCCGGAAGGATAGTGGCGCTCATCGGTTGGGAGTCGTCTGGCTGGTATCCGGAGTATTGGGAGTATACGCAGATGTGTCATTCCACTCCCAAAACGATGGGCGATTGGCTCGATGCCATGTGTCATGTCATGCCTCGATATGACCAAGAGTTAATATGCGAAGAAGCTTTGCGAGCGAGATATTGTGGATCTGTATATGATCTACCACGAAGTATACGAGCTCCGAGTCCGTCGCCAAGTGAGTTGAATGCCGAAAGGCAGGAAATCGACAATAAGAATACCGAATCTACAAGCGGCTGAAGTGTAGAATGGGCGATTTTTTTTTTGTTATGCTAGACTTTTGGTATGGCCTTTAGAAATGTCATGCTATCACGGCAGAGAGATGTGTGCTCTGATTTGGAACTGAGAAACAATTTGGTGGCCTCTCGAGCAGTAGCCAAGTTCCAGCCGATTGTGGTTCAGCAACTTCGCAGAAGGATCATTTGTGATATCTCAACATGAGATGCTGTCTGGGACATTGCTGGATTGCTTGCCTAAGCAGACCTGATCACGTCTCTGCCGAGGGACGCAACACAAGGGCTGTTCTGAGAGCATACCGACGACATGCGCCAATAGAACCTTGGTCTAGATCTGAAGGGTGTATGCTCTTCGAAACCTGTTCGAAGGTTATTGATGAACAAACGCAACGAATGGCTTTCGTTCATGTTGCGACAGATACCCTGGGACTGGCACCGAGTGGAATGAAACCAGTCTGGAGGACAGTCAACATGTCGCTCTTTGGATACACGTATCATCAAAGCACAAGAGAATCTTTGCCCCTGGTATTGATGGGGAAGGTTGGGATGGAAGTGTGAAAAATTCCCCCAAGTAAAAGTCAACCATGTTGGCTACAGTACGAAAAGAAGAGAAGTATATCTTTCTGGGGGTGAAGAAAGGGAACCTCCAAGATTTTCCGAATAGTACAAAGTCGACAAGGTCAAAGAAAGACAACTGTCAAGATCTTGCCCACTGCTGAAGTTGGTGTAACTTTTAGTAGTTGGACAAGGACATATTTCTCGCAATTCAAATGATGGTTTTAAAAAGGATGTTTTTCTTTGGAGGAAATTTCTCGAGCATGAATTAGGGTGGAGCAAAACAGTACATTACAAGACAAGGCCTTTTTGTACCTCGTGGACTATTCTCAGAGTGTGTACTCGAGTACGGAAGTTGATGAGAAGATGAAATGATATACAGTACTACTCCGTAGGTAGATGATATCTTATCGTACCGATCCAAGAAACTACCTAGACGAAAAGAGTTGCTGCCTAGTGGTTTACCTGTACCGAGCCAACGTAGGTACAGGAAAGGGAAAGAAGAAGGGAAACGTGAACAAGAAATCCCATCCCAGCCGAGTCCAGAAAAGTTGGAAAAAAAAGGAAAGAAAAGGAAAGAAAAAAAAATGAATCACACAGCACGCAAACCCCCCTTATCCTACCCAAAATACCAAGGACAAGGTGATGCTGTAAGAGGTTTCTCCGGTCCTTCTTGGGTTTCATGACAACAGTTCTCCGTCCCGGCGACAGGCAGTCCTGTACGTGCCTTTGTCGTTTCCAATTCTACAGAGCAAACCACACTTTCTCCTTTTTGGCACGGTCGTGGTCGGTGGTTGGGGTTGATGTGTTTTCATCTGGATCCGAACCCCGAGGAACCAAAGTCGAAAGTCGACCGTGTTCGTCATCACAACTGCTTTGGTGCTTCTACAACCGGTTGTTCACCATAGGAGTTGGGGGGCATGTGCCCCTCATCGATTTGTCTTTTTTTTTCTCTTTTTGCAAATCAAACTTGTTCGATTTGTGTGTTTTTGTTGTGTCCCTCGGTCGAGTCGTTGGGTAAGAAAGAGACTCTTGAGTCTCAAGACTTTCCTCGGTCAGGAAAAAAAAATAGAGCAAGGTAAGAAACGCCGGTGTCGTTGTTCACGCTCGTCTTCGACAAGGGCAAGTCGTCGGGTGTCGACAGAGTTACAAACTCACATCTTACCCGACTTCGATCTGATGATTGATGATGATGATGATGATGATGACGAAGAGGTAGAAAACCTAGAGACATGGTTCCATGGTTCCTCACGTGGACACTCCGATAACCATCTGTTCATGGCCGGTCTGTCTTGTTGGCAGTCGTGGGAGCCACCAAAATGACGCACGATTTGATTGTGGATCTCTGGACGGTGACGACCGTTGTTGTTGCGACCACCACCTCCTGTACTTCCGCTCTTGACGCTGGCAGTGCTGGAGGACGGCATCGTTACCTGATCCTCCTTCTCACGGGTTTGTCCGTAGAGTTGTCGTCGTCGTCGTCGTCTTCGTCGTCGCCGTCGATAGACAATGACGATGAGAGGTAGAGCCAAAGAGATTGAGAGTTGGCGCGCCTGAAGAGGGTAGGATAGGATAGGATGAAGAGAGATTGGAGATGGTACTGCTGTATGATGAACTCCTAGGACTGACTGTCTGTTTGTTTGTCTCCCTTTATCTCTTCCTTCCTGACGAGTAATCCACAAAGATCCGGTGAGGTGTGATGAGGGAGAAGGTAGATCCAGTGATGTCAGGGTGGTGTGGTATGGCAGGATGGTATCAGGTATGTTAGTCTGTATGTGTGGTACTCAATACCAGCAACACGGCCACGGCACAATGTGTCTTGATAAGATCTGCCAATGAGTTCTCACACTCGAGAGAGGGATGGGGAGAGGAGGGGGTTTATAAATGTGTGTGTGAGTGTGTGTAATGTCTGGGGGGGTGTGTGGTCTTCGTAATTGTGATGGCGATCAAAAGTTCGACTTGGGAATAGGCAAAAACTCACAAAAGGTCGGCGGCGACGTGGCCCCGGGGGAGGAATCATACCCAGGTAGTCCGTCTCCCTTGTTGTGTTTTTTTGCCAGCCTACCTGGTGGTGGTATCTTTGTACTCGGACTAGTCGGAGAGCAAAAGAACCCTTTTTTTCCCTTGACATCTCTGCAAAAACACCGCCAACCGACTCCAAGGGTTGTTGTTTCGTGGGTGTTTGGGCATGTTGGACTTGGACCTGCAAGACAAAGACAAAGACAAAGATAGGATGTCGTGATGAACTAGCACCATTTCCTAAAGAAAAGGGTGTGTGAGTGGACAAGGGGTTGCCAGTGGTGGATTGAAAACTTCAGTTGGGAAGGGAAGCAGGGAGGGAAAATCTACGTTGAGAAATATAGGAACAATGGATAGGATTGCGATATAACAATAATACCTGGTAATAGGTAATGTAGTGGATGTGGTTCACGTTTAATGAATTTTGATAACCCTGTACGGAGTACTCGGATGACAAAAGTCCCTTATGGGTCCCGGTCGACGTTGTTGTAGACCATGTCGAGGAGAATGTTTCCTGTTCAAGGTTCGGGGTTTGAACGTCGGAGTGAAGGACCAAAGTGATCTAGCGGGGAGGCTCAACAGGAAACAAAGAGAGGAATTGAAAAGTGGCATGATACCGAGTTACTAGTAGTAGTTGATGATCGATGATGAAGGGGATAATGAGTGAGTCTTGTTGGTGGTTGAAGAAGTTGGGATTGATTGATTGATTGAATCATTGATTGATGCCCAAAGTGCCAGCCAACTCGACGAATTACATTATTACCTACCTTAACTTAGGTAAGGAGTACGAGTACTCCGTATCTAAAGCCAGTTTACAGGCATCATTTCTCCTCGTACTAAGCTTGGCTTCACTACTGTAGATGGATCTTTGGTTTCTGCCTCAGGCTTCGTGATGCCTTCGTTAGCTTCGTTACGACAGGGACTTTTGATCTAAAAAATGTCTGTTCTAATCTATTAAGAGTCTAGATACATAGCAAGGTAAAGTTAATATATTCAAGTCGGAGGTCTTTATCAAAGTGAGGCGTTTAGTTTTAACCAGTCAATATCTTGATGGACCTATCACTTCGAGTACTCGATCAATCCTTGGTAATTCTTCATCCCCTCGTGACTGTGTCAATATGCTCATCATTCCGCATTGCAGTACGGAGTCACTCGTCACGGAGGAAATATCTCATCCTGTACGGAGTACTCGCATAATCTAGACGATCAACCACCAGACAAAAAACCGAACGATCCAGGCCAATGTCCATCTTTCACTCGTTACGACGACACGAATCACTTGATCTTCCCATCCCTGACCATCTCCCTCATGACCTCGAGAGTCGTCTCGACGGCCACTCTCGCCATGTTCAGATCCTTGGGCTTTTGGGCCTCGGACTCTTCGGGATTTTTCCCAAAGTGGATCAGGTCAAAAACATAAGTCATGTACAGTTCCCCTTGGGCACCTTCACTGATGATGTTCTGCACTTTGGTCCCGTCGTATCTCAAGAACTCGACCTTGATAGGTGGGTAGTGAGTACATCTCTCTCGAGTCTTGACGTTTCCGTCCGCAAAAGTGGCCACTCGTTCCGTGACATCCTGTCCTAGTTGGTCCTTTTCCTGGGACACCACGACCGTGTCGGTGATGGCTCCCCCCACGAATACCTGACCGGCCCCGACCTTGATTTTGAGTCCTTCCCAGATCAAGGCGTAGGTGAGTTTGGGTTCGACCCCGGGTGGATTGACTGGTGCCGTGTAGGCGATGCTATGCTTGGGAGAGTCTGCCATTGTTGTTTTGCCGCACTGGAATCAGTCGATGGACCAGAAAGGTGTGAGTGAGATGGGGGATCTTGGTAACTCCGTAATCACACCGTGAGTATTTATTTCCATGTCTACGGGAGGACGTTCTTGGCCTTGATCTCGACTACATCGCAGGGCGCCTTATGCTCCGTACGCAACCCTTGTATACGACCGGCTGACCATTAACGAAGTCAAGGTTAAGAAGGCATCGTCCTCGTAAGAAAACAATTTTTAAAGAGAGTGAGATACGTTTCGTAGAACGTAGAACGTAGAACGTTCATTCATCGCAGTGGAAATACTCGAGACGTGTTGGGCAGTACGGAGCACCCTGTACTCCGGATAGTTAGCCCGACAAATGGAGTACATACTGTAGTACTGTAGGTACGGAGTTACTCAGTAGACTCTCCGACGACATCTCAACATGCAATGTGACGCTCTCGTATAATCGATGGTGGTCTCATGGTATGACTCAAGCAGACTCTTACTGCCTCATTCACCATTTCCAGACGTTGAAAGAATCGAACCCAGCCCAAGAGTTTTTCCGTCTCACTCGACCGTCCGGACGCGTGTCCTGCATCGCATTTACCTGGTAGAATCGGGTCACTCTCGGTCTCGGCCCCCCTTTCTTGACGCCTTTTTGGCCCCCAATGACTTTTCTTCTTCTTCCTCTTCTTCCTTCTCATGCGCGGTTTTCCTGTTCGCGAACCACACACCTCGGACTGACTGAACTGGGGTTCTCTCTCTGTGGCCCACAATGCAACGCCATGCAGTTCTCGGGGGAGGAGAGACAATTGCGCATTTGGGACATTGTTTTCCGGATGTTCAAAAGTATGGAAAGAGTCGAGAGGGGAAATCTTCCCGCCCCGCACTGCGCCCCCTCTCCTCTGTCTACTGACGAAAGTGGTGGCACTGCAGTGCAGGTTTGATGCGATGTAATATCTCGATCTGGGACTTTGTGCTCCGTCCGTACGAGACCTTCTGAGCCGGTCAAGATTAAAGCATACAGAACCTCCTGGATCAAAGAATGCTTGAAGAAAAAAAAAGTATCCACTCCCGTGTTCTACGTGCGTGATATACACATTCTCCGTATCTCCATGTCTGAAAGCGGCTGTATCCGCCTCCACGGTGGGAACCAGTTTAATTCCTCAAGATGAGGTAAAGGGGTTTACAGAATACGGAGTTCTGTCAATACTTTGAGCACCTCATCCTCTATGCTAACATCATGTACCAGCAGCAGGGTATAGAGTTCTTCTTGAGTTTGGCTATCTTGTCTGACATACTTAGTAGATACCTTTGTTGAATACCTACTGTACTACCTACGGACCGGAGTATCTACCTAGGTAAGGGTCAATGAGCATTGTTTTGCAAAGGCAGATGCTGTTCTTCCATTCCTAAAGAGATTGGCACCAAAGTTCTTGTTGGTTCCTTTGTTTGCTTTGCACCCATCATCTTCTCGACCCGTCCGTCGTCCCTACTCACTCTCTTCAACCCATTACACATCCCAACATTCACGTAAATTCCGTCTCTTCGTATTTATTGATATCCGTATATACGACTAGTACTGCGTATCTCTTCTCCTTGGCATTTCGAACTTTTGTCACCCCGTCAGTACTTGCTCGGTAATCCGTCTGATGCCTACAGTAAGCCCATGCCTCTGGTCTTGCCCACACCCCCATGCGCCTTCTCACCCCAACTCAACACAGCCGGATGCATACAGTAGAGTAAGCACTGCCTCCCCTTTTTCCTGCACCAGCCCAGCCATTCCGCTCTACCAAAAGCAATAATCAATGAGCAAAAGAAAAGAGGTGCTGAGGCGTTTTCTCGACTGGTCAGTCCGTAGGCCCCCCGAATACCCAACACCCAACAGCCAGTGCCCAAACCCCTACGGACTAATACCTCTACCCACTGCCTCCAGTCTGCCTTGTCTCTTTCCCTCCCCCGTCACGACTCCATACACATTCAAGAGCCCTCCGTACTTGCCTACGTAACTCGCAAGGCGTCATGCCCCTTCTGCTTCTTCTTTTCGCCACTGGAACCAACGAGAAAGATGCACGCATCCAACACTTTCAACGTTGTCCACTCAGTCCAGTTCATCGGTTAAGTGCCTGGCGTCCCGTTCTCTCTCCCTCTCTTCCTCCTTTTCCACAACCTTCAGTGCCCAAGAGAAGCTACTACGAATGCATATGGTACATGCCCTGGGAAAAGCCCAACCCAGCCCGACCACTCAAAAATCACCTACTCTGCACAAGGCCCCCAAATCCAGCCAGCCCCTTGCATCAGCCTCGAGCAAGTCGATTCGACACCCAAGAATTGGAACTTTTTTTTCTCCCACCCCCTCACAAAGTACATTTGCTTGCATACGGAATACTGCCTAACCTAACTACTTTCGCCCAATACGAAACGGATACATCACATAGACCCCACGACACGAATACTTCACAAACGTCCCCCCGGGGAAAGGGGCTTCCAGTAGGCAGGCACTAGCCTGCAACACACCGGGCCTGACCAGACAAAAAGCATGGCCCGAGCCGCTTCTTTCTCCATGCCTGACAAACGCCCCAGGCCGAAAAAGAGGGCCTACCGGCGGCTCCAATCACCCTTGAACGCTCGTCGACATGAGATCGAACGCCTCTATATGGTCGACGGCTGGAAACTACAAAGAATCATTGATCATATCAGGACCACCTATGGTCTAAGTCAATCGTAAGGCTCCAACTCCAACTCCAGCTCCTATTTCATCCCACCCACCTAGCCACTGTCCAAACATAAACCTATAACTCGCCAATCTTCCATTAGCTGACCTTGCAATGCAATCCACAGACCCAAACAGTACAAGGACCAGCTGAAGAGCTGGGATATCCGAAAAAACCATACGTACACTGACGCCGCCTTCATCTTGCGACTCTTGAACCAGGCCAGGGCAGAAGGATGTCCTCCTGAAGCCCAGGTCGTTCTCTTCTCGTCCTCCCCCCGTCGCAGGGAGGACATAGCGAGGTATATCAAGAGATCCAAACTGAAGGATGAAGCCGACCTTCTCTCCCAAATCTCAGATACAGACGAAACTCCTCCTCATATTAAACTGCAAGAATTCCCAATCGCGTCGGCCATCCCTCAGACCTTGCTCACACCCCTTTCGGATCTTTTGAGCTATCCGCCAGCTCCAGCCAGCCATTCTGAAGTGTCTGACCTTTGTATGCCATCGCCAGATATCACTCCTCGGTCAACCCCTCGACACTCGGAAGAGGGAAACGAATCCAATAGATCATCCATGGTGACTTCTGAAGCTGACTATGATTTCATGGACCTAGGTCCAGAAGCCTATCAGCTTCCGCCGGCAAACGTCTCGATGCCACCGCAGCCAGTCATAGGCAGCATAATGAGACCATTTGGCCTTGAGCCTCAGTCTGGATTCTTCTTGGGTTGCGCCATTCCCAATTGGTCGGCGGAGTTCACAAATGCTCTGCTGTCCTCAACACCAGCCAGCATTCAAGACCTAGGCTTTGATCCCTCGAGGTTTGGAGCATACACACAGAGTCCACAGTTGAATGATGGCACTCATTCCGCTTCATTCATAACCAATTGCTTATATTGGCTGATTTGCGTTGGACAAGAAGATCCCAACGCAACGTATTATCTCGACTTGGCCAAGTTCTCGTTCTTGTGCATGATTCGCGATCGAGTGTCTCCAGGAGAAGCGTGTATTGTCGCATTGACAGTGGCAAATGTACTGTTCAACTGCCTTGGTCACAACAAAAGATTGCTGGAGCTACTGAAAGAAATCGACGAGGTCACCAAGATGCACCTGGGAGAAAATAATCCCTTGCGATTGACCATCGCCTTTGAGAAGAACATTCTCCAACCCAGCACCCACGGCAGACGCCTTCATGACCTTGAGCAGCTGAGACATGTCCACAACAGAGTGCAGACAGAATACCCAAACTCTCGTGGTCCAGCCCTGATGGCGAAGTATCACATCGCCTGGGCTATGCTGGAGAATGAATTGAGGGTGGACAAGAGGGACAGAAATTTCGGTCCCGCCAAGGACATGCTGGAAGGCCTTTTTCAAGATTTCGACATTCATTTCGGCCCGTATCGCATCGAAACCATAATGGCAGCAGCAACATTGGCCAGAGCTACCTTCCGGTTTGGCGATGCAGAGAGAGCCGAAGAGCTCATTGTTAACCAAGTACTCCCAAGAGTGCGGGAGAACTTCCCAGAGGACCATCCGTACACGTGGGAAGCAAAGCACCGCCATGCATTCTTTCTTTTCCAGCTTGCAGATGACGAACCAGGTTCGACTGGCAAAAGACAACTTCAGCAAGGTGAGCAACATTTACGCGAAGTTGTCCGTGACCGCCGACGAGTCCTGGGAGAAGGCAATAAGAAATCCATCGAGTCTTTCAAATTGTTAAAGGCTGTTCTGGAGAAACAGGGCAAGACCAACGAAGCAAATTCCCTCTGGAAATGGTGCGCTCGTCAGCTCTGAACAAGCGCGATAGACTCGCAAAAGAAGAGGCACTCACAAATCAGACGTGGCCAAGCAAGCATCCCATACGACGAAAGGCTTCATGTTCTCATTGGCCGACTTTACCTCCTGTCATAATACGACCGGGACGAATGATGATCACGCCTGGAACCATGGTCATGCCTTCGACCGGCATCACGGACATCCTTGTCGAATCCAAGCACACCATCAATACCAAACTCACTTGACTCGCTCGAGACCGAGTCGGTCCGAGTAATAACATGCTCGTCCAAGGATGCCATTGCATCTGACGGACGTCTTGAATTGGTATAGTTTGTAGAGTATGAATAGCTTCGGCCATTTCTACTCGTGGAAGGGACACTGCCAAAGGTTGAGTTTGGCGAACCCGACATCGACTCCATCATTGAACCGCTGTTGGAGCTGTACCTGGACGGAAGGTTGGGTCTCTGGGGGATGGCGACAGCAGGTGTACCGTATGATGACCCCGATCTCGACACGTTGGAATCACGTCTCGACGACTGGTGATGAGAGCCACCACTGTCTCTGCTAAACGATTGCCTGCGGTCTCTGTGTACACGGCTATCCGAGTAACCTAACAAAGAGATGAGTACGATTCAAGCGACAGCCATGCAGAGGGCCATACTCATTCGTCTCTGATATCCGTCACTCTCGCGCCATCGCGCGCTGTCATCGCGGAGCGAAGGCAGCATTGACTGGGAGATGGTTAGAGCTTGAGCCACGTCGTGCATCTCGACTCGACTGCTTACACCAGGCGGCGCTCGCGAAGCCTCGATGACATAACGATCAGAGTCCTATTCATGGGTCCTTAGCATGACGCCGGGAGTGTCCAAACTATACCACATACATGGGTTTTCACCACATGAGCATCACGACCCAGGTACAACGGCAGATCGGTCTCCAGGACCTCCCTGGAGATACCGTTTTTGGAGATTGCAAATTTTGGCATGATGGGACAAGGTGGGGGAGGGGGAAGTGAATCGAAGTCGCGGCTAATGTCCTTACAAAAAGGCAAGACAAGTTCTTCTCGATCCTACCCGGAGAGAATCATGTAATTGATATCAGAGTTTACTGATGAATTGACGCCAGGAGGAGAAACAAAGGTCTCGAATGTCGACGAAAGTTGTTCAAATACCTTTGGGCCGGCCGGAAACGTGTCAATCGATAGAGGTTGGTGCCACGATTGATGGCCATGTGGGAAGCTGAGGTCCAAGCGAGCAAGAGCGGGGTACAGACTTGTTCGCGAGGGACAATGTCAAAACCGCAGAAGCAGAGCCTCATGGTGGGCTGGGATTGGTGAAACCGGTGAACGACGTCGACGGCCGTCACTGGCCGAGGTGGTGAAAAGGGTCATGCGGTATCGCAAAGACTCGTTGGCTGTCATCGACTGATATGAAAGAGGTGGTCCCCCCCAACTGTCCCGGAAGCAGGTCGATAGCAGCTGAACCCAGGCCGGGCGATGTGGCTTGCATATTCGCATCTGCAGGGATTTCCGGGCCGTTTCCAAGAACGAGAACAAGACCATGTTCATTGTTCTTTGTGTCTGTCAGAGAAAAAAAAGCACGTTCGATACAAGAGGCAAGTGTAATCAGTACTAGCGAGTCTGATCGAGGACTGAGGGAGGCTACGATTGACATGAAGAGTGTGAATCTATCGAGAAGAAAAGGCAACATCGCGTCTCGATCATGCCAAAGACAACCAAGAAAACCAATTTTGTCCACGACCGACTCTGACAGCTGGCAAACGTTGCAGCTGGTGACGTGTATACGAACTGTCCAGTCGAATGAGTACCTTGGTCGACGTTCTGCATGACCCTGAATAATCAAGTCAGTGCAATCGAGATCTCTCTTCTTGATGTCCTTGCTTCTGGTGCAAAATTACCTAGAATTGGGAGGGGTATAATTGTGAAGGTTCATAAAGATCGTGTCTATTTACTCCGTAATTCATTCATAGGCAGCCAGCGCATCACCAACCATCCCAAAAGATGTATGTATGTCAGGTCTTCTTGACAACAAAAGCAGCCGCCAAAAAAAAGATTTCCCGCAGGGAGTCTTGAGTTCCTCCGTTCAAACGCAGACGTACGCGTGATGGTGGACAAACATATGGGAGTGTACATTGTTGAGAGAAAAGAACACAATCAGAGGCAAAAAAACAAGGAAGTCGTAGAGTCAGTCGTTCGGTTTTCTTCTCTCCCTCCTGACTTCTCTCGCCCACTCACGTGCCACCAACCCACAAGGCTGGAGCTGGAGCGAGAATTGTCGCTGGAGCCGCCGGACCTGGAGAGGCGAATCTTCCAAAGATCAAAGCCTTGCCCGTTTTACCGTCACCGGCTTGTGAAGAAGAAGTTTCGACCGCCAACATCAAGTGGGTAGTCCTCACCACCAATTCTGTCACGAGTTCGAGTGTCAGTACCGTACCCCAGGCATGCAGGCATTCAAATCACCGTGTGAATCGGGTGAGTACTCACCTTGAATTTCAATGACGAAACTCATGGGAGTATCTTGATACTCCTCCGACGGGGGACCTCGTGTGCAACATTTCCCGTCCCGATCTCGTATGGCGACCCTCAATCCTACATTTTTTCGATAATCCGTCCACAAAATGTTTTTATCCAGACCAATGTTGGGGCAATTATTTGGAGACGACGAAGAAGTTGAAGATGTCGACGACGATGATGATGATGATGATGCCGAAAATGATTGTGACGACAAATCTCTTTCTCTTTCTCCTTTACCTTCTGACAACCACAATTCTTGTGCTCGATCTTGTAACCATTGTTTCCATACCCTCATGACACCCTGCCCAGGTTGTACTATATGAACGTTACTCAAGAATACTCCACGGTGTGGTCCCAACCTGACGAGACTCGCGTAGGCACAGAATTGACAAAACAATTCATCAGCGTCGAGGTATAAATTGTGTACGACTTTTTCCAAACCTTGATCACCGTCGGTACCGTAGATTGGTTGTTGTTGTTGTTGTTGTTGTTGTTGTGCAGAAGAAGACGAAGATGCTTCCTGTGATGGGTGTTGTTCCTGCTGTTGAGGCGGTTGTTGTTGTTGAAACGGCAGTTGTTGATAATGTTGCTGCTGATACTGCGCTTGCTGTTGCGGCGGCGGCGGTTGCTCTTGATGTTGCTGTCTCACAACAGGTGACCCGGCTATCCTTCTCAACGGCATCAAACCTTGTACGCCCGGGCGTTCGGGTCTGAATCTACTGTACAGGGCACCCAATTTTGCGAACCTCCCTTCTTCACCCCTGCAGTCCTCGTACAGTGACCCTACCCCTTCATGTTTCGAACTCAACCCGTCGGTACCCAAGTAGGTACAAAACAGATAAGGGTCCGCGTACCTCTTGCTGGGTCGGTACGCCTCGAGGATGAGTTTGTAATCGGGCAAGGCCGCCGCGAGGAGGAGTCGGAAGTGAATGATCCGTAGGATTATGGAGTGAAATTGTCTCGACACGACTATCAAAGGCAGGAGGGATTGAGTTTCGAATCGGGACAAGATTGATACGAGGATCTTTTCTTGACACAACCACAAAATTAATTCTGACCATGCGATTGATTTCGCGCGCGCGCGCGCGCAGAAGAACATGGAGATTGAGACATGGCTTTAAAAAAAAGATGGATTTGGTATGTACGGACAAGGCCAAGGCCGGGGGAGACTCACCTCGGTAGGAAGATGATAAAGTCTTAGATCTCGACCATGACCACGAAAGGCCATGATGATCATCCAGGTATGGTATATCGACTGCACAACTCAACTCCCGAGACTCGCGGTTCAGTCAGTCAGTCAGTCAGTGGATCGGCGGGAGTGAGGTTCGCCCTGGTCACGGTCTCTGTCTCCGTCTCAGGCGCAGGAATTAGTTAGGTACTGGTATCGTCCATAACGCATCACCCGTATGATGCGCTACGTGCTCGTTCGGCAGGAGTAAGGAGTAGATTAAACAAAATAATTGACACGGGAGAAATGGATGAAAGAGACGGGAGACAAAAGAGAAAAGATGGAATGTGTACGCAGTACCGTAACAGATCGATGATGGTCCGACCATGTCATCATATGTATGGTGTGTGTGAGTGTTGTCTTTGTCCGCAGCCGATAAACGGAGGGTTCAAACTCACCAGACCCTCTACCATCGATATGCGAGAACGAGTTCGTTCCGTAATACTCCATCCGGGATCCGGGTACCCATAAACTCACTACGGATACGGAGTACGGAGTACCTTACCCGTAATAAAATAGGCCGAGGCCACCCACCTTCCACCCCCAAGTCCCTCCCATGAAGGGTAAGCCCCGTAACAAAGAAAGGTTTATCGATAAGGATGGTTCCGTTATTACTGAAGAACTTTTTCGTTATGTGCCTAGGCACCTTCTTTTTGAGGTGTCCATAAATTGCCATATATATGGTCGCTCAATCAGAGTGAGCACCATGCCTTGTGACCCTTTGATGTACATACCAGATTGACCGGCCCGATCATACAGAGTACCAACAAAGTGATTTCTTACAAGCACATATTTTATATACATTGCAAACGATGAAGATTTTGAGATTGAGATGTCCGACACTTCTCTTTTTGCTCATGTCTCTTCAAAAACAAATACTCCCTTTCCAGGTCTAAACCCACCAAGGGTACCTTGGACGGCCGCCTTGAGCGTATCGACCTCGGTCTTCCATCCCCATTTACACTCTTGCACCGGTATATCTTTGAATTTTCCTTCTCGGGTGAGCCGCAGCACATCCTCCACCGTCTGCTTCTTTTGGTCGGGATGTCTGTCGGACCACTTGCTCACCCAAAACCCGCTGAAGCCGATCTCCTTGAATATCAGGAGCGACGCAGGTAGCGTGAGTGGTTGTTTACTCATGGCTCCGTACGTGACCATGGTCGACCCGGGACTCAGGAACTTCGCCAGAGCCGTGGCCGGTTTGCCTCCGACACAGTTCAACCCGACCTTGATCTGTTCCCGTCCACCGTGCGTCCACTCCTTGATCTGGTCCCGAATCTCTCGGCCCATCAGCTCTTCTTCCGTGATGACCTTTGTAGCACCGATGTCGTACAGGTCTTGCTTCAGCTTCGCCTCCTCTGTTTTGTCTTCCCGACCTCGAATGACGTTGAGGCTCTTGAACCCCCATTCTTTACCCAGCTGGATCGCAGCTCGCCCGACGCCGCTGTTGGCTCCGTTCTGTATGAACCACTCATCCCCTCTGAATCCCCATTTCGCCGAGTCCAGCAGCATGCGGTACGCCGTGCACGGGTTGACGGAGACGGTGCCAACCTGGAGCGGCGACAGACCTTGCTTGTCGTCAATCTTCAACAGCTTGCCCTCGTCGATGGCCATGTGCGTCCGCCAAGTGCCCAATCCCGTGCTCTTCATGATGACCCAATCGCCCTTGTTGAGAGTCTTGACGCCGGACCCGGTGCTGATGACCTCGGCCACTCCTTCATTGCCGGCAACCGCAGAAGGTTCCGAGGTCCCCAGGGTCGTGCTCATCTCTCCTTTTGCAGGGTACACACCCTGTATCTGGTTCACGTCCGCGGGATTGATCGGGGCCACCAGCATGCGGATGACGACGTTCGTTCCGGAGGCAGGGGAGATCGAGTGGCCGTGGAGGGAGAGGACATCTTGGGGCTCGCCGTACTTGGAATACACAAGAGCTTTGGCTTGCTCGTAGCCGTAGCTGCTGACTGCTCGTTGTTGGTTGTTAAGTGGCTGCGTCCGTCGGGACGACCGGCAGCATGTTGGTCGTGTGTGTGAAACTATCACGGTCCGTGTAGCTGCCTTCAAGGGCTGTTGGACTCGAGTAGTGCTGGCCATACCACAAGAAAATCAAAATCAACAATTCAATTACATTACAGAGAAGGAATCAAGTATTGAAGAATTGCGGTAGCTGTTCATGGATTTGTTTGCGCCCGGATATTTTACTCCGCAGCATCTCAAGGTCTGAGGGGATCATTGGATCATACATCATCGTCGGCCGAGTCTCGGTTCTGTTGACCTTCCCGCGCTCCCTTTCATCAATCACATTCATCTGTTGTTTCTTGGTTCCTACTGACCCAGATATGGACCATCTCTTCAAAGATCTTCACCTCCTATTTTGAGAAGAACCTGCGCAAGAAATCACGGTGTGCTTGAAGGTAAAGCCGACGCGCTTCTAGGTCCCTCTCGTACATCGCACGCTGCTCCTCTTTAAAGATCTTCTCCAGTCTGGGTCGTCCTTGAACTGCTGGTCCCAGGCATAACTGATCCATCATTCCTGCTAGAGCAGTGAACCCAACTTCTGCAAACACTGCTTCTCCAAACCTGCTGAAGGCTTTCTGAAACATTCCCTGACAGCCTGAATCATCAATCTCCTCGAGAAATTTGCACAGTTCTCTCATATCGGCAGAGTACGGCATGTGCCGGCTCACTTCTTGCGTGAGAATGTGCAAGCTGGTGTGCTGATTTCCAGCAATGTGTTGGCACTCGTTCGGGCCTCGGGTATCCACAATTGAGCGTACTGTCAGAACCAGGTCATTCGCGAAACCTGCAAAGTTGATCAGCTCACGCGAGAACTCTCTGCTTCGAATCTCAGCGCAGCCGTAGATGGCAAGACCAAGAACGTGCTCCGGCCAAATCGGAATCGTTGCGAATGACAGCATGAAACGAAGGATATGTATGTCTGAGGCTTTGTACACCTTGGAAAATCCCAAGAGCTTGGTTTCGATCTCCCTCAAGACTCTGCGAGCATCTTCCAAACGGAAATGTGGTTCGCTGTTGTCACAGAACGTATGAATCCCTGGAAACCGCGAAGCAGGATGCCAGTTTGTGTCGAGGCAGAATCGCTCCAAGTGGCTAGCCAACACTCCCATGACGCATGGCTCTCTTGCTTGCTCCCAAAGCATTGCCAACAGGGCGATCTTTGACATCTGGTATTTCTCGGCAGGACGAGTTCCAGAAGTCGATGCTAATGTGCGCTCAGAACCAGCCCGCTCAGGTGGCATTTGGTTTGTGAGCGTTGCACTGCCCTCGGTCAGGTTGGCTGGATCTCACAGAGATCGGGACTCACTCGTGTCTTGGATGGTGACCTCGTATCATATTGCCATGGACAAGAAGGATTTTGCTCGAGACCTAGCGGGCGTCGCGACGCATTACACTTTCTTCGACTGCTAAGTAGGATCAATCTATATGATTAGAGAGGATGCTGGCATGGCATGACAGAAGTGAGGGCCTGAGAGACTGTCTGCTGCAGTTAATACCCTTCCTTGCTTTGATTGGACTTCACTTTGAATCTGTCATTATTGGCCATACGCGCGACACGCCTTGGTGGATTTCGCCGCACCCTCGAACACGGTAGGAGCCACCGCAAGACTTATTTGACCGTTACCAGTCCGAAGGATTCCCTCCTGGGTGCTAGTCGTAGTGGTCTTTCGGCCACAACAGTTTTTGACTCATCACAGGAGCCCGTTGACCCAGGCGTCCTTGGGCATTGCAAAGGCTGACATGTCAGGCAAGTTTGAGAAGTCTGCCATATCGAAAGCCAATGCCGGGTCTTCCCAGAAGTTAGAAGGAAAGGACTCCGGGCTATTGTTCGATATCGGAATGATTCCCAGTGCCGAGTGAGTCGTGGTTTGGTCCATTGGCAAGAGAAATTGCGTGTTCACGCTCAACTCGACATCATCCACCGGTCCTCCGCCGCTGCTCGTGGTCGGTGACGAAGATACAGCATAGTCAAGCAAATCCCAGAGTAAGGCCGTCTCAACTTTCGGCGGTTGTACTGATCGTGTAGCATCGTTGTACGGGGCGGCCAATTGTGCGAGTTTGGATAGTTTAGCTTTCTAAAGACCAATCGTCAGTCATTCGATCCCTCGCTTATGAATAAGTGTCAAGTTCTAAGCTTTAGAGCTTTCCAGCTTGCACAGACCTTTACCCGTCGCTCTTTTGAAAAGGGGAGGACATACTGTATGCAGAAGGTGTGGATAGTCACTTGCTGATTTAGCCACAAAGTCTTGTAACCTCTCAAAGGCTCTGGTAGCCCTTGAACCAAGAGCTTCATCTTTGGAGAACCTCAAAAAGAATTGAGCTGTTGCTATCATAGCGGCCAAGTGGGCGACAAATGGATCATAGATCTTGAAGTCTCTCTCTTCACAGAGAGTGAGCAGTTGAATGACCCAGTTAGAGTGAAGAATGGTTTGGTCGATCGCGTGCTGTAAGAAAGATGGAGATCGCAGTTTTTGCTCGCCATGGATGCGAGCAACGTGGAGGAATGGGTGGTTCAAAGTGCAGTGGATGGTATGATAGATACACTGTGTGAAGATCCAAGGTGCCCAGTATGCTCTGTCGTTGTTCAGTTCGGCGCTCGTCTTTTCATAGAACTTTGTATTCGTGAAGCGATGCGCCTCGGGAAAGATTGTCTCGAATTCGGACATTCGAGCCCTTATCTGAGCGTAACCGGAATTGGCTTCCCATCCGTATTCGCGATTACCTTGTTTGACGCTCTTGAGGTATTGCATCAAACGTCCCCAGGTGATCAACAGTTGTAGAGAGTAAGATCTGATGCCTTCATCTTTCTCTTCGTTGGGGCGTGTGGATTCTGCCACGCGAACATGTTCCAATGCGCACGCGGTAGCTGTTGGCATTTCGGGCAGTATTCCCTCGTCAGAGATAGCAGGTATGGTTCTGAGACTGCTGCCATGAATCCGATCAAGAACCAGTAAACTCCAACAACACCTTGAAAATTCTGATTTTCGTGCCGACGGTCTTCCGGCCTCCAATATTGCTAGATTTGAGCATATGATTACTCGAGCAGCTACCCCGGAAGCCATCCAAGCGCTGACCATTTTGCCATCATAGATTTCAGCCAAGCAGAGTAAGCATAATGCTTGCAACGCTGCTATTGAGCCTGTCGGTTCTGCGGCGTAGCGAAATAACTCATCCCGTGCAGCAGACTTGTAGTACTCTACTGCTTTGGACTGGATGTTGGCAAAAAATGAAGCTCGAGAGAATCGTACAGTGAGTGCCAGGAAACTGTTGAGTAGAGCTCCGGAGAGCTCGCTTGGACGGAGGGCAGAAGTTTCGAAAAGCGGTAATGGTTGATCGGCTATCCGTTCGATATATATCTGGAGCAGAGATTGAAGCACTTCGGGAGGAGGATATGGCCTGTGGAACGTTAGAACTACTCAAGGAAATCTCGACATTCCATGTGGCCGCTATCCCGCCGAAGCTGCAGATTTAGGGCGGGCAAAAGAGACTTGACTTCCAATGTCGTCTCAAGCCCAACAACCTGTGGTGTTCATTCAGCTGGATCTGAATGATTTGCCCGGAATTTTCGTACGATACCAGCTCTCCTCAAATATGATTCGGGTTAGGTGAGCGCTTACCTTTGAGAGACATTGAACACTGCGCCATGGTCTGCATTGCCATGGCCTGAGTCGGATGAAGGGCTCCGACCGAAGGGTGTTGAGGCGTTTCGGAGCGGATTGGACGAGCCTTCGCTTGGCTGTCGGTCGACTAGTGTACTGTGTAGAATCAGGACGTAAGTCAGTGTAAACATTGCGTGTTTATGCAAACAAGTCATCTCGATCAAAGATTGACCAGTCAAAAGAAGGGTCTCCGGCTGGCTTGGGCGCGATAGGTTCATCGGAGCAAAACAAAATTCGCGACGCTTCCCTCACGAAGGACGGTGGTTGCAACTGACTTGAGAGCCCCCAGTATCTGCTCGACTCGTGCTTCCAATCTGTCAACCCGGTCTCCGGAATGGCGACGATCCTGTGCAAATGGGTTTAGAATTGGTTTATGCACTCGTAAACGAACCATTACCTTTGTTCTTGGAGTGCGATGAGGTTTCTCGACCCGGTTGACAGCCGGCGCAATGCTTGAGACAGGGTACGTGCATGACTGATTGAGCCTGCTGCAAAAAGAGCAAATTGGTCTCTCGCCAGGACATTTGGTCTTCTTTCTCCTGATATACCGGTAAGGTCTCAGCGAATTGAAGACAACACCACGTATCCTTACCTGCAAGGCTCACAGGCTTGTTTGACACGCGACGAGGGCGGGGTACTGTCACTCATCCTGTTACAATATTGATTCGAATATCCTGCATGATCCCAACCAAGATATTTGTCGGTGGGGGAGGGGATGGCGCTGTAGGGCCCAGGAGGTGAGTATGAGTACAGAAAGCCGTAGTGTAGAAGGGTTAGGGACTTCGGGAGCAGTTAAAGAAAGGGTGGACAGGCCTATGGGCGCCCTAATCAATTATCACTTTAGGCGCTGGTGGCCCATTCTCGTACTCGTACGTAACTACCTACTCTGTACCAGCCAAGCCTCAAGCCTTAGCTACATTTCCCTTTCTTTTTCCCATGTCATGTCAACACTCTCCCGTCAAATCTCTTCTTATCTCTTCTCCTACATATTTAGAGGCATGTGCCTCGTTACAAATTACGCCTTCCGATATATTGGCCCTTAAACTCTGAAGGCGGTTCACACACAGCTTTAGCAGGAAATGTCATTCGCTAGCCTAAACAACTGACCTTGGAAAACGCTCTCAGCACAGTTGACAATGGAGTTTTGCGATGTCAAACAGAATTAGAGATTGCCCCTGGCCATCTGCTCTCTCTCAATCGCCTCGAACAAAGCTTTGAAGTTTCCTGCTCCGAAGCCAGAGAAGTTATTTCGCTGAATGATCTCGACAAAGACGGTTGGCCTATCCATCAAGTGCTTCGTGAAGAGCTGCAAGAGATAACCACCTTCATCGAAATCAATCAGGATGCCCAGCTCTTTGAGCCTGGCAAAATCCTCGTTCAACTTCATTCCTGCAGAGCTCAGCCTTTTGGACATTGCTTCATAGTAGGTATCTGGGACGCTGATGAACTCGATACCTCGCTCTCTCATGTTGGTCACCGTGGTGATGATGTCTTCTGTCCTCAAGGCGATATGTTGCACCCCAGCGCCGTTATAAAAGTCGACATATTCCTCAATTTGGGACTTCTTTTTGCCCTTGGCTGGTTCATTGATGGGCATCTTGATCCTTTCATCTGGGCTGGCCATGACTATCGATTTCAAAGCCGAATAATCGGTACAGATGTCTTTGTCGTCGGCCGACCAGAATCTATGGAAGCCAAGAGCTTTCTCATAATATTCACAAGCAGCCTCCATTTCATCCCAATCTTGATTGCCTACACAATGATCCACATGCATCAGATTGACATCTGGTAAGTATTTGGATGCCCTAGAAACCTCGCTGACTGCTCGGTAGCCGGGAAGGAATGGGCCTTGATACTGATGGCGTTCGACCAAGGTGTGAATGGTGTCTCCATAGGTCCGGATTTGAGCATAGGTCACTGAACCATTCTCGTCACCTATGGTCTTCAGTGGATGCACCGAATGTGCTCCCTTCGATACGGCGGCATCATACACCGCGGCCACATCGTCGACCTCGAAAGCTACGTCGCGTACCGCGTCACCGTGTGCTCTCATATGGTCCTGCATCTCCTTGAGCGTTTGTCGTTCTTCTTCAGACAGCGAGGCATTGGTTGCATCTGAGCTTTGTAACGGCGAAGTGAGAACGAAGGTTACGTCTCCATTGCGCACCACGTGTGAGGCAACAACTCTGGAACCTGTCTCGAGTCCACGGTAGGCGATCTTTTCGAACCCCATCTGGGAGATGTAATAAGCAGCCGCCTGCTTCGCGTTTCCAACCCACCAATGAACGTGATCATAGCCTTGGTATCTGGCAACCTTTTTCGATGTTTGTGGAAGCGTCTGGCGAGAATGTTGGTCTTGGAACGTGCTGGCAAGTTCATGACTTGGTACAGGTGTAGGTGCTAGGGCGATTGGGGCCATGGTCGCAATATCAACTTCAAAATGTGGGTTACGATGTTAAAGGTCAAGTCCAGTGATATCAGCAGAATCACAGATAGTGTCCGAGATGAACCTCCGTCTTATCAATGCTACAAAATCTGGAAAGGCACGGCACTGCCACTGCGAGTGAGGTATCTTTATCTGTTACTGTTGTGGGTGGGCACGGATACTAATGGTTTTCCTTGTTACAACACTGGGGTGGACCCGGCCCGTCCTTGTGACCAGCATGATGTGGTGCCACCGCGTTATCTCTGAGCCGATTCACCAGTTAGCTATTTTGCCTACTTTAAATCACTGCATTGGCAACGGAGAACAATATTCCTCCAGTTGACTAAACAATCACATATCCTAAACTTGTGCAATCTTGCAACTACGGACGGTCCTATCCTCAGACAAAAATGATTGCACCTCAACTGACCAAGAATGATTCGTCGGTGTTAGGAGCGTTGTTCGACCCTGAATCCTCCTTGTCAAGTACCATTCAGATCGACAAGAGTCTCCCTGGGGACTCCAACTCTTCGTCGATACGAAGAATCCAGGAACGAGAACGGCGTGTACTACGACTGGTCGACCAGGAGAAGCCATCTATATCCAACATTCAATATGCCCTTTCCGAACTGACGGCTATAATTGAAGATGAACCATCCTATGCCTCGGCTTTCAACAACAGAGCTCAAGTTCGACGACTGTTGATCAAGGATGCAGATTTGCCGGGCAGCCCAGGCCTTGTGGCGGAGATATTCCAGGATCTTGCTCGTGCCATCTCACTGGCGACACCAAATACAATACGCGATACCGTCAGTCGGATGGATGCGAAAGTGCTCGCATCAGCTCATACACACAGGGGCTACCTTCTCCTGATGGCCAGTAAATCCGAGAGGAACCGTGGAATGTTGGACGCCGTTCCCAGTCTCAAAGACGAGACAAGGGACTCTCTGGAGGAAGCAGCGAGTCGGGAACTAGGTATCGGCGGGCGATACGGGAATGAGACTGCTCGACAACTCGCAGTGAAGACGAACCCATACGCGAAGCTATGCGGTTCGATCGTGAGGGAGGCGCTGACGAAGGAGATTTCGGATTATTACAACCCACAGATATCCGTTGCACGATGAAACGATTATCCCTTTTCAATGAGAATAGTACCGTCCCTTTCCACTTGCAAGGCACAATGTCTATTTTGCTTTCTCTGTAGATACATGACACATAAGGCCAACGGCACGAGCATGCCTTTCAGAGTGTTCGGCTGCTTGAGGAAGATGTGCTGACACTGCCCGGGGTCCGTGTGGTTTCCGTGCTATTTGCGGCATCCGGCGGTTATTTGCGGCAAACAAAAGTCATTGATGATGGAGTTGATCACGTGAGCGGATGATGAGTGTTTTGTCCCTCTCCGTCCCCGGCATCATCCGTGTTGTTGTTATTCGTAAGACGCTAGGACTTCAAGGGGACTCGATGAGACTCTTCGTATGAGTAATCCCCAAGGCAGTTATGTTTACTTCAACGATGGCTCACCATTGTCGCAAACTATTCATTGGATGACCCACACCCTACAATGCACACTGATATGAGTTCAGCCGAATGGCTGTCTGAATGTGAGTGGGTTCCTGCATTTGTTGTCCTCCTCATACGGCACCAGCTGCGCGATCCTACAGATTCGTGAAAGTACTGCTTCTGTACGATATCGACGATGACATGTGCGATGAGGAAACTGTATCAGCACGCGTATGCCGCCAGGGGATACACGCTATCAGCATATCAGGCGGCCCATTCGTCAGGAGATGCACGAGTGACAAGACTCGCCGCATGAGAGTAATGAACCGTCATCCTGCTTTTCCAGTGATCAACTTTTCGTTTTGAAGATGACCTTGTCCGACAAGGACGCGCATACACAGTAAGTCCAGTCCAGTCCAGTCAGAGAGGCCAAGACACTCTGCGCTCGTATCGAATATAAGGCGTCCAAGTCATCTTGTCCATTAAACCCAAAATCATGCATGGTTCCGAGGGTGTTCTGGTAAGATGATATCAAGTCCACAAACCCCATTCATTTATGTCGCTAGAGACCTGCATTTGAGTGTTCATAGTTCGAGAGGTGTCTTGAGAAAGACAATGACTTAGGAAGCCGATCCCCTGTGAGGTGTGAGTGTGTGAATCAAAACAGATCCCCAATTCGGGATGTTCTGCAAAATGCCCGTCACGGTAGCAGTTGTCGGCGCTGGCCCTGTTGGGCTGATGGCCATGAAGAACCTAAAAGAAGTCGGGTTCGAAGTGAGCGGCTTCGAAAAGCGAGGGTACGTCGGTGGTCTATGGAAACAGTCTTGGGAGGATTCCTCCATCTCTGTCACAGAGCACACGGTCTTCAACAGCAGTCGATTCCGGAGCTCCATCTCGGACTACCCTTTCCCAGACCATTACGATGACTATCCCACCGCCAAACAATTGCACGGCTACCTCGAGAGTTACTGTGACCACTTTGACCTACGACGACATATTCGCCTCGACGCCGAAATTAAGTCGATCAAGCGAGACCAACAACAAGACGGCATCGCGCAGACACAGAGGTTCGACAAGGTCATGATCTGTACGGGGTCGTTCGTGTCGCCGAAAACGCCAAAGCTAGCGGGCATCGACAAGTTCCAAGGCACGACAATGCACTCCGTCAACTTCCCCCATCCGTCACGATTCAAGGACCAGAATGTCCTGTTGGTCGGTCTACATGCCACGGCACAAGATCTCACGGTTGAACTCCATGGGTACGCGAAGAAGGTGTACATTGCTCATAGGATCGGCCTTGTCTTGGTACTACTACCATTGACTGTTTTCCCCTCTGTTGTTCTTCTTCCTCCTCCCCTCGTTCCACCCTCTAGTCAGACTAATTGAAACTTTTTCTTCCTGGTTTTAGTTGCCACGCTTCATGCCCGACGGTCGAGCAATGGACGTCGGCCAGACACTCGGGTTGGTCTTCATCCAGCTGTTCATGGAAGCATGGTTCCCCAGAGCGTGGGCGTGGGTCATGAACAAGATCCTCGCCTCCATGAGCTCGGCCGCGTTCCCCAACCAACCTGAAGAATGGAGACTCAAGCCTCACCCGTCAGCTGCGACCGTGACCCCTCTCGTCGGCGACGCCATCTACCCGCACCTGCAATCAGGATTCGCCACGCCCGTCGCCGCCGTCGACGGGATCACGGGACCCAAGACCGTCAGGCTCACCGACGGGAGAGTCCTCGAGGACATCGACGCCATCATCTACTGCACGGGCTACGATTTTGCGTCTCCCTGCCGCCCAGAAGAGTACGACCCGTTCCCCGTCCGCGGCCAACCGCCGAACCTGTACAGAAACATCTTTCCGATCCACGAGGACGCGGGGATCCGCAACTCGCTCGCCTTTCTGGGGTACTCGGCCATCGTCTTCTCGGGCCTGGTCCAGTTCGAGCTTTCGGCCATGGCGGTAAGTCAAATCTGGCGCGGGAACGCGTCGCCGCTCCCTTCCCTGTCCGAGATGCAGAGGTGGCGCGCGCGACACCTGGCCTGGCGCCGGGGCATCGTCGAGCGCGCCAAGCCCTCCGAGACGCACAGCTTCGTGGTCGCCTTCGTCGACCCGCCCGACTACGTATCCTGGGTCAACGAGACCGCGGGCTTGGGCATGCTCGAGCATTTCGGGACTTTCAGTCGGAAGGCGTGGCGGTTTTGGTGGCACGATCGAGACTTTTACAGCCTGTGCAAGAACGGAGTATTTTCACCCGCCATGTGGCGCCTGTTTGACATGGGGAAACGAAAGGCTTGGGTCGGCGCCAGGGAACAGATCATCAAGGACAATGAGCTCGTGAAGAAGCGAGGAGAGGAGCGATTGGTTGCGTTGAAAAAGGAAAGATCGTGATGGAAGTCGGAAGAAAAAGGAGTGGTTGCGTACGCGGGAACAAACGTAGAAGAGATGGACAAGTAGATGTCCACTTGGGACGCCCTGAAGACCGAGGAATAAGAACCTCTCGATGTTACTCCGTATAAACAAATGGAATATAACCGCCCCTGCAAGATACCCTGCGTAACCACCTGTCTCGAATCAGCAGGATCATATCCTAAGGTGATGCTATCCCCCATGGTCTGTCGTGCCCTCGTTGTCGTTCATAGAAAGTTATTTCATGGCCGATTCTTGTCTCGGAATCCCGCTCAATTTCTCAATGCTCGTAATCTATCACCCAACCCTTCCTCGAGTTTCGCCCTCTCGGCACTCTCGGCCTGCTGCAGTTCGTGCTCGGGCACCTTTTGCTCCATCTCCTGCGACAACTCGACACCAGCTTCGTCGGCGACCCTGTTCATCAGAGCGTCCACTTCCCCTTGACCTTCTACCCCGACCTGCTGACTCTCGACGCCGCCGGCCACCCCTTCGTAGTACCCGCTGACCACATCGAGATCTTCAAACTGTGACTCGAACTTCTCCATCACCGTGCCAATCTTTTCCAGGTCCATGCTCTTCAAGGCCGCGTCCATCCCCTTGACCGTCTGCGCCATCGACCCCGTCACCGTCCGCATGGTGATGGCCGTCTGTACCCTCGCGGCGACGGCGTCGATGCGCGCGGCCAGCGTCAAGAGCTGAATCCTCTGTTGGGAATTTCGGACCGAGTTCGTGGCGTACAGGCGGGCGATTTGAGGTTGAGGGGGGTTCTGGGTGAGGGCTTTCTTGAGTTTGGCTTGTTCGGCGCGGGCATCGCGGTCGGCTTTGGCAGCTTGCCGGTTCAGTTGTTTCGAGGTGAACTATGGAGACAGAGAGGTATGTGTCAGTGAGGGTGATTTTCGCGAGTTGTCCCATGACACAGTATGTAACGCGGGGCGCTTAGGGAAGAACGCAGTGTGTTCTGTGGAGTTGCCTTCAGTTATAAAGGGCACTCGGAGGGAAGAGTATTACCTTGAGATTAAAGAGTGCCTTCTCAAGGCCGGACATTTTTGTGTTATTGTCGCTCTCCTGAACTTGTACAAATACTAAGATGCTGCGGATGGTTGGTCGGCTGATGGTGAGCGATAGGCAGTTATTCCTGGCTATCTCTCGAGAGAATCGTGAAGGTTGAACACGGGTCGAGGGAATTGAAGGGTAGAATAAAGTCAAGATCAGTTCGTGTGAGTTTGAGCAGTGATGTTGAGTTCGAGTTTCAACCCGTATCTTTTAGTAGTTGAGAAGCAGATTGCCCACGAAGCACGTAGCCTGGAGGTTGCGGATGACGATGCGGGCGGGATCAGCGGGCATGACAAGAGAGCAAGGAGCCTTGGAGTTCTTGGGGCTAAAAGCCAATAGGCTGCGGTAAGGCTGGCTGACAAAACACCCCCATCAGGCTCCGGCGTTTAGCCGCCCTTCTTTAACCATCGACGCGAAAGCCCGACTGCCATGAGTTGAAATCTCGTTCCTCGATGCAATACCATGAATTCGGAACATCAACATCCTGACCAAATTGCAGGATATCTGCTGCCCAGATGATCATGCAAAACCAATTCCCTGAATCGTGGCTGCTGACATTTACCCATACTTGTCAAGCCTCCTCATCAGTGTGGGAAATTAGTTAACCCAGCTGTTCAAGGACGTAGTGCTTGAAGGCTGAGTGTGCTACGAATACCGGTCTGCCACCTCGATAATATCATTACTCTGTTCAGGCCACCATCTCATACTGTTCCTCATTCCATCCTAGCAAACGAGAACTCGTTGTCAGCCCCCAATGATGCCTTTCCTGGCCAACTCGTATACGCTAACCCTATCCGGGCCAAATCCACATCCAATGGTCTATTACACATATTCGAAATCGTGTAAACAAGAGTGTCTTCTGTCCATCGAGGCTGGGTCCATGATCAATTGAAAACAATCATCACCCGGGGCATGCTTCAGCCTCATATGCAACGACGAGGCACTGACGTGGATCATATCCACTACGCCCAAATTTCCCTGCCCTGATACTCGGTACTCCAGTATGCCTGCATCAAACCGCCGTGGACCTTGTCCTGGACAATCTAACGGCGGGTCTTAGCCACAGCTAGTTGCAAACTCTCTATACTAAAGGATGAGCTTGTATCCTGATTAACCCTTTACAGAGGGGGAACGCGAGATTTCTATTCACACCTTATTCCATCAGGCTTCCGACGCAGGTGCTCTCTACTGCGTCAGTGTATATAAACCACAGCAGGCTAGCTATGGATATACGATGCACACACCTCAACACGCCTTGTCATCCGTCCCGCGTCCAGCAATGAAGACCTTCAGTACTCTATTGGGCGTCGCTGCTCTACCATTGACACTTGCACAATTTCCTCCAACGCCCTCGGGTCTGACGACAACCACGTCCACGGTCAATAAAGACGTCAAGATCACCTGGAAGGAGGTGAGCATAGGGTTGAATTTTCTGTACTACCCCAAGCTGATGGATTACAGACCGAAATATGCGAGACAACGCCCGGAGTCAAGACCTATAGTGGATATGTCCATCTTCCAGGTCACCTGCTAGCTGATCTTGGAGGCTATGACATGAACACGTATTTCATGTATTTCGAAGCTCGCCACAACCCAGCCTCGGCTCCTCTTGGGATCTACCTGGCAGGTGGGCCGGGCGAGGCTTCGACCTATGCTGCTCTGTCCAGCGAAAGCGGACCGTGCTACGCCAACCTCTACGGGAACGATACCGTTTTGAACCCCTGGTCCTTCAACAACAATGTCAACATGTTGTACATCGATCAACCGACGCAAACAGGGCTGTCGTACAGTTCCCTCGTGAATGGCACATACGACCTTGCATCGTTGAACGTTACTCCAGAAAACTTCACCGCCGCTTCTCGTCCGGTCGTAAATGGCACATTTGGGTATGGAACATATTCAGATCAAGATCCGTCGACCACGGCAAACACGACTGTCGCCGCAGGGAGAGCCTTGTGGCGCTTTGCAGAGCACTGGTTCTCATCATTCCCGCAGTACAACACCACATCCAAGAGTGTCGGCATATGGGGCAATTCGTATGGCGGCTTCTGGGTGCCGGAGACAGCTGCACAAATCAGCAAGAACCTCAAGAACCTTACAGACACACACCCACTGAAGAAGAAGGCCTTGAAGGTTGATTCGATCGGCATCACGAACGGCTGTATGGATTTCGAGTATCTGATGGAGGGATACCTCGAGTTTGCAAACAACAACACCTATGGCGTCAAGTTCCTCCCTCAGGACATTTACGACGAAGCACAAACCAACCTTACAAAGCCCGGAGGTTGTCTCGACATGATCAAGCAATGTCGTCACGCTGGGAATGTCGGTGACGCCGCTTATTCTGCCGCCAATGCCACCGTCAACCAGATTTGCGAAGATTCTTTTCTGTATTGCTCGACCATCGTCAGCTTGGTGAATGAACTACACAATGTGAGTGACATTTTTGCAAGCATCCCGCTTGCTCCTTACTCCTCACTCCCCCACCCCTTTTTTTGGTAAGATGCAAGAACTAACCTTTTTGTCCCTTGGTTTTGTTTTTTTTTAGGTTTCAGTCTTTGACGTCGCCATTGAAACTCCCGACCAGTGTAATTACTACCTTCCCGTGGCTCAATACCTCAACCTCCCCGAGGTTCAATCTTCTCTGGGGTTGCCCTTGAACTGGACTTGGGACTCCAACGTCATCACCGCCCTGCTCGGGTTCGTTCCCGACAGCCCCATCCCGGGGACGGGAGACTCATCCCGCCAAGCGGGCCTGGTCAACCTGGAGTACCTGCTGGGCGACGGGGTCAAGGTCGCCATGGTCTTCGGGGACCGTGACTACCGATGCCCCTGGACCGGAGGCGAAGCCACCGCCAAGGCCGCGTCGTGGAAACACCAAAATGGGTTCGTGTCCACCGCGGGCTACCAAGAACTCCAAGGTCTCGTCTCCAAAAACGCAAAGACCGGCGTCGTCAAACAGTTTGGTCAGCTCTCGTTCACCAGGGTCTTTGACTCGGGCCACTCGGTGTCGGCGTACGCCCCCGAAGCCGTGTTTCGAGTTTTCAACCGCACCACCTTCGGCAAGGACGTGGTCAGTGGTCAAAAGGTCGTCGGGGATGATTACCACACCACGGGCCCGACGGACAGCTGGGGGTGGAGGAACAAGATGCCACCTCCCATCCAAGACACTTGCATGGTGGAAGGTAAGTTTTTGTCGGTCAATCCTTGGGCTGCTGTCGATGGGGGGCAGTAAGGAGTCAAGATTCCTTCCGGCCCAGGTGATCGGGCCAGTTAGAAGGTTGGGTATCTAGGCTTTGGCGACTCGAGGGAGAAAGGGGGATCAGCAAGGAGAAGAGAATGAGGGGAATGGGTCTCGACAACTCCAGCTGCGTGCTGCACATTGTACACTGTATACAATGTAGTGATTTGATCGAGCAAGGGTCAATTTTTTTGGAGCCTTTCAAGAGGCATTAATTGTATTGATAAACAATCATTATCTTCTTCCTTCAAAACAGGCAAAGTCCACACCTGAATTTTCAACAGCATCGTCGTAAGTGTGTCACGATCAGGATATATGCGATACTCAGTCCCTTACAGAACACAGCCTCGCACGTGACGTCGAGGACGCCCCTATTTACTCGTAACTCAGGGCCATCAGAGTCCTTTGCTGTCGACAATGATAAATGACGAGGGAGAAGTATTGTAACTAACATTTTGAATATCTCACCATGTCACAATTGTAAATATAATTATATATCCGACCTCGGGGTGTTTGACACGACATCCCACGGATAATCAAATCACTCTTTTCTTTACGTCGGAACCCAATCCAGGTCCTCCACGACCACCGTGTTCTGGGCCGGCATGGTCCCGTTGATCAACCAGGCGTTCATGGCGTCACGGAGGGTTTCGTCGGCGCCGTAACTCGTGTGTCCGTCTCCGGTGCGAGAGAGGAAGATCGAATTGGGGATCTGCCTGTGCAAGCCCACGGCCTCGGAGATGCCCGTGGCCGGGTCGTGGTCGGCGTTGACGATGAGGATCGGGGACAGGCCATCCCCGGCGGTCGAGTTGAACATGTGGGGCGGGTTCCTGGGCTTGAAGGGCCACCCGATGCACGTGGTCGCAAACTGCAGCTGCATGCTACTGCCCAGGGCGTGGGGGAACATGGCCTTGCCCAGGTTCTGCAGGGTGACGTGCTCGTCGTAGGTGGTCGACTCGGTCGGGTTGTCCAGACACCCGATGGCCAGGTTGGCGTAGGCCAGGGGGTCAAAGTCCACGGAAAGGAGGGTCGCGTTGCCCTCGGTGGCCTGTTTCATCGCCTGCGACAGCGCCGGCCAGTTGGCGTACCGCTGGAAGATGTTCTCCAGCTTGAAGATGATGTCGTAGCCCGTGGCGTTCACTTTGCAGGTCCCCGCGAGCCCTCCGGTGGCGTTTGCGGCACATCCCGGGGCAGGGATCGGAGTTTCGTTGGCCCGAGCGATCAGGGTGTCCCAAATGGCGGCCGTGGATGAGTTGCCAGTGCTGTCGCTGCTGTTACTGTTGTGCAGTGCGCAGGAAGAGTTGTAGTCGCACCACTCAAAGAACCGCACGAGTTCGTCGTTCATGGCCCAGTTGCCTTGGACGTAGCTTTCGTACTCGGACAGAGAAGGGTCGACGCCGCCGTCGAGAACCATACGGCCGATGTGGTCGGGGAAGAGCTCGGCGTAGCGTGCTCCCAGCTGCGTCCCGTAGGAGAAACCGAGGTAGTTGAATTTGTCGTCGCCGACGGCGATGCGTAACGCGTCGAGGTCCTTGGCCGCGGACGCGGTGTCCAAGAATCCCATGTGCGGTCCGGTCAGATTGAGGCAGGATTCTCCCAGGGCCTTGTTGAACTCGAGGACCTTCTCCCACGAGGCTTCGTCGTCGACGAAGTAGGAAGGGGTCGACGCCCAGAGATCGTCGTCGCACACGACTTGCGTGCTGGGCCCGACGCCTCGAGGGTCAGGGCAGATTAGATCGTAGTGATCCAAGAGCTCGCTGAAGTCGCCCGGGTCCTGGGATAGGCCTGCACACGTATCGCGAGCCGGCCCTCCTGGACCTCCGGGGTTAAAAAAGATGCTGCCGAGGTTGTTGGTGCCGTTGGTCCTGAGGCGGGCTACGTCAAGCTTGATCTTGCTGCCTCCGGTATTGTTCCAGTCCATGGGTACTTCGAGGGTTCCACAATCAAGATTTGGGATGTCGGTAGTGTTTGAACAAGGCTTCCATTTGATCTCATAAGATCCTGTTCCATTATTCTGCCTTCGAACGGGCGACGCGACAGCAAGGGACGAAGCCCCAATGATCAGAATAGCAGCCCTGTTGAGATGGAAATGCATGATGGTGGTGGAGGTGATGGCGATGAGTATGCGCACTCGTCCGGGTGTAAAGTTTTGACAGATTGTTTATGATTAAGAGGCTGGGGAGAACCCATGAACCGTGCAACGCTGCCATCTTGTGCTTTATATGCATTTTTCTCCCTTGTCGGCGTTGAGCCATTGGGAACTTGATCTCAAGTCTAATGGCAATAGTTGATCGGCAATACGGAGTGAATAGTACTCGTAGTACTTGCAAACCGCGTGGACATCTTGTCCCACATGGGCGGTATGGGCCGTGCGTGATATTAAGGGCACGTACCTCAATGGTGCCGGTCTAGATGAATCAATAGGTACAATAACTTCAAGTCGGGTCATGCTTTTGGGAAGCCAAGTGAGCTTTGGCATAAAAATAGTAGTAGGGAAAAACTTTGACGAAGCGCTGAAGTCTTGATTGATTAAGGGGTCGACGATGCACCCTCTCGGCAGCCTTTGAGCAACCACATTCAGCCTTGTCGCAGCCAGAGACGTTGTCGACTACCCGCTTTCCGATTCCCATTACCTATCCGGGTATCCCATGCGGCAATTCTTGCCAGATCATTGGTACATATGCTTCTGTATGCGATCACGGTGAATGGGCTGGCTGACATCTTTGATACATGCTCCAAAAGAGGAAGCGAAAAACATGTGGAGTAGGATGAATATTCTTTCGTACAATCGTTACATGTCGGGACCTATAAACTGCGGATTGAGAAGCTCCCTGTCAATCGAAAGGAAGCAAGTGGGTGATCGAGATGTAAATTGATGGAATAATTAATTGACCGAGAAGAAAATACATGCGTAGAAATGAAATGCGACAGGAGGAAAAGATTGAGGCTGCCGGACCCCGGAAGAACCATTCCCCGCGCCAAGCCAGTGGTTGGTACTCGTACTCGTACTCGTCCTCGCACCCTGGTCTACTCGGTACTCAGTACAGTAAGCATCTTCGAGTACATTCATCCAACACACCTGGTTTGTTTGATGAAAACCCCGTATACCTACCTGAGATTCTTAAATGGCCTAGGAGTGGAGCTTAACTCTCACACGATACCCGCGACGATCAATCAAAATTCCCCATCTCTGGGCAAAATACCAATGCGTGCAGGTCAAAAGCACTACCACTCTCTGTCACTAAAGCTGCTGCGAGGGCGCAAACTAACAACAAACAAGCTTCGCTATGATATCGATGGATATCACACTAGGAATCTGTGACAAGTTAGACTTCTCAGGTGAGCTTGCACAAACCTCTAGACATACATTTCGCATTGTGGTTGTCCGACAGGAAACGTCACCCTGGTGAGCATGGTATGAAATTGGGTACTAATTTCTGCACCTCGAAAACGCAAACATCTCGACAGCATGTCCGACGACAGCTGTGATTCCTTCTCTAGTGCGGACATTAATGGCTCATACAAACTTCAGGTCTGCAAGAGTATATTTTGGCATTAGCAATGACGCACAAGAAAGCATCCGCATATGGTCTGGGAGGATTTCAGGGGGTCCGATCTGGTGTCCGGCGCTGCATATAGATGCAAAACAGTCGGGGGAGATGTTTTTCCAAGCCGAGGCCTAGAAGCAGCTGTATATAAGACCTCAGTCCAAGGACACCAGGGTTACTCTGGCAGGAGTCACAGTGTTTGAGAGACGCAGCCTGCATCCAAGTTTTCAACAGGACCACAGAAGCCCGGAGGTTTCTGGTGCGTCGATTGCTCCCTACAGTTGCTACTTTCAAAACTTCCACCTTCTATACATCAACGATATGGCACCAGTCCCTTCTACGACGGCTCCTGAAGCTATCATCGTCTGGAAGCCTTCCGGGGCCAAAGCCTTGACTAAAATCACCACGGCCACAGGTCATTTCCACCTGTTTTATCATGATGAAGAAGTAAGCTGATGCCAGAATAGCCAGCCCTACTATTGCCGGTCGGAGCCCGACGATGGACCACATCACAGATGCATATCGCTTTCGATACGCATCTTACCTTGCGTCCACATTCCATATCAGCTTGGATGCGGCCAAGGGCGAGGCGTCTTATCAGCTACAGCCTCGTCGGGCTTCTGAGACTTCAGAGTCGGAGGTGTATAGAAGCTAGACCTGCAGACTTGTCTAGGGTGATTTTAGCATGGCTGGCGTTGTACCTAGAGAGGCATTTCCGCTGCGTGAAGAGGAGAGTTAGCACGAGGAGATAGTCGCCGTTCGCCGACATGCATGAGGGATTTTTGGATTCCTGGTTGGAGTCCTTCTACCAGCAGTCGAAACGTTAGCACTGTCGTTTGAGGGATATATCTGGGAAGTGATCAAGTTTTAGCTCTGGTGGTGACCTTTCATCTTAGCACAGTCCATCGATTGACAGCTGTAGTCATGAAACTCCACATATGTCATGACTACTGCAGCATAGCCTCAATTGCCCAACGATTGTCGTACCTCGTGGGGATGCACTAATTTCCATGTCCATGTCCATCTGCATTCCCGAGGCCTAGTCGTAGTAGATATTGTGGAAGTTGAGGGGTCTTTTTACGGAGTAGCGAAGGGAAAATGGCTCATATAAATCCTCGTTCACTATTCCTTGACTGGTTAAAGGACCTGGATCTAAGATGACCGTGCGGCAAGACGGAACGGTGAGATGGGGCTCTTTCGCAGGTGTAAGTTACAGTATGTCCAATTAGCCTGAAGATCTGACCACAAGACGACAAGGATGACACCAAGACTCCAAGACCTTGGACGTCCTCTTTTCCCATCCATACCAAGATACAGTATAGAGAGTACTCGGTGTGTACAGAGAGATACTGCACAAGTCTCCCGTATCTGCGAGTATTTGCACTCGTAAGCCACTTGGCGGCGCAGCATCAGCCGAAGACTCTTCCCCCTCCCCTCTTCCTGCCCCGGCAAGGATCATTGTCGGCTTAGTCGAACATCTCTATCACAGCTATGGATTTGTTTTGATTTTCTTTCTTATTCTTATTTCCACGAGGGTGTTGACGTGTCCCTGCAATGAGTCCTGGTGAGTTATGCATTTCCGTTTCTCCTGTCGATGTTTTATTGAGGTCTCGGTACTGACAATCTGCAAGAGCACGTGCCCCCTCACCCGCCGCAGTCGCATCGCAGCAACGTGTTCACGTAGGATTCTCCTCGCTCTTCTCTCTGTCCTGGTTCATGCTAACCAGACATCGATGCCAGCTCATTCTCGGCCTGTATCTTTAGGTTTCTGGGTATGTACAGACATCCAATCCGAGATAGGATTGGTTTTGAGTGACTGACCATGCTTCTATTATCAGGTCGTTCTGACATCTCCGCAAACCCTTCAGTCTCTACCAATACCACGACACTTGAGCATTTCTCCTCTCGATCATGGACAGCGCTCGTTGCTTGTATTCATGCCATAGCCACTTCCTCGTGGTTGAATGTCCTACTTGTGATTGTTCCAATAGCCATCACCAGTTATCTTGTCCGAGCACATCCGGTCATCGTCTTCGTTACAAATGTCATCGCTGTTGTACCCCTATCATCTCTCCTGACATATGCCACCGAGAATATTTCACGGGAGTCGGGTGACGCCATCGGGGCTCTACTGAATGTTACTTTTGGTAATCTGGTTGAGATTGTCCTCTTGTAAGCGGTTCAGTCCTGTCAAGCATACTTCGGCTAATGATGAACAACAGCATGTAAGCCTTAACAATCAACATATCGACTGCGGTCGAGCTAACAAAAGCAGAGCGGCACTCTACCATGACAAGTTCGAGGTCGTCCAGGCGTCGATTCTGGGCTCAATTCTCGTGAATTTGTTGCTCATCCTGGGTATTTCAATTCTTGCTGGAAGCTTCTACAACCATGAGCAAAGGCATGATCAGGATGAAGCACAAGGTCTTGCGTGTCTACTCAGTGTGTCTGTGTTCAGTCTCCTCGTACCAGTAGGTATTCTTCTTCCTTGTGGATTTTCAGATACTAATCTCTTCAGAATGCATTCTATCACTCTTTTGACGACGATGAGAGAGCTGAAGCTGCCACCCTGATCTTGAGCCGTGTCTCCTCACTGATGCTACTGGCTATCTATATCCTTTACATCTTCTTTCAAATTAGAAGATCCGTCTCGACAGTCTCATACGACCCACCTGGTTTCAACTCGAGCAGAAGAACAAGCGGTAGCCATAGTGACAGCCTCCGTGCCTCGTTTCGGGCGCCGCGATCTATTCGTTTTCAAGATGAGGAATCAGTGGACAGCTTCCAGCTTGGTGACAATCCACGGAGAGATGTGCTCGAGCTAGGCTCTCTGGTGGAAGAGGACAGGCTCGAAATGGTCGAAGACGATGACCGCCCACAATACCAGAGCGATGAAGATGAAGAGTCTCAAGGTCTCATGCAGCGAACGAATGCGGAGGACAAGAAGACAGTACCCACACAATCAATCTACCAACATCACACCCAGCATCGGTCACACTCGCGAGAGCCTCGACGACGCAGCCGTAGTCAAGGGGCAGATGCGAGGCGACTTTCTTTTGCCAGCTCCACCTCAAACCTACCTCGATTTCTCCTACGCAACAACCCAACAACGAGTATTGACACGTCGAGCGACTTGGATACCATATCAGAGCCGACGAATGTCGTTGGACGAAAGATCTCGATATTGATACTCATCATATCATCAGCCCTTGTTGCCGTATGTGCAGAGTTTCTTGTCAAGACCCTCGATGATATGGTGTCTTCTGGACCCTTCTCTCAAGCGTTCATCGGCCTGATCATCCTTCCTGTGGCTGGCAATTGCGCTGAGTTGCTCACTGCTACTATTGTTGCTGCAAGAGGCAACTTCGATTTGGCAATCGGTGTTTCTGTTGGCTCGTCGGTTCAGATTTCATTATTTGTGACACCACTTGTTGTCCTCTCCGGCTGGATCATGCAGAAGCAAATGACCATGTATTTTGGCCTATTCGAAATTGTGGCATTGTTCGCCACAACGTTTCTGGTGAATTGTTTAATACTCAGTTCAAGGACGAATGCCCTGGAGGGAAGCATATTATGCGCCTGCTATTTTATCATGGCAGTCGGAGCATTTCTATTTCCCACGTCTGCTGATGCATCCTGACCTGCGGAAAAGTCCCTTTGCATGGCTGCGAGTGGATCATGTACTTCCCTTGCTTCTAACACAAAATTGACATCTAAACACATCTCTAGAAGTTCGTTCATATCCATATCGTCGTCGCCAATAATCTCGATATATCCGTATCCGGGGCTGCCGGTCCGTCCTGGCTCTCTCCGCATGACGTTGAACTGCAGCCAAGATGATATGTGCTTTACCAGATCGACACTAGTTATCAGCGCGATGTCACCTAACCGGGCTTCCTGTCATGGTCTTGTAAAGATACAACTTTCTTATCAGTTCATCGTTCAACCTTCTGGCCGCGGACGATGAAGCTCCAGGTCGAGGATTCCCGGCCAAGCTTGCTTATAACAAGCCGCTACCAGCATTCGAGCGTTGACGCCACGAGGCTTAGCATCATTTGGCACATGGCTACATACCTTAGCTTGGTCACATATCCTTCTCCTCCAAGGGACCAATGGCAAGTTTTCGAGGATAAGTTCTTGCTATCAGTCGACGCTGCTGTACCTGACAGCTTCCACAATCTTCCTGATGCGGGGGTCTGGCTGCCTGGCACTCAGGCGTGCTATGTTGCGACATCTCTTCTTTTCCGCATTTCTGGTGACGTATAGTGGTTGTCTAGTTCAGTATCGCGGTGCAGCGACCAGATAAGCCCATGGGCATCTACAGCACCCATACTTTCCTCGGCAAGAAGAGCTTTTGTGGGTTACACTATTTAGACTCTCCAGAACTCGCTTCTATCGCGCTCATCCGGTTGGATGTGGTTCGGTTCAGGCTACAGCTATCGCATGAATCAGCATACCTGTCCGACGCTACATCATGGCATTGGGTCGCGTCCCCATCGGAAGGCATTACACGGGTGTTCGCTAGATCACATAAGTAGCTTGAGGTCTGCATCTTACTCCAACGCCAGCTCTTCTTCTCGAAGCTAGTCATCCACTCTCGAGGAGCCATGAAGCCTCAATATTTGAATCATCTCCTACTGCTCTGCGGCTGCCTTCTCGTCCTAGGTTCAGCACGTCGTGATGTTGCACATCGAAGAGGCTTTACGCCTCAGGGAATGGCAGAGATGAGGGCTCGTGCTTTACTCGGACGGGACACTACCGCGACCAATGATCCATTATACTATACTAACAAGACCAAAAGTGAGATTCAAATGAGCTACCCTTTTCAAGTACAGGCTGGTTAGTGCTTTCAAAGACGCTGACCTTGGGACAAACCAGAATACTTTGTGGAATCACTCCCTGATGTCCCACAAAGCTTCATGACGGAGCTTTACAGCGGTATCATTCCTCTGAACATGTCTGATGATAGTCGAGGTATGTTCTTTGTTTTCCAGCCTCGGGTGGGATCACCAGTCAAGGAAATCACCATCTGGTTCAATGGAGGACCCGGATGCAGCTCATTAGAAGCCTTCTTGCAAGAGAATGGCCGGATCCAGTGGAGCTGGGGTCAATACTCTCCAACTATCAATCCCTATTCCTGGTAAGTTTCTTTCTTCTGGTTTTAGATCTCCTCTGAAATAGGCGAGACTTTGACCTCGTGGACACAACTGCACAGTGCTGATACAAGAACAGGGTGAATCTGACCAATATGCTTTGGGTCGAGTACCCTATCGGAGTTGGTTTCTCTCCGGGAAAAGCCACCGCCACAAATGAAGAAGAGCCGGCGGAAGAGTTCGTCAAGTTCTTCAAGAACTTCCAGGTAAGACTTGTACTTGTCATGGTGGTAAGATTCGAAACTGGGGCCTGGCAAACTTACAACTACACCAGACGATCTTTAACATCAGCAACTACTCGATCTATGTCACTGGAGAATCATATGCTGGAAGATATGTACCGTATGTCGCAAATGCAATGCTTGACCAGAACGACACGACCCATTTCAATGTCTCGGGTAAGTTAACAACACCCCTAGCGAGCTGTTCGAGGTGGTCCTGACACGATATTCACTCCTGCTAGGTGCACTTGTTTATGATCCTTGCATCGGCTCTTGGCCAACGGCAAATGCTTTGTCCGTATACCCATGGATCAAAAAGAACAACAACATGATGGGTTTCAACGATTCGTACGTTTCGATGCTCGCCGACATGGACAAGAAATGTGGTTATGCACAATATCGCGAAGATTATATGCATTTCCCGCCCAACGGCACACAACCGGTGACGTATCTCAACACCACCGCCGATCCGGACTGCGACCTGTGGGATAATGTCTACGACACGGCATACTCTGTCAACCCGTGCTTTAACGTGTACTCACCAAACCTTGCCTGTCCGATCCTTAGTGACCCACTTGGTTTTCCCTCTGACTTGATCTATTCATATCCGGGATTGCCGCCTTATTTCAACCGCACCGACGTCAAGAAGGCAATGCACGCGCCCGCCAACGCCGATTGGGAACTCTGCACGGGACCCGTATTTGTTGCCGAAGATAGTGGTCCTGAAGACGAGAACGATCTGAGTGCAGATCCGATTCAAAAGGTCCTTCCTCGAGTTATTGAGGCGACAAATCGTGTGCTGGTGTAAGTTTTGGTTTCCCCCTTTTTGGCCCCTTTTCCCCCATTTCCTCTTCTTTTTTTCTGTTTCTCATCCCGTTCCCACGTCCAATGTTTTACCTTGATCGTTCCAAAATCTAATATTTGAGATGACTGACGCGTACCGGTTTCACACTATCAGGTCAAACGGTGATCTCGACCTCGAAGTCTTAACCAATGGCACACTCCTGGCGATCCAGAACATGACGTGGAACGGCAAACTCGGGTTTCAGACCGAACCTTCCAAGACCATCACGATCAACATTCCGGATATCCAGTACCAAGAGGTCTTTGTGTCTAGTGGATTCGAGGGTCTAGATGGACCTTCTCAAGGGATCATGGGTATTCAACACTTTGAACGAGGACTCATGTGGGCACAGACCTATCTCAGTGGGCACATGCAACCTCAGTTCCAACCACGGAGTTCATATCGTCATTTACAGTGGTTGTTGGGAAGGATTGATGCGCTATGAGGAGGAAGGCCATTCTACCCCAAGTAGCGGATATCACGTCTTTGTGAGAAGTATCGAGCAACGTCATGATACCCTACAAGGGGTATACATATACTACCTATGCAGAGCATAGTGTCCTTACGAGACGTCTACATAGGCGTATTTAAAGAGCGTCTACGCAGGGAAATACATACGACCTGTCCAAAGTAAAGTATCCTTGTATGTACTAGCATCTATGTTACGTGACAAGTAATCCCCGCACCCTTATGCTATGTTATGAAAGAAACAAAAGCAGGCCTGAGTCCATATCTACGGGAATCATCTCCTCTCTGAATCCAATAAGATGGTAGAGTCATATATCTTGTGATTGTTGACTTGTCACCGATTCGTGCTGTATGTCGGCTGTCTCTGGTTCATGTTGGCCATAAGTCGGCGATTGTCAATATACACTCTCCGCACACGTGGACCTCAGTTTCGCTTTCGTTGGGGACACGAGGGGTGCAGTGCGGTGCAATGCGGCGCTCATGGTTTCAAGGCCAAGTTGTTTTGTGTCTCGGAGAGGCTTCATGATCTACTCCATCGTGCCGAGGTCTTGGGCGACGGTGAAAGTGGCCGCGGTCCTCTTCCTGATCTCTTCGACGCTGACGCCTCTGGCCGTCTCGGTGAGGGTCAGGCCCCGACCGCCTTTCCGGTCGACCTGGAAGACCCCCAGTTCGGTGATGATGGTGGACACGACGTTCTTGCCGGTGAGCGGCAGGTCGCAGCGGTCCACGATCTTGCTCCGGCCGTCCTTGTCGGAGTGGTAGGTGCAGACGACGACCTTGGTGCGGTCCGGGTCGCTCACGAGGTCCATGGCGCCGCCCATGCCGTTGAAGGCCTTCCCGGGGATGATGTAGTTGGCCAGGTCGCCGCCGGCGCCGACCTGGAGGGCCCCCAGCAGGGAGACGTCGATGTGGCCGCCGCGGATCATGCCGAAGCTCTCGGCGCTGTCAAAGGTGCTCGCCCCGGGGACGAGGGTGATGGACTCCTTGCCGGCGTTGATCGTGTCGGGGTCGGCCTCGCCCCGGGTGCGCGGGTAGGGGCCCATCCCGATCACGCCGTTCTCCGACTGCAGCCAGACCTTCGTGGAGGCCGGCAAGAAACTGGGGGCGAGCGTGGGGATCCCGACCCCCAGGTTGACGTACATGCCGTCCTTGAACTCGAGGGCGGCTCGGCGGGCGATGCGGTTACGCGCGGCGGCCTCGCCGCCGTCGGGCTCATTGACCCCGGCCGGGTCTGATTCGGACGACGGGGCGAGCACGAGCTTCTCGATGTGTTTGTCGCTCGTGGCGGGGCATATACGGTCGATGTAGATGCTCGGCAGGTCGACCTGGTCGGGGTCCAGGGACCCGACGGGGACGATATTTTCGGCCTCCACGATGGCCAGGCGGGCGGCCTTGGGCATGAGCACCCCGTAGGTCTTTGTGGTGCTCCGGAAGACGCAGTTCCCGGCCTCGTCGACCTTCCAGGCCCGGACGATGGCCACGTCCCCCCCGAGGGCCGTCTCCATGAGGTACCTCCGGCCGCCGAAGATTCGAGTCTCGCGGGGTCGGCCGGGCTCCAGGACGGCGTGCTTGCCGGTGGCGGGGTCCCTGGGTCCGACCCGGATGGGGATCTCCCCGGTCTCGATGAGGGTGCTGGTCCCCGTGCCGGTGAAGAAGGCGGGGATGCCGGCCCCCGCGGCCCGGAGGCGTTCGGCGATGGTCCCCTGCGGGCAGAGTTCGATGGCCACCCGGCCGTCGTGGTACTGTTGACCCAGGGATCTGTTGTTGCCGATGAACGACACGATCATCCGGGAGATTTGCCCGGTGGACGTGAGTTTGGCCAGACCGTACTCTCCCGCCCCGGCGTTGTTGGAAACCACGGTCAAGTCGCGTATACCCTTTTTGCGGATGGCGTCGATCAAGGTTTCTGAAGGCGGAAAAGAGAGAGACGGAATAAGACGTCAGCAAAACAAAAAAAAAGAATGATCAAAGGGGGAGGGGGCTTAAGTGACTGCAAATCTTCCAAGTACAGTTATTTCTCAAAACTCACCTGCGACACCACTCAATCCAAACCCTGCACTTAGAATGGTTGTACCATCTTTGATATCGGCCACAGCGTCGTCGGCACTTTTGAATACTTTGGATGTATGTTTCGGACTCGGTTGTCGTGTGTCATTAGTTTGAGACGGCTGCTGCTGTTGCCGTCCGAGATATTGTCTGGTATTGAATGACCGACGGTGACGACTTGACGTGTTTTTTGGGTATATCTGTATATTCCATGGCGTAGTAGTAGTAACTTTGAGAGTGTTTGTTGATTTGGCTAATCTCGCAAATGTCCTAGGAGCGTAGAACTCCGGTACGACAGACATTGTCGATATACGACGGAGCAAGAGTCTGCCGGGGGTTGTCGATGTTGTTGTTGTTGCAGCCACAAAGATAGATCAGGAACAAGGTCTTAACAGATATACAAGTAGTATGTATGTAGTTGCCCACAAACCATCCCATGGAGTATGTCACTTATACCTCGGACACGGGGGGGGGCCAGAGGAGGGTTGTTGGTGGGGTTCATCGGCTATTCTCCGTGTTGCAGAGTTACGAACTGGGTCCCAATATTCGGGGATTGAAGTATGACCCGAGTCTATGTACAGTACAAGAGGTACGAAGTATTTGATGTACGAGTAGAGTGGTTGTGTATGTGGAGTACTTGGAATCAACTCAGTGGTACAAGGAACAATATCCCATCGGCCATCAATCATCATCTCTGTATCGACTGGTCGTTGTCTTTGGACTTGTGCTCCGTACACGATGCCTGCCCCTGTTCCTGTGTGAAGTCGATGATGACTAATATGCCAAGACATGCGATGATACCTCATACACTCCATACCGACCCTTTGTATCGTATTAAAACACAACAATGTAACCGACACAGACACAACAAGTTGCTATTTACTACGGTACGTCAATGCCATAAGGCGTCCATTGTTACTCCGATACTACCACCACCGTAAGTCACTACAGGGCGTGTCAATTCTTATGTCTACGAGTATCCGTACATACCACACAATAAGATGGCACGATGATGTCTATATATTTTTCATCACGGAGTATTGCGTTTTATATGGTTCCGCACCTCATTTTGAGAATCACAAGGGATACTCGTAGCTAGGTCGACTTCAGACACTCACCTCTCTCCATACTTCTGGAGGAAAACCACACAAATGGAAACTACCATCACAACTCCAAGGCTCAAATTGACCTTGGTCACATCTGCGGAAAAAGGTGGTCCGGAATTCGAATGTATACATCAATTGAGGAGTGACGAGAAATCAACATGGTGGAGGTAAGAGCATCGAAATTCACAACCTCACAATGCCTTGTGTTTTACGACACAAACCATGAATGCTTTTTCCCCACGGCCGAGTATACTAATTTTCCGGAAGTATTCTACCTCGATCCAAGACTTCAGGAGATACCGAAAAGTTCATACAAGGATTTTTACCTGTCAAATCTACTACTACGGTCGACGACCACACAGACACGGACGACAACGACGACGACGACGACGACGACGACGACGATGAGAAAAGAAAGGCATACCGAATCGCCTACGCCGTCCACGAAATCACTGACGACCGGCAGAAAACAGCGACCCCTGAACCGACAAAAACGTCGTCGTCCTCCTCTTCCTCCTCCTCCTTCATCGGTCTCGTCACCTTGGTCCACGTCGACTCCCGCAACCTCGTCCTACCGGAACACCTCAGCCCCGTCGCTTCCGAAACCGCATTGGTCGTCGAACTGGCTTACTCTTTTCTTCCGGGTGCTTGGGGCAAAGGTTACGCGACCGAATCCGTCAACGCCGTGTTCGCGTCGTGCAGGAAGTCCACGTCTCTGTGGAATCCCCCATTCACAAAAGTCTACGTCCGGGCCATAGTCAATGCGGAGAACCCTCCCAGCTTGAGGGTCATGGACAAGACGGACATGGTGAAACGGGGCGTGTTCGAACTCAACGACCGTCCAGTCTTTCTCGCCGGCAAGATCAGAGAACATCACATTCTCCACATCTATGGCATGTACCTCGTCACAAACTAGACAACATCACAGTCTCACAGATATAACAAGTCCTCTCTAAATCAATGTTTTTTGTGTAACCCTACAGCAATAACAACAACACCATGCTCAACCCAACGCGGTCTGGAACTCTCCACCTGAATATCTATTTATACTCCACCACTCCATAAGCAGAGAATCCCCCCCCCCGGTGATGACAACCTAGAGTCTGACTACTCAAGGTCGAACCTTCAATAGTGAAAATACTGATACAGGGTAAAATCCTTGCGCTGTTCCTTCTCATGCTCGCCGCCTGCCAAAAGGCATATCTACCCAGTCGTGGGATATCTTGCAAGACACAAAACCCACGCTTCTAGAGCCTTCATAAACTCCCATGTACAACCCGTCATCATAAAGCACACTCATGAATTCCCGCCGGGCCAAGGTCATTATACTCAGTCCTAGTGAGAAATCCCTTGCTGTTTCCTTGATCTACGATGAAAACAACCTTGGCCGCGACCTGAGCGCCCAAGAATGCCGCCTCTTCCATGCCACTAACGTGAGGATCCTTCCATTCAGGAAAGTATTCTGGCATCTTGACTGTCTTGACAGACGTGGGCGATTGGCTGAAGCCGCGATGATGATAACCCATACCTTGATCCTGGCCAGGTGGTAATTGTCCTGGAATCTGGAGATGTTGATTCGGCTGCATCATGTTCTTGGTCGCTGCAACCAGCAATGGGTTGACACCGCCGCCGGGGTGATGGAGTTGCTGGCCAACTTGTCCCGGTATTGGTGTATTAGTACCTGGGGTGGCTACCGGTGTGGTGAAATTTGATGGTAGTTCCGAAGTGAATATGGTGGCAGTAGAAGGAGATAGGACGTAACGTGAATTGAGTATCGAGACCAGACTGGATGTGAAACCTGGAGAAGTCAGTGAAGATCAAGAGACGAAATGGGAACGACCAACCTCTGACACGGCTACCATTTCCAACCACAATCACATTGTCCCACAGTGCCGATCTCATAGCAATATCAGGTACACTCAGAACGGCGTGGTGAATTGCCTCTGCGATCGTGTCAATCAAACCTTCTGCATATCCAGCAAGAGGCGTTGCAGCCATGAATCTTTCAATTCCAACCTCGACTTCACGCTTCTTCCGCCGACTAACGGGTTCGACATTGTCGGAATCATCGCGTGGTAGGTACTCGATATAGGTGAATGTTGCACGTTCCCTCTCAGAATTTCTCAGGCGCATTTGTTTTGGTGCTTCTGCAGCGGCCCCTTTCTTCGCTGCGGCCGCTTTTTCGGCTCTCTCCTTCTCACGCTTTGCCAGAAGCTCCGCGGCATTATCACGGGCCACAATCGCGGCCACGTCAAGCACACCTTCATTATCATCGTCCTCGCCATTACCTCCCTCTTCACCCACTACGGTGCCTGTTCCGGGACCACGGGGCGCCTGGCCAGGTCTTAACCCGTCCTCATCCTTGGCATTCGATCCGGAGTCTAATGCACCCGTGGAAGCTGCAGCTGCTGGGTTAGGAGCTGGGGCACTTGGCGACGCGGTCGGGTAGGCTACTCCTGCAGGAAGGATCTCGCATATGGGGTTCTTCTTTAGCTGCTCCGCCATGTCTTCTGTGAAGCCCTTTTTCTCTAGCACTTGCTGTAACCTTTTAGTCATAGTCTGTCCACCGCAACCACGCAGGCCTGCTCCCCGGCCAATGTCGTTGACCTGGAATTCCGTCACGGCAGTTACGTCGCACTTTTCGTAGCCAATGTCAACGACAAGTCCGGTTGGGATACCATAGGCATAGGTTCCGGTAAGAGCAGCGTCCATGAGGCAAAAGGCAGGGATTTTCCAGTTCTCAAAAACAAACTGAGTGATCATCTCATTATCCCTTGCGGACCAGCAAGGTTGTGAGACGAATAAAACGGGGCTGTGGAAAGGAGGAGACACCATATTGTAGATATGCGAGAGGAGTGCGAAGAAGCAAGGCCAATTCTCAATGCGACCCTCGACGATGGGATAGACGGCACCTTCCGTAGCATAGGGGTCGTCTTCATGCTCAATCGTCTCTTCCTCCACCTCTTCTGCTGCCTCTTTCATATCCGTATCTGGTTCGGACGCTGCAGCTTCTATTGCTTCTTGTGCGGAAGGGGTTTCTTGTTTGGGTTCTTCTTGGGATGGTGCTTCAGCCATGTCAGTGTCTGGCTTTGGAGCTTCGGGTAATGAATCTTTCGCTTCCGCTGGCGCCTCTACCATTTCCACATCGGCTGAAGGGACGGCTTCAGAAGGCTGTTCGGGTTTTGGTGGTTCGGCTTCGACAGGAGGAACAGCGTCGCTTTGACCGTCTTGAGATTCAGCCTTCTCCGTAACTGTTTGACCAGAGGTCTCATCGCTCTTAGTTTGCGGTTGATCGACCTCTACTGAAGATGCGACAGGCTGCTCAGTCGTAGGTAGTAGGTCTTGCGTCTGCTCAGCTGCAGGTCGCTGAACTTTCGTCTCCCCATTCTGGGTAGATTGTGGTTGTTGCGGGGCCTCCTTCCTCTTGGTTGTGAGTTTTGATCGAATTTTGGTGGGTTCCCATTCTCCAGGATTTGCGCCTGGAAACATACGACTGGGAAATCGGTAGCGGGGAGGAGTGAACGACTCGGGCAGACCTAGTTGCGCCGAGGTGATATACGAGCCCGGAGCAATGATCTGTGTTCAAAATCAGCCAAGTGCAGGCGCAAGCGCACAGAAAGTACCTACGAGCACATGCTCATCTTTAAATGGAGGCATCACTGCGGCGTCGTCAGCGGTTCACCTCGCTCGATGTCGACGAGACGATGCCCTCATCAGTCGCGCTTTGCACTTGGGACTTTCACTCCTACCGCGACTTCTCCAAACGCGGGCAATGCCAAGAGAAAAGAGATGATCACGTGTACTTAGCGAAAAATCATCACTACGCTCGGTCCATCAACATATGCAGTTGCCTGGTGGCGAAAAACACATTTATCAATTTGCACGGAGTACGAACGAGAGTCAATGTTAAACTCGCATAATGCACCGATGATGAAGATTATTTCGTTACAGTATTTAAAATTTGCTTTTGATTTCTCATGTATCTAGAAAAGGGCCAATTTAATGAACCTCTTGAGTAGGCACCCAACCATCATTTCTCGTAGTAATAGTACAATCCGGACTAGCGGTCACTCGCCATAATTGTGAATTCCTGGCTACTGCCCGGTAGTCAACGCCAGACATAATCTTCGATTCTGTAAGGCCGTCATTCTCATTCTCGTTCGCCCAGACCTGTCGTCGTATCTTGCGATGTTCTTTCTCCAACCTCACGATGGTCCACTTGATTGTCATCAGACTCGACCATGTCCACCGACGGTCAGGGTCTTCGGCGAAACCATCTTCGCTAACCACTTGCTGCAAAGCCCTGTCTGTCGCTGCCAGTAATAGGCGCGCCATGTGTGGGCTGCATGCGAGTAGTCGGCTCAGAAGCTTCATGCGGAAAACCGCTGGTCTGGTCGGTGTCGAAGGCATCGAAATCAAACAATGAATCAGTGGGAAATTGTTCAGGATGGAAGAGAAATCCTGTTCCGTCGAGGTCATTGACAATTTCTGTGCCAAAATCTGGAATAGATTGTAGATTGGCAAGAGCGTTGTCGTTGAGAAGGTTTGAAATATCGTCAAGGTCTGGAAGACTTGAAGGAGGTAACTCAGGCCAAAGTTGTTGGTTTGACTGCATGGGAACGCCGGCAGCTTGAAAGCCCAGGTCTCCGGTTGACACTGCAGGTCACACAATACCACAGCAGGATATTGTGTCATACCGGAGACAGCTGGGAAGCTTTGGTACGTCGCCATCGAATCAGATTGATCGGCTTCGGCGTGTGCGTTTATTATGTTGAGTTGAGGGGCGAGGACAGGGGATTCGTGTTTAACTGGTGTGAGGGTGTCGGATTCAACTAGGGTGGGATGTTGCTGCACTTCACACTCATATGCTGGTGTTTCTGGGGTGGAGGATTTCAGATCGAGTGGTGTAGGCGAGGACAGGTGGTTCGAAACAGATGAATCACAGTCAGATGGCATCGGTGTTGGGAAGTCTGCCTGGACGCCGAACCTGGACTGATAATGTGCTAGGAGTTCTCGAAGACTGGCGTTCTCTTGCTCGATGCGATGTTGTCTAGCCTCAAGCTCGGCAACAGCAGCTTTCTGGCGTTGCCGAGACTTGTCGGCAGCTCTTCGATTTCGGAGAATGCGTTCATTCTTTCTCTGTTCCTTTTCCTCTGCCGTCTTCGCTCGCTTTCGCGGCGGGAGTATCTGTTTGATTTCAGGCACTGGCTGACCCCACGCCTTCCGCTTCTTTTTGGTAGGTTGATCGGAGGGGGGTTGACTTGACTCCTTGCAGTCTTCTGCGGTGGTAGCAGGCGAGGGATAAGACTCGCTGTAACCGGAGACGTCAAACATCGAAGGGTCGACGTTATCCATTGCACTCATTTTGGCGGTAGTGTGAGACGATCAGGCAAGGCCAATGGAGAATAGTTGCCAGCGTGTAGAGTCGGATAAAGACTGTCGTTTATGTGGACGGCCAAAGAGACCAGGTGTCCTCAGTGTTTGGGCTTCATGTTAGGCAGCAGCATAAGCTGGTAGAGTAAAGTGGAGGATGATCACAATATGGTCTGAGATTAGGGTCAAAGAAAATTGGCGATGTTTGTGAAGTGAAGGAGAGTGATGGTGGTTGTTGGGCGGTGGGCAGGCAGAATATAAGGACAGCGTGTCAAGAAGGGGGCAACAGGGCACAGAGGCTAAAGAGGCCAAAACGGCGAGCCACCTCCTGAATGTCTGACTTGCTGACCCGCATCTTTCTATTTGTGTTGGCCACTCAGCGCAGGCGGTTGCGCCATCAGTCCTCAGCCATCTCATGTCGACACATGCCATCCCTTGCTTTGCCCTTCGATCTCCTTCGCTTCAGGTTCCTCCACATCCACAACTAAGCCTCGGAGTCGTCAGCCGCGACTCGCTTCCTCCTCTCCCTTGTCCCACTTTGTCGTCTCGATCACGATTCTGCGATTCCTGCGTGTATCAGGAGATGGTTCACCCGTACTCTGTACTACCGCCAGACTGTCAGTAACGCAGGGGATATCTCCACAGCTTCGATAGAATCCCTTCAAGCACCCGTCACTCGGCTTTCCTAGCTGTTTTACTCATCGGGTATAGAGCCACCGATCGCATGAGGACAAGGAGAAGGGAGTTGTGTGCACACAATTCTTATTAGGCCAGACATGATGCTGACTGCAGCCCACTTCACGGCCTCCGATAGAATCTTCGGACTGTCTCGTGCCAATGGCGAAAGTCCCACCTAGACAGGTCAAAGACAACGCCAGTTCAGGTTTTGATTTGGGTCTAAGCTGCCTTTTCCCACGGAGTACATACATCTCATGCAGAAAGGGGTATCTTTGCTGTACTCGAAACAACTTTTTCCGCCCGCCGTGCCTGTTTTCTTACTCATCCAAATACAGCCAGCCATCAATGCACTAATCCGCAATCCTTGTACGCCCAGGGTCAAACACACGAACCCAGTGGAAAATACCAAGGTGCAATCCAGGCTTGGTCACCACTACACCTTAGTTATGTTGTACATTGACTGCTACTGCAATTTAAGACCTTCTTCTTCATCCAGTCCGCATCATGATATGACTTTTCCTGGTAGACCTCGTCCACTAGATCGTTGACCATGTCTTCAACGATCTGTTCTTGATAACGCTTGCCGATGGGTCGAGCATCCGGATGCTGGGGTCCGTCTTGTCCATAACCGTACCACCAGGGTCCGTCAAATTTGCACTCGATTGCGCCACCAGTATAGTGACTAATTGCCGGGTAATAGCCAAGTAAACCATCATCAACGTCGCCCTGGCCTGTGACAGCTCGACTGCCCTTCTCGATAGATGAAGCTGGAGGAAGAAATGCAAAGAGATGTTCCCACACCACTCCATGGTATTTCCCGTTGACCCAGAGCTCAATTTTGCTTCCGGGAAGAGTTCGTAGGTGTGGAAGTTCGGTGTTTGGATGAGGATCGGTTAGGTGGTCGTATTTCTTACCGGTCTCAGGGTTGACGGATTTGTTTTTTGAGTTCAACGTTGGTCGGCTTAGGTCATGGTTTGGTGTGTATTCAGGACATTCAAAATATGTCATGCCTTTGTGTAGGAAAGGGTTTCGGTCGCGGATGATGTCGTGATCTGAGGGGACTGTGAGTCCATGCAAGGGTTGTAATGTAGCCCGTATAGAGCTCCGTGAGGCAGATTTCCTGCTCGATTCATCTTTGCTCTTAATCGATTCACCATCTTTAGGCTTCGGCCCGCTCTTAGCAGATTTCTTGCCCGGACCTGATTTCTTCTTAGTGTTGGCAGGACCGCACTTCAGGTGAGGGTATTCGGCAGGGTTGTATGTTCCTTCGACCACCTTCTTGTGTACTTCCAGAGAGGGCAGTGTAATCATAAGACCAACCACATCTCCGGGAGAAAGGTCCTCTGGATCCTTCCCACCTTCGCCCTGCATGTGGTACATTAGCGTATTGAACCGCACACTGCCGTATTCTCTGGCTCGACCACTTCGTAGAACCACCCCGTAGCTGTATGCATTGCCACCAAGATTCTCGCTCCAATGATGTTCTCGCCGACAAAAGCCAACGCGTAGGCCTCCTCGATTCGTGGCTGTTCTATCCGAGTTCTGACTATCGGCCAGGGCGCGATCTGGTTCCTCTCTGCCTGGAGGGGCGATACTCAAGACCTTTGCTTCAAAGAAGAATTTCCCTTCTCTTGCAAACACGTTTGCTCTTGTTGTATAACTCCCAAACTCCCCGCTTTTGCCTAGCATGTCCTTGGTGAACACGTTCTTGAGGCTTTCGACACCGCACTGCGGGTGGTTCTCGTCACTGAGCCGGGCATATCGTGGAGGAGCATCGTCGGTGTGGAAATAGAAGGTATCTGGATCCCTTTTCGCACGTACGTAGAATCGCTTTTCCTTACTCTCGACGCTACCAGAATTAGCAAGGCCCGTTGCGCCAGGCTAGAATGAGACACTTACTGGGTGCCTAGTGAGTAGAAATCGATCCTTTCGCCGTCAGCGCCCCTTTTAGTGTGGTCGTATATCTTGGGGACCTCCTTCTGGTCTTGGAAAAACTTTGGGTCATTAGGCGCAATGTAGGTAGGAAGGACGACGGACTTGTCGTCGTCTTCAACTCTGTCGATCTTGCTTGTTACTTGTTCTTTCACCTTTTCGCTGGGCTTTTTCTCTCTGTGTCCACGACCAGATGACTCGTCCATCTTGGACACACTTCCAAATATCGAATCCGGTGTTGGTGAGATTCAATCGCGTGCAAACTATACATTGACTTGCGGGCTGTCTGAGAAGCGTCTGGCTAATACTCGGCTAATCTCTGGAATATCGACGCACGTCTGGGATGCAAAACAGTCAGAAACAACTCCAGTGGACACAACAAAAACGTGAGATACATTCTGTTTTACTTCATCAAGCCATCCTTTACTGGTCTATGAGCCTTCTAGATGTTGCATAGGCTGGTCTTAGAACAGGGTGAACCAGAGAAAAACACCTACCGTATTCTACACACTCGCATCCCGCACCAATATTGTATTGGTATTATGAGAACCCCGCGAAACTCCCATTCTTTCGGCCCTGTGCAAATATCTGATGTTTCAGGCAACGATGATTGCCCCCGAAGAATACCACTGGTAAGCTGCGCAACGATGGCATTCCGAGAGAATGGCTTTTAGGCGGCTCATCTCACAAGGCACGAGGCTGACCAATGGCATCGCGACTTTTCCTCAGTGCGCCTTTATTTCCGCTGTGGAATCTTGAGTGCTATCGGAAAGTCCGAAGTTTTGAGAGAGGATGTTTTCCTAAGGCGTGCATAATATTGACAGCGTCTTACAGGATATACCTTCTAGAATTGTATAGGACTAGGATCGATCAAGACGACACGTTGAGGTCGCTTGTGGGTGATATATGTTTGGACGCTCTCTATCAGGACATTGCTCATCGCCGACATCCTTGATCTCGGGGTTTTCTCTAACGAGATATATTCACGGGGCACAGAGGCTAGCCATGAATTCAGACGAGTTCAGAAAGGCAGCGCACGCTGCCATAGAAGAGAGTAAGAGGGTCATTGACATCTCTACAAGCCCAAGTTACTGATTCTTTCAGTCATTGCATACAACGAAAATGTGGCGGATTATCCGGTTCTACCTACGATCAAACCAGGGTTTCTGGCACCCCAATTGCCCAGATCGGCACCGGAGAAGCCTCAAGCATGGTCAGATATCCAGCCTGATATTGCATCAAAGATTGTCCCCGGTCTTACGCATTGGCAATCGCCAAAGTTCATGGCATTCTTCCCAGCGGGTGTCACGTACCCATCTATGCTGGGGGAAATGTACTCGGCCGCATTCACAGCACCAGCATTCAATTGGTTGTGTAGCCCTTCATGTACAGAACTCGAGACAGTTGTCATGGATTGGCTGGCCCAAGCCTTTGACTTGCCTGAAGAATTCCTAAGCACCTCACCAAACGCTGGTGGCGGCACAATTCAGGGCTCAGCATCAGAGGCAGTGGTGACCTGCATGGTCGCCGCCAGAGAGCGTTACTTACACGGCAAATGTGATGCCGAAGGCCTGAAACCGGACTCAGAGGAGCGAGCGGATAGAATCGCATACCTCCGAGGACGACTAATAGCTCTCTCCACAGATCAGACACACTCGTCGACACAGAAGGGTGCACTGATTGCCGGGACAAGATACCGCGCGATTCCGACGAAACTTGAAAATGGCCTCTCGTTGACTGGCCAAGGCTTGGAAGCTGCTTTGGAACAATGCAAGAAGGAAGGCCTCGAACCATATTATATTACGCTGACGATGGGTACGACTTCGACATGCGCAACAGACGACTTTGAGAGCCTAGCGCCAGTGTTAAAGTCCAAACCTGATCTCTGGGTTCACATCGATGCTGCATACGCTGGTGCCGCCTTAATATGCCCAGAATTTTCATCTAAATACTCGCCGTGGATGAAGATCGCGGACTCTTACAACATGAATATGCACAAGTGGTTGCTAGTCAATTTCGATGCTTCATGTCTCTTTGTACAGAACCGGAATCATCTTACCCGCGCCCTTTCAATCGAGGCGGCGTACTATGTCAACAAGCATACGGACAGTGGCCTAGTCACAGATTACCGGGATTGGCAGATCCCACTGGGTCGACGCTTTCGAGCGCTGAAGATCTGGTTTGTCATGCGCACTTACGGCCTTGAAGGCATGAGAGCCCATATCAGGAAGACCGTAGCCATTGGCGAAGTGTTTGCCGGCCTCATCCGTGGACGTTCAGACCTTTTCGAGATTGTCGCCAAACCAGCATTTGGCCTGACCTGTTTCAGAGTTAAGCCTTCTCTGCTCTCGCCACAGGGCTCAACCGAAACGGATTCCACTTTCAACCCTCGGATATCAGCTGAGCAACAGCGAGAACAAGATGCTAATGCTGTGACCAAGCACATCGGCGAACTCATCAACGAGCGTGGAGAGGTTTTCCTGACTTGCAGTAGTACTGCAGGAAAAGCATTCATGCGCGTTGTCAGTGGAAATCCGAATGCTGAAGAGAAGTATGTCAGGGCGGCATTTGATACTATTGTCGAGACAACGGAAGAGGTGCTTGCTGCTCGGGGTAAAAAAGCAAATGGCCACATATAAATACGTGGTTTGGGAATATGCTAGACATTGGGTTGAAATATAAGAGTTCATAGGAAGGGACCGTAGATTTAGAAGAGAACGATCATACTTAATGCTTCCCTGTTTAAACATCCAGATACATGTTCATGGATGCAGTGATAGTAGTAATTATTCCTCTGTTCTCATGTCCTCTCTGAAATCGGCCTGATCCCCGCAAAATACGCGTTTCATTTCAGACGCGTAAAGTATGTTGAATTTCCTGCAATCAACAGAATCAAGAAAGTCTCTACAATGGTGAAAGCCTTCGTGCATAGCTACAATGGCAGATCTTGGTGATTCATCTGGCTATGATGATTCTAATCGAGCCTTTCTACAAGCCTTCCTTGCTCGCAGTGTCCTAACGCTAGCAACTGCCCAACCCATCCTTTCAGCCCTCCTCACGTACCGCGATGGCCGCGAAGTTCAGCCTCAAGATGTCACGATCGAAGATCTGAATGCCTACATTGCAGACTCGAACCAACGACTGTCCCCGCTTGACCTAGAAATCCGAAGTACATTCCACCAAAAGACTCGGGAGCGTATCTACGCTCTGGTCAACACCACCAGTGACCCACTGACGCAACTAGCCACGACATATTCAGCGGACGAGATAGTATATCTGAAAAAGCTGCTCGATGCCATGTTTGACGGCCCCAACAATCGAGGGAAGAAGGAGGCCATGTGTCTGAGTGGTATCGACGCCATACAGGTTGGACGGACCCAGGGCAACAGGAGGACGACACAGGACGGAGATGGGAATGCGACACAGGCAAATGCAAGTACATTGGGCGCAAAGGACGCCGAGACCATGCTCGCCAAACTCGTCGAGGAAGGCTGGCTGGAAAAGAGCAGGAGTGGCTTCTACAGCTTAAGTCCGCGAGCGTTGATGGAGCTGAAAGGCTGGCTTGTCGATACATACAACGACGAAGACGAGGATGGCGAGACGAACAACAAGATTAAATTCTGCCATGCTTGCAAGGAAATCATTACCGTCGTACGTTACTGTTCGTTGGGCGTCTAATATGAAGAGCTAGAGCTAATGCTTGCCGCATCCAGGGTCAGCGATGTCCACGACGTGAATGCAGATGCCGGTTACACGACATTTGCACACAGAATTTCTTCCGGATGCAGCGATCGCAGACCTGTCCGATTTGCAAGACGGAATGGGATGGACGACATTATGTTGGGGAGAAAGCGATCACGACGTCGGAGAGTTATCAGATGAGCAGGCGAAGAAGCGGGCACAGAAAATCAGCTGAGGCGCAGAGACAGAGAGATGCCGACGAAGACGAGCAGGGAAATGAAGACACTTGACATCTTTTTGGGACCGTCGCTCTTTTACTATGTCGCTCGAGGAAATCTTCCCTGCGCCTGCACCTGCGCGAAAGATCGTGAGCACTTCTACTCCCATCACCACGTCGGCAGATTGCAATGATCAACGCCAGGTTAGGGTTTCGACTCTAGATTTTTTAACTCGAGAGTGATATACTGACAAAACAGCAAGTATTGACTGTCTTGCGTCGATGCTGAGATGCGCTTCATTATCCAAGATTCTGCAAGTATACATGCATTCGGAGCAAGCATCGCAAATAACGACTGCTTGCGAGACGGAGTGTGTGGTTGCTCTCGGATACCGCCCGAAATAATGACTTTTCCAGGCAGGTCGAACCCTTCTGGACATGATTGTCAGGTCTGTCCAAGCTCATGCATCAGCCGAGATCTGGCACGTTGCAACGGTGGAAAATCCCTCCGGACCATGCGACTCGACTATTCCAGAAGGGAGACGAATTGACAACCGGCTAAATGCCCGAAGCGAGAATACTTGTATGAATAGGCCAAGTGTAGGGCGGAGACTGCATGACATTTGTGGCGTTGTGCCTTGGGGTGTGATGTGAAAAAAGCCTGCCATAGCTCGTCCATAGCGCCGAGTAGAGCCTGGATCAGCCCAAGCTATGCTGCCCGTGCTGTCCGTGTTGTGGGCTGTTTCTGGCATGGTGGGCCATACCTGGTAATGAATGATTGATCATTGATCTTCCTCCGCAGCCACATCCGCCTTTTTTTCACTCTCTCCGCATCTGGCACCCAATGACGTCGACTTCAAACTGCGCCAGATTCATGCGAACCACCAGGTTCAGGCATGAAGGATGCATGCCGTCCATGATGCTGGATCCCTTCCCAGGTTGGGAAAGGTAATGGCAAGCTTCTCAATGTAACTCACCACTTTTCCATCGAATCTCTAGCGGCTCTGCCGTACCTTTCATCATCCTCTCATCGGTGTGTACATAGTCTCGCAGCAGTAGCCTCATTTGATTCGCATCTTCTTTTTCTCTCTTGGTTGCTATACATGATCTTAGTAGAAGAGCTTCACTGATTACCTGGCTCACACACGCTTAAACTCCTGACCATTTGCTCGGGCAAAAGCTTTGGTTAGCTGGCCCATACCAGAACTGTTCTTCCTCCATGACAGAAGTGGTTGGCTCAAGAGGAGTATAATTCAAGGCAAGACACTCAATTTATTCAACTAGCCACAGCTAACTGTATACCCTAGATAAACATGATGCTTGAAGGGTTGTCAAAAGTTCTCCTGGTCGTGGGATTGTTGTGTTCGATCGCCTCAGCTCAATCGGGCAACGCATCAACAACCTACAAGACTCGTTTCGACGGAGTCACTTGGGACGCAGCGAACTGGATACTCACCACTACCGAGCTCGATCAAGGTCACTACCAGTCTCGAGCAACAGTCGCAAACGGCTATCATGGCATCAATGTAGCTGCGTTGGGCCCCTTCTTCGAAGTCGATACACCAGTCGCTGGTGACGATATCAATGGCTGGCCACTTTTCGGTCGAAGACAGACGTTCGCTACCGTTGGTGGTTTTTGGGACTCTGAGCCAAAGCTCAATGGCACCAACTTCCCTTGGCTGGATCAGTATGGCTGGGACACTGCAATCAGTGGCATTCCACACTGGGGTGGCCTTGTAGTCGACCTTGGTGGGAGCAATTTCCTCGCCGCCTCGACGAACAAATCCACCATTAGCGATTTCAAGTCAAGTTTGGACATGAAGAATGGATTGATGAACTGGGCGTTTACCTGGACCCCTGGTGGTGGTCATGGCTCTTTCAACGTCTCGTATCAGATGTTCGCACACAGACTGTATGTCAATCAGGGCTTTGTCACACTCAACATTACAGCCTCCAAGGCCACCAACGTGAGCGTTGCCAACGTCCTCAATGGTGATTGTGCAGTACGAACCACCCCGGGCCAAAACGGCGTCGATGCATCAAACCCGGACCTCATATTTTCATCAGTCTCTCCGAACGGCATCAGCAATGTGACGGCCTGGGTGTATGCTGCGGTGTCTCACAGCGGAGCCAACGTCAAATCCAACCAGTCGAGCACTGTAGGCAGGCCATACGTCGGAAACAATGAATCGTCTGTTGCTCGTTCCTACCAGGCCGGTCTGGAGGCTGGAAAGGTGGCAACATTTACAAAGTTTGTCGGTCTCGCGTCGTCTGACGGCTATCTCCAACCTCGAGCTGTTGCCAGAGACGCCGCACTGAAGGCGGCGAGTGCTGGCTACAGCGAGTCATTGCAGAGTCACACCCAAGAGTGGAACACCAATTTCCCTACCACTTCGGTCGACGACTTCTCCTACCCCGAGAACGGAACGCTGCCGGACGACCCGTACATCATTGAAGCTGCCATCGCAGCGGTGGCCAATCCATATCATCTCCTCCAAAACACAATATCCGAGAATGCACTCACTGCGTCCGACAATTCCTCGATCAACAGCCACAGCATCGCCGTGGGCGGACTCGGATCGGACTCGTACGCCGGGCAGATCTTCTGGGATGCCGAAATCTGGATGCAACCTGGTCTGGTGGCAGCGTTCCCGGCATCCGGACAAGGTATAGCCAACTACCGTGTCGAACGGTACCAACAAGCCCTCGCAAACACGAAGACGGCGTACCAGTCGTCACAAAACAACACCAACTTTTCTAGTAATGCAGCCATCTTCCCGTGGACGAGCGGCCGTTTCGGCAACTGCACCGCGACAGGCCCCTGCTTCGACTACGAGTACCACATCAACGGGGACATCGGTCTGGAGTTCACAAACTACTGGGTTTCGTCCGGAGACACCTCCTTCTTCCGCGAGTCTCTCTACCCAATCTTTGACTCGGTCGCCACCCTCTACTCGGAGTTGCTCGTCAAGAACGGCACGCGCTGGGCGCTCAAGAACATGACCGACCCGGACGAATACGCCAACCACGTCGACAACGGTGCCTTCACCAACGCCCTGATAAGCCAGCATCTCAGCTACGCCAACGACTTCCGCGGCATGTTCAACGGAACACCCAACTCGACGTGGGACTCGCAGGCCGACAACGTGATTATCGCACGCGACGCCGAAGCCGACATCACGCTCGAGTACGTCGGCATGAACGGCAGCATCGAGGTGAAGCAGGCCGACGTGATCCTCAACACCTTCCCCTTGGGATTCACGGGCCAGAACTACACGGCACAGGACAGCCTGAGCGACCTGGACTACTACGCCGCGAAAACGTCCATCAGCAGTCCGGCCATGACGTACGCCATCTTCAGCATCATCGCGAACTCGGTGTCGCCGTCGGGCTGCTCGTCGTACACCTACCAACACGCCTCGACATCTCCGTACCTTCGTGGACCTTGGTTCCAGTTCTCCGAACAGCTCGTCGATAGCTTCCAGGACAACGGCGGTACGCACCCGGCGTACCCTTTCCTGACGGGCCACGGTGGGAGCAACCAGGTCGTGCTGTTCGGGTACCTTGGCCTCCGTCTCGTGCCCGACTTTTCTCTCCACGTCGACCCGAGCCTGCCCCCGCAGATCCCCCAGATCAAGTACCGCACGTTCCACTGGCACGGGTGGCCCGTCGGCGCCTTTTCCAACCAAACGCACACCGTGCTTTCTCGAGGGGGCGGCCTCGAGCCCGCCGAGGGCGCGGTCCCGAACGCCACGTACGCGGACTCGCCCATCCCCGTGCTCGTGGGCACCGTCGGCTCGGAACCCCGGGCCCGACTCAGCCTCGCGCCCAACGGCAGCGTGACGATCGAGAACCGACAGATCGGCCTCGTCAAGACGACGCAGGACAACGTCGCGCAGTGCCTCCCCGCCACCTCCCCCGACGAGTACCTGCCGGGCCAGTTCCCCATCGCGGCCGTGGACGGCGCGGCGAGCACCAAGTGGCAGCCCGCCGTGGCGAACAAGACGGCGAGCGTCACCGTTTCGTTGCCGGTCGGCTACCGAGTGCGAGCCGTTCAGTTCGACTGGGCCCAGGCTCCTCCCTGGAACTACACCGTCCTCTTCCACAACGAGACCCTGAAGAGCCCGAGCGCGGTCGGCGCGAGTTCCGCGAACGGCGTGCTAAAGGTCGCCTCCGACGAACGTGTCAGGATCAACAACACCTACAACGCCACGGAGATTTTGGACATTGGTCCACTCGAGAGTAACATCACCACGTTCAACGTGCCGGCCGATCAAACAGTGTACACCAGCAAATACGCCACTTTGCAGATATGGGGAAGTCTGGCCAACGGCACGGCCAACGCCAAGAACATGGGAGGTGAAGGCGCCACGGTCGCCGAGTGGAGTATCATCGTTGACGGTTTGAGCCAAAACCAAAGCGAGTCACACCTGAAGAAGCGGGATCTGGGTGGTAATTTGAAGACGAGAGAAGCAATGAATGCCGACGTGTTGTTGAAGCTGGGTAGGGTGGCTAGGTACATGGAAGGGAGGAAGAGGATGGAGAGGGCAAACGAGATTTGGATTTGAATGATCTACCTACCTACTTATCGCATATCAAGGTGTATATCTTCCCAAGTATATCACGAATGTAATGGACATGTAATGGAACCAAAGTACAGAGTACGAAAGCGATCCCTTTAAAATGTTTTTACTTCCAAACCAAATACCTATTTAGGTATTTAAACATGGTGTGAAATAAAACGAGTGAAAGGGACAAAGATCGAAAGAAGATTGATATATTCACCAATTCAGATCTCTGTCTCTGTGCCTGTGCTTCCCCGAGACAACAAAGTAAAATTTATTTCCCTGAGGTAGACGTTTAAATAGGCAGCAAGGCAGCGATATTTCAAGTGTAAGTGTAAGTGTAAGTGAATGTGTGTGTGATACAGGGGATTCTCTCATTCATACAAAAAGTCTTGTCAGCTCAAGCTTCCAAAGCCATGTTGAACGAAACCCTGGCTCGCATCACACCAAACATCACCTTCGAAACTCTCAAAAACGTCACCTTTGAAACCATCACGGACCTCACCATCGAGTCTCTCATGACCTTCGCAGGCGCCGCAATGGATCGACTCGCCCAATACGCCACGTTTCATCCGTACCTTGCGGGATTTCAAGTCGCCAGCAACCTACTCACCCTTTCGTAGGAGCAGGATTGGGAATCTCCAAACTTCTCTTGAAATTGTTGCGGTTTGGACCAGTAGGGCCGATCGCAGGTACGTGCTCACGCTCCCTTTTGTGTGTATGTGTGTAAAAGATAATGTGCGTTCTGAGGTATGCTTGAGGATCATCTCTAATCCCATCTCTTGTGAGTTCTTCGTAGGAACGATTGCGGCATAGTATCAATCGACTTTCCTTGGAGCTTACATCCCGGCAGGTGGCATCTTCGCTTGGGCTCAACATTTGGGTATGGCTTGAAAAAAGAGGGAACTTTGGGTGAGCTCGGAGCGACCGTCAGATGCCATCAAAACCCCAGGAGAGGCTTCGACAATAAGCAATGTCAGAGGAATCAAAGAGAGGCTCGCTCGGACTGGAAAAATTGTTCATTGACTGTGGTTGTCTTTACACGCCTAAGGAACCAAGTGACTTTTCTACTCGGTGTTGAAGACTTGGTTACACATATTCCATGGGTGCAGCGGAGAGCGGAGATGATGATGATCCCGATTGAATTGAATTTTGGACGCATGGCTGCGTGGTGAGTTCATTTTTCCGACCTTATGTCTGTGTGTATCCGCACCGAATGATGGTCCGTGGAAATGGTCCCGAGGTCCATCCTTGTTAATTGTTGCCATCGTCCTTCACCAACGGTATGCCTTCTAACCCTCCGCTACCTGTATCGAAGCCAATGGCCCAATGGTTTCTGGCAAGGATGAACCAGTTGTGAGATGTCGTAGCGGAGCATTTCGTGGAGATTACCAATACATCGACTGAGCAAAGCTCGGAGTGTGGTAAGTTCGTACATTGCTCGTTCAGGTCGACGAGCTGGGGATGCCAGTATCATATCAGTATCCCGTTGATATGAAGGACAGACCATGACATTTGGCCTTGAGTGTTGATGGTTGCTGATACGCTCTCTAGAAAGAGTTCCAACCTCTCGAATGAATGCCGCCATCTACGGGTCTAGCACATAAAGCTGATTCCTTCTGTAATGGATGAGTATCATAATTCGAGCAATGTCTTTCGTCGGAAAAGTCGTGCTTATCATCATCATCATCATTCGTGGGCATCGCCTTGTCCTTCCATTCTACCTCGTGCTTCGCCCAGTAGAGCTTCTTGCATCTTTCGTAATTCCTCCTCGCCCATCTTGTCGAAGCCACCGAAGTTTCTCATCTTTTCGCCTCTGCCGACTCTCTTCTTTTGGACTTCTTGCCATTCGCCGACGACCCCGCGGCATCCTTCGATGTAGCTGCCGAAACCGAGATCGGTCAAGGCCTGTTCGACATGTTCGACGCTGATGGTCTTTTTCGATTCGCGCTCAGAGATGTCGTTGGATTCCGAGGACAACATTCGTAAGAATTCAAGTGAACATGAAATCAAGAGGTCCCGCGCCGGCCGAGTAAAGGTCATTTCACCATCTTTGCCGGCGGCGGAGTTATCATGAGGGAGCTGTGGGAGGATTTCTGAAATGATCTTCTGTACCGTCGCCTTGGGGAGCGACAGATCGTCGTTGCCTGCAGACAGATTAGACTCTTGACCTGGATAGAGCATTGACGAGCGCAATGACTTGTGCGGCGCAAAGATAGAAGGGGGGAAATGCGTACCACCAAATTCCTTATCCGACATGATGACTGTGTGTGAAAGGTGAGTGGTCTTTTCTTCGACTTATGAACGATGTGCTATGAAGTGTCGCTCATGGCGCCAGACTGGGGGGGCACATGTTGGGAATTAAATAGTTTGATGAGCGCTGCCTTGATCGCAGAGAGGGACGAGAGATCTTCCAAAATAGGCCTAGTTCCAGAAGGGCTTGGCACTGTTTTCGTTGGAGATTAAGCGATTCTTTTTTTTTCCGATTCATTCAATCTTCATGTTTGATTCCATCGACCTTTCATCTTCTGACTTGTTCAGATCAAACGGCCGCTGTTGAGTACAATCAAAGTGACAATCGCCATCATGATGGGCTTTCACTATGCGGTGGCATAGCTAGTTGCCTATATGAGCCTTGTGACCTTGGTGCTTGGTGGAGGTCCTCGAGACAGACTTCTCTGTACTGAACACCAGCTCAGTCGGTGGTTCACCTTTTCATTCATGTGAGTATCCTCTATCCCCTTCCACCTTTTCTTTTTTCCTCGAAACACCATGATGAACATTCGTGTCGCCCCTATCTTATGATCTCTTTGAGGTCTGTGGTGATTACCTGTCCACTACCAAACTCCGGACTTTCTGATTCAGTCACACCCATCCTCCTTTGTCTTCACTCACACACCTCTGCAAAACCAAAGCTAATGCGCGTGTGTATCAGGATATTTATATTTGGTATGTCGATTGATCACTCTAATCTCCCAATGTCCCTCAACATGATGAGCAAAACATTCAAGTACTATCAAATTCGGATTTATAATGACGAATCAACTGGTTCGATTACCTGAACTCAGCTTCACCTCTTTCATCTCTCATACTGCGAAAAGCAACAAGTCTCTGACTCGGTTTCTTGTATAGATTCCCTTTGTGTCTCCAGCCCTTGTTTCATTTATTGTGTAAGTCTACTCGTGTTGTCAATACCATTCTATGATGAACACATTCACTCTTTCCATGCTAAGTATGAAGGTCATTTGATCTAATGCTTCAAGCTGTGTATTCATTTTTTCATCTTTCGCCTGAGTTCTTATCATTTGACATTTGAGTCCCGTATCTGCATTGAAGTTCCTCTTTGCTGACTGGTTTTAAACAGGTGTCGTCATCTACTTGCATTCTTCATTTGTGTCGTTTGCCCACAGCCATGTCATGTAGCAATACATCACTTTGTTTGAAGGACAGTTTTTCAGTCATGGCCTTTTCCTTCCGTTCCCAAATCAATGTTCAATCTCCCCTGTAGTCTGCCAACTTCGGATCATCCCAGCTTTAGATATCTCGTCAGCGTTTGAAATCGGTAAACAGTGTTTTTTGGACCACGAGTGATATGAACAAACTCACCTCAAGAATTGCCCCGACAAATCCTTTTCCGCTCGGATTGCCAGTTCGGCAATCACTCGCCCGGGTTTCTCGGGCGGCAACAGGATCCCATCCTTTTTTGCGCTCCCGAATTTCTTTTGATCCTTTTCGTCCATGTTTTTGAGAAATTTCTCTCGAATGTCGACTTGCATGGCAGTGTCCACCACTCCGGGACGTATGGACACGGTCGTAACGTCGGGTTCTTCGGTCCGCAGCGTCATGGCGAGATGATTGATGGCCGCCTTTGAAGCACCATAGGCTCCCCACGACGCGTACGCGTTTGTGGCGGCGCCCGATGAAGTAAAGACTATTCTACCCTTTGCCGGTCGTAGTAGAGGCAGCGCTTGTGTGATCTGCGGGGACAATTTAGTACGCCGTGACTGCTTCGTGGTGCTGTTGACATGTGTGACGCCTGCAGGACCGTCGATGGGTCACAGGTTTGCCACGGGGGACGAGGAGGGGGGGGGGAAGAAAGCAGAACCCACCAATTCCACGCAACTGGAAACGTTGATTCGAAACGTGCTCTCCCAGTCTCGTTCCGCCGAGACGTCCTTGATCCTCAAAGACGAACCGAACGTTCCGTGGTTCAAGACGAGTCCGTCCAGACGCCCATCCAGTTCGACCTTGGTCAAAATGGACCTGACGTACTCGAGCTCCGACATGTCCCCCGCGCTCGTCATCACACGGTCGGGATTCTCCCTCGCGAGGTCCTCGAGGACATTTCGTTTGCGTCCCGTCAGGATCAACAAATGCTGCGAGCTCGAGGAGAGCAAGTGTCTCGTTATGGCCAAGCCGATACCGGCCGTCGCTCCCGTCACCAAGATTGTGCGGCTTCTCGGGTTGGCAGACTGTCGTGTCCAGGTTAGTTGTTTTGGGTCCCATAACCACAAAGTACGAGTGGCGAGTACTGTTGAACCCCCTCCCTGAGGGTACTACTCGTGTCATGATTGTTCCAAACAAATGGAGGGGATTTCTTGGGGGAAAGCTCTGCGTGAAAACGTACTCGATGGTTTGACAAAAATTCTCGAGACGGACCGAACTGACTTTTACTTGTAGACATTTTCGAGGTGCTCGAGGTTGGAATTTTATGTTTCTGTTTCACCCTTGCGGACAAGCCGAATCGATGATAAATGGTAGAACTCTTCTTTCAAACGAAGCAGAAGGCTTGGTGTGATATTTTTTTGGTTTATTTATTGATCACCGACCGACGGATTTTGCTTTTTCCGTAATTCAGTAGTGACAACCTTGGATACTAAGGAAGATCGGTGGTTGTGGAGGATATGATATCAACGAGACAGTAGAGTACGATTAACTCCGCAACGAACGGACAATCTTCGGTTATCGAGATATATATATATATTCTCTGACCGTGAGTTTCGCTCTCTCTTCATTGAAGGGTTACCCGTAGACACCCTGTAGAATGATTCAATCTGTCGTTAAAGTGCTCGTCCCACGACTATGTCGTGCAATATCATAAAATGTAATCCTGCATTCCGATTGAAAACTTTACGACTTCTTCTGACTCTCCGCTTGGATCTGTTCCATGACCATGTCCGTGTTCTTTTCCGTCTCTTGCCAAACCTGCTTCACCACATCCGCCCTTTTGGAGCTCCTCACTTGAAAGCTGGCCTCGAACTTTTGCGGTCTCGAATTGAAGCCCTGAGTGAACGCATAAGGGTCGACCTCGATTCTCTGCTTCCTGCCGTTGACCACCCTGTACTTGTGGCCGATGTCAAACGCCCACAGCATCCTCGCGATGTTGATGAAGAGACTGTTCTTCGCAATGTGCTGTCCCGTACAGATCCTCCTTCCAAACCCGAATGGCGCCAAGGGCAGATCGGGATTCTCGATCCATCGATCCGGCTTGAACTCGAGGGGATCATCGTACACGTCCTCGTCGAGGTGGATGGCCCAATGATTCCCAATCACCGTGGCACCCGCCGGGATACGGTAGCCCATGTATTCGTCATCCTGGGTGACGGCATGCGGGATACCTCCGGCAGACACAGGCCGCCAGCGCAAAACCTCCTTGAGGATGGCGTCGACGTACGGTAGCCGCTCCTTGTCCTCGAAAGAGGGCATGAGATCGTCACCGCAAAGTGCATCCACCTCGGCTTGTCCTTTCTCCATCACCTCAGGATATAGCAGCATCGCGAGCGTAAAGACCTCCAAGGCCATGGTTGTCGTGTCACTACCGGCCTCGTATATGATTCCGACATCGTACGCAAGTTCCTTCGGCGACATCAGTCGTCCTTCCTTCATGCCTGCGACAAGTTTCGACCAATTCCAGGACCTCGCTCGCTGGCCTTGCTCCAAGTTGTCCATTTGCAACCTGGCCTCAAACTCGTGTTGACTATCGCCTAATCTCTTCCACGGGGCGAGGAACTTGGGGAGGTGGTTGAGCGCGGGGAGCGCATCGACGATCCAAGTCCCCACTCGTGCCGCGATGAGGAAGTTCTCCATGACCTTGTCGACGGCTATGACCTCGGCCTCGTCACCTCGCACCAGGCGTCGACCATACGCCAGCGCAAAGATTAGACTCGACGAGTACCGGTGGAAGCGGTCCGAGAAGTCTGCGTCAGAGTTGAGGAGTTCAAAGATGAGTTGCTTGCTTTCGAGATCCTGAAGGACGCGATAGCTCTGGGAAACTCGGACGTTGAGGTATGAAGCTTGTAGGCGCTGGTGGTTGCGCCAGCGTTGGCCATACGGCATAAGAAGTGTTCGGAGACCTTTGCTGACGCATTCTCCGCCCATCACACTGCGAGGGCGCGAGCTGTAGATGTTGCTACGTTTGTCGAGGAGATCATGAGCCGTTTCATGGTTACTCAGCATGATGATAGTGTTTAGGCCGTATTGTAGGCTGAAGACTGGGCCGTACTGCCTCCCCCATTCTTGGTACGTGCGCCAGGGATATTCCTGTGGTGCTTGGTGGAGGTTGCCAATCACAGGCAGCCGTGGTGGTCCAGGAGGAAGCCCGAGTTTCTTACGATTTGCCAGTCTGGTTGCCAGCCATGCCAGAGCGAATGCAACTGCCGCGAATGTGAGAACGGTGAGGTTAACCAACATATCGGATGCGTGGCTTGGTAAGAATACTATTGGAAAGGCCTGGGTCCTGTCGGCTTAAGGCTCTTTTGAGTCTCTTATACTCAGGTTTTGGAGGGCGTCCGTTTCGACCTGACGGCTTGCTCCTAAGTTTCAGTGATTCCACTGACCAAGAGATGAATACTGAAGCAGATGTTGCAGGGCTGAACGCAATACACTAGTGCTGCTGCCCGCATCTCCAGATAACGACTGAATTATATGATGCCACAATCAGTCAGAGCCCCACTGGTTCGAGATGCCAGCGTACTGAGAGAATGCTTTGAATTCTTGTGGGACTGACGATCACATTTTTGATGTCAACACTCGGTAAATGGTCTTTGTATCTGGAGAGGCTCTGTAGACTCATGTCCCAGCCGAGGAACGCTTCCCCACAAAACGTCCCCAGGCATTTTACCGGGGCTGAAACCTTGGTAGCACTCCCAACGACTGTTATTGGCAAAATGATCGGCAATCTTGTGGGACGGCTTGTCCACCGAAGGAGAGATATGTCGATTGAAAGCAGCTGACCATACTAGACATGTGTCGCTAATCCCATGGAAAAAGGCGGAAATTCGGCAGCCCAATATTCATTTCACTGTCTTGTGGGAAGTGTACAGCCTCGACGTCCCACAATGAAATATTGCCAGGCAAAACACCATGTATTATGCAATAGGGGATCGATTTTGTCAACCAATATCATCTTAGAACACGCATTCCCGCCATTCCCTCGCCTCTAGCCCGGGCATCAATTGGGTTAGAATAAGCGACTGTAACGTTCGCGAGGTGCTTTGGTCGGGGGTCTCCACCACCAGCGGCCTCATCGCTATCGGCTAGAGCGTCGAACGCCTTGTCCCTAGTCACGCGCAGGATTGTAGAGAAGCTGTTGGTGTAGGAGAGCCCGTTGACAAATATCGCATTCATGCCAACTCCGAGGCAGGTTGCAGATAGACCGATCGCGATGCCATATGATATGAAGAGAGCTCGAGGCGCATAGCTGAATGTGTTCAGCGACTGTCTGAGTATTGCTTGAGTGGCTACATGAGAGCTGTAGTTCTGCTCGAGATACCCACTTGAAGCAAACGTTAGCAAATTGTGAAGTGAAGAGGGGACAAATTGCAGAAATACTCACAATTGCATGTCGCTATACCTGTAGCTCAGCGTGAAATTTTGGAATAGACTCTCTAGTGCGTCCGTAAATTGGTCCCAGGTTGTGATGAAAGCAGGGTCGGAATACATGGTACCTGAGATGGCAGCACCCAGAACTGGATTGACTTGAACAGCACTCCCCGGGGTAAAATTGTTGCCGTTGATCTTGATTGTTGTGGTCCCACTTGCGTAATAGCCAAATGCTTGCATGAAAGCCTGCGCATTGAATCGTTCAGCTGCTTCATCAACGGTGTACTTGGTAGGAAGATACTGCACTGCCTCGATGCCATCGAGGATCTCCTTAGTCGCCGTGATGGCTTGTTGCCCGTTGCTATTGAGTTTAAAATCTGCGACATAGGACGCATTGTGCAAGGTACATTCAGCCACGTTGTAGAGCCAATCGCCGGCCGGTATGGCGGTCATATTGTCCGAGGAGTACATCATTTGAAAAACCTTTGCAGGCCCATTGCTGGGTGCTTCCAAGCCAAGGTTGGGTGTCGAAAAATTATACTGTCCCTTGCCGTCGATGAGGGCCTCGAAGAATGTGGCGTTGATTGTGTCTGGTCCAAAATCGCTTTGGGGCACAAATCCAGCCCAGTAAATCATGTTTCCCGTCTGATTCATATAGTCATACAGTCCATCGCGAATGATAGCGGTGGTAGCACTGTCCGGCTCAGCACATTGAAGAGCAGGGCCGTGGAAGCTGAGACTGTAGGAGAGGTTCTGCGATCCCAGATCCAAAGAGACTGGGAGCACATCGCCTTGCTGGATATTCAGGTTTGCTACTTTGAGAAATGTCGTTGACGTCCCAAAATATATCCAAGACGAACCATCAGCAGTGGTCAACATAGTGAGTTGAGAGTCATTGTTCTGGCGCTGGGGGACCTGTATAGCATCTGTAGTCTCGTGCATCAGAGGCCGCACTGTTAACGTAGAAGGCGTGAAGATGGCAGATAGCGGAATGAGCCTGGAATGACAGTGAGTAATAAAGACAACGAACAAGACCACCGTCGATGAGTCGGGCTCACCATGTCGTAGCAGCCGTGAAGGTCAGTAATGGGTGCCGCACCCAGAACTCCACGTACAGGAATTCCAAAGGATTCGTGAGAATGTCGAACATCGAATCTACCGCACGAATCTTCATAGAACTGGACCTGAGTGAGCGCCACAAGCATTGCGTGAACGATGTGGCTGAAGTGACTGCTAAGGATACTTTGACGATGAAGGCCAGAGCCAGTCCGGATGTTGAGATGATCTGTTGTTCATGCTCGAAGCTGATAATTCGCTTGTTGAAAATGAAGTATAGAATATGATGAAAGATGGCACCAAGAACCCCGATGATGAACGAGACAATCATGATTGTTGGTGCTCTCCACTGCATAAGGCATCTCTTCTTTGGCGCGATGAACTGTTCTTGAGTGTACACGAGCGGTTTGCCCGTCGATAGGCTTGTCCAAGATCCGCCTTCATGGTCACGAACTCCGTAGTACTTGTGAGGAGCCATGCTTCCGCCGTGGTCACCACAATAGATGTGAAGAGTTGGTCTAGCATATGGATGGCCTTCAAAGATATATAGCAGAGGGCGTTCCGCCGCAGATGCCGCGACAGGGCACTTCAGTTTCCCAGGAAACTTATCGATAGGCCTGCATATGTTCTGCGGCTACATCGTCTATAATAGCCCATGGATGTTTACACGAGGTGGCGGCGTCGACGATCGTTCTCCTGAGACAAGTCATGTTTCGGAACAGGCTGGTAAGAGGTCGTATTCATCCTTGTCAACGGGCAAGCCTCATCCCTTTTTACCTCTTCTCGAAGAAGATTGGCCAAATAACTATTTTATTAGGCTGGAATACGAGCTCGTGCGCTAATGTTGCACATCATGCCTAAGGAATCGGACAAGCGAGGCCAGTTGATGCCACGGATGTTGAGGGGGCCAACATGCAAGTTCGGCTCAGCCCTGATTTCAGCGCTTATAATTGAGGTTTGGGTGGTTCGGGGCTCTGCATCGGATATTCAGAGACGGTCAAAGCCAGGCAGGCGGTTCAAAAGGACCGTCCATTACTGTCCAATGAAACATAAATAAGGCCACCCTCATAGCATGAAGTTTGAAGTTTCCAGTTGAAGCGACGGTACGAAGTAAATCAACTGTCGTAGTCGACATACTTTACCGTAACTCGTCTGGCGGAGCGTAAGCAGCATGGATGGCTGATTTCTTTCATTTGCATGTTCTGATCGCGATTTAATAAATGATACTCGCATTATATTTGGATGTCAAGCGATATGCTTGACGTGTCTGATATTTTTGAAGAAGTGCTCATTTGGGACATATATCTCAGCATATCGTGCCGTATTTCGACATACGTCTGCCCTTATCGTGAGGATCATTTCCAACCGCTCCTGCCTGGCTAAAAATTCGAGAGAGGTATCATGTATTTGATAAATTCACATATATCGTCGATGTCTGGATTCCCCAACTACCTTACTTTCTCATCTCATGAAGCTTCTCCTCCCTTCACAGCACACTAGGCATATTTCCGAGGGCAACGAACTTGGATGCTTTCCGAGAACCACGCCTTGCGCAAACCATATCGGGACCCTATGTGGACTTCTCGCTCACACCCAAAGGCCCCGGTTCAGATCGACGAAGCTATATCTGGCATATGTGACATCGGTCAAACTTTTGTCTCCCCATAGGCTAATCGACCATGAAAAAAGCACTTCAGTAAAACCCTCTCGCGGTCCCTCTTCACGCGACCTCGTTGACCGTCACGAGATTGCGCACGACCAGATCGTTCTATACTCTCCACCTTCCATATGCCAAAGCAAGTATCCGGAGCGTTGTATAAGAGCATCTACGTTCACCAAACCCTAAATTTACAGCTCAAAAAGAAGGCCAGCAACGACATGGACGACGCGAGGTCCATCAAGTTCGAGCAAGTCGCCTCACCCTTTGTCATTGGAAAATGCCATGTGATATCGTGGCTTTCGGGTTCTTAAGGGGCGATGAAAGTATTTTTGGGGTTGGTTGACAGCAGCGGAACAGCGGCATTACTTATAGTATTTGGGTTGACAGCAAGGGTCCTGTACCACGATGGGGTTTGCGGATGTCACCGAGTGCTTCGGATCGGTGCAGACCAAGTGGTCAATCGAGGCGAAGCAATGACTTTGTCACTACTTTGTGGATCTCAAGAGCCACGCATGGGAATCCAGATCGACTGCTCAAATCACTTCACTTCTCACCTTTCCACGGCTCCCGTGAAGCCTCGCCTGGCTTGGTGACGCTCACTTTCAAGTTAGGTTATACCGTCATGATTGCTTGTTCACCCTTTTGTAAACACTCTGTTACTCAGAAGTCACTTGCTGGAATTTCCTCCTCAGCAGCAGCATAAGAGCACTGGGGGATCCTAATCAATCGAAGCTGCTCTGTTGAGCTCACATATGGTTCTCGATTTCCACCTTAATTCGATCTGGTTACCATTTGCAACAAAAAGGTAGTTGAACAAAATATGCCTTTTCCGACAAGACCAACAGAATGGCCGCCGTCGAATTATATCAACCCGCCTACCAGAGGTTCGCCCTCATTGTTCATTGTCACTATGATTATGTCGACTATCGTGGTCCTTCTTCGAGTGTATTCCCGGCGGTTTTTGACAAAATGTTTCGGTCTAGATGACGCTTTCCTTGTAGCAGGCTGGGTACATGGATCTCATCCCCCATTCCTTTTTGATTGCAGACTAATGCTTGCAAGTTTTTATCACTCGGGATGACTTTTGCTGAGATCAAAGCCATGACAACCTGGGGTTGGAACAAGCACATATGGGACATCAGACCCGACAAACTGCCCGATCTTAGACTCGCTGCCTGGCTCATCGAGTTTTTCTTCCTTCTCGGCAACGCCTGTACAAAGATTTCGATCCTTCTCTTCTACAGGAGAATCACCTCCGGCCTCCCGGGGTTCTGGTTTTTGTATCTGGCTTGGGCCGCCATTGCGTTCACGGTACTTTATACTCTTGGCTTGCTGATCGAGCTGTTTGTCATTTGCCGGCCCCTAAAGTCCTATTGGGAATCCTACAATCCACTATATACCAATAAATACACTTGCGGTAACGAACACATCCCATTCATATTCAGTGCGGCAGCTTCGGTCACGTCCGACATCTATTCTTCAGTTCTGCCAATGATGCTTGCTCGCACCTTGCACATGACGCGGAAACGGCGCTTCAGCATCTATGCCCTGTTTTCAGCTGGCCTCTTGACGGCGGGGACTGGAATAGCTCGGCTCATAGTCTTCATTCCCGTTACGACAAATTACAAGATTGGACCTCACACCCATGATGTGTCCTGGCTGGGCTGGCCGCTCCTGGTAAGAACTCCCTTGGTTGTTGACATGTGTGGTACAGTTGACTGACTTGTTCCCACCCAGGCCCTCACCGATATCGAAGCACATCTGGCCATTATCATCGCATCCTTGCCCGCACTGAAGGTTTTCTTCAGACGCCGATTATCCGGTCCGCTGAGAAGAATCAGCGGATCCATACGAACGACGCCGCATTCGAGCCGAACATCCTCTGGAGCAACGACACTCCGACCCGGTCATCACGTCATCGAGCATCATGTGCACCAGCAAGTCCCTCCGTTCTGGTTTACCAAGCAACCTGTACGGGATGAGATCACTCTGTGTGATGCCGGTGGTACGATGAGAGAATTTGAAGACGACCAACCTCCGGGTCATGGTAACGACGAACTAACCGGTCGTCGGGGTGCTCCTGCAATCCCGCACTATATTGATGTGGTGGAGGCTGCAGGGATTCAGCGACCTGCCAACGCGCACACCTTTATCGCGGATCGATGATTTCCTTCCACCTCTGGCCGGGACGATCAAGACGGGGAAGGAGGCTACGATGTGTGGGAATTTGTGGCGTTTTTAGATATCAGCTTTTATAATGCAGATAGGTCTAATGCCTAATTCTGGTACTGTTGAAAAAGTCTCCTCGTCTCACTCTTCAAAACTGGGCTGTCATCAGCCGAAGGTCTCCTTTGAGAGAACGATAAAGAGCGTTATAGCCCATGATGAAACTGTCCTGATGAACTCCTGCCATCCTTCTCAAAATCACAGCCGGACAATGTGTACAACGTTGTCGGAAGACGAACCCAGGGCCATATCTAAAGCTGAGAGTCAGGCTGAGGTCAAGGAATCTAAATACCGCGCGCGGATTTCGGCGTTGGCACTTTACGCGTTGAAGACTCCGCAACGCGTCTGTCCATCAACATCATTCCAAACTTGTGATGCGGCCAGGACTGCGAGCTTTCAAAAGTTGGGATTCCCGTCCATTTGAGAGTGTTTTTCGCTTCTATGCTCTTCATGGTCTTCATCGCCCATGTTTGAGGCCTCCGAACCTGTGGCCCGCATCATGGTGTGTCCGAGAGCGGCAACGACGAGGTGCGAAGACAACTACACGGAGGAAGGTCAAGGAACTGCAACAAGGCCCCATACAAGGCGAATCCCTTCCTGAACTACCCAGCGACGATGAACCGCAATATCCAACCCTACTCCAGGGAGTCAAGAACAACATGGCCAGATTCGACAATTGCGTTTTACTTACAAGAGTTGGGAACTTCTATGAAATGTATTTTGAACAGGCAGAAGAATTTGGGCCATTGCTGGGTCTCAAAGTGGCCTACAAGCAGACAAAACTCGGCCCTGTGGCTATGGCAGGGTTCCCGTTCTTTCAGCTGGATCGATTCTTGAAGACACTGGTTCAAGATCTGCACAAATATGTTGCCGTATGCGAGGAGTTTCTCATCAATGTGTCCGGCAAGGTGAGATCAGGGGGCTTGAAGCATGATCGTCACGTCACGCGAGTGGTTACACCAGGTACATTGATCGATGAGAAGTTCCTTGACCCATACGAGAACAATTATCTGCTATCGATTCATCCTGAGCCCGTCTCGTCCTCGGGAGACGATAGTTACGAACAAAAAATCGGGCTCGCTTGGCTGGATCTGTCCACTGGTGACTTTAATACCCAGACTGTGCTCCGAAGTGCACTGCCTTCTGCATTGACTCGGATCTCACCTCACGAGATCATACTCCCGTCTAATGTGCCTCAAGATATACAGGACGAAGTTCAAATAATCGTTGGTCACGACCATAGACTGCTTACTCTCCATCAATCAATGACTGACTTTACATCTATGCATGACTGGAACTCCATGTTGGTAACTGAGATGCGGCAGGGTGCGGACAACATCTTTCAAGAGGTTGAGAAACAGGCCGGCCATGTTTTGCTCGACTATGTTCAACTACGGCTTCAGGGTTTGCAGCTGAGGCTCCAACCTCCTCGGCACATTGAGCTCTACGAGATCATGGGCATTGATCGGAGTAGTTTGCGTGGGCTGGAGATTCTTGAGACGTCCAGAGACGGTCTTGGGAGAGGGAGCTTGTTCCATGCTGTGAAGAGGACTGTCACGAAGAGTGGCTCGCGTTTGCTACGAGATCGACTGACGTCCCCATCTGCTTCTCTTTCAGAGATCAACGATCGTCTGGATTTGGTGTCTGCTTTCTTCGAATCGGAGGAATTGACAGAATCCTTGATTTTCAGATTGCGAAGGACTTTTGATGTTCAACGCATTGTTCAAAAGTTCGCGCTTAACAAGGGCGATGCTGATGACATGTTATCGCTGGCGAGCGCCATCGCCGAGACAGTATCTACACGCGATCTCCTACAGTACGCCTTTCCAAGTATTGATTCGGAGCAGCCAGCCACACCCACGCAGTTCATGCAGAGACTACTCAAACGGTTTGACCTGGAAGGCCCTGTCGAGCTTCAAGCTTCGATATCCTCCGCCATTGATGAAGTTGGGCTACAACAAAGGCACCGTCTAGAGGAAGATGAAGCAGCCAGCGTCGCCGCCATGGCGCATGACGTTGTTCTTCAAAACGCCCCAGAAGAGCTTGAATCCATGCCAAAAGCCATTCGTTCGAAGGCCAAAGTCGAGGACAACAAAGATGACATAACCCTGGAAGAGCCATGGATCATGCGTCGCAATGCCAGTGACATTCTATTCCGTCTGCACCAGGATCTGGACGGACTTGAAGCCGAAAAAGCTGCTCTTGCCGAAAGACTACGTTCCGAACTCTCTGCTCGTACGCTGATACTCAAATCCACCCCTGGGCTGGGTTACATCTGCCACATCAGAAGCGCAAACGGCTTCGACAGAGATAAATTGGAAGCGCTACAAGCTAGGATGGTCTCCTCGTCCAAGAGCACTCGCTCATTCTATCTCACCGACTGGACTCGACTTGGCCGTCGTATCGACCAGGCCATAGCCAACATCCGCGACGAGGAGAAACGAATGTTCGCGACTTTGAGGGCAGGCGTCATACATAACTTGATAAAATTACGCCGTAACGCAGCAGTCATGGACGAACTCGACGTTGCCAGCGCTTTTGCCACACTCGCCAAAGAACAATCATGGACGCGGCCTATCTTGAACAACAGCACGTCACACAAAATTGTCGGTGGCCGACATCCAACAGTCAAGCTAGGCCTGGAAGAACAAGGTCGCTCTTTCATCAGTAACAATCTCGTCCTTGACCAGAACGAGCGCATTTGGCTCATCACCGGACCCAATATGGGGGGCAAAAGTACTTTCTTGCGACAAAATGCGCTGCTCATCATCCTTGCCCAATGCGGATCCTATGTGCCGGCAACGTATGCGGAGATTGGGCTTGTCGATCAGATCTTCAGCCGGATCGGAGCCGCGGACGACTTGTTCCGCGACCAAAGCACTTTCATGATCGAGATGCTTGAGACAGCGGCGATCTTGAAACACGCTACTCCTCGATCATTCGTCATAATGGATGAGGTAGGAAGAGGAACGACGCCTGAGGATGGCACGGCGGTCGGATATGCAAGTCTGCACCACTTGTACTTTGTGAATAGGTGTCGGACGTTATTTGCCACGCATTTTCATGCGTTGGCAGATATGACAAAATCCTGGGATGGACTTGGGTGTTACTGCACAGACGTTCTCGAGGATGAAGACGGGAGTTTCACGTTCGTGCACAGACTGAAGAGCGGTGTCAACAGGCAGAGTCATGCTCTGAAAGTGGCCAAGTTGGCCGGGATGCCTGAGAGCTCTATCAAGGTGGCAGAGGAAGTGCTGAAAACGATAGCCAAACAGAGGAACGAGCGTGGACATGGAAATGTCTTGGAAGGTAAAGAGGAAGATCACAAGAGCGAGAGTGAGCTGGTCACCAACAGTATCCTGTCGGCCCATGGAGGATGAAATGAGATTACTCAGGATATCTCGGCGGCTGTTGTATTTCACCCTCTGCGGGTTTCGACGTTGCGACCGTCCCGCAGTTCTTACATGTCCGGGCGGCCATGTCGTTCTCGAAAGCGAGGACACCTTCTTTGATTTGAGTGCCCAGGTCCGTGAGATGGAAACTCGCCTCATGTACAATGTTGTTACATTTCTTGCAGTACCAGCGCAGCGTGTCAACAGAGTCTGAAGGCCGTGGCTGTTCGAGCACAACACCAACGGTATCGGCGAATCGCACTGGGTTGTGGGGCGTGTTGGCGGGCAGGAGGTATAGCGAATGCTCGTGGATGGGTATGTCAACGGGGGTGTGAGGTGTCGTCGATGTGTCCATTGTCTTTAGCAGCATGGACCCCTTGTGTTGATAGAAAAATTCGGGGGTAGTGTTGATGTGGTAGTCTGTTCGAGCGTTGGGACCGCCGACGACCATCACTGTCAGTCCGCTGGTTGCAGGCGATGAAGGGTAGACACAATAGTTGTTGATCGGAGGTTTGAGGAGGTGGGAGTTATCTTCCAGCCTGTATGGTTATTAGTTTTGGGTTGAACATGGTGTATGAGTACATGGGTCATGTGTGCCATTTGGGTAGGTTCAACGCAGCCATCTTTGTGGCTTGACTGTCCGCGTCAAGATGCTTCCTGCGCACTTTAGGATAGATGGGTGATTGCAGAATCAGTGGCTCTGGATATGTACCGTCTCTGAATGTTTTGACTCACGCGCCGATGAGTTGAGTGTAATATTGGATAGACTTACAAATACAACAAGCGGAGTCACGATTTAACAGATGATACTCGATACTCGTAAATATGGAGAAAGATACGGAGTATCAGGTGTTGATTCCCTGCGCGCGCTCGGGAAAGTTGCACTCTTTATCGCCGTGCGGAGAATTTTTTTGGATGCGGAGAGAGACGAAAAGGATTGATTCTGCAGTTCAGCAGCGACAGACAACAATCACCGCGAAATAAAGAAAACATGCAGCAGCGATAAACCAACACATCCGGAGCGCTCATAATGTCGACATCTCAGCCTCCCCTCCGCCTTTCCTCTCACAAATCTTTGACCTCTCGAGTCATCTTATCGACCCTCCTCGGCCGCGCCATACGCATCGACCAAATCCGTCCCGACTCTCCCACCAACCCAGGTCTCGCCCCTCATGAAATCTCATTCCTCCGTCTCCTTGAAGCACTGACAAATGGATCACATATCGAAATCTCGTACACCGGTACGGTCCTTCTCTATCGGCCAGGCCTAATCACCGGTTCTGCGAGTGGAAGTGGCGCGTCGAGTTCTGGAGTCATACGACATGAGATTGCCGCGAACAATACTCGGGGGTTGAGCTACTTTCTCATCCCTATATGCCTGCTGGCACCGTTCAGCAAGAGCAAATTCAACATACTATTCACAGGGCAAGGCGTAATCACGAGCGCCACGGAGAAATGGGGCGACTTGTCCGTGGATAGTGTGAGGACCGCGATCTTACCCATTTACGAAAAATTCGGCATCGAACGCGACATTGAACTGAGGATACTCAAAAGAAGTAATCCTGGCCCACGGGGTGTGGGAGGGGTCGGCGAAGTGCAACTTTTATTTGGGCACCAGGTTCGATTGCCGAAGACCTTACATTTCATGAACCCCGGACGAGTGAAGAGGATTCGAGGCGTGGCGTACAGTACCGGCGTGAGTGGGAACAACAATGCGCGCATGATTGAAACTGCAAGAGGAGTGTTGAATCAATTTGTACCAGACATCTATATCTTCAGCGACGTGGGCAGTGCGCAGTTCATCACGGTGCAAGATCGCTCAAGTCAGGGAATTACAAAGCGGAAGGTAGGCCTTGGATTCGGGCTGAGTCTGGTTGCGGAGAGCACGACAGGTGCGTTTTATAGCGCAGATGCTGTTTGTCCGCCAGAGGGTGGTAAGCCGGCAGAAGACATCGGGCGGATGGCGGCTTTTGAATTGCTCGAGAGCATCGAGAGGGGTGGCTGCGTGAGTGGTGAAGCTGTTGAGACGGTGGTCACGTTGATGGCTATGGGAAGTGAAGATGTCGGAAGAGTCTGTCTCGGGCGGGATGTACTGGCGAACGAGAGGACTGTTCAACTGGCAAGGGACCTGAATGCTTTTGGAGCTGCAGGATGGGGGATTAAGGATGCTGAGGGTGAGAAGGCAGAGGGGTTGTTGCAAGTCAGTATCGTGGGGAGAGGAGTTGGCAATGTGGGCAGGAAGATTGGTTGAGGTGATCCAACATCAACCACCTCCAGTAGGTTCTTCACGATATTCAACGAATTCTGGACAGGCAGATCTCGAGAAAGACGGGTCACGACAATTGTGCGATCACTCGGATTTTTCTCGATGGGTAACGCTGATGTCGAGGCTCACTTTACGAACAGCCCAGTATCGAGATTGGCGTCCTTGAATTACGACTAACGATATGAATTTACGATTTCAAGGATGACACCAGAGGCAAAACACATCCGAGGAACCAACACGTCAACAACGCAGATACCTGGTGTGGCACTCATACAACGTTGACGGCGATATCGGCAACGCTGCCAGACTCTCGACCGAAAGGCTGTCGACAGCCATGTTGCAATAGCGTTTTGCACAAAGGCAGCGGTGCAGCACAATCCGGCATTTGATATGCACAAACTAGCCACCCGGCAGTTGACAGCCTATGGCGTCCAATGGCATTCACAGTGTGTATGAAAGACCGGGGCTCCGGATTTGGTCGGAAGTCGATGATCTGTTAGTGCAATTGATCGTCTTATGCTCACGCGACCACCAAAGTAGAGGGGAGAAGACACACTCGAGTAGAAGCAGCCATCGAGGGAATCAAACATGATATATTTGCTAAATAACTGCGTAAGAGTAGCACCAACACAGGTTGCAAGTTATTGGAAAGGGAATATGAGATTGTGGTCGTGTTGGAAGGTCGTCTGTTCAATGCATCACAGCATCAGTCAGCGGAAGTGGCGGGATAAATTGAAAAAGAAGCTATTCTCACTCGTGCATTAACTTGCACCATCACAAAAGGCGTTTTCTCTTCTTGTACGCCTTGTCCTCGTCGGCACTGTCTAGAAGCGATTACTACTTGTCTATGCTCTTGAGCTACTGCTGCCTAAGCCAATTCGCTCTGTTGACAAATCCTAAGCGATGCGCCCGCGGCTGGTCGGATTCTATGCGCCGACCAGTTCGCTCTCTTCGACCTCACTCGTCGACCGAGCAGCCGACCAGCGCATGAATTATGACAGACGGTCAGAGAGATGCCTTGCCTGCTATCCGTATCTTGTTGATTGACTCATCCTCGTGTTCTCACCGTCTCACTCTTCCATCATCCCTCGTACCCCGCTGTGCCTTGCATCTCACTACATTCTGTCTTAGCCCAAACAGTTAACATACCCATACCTTCCCTGATCGCTTGACACTGACCTCGGTTACCTGATCGTTACTCTCTCTAGCAGCTTGTCCTATCATACTGCTACTGACTGTCTGCGCAACTTTTCACTACCTTTCACATTATTTCAAAAATCGGGACCGTCGTCCGCCATGGGGGCAGGCGCATACCTCGAACCGCTGGTGGTGGTTGGACTGCTATTTGGCGGTGCATGGATCAATCGAGCCACTGATCCCAAGCTGTCTGCAAGAGGCCCATTCTGGAATGAATCCCTGCCCGAGGCTCGTCAAATCGAAACCGACGAAGATCTGGACATTGAAGATGCCCGGCTCTCACACTCCAAACGATCCCTATCACCTTCTTTACTGCCTTCGCAGGAGAACAAATGGCGAGAAAGAGAAGTCAGGATCATGGGATACCGTAGGGTTCTGCAGACACCAAACACGGCAGTGTTTCGGAATCGACTGCTAAGCAGGCTTCTGCACAAGTTTCCCTTCTTGGTTGAGGCCTGGTATTGGGCATTGATATACTGGGTAAGAGAGATGGTGCACATCAAGCTGAAGACACAAGTCTAACAATGTGTAGGTGTACCAACTCGGACGGGCATTTACAGCGGTCACTGTCGTTGAGGGGACTGTTCATGTCGCGCGCCGACATGCCCTGCAGGTGATCGCATGGGAACAACGTCTGCATATCTTCTGGGAGATACCTATCCAGAAGTTCTTCATGTCATTTCCGCGCCTGATGATGTCTATCAACTGGCTATACTCTTTCATTCATATCCCCGGGACCATTGCGTTTCTGGTTTGGTTGTACTACTACACCATCACGAGCAATCGAGTGGTTCTACGTCGGGGTGCTGGGCCTCAAGGAATCACTCAAGAAGGATATGGTTTAGCAGCCGGACCAGGTTTATACGAGGCCCGCAGACGTACCATGGCCGCTTGCAATCTGCTGGCGTTTGTCGTTTTCACGCTTTGGCCGTGCATGCCGCCGAGACTCCTGAGTGATCCTGACTATGATGGTCCAGACGCCGAACTTGCCAAGAGCTTTGGGTTCGTGGACACGGTGCATGGGAAACACGGGGCAAGCAGTGTATGGACACAGAACAAGTTCTGTAATCAATATGGTATGTTTTTTATATTTACCTCGGTACTTACAGCGTCCTGTGACTTGCATATTGGAGATATACATGACTGACGAACTCTCCCGCAATAGCTGCCATGCCGTCTCTTCACTTTGGGTACTCACTACTTGTCGGACTGACCATAATGACCATCCCACTCGCTCCTCAGCATCGACGTTCACAATCGATCCATCTACCTTTCTTCAACAACTCGCACCCTGAACTTGCACCCCAGATCAGACTCCCCAGTAGGCGACGCCTGGCCTGCCTTGCCATTGGCTTCACATACCCCTTTGCGATCCTCGTTGCCATCGTCTCAACGGCGAATCATTTCATTCTCGACGCGGTGGCCGGCGCCATGATCTGCGGGCTCGGCTGGAATATGAATCGGATGCTGCTGAATCTGCTACCCTTCGAAGACTGGTTCTTGTGGGTGGTCAGGATTCACAAGCCGGTACAAGTCTCGCTTGAGGAGTCCAATGGCACGGAACCAGGGTTGAAGAATGGTAGAATGGATGCTTGGGTGCCAGAACGACCTGTTGTGATCAATTCCAGTTAGGCCAGGCCTTCCCTCAAGACTACCACCGACCAAAACTTTTCAAGAAGTGGACGACGGGGCTTGAGAAATGGTTGAGAGAGGACTGGTGGTTTCTCGAGACGGGCGCCAAGCCGATACGTATCGACCCGATAAAGTCTCCCCCGATGCCTGATGATTTTTTACGACGTTATGCGCTCTTTTTTGCATGATTGAAAGACGACAGCTTACCGGTACTGGTACTGGTACTGATCCGAGAGATATCGATAGCCGACGCCTGCAATCCATACACGACGATTCATCTGCATTTGTAGTTAACTGCACATGTGCAGGGTAATTGAAGATGGTTACTTAATTGTTAATAGCAAAGTACATAATATTTACAACGAGAAAAATTTCACACTCGGGACCGGATTTGTTTGTATATACTGTGCAAACATGTACAAAAGACCCCCTAACCTACGGTGTATACACTCGTAGTGCACCGTCTCCTATTGGCACCACTACTGCCATTGCCTCTGCTACTACCACTGAAATTGCCCTTGGCCTAGCGTTGCTCCTGAACAAATACTGACCACTTCGTTTTCTTACCCAGGCAGTTCCGCCGAGTCATGATGGTGAACCGGAAGTTCTACGGCACCAGCAGCGTCGCCGGGACGTGCGTCGTCGTTGTACGCAGACGACGACGGCGACGAGCGAGCCTTGGCGTCTTCTGAAGGACTGTAAGTGGGTAGAACACTATAGTTGGTTCGGCAGTTCCCATCTATTTCCGTGACTTGTGCGTTCGTATCGTCGTCATCATTTTTATTGTTGTCGAGGGGATTATTCGCATCGTAATGTGACCGGCGACGATGACGGCGACCACGACGACAACGCCTGTGTCTCCGAATTCCAAGGTAGATTGCAATTCCAAAAATTACAACCGCGGCACAGACTCCGCCTATGCTGGCTGCGATGATGCTGGTGGTATGAGAAGATGGAGATGCCGTGTCTGTGTTTTTGGATTGTGGATCGGCAGAGGACGTCGCCGCTGCAGATGAGGAAGATGGGGTCGATGGTTCGAGTGCATCAAACGTTGATCGCGTTGACGGTGTGTCTGTACTCGCACTCGCACTCGCACTCACTGTAATACTGGAGATGGAAGATTGTGCGGATTCGGAAGACGTGTAGGCTTCTGGTGGTGGTGTTGTTGTTGATTTGGTCGTTGCAGAAGAAGCTGATTCCAACGGCGGAGATGATGACGATGATGATGTCCTCGATGTCGTCGCTCCTGGGGCAGTAATATAAAAGTACATTGACATGGCTATTGCGTAGTCTGTCTCTGCATCTTCGATCACCAAGTAGAACCCAGACCCATATTTGGACGTGAAGGTTCCATCGGGGTATAGCAAGTCTTTACTGTATTCAACATCTAGAAATGAGGCTGTCATGTGTTCAGAGAAGTCAGTGAAATTGACAGGAGCAGTGACAGTAAAAAGTTGACAAATGGACAGAATTGCCAAAGCCAAAGCCAATGGTTTGGTGGGCTGGACGCCGTCCCTTGGATGGAGAGGGATAAATGAGGCAACGGGAATCAAACTCAACTCATCAGGGGCCATGATGCTTGGTTGTATGAGGTACGAAGTACGAGGTTGAGAGAGGTGAGGTTCGTCCTCCATGTGAAATAAGGGATGTCGCCATATTCCACGGTATAATTGACGTCGTTATTGGGATATTCACCGTATTCCGGTGGGCTGGTAAAGTATGTTCCAGTATACTCCGACGCTGCTGCTGCACCTTGAAACTGAATGATCATCATCGCAAACGGCAGGATCATGCCGATGTACACTGGTCCGGCGATTGCACGCAAGACCGACTGCATGATAAACAAACGCCTAAGAGACTCGACGGAGGAGGACTTGATGTCGTTGTCGGGGATGACTCAACTCTTTTGTCTTTCTGGAAGGAGGGCTTCGGAGGAAGTTGTTGGCGAAAGGAGTCTGACTTTCTGAGGATGATATGACTGCAGCGCGAGGGAGTGGGAGAGCAGTGTAGAAAGACAAAAGACAAGACAAGGTCCAAATACATGATGACCAGCTGGCATGGCACGACTGATAAATACCTTGCATACATCGACGCCTCGAAAGAGAGACATTGCAGAATATATGAGACAAGGTGACCGGATGGTTTTCCTTCATGTTGGAGCGAGTTCCCGTATCGGGTACACAAGTACGGCTTTTTGCATCTCGGATCCATAGCGAAGATCACGCCCCTTTACTCAGTTGATGAGTTCGTATGGAATTGCCTGGAAATCGCTAAGAATAGTAAATGGAATTTGAAGGCTTCGTGGTGCATGAGTCAAGTTCAACCTGAGCATTAGGTCAAGATCATGGGACCAGAGAATCAGGATTCAGGTAGTGTGTAAGCCTTTCAAAGGCAATGTTTGCTTCCATGAGGTCGTGTAACATTGCAGATTGACTGTACCCATCAAAGAACGATGTAGATTTCCAGCAGACCTACCAATTGCTTTGGGTCGAAGATTTCGTCCTTGAGGTACGAGTACCAGGGAGTGTCTCGAGACTACATTGCTCGATCTGGCCTGAATGGACCACCGGATAAAATACGGTGAATCATGACTCGCTGGAAGGTAAAGTACCTACCCACCCACGCCAAATGGTTTCGCCAATTCGCTCCTTGGTCGTAGAATAAACCTCTCGACGAACTCATATTTGATGCCTGATCGACAAGTCAATGATGGAGACGACTGTTATATGTGAGCATTGAGCATGGAGGGCAATTCTACTCTTCCCTACACGTCCCCAGCAGCAAAGTAGGTGAGAAAAACATGAAGTCAGTAGCTGGAGTGCGGCCAACCTGCCTAATTTTCTTCACGAAGAAATGGACCCAATTGGGGAACGATGTGTTCAGCACCCGGAACATTCGCGGCCATCATCATCGCCAGGCCGAACGCACTGATTCCCAGCCTTCTTGTCTTCTTGTGCTTTTTTCGCGCTTGTTTCCTTGATCAACAGAATCAATCTTTACTCTTTTCTGGAAAGAGAAGGCATTGCGAGTCGTGATCAGCGCGACCGCAGATTCACTGGTCGCTTGCTCTACTACTTCATACGGAGTTTCGGCAACTGTCGCGCATGCTCCAACAAAAGCTGTTTTGGAAGGATCAAAGCACACAGCAGACCACCAAGAGTCAATCGCAAGTAAGTACTCTTTTGCTTCCTTTCCCGGCAGCACAGGCAGACTTGGAACATATTGGATAAGACAAAGACAAGGCCACCAGTCCAAGCGTCGCGATGGTGCAGGCGAGCACTCTCTCTCTCGATCTGATCCGGAGAAAGGCTTGGCGCAGTCATTGGGAGGCAGATCAATGAACGACGGTGATTGGCTGCCACGGCTTTTCTCCCCCAAGGCCTTTAGTTGGCGTCGCTTTCTCAATTCTCCTCCCCCCATCATCCATCCCATTGCTGCCGTCACTCTGATCCATCGGTCGCAATCTTCTCTACCCTCTCTATCTGTCCACTACCAACACCATCACAGTCTTTGTCGCATCCTATCCGGCACCCTCATTGTTGTCCTGGACAGGCTCTTCTGGTTGGTGGCCCTTCTTGTTTGGCTCAGATCCAGCTGCGCCTTGCTGCTCTTGTCGCGTCAGGTCTTCAAGCTGCACAGCATCTGTCGGGCTGCACTGTGACTTTGATTGTCTTGTTCATCCGATTGCCATCGTCTTGACGAGTCTCCTTACTGATTAATTGGTACCTCAGACTTCAAATTCACCGTCGCGCTTTCATTGACGCGTCCCTCAACTTCACTCACATTAACCACCAACATGGATTCTGAAACCCCTGCTCAGACCGAAGTCCCCGTCAAGGTGACGCAACCTGAGGATCAGGCTCCCCCATCTCTAGCAGAACCAGCTTCTGGCGCTGTTGCGGAGATGTCTGGTGCGTTGTCGGCTGAGGATTCCAATGAGCCGAAGCCAGCTGAAACAGCAGGTAAGTCTGACAATTGTCACGTAACGCGGTCGTTCAACTGACTCAATTCGCAGCACCAGCGGAACCAACCACCAATGGTGCACCTGAAGCGGCGTCAGAGCCTCCCAACGACGTTGAGCCACCAGCCGCAGCTCCAGAGGAAGAACCAGCACCTGCAACAGCTGATGTGGAGATGAAAGAGGCGGAACAAACAGAAGCTCCTCAGACAGAGACAAATGGAACGCCTGCAGAGAAGAAACCTGCTTCTAAGCGAAAGTCTTCCATTGTGCCCAAGAAGCTCAATAAGAAGAAGTCGATGTCCAAAATCACACACACGAATGCTCAGCCAGGTGAATACTACATCGCTCGACTGAAGAGCTATCCGCCTTGGCCGTCTATCATCTGTGATGAGGAAATGCTTCCAGAAATCCTCATCAATACCAGACCCGTCACAACTAAGAAAGCCGATGGCACCTACAATGAGGCATACGCTGAGGGCGGCAAGAAAGAGAATGAGCGAACATTCCCCGTGATGTTCTTGTACACCAACGAATTGTGAGTTGGCTGATAACATACTAACGCAAGCCTTACTGAGAAGTCACAGTGCGTGGATCCATAACACCGATTTGACCCCCTTGAACCCGGAAGACTGCAAGGATGTACCTGAAAAGGGCAAATCGAAGAATCTTCTGGCTGCATATCAAGTGGCTTCCGAGGGCCATGATATCGACTTCTTCAAGAATATGTTGAATGAACATAATGCTGCGTTGCAAGCCGATATTGATGCAAAGGAGGCTCGCGAAGCAGAGAAGGCTGCCAAAGCCGACAAGAAGAAGCGCAAGAGCGAAGCCAAAGTCGACACAGATGTTGAGATGGGCGACGCCGAGGCCGCGCCCAAAAAGTCGTCCAAGAAGAGAAAGAAGGAGGCAGACAGCGACGATGAAGCATCTGAGAAGGTGAGTATTCCTAGCGTTTGTCTAACGGCGTGATCTGATTCTGATAATAGCCTGCAAAGACTCCCAAGATCAAGTTAACCACCAGCAAGACTCCCAAGACGGAAGAGAAGAAGCCTAAAGAGAAAGCAAGCAAGGCGAAGTCCGAGAAGAGAAAGTCCAAGGCTGCTGTTGAGGACGAAGAGATGGTCGACGCCGAGCCAGAGGTAGAGGAGAAGCCCTTGGATCCAGCAGAGGCACGAAAGGCGCGCGAGAAAGAAGGTATACTGACCACAAACACGGGTTTTGGGCTCTCGGCTGACTCTTTCTAGTATTGTTCCTCCGTCACAGATTGCAAAAGGGTTTCCTCTCCCGTGACCAAGCGCCGCAGGAGGATGAAATGCCGCAAATGTCCAACTTCATCAAGAAGCTTGAAGGTTACACCGATCTAGAAGTCAGCATCATTCGACAGACCAAGATCAACAAAGTCCTGAAGGCTCTGATCAAGCTCAATACAATTCCCCGTGATGAAGAGTTCAACTTCCGGAAACGATCACTTGAGCTTCTGACCCAGTGGAACAAGATCCTCGGTGCTGAACCGCCTGAGGCTGACGCCGGCACTGACAAAGAGGCCAAGGCATCACCAGCAACGAATGGAGTCCACGATGAAAAGACCGAGGATAGCCCGGCCAAAAAGACGGAAGAAAGCACCGAGAAACCTGAGGCTACCGAGGAAAAGTCTGCCGAAGAAAAACCCGCAGAGGAGAAGCCTGTTGAGGAAACGTCTGAGGAAAAGCCTGCTCCTGAGAACGAGCCCGAGTCCAAGCCTGCTGAAGCACCTGCAGCCCCCAGTGCCGAACCTCCAGCTTCGACCGAAGAGCCAAAGCCTGCTGATGTCGTTGAAGAATCCCCAAAGGTCGACGCCCCTGCCCCTGTGCCTGCGCCTGAAGTCGTGGAGAAGGTGCCAGAATCCGCACCGGCCGCCGCCGAGGCAAGCGAAGTTGTCAAGGCCACAGAGTAATCGTGCGAGACCGACCAGATGAGACTTTGAACTCGTGTGGAATTGGCGATGAACTTTTTGACGCGAGTTGCAACTGGAAAGGAAATGGTGGCGAAACAGCTGCGAAGCTGCTGCATCCTGGGTGATGCGCGCGCGGTGTTGAAAACACGATGACCTCCCCCACGACACACATTGTTTGCGAGTGCAGACGGGTCGACTTTTCCGGACGACATACGGTGCTACGGGAGGGATGCTTGCTAATTGCTGATTGCTGATTTTTGGGTCCGTTCTGGAGGCAAAATGATTGATGTTGTAGCTTTTCAGGGACTTTCTTCGTTGCCTGGGCTTAGCGGGAGGCAACGGCAAAAGAGAGGATGTTTTGTACGGAGTACTCAAATGTCCCCACTGCCAGGTTTCTCCCCGCGGGTCTTTCCAGGCTTTTTTTCTATTGTAAAGGGTAGTGCAGACAGTAAAGTCATACGTTTGGTTAGGGGCACAAATAGTCCTTTAGGAGATAAAAAAACGAATCGAACGAAAATTGCAAAATCAAAACGTTGTCCTTTTGTCATCTCCGGGGTCTCTTGTTCCCAGGAGTTATAGCATCCATATCGAACAAGGAGACGAACAAGAACCAGAAAAAGCACATCGCTCAAATCAAACCAGCAAAGACCTATTTTATTGTACAATACGTTGACGCCCGGCCCATCCCAGGAGGCCAGATGATGACCATTTGAAAATGGCGGCCCCCTATAAGTCGGTGTCCGAGGGACCACCACCCTCGTCGTCCTCGGGCAGTTCACTCAAGCACGTGTCGATGAGGGTCATGAGTTCATCGACATCGGGCCTTTCTGACGGTTCCACCTGGAGACACCGTCGCACGACTTCCCTGGCAGCAGGGTGAGGGTACACCCTGTCCCCTGGGTTGGTCGGTTCGGGAGCGGCGGCGGCGCCGTTGGCTACGGATTGCTGCGTGTTCGATCTTGAAGGAGCTTTGCCCTTGTTTGCGTTGCCCTCGCCAGGCCATCTCCAGTCCCCACTCAGCACACATATACTCAGACTTCCACCGGTTTCGTCGCTGCGTGCTTCGAAAGGCGATTTACCGACCAGGCAGGCGTACATTGTGCAGCCGAGAGACCAGATGTCGACCTTCGTGTCGATCACGCTCCCGGTCTTGACGTCGAATAGTTCCGGTGCTCGGTAGGGCATGGTGGAATGTTCGGCCGCGATGTCTTGCACGGCAATCGCTTGCGAGCGCGACGTGATGGGCGTAGGGCTTGGTGCGAGACTGCCCAGGTCCATTAGGATGGGCATGCGGCCGTCGTCCGAGATCATGATGTTGCCGGGCTTGATGTCGCGGTGGGCGTAGGCGCGGGTGTCGCCCGGTTCTTTGCCCTCTTGTGCACGCGTGATCTCGCCCTCGGGCATGAGCGGCTGTTCTTGTTCTGTGGCCAGGTCTTGTTGATGGGTCTCGTCTGCCGTCATGCTGCGCTTCTGGGTGCGGGATTGGGCTTTGCGCCGAGCAGCATCGGCGTCTTCGTTGGCTGCTTCTTCACGGATCGCTTGGGCGGCGGCCCTCGAGGGAGTGTTGCGTACGTGGTATTGGTGCATGGCTTTGAGGGCCTTGCAGACGCCCAGCATCATTTGCATGAGGCGTCGCTCGCCAAACCGTGTGTGGTTGACGAGGTTGGCGTTGATCATGTCTTGGAGGTTGCCACGCCGGTAGTATGGTAAGAGGATGTAGACGGTCTTGGAGGAGGAGGAAGAGTCATTGCCGATGCCGGAGACTTTGGTGCTTGAGTCGTTTTGTACGGCGTGGTCGATGCTGTGAATGATGTTTGGGTGAGGGGCGAAGAGGGTGTAGGCTTCGACTTCTTTGAGGGCCTGGGACACGGATTCCTGGCCGAACGGGCAACGAATCTTTTTAAGGGCATAGAGTGTCGAGTCAGACGTGTCTTGGACAAGGTATACATAGGAGAAGCCGCCCTAGGATGGAAGTGTCAGTGGTATGTTGTATCCCGAAGGAAATTTGGTACCAAGGGCAGAATATACCTCGCCTAGTAGTCTCAACATCCGAAAGCTTCTATGATTTATCTTCAACTGCGGAGTGCTCGGAAAGCAACATACGCAACTTCCTAAGGAGTAGAATACGTCCATGAGTGTTTGTGCCATCGCTGGCAGGGGTGCAAAGTGTAGGGCGTAAGCCTGCGCAGGCGTCAAGGAGTATGTGTTCTTGGTGAGGAGGGCTTCAGAGACGGGGTCGGAACAGCAGTGTTGTGTCGCAAACTATGAGAACGAAGTAATCATGGGCAGGGAGTCCTTTGGCGAGCGCGTGGACACCTCGCGTATCTCAGGGGTGTGAAGCTGCAGGAGATGGTCGTTGGCAAGAAAGACGTCGCCAGAGGTTCACTACAATAATACCACCAGCAAACACATGGGGGCTGGACTGGATCGGAAGCTGGGGTGAGACCACGAGTATTGTCCAACTCCGAACCACTCGTACTCGTACCCCGTACCCTGCCTTAGGTGATGTCCTGTACGGAGGAGTACTTTAGTAGGCCGATGGAGGTACGGAGTGCTATAGGGATCTACTGCGCAAAGACGGCACTGGCGGATGAAACTGATCCAAAGTTGTTGCCTGTGTCTTCACACATCTTGTTCCGCGGTTCAAGGATAATCTACAGAACCATTTCCTGATCCTGATAGACTTGGGGAGAGTCGGACCAACATCTTGCCTTGGAGTCCCATCGACTTACTCTGGCCAGCCAGTCATCGATGAAGAATGGCTTCGAAAGCCCATATATACCGAGGCTCAGATTTGCCAGAATCATATGCGTTCAACTAACTACAGACATATGAACAGAGACGTATCCGCTCAGGATTTCCTCCCCAAAAGGGTCTTCTCTTAGTTGACCACCTTCATCATGCGCGTTTCAGTATTCCTATACGTTCTCTTCGGCAAAGTCAACGCCGCAGCCTTGGACATTCTTCGGCCTCGAGACGATTCGGACTCGTGGCGATTGTACTTCCTAGCTCTAATAGGTATTTGCTCTCTGTCATGCGGTATATATCGAATATGGATATATCCCTTCTTCATAAGTCCGCTTCGACATCTGCCAGAACCCAAGGTATGCAAGAGCCAGAGTTTGGGTCGCTTACCATCTGCATGATAACATTTGTTGACAGGGAGCCTATCCATTTATTGGACACATGCCGGCGAGAGTCAAGCAACCTCTTGGACAAGAACAGGCTCGGTGGCTAAGAGAAGTACCGAATGATGGCCTCATTCGTGTCAGAGGCTTCTTTAACTCCGAGGCACTGTGTATAACAACTCCACAAGCTATTGCCGAAGTCCTGGTGACGAGGAATTACGACTTTATCAAGCCTCCTAGTGCAGCAGAATTCCTCGCAAGAATCTTAGGTGATGGGTTGGTAGTTGTCGAAGGGGATGTGCATAAGTTTCAGCGCAGACACATCCAACCAAGCTTCAGCTTTCGTCACATCAAACAGCTCTATCCTATCTTCTGGCAAAAGTCACTTGAAGTGGTCGACAGAATCAAAACAGACCTCGTCAGTGGAACAAGCTCAGGCATTGCGGGTGTCAGCGATCTCGCCTATTGGGCTCCCAAGGTAACCTTGGATATCATCGGGGGAGCGGCGATGGGTCATGACTTTCACACCATCAACGACAATGATGACGAGCTTGCCCAACTATACGAGCAGATAATGACTCCTTCTCGTGAGTTACAGCTCTTGTTCGTACTAAGTCTCCTAGGAATGAAATGGCTGCTTCGATTTCTGCCTTGGATCGACGTAGACAGGTGGTTAACCCAGCAAACGGACAAGCTCAGGATCCTTTGCAGACAGTTTGTTGCCGAGAAGAAGAGATCCATCAAAATCAATGGGCAAGGATCCGCCGATTTGTTGTCGAAGCTAATCGAGTCCAATGATTTCTCTGATGAACAATTGGTTGATCAACTTCTCACGTTCCTCGCAGCTGGGTAAGCCTTGCCACCAGTTCAGTTCCCAACTAACATCCTCCGCGTTCCACTTCGCTGTAAGGCTATTCTGACATGTACATAGGCATGAAACCACTTCTTCAACACTAGAGTGGGCGGCATACCTGCTCGCTCGCCATCCAGAGATACAGACCCAGCTACGGGAGGAAATACGTGCCAACATTCCTCTAAACTTCACGGCTGATACCCAGGCCTTTGACCTTGCAGGAACGTTGGAGTCAATGCCCATCTTGAATGGTGTATGTAACGAAACCTTTCGTCTGTATTCAACAGTCCCTCAGTCTCTGCGAGTTACCATCAGGCCAACCACCATATTGGGATACCCTGTGAAGAAGGGCACAATGATCCTCCTGTCCCCCTACGGGATCAACCGCTCGCCACAGCATTGGGGTCCTGACGCAGATGAGTTCAAGCCGTCTCGTTGGATCGACAAAGACACTGGCAAGCCAAACAATTCGGGAGGCGCACAAAGTAACTACTCGTTGATGACGTTCCTACACGGTCCAAGAAGCTGCATTGGACAGGGCTTTGCAAAGGCAGAGTTGCGTTCTTTGCTCGCCGTGCTGGTCGGAACTTTTAGTATAGAACTCAAGGATCCGAACTATCGACCTTTCCGTGCAGGCTCAGTCACAACGAAGCCCTCTCAAGGCATGCCCCTCAGACTTACCACGGTATGAACTTGGTGGACCTAGTATGAGTTTTCAGAGTCTGTGGTCGTGGTTAATGTGTGTTCTTGGCATGTTTTACGAGGGAGACATTTCATATGTGTGATCAATCTAGGCAGCTTTTGACAATTGGGAGCACAGTGAACCTTATCATAAGGATAAGACTACTCTCAATGACTGAAAAAGAGTTTTTTTGCCACACGGCGCGTGAGTTAAGCTTGTGAGACTGATAGGTTGCTCCTTCAGTATATACTTAAATGTATCAATAGTAAAGAGCCTGTAGGGCATAGCTCTTTATAACTTTATGGAAGGACACAGCAAGATAGTTTTAGTGCTCACTATAGTCGCTAAGGTTGATATCCCAAAAAGAGAAAGTTACGCGAGTCGCCCCACTCAATGCGCGAGATGAAATTTGGAGACATGGACTTTTCTTCAGCCTGCAACAATCAAGACGTTAGCCGCCTAGATCACTTCTCCAGCGCGAAGGCGGGCAGAGTACTGGGACTTTCTGCTGGTGTCTTTGATGCTGAATGCATTTGGAAGCCATGAAACAACATTGAACAGTCAACAGATTCCCTTCATTCCACACGAATCATAAACTCTCCTACGAAATTCTGAGATCGCCACGAAATCGAGCAAGATGGCGGACCCAAATATTTCCCAATACAAGTACTCGGCGATGTCGAACCTGGTTCTCCAGGCCGACCGCCGGTTGTACTCGCGAAACAAGGATGAGAACACTGGAGACCCCGAATCGCTAGCGGGCCGACTGAACATTCGGGACATGGGCTCACGAGTTGCTCGAGACCAAGCACCCAAGCAGAAGAAAATGGCGCCCGGGCTTGGAGTGGAGAGAGGCACAATCCACGAAGGCGAGGACGTTTTGGAACGAGAACGGCGGAAACGAAAGAGGGGTGAGCCTGCCCAGACCCGAGGTGCTGGCATTCTGTCTGCTGGTGATGCACTGATAGAAGGGCTTAAGTATCGTCCTAGAACTCCTGCCACCCGAGCCACCTACGACCTACTGCTCACCGTGACTGCAAATGCACTGGGCGATGTTTCTCAAGAGATTGTCCGAAGCGCAGCCGATGCTATCCTCGAATTCTTGAAAGACGAAAACATGAAGGATTTGGACAAGAAGAAAGAGGTGGACGAAATTGTTGGGACAACAATGACGCCGAAGGAATTCAACGAACTCGTCAATCTGGGCAAAAAGATTACAGATTATGATGCTCAAGATGAAGATGAAGACATGGACGATGGCGACGAAGCTGAGCTTGACGACCGGCAAGGTGTTGCCGTCGTGTTTGACGAGGACGATGAAGACGAAGACGGAATTGCCAGAACATACGAGGTCCGAGACGAGGATGAAGACTCCGACGAGGAGGACGACATCCAAGATCAGCCCGATGATGAAGCTGCAACAGCAGGAGGTGCGGGCGCGCCTGATGTTGATCCTGATGAGGAAGACACAGAAATGGTTTTAGACAGTGGCATCGCGGAGGCCTCGCGACGGAAAAGGGAGGACTCCGATCTTGTGCCTATTCATGAAATCGACGCATACTGGCTTCAGCGACAGATTGGTTCAATATACTCAGATGCCCACGTTCAACAACAGAAGACCCAAGATGCACTGCAAATCCTATCCGGAAAATCACTCGAGGGCGAAGAAATCTCTCTTCGTGATATCGAGAACGACTTGATGGACTTGTTTGATTATGAGCATCCAGAAATAGTTGGCAAATTCGTGACCAACCGTGACAGAATCGTCTGGGCTACCAGATGGCGGAGGGTGGCCGAGGATACTGACGCTCGAAATCTTCTGGAGGTCGAGATGGTCGAAGCTGGCCAAAGAGCCATTCTGGATGAACTGGTGGGCAATCAAGACACCGGTGCCGAAGGCCCTCGACCTTCCAAGAAGATGAAACTCGATCTAATGGATATTGACGTTCCAAAAGCACAAATCGAGTCGCAAGAAGAGAAGAAAGACGGCACTTTATCTGGTGGCTTGCAGCCTCAGCGACTGATCAATCTCGAGAATTTGGTCTTCGAGCAAGGGAACCACCTGATGACGAATCCAAAAGTCGTCTTACCTCAAGGTTCAACTAAACGGACTTTCAAGGGCTACGAAGAGATCCATGTTCCTGCGCCCAAGGCCAGGGTAGATCCTGGCGAGAAGTTGATACCGACGAGCGACTTACCAGACTGGGCCAGGCAAGGTTTTGGTTCTGCGAAAAGCCTCAACAGAATTCAGTCAAAGTGCTATCCCTCGGCCTTTGGCGATGATGGCAATATGCTAGTCTGTGCGCCTACTGGATCGGGCAAAACGAACGTGGCGATGCTTACTATGCTTCGAGAAATCGGCAAGCACCGAAATCCAGAGACCGGAGAGATCATGTTGGATGACTTCAAAATCATCTATATTGCTCCACTCAAGGCTTTGGTTCAAGAGCAAGTAGGTAACTTTGGCAAACGGCTAGAGTCATACGGGATCCGAGTTTCTGAGTTGACTGGAGACCGACAACTCACCAAGCAACAAATCGCGGATACTCAAGTAATTGTAACAACTCCGGAGAAGTGGGATGTCATCACTCGAAAAGCCACCGACCTCAGCTACACCAGGCTTGTTCGGCTCATAATCATCGATGAAATCCATTTACTGCACGATGATCGTGGTCCCGTGCTAGAAAGCATTGTTAGCAGAACAATCAGGAAAATTGAGCAGACTGGCGACCCTGTGCGGATTGTCGGGTTGAGTGCCACTTTACCCAATTATAGAGATGTGGCTACGTTTCTCCGCGTCGACCCTGAGAAGGGTATGTTCCACTTCGACGGCTCGTTCAGACCCTGTCCCCTTCGACAAGAGTTTATTGGCGTTACAGACAAAAAAGCCATCAAGATGCTCAAGACCATGAACGATGTCTGTTACGCGAAGGTTATGGAACATGTCGGCACAAACCAGCAGCAGATGCTGATATTCGTACACTCTCGGAAAGAGACCGCCAAAACCGCCAAATACATTCGCGACAAAGCCGTGGAGGCTGAGACAATCGGCCAGATCATGCGTACAGACGCAGCAAGCAGGCAAATCCTACAAGAGGAAGCTGATCAAGTTCATGATGCGAATTTGAAGGATCTCATGCCGTATGGCTTTGGTATCCACCACGCCGGTATGAGTGCTGCTGATCGTTCTTCGGTTGAAGACCTCTTCTCTGATGGATCTCTTCGCGTCCTCGTCTGTACTGCCACTCTTGCTTGGGGTGTCAATCTTCCAGCTCATACAGTCATCATCAAAGGCACTCAGGTATATTCTCCTGAAAAGGGTAGCTGGGTTGAGCTCAGCCCTCAAGACGTTCTCCAGATGTTGGGTCGTGCTGGTCGACCGCAGTATGATGTGTACGGCGAAGGCATCATCATCACATCGCAAGCAGAGATACAATATTACCTGTCTTTATTGAATCAACAATTACCGATCGAAAGTCAGCTCATGAGCAAACTTGCAGACAATTTGAATGCCGAAATTGTCCTTGGTAATGTCCAAAGCAGAGACCAGGGAGTCGAATGGCTAGGTTATACCTATCTATTCGTCAGGATGATCAGGTCTCCAGGTCTCTACAGCGTTGGCGCGGACTACAGCAATGACGATGCTCTTGAGCAGAAGAGAGTCGACCTTATCCACTCTGCAGCCGTAGTCCTCGAAAAGGCAGGTCTGGTCAAGTATGACAAGACGGCTGGCAAACTGCAAGCTACAGACCTTGGCCGGATTGCTTCTCATTATTATATCACCCACCACTCCATGCTGACCTACAACATGCATCTGCAGCCCTCGATCAGCACAATCGAGCTCTTCCGCGTGTTTGCTCTTAGCGACGAGTTCAAGTATATTCCTGTGCGGCAAGACGAGAAGCTCGAATTGGCGAAACTGCTAGGCAGAGTTCCAATACCTGTCAAAGAGGGTATGGAGGAACCACAGGCCAAGATCAATGTTCTGCTCCAAGCATTTATTTCTAGGCTCAAATTAGAAGGTCTTGCGCTTATGGCAGATCTCGTGTACGTCACACAGTCCGCAGGTCGTATCCTTCGAGCCATCTTTGAGATATGCTTGAGGAAGGGCTGGGCCTCTGTTGCCAAGGTTGCACTTGATCTCTGCAAGATGGCAGAGAAGCGGATGTGGCCCACTATGACCCCGTTGAGACAGTTCCCAATGTGCCCCAGGGAGTACATTCAAAAGGCTGAGCGAATGGAAGTTCCTTGGTCAAGCTACTTTGACCTTGACCCTCCTCGAATGGGGGAGTTGCTGGGATTGCCAAAGGCCGGCCGGGTTGTCTGCGACCTCGTGTCGAAATTTCCACGACTGGAGGTACAAGCACAAGTCCAACCCATGACAAGGTCGATGCTGCATGTTGAGCTCACCATTACACCAAACTTCGTCTGGGATGATGCTTTGCATGGTACTGCGGAATCGTTTTGGATTCTTGTTGAAGATTGTGACGGCGAAGAGATTCTTTTCCACGATCAATTCATTCTACGAAAAGAATTCGCCGAAGGCGACATGACTGAGCATCTGGTTGACTTTACTGTGCCCATCAGCGAGCCCATCCCACCAAACTACTTCATTACACTATTGTCGGACCGATGGATGCATTCAGAGACTCGAGTTCCAGTGTCATTCCAGAAACTCATTCTACCAGAACGATTCCCGCCACATACACAGCTTTTGGATTTGCAACCTGTGCCAGTACAAGCACTCAAAGTCAAAGAATATGTTGATCTCTATCCTAACTGGGATCGATTCAACAAGATCCAAACTCAGGTCTTCAAGTCTCTGTACGACAGCGACGATAGCGTGTTCGTTGGTGCGCCTACTGGGAGCGGCAAGACTGTCTGTGCCGAATTTGCCTTGTTGAAACATTGGAAGAACCCTGAAGCTGGCAAAGCAGTCTATGTGGCACCTTTCCAGGAATTAGTCGACAACCGTTTTGCAGATTGGCAGGAGCGGCTTTCTAGTATTGCTGGTGGCAAGACTATCTCTACACTTACCGGTGAGATCACGGCTGATCTACGAATACTCGATCGGGCAGATCTTGTCCTGGCGACTCCGACTCAGTGGGATGTCTTATCAAGACAGTGGCAACGTCGGAAGAACGTTCAAAACGTAGAATTGTTCATCGCTGATGAGCTGCACATGCTTGGAGGCGAGAACGGTGCCATTTATGAGGTCATCGTCTCAAGAATGCAGTACATCCACATCCAGCTTGAGAACACTATGCGAATCATCGGCCTGAGCGTTCCTCTGTCTAATGCCAGAGATGTTGGTGAATGGATTGGAGCGAACAAGCATACCATATACAACTTCAGCCCTATGGCCCGCCCTGTCGGTCTCGAACTTCACATTCAATCATTCAACATCCCCCATTTCCCTTCGCTCATGATGGCCATGGCTCGTCCTGCATATCAAGCAGTACTTCAGCTGTCCGCTGACAAGCCTGCCATCATCTTCGTGCCTGGAAGGAAACAAGTCCGAGCCACAGCAGTTGATATCCTTTCAGCCTGCATCATGGACGATGATGATCAACGATTCCTTCACACCAATGTTGATGAACTGGCACCCTTCCTGGAACGCATCCACGAGCGAGCCCTGGCTGAGTCTCTAAGCCACGGCATTGGCTATTACCACGAGGCACTTTCGACCAGCGACAAGCGCATCGTGTCACATCTTTTCAAGATCGGCGCCATCCAGGTCATGCTGGCCTCTCGGGACGTCTGCTGGGAGATACCGTTCACTGCACACCTTGTCATCATAATGGGGACACAGTACTTCCAGGGCCGTGAGCATCGGTACGTCGACTACCAAATCAGCGAGATTCTGCAGATGTTCGGCCGCTCGTCTCGACCCGGCCAAGACCGACTGGGCAAGGGTGTGCTCATGGTGCCTCAGGTCCGACGAGAATACTACAAGAAGTTCCTGAATGAGGCTCTGCCCATCGAGTCCCATCTCCCCTTGTCTCTTCATGACGCCTTTGTGACGGAAATCAGCACCAAAACCATCACATCCACGCAGGACGCCGTCGACTGGACAACATACACGTACTTTTACCGACGTCTGCTGGCGAATCCGTCATTCTACGGCCTGAATGACACGTCGCACGAAGGACTAAGCACGTTCTTGTCGGAACTCGTCGAGACCACGCTCAAAGAACTGAGCGAAGCCAAGATCGTCGACCTCGACGACGAAGACGACTCGGTGTCGCCTCTCAACCCGGCCATGATCGCCGCATACTACAACATCAGCTTCATCACGATGCAGACGTTTCTGCTTTCCCTGACGGCCCGGACCAAGCTCAAGGGCATGCTGGAGATTGTCACCTCGGCCACGGAGTTCGAGGGGATCCAGATGCGCCGTCACGAGGACCACATCCTGCGCCGCATCTACGACCGCGTCCCCGTCAAGATGTCGGAGCCGGCGTACGACAGCCCGCACTTCAAGGCGATGGTGCTGCTGCAGGCCCACTTTTCGCGCATGCAGCTCCCCATCGACCTGGCCAAGGACCAGGAGGTCATCGTGTCCAAGATCCTGAGTCTGCTGTCGGCCTGCGTCGACGTGCTCAGCAGCGAGGGCCACATCAACGCCATGAACGCCATGGAGATGTCCCAGATGGTCGTGCAGGCCATGTGGGACCGCGACAGCCCGTTGTTGCAGATCCCGCACTTTGACAACCGCGTCGTCGAGACCCTCGCCCGCCACGACGTCAAGGACGTCGACGAGTTCATGACCGCCATGGACCCGAGCGAGAACCCGGACCAGGCCAAGTTGGTGGCCGAAATGGGCCTGACGAACCGACAGCTCGTCGACGCCGCCAACTTTACAAACTCAAAGTACCCCAGTCTGGAGCTCGAGTTTGACGTGTTGGAGAAGGACGAGGTCACGGCCGGGAGCCCGAGTTACCTGGCCGTCAAGATCAGCAGGGAGAGTGGAGATGACGAGGACGACGAAGACGAGGACGAAGGTCCCGGTGAGGTCGACCTGACGGTCCACGCTCCCTTCTACCCGGCCAAGAAGCTCGAAAACTGGTGGCTCGTCGTCGCCGAGGAAAAGACCCGGTCCCTGCTCGCCATCAAGAGGGTGACCATCACCAAGAACCTCGCCACCAAACTCGAGTACGTCGTGCCCACGGCCGGAAAGAAGGACCTGACCCTTTTCCTCATGTCGGATTCGTACGTGGGTATCGACCAGAGCATGGCTTTCAGCGTCGACGTCGCCGAGGGAATGGACGAGGATGAGGATGAGGACGAAGAGGAAGAATGAACAAACCGCTCAAGGCACTCGCCCCGAGTTGTTGATGCATGATATACTCCGTAGTTGAATTTGGTTTGGGAAGAAAAGCACAAATGTTGCAGCAGAAGGCGATGATAAGGTACTTTTTGCTACCCGTAAAGTGTTTTCAATACATATTTGATCATGGATTTGGTTTTGCAATCTTGGTGATCCGCTTTCTGACAAAGTATGCTCGAAACAAACGTAGGGACTCTTTGCGCTTATCGTCCGACACTGGTGAAAGTCCATTGCTCACCATGGGCCTTTTGTTGGCTTCATACCATAGATTTTGAATGAGCCTATTCATTCCTCTGAAATCATCGTCCACGTCTCTCTTTCATCTGCTTGAAGTTTCGGCCCCTACCAAGCAAGTGGAGTGCCACACACTCTACTAACACACAGATAGTCAAACTCATTTCGACGTTCCGGCAACTGCAACTGAGACATCATTAGATACCAGTCCTCAGTCTCATCCCCATTGATCACTATCGGACTGTCCATGTATGTTGAGTCTTCGATCCTTGCGCACATGAAGAGGGTTCTCAACATGTTCAGCAAGCTGCCACCGCATTTGATGGAGTTTCTTGTATGCACTTTCTCTCGATCGTCGTTGTCTCTATCATGCACACGCATAACGTTGACTTCGGACGGGAGCAATCCGTCACACAAGCACCGGATGATAGGTTTGACCATATTATTGCAGCCTCGAGCTGAGGACGGGCTGCGTCTAACGAATTTGAGAGAAACTTCAGGGAGAATCTCATAAGCGGAAATGAGATTGTAAGTCCAGTGGCCTTAGACCCCCACAAACTAGTTCGCCTTCAAAGGATACATTGATAAACAAGGCCTGTTGGATTAATTTGAATGACATTCGAGGGCTCAGGTATCCCTCCCCGCAGAGCCCACAGGAGCATCCAGCAGCCAAACGTTTCCAAGCCTCTGCCTCGTACTCAAGATGGATGCCCCCAACTTGGCCAGGCACCAGACAGCACCATCCGGGTATCCTGCAAAGTTTCCCAGAACGAGATTTTAAGACGGTAATTGAAGACATCTAGATCGAGACTTTTCGAAGGCGAGCTCTAGAGCATGCAGTGGAGTGTCACGATTCATGTTGCAGACGTGTGGGAGATGACGGCTTCCGTGCTCGAGAATCCAACCAACACATTTGGGGTAGTGTAGTTGAGCAGCGAGATGCAGGATCGTATTTCCCCATATATCTGTGGCCAACCACTGCTCTGAATCTGGAGCCAGTTGTCCATATTGGATTTTAAAAATCTGGAGCATATGTGAATCGTCGAACATTCCGAAGGTTGCTAAGATGACCCCTGGGAGTTCCTGCTTCGGTCTCAGTCTGGGTAGAGGGTCAAAATAGTGGTCGAGGGTGCGAGGTCGATGGAAAACTTCCGAGGTTCTTACAACCAAGCCAAACCATATCGAACTCTCAATATGTCGAAACCCAAGTTCTCGAAAGCATGTTGTGAATTTAGGATCCACAGGATCGGGAACTCGAGTGGTACCACTGCTACCCACGAGGATTTCGAAAGTTTCACAGAACCGAGTTGTTTTGTCAGATTCTGGCCATGTGATGGCAAGAAAAGTGTCCTCGACCTTGTCTTGTGTGGCCCTGAGGAGTGCTTTGAGCATTTGTGTGTCAATTCCACGGCCTGAATAACGGTGACCAATTGTGATATCTTCGATGAGAAGAAGAATCTTCGTGTTAAGCTTGCGTTTCCAGTATTCCGAGACTTTCCGGATGTAATCTTCTCGTAACATTCCATTACAGTCGAATAAATCAAACCCCAACACGGTCACTTCATTGAAGGCTGTCTAATGAAGTGATGGAAATGGCCGGCCACTGTTGGTTTTTGGACCAACTGTGCAATGGAGTGTCCTATTTGAACTGAAGTATGCGCGTCGATTGCAACCACGTCGATTGGCTCTAGCCAGTCGAAAGTAGCGAACTCGTCGTACTTTGCGTACTTTGGGTCTCAGTATTCGATTGTGAAGAAGTCATGCATTGATTCCACTTGTCTTTCACGTGGTTCCTGCTCGTCTCCGTAAGTGCGAAAGGTCTCGGACGGAGAGGCAAGTTTGATCTTGATCTGAATCTGTCCATCTGCGGTATGTGAGTTATCAACAGGGCACGTCTGCTAAGGTCAAGTTAGGTCATAGAATGAGCAATTTTGAGATTATATTTGCCAGAGGTGATGTAAGTTCACCTGCTGATGCTTTTTCTGTCGAATGCAAAGCGACTTGGATGGTCTCACATCCCCTGACGAGTCTGAAGCACGCTTCATTGGCACCATCGTAGGAATGAAAACCTCGGAACAAGCTGGGAGATAATAACAGCAGATAATGCTTGCAAAGAGAGAGATAGAGTAGGAGTTTGTTCAAAGGCACACCGCAAAATAGTGCAGGCAATGAAAATGCGCAGGCACTCGGTTCCTTTCAATACGGCTCGCACTTACATTTTTCCGTGCCATGCACTTAAGGCAGAAACAAGGGCATCGTGAAGGCACTCAATGGCTGCATCAGGATCTCCGTGTGATTCCAGAACGCGAAGGTGAGTGATTATCAATATCTCTCTCTCCCTTTAAATAATCTTGTCAACACCACAAAATGCGGAGATTCAGTATGGAGGCCCTTATCCGATGCCCTCATCCGACGGCGAGCGATTCCTCCTCCTCCAACACAGAGTCCTTACCCGAGGGTGATTTTCCTTGCGCCGACAAGCCTGCTGTAATTCTCTTTAATATCTTGATATCTATCCTCTTGGGAAGCCTTCCTTTGTTCCCTTTCACTCCTTCTACATTCACATCCCCGGACCAGGACAAGTCTTGCTAACACCTTGAAATTACCTTTCCATATCCTTGCCACTTTCCGCCTACCATAAACATCTACCAACCATGGCGAACGCTCGGGGTCTGAAGCAGATCCTCTCCAAAAATCCTTCCGACGTTGTCATTCTCTCATCGCTGCGCACGCCCGTAACGAGAGCAGTCAAGGGCGGCTTCCGAGACGCATTCGACCATGAACTCCTGAGCCACGTGCTGAGAGCGACCCTCGCTGCGAACCCGAACCTAGACCCCGCGAAGATTGACGAGGTGGCAGTAGGCGTGGTCCTGGCTGAGTTGGGAGGATCAAAAGCTGCGAGAATGGCGCAACAGCACGCCGGATACTCTGAAACAACCCCTTTGCACACGGTCAATCGGGCCTGCAGTTCTGGTCTACAGGCTGTCACCAACATTGCGCACAGCATTACGGTCGGACAGATCGATGTCGGTGTGGGGGCTGGAATGGAAAGCATGACCAAGAATTACGGCAGCAGGGCTATTCCTACTATGCTTTGGGACGAACTGAAGAACAGTTCGCATGATAATACGAAAGACTGTATTATGCCCATGGGTCTGACGAGCGAGAACGTTGCAAAGAGGTACGGAGTGAGCAGGGAAGACCAAGATGCTTTCGCTGCAGCATCGCACCAAAAAGCCTCCAAGGCCCAGAAGACTGGTCTGTTTGATTCGGAAATTGTCCCAGTCAAGGTCAAGCAGGTGGAACCGGAGCACCCAGAAGTCTTCAAGGAGGTAGTGGTGGACAAGGATGACGGCATCAGACACGATATCAGTGTCGAGAAGATGGCTAAGTTGAAGCCCGCCTTCGCACAAGACGGTACATCAACGGCAGGGAACTCTTCTCAAGTCTCAGATGGAGCCGCAGCGACGTTGTTGATGCGACGGTCTACCGCGAACGAGTTGGGCCTGACCAAGTCCATCATCGGCAAGTGGGCTGGCACTCAAGTGGCAGGTTGCCGACCCGACGAGATGGGTATTGGGCCAGCAATTGCGATCCCCAGACTCCTCGACTACACCGGCCTCAAGACCGAGGATGTGAATCTCTGGGAACTCAATGAGGCATTCGCCAGCCAAGCACTGTACTGTATACGCAAACTGGGACTGGATATGGAGAAAGTCAACCCCAGAGGCGGTGCCATTGCCCTGGGCCATCCTCTTGGAATGACAGGTACCAGACAGCTTGCGACTTTGATGCCCCAGCTGAATGAGGGCCAGGTGGGTGTAGTAAGTATGTGCATCGGGACAGGTATGGGTATGGCCGGTCTCTTCGTGAGAGAATAGGACGCTCGGCGTCCCTTTCATCCCTTTCAGTAGTCTCAAAATGTTCTTTTTTTTCAACAGGGCTAGAGTACTTGGAATCTGTGGGAGACAAGGCAATGGCGGGGATATAAATATATAGATATGTATATATGTATATAAACTATATTCAGAATGATAGTGAAGCATTGAGTCCTCCTCCTCCGGGAAAAGACGAGGGGACGAGAAAAGTAAGCTTCGGCAGCACAAGCGACGGTCGAACTGCCCCGGCGTCGCGTATGTGATTCCGTTTGTGATCCAGCAAACCCAACTGTGCTGGTCCCTAATGTCAGCTTCGATCTCATACCAAGTCCTTCGTCAAGAGCTTCAGCAGCGGCTTCGGCATCCAGCTGGATCCTTCGAGCACACGGGCGCACGGCTCAGGAAATCGATACCGCTGAGGAGCTGGGTACGAACTCGGCTCGGTGAGTAAGAATTCGAACCCACAACCGGTCGATCGGTCCGCAAACAGCGACGAGGACGGCCACCCGTCCCATCATCGGGACATGCTCAATGATAGCAAGAGAGATCAAGAGTCCATTGACAGCAGTGGCAGTCAGGATCATATCATCCGCCACGAAACGAATCCCCACGCTGCCTAGACAACAGGGCCGCAGGGTTAGGAATTAGATTTGGGAAAAGCAAGCGTCGACGCTCATGAACAAAGACATTGGCATTGCTTATATACCTCTGCATCTGCCTGCTGCGGTCGTTTATTGTGTATGGTACGGCTTGATTAACACAGGGTAGTCACATATGAAACTCCAACTTTATGGAATGGAGCTGAATGATCTGATGTGATGTGTTGCCAATGTACTGCCCCTGCTATTGCTAGAGCTTACTCTCGGAGAATGAGGCCCCTGCCTCGGGGATACCAAAAGTTGTAATGTTTTCGACTGTTTCCCCATCAAGTGCCAACTCCGCAGCAACCCGGCCAAACGTGGGAGCGAACTTGAAACCATGGGCAGCTCCCAAAAGCACGATCACATCAGGGTGGTTTCGGAGTGGGCTGATGACGAACTGCCGATCAGGTGTGACGGTGTATTGACAAGTGACGGTGCGGAGGGTCTGGCGGCCGCTATCAGGCACCATTGCATCCATGAACGAGGTTAGTTCGTCCAGGAGTGGCTGCGAGTGGACATAGCTGCGTCGTTCTGGTGTCATGTAATTCTGTGCCTCGTCGCGTGCCGCTTTGATGGTTGGCTCGCCGAATGTTGGGAAGCCGTAGAACGCCTTGGCTCCAAAATAAATCCACACGGGGAACTTGTCGTCGCCAAACTCGCCGGGCTGCGAGGGCTTATAGTAGGTGACCTGCTCTTGCGAGACGCGCAATGGTATACTCACCCCCAGAGGCTCAAGGAGCTTGTTCGTCCATGCGTCGGCGGCGACAATCACCTTGGAAGCATAAAATCGACCCTGCGAGGTCACGATTTCGACGCGCCGGCCCCCTTGCGATCGCTGCGGCTTGATGGACTCGACTCGGGTATACTCTTTGAGTACAGCTCCAGAATTGCGAGCCAAGTTTTGCATGGCCGCGACCGAACGGGATGCATGCACCATGCCGGTATCAGGCGTGTACACGGCGTCAGTGCCATGGGGTGGCCGAAACTGGGGCCAGCGTCGCCTTACTTCCTCGCTGCTGAGAAGCTCGTAAGGCACCTGGTTTCGGCCCAGACTTCGAGTATAGTCGTCGATCTGGACCTGCCCGTTCTTCGGGACAAAGATCAGACCTCCCGTCTGATGGAGCAGTTTGTGGCCTGCTGCCCTTTCAACGTCGGCCCAATCCTTGTAGGAGGTTTTGGCGAGGGCGACGTACTCGGGGGAGTCGTACGACGTCCGGACGATGCGGGACGTGTCATGCGAGGCTCCATGTACGTGGCCCAGCTCGAATTGCTCGAACCCAATGACCTTGGCGCCTTTGAGAGCCGAGTAATAGGCTGCACCACTACCCAAAGCCCCTAGGCCGATGACTGCGACGTCGAAATGTGCCATGGTGTTTTGGGAGGTGGGTTTCCTAGACACGGGTCGAATGAGAAATTAGATGCAGGGAGGGGAGGGATCTTTGCACCGAGACCAAGCTTAGAGAATCACTCGATTTCATGCAGCCGAGGGCGAGGCCATATACATGAGGCATCGAATGGTAACCTACCACCCATCCGGACTCCTGGGCAACTAGTGACTGACGTGCTGCTCATGCTGAGTCCTGCGAGACTCGGTCTTGCTTAGAATGACGAGCAGCCCGTGTCCGTCGGTCCGTCGGTCCGCCCTGGTCTTCTTGATCCCAACAGGTCATTTGGCAGCGAGAGTCCAGGATTGACCTAGGACTAGAGAAAACACCTGATCGAGCTGTTGAGAAGGGTCAATAACGGCTTGGATATTCAATACAGTGACCCCAGGGCTGTACTGATTTCTGACTTCTGATTTTTCAGGTGAAAGTAGTTTTTCTGAGAGAACCCCGTAAATCATGGAGGGGGCGGCGAATGAAGGTGGCTCATCTTAAAGCAGCGGATTAGATGCCTCACGATTTGTTGCCAGATACAGGAATTAAGATATGCCGCTATAGCCATAGTCCGCGCTAAACGTATTCGGCCATTCAACCTCCTACGTTTCCAGCAAGTTGTACTCTTCGTGTTGTGTTATGCATCTGACCATACCATGTCGCCCCGGGATGAATCAGTGCGACTATGGAGAGTCAACAAAGTCCAAGTGATGCTCATGGAGCAGCATATTCTATATCCCGAACGAGACAAGCGTGTGAAAATTGCAGGTAGAGTAGAACTGACCGTCATGCGATGATCCAATCCTGAGGTGTATCCAGGCGCAAAAAGGCTCGCTGCCCCGGAGAACGTCCAAGGTGCTCAACATGCTTGAGACTTCATCAGCAGTGCCGCTACTCGTCGCGACCCGCAACACGAACACATGTACATGGTGTTCCCTCATTGGCTTTGGATGGGGTGGACAGTGCCGTGGTAAGCTCACCCTTGCCCAACATGGACACCGCACAACGATATGGTAACACCAAAAAAGAATCCTGGGCGCCTGGATGCAATTGAGGATAAGCTCGAACAAGTCTTCGCGCTACTCAGGTGCATGCGCTTCTCGGAGCCTTCTTCTCAACTAATCAGATCTTCAGAGCACCCGAGGTGGCGGCATGCCGAGGGAGCGAGGAGATTCAGAACTCTTCAACCAACGCGATCCGCTTACCTTCCGTCGTCAGTATACCTGCTCAAGCTGAGAGTGTTGCGGAGCTTCGGTCGGGGTATGCACAAAGCATATCAATTGAACCTAGCGACCACCTAAACCTTGCACCTTCTCAAAAGTATGTCAATTGCGCTGCCACACAAAGCTTGACGTGCCTGATGATTGACAGCAGTGGAATTGAGAGAACAATCCCAGCAGACATCATGCGTCAAGCAGTAAGGCTCTTCGAACGATACTTTATCTACCAACCTTATCCTCTTCTGTCTTGGATGAGCAGCCAGGAACGATTGCTGCCCGAAAACCTGCCTACCATGGTTCTTTATCCAATCCTTGCCTTATCACTTCGCACTATGGACCCTTCATCTCGGGCAGCTATCCCAGGTTGGCTCGAGATAATCAAATCTCTCTCAAGGGTCACGTTTGATCTTCTATGCAAGGCTTATTCTGCCGAGCAAACTGACATGGCCTATTTTCAATCACTCTGTCTTCAGGCTCAAGTCGATTTTGCATGTAAGCCCCCGTGGGATTCTCCGTGGTCGTCGTATCTGACAACATTTACAAGGCGGCAGCCCTGGCCGAGCCCAGGTACAAGTGGCCCTCGGCCTGCGACTTGCACAAGGGCTAGGCATGCTGGTCGCAGAGGACAGTGACCGGGCTCATGACGAAGAAGATATACTGCGTCGTGAAGTTGTGTGGACACTATTCATGATGGATCGTATCTTTATCGGGCAAAACATCAGCCGTCCTTGCATACCTGCATCATCATTTGATCTGTTCGTGTTCGAAAGGGGGCCTCTCTTACCGGAGAGATCTACTGGATTTAATTCCTTTGTCACCCTTAGAGAAATAATTCATCACCACAACAACAACAGAACATTCAGTTTGATGGCCGTCAACATCCATTTGCTCTCAATATGGGAAGATATGATGCGAGATGTGTTTGAAACTAGATCCGGAAGGACCGATACATTTTGGCACGACGGATCTTCCTGGTCCAAGATTCAATCCCGTCTATGGGAATATGAGATGCGTATGTCTTTCCATTTCACGTCGCAACAGATATGTTATCTAACCTTAACCGCCGCTAGTGGTACATCCTCACCGGTACACGAGCGTTGGATTTCCAACGCGTGTACGACAAGACCCGCTCACGAGATCCTACTTCTTGACCTGGCTGTTCTTTCAAGTGCTGTACTCTACGATCCAGTGTTGCTTGTATGACCCATCCCCGACAAGTGAATTGCTGATGAAGCTCTACTGATCTTGTTTAGAAACCATCCGTTCGTCCTGCTGATGAAGACGAGGCTCCTGCTACCGCGAGTTCCAGCAATGTTTCTTCAAAAGTCATTCGAGTATGCCATGACCAACTCAAAATGGGTCATCCGTCTTGTTGTCGAACTCGAGGAAGCAGGATTGTCATACCACGATCCATTTCTGGGTTACCTCCTCGGGATTGCAGCCACTATCCAACTGGAACAGACCGTTAGCAAGAAGCGACATGTTGCATCCAACGCAAGGAGGAATTTCGAGAAGGCACGCAGTTTTATACGACAGCTGTCAAGGCAGTGGCCAAACATGCTCAATCTTGTGAGTCGTCCTGCCAGTCGATGCTACCATTTTGCAAAGACTATTCTGACTCTTCCTGCAGTCCAATCTGCTCGACCAACTGACCGCTCGCCTCAGGCAGCGTCAGACAATGGATTATGTGGACGGCGAGTACGACGGCGCTGTGCCACCTTTGGGTGTTCGTGATGTTGCTCTTGAGCAGGAAGACATTGACTTGATGTGGAAGATCTTTGACTATGCTTCCGTTTCTGCAATTCCAACCGCATTGAGAGCAGGAGAAGGCCGTGAAAGTCTTGGAAGTACCTCATCTCCTACACCCCTCGCACAGGACGCCGAGCTGGGAGACATGCAACATTGGTCGGCTGGATCTCTTGACAATAGCGACATGCTCCGAGGAACAGAGGACGTCTACCTTGGCGCATCAGGCGATCTTGATTTTGGCCAGCCCTACAGCGATGAGTGGTCACTGTTTGGGAAGCCATGGTCTGCATATTTTCCCCCTGATGCGTCTCCATCAACACCAACATATCGCCCACACTAGCTTCGGCATTCTTGGGGATTTTCCGATGGGAATCTATTCCCTGAAGGCTACCAATTACTTTGCGCAAAGATGATTCAATTTCACATCGGCGAAACAAGCCAATGCCTCTGGATCACTTGACCCAAAAAGGAGTGTGAGTGCCCCAAAGATACAGCTAGGGTGTACGACCAAGTGGGTTTGTCAATTCAGAATTTATTTCTCGATATACCGTTGCTGTGTGTTAAACTTCCATTGAAAGACAACTTCGACCTGGACTTGGAAGTTGGCGCGGGAAGAACCGTCCAAGACCGGTCAATATTTGCATCCAACGCCACTCCGCACCTAGCGTTTGGCTTCTTTCCGGACGTTTACACCTTAATTATGCATGTCGCTGGGCATCTCAAGCACCTGAGCAAACAGTCAGCACGTCAATGTTCTCCATGCCATCAAGGGAGCTCTTACCGGGCCCAGGTAATGTCCCCTTTTCGCAATGAAATAGAAGCAGACGATCAAGACCCAGCATCCAACCACAATGACGGAGAGATAGTCTGTGTTGTTGTTAGACTCACATACACGCCGAGATGCACGAGTCGAAACCGCGATTCCGACTGGGTGGAGCACACATACTCATTGTTCCAACAGTGACGGGAAGAGTGACTGGAAAGCACAAAATAACTGTGCAAAAGATGACCAAGAAAGGTGCGAGTGCATTCAACGCCCAGCCGATTTTCCCCAACTTGAATGGCCGGGCTGGGAGTAGGTGGCGGCCACGAGTGGCTAGAATGGCTTGTGGGACGGCTTGTGATACGGTTAGACACGATTGAGAGCGATTGACGGTGCTCTGGTTGGGGGCGTACCATATGTGGTGAACAGCATAATGATGCTGGAGCCGACGATGGACTGAAACGCCACCACCGAGCCGATGTAGATGGCGCCGTAAGCAATGGCGAGGAATGAGGAGAGCAACGTCGCCCTGACTGGTGACTTGACCGTCTCATTCAGTTCACTAAAATATTTCGAAAAGGGCAAACCATTGTCTCGAGCAAAGGCCCACGCTGTGCGACCAGCGACGAGGATCCCACTGTTTCGCCGTTAGATGGATGTTCACGCCATGCAGCTCGCATTGAAGAGGTGTACGCATACGCAAGTTCGGAAAACATGATGCTCACAAAGATCAGACATGTCAATGCGATGGCGGCCGCTTTACTCCCAGTTGCCTGGTAGAAGATGGCCAATATTGGAACACCCGTCGGGCTTGTCACGATCTGCCAAGTCGGTTAGCGAGGTGTGAAATATCTCAAGACATCGAAAGCTGTCGACACGCACTTCATTTATATCAGTGATACAGAACAATAGTGCGATGAGGAAGAGAAATGCTGTGACTAAGCCCGTGGCGATGGCGCCAACCATGGCCCGAGGGACTTCTATCTCGGGATGCGGCATTTCTTCCTATCAGCCCAAGACTGTTAGTGAGGGAAGCGAGCGCAACGAGGGAGCGCAATCCGGTGGCCAGGTGCTAGCTTACTGAGAGATGCGTCGCTGCATCGATTCCTAGGAACTGAGTGTCCTCGTGTCAGTGCGACTGTCCACCATTCAACGAGTCTCGCACGGATCGACCAACATTGTAGGTAGAAAGCATCCATCCTATGACAAAGGCCGTGCCGCTACTGCTCCATCCGGACTCATTCGAGAAATTCCCGAAAACGAAACTGGCATTCCGGTAGGGTTCACCCGCATGCATGGCCACGGCTGTAATGAAACAGATGAAGAAGCAGCCGAGACTCCAGTATACTATTGCTCGAAAGAATCAGCAAATCTCCGCGCGCGGTACTGAAAGGGGGACAGAGGGGAAGGTTTGCTACAAGACATCGATGTCAAAAATGACATGATATCGTTGCCCCCGATCACGATGATCGTAGCGACGACAATGATGGCCACATATACCAGCCAGACCTGCCATGCTTTGGCTACCTGAAATGGGTGTGAGCAAATCGGAATCATGATTCATGCCTGGTGTGCGCCATGTAGCGAACTAACATAGTCGGGATGTGTCAAAATCGCCATTCCTACCACGAAGGATGCCAGAAACAGAGCCGCAGAACTTTCCCATCGAGTGTCAGCAAGGATACGTCCATCTTGCTTGAGCCAGCACGTACCTAATGATAAACCACCAAGCAATGAGGTTGCTCCAGCCAACGACGAAACTCTGTCGAGTGCTGGATCAGTATGTCTGTTTCATAGGTGGACCCGACCCGACCCGACGGTACTTACCAAGAACTTGCGGTGAGCCTCGCTGGCGAGGACATAAGTGTAATGGTATGGCCCCCCTGCTCCTGGAAATGCGGATGCCAACTCGGCCACACCGAGGCATAAGACAGTAGTAAAGATGGCTGCTGCCACGCAACCCCAGACGATGGTCACGGGCCCGCCCAATGCAATGGGAGCCAACATACTCCCAGCTTCGGCAACCCATGAGTTCAGAATGGCGAAGGCGATCCCGAGCGTGGCCAAGGTTCCAAACTGTTTTTTCATTTGCAAGGTGCTCTGTTTGCTGTCAGCGGAGAGACACAATGAGATCAGGGAACCAGCGGACTTGCCTCATATTGATGAGAGACTTGCAATTGCATCTCGCCCGCGCGAGTGCTGGATATCAATTCCAGCGGTGAGCCTTGCGCTCCCGCTCGGGGTTTGTTTTCTGATGATGGTGGGTTTTCGTGAGCCATTAGTCGTTGTGTTGCTGGCTTTGTGAGTGCAGCGAATTCGGTCGGGTAGTCTTCCTCTCTGTCATGAATAGTTTCCACGGAATTCAGACCGAACAAGTCAATGAAGGTGCATAATAGCCACGACTTCCCAAAACTATCTTTGACTGTTATGCTAGTCACGTAGACAACAACAACCCCGGATCGAGTTCGAGGTTGCCGACGGACCGTCTTCCGTCTCCCCTCCGTCGGCGTTGGGGCTCTCCTTGGATTGAAACTTTATCGCGTTTGACAGGAGGCCGGAGCGGGGGCTCCGTGTCGCTCATTCTCCCTGTGTCTATTCTTTCTCTTCAGAGACATGTCCGTACCGTTCTCGTAGAGGATTCGAGGCTCTTGTGCGACAACATGATGACCTCCTCCCTTTGGATCCTGCTCTCATGGCTACCGCTCTTGTTATGCCAGGACCACGGACAATCCACCTTTCAGCTTTTCGAGAAAGACATCTCATGGAAGGCAGCTTACAAAGCTCCGTGGCAGACTATGCCTTCACTTCCGCCGATGCCTGATCCCAAATTCAACGGCACTGCTCGTATCAATGACGTGGATTTGTGGTATGCCATGTACGGCGCGGAATTATTCAAAAGTCGATCTGCCGGCTACTCTCCAGTGGTGTTCCTCCATGGAGGCTTCGCGAACAGCGACTATTATGCTCACCAAATCAGGCATCTGGAACACGGGCCATACACGCTCATCACCGTTGATTCCCGAGCACAGGGTCGTTCCTCTGACGACCTGACTCGGCCTTTGACGTACGATGCCATGGCTGAAGATGTCATTGCCCTCATGGATTACCTGGAGGTTGACCGCTTCTCAACGGTCGGTTGGTCCGATGGGAGCTGTCTTTCATTCGATCTAGCTATGAATTACAGCCAGCGCATCGACCGTGTATTTGCCTTTGGTGGTACATACAGTTATGAGAACATCAATGCCACGGTCATGGAGACCGAGACTTTTTCAACGTACATGCGTTGGGTTCAAGATGACTTTAAGAGGCTTTCTCCGAGCTCCGGGACATTCGACGAGTTCGAGGAGCGAATGATGCAGATGTGGAGCTCAGAACCTGTGTGGACTGCTGAGTCGTTCCAAAAGGTGCCGTCGCTGTTCGATGATCCCGATGCTCCTATCATCTGGATCGTTGCCGGCGACTCGGAGGAAGCTGTGACGCGAACGACGCCTGGAAACTTGCACAGCTGGGTAAGACCATTGCATCTTGCTGGTTGTTACCTTGGTACTCTTGGAGATGGACGCTGACATACATCTGACTTCAGATCTGGGGTTCTTCTCTCGTCACCCTGCCATCAGTCAGCCACTTTGCGTAAGACATGTTCATGACACCCTGGAGGGGCCAACGTTACTGACTGTCAGGGCAGGATGTTTCAAGACCCCAAAACATTCAATATCCTCCTGGGACGACTCTTGGAGCTTGAGCGATGAGCACATTTCCAGGAAGTCTGGCGAAAACGACATCATTGCTTGTTAAAAACCAAGACATGCGGCCAGGTGCTAGGAAACGACCTACCTAGCTGAGACAAGGCTGAGGCACGTGATCCAATCTGCTCTGCTCTTATGTTGCTCTGTGTACCTAGGCAATAAGATGAGTTTTCCCTGACGTACGAATGCGAGATTCTCTACAGACTACAGGGTGTGAGCGATAGGTGCGTGATACTGAACGAGTAGCTAAAGTACCTCGTGGTCTCACGGCTGTCAAGTGCGCCTGTACGGACATAGGTGGCTTGAATAACTAAGTGATAAGTGCTAATGAGTGCCTATAATTATCAAGGACATCAACATAGCTATGACAGAGCGTTATAAAAGTGCAGCGCAGGTTTATATTACAACAGGAGTAAACGTGGAAGCACCAGGTGCGCACAGGGTTGGTCTGTAACAGTAACAATAACAAGCCTTGCACCGCCGTCACCGTGGCAAGTCCTCCTCGTTCCAAATTCAGGGCCGCAATGGTCCCGATTCCTCCACATCCGATCAACAAACAGTTGACTTTGCGCACTTTTGTGGCTTGCATGCTTTCTTTCGGCCGAATGAAATGGTCTCTGTGGCTACCTGTTGATATCTATAAACAGTTCTCAGATGAGATGTAAGTTCTCAGGGCGGGGGGGGCTCTCCACGATTGATCATAGCTCTTGGGCAGATGCCAACCGTGGCCCGACAGCGAGACCCATACGTACGCTTCTGTCATTCTTTTGAGCCCGCGGGATGCATCAGGAACATCTGCGAGGCTGGCATTCATGCCGCATTGTTTGAGCAAGTTGAGCCGGCCCCACCTGCCTTGTCCGTGTTGGCCAAAGCCGTTGCTTTACTTTCCTAAAGCGTCCGCGGGCACAAAGACGACGAGACGGCGCAAGGCTCTACGGTCGACCATTACGTCCAAATCTCCCAGCTCGATTACGAGTCGTTGACCGCAGTAATCATTATCAAGACGGCTCTCGAATGTAGCGTCCTAGATTCGCGGGGCACGCAGGTACAAGAGAAGCGGAAGCATGGCGTTGCGATTACTACAAACGGGAAATTTATCTTCAATGGGAGGGCACAGTGGACATCTGAAAACCACTGGCGCAAATCTCAATGCCAGGCACTAAATAAATTTGTAAGGGTTCATGATACCTTTGGGGTCAAAGAGCTTCTTGACTTGAGTCATCAAATCCAGCATCACCGCATCTTTACTGTAACCCACGTATGGCTTTTTGGCGAGTCCCAAACCGTGCTCGGCGCTGATACTGCCATTATGCTGCTGAGTCCAAGCGTAGATCCATGGCTCAAGACAGTTTTGGACGGAGTCGCTATACCGCCTGACGACGACATTCAGATGAATGTTCATGTCACCCATATGACCATAGCCGAGTACGCTCTCTACCGGAAAATCATCAGTGGCGCCCAATAGATTAGATGCCACCAGCTCTGCCTCCGTGGCTTTCACAACCTGGTAGAGATCCTTGTGGGGGATGGACAAGTCGTATTTGTAGGTGCCGCCGGCCTTGCTCAGAGCTTCCGCAATGCCTTCGCGCCAGTGCCACAAAGCTTTGACCTGAGAGACGTCCTGAGCAACGACTCCATCGGATACGATGCCCTCAGTCATTACGTGGTCGAGGAATCCTTCAAGCTTTTCATAGTCGTGATTAGCAATGCTCCCACTCGTCTCCACTAGACAGTAGAAATCATGTTGTGTTTCCAGGGGTCGCTTGAATTGAGTGGCTCGGTGGACATAGTCCTGACTGTGACTGTCCATCATCTCGAAGGCCGACAGCACCTCTCCAAGACGTAGCTTAGCCTCTTGAAACGCGGACTGAACGTGGTCATACGTAGGTAAGCCGAAGAAGGCAACATTCACCGCTTTCGGCTTCGGAGGGCAGACCAGGGACACACCAGTCACTATTCCGAGGGTACCTTCGCCACCGATGAACAGATGTTTGAGGTCATAGCCAGTGTTGTTCTTCCGTAGCCCCGAAAGATCGTTCACAACCGTGCCATTCGGGAGTACAGCCTCGATACCCAAGACATTTCCGTGCAGAGAACCGTAACGCAACAATCGAAGGCCGCCCGCATTTGTAGAGATGTTTCCTCCGACATGGCAGGAGCCTTTCGCACCTAAATCTAGTGGAAAAATGTGCTGTCGCTCGGCAAGGTACAAATCCGCGGTTTCCAAGACAACTCCAGCATCCACGGTTAATACCCCACTGACCTGATTGAAGTCTCGTATGCGTTTCATATTCGAGAGCGAGATGATGATCTCGTCAAATACAGGGACGCTACCACCCACCAAACCAGTGTTCCCTCCTTGGGGCACAACTGCGAGGTTGTTGTCGTTGCAATATGCCAAAATCTGACTGACTTGAGAGGTGTCGCGAGGTCTCAGTACCAGTTGAGAATTACCTTTGTACCTCCCCATCCAGTCTTCATTGAAGCCTGTGAGCTCCAAAGAGCCCTCAAGTGTGGTCCCATCCAGGACATCGGACGATCCCAGGGCCGATCGGAAGTAGTCGATATGCTCTGCCCTCAATCGCGCAAACCTGGCATCGCGTTCCAAGTGCCGCTTGCCTCCCGTAGACGCTGTGTGCGCCAGCCTATGAGCCATCTTGAAATTGAAAGGTGCTGACGGCTTCATCCTCCAAGCGGTGGTGCATGACCAAAGACGGGCTGTGCATGTTCGCCCACATGGTCTGCTCACTCTGCCAACACCCCATAGTCCTCCGCTCTTCGGAAGAGGCAGTATCATGTCTAATCGTGGCTTCAATGGACTCATTCTCTGATGCCAGTCTCCTTCAAATCACTCTAACAAAGACGAGCCTTTCAATCCCCATTCTAGACGAATTATGGTCAAAAGTACTGTAGGAAGTCTGCGAAAGCCTGAAAGCTTTGAAAGAAAATACAGTGCATTGTGTAAACTTTGGCATATGTGAGCGGTCTAAATTGGCAGGGCAGCTCCGGTGCTGGATGTGCGTACGGAGAAGTATTCAGGACGCATTGGTACGGATCTTGCACCGCTAGTCCTTCACATACCCATCTACTCCTCAGCCCAGTTCTAAATGTGACGGACTCGCAAGGGAAATCATCGTCAAGGGATGAATGTCCTATTGAATGAAATGACAAGATGATCCTTTGCATAGCTTACAATCTTTCTGTGTAAGCGGTCGTTTTGTGCTATCCATGGACGCTTTTCTCGGCCGGCTTCAACGAGATCAGGGCGAGCCTTCGTAGCCTTTGACGAGCGCGAGGATGGCCAACGGCGAATTCATCGCGTACGGCATCGCGTCCTCTGTTTGTGCACTTTTCATTCTTGAATTCGGAGCCGACAATTTTATCGACCACACCGCCATCGTTGCTGAACATATGGGGATTTTTCAGAGTGTCATGGGATTGCTGACTGCCAGCGCCGAATGGGAAGAGGTGGGTAGTAGCAAGTCACCCCCCTTCCACTTCCAAGTGGAAGCTTTTTGAGTCCCGACTCTCAAGGAAAAGCTCGCCGTTGTCGTGGTCTTCATAGCTCGCCATCGCTCCTCACTGGCGGTCCCCAACATCGTCGGGTCCTCGATATCCAACATCCTAGGTGCCTTCTCCCTCGGTCTCATATTCCACAAGGACGAAGGCCAGATTATCTTCGACGGAAGCTCAAATATCTACACTTTACTGTTACTCCTCCTGACTATACTGGTTGCCGGGTTGGGCGAATTCGCGACCACGACACGTGGAGAGTGGTTGGAGGTATAGCGATAGGGCTTTTCGTTGTGTATGTGATCTCGGTCACCTGGTCCACCACAAAGGAACGCATGACTGCACCGGAGCAGCTGTCCGATGGTGACAGTGACAGTGACAGTGACGGCGACAACGAGAACAGCACGAGTGAGGAAGGAGATCGTCCCACTTCCCACGATAATGCCAACGCTTCCATCGAGGGGACGATACGCCCCATACGAAGCGCCGCCCGTACAGTAATGCACGAATCTTCTACGAGTGCGAGTATCGGCGGTCCAGTCCAATCCACCACCGTCGTCGTCGTCGGTTCAGACGACCGATCATCCGACCACTCCACATCAGCCTCGAACTTGTTGGTAGAGGAACCGCAGACAACGCTCTCCTCGGTGTCCAGCGGCAACCACAATGACAGGCACAGCGTCACGTATCACGTTGGCTTCCTCGTGCTCGGCCTTCTCGCCATCCTCCTCAGCAGCTACGTCCTCTCCCACGCGGCGTCCAACCTGGTCGACGAGATCGGCATCTCCGACGTCCTCTTCGGCGTCGTCGTACTCTCCGTGGCCACGACGTTGCCGGGAAAGTTCGTCGCCGTCATGAGCGGATCCCGGGGCCACGCCGGCATCTTGGTCGCCAACACGGTGGCAAGCAACATCTTCCTCCTGAGCCTGTGCATGGGCGCCCTGTGGGTCAGCACCGGGGGTGCGTTCGATCAAGGTTCCGTCAACGCCTCGGAGCTGGGGACCATGTTTGCCTCCACGCTGGCCTTGACGTTCACCGTGTGGTTCGGAGCACGGTGGAGCCGATGCTTGGGCGTCACCATGCTGCTTGCGTACGTCGCGTTCTTGGTGTTGGAAGTCACCGTCGTCTATAAAGTGTGATCGGGTTGAAGAAGAGAGGGTTTAAAGGTGTGTACTGTAACACGGAAGAGAAAAAATGGCCATATCCTGCCAGGAAAATCAGAGATTGGCACATACACCTTTGGAATTTCGTTTCTTTTCTAGCTGTGCATATTATGTTTTCTTTTGGTACAAGAATTTCTTCTGCTTCGTCGTATCACCAGGCCAACTCACATGCTCCGGTGGTCCATGAACCTGATCCAGCAAGGGGGTTATATCCTCAGCTCGTACTTGACTGTGGTCTCAGTATCCAGCGAGGCTTTTCCGCATCGGCCCACTCAGCTCGTGTTGATCGTGGTCCGGTTCCATTCCTGGCCTTGAGGTGCCAAATCCTTGTGACCGAGCACTGGAAGTCCCTTGGACTGTAGTTCTCGCGCAATCACCTTCCACCGTCCAATCTCCTTTTCTTTATCCACTGGTGTTTCCCGTCTCGAGAGAACCATGACGTTCGGGCCTAATGGCCGAGGGACCTTTCTCTTGGGTTGCGGTGTGCTTGTTTCAACAGAGCTCTCGGTTTTGGTAATGTCCGTGAGAGTTTGGGGATCGGCATTCGCTTTGATATTCAAAGCTTTGGCTTGTTTGGCGATCAGAATCTCGGCCGTCTTTTGTGGTTTTGGTTTCGTGTTGTCGAGCAAACTGACGAATTCGGCCATGGATTTATTGCCTCGGACCACCGTGTTCAAGATCGGGTCGGGGACGGGCATGGAGATCAGACGGGAAAAGTGTTTGAGAATCTAAAAAGTGAAGTTAAGGTCAGTAAAAAGACACCCCCTTGTTCGCGTTATCGCAGAATGAGAACAGAAGATGCTCACAGTGAAGGTGGTCTTGCTAGTGAAATCAAACTTGGCAGCGTCCAATTGTTCTTTGATTTCTGAGATGGGGAGTTCGACGGCCTGGGCATCATCGGTGCTTCCCTTCACCGCATCACTCATGGACGATCCTAAGATGCCCTCAGGATCGTCGAGGTGCGAAATGGTTCCGGACGGCGAGAGCGCAATCTTGACTTTGTTGTATGCGTAGTTGAGTTTCAGATTTTCCAATTTGAGATCCTTTTCATGTGTCTTGAGTGTCTCATAAGCGAGGACGTCGACGACAGCGACGTAGAGCATGGCGAGAAGTTCGGTTCGGTTGGGAAACGTGGTGTCTGTGTCTCGGACCAGCCAGCTGGAGAATCATAACAGTGTCAATTACCATCCACAACGGGAGAACATCATATTACAGAGTAACTATGGCACTTACGGCTCGAATCGATCCTGTGGCTTTGCAGGAATATCCTTCCAGTGTCCTTGGTGTCCGACATGCTCCAACCCGTCCCACGTCTCCGCTTCCACGTAGGACTTGTCCTCGGCCAGCTCTTCCGACGAGACTGTGTTAGAGCATCTCGAGGAGGCGGTTGCGAAAAGCGCAGAACGCGAGGAGGCACGATGCACTTCCGTCTGCCATGTTTTACGACGTAGACCGTGAGAGGAGGAGGCCGAGTTTGAAATGGTCCGGTGTTGTCTCATGTTCAACTGAATGTGATTTCTGCAGGATCGACAAATGTATCTCGGTGGTGCTGCGGCTTTCGAGAAGCTGTCATACAGCGTTTGGGTCGTTCGACGTGAAGTGGCCATTATACAATTTAGACAAGACTGTCCTTGACACAAAGGTCGCAGACCGCAGGTATGTAGGACGTAAAGTAAGGATGGGCGTAGAGACAAGACTCGCTGCAACTCCTCGACCGAAATCTCATCGGAGCTCAACTTCGCGACGCCAAGATGTCACGTGCACTGCGTATCCCTGAGATATTCTGGAGTACTATCTTCATGGCCAAGTCCGAGAGACTGAAAGAATTCCATCGCTGTTATGCATGCAAACAGCAGGTCCATGGCGAAGAATAAATGCCATGGGACCTTACAATTACAACCGCAATGACTGAGTTCACTTGAACAAATTTGAATTTCTCCACGTTCCCACGTCACGGCTCAATCCAAGGGACTAAAGTATCGTCAATGCTTTCTCTCTCTTGCTTTACTGCAAGTGTATTCTGCAAATCCCAAACCTCTACGTCCGTCGTTCTTCTAGCCATCTCACTACTGTCCACAGATGTCACAAAAGATCTCGAATCCCTGAAAGAATCACGCGGCGTTAACAAGTTCCATATCCCTTTTGATGCAAAATTCAGGGTTGAACTTAGATAGGTAGGTCGTAGTTCGACTTACCAGATCCTTCCCAGGACTGTTTGTGCAATTACTCGACAAAGGCCACTTTTCCTCGATCGCCCACAGAGCGGAATCGGGCGAATGATCAAAGACGATGGGCACCAGAGGAGCTTTCCGGCGGTACAAGTCGATCGTATCTGTATCCCAGCACATTAGCACAAAATTTGGTAAAGACAGAATCCCCGTCCCCAAGATATGCAAAAGATGCCGTTATATGGAACTGTGCGATGAGCCTGACGTACCAGCAAATCGGAGCGTGAGGTTCTCCAAACGCGATCCACGAACACCGTATCCAATTCCAGTGCCGTCCCAACGTATGCCGTCCATTTGCGACGAAAGTACAGACAATGGCTGTTCGGGACCCATGAGGACAACTACCACCCCCATGACTGTCAGCAATGATGATGTCTTTTCGGCGCCGTCGTATGGTGGGAAGATTTGATGATCGATCGCACGCGAGACCAAGGAAATACGCATGGGGTAAGTTGGCACACGACATACCACGGACGTTGTATCCTGCTTTGACAATGTTGGCAGCATCGCCCCTGAGCGCAGCGTCGACGGCGGCTGGGTTGAAGCCTTGCGCCGTGACTAGTGGATGGTAAGGTGGTAGGCCACTGTGTGAAGGGTCAATGTTGCATCCAGACTTCGGGAGCGCAAGGTAGGGGGCAAAGACATACGTGAAGATGATGTCCAAGTCGCCGCAACCAGGCTTTGATGGTGCCCACGGCGGGGCAGCCAGGGTCGTGGTGACTGCGAGGCCGAGAGAGAGGATTGCCTTGAACGAGACCATCTTTTTTTGGTTGGAACCAACGAGAAATAGGTTAGTGGCAGATGTCTGAAGGGAGAAGAAGTGTCAAGTCTTCCTTCTGAGAAACGAATTGAGATTTCTCGCTCGTAAGAAGCAGGCAGGTCATCTATTTATCTCTTCTTCGAAGGCCATCTTGCAGACAACGATAGGAAATTATCTCTGCAACGCAATTGGCGGAGCACAGGTGCAAATTGAAGGTTCCGTCATGACCAAGCCACTAAAAAACTACTCATGTTCAATAACGAGGCATTGTATAGCGCACGTTGGCCGAGCCTGTTGTCGAAAACCCGCCTGTTACTACTCCGTAGGTACTTGGTATAACACAGGTCGCCAAGATGAGCCAGCCTTGCATGATGATGATGGAGACAACCGGGCTTCGGGAATCGGATGCCCGACTGAACAGACCACCCAGGCTAGCCGGAAGAAGTACCTGCCATGCCTTGACTAGGACCGCCCGGGGGTATTCAGCGCATTACTTTCCCATCGAGCAGGACTCTTTAGTGTACCTTGGGACCAGGCTTGTGGTACCTGCCGACGAGATCATCACCCATGCACGAGTATTGTACCTTGTATAAGACGCGATTGGCAATCTGCTGACAGATTGGATGGAACATCATCCAGTGCACATGGCGCAACGTCTGTTGTCCAATCGACGCCATCAAGCGCTATTTCCTCCTTAGTCCACAGGCACATTATGCGCGAGGTATGCTGTAGGAGATTATTTGCCAGATTAGGGTCATGTTAACTGCGCAATGGTTTCAAGAAGCTCAGCTGAGACGTGCGCCAAGTGTTATCAGAGGGCGACCAAGTACCGTAAACGGGTACTATCACCACGAAGCAAATATCGTGGTGACCAAGATCCCATGTTCAAGGAACTTGTAAGCCATTCTCTATTCCCAACTGGTCTCTGAATGCGAAAGGATTCATTCCGGCCCCGAAGAGGACCTGCCAAGTGTATTCGAATGCGTAGTGAGGGAGTTATTCTGCAAGTTGGCTGGCAAGATTAACTCTATGCAGGAATAACTTGGGTTTCAAATTCTCTCCGCCGTCACGTTGATGACGGCCACATTGTTCTCCCGTCAGAGATCATGCAGCTTCGCGCTGGAACTTTGGGAGTCTTCTCTAATGATGTACAAGCACTGAAGAGAGCCGTGGCTGTGAGTGATTGACTGGATATAAGTCGTTGCAGACCAAGTCGATGTTTCCTTTCCAGGAGCGAGATCTCATGAGATGACAAGTATATCGGAGGGGGCGCACAATCTTATGCAGGGTCTCCGTAACACCAGAGCATGAAGTTGTACATGTCGGGTACCTGCACTGGCGTCCGTCTCCTAGCCTGTGGTAGCAGGCGAAATAAGGCTGACCATGTACAGCGAGCTAAGTATAACAGAGAGAGATGCCGTTTTATCAATCACTGATGTCGTGCATTCGCCGGAATGGAAAATCCTCGGGTCATAAACTCGCCGTCTCTTGCTTTACGATCGGTACTCTTTGTATACAAAGAGCTGATGTTCTCGTTTTCGCGACGTCGCTTCTTTCTTGCTTCCTCTTCCTCGAGAACACGGGCGGTAAGACTTGCTGTCGCCGCGTTGCGAATTCCGCTTGAAGGTTTCGGCGTTGATGTCCCTGAATGTGGCGTCGCAGAGCGAGAATTCGTTGCAGCTGCAGCTTTGGTGTCCCCATTCGCTTTGACTTCTTTCGGACCTGAAGCATTCGTGATGTTTGGCTCGATCTTACTCTCCCCGTTCGCCTTCCGTTTCTTGCTCCCACTGGTTTTCTTCAAGGAATGAGACAAGCCTAGAGACTGTAAAGTATTCATACGTTCAATTACAAAAGCCTTGTCCTTTTCGGTGCTGGGTAGAATCGGTACAACGTCGCGTTCTTCGTACGGCGTGGCGCATTGGACGCATTTGCCATCGCTCTTCATGGCTTGAATGGCTTCTTGCGAAAAAGCGTGGCCGCATGGTACTAAGTAGACAGCCTTGACGTTGGGACCCAACTCCTTCGATGTCACCGGGCAAATCCATCTCTCTTCTTTCGTCTTTTCGTCATGCTCGACTTCAAACTGTACTTCCACCACGTCCTTCAAGGCTTTTATGCGTCCTTGGATGAACTTTTCGTACTCGCTCTTGTCCACGGAACTCGCTTCGGCAGGCAGGAGGAATTGAATGATGGCATCTTTATTGTAGAGGTCGCCTGCATAGTCTGAGACCACTGGTTTAATCAGAGGCTTGTTAGATACTGGGCATGTCGACCAACGGTGCGCAAGGTGTTCTTTCTGCTTGTCCTTGAGTTCAGTTGCGGTAGGATTGCGAGCCGCCTCTTTCACGAGTTCGCGGCGGGTGGGAATGCTGCGCCGAGTGAGCAAGTGTGTTGATACATGTCTGAAGATTGGATACTTACCTGCCTCCGTCATTGCCCATGTTCAGCGATATTAAACGGTCAGTTGGCAATTGTCACTTTGAAGGAAATCTACAGTACGAGCATCAAGTGCAGCGGCCTGTTAGAAACTGTGGGCAACAAGATGTCGCCCCCATCAGTCTGCAATACGGCGCCTAGTAAGCCCATAGCGCCCCGCCTGAGTTGCCTAAATCGACTCCCCCAAATTGGAGAGCGATTTGTACTCTCTGACTCCTGGGAGAACTTCGATCATGCCCTTATTCCGTACTGTATTCCGAGAGGGGACCTCGTGAACAGTCGCACGATGATCGCTACGGGTTTAAGCACTGATAAATTCAATCAGAACCTGAGGTCGACGATACGCAGCCCTGTGAAGGGATAAACGTTGTTTGACATCGCGTATTTACGCGGCACTATCCCAGTAACTCCGCCATTAGTCATGTCAACGGCGCTCAACTTTTGGTATAGACGACAAGTCTATGAATGTCATCAGAATAGGTTGATTGGTACGGAGTAGCACTATCTCTTTTTCTCCATCTTGAGCCCATGAACGTTGTCTCCTCTCTTACTCATACGAGCGCGGATGTAAGTAATGTGCGATGCCAACCTCGACGGATCTACTCTGTACTGAGCGAGCGACCCGGATAAATTGCCGATATCAACCGATGTTATCAGTTTCTCTCGATATATAAAAGCCAGTCATGTTTCGACCAAACCATCGATTGTTCTCTATCACTCGACAAACAATTATTCCCACGACAGTTACCAGCAGACACTCTTACTACTCTACTACAAATATGAAGGTTCTTTTGAGCGGAGGCTCAGGCTTCATCGCCGCCCACTGTGTCGACATCCTCCTCCAGCGCGGTCACGACGTAGTGTTCACTGTCCGTTCAGACGAGAAGGGCCAGAAGATTCTCAGCAACCACCCCGGAACTCCTGCCAGCAAGCTCAGCTATGTCATAGTCAAAGATATTGCTCAGGAGACTGCCTTTGATGAGGCTGTCAAGTCAGACCCTCCATTCGAAGCAGTCCTTCATACAGCTTCGCCTTTCCACTACAACGTCACCGATCCAAAGAAAGACTTACTTGATCCAGCCATTATCGGAACCACTGGAATACTGAAAGCTGTGAAGAAATCAGCTCCCTCAGTCAAGCGTGTGGTCATTACCTCGTCGTTCGCCGCTATCATCAACCCGGCCAAGCACCCCAAGATGTACTCGGAGGAAGTTTGGAATCCTATTACAGAGGAAGAGGCGATTCAGAATCCAGCAAATGCCTATCGAGCAAGCAAGACATTCGCCGAAAAGGCCGCTTGGGATTTTGTAGCCAAGGAGAAGCCCAATTTCGACCTTGCGACGATCAATCCACCGTTGGTCCTCGGCCCAGTTGTTCACTATCTAAACTCTTTGGATTCCATCAACACTTCGAATGAGCGCGTCCGAAACATGATTCAAGGCAAATTCAAGGACGGCCTTCCAGCGACCGGCATATTCATCTGGGTCGATGCCAGAGATGTGGCCCTGGCACATGTTAAAGCCATGGAGGTCCCCGAAGCTGGAGGAAACCGATTCTTGTGCACAGCAGGATATGTGTCCAATGGGGAAATTGCCAGCATAATGAAGAAGAACTTCCCAGCTCTGGCAGACAAGCTTCCCACAGACCTCAAGAGTGACAGGCCTGAGGATGTCTACGGCTTTGACAACTCGCGGAGCAAGAAGGTATTGGGTATTGAGTATCGAAAACTTGAGGACAGTGTGGTGGACACTGTGAACTCATTGCTAGCGGTCGGGGCTTGAGATTTGTAAAAGAGGACGTTGTATCTAGATATGCACCTAGGTAGACAATTGAATCAAATTGATACGTCCAGACATACTCCAGTGACTATGCGCGGTGCTGGGTCACCATGCCTGCAGATTCAATTGGTTGATTCCAGATGACCGCTGACCCTGTTCCTCCGCGGCTGTTAGTCGTATTCGTACCTGGTCTCACGAGGCCACTGCTTCTTATTTACCTAAGCAGCACATCAAAAAGGCGCAGAGTTCTTTGAATTGGGGCCCGCCACTTTTCCAATAGGACAAACCAGATCATATTTTCGATTGAGGCCGTTGCACAGTCCATGTCCATTGCCTTGACCAGAACGCCTCGCTTGAAATCGTCCCTGACAATAACTAAAAACTCTCAGACCCGCGTCACCCCTAGATCACACAAACTCCCCTTTAGGCAGTAATCGCCCGACGGATCCGGAGTCCGGAGTCCAATTTATGGTCCGTACTCCGTCCTTTCTACCTCCGTTCCCGTCGTACGTATTAATGCCGTGTGACTGGGAGACAGACGCCGGTCTGATCAAGTTCAAACCTTTCTGACTCTTCAAAGTCCCCAATCTAACGGAAATGGCGGCTACCTCTTGCTCTCCGGGTCCCTCTGACACTGTTGGGCTGAGAGCGAACCGAGCATGCAGAAATTGTGTCCAGATTAAGGCAAAATGTGTTCCCTTCCAGGGATCCGACATCTCCATATGCGAGAGGTAAGCCCTATATGCACCAATTTCTAGTCCAGACGCTTACACAACTTTACCAGATGTCATCGACTTGGTCGTCAGTGTACAACTCCTGCAGCCTTGCCTCGTAAGCGCGGGCGCAACAAGTCAACGTACGAGTTAATCCCATGACTGCGTTGCATTTCATTTGCCATTGCCTGACAGGACATTGTACTACAAGCATTTTTGGTCCAATGATCTACTATATTGTTGATCCTATATCGTGCTTCCTACATGGCCTTGTCAGGCAAGGTCAATATGGCCGACCAGCGATAGCTCCTATAACATGCTTCAATTGCTAACGGACACCAGGCGCGTGGCTGAGCTTGAAGAGAAAATCAACAAGTTAACGAATCTTTTGTCTGCCGACCAATTGCATCATGAGGAACCGAATCAACCAGATGCCACCAGGAATGATCAGTCACTGCCCACGCCACCATTATCAATCGGTCTCGATCCACGGCCTCTCCCGCCTGCCGGAAATGTCGACCAAAGGTGTAAGCCTGGCATTGATGAAGCTGCCGCTTTGCAGGCGGATATCAAGTCTATCTTCCGTACCGAGTTGCCACCTGTAGTAGAGGAAAGGCTTTTTAGTGATTTCCGAACAACCTTCAACCAATATTTTCCTTACGTCGTCATTCCACCTCAGGCAACGACTGCCGCAATTCGAAAAGAGAAACCGTTCCTCTTTCGGACTTGCGTCTCTGCAGCATGCCATACGGACCCTGTGATACAAAAGCAGGTAGCAGAAGAGCTGCTACGCTATATTGGCGAACGAATGCTGATCAGGTCGGAGAAGTCGCTTGATATCCTCCAGGGTTTGCTAGTATTCATTTCTTGGTGAGTCAATCAGTTCTACGGTTAATCGCATCAAGGGGAGCGCATAATGGAACACATATCCTTGCTCTTCCTAGACCATTCGACCAGAAACCCAAATAATGCTGATTTCTTGCAAGGTATCAATACTACAACAACTACAATCATCAGTTGATGAATTTGCTCCACCTTGCCTCCGCTATGGCCATCGATTTGGGTCTGAATCGACCGACATACTCGGGGCCATGGCCCCCAATTGGAATGGTAATTGATACCAGTCAACTCATCCATGGAAAACCGCTTTCCCCAGGGGTACAAACATCTGACGAGCGACGGGCACTCCTTGGACTTTACTTTTTCCAAGCGAGGTTATCTGCATGCTTTTCAACGGTCGATTTTATGCAGTGGTCGCAACACCTCGAGGATTGTTGTACCTCGCTACTCTCCTCCTGCGAATACCCTTCCGACGTTGAAGCCGTTCAGGGCGTCCGACTTACTCGACTTCTGGAACGATATTCACCTTATACGGGCGTAATAACCTTGAAGAACGTACCCATCAAAGCTTTCGTAGATTGCTTCCTGGAAGATTTACATCGCGTCAAGCAAGGATTCCCCGCCAGTCTTAGCAATGATCGTAAGTAAAGCACTACTAAGTCTTTTGGCCCACATTTCCAGAACTCCAATCTCGAACGCCTTTGCTTAACGCCAATCTCCAGATCGACCTACCGGCTTGAGTATTTGCTAATAAAGCTTGCAGCTGTCTTCCAAATGCAGATTTGTGATGCCGAATTGACAATATATGAGTCTGTTGCAGCGTCAGAGCAAGATACCCCACTTGAACGAGCTGAAGCGCTGCACGCCGCACTTGGAACTATTGACAACCTCATTAACAATTTCACAAGGGTGTCGGCAGGTTCAATACCTCATCTGCCGTTCCTCTCATGGATTCATATCCTCCATTGTTACATTGTCTTAGCGAAGCTTTCGTTCCTTGTTGTAGATGGCTGGGATCTACAATATGTTAGGACAGGACGCACCAACTTCCCGGCAATGATTTCTCGTATTGTGGAAGTACTTGAGGCTACAACACGATACAGTATGGGCGAAAAGCTGAGACCAAATGCTGTCTCTGCACGATACACTGTGTATGCGGAGAAGATGCGTTCATGTTTGAAATGGTACAACAATAAGCTCAAAGCAGAGACCGAATCGCAACAGTCATCTGTTGCTGATCTAGGCCCTGCTCTGCCAACGGTGGACTCTACATTTGAGGGCTTCTTCGAAGGCTTCGATGATAGTTTCTGGACGGATCCCAGCATGGACTGGGCGAGCGCAGGAGTACAGTCATGACAGAATTTAGCAATATGCGGTACTAGGATACATCTAGCTCAGTCTGGAGTCAACATCTGGGAGGGCATGAAGCCCTTATGGGATGGAAAACACGGACTTCAGGTATTCACTGTGTTTCGGTGGTCTCTCGTCTGTATGTCTATGGATGCACAGGCAGAAACCAGGTGCCTCATTCATACCGGGTGGTGCCTGCCCTGATGAGTTTGATGCACCGGTTTTTCAGCACTTTTTAACGATGATTTTCTGCTTCTAGCCAGGAATTCAACAAGCCAGTTCTCAAAGCTCACAAAATTGCACAAATCCTTGACTGTGGTCATACTAGTATGGTATGATCTGATCCACATTCAAGCGGGACGGAGGAATCGTATCCTTCATCCGGAACCTTGAAAGACGCCCGGCTCCGTACCCGACTATACGGAGATACCGCTAAGGTGATAATCCACCAGCAATAAACAGTCAAAGAGATCTTCTTCTTATTTCTGTCAGTTCCAGACTCAAGTCAAATCAAATGCGACCGAGACTCTTCTCAATCAGACAGCAAACATGGAGAAACATGGCGGCACCTCTGCCGACGGCTCGAGGCCAGTCCAACCACCACCTACGCCTCTCCCTACACCTATTCCCGAGGCGACTGTCACGACAGGAATGTCACGCAAAGAAGAGGACGATGTCCCAGCAGAATATGACGAGGAGCCAGAATATCTCGGTCCACGGGCGTTGACCGTTCTCATGAGCGCCATCTTGCTTGTCGTCATCATCCTCACCCTCGACCAATCTATACTAGCTACTGCCATACCCAAAATAACGGACCAGTTCCATACCATCGCCGACATAGGATGGTATGCTGCTGCCTACTTGATCTGCAATGCCTCCCTACAACCTCTGACGGGAAAAGTGTACACCTACTTCTCACTCCGTTATGCCTTCCTCAGCTTCGTCTTTGTTTTCGAGTTAGGTTCCCTCCTATGTGGGGTGGCTCAGTCCAGCACAATGCTCGTCATCGGTCGAGCTGTGGCAGGAATGGGCGGCTCAGGTATACAAAACGGTGCCCTTACGATGGTGGCTGTCGCGGCACCACCCTCACAGCGGCCGACATTGATGGGCGTAATCATGGCCATGGCTGGAGCAGGACAACTCATTGCCCCCCTCATCGGTGGTGCTCTCACTCAACATGCAACGTGGAGGTGGTGCTTCTACTTGAACTTGCCAATCGGTGGCATCGTACTCGCCGTCATGGCATGCATTCAGTTGCCAGCATATAAGAACCGAAAAGCAAGTTGGACATTTCGCGACGTCGTCCGCGATTTTGACATTACAGGTTTCATAATCTTCGCACCAGCCTGTGTCATGCTCTTGCTTGCCCTTGAATGGGGTGGTTCGACATACCCATGGTCCTCGGCGAAGATCATCGGGCTTTTTGTTGGCTCCGCCGGTACATTTGTTGCTTTCTTCATCTGGGAATACATCCACGGCGAGAATGCCATGATTCCACTGACGCTGATGACCATGCGCGTGGTGTACAGCAGCATGTTGGCCACATTCTTCCAGTTTGGCGGTCTTCTTATTTTTTCTTACTACCTGCCTCTATGGTTTCAGGTTATCAAACACGCCAGCCCAACCCTGAGTGCTGTATACATCCTGCCGACATTCGTGTCACAGATAGTGTCAGCGATATTGATCGGTGTACTTGTTTCGCGTGTCGGCTATGTCGCGCCACCGACAGTCGTGGGCTCCATCCTAGCAGCACTGTCATCAGGGTTGATGAGCACCTTCAAAGTCAGTACCGGGACTGGGACTTGGATAGGATATCAGATCATCAACGGCGTGGGTCGAGGTATGGCCATCTCTCTGCCTATCCAGGCTGCACAATCCGTGGTGAAGCCAGACATGGTACCAACAATCACGGCCTTGATCGCCTGGTCTCAAACATTCGGCGGTGCAATCTTCATCGGCCTTGCGCAGACGGCATTTATCAATCTTTTGAAGAGTGCACTGAGTACCCGCGCACCAGGTGTGGACGCAAACGTGGTCATTGCCGCTGGTGCAACAGACTATCTTGCCCAACTTGCCGCAAAAGGCGATTTGGCAACGAGACGCGGAGTTTTGCTGGCCTACAATGAAGCCATCACGAAGACATTCTATCTGGCATTAGGATGTACGCTTGCTGCAGCCGTTGCCAGTGTGGGTATCTGGAAGACGAGAGTCGAAAGAAAAAAGAAGCCTGTCAAGGATGACCCGGAGGGAGCGGGTGAAGAGTCAGGAGCGAAGGAGGACATCGCCTCCGATGCTGTTAACAAACCCGACGGGGAGAAAACTCATCGCTATTCTAACAGCAGCCAGAAACCATCACCACACAGTAACGAGCTTGACGGACCGGTCGAGACAGATGTGTCCGAGGTAACAGGAGCAGTCGCTGCCCAAAAATAAATATTACAAAACAGGAGATGGATGGGGTTTTGTTTTAACATTTCGGCGTTTTCTAGAATTGATCGATTGAGCGTTGATTGTCGTTGGAAGTAAAGGTGGATCAATGTCTGCATACAATTTAACAAGCTTGGGATGGGTATCAACGGTCGATATTCTGTACTCTCGCACAGTCGAGATGTTTGTTTTCTATGTAATAAAGGGATCAGGGATAAGACACTAGATTGTATTGAGTCTAAAATATTCATAGAGTGGTGTAGAGTACAATTGAGTATCATAAAACATGGGTTTTGCCCGTGTATCTTCACGGTGTATACAAGAACTGTGAACGGGATCTCCTAATCACACGTTGCCAAAGTAGAAAGGATGATAACTTGGTATGGAAAAACTCGACAAGAATTCCAAAAAAGAATTCCGTTCTCTTTTTGGGGGCTGTTTTTCTCAAATGTCAATGTCCTCGCCCTCGACCCATCTCTTACACTGCCAATACAACAAGTCGTGCTTGTCTCCGCAAGCCTGGCTCCCTCCGTCGACACCATTCTCGCGTCTGTGGCCCGGCATGTCTAGCAATACCTGGACCCCCATTGTCTTTTCCTGACAATAAGCGAGGTACCTGTACCCGGACGGGAATTTCTTCAACTCTTCTTCGTCTAGGGCAGGAATCTTGTTTGGGTTGACGGGGATGAGTTTGTCCTATTATTTACGCACCAACAAAATTTCAGTCGTTAGCCAAGGTCACCGTATTAACTCTGTATAGTCTGTACCCCGTGATGGTCCAATACAGCAACAGTCGTTGGATGTTCAAAAGGGGGAATTTTGCGGCATTACCTTTTCATACCAATGCCTGACGTACCGAGCACGCCATTCCCCTTTCCCTCCTTCTCGGTTGGGGGTGGTCTCGATCTTGATCCAGAAGAAACAAAACCGACAATCGCTCTCGGCGTCGACCTCGCACCCGTCGAGGTCGAACCTTTGCGTGATGGTGGCCTTCATCTTGGTCACGGCTCGGGTCGCATCAAGATTGATGTCCGTCGTGATGCCGTGACAACGGTGCATGATGAAGGCTCCATTGTCCATGCCCCTTTGTGAGGCCTCGATGAAGTCGAGATGGTGAGTGCGGCCGGTCCACGTAGTGTAGATGTGAGCGTCCGGGTGGAAGATTGATTTTAAATTCTCCCATTCACAAGCGTCCCTAAGAAGACCCCGGCCGAGGGTCGACTCGTGTCAGACAGGGTACCTAGATACAGTCTCGTTTTTTTGTTGTACATGCATAAATACATCTCTCTCTATTGACTTACCTATACGCTGGCCAACCTTCGGCAAGTTCTCTTAACTTATAACGTTCAAGAACCAAATTCTCCGGTCCATTGTTTCGTATAGCTTTGTCAGGTCGGGATCCTGAAGGTAGGGAATGTAGGTCTGGCATGATTTCTTGTTAATGTTGTACAGAAATACCAACGATGCAGTTAAAATCGAAGCACAGAGAGAAAAGGGAAAAGGGAAGGAATGATGAATAATGTTGGTTTGATCGTATGCGTATGTAGATGGGTCTTCAAGTCTGAGCGACGCTTTTTCGGAATAATTCTTTTCCGGCCTTTATCCTTTCCGCGAGGCTGTGCCCCGTAAGGAAGAAAGGGTTACTTGCTCTAAGCCAGGCAAAACTCTCACAAACATTCCTTCGCGGGGTCGATTGAGACCTTTCCTTTCCTGAGGCTTTCCGGAATGGGATTCGCTCGGCTCATGATTCGGCACATGGGCACCAGACAATCATCATCTTGAGACGCGAGACGACGCGTGTCTGTTTCCAACTTTTATCAACAGCGTTCAGGGACCATCCATGAACCCAACACAATCATCTTCCAATCAACCTTACCAGTTGTTATGAGGTGCTGTGTCCGGCATGATGTCGCTAAGCACATGTGCCACTCATACTAACAAGCAGCGTTAGTCGGTATTTGATGCCTAGAATATACGGTGAGTAGGGTGTCCAAACCCACCGGCATTAGCGGCAAAAGAGCAGGCAATGATATTTGTGCGTCTCGAAATCTCACGTGCTCTGAAGACTCTCGTCAGTGAGATCAATCAAACGCTCATGAGTATGGCAGTCAATAATATGATCTTTGTCACTCTACACCATATCAGCCAGGGATCTTTGTGAATCAAAATTGGCCAATGCAAGCTACGCCTCACTTTTGACTCGCTAGAGCAAGGTATACCTTGGGCATAAAACCCCTTTCGGTTCATCCAATTGTTGAGAAAGAAATCTAGCGCCATGAAACTGACCTCTCATATTTCTCATACTGCCGAAGGATTGGTTGTAGTTTCAACTGTCTCACGTTGACCAGACTAGGAAGGAGAACCCTGAATGGCCATGAAGTGACGGTTATAATATCGGAACGACTCACCTCTTCAATACCTGGTTCCTTACAGTGTTCCCTCCAGATGCTATATATGCCAGGTGTCCCAAGTATCGCCAGTTCTTGTGGTGCAATGGCGATTCGGAAAGTTTGAAACCTCTGCCTCGCGGTCACCACAGTCACAGCCTTTACTTCCTAGCTTGGACTTCTTCCACGAACCTTCCCTCCACTTGAAACAAGTGACAGCACAAGACAAGAAGCCAGGTGCCATAGGGACAGGGTTAAGAGACAATGTGCCGATGTCTTCATTACCGGAAGGCTTCTTGATGTGATTGCGACATGGATATCCGGAGTCGAAAGGATCCAACCACCTCATCTTCATCCAACGTGCCACCATCAGCACCCAGATGCTGCACGGGGGGTTGGATGGACCATGACTGAACGCCGACTCTCAGCAAAACCTGATCGAAGGGGAGTGATGCGCAACCTTAAAGTCGCCACACTAAAAACCTGGGGATTGCAGCCTCCATCATGTCCTGGCGATCACGACGTCGCTTACAGTACCAACATGTCTCTCAAATTTGACGGATAAGGATTTCGCCTCATGCGGAGTGCTATTGTTGAAGCGCACTGCCTTCCAGTTCCGACGAGACCAGCTACAGCTTCTCCTTGGAAAACGCCGCCTTCCTGCCGTCAACCCGGATCTGATTAAAAAACCTACTGGCTCACCTTCAACAAAAAGTCAAATGAGTGTTAAGGTCCAGTTTCGACAAAATTCCAACCAAGTACGTTGATGAATGCTGAGGTGGGAGGCAGCACAGCCTGGCCTGGTGACATGGCGTCTTCGCGCCACAATGGCCCCTGTTCAGACGTCACCTACTTTAATGCTGCGAACGACCGGGCAATGAATGGTGCAAATTCATCAGGAAGCAAGCGCATTGGCGCCTCACAATGATTTCAAACTTTCCTGCAGTCCCAACGGGGCTAAAACGAAGTGTACGATCTCCATTTTGTTCACCCTGCGAGCTTGAGCTACTAGTGAGAGCAACAAGAGACAGAGCCTGACGAGCGAGGAACCCCCACTTGGAAGCACTTCGATTCATTCACCCCGAATCAAGCAGGACTAGTCCTTACTTTCCCGATGATCACATCTTTGGGCTATGAGCATAAGTGGCCAGTGTGTATCTTGCGGCTGCTAGCTGCCACAACTCACCTGTCCTGGATGCCAACACACGGTAATTGCTCACTGGCCACTCAACTCTCCGTCAGTAAGCGGCGATGGATTTGCAGGCTCCTCGGCTGCTTCGGCACTTTAACACCGGGACGAGTGTTGCTTATCCAGAGTATTAGCAATTCACGGTCACGTTTGTGGCTCGCTCATGCAGCCGTGGCAGAGCGCTCATTTGCGGAGAAACTCAATTGGAATCAATTGGAAACAGAGCAAGGATCGCGGATCATTCAAAGTGAAGCTGGCACAATCTGACAGGAGTCGGAAAACGCCTAACAACGGACAAACCGATGCTGCTGCCTTGGGCACTCGAAATTCTATTTGTGCTTAAACCGTCCGCGTTCAGTGAGAAGGAGGCCTTCAGGCGTCGGTCCTGGTCACATTGATCAATCAGAAGGGGCTCCGTCCTCGCCATGCCCTTTTGGTGCCTTACACATTGCGACTTGCAATTTGAAAATTGACGTTCGGAAAGTCGGTTCCCAAGGCAGTCTCGAGGTTGAAGAAGTGAGGCTCATGATGAAACTGGCGGTCAACGCATTGGAATCTTATATGTCTCTATTGCTCAGCCATGGGCTTATGGTGCCTTCAATCCGCCTTGTAGCTTCGTCTTATGCCTCTCTTATCAAGAAACTTCAGATTATATGAAAGAGTTGCCTCCTCCCAGCGCGCGCACCTCGCTTCCCTATTAACTAACACCCACGAAAATATCGTCGTGGTAGTTTGTTCCCTTCAGTGTGCCATCGAAGCATCATGGATTCCTCTGCCGGCAAGCCACATACGTGGCTTGAACTAGAAGGCAAGCTTGATCTAAATATTCGAGCCGACTCGCGACTGATGTTCGGCTTTTTGTGTTGCATTCTATGTTTGCCTCGAATCATCTTTGGTTGGGTTATTCGACTTTCTAATCTATTGATTTGGAATGTCTACTTGGTTCTTTGGTGTTTTACCTCGAAGCCTCAATCGAGCGTCACGGTTTTCCTTGGCCAGGGAGACATCACCACAGATACAACCTGTAAAGAATCGCAAGTGGCAAAATATACAACAAAGTGTTACCCTTCCAGATGTCGCGACCGCACATTTGGGACTCAGCATCATGTTGTGAAGCTTGATACGTGGAACAATGGCTGTGGCATCTGCACGCCGATTTCGCCTAGGGATGCGATCAAGAGAAATAACAACGGTCTTTGTGCACGACCAAAAATCCCAGACTTGTTCAGGTGGGGCAGATACAGACTCAACAAAGAAGCAGACAGGACCTCGCTATCGATCGCTGGCCCAAAATCCAGAAAGGGCGATCATGCAGACCTTGACAGAGAAGCTGATACGACGGTGAGGCTCAAGAGGAGTCGAAACAGCTCCAAGCGAGGAAGCGATGGTACTCTGCGATCATCTGCCTCTCTTCCCCATCGCCCGGGCTTGTGTAACCCTCGCGAAGCGCCGTGCGATAAGAACCGGGTAACATCACCACAAGGAGCGCCACGTTTGTCCTACGCGACGCCACCCCCGCTTGCATCAATTAATCAAGCAGCTAGAGGCGCCAACTTTGTAGCTGCGATTCCATGCTCAAGAAGAGCTCAGCTCAACACAAACGACGGTAGGCCCGAAGCATCCTTGGAGCCTCGTAGGGGCGCATTGAACAGCTTTGTATCCGTCCTTCCAGGTCGACCTGAGGCGCCCTCAACAGTGGCAAAACCAGGCCCCGGGCATGCAGGCAAAGAGAGCGAACTTGAGATCACCATCGATAAAGCGCCCGACACCGGTTCGTTGACTAGTCCCCCTACCCATGGGTCGAGGCAACTAGCTGGAGGAGAGCCTAGCAACGGCAAAGGCAAAGGTAGAGCAAGGTCTACTTCCACGGGTGCAAGAGGAGCCAAGTCCGCCCGAAGCACGGCAGATGGACGCACATGGGAGCAAAGCACTGCTGATGATGAAGGCGAGGAGGATGATGACGACGACGACGACGATCAGTCAGAACCAGCTCACCCCACAGATCAAGAGGGTTTCGATTACCGGAAGCCAGGAAAGAAATTCCGATGTCCTCTACACGCCGCTAATCCTTCCCTCTGCGAGAACCTGAAGTCGAAGTGCTGGAAATGGGATGCACCGAAGATCGACAGAGTGAGTCGCCATGTCAGGGCCCACATCAAAGATGATAAAGACAAAATGGAGAAAATCGACGAATGGTCGAAACGCAAGCTCAAGCCTGAAGAAAGATGGAGGGAATACTACCGACTGTTTGGAGGTCTCGACTCCAATGTCTCTCCATACAGCGCTGAAACCGGCCTCCAGACTCCTATCACGTCTGCGTTGGCCCAAATGGCGAGCCATATCAGCCAAAACTCCTTAACGCCTTCCGAATCTCGAGAGACTCTTCAGTCCTTTGTAAGGCTATTTGCAGAGAAGGAGCATCGTGACGTGGAAGCCCGTGCACACTTTCACTCACAACAGGCTAGACTACACTCAGAACAGGCGAGAATCCATCATGAGTGTGAAAAACAGGTGAGGAACTCGGGAGAAAGGTTCGAGGATGCTGTTCGGAAACTTTCCAATAGATCCACCACAACGCCGACCAGATTGGAGGCAGGAAACCATTCTCCAGACACAACCGTCATGCCTGACGGCACTCAAGATGAGGATCTGTTGCACATCATGGGGAACTCCGGGCGACAGCCTTCTGGTCATCAGCGACCAATGTATGCCACGCACATTTGGCCTGAATCAGGACCGGCCTCCTCAAGCAGGTCACAAGACCCAACGCATCTGATGGTACCTACAAGTTCTCAATCATCGCAGTATTACGCGTATCGCAACCGCATACCACCCCAAGAAGGGCAAGGCATACTTGGTACCGGCATCGCTCAACGTGAAGAGACCATCAACCAAGTCCTGTCTACCACCGACAGACTACTAGATCCTCAGCAACGGCCGCCAAAACGCCGTAGATACCAAGAGCACCAACGCGACCACCAACAAACTTCTTGGAACCCAGACGCGTGCTCACAGCTCTATCAAGGACTAGCAGATACCAACTACCAAGGTTTTTCATTACCTGACGACTGCCGCTGTACTGGGCTCAGCCCTTCAGTAAGACTCATTTGCCAGAGTTGTCAGCTGCCACATAGTCGCTGTCCTTGTCAAGATGGGATGAATCGGTTCGAGTGTGGGATTTGTGGGAGCATAATTGATTGCTGGTGTCAGAAATGTCAAGCGCTCAGATTTTCCACCCTTTGATCATGAGACGTTCTATCTTTTTTGTTGCTTTTGGACCATCTGGATTTTGATCACTATTATGACCTAATGCTTGTCTACTTGTGGGTTTGGCATAGGAGGAGCAGCACTGCGGCGTTCATTTCTGGGGCGATCGAAACGTAGATCTGGTCTACAACTTCGAACACCTCCCCGATAGGGATGTACTTGAGAGAATGTATTTGACTTAATGAAGCAATACTCTTCTCCCCTTGATCTTTCCTTGGTTCAAGTCCTCCAGCACTCGAGGCATAGTACGTATGTTGTCTGTGGTGATTTGCGGCCTGATGACACCCTTTGCCATTAAATCCAAGGCTTCCCTAAGCTCAGTGTGGGTTCCGTTCCAGGAGCAGAGGATTTTCAGCTCCTTTGACATGGCGATGAACGTGTTGACGGGCAACGAGAAACTATTCATGCCTACTAGCACCACCGTACCCCCGGAGCGGACTGCAGCTGGATCTCAGCTAAGGGAAGTGATGGTTGAGAGGGGGTGCACTTACCGGACATTTGGGCGCTTGCGAAAGTCGAGTCGGCGCCAACAAAATCGACGGCGGTGTCTACCACAATCTTCTGGGCGGAAAGATAGTCTTCGACCTTGGTTTCTTCCGACGGGCAGAATGCATCTTTGGCCGGGACACCAAGCTTGATGGCCTCATCTAGGAGCTCCTGACGTTTCTCGACCACAATGACCCGCTTTGGTCCGAGATGCATCATCGCTTGCAATCCGTTCAGACCGACACCACCCAAACCGTACATGAGGATCGTCTCATGTGGCTGTACCTTTGCAAGACCTTTGACTGCATGGTAGGATGTAAGCACGGCATCCGCGGCGATGGCTGCAGCTGAGGGTGAAACGCCTGCCCCCGTGGAACATGTCAGCCGCATGAAACTACGACACACAAATCATGAGTCTTTCCAACTTTACCTTTTGGTACGGGCACCGCAGCCCATTCCTTGACGGCGGCGTATTCTGTGAAGAATCCGTCGCGCCCCAGACCGTACGTCTCGGCGGTTGTGCATATCCTCTGCAACCCTCTAGTACATTCTGGGCAATCCGAAACCTGACAGCCGGGGCAGCACATCAACGTGACAATATCTCCCTGTGAAGGTCAGCCGGTGTCATCCGGACCTGTGCGCACACAGCACAAGACCAGAGAGAGAGAGGAGGTCCACCCACGATTTGATGTTTAGAGACCGCAGAACCAAGTTGTACTACCTCGCCGCTTGCTTCGTGACCCTGTCCTGCAGGTTCAGCTTGGATACGTACCTATGATATTTCTTAAACGAGAGTCGTCCTCACCATGATGAAGCTTCGTTTCCATGAAGGTACCGGGAGGTCTGGCAGACTGAGAATGGAGCAATCGCTGTGACATACTGCGTGATTTTACATCTTTCGTAAGCAAACTTGATACTACCTGTCAGGAAGAGAGGTGTCATGCCCTGGTAACTTACCTCCCATGGCTAGAATCTTGACGAGGACAGCATCGGGGGCCGGCTTCGGTACTGGTACTTCACACCATTTCTGATCGTGTATTGGTATTGTCCGAATGTACACTTTGTAGACTTTGTTTGGAGGAGGAGGACCTGGTGCAGGAGGGACTTACGGCTTCATGCTGACCTATCTCAACCGTCCAGGCCTTCATTGTAGAAGGTATTCCAGCCATGATGGTTTCTAGCAAACGAGCTTTGATAGTATGTCAATTAAACCAGAAGATTTTTATACAAAAGTGTGAGGATTTAACAGCACGACAGGCCTGACTGACTTGAGACAGTGTCAACATGGTTTGATCATTCTTTGACCAAAACGAAGAAGTACGTCGACTGCTACGGAGTACCACCACACTAGTCTTAGGGTGTGATCGACTTGTGACTTTACCAAGAGCGATCAGTATTTCGAAGCAAAGGTCGGAACGTGCGTACCCAATGTTGTTGGTGGCCTTAAGGCGTTCATCTTTGTGTCGCGTTGGTTTCTTCTTTCAACGACAATTGCTCCCGAAGTACCCGGGACACGGACGATCGGCACAATCACTGTAGATGTTTTATTGTTTGCACAGTCTGAAATATACAGGGATATGTTAAACTCGGTTCGATCGAGACACTTTGTTGCGAAGCTTACAGGTACAAATAGGCCACCCACCTTGCCCTCAGCCTCGGCCAGGGAGAAAAGTGCGGTACATTGCAGTCGTGATTCGCAGAACGAGGCTGTGATTCTTTACGAGTTGTTGGCCCCTTGGGCCTTCTACGGTCCGCCCGCCGTACAGATAGAGTCACATACATCCCGCCCCTTGGGTACTGGTCGTATTGAGAGTCATGACCGATGAGTCACTTCTGACCTTTATACCTTTGTCTACATGTACTTACCTGCTTTACGGAGTAGCTGTCCAGCGTTTATCCCACGTCGAAAGAAACAAAATATTTCAAACTCTAGACCTTGCAAAGATTTTTCATCCGCTTTCCGAGTTATCGTCTTAGGGAACAAACATCTGAGATGACCACCGTCCCTCGCAACATTTATTTCAAGTTCAGACGTCTACTTGATGATCTAGAATATAAATTCCACCATCACTCCGCCGGTGTCACAAAGAAAGACGGCGTCTATGTAAGATCAGACAATATGACTATAAAAATGGTTTATGACCTCGACTTTGGATGGTCGATATGGGCCGACGACGACGACGACGACAACAACAACAATACAGACTCAAGAAATTCCTCAGACATTCGGAATAGTGGTGGTAGTCTCCTTGTCGGTCGGGTTTGGGATGTTCCAATAAAGGATCAAGGAGATCATCCACCCGAGGGGGTCTGGGTCAGTCGAAAGGGTGACAAGTCTTACGTCTACATGCTAGAGTACCCGAAAGAGTAGGGGTTCGAGAGCAAACCCCATTACTGTATCTCACACCCGAGACAGAGGTTACGAAGAATAGTCTGGAGGGTTCGTCTTCGTCGTCGCCGTCACACGCAGCGGCGGTATAGGATGGCCAAAAAGCGGTCTTCTATACATGTGCAGTCATGGCCCAGAAGCCAGAAAGACCAGGCTCTTTTTCCAGACAATGTACTGTTAGTACTATTGTATCTTCTACCGCACAAAATAATCCACTGAAGCCACAAAACTTGCGGCTCGACTGTTTCCCCCTTGGAGCAAGCAAGGACGATATCACCTTCTTACTGGATCGAATCGACCATACCTGGGAACGCTAGCATGAGCTATGACGAACTTTGTGCCGCCTCTTTTTGATTCGCGGCAGTGTGAAGCTTTTGTACCACTCATCATGGGTAAGTAAACTCGTGATATCCCCTGTTGACAATGGACAAGTTGTCCCCGACAGCGATTTTCTTGTCTACCGTGGTCGTGGAATTGTGACGTTAGCAAGCCTTCTTTTCCTTTGGATGAATGCACGGTGATAGGTGAAGTGGATCCTGTTACCTTGAAAGAGATGAATCGCCCACATTCCAAACATGGGTCGATCTCCCCATTCAGGACTGGGGTCAGTGGTGTGGAACTTTTTGAGAATGGTCGACGGCTGTACCTCCCGGTCTCGTTCTCCGGTGTCCAACTTCACGTCGGGTACGCCACATCGAGGGCACCTTGACGTGATGGCGATTCTGCCGACACCGTCCACCTCGACCAATTTCCAACTTTCCTCTTCCCACGCCTTGCATCCTGACAGCATGATGTTCGGACGAAACCGCTCCGGTGCAATGGCGTGGCCTCGACTCAAGTCACACAAGTTCGACAGGCTTTCAGAAGTGATGATGTGCAAAGGCGCCGCGTCGGTCAAGGCGGTCCGATACTGCCGCTTCAAGTTCCAGATGCGTGGAGCGACACGGTCCCAGAGGAGAGACCCCGTCTCTGGCCGTGAGCCGTAAACCTCTCGATTGGGATCACGGTAGACCAGCCGACAGGGCTTCCTCATAAAGGTTGTAAAGAAGTTGGCGAAACTGTCCCCCATGTCACAGCATTGGAGTGGGCGTGGATAGAACGGCATCGTAACGAACCTCCTGGAAAGGCCTTCGACTCTGTGGGGAACCCCACGTCAGCACCAAAGGGTACAGCAAGTAGGTACCCCGTAAGGTCAAGGACTTGCTCTGGATCTAGTGCCATCTGGACACGGTCTTCGGAATCTTTGTTCACGACAACAAGGCTTTCGGGGCAGCCAGAAACCCCAATTTCAATCGTCTGGACCAGTCGTGCCATCTGAAGGGACCGAGAGGAGAGGTGGTCAATATGTGAACGAAACAGTTGAAACCATGCCCTCGAGAACAAGCCGGGTTTGGAGGCGGGGTCTGCGACCAACGTGGTTCTAGAAGGGGTGCTTTGTTCTCTTCTCACCTTGGGATATCGTTTCTGGCTCATCGACTTAAACATGTTGTCCTGCTTCCTGTCTTGTTCAACGAGCATGTATATACGGTCGTATTGTAGGCCCCAAGTGTCGACCAGCGCACTTTCAACCCGTATGGGACTCGCCCCTTTAAGTGGATATATCCACAAGGCCTCGATGTGTATTCGCTGTTTCTTCGTCTTCGTGTCGTCCATTATACTTGTAAGGGTGATTTGTATTCAAATCTAACAAACAGAAGCCAAGGCTGCAGTCGGTGGAGCTGGCCTCACAAAGACAAAAACAGTCGGGTTCTCTCGCATCACTCAGCCACATATGTAACAACAGATTTTGTCACATGGTGAGCCGGTCTATATATGACGTTGACGTGCTGGTGCGAGAAGCCAGCGGAGTATCGTCCCCATGTTGTCTTGACTCCAGAGCACGGCGTGAAGACTACCAAGATCCAGGCCACGTATCTTGAGCTTTGAAACCACCAGTAGAGAGACTTCGCCCAGTCGTTCTGCCCTCGGGTGGTGTCAAGATATTGATTAGACCATCCGCGGCTTATCCGTTTTCCCCACCGACTCAACACATCCCAGATGTCGGATAGTCTCTGCCGCTACAGTTTATTGTCGTCTACCCAAGTGATTGACCCCGGCAGGGATAAGGTGTCACGGCCACCAGGTCAGGACGGGTCACAGAGAGTGATATAAGAATGGACGAAGTCGCAGCCTGGGGGTTCCTTGATTGATCGGATGGACCTCGTGTGTGACATGGCAACAGTCGATCAGGAATAAGTCTAACTTCTCAGGGTTCAAATTCGTTTATTCGACAAATATGGACGTGGACAACAAAAAGGCCAACAGTCACGGGGACTTGGTCGTCATCCCTTCGAACACTCACGGCGACGTTCAGCCTGTATCTGCCGATGAAGGAGCCGCCGTCCCAAGGCTGCTACGCAAGTTGGACTTTATTGTCCTACCATGCCTCACTGTCATGTACATCTTCAAGTGAGTCGAGCTGGTCCACGTCGACGGTTGGCTTGATGGATCATCTTTTGGTACACATCAGCCTCGTGCGCCGCCGAGAGTCTTGTCTCGATTGCTTCGAGCATCATCCCCCCCCCCCCTCGGCATTGCATCTCTCTGACAAATGTCTATTTGCAGCTCTCTAGATCGCAGCAACCTGGGAAATGCAGCGACGGCGGGTCTGCTCAAGGACACACATCTGAAGGGCAATCAATACAACATCGTACTCAGCACCTACTACACCGCTTTCGTCGTCTTTGGGCCACTCATGGCGGTCTTCACCAAGATCTGTTCCGGCAAGGTTGCTCTCCCCACGATGATGTTGGGTTTCGGCGTCGCTTCGGCGGCTACAGCTTCTGTCAGATCTTTTGGAGCCTTGATTGCTTGCCGCATGGTGGTAGGAGCATTCGAGTCTGGGTTTTTGGCTTCGTAAGTCACACATCAGTATCCTCTTTTTTCTTTTCTTTTGAAGCTTGACACGGCCGCAGGACTGAGAGGTGCTAATCTACCTGTCCTTGGTATATATATGTAGAGTGGTGTATTACCTTTCTACGTTTTACACTCGAGCCGAGATTGCGAGTCGAATCGCTCTCTTTTACGCCGGCGCAGTCATCGCTTCCGCATTCGGTGGCCTACTGGCTTATGGAGTCTTCCACATCCAGCACGCGGCGCTTCCCAGCTGGGCGTACCTCTTCATTTTGGAAGGTTGTGTGACTTGCCTTTTGGCCATGGCTGCCTACTTCGTACTACCACGAGATATTTCCCATGCCTGGTTCTTCACGGCGCAGGAAAAAAGGGTCGCCGAGTCTCGCATCCTACTCAACTCCATGGACGTCCAGAGCACGAGGTTCAATTGGCACGGAGCCCTGTCCGAGTTTCGAACAATTCACTTTTACGCTCGAGCCCTGATTGCCGTCTGCTTTGGCATCCTGGCCCAGTCAAGCGCCAATTTTCTCGCCCTCATGACAGTACGGTTAGGATATTCTGTCACAAAGACTAACCTGGTAAGCGTGTGCAAATCATTGACGAGATTGTTGTTTCGTTCACATACCTAATGGCTCCAACAGTATACTGTCGCACCGGCCTTGACTGCTGCGGTTTTTGTCGTTGGATTTGGATACTCGTCCGATTACTTTTGCGAGAGAGGTTTCCACATGGCGACGCCCATGGTGATCGGATTGATCGGATACATAATCTTGATGGTGGTAGATGTGACCAACCACAAGGGCACAGGATACCTGGCCATATTCTTCTGTACAATCGGTGTAAGTACTACCTTGGCTTCGAGACACGCAGCATCCTTCCCTCCACTCAAGTACAACTTTTCGGCACTGCAATTTGCATTTCATCAACAAACTCACCCCGAGACGCTGTTCTAAAATAAAACCCTAGGCATACCCTATGAGCGTCATCTTTTCCGCATGGACGGTGGCAAACATCCCAGATATGAACGCGCGAGCCCTCACCACGGGAACTCTGTTCGCCATAGGGTCGTCGACTGGCTTGATCTCGTCCAACATTTTCGTGACGAGCCAGGCGCCTCGATACATGACCGCCTTGATCATCAACGGCACCTTTTCAGGTGTTGGATGTATTCTGACCGTTCTTTACTCGCTTTACCTGAAAAGGTTGAACAATATTCTAGATTGTACAACAAGAACAACGGGGGGTCATCATGAAGGTTCCGTGGAAGGAGGAGGAGGAGAAGGAGAAGAGCTGAGAACTTCAGGGTCTGATTTTCGGTTTCAAACCTAGGTATCTGTGTCTCTCATCTCGGTTGGGGATGATTTTGAACAACATAAGCCGTAGATGGACAAAGTTCACGAGGATATGGGCCATCATTTGACTCCAGGAGCTGAGCGTCACTGGACTGTCTCGTACATTTTTCTTGCACAGTGTTTCTCAGCTTTTAATAATAATAAAAAGGAAGCCACAATCAAAGCCTAGCCAAGTTTTTCCGTATGGACACCCTTTTTTTCGAAACGAGAAACTAGAAATTGTCACTGCTCCCAATCTACAAAGTCTTCCCCAGTCGTTGTTGTTGACTTCCAGACGTGGATCCACAGCGTCCTCAAGTACACATTCAACATCCGTCTCTTGACGTCGGGCGCCTCGAGCGACACCAGCATGGTGTAACGGATCTTGTCGAACAACCGCTGGCAGACCTGTTCCGGGTCCGGCAGACCACTCCCTTCGGCCACCTCCGGCGTCGCGTTCGCATTCCCGTCGCCCGTGACGACAAGTATAGCGGCGCCACCACCGCCACCTTCCACGGTGTTCCCCGAATGCACGCAGGGGGTGGAGTTTGTCTCGCCGCCCGGCAGATCCTCGTCGTCCGCCACACCACCGAAACTTGCGTCGTTGTTGTCCCACGGGCTGGTCAGGTAAGAGGATTCATAGAGACGTTGGACCGAGTCGAGGGTTTCGTCGAATGCGTACGCAATCTTCCATCGTGGCTTCCAAGATTGAATAACGGTCGCGAACAAAATCACATTGTCCTTGTAGGCCGTCTGCGGTGTGGTTGCGGTGTCGTCGTGCTCCGGGCCTTGTTGTCGTGTGTATTGTGCCCACATCTGGACTGCCGCCGCCGCCATTATTGGGTGCACTGCCACGACAGACCGCAACGGTTCGCGGCTCGTGCCATCTTCTGCGTTCCAAATGAATGATACTATCTCTGCAATCGCAGACGCTCCCGAAAGACAAACCGAAATGATCCGGTCATCCGTGTAGTTCAAAGACAGGCCCGCGCCATCCATCTCTGTGTCATTTGCGTTGTTATTGTCCCCATCCACCATGATTAGTACCGGCCCGTCCTGCTGCGGAAGGTACTCTTGGTGTAGGGCGAACCTAGCATGATTCAGCAGTAGGTGGAGATAGATGAACAGTTTCCCCTGGCCCATGGAGTTGTAAGCTCTGTAGTTCTCAGGGCTCCACTGTGCCTTGAGTGGCAGGGCAGCTTGAAACTCCTCGACTTGGATTTCCAGTCTGCTAAAAGGGCCATTGGGATCACTGGGTGGATGAAGAGCACCCCTTCGACCATCCCTCATCTGGAGATAGACGATTTCGCTCCACAAGCTCAATATGCAGATGAAAAAAGGCATTAGTCCAATCGATACGATCTGATGAATATGGCTCATTACGGTGTTGAGGTTTGGGCCATTGTAGTCATCTCCGAAAGCAAACAAACGGTCTGGGCAAGGAAGTTGAAGCCGCACACTTTCCAGGCCGATCATTTGTGGTCGAGAGCAAGTATAGGCGACGAGACGATCCATGATGAAGCATGCCCAGAACACGCGTCGTCGCGTTTCTTTCTCCCGGGCAGAATGTTTACTATGTAGTTCGACTCCAAGACGTAGGGCCTGAGCTTGCCGGGTGGCGACGCCTGAAAACATCCACGCCTTGATTCCGTCACGAGTCAGGAGTTCGTACATTGCAAGAACTAGATTGGCCTGTATTGAGGGTACTGTGGAACAAGTCAGTCGACCAACATATTCGTGATGATTCTTCTCATGCACATACTGGACGGCTGGTCAATGGTCGTACGGGCAGACGCTCGAGCAAGATCCGCAAAGTGCTCGGACAAGACTTCAAGAGAGCTATAACCGTAGGTCTGAGCCTCACTGTCGCACATATCAAGAGCAGAGAGTGCAATGATGGATCTGCATAGGAACGGGTGCTCTGTGCCCACTGTTTCAGCTGCCAACGAGGGTTGATGAAGAAAGGAACAGAACTCGACTCCGTGATGTTGGGCCAAAAAGATGTCAATCGCCCGCCTCAGAAGAGAAAGAGGCATTTCGCCCGAGCCCGGAGCTTGATAAAAGGCAGTACTGCCTAACTGGATATTACTTGGGTGCGAACCGGAACTGCACAGCAGAGCGGGTGAATTGGATGTTGCAGAAGGATCATGGGTAAGGGCATTGACCGATGGAGTATGCGGCCATGAGCATGGGGAACATCTTGTCGAGCATGTACCGCATATGGGCCGAAGTCCATTGCATTTGGTCTTTCGTCGTCGGCTAATACTCTCGAATCGCGATTAGAGAGAGATATCATCGTTTGAAAACACCATGCACAGGAAGGGATGGGTACCACGGAGTGCATGCCTGCGGTGTTCGCAAACCCGTGAAGCTCGCCATACTCTCGTGCATGGGACCTGATCACCTGGACCGGGCCACGCAAACAGCGACAGGAAGGTCTTGTAGACTTATAGAGGGATACGCCGGACTTGTTAGAAGGAATCGCCAGGGCTGTCCTGGTGGAGAGCATTCCACGAACGGGGACAAACCATGAGAGGAAAGGATTTAGCTGCACAGATGCTCATGTTTAGAACAAGTAAGCAAGATCTCGCTATCGGCGATGATGGTAACAGGCTCCATGCTCATGGGAGTGATGGATTGGTATGTATCTAGATGGAGATGAAGGAAAGAGTGCAGATAGCAGTACTTAATCGGGGTAAATGATGCGCCAGGATTGTAAGTGCTAAAGCAGCGCAGGTCTGGTCCCTTAACACAGTTCTAGGCATGCCTAAAAACCTCACTTCTCTCTTTACAGTACCTCAAGACTACCCATTATCGATCTGACTCAACCACCCTCGTCACTCAGCATTTGCTGGCCCTAGGAGGAGCGGCACGGCAACACACCTTATCAATATGCTTCGTGCCATTCTTGGGAAGACAAGGAAAACCCGGCGTTGCTTCCTCGGATAAGCCGCGGGTCCACGTCTCCCGGCCCTGCCCTTCGGCGTCGATGGCCTGGCTCAGTACGCTTGCCATCATCGAATCATGCGTAGGTAGGTAGTGCTCTCAGATAAAAGCCCAGTGCCTCGTCAAGATTCAATTGCTCTGCGACTCGATGTGAACTTCGTGCAAGGCTATGGTTGCAGTCTGATTCATCTCGACCACAATGTCCAAACAAGCTCTTCAACTCATTACCCAGCCTCTCCTCAACGCCATTCCAGACGACTTGACAGACCGTCTAGACCCGGTGTATGTCGAATACTACAACAAGTACAACGCCGGTAGACTCCATACGCACCAAATACCGATCGAGACCTTTCGCGCCAACCCACTACAGTACGTCATCCAATGGGGTCGTGCAGACGGTGGTGAGGTATTCAGGATCAGCGAACAGAAGTGTCCTGTAAACGGCGGTGAGATCTCTATCCGTATCTTCGAACCAGGTCCGGCAGATGATGCAACGACTCCACGCCGGCCACTTTATATCAATTACCATGGAGGCGGTTTCACGTTTGGCGACTTGGAAATGGATGATCCGTTCTGTCGACGGGTCTGCAGGGAAGTAGGGTGTGTGGCTTTCGACGTCGAATACCGCCTCTCGCCTGACTATCGTTACCCTATTCCATTGGAGGACTGTTTTGCAGCGCTGAAATGGGTGAGTTTATTTCCGCACCATTGGCGGTATCGTTCCAGACCCGAGACATGCTTGAAATCAGATTCGAGGCTGGGATCCAGGAAGATTGACAAACGACATGTCTTAGATACAAAAGGAAAAGGTGGACGAGTTTCATCTGGACACCAACCGGACTGCGATAGGTGGCGTGTCTGCTGGGGGTCACCTTTCCGCTGTACTGGCTCACTTGGCCCGAGATGAAGGTGTTCCGCTCGCTTTCCAGCTGCTTGTCGTGCCTGGTGTCGACATGACAGCCTTACTTCCCAATGGTGACGTTAACCCGACTTGCCCTTACAAGTCTTTTGCAGAACTGGTCAACACACCTGCTCTACCCGTGGAGCGCGTATGTTTTGCATACAATCATTATTTAGGTATTCCAAGGCCGAAAGGCTGGGAAAAGGTGCCACGGCCTCCCCCTGTTCTTGTCATGTAGAGTGTAGCTAACCCCAGATATGCTTTCAATCAGGAATGGAAAATCAATCCGATCAAAGCGCCGTCTTTCCGCGGCCTAGCCCAGGCACTTGTAGTCACGGCAGAGCTCGATCCGCTCAGGGAGGAGGGACAAGCATATGTCGAAAAGTTGCGTGAAGCGGGTGTGCCAGTGGAGCATATCATGTACCCCAGGGTGCCGCACCCGTTCATGATGCATGATGCCGTTCTCGAGGCGGGCAAAAAATACCAGGTTGACACGGTTCGAGCACTGAAGGATGCGTTGCACAAGAAAGAGGGTGATGGTGACAAGATCTATAGGAATTGATGGGGTGGCAAGCATGGCAACATTTGATCAGGGCAACGTTGAAGCAGGTTGTCTTTTGCCTGGTCCATATCCAAGTAGATAACCCTTTCAATTTCTCTACCCAAGGACAAATGGTGACAGCTTTTAGAAACAGGCCAAAGACGCTAATAAGCTCCTTAAATGTAACAAGATCGAGAAACTTGATACCATGACAGCATAGTAATCATGTAACGCTACTTCAGCGCAACTCTACATCCTAATCAAATGGTCCAAGAGGCCGGAGTCAGAGCTGCGGTCTCAGCGCGCACAGTCCAAGCGATGAGAGCCATAGTATTCGCAGCAACCCAAAAACCCTGGGGTGAGGAAGAGCGGCACCACCTTCTCGAAGAGAGTACCATATCTGCGAGGATTACCTAATTCAATGATAAAGACCAACTGTTCCCTATTACGACGGAGGTAACTAGTTTATACAGTAATTGGCACTTGCCCAGCACTGAGTAGTCGTAGAAGATCTCTCTCCAACCCCTGCACAACACCGCATATTCGCCTAATAAGCTTTAATAAGCTTCAATCTGGGGAAGCGTCGACAATACCCATTGGCTTGGGGGAGGGGGGCGAGTTTTGGCGAGTCGATTTGGGGCGCCTGATCGCCCTCAGCTACTAATATAGGCTCCTGGACGCCTTAAACTTATCATAAAAAGACCTTTCCAATACTTGTTGGCGCGTGTGTTCTTCAGAAGCTTCCACCTTTTCCCGAAATGCGTCGGATTTTGTCATTTTACACTATCAGATAAACCAACGGGACATACCAAACGTGCATATCTATAAGTGCATCAAGGTGAAGTCAGATAGTCGACTTCCCCTGGTGAGTTTCAGCAGCAATGGTCGAGAACACCAAAGTTAGACTCAAGCAACATCATCACAAAGTCAGAAGTGGGTGTACGACATGCAAGTGAGGCCGAAACAAACCAATTCCACACGTTGTGAAACTCACCAGTTTGAGCAGACTTCGACGCATAAAATGCGACGAAGGAAAGCCCATATGTAGCAGGTGGGACAGACTTTCCAGAAGATTTGAGTCTCGCTGGGAAACAAACTAACCTGCGCAATGTGTAACAGATGCATCACTGCTGATCGCGACTGTCTGTATAAGAGTCCAAGACCTTGGATCTTCGAGGGTTCGGTCTCAAAAGTCGTTGCGGTAGCAATTGATCGTGCCGGAGGGTCTCTTCTGGCGCCCAAAACCATCCCTTTACAAGAGCAGCACGGTTTCAGGCCCAACCAGTATAACCCTCGAATTCTTGCCAGACCGCAAATAGCACGACAGATCATTCATGCACTCGGTGATACGCCCGAAGAACGACGCAGCATACGCTTCTGGCTGAGCGAGACGGCCCCGAACCTTACAAAATCTTGGTTGAACCATGAGGTCTGGGCCGTTGTGGTTCCCTTGTGGGCGACAGTCTGTCCTGCATGCCGACATCTGCTGGTAGCCGCCGCACTTGCAGATGAGCAACTTCGCATCAACAAAGGAGCAGGAGCCGGCGTAGGATCTCCGTCGACCAATCTGACCAGGTCGACCTTCTGTCATTACCAATGGGCGCTGCGAAGGATTTCTTCAATAGAGATCCCCGACCCGCTTCAGATTGTCGGTTTCATTGTGGCATCGTTGATTAGCTGGGTTTTCGAAGCCGCGCAGGGCAATGCCCTGGCCGCAAACGTGCATATCAAGGCCGCCTCACGCATATTGCGAGAGCTGGAAGTGTCGACTACCTTGTCCTCTCTCGAGCTTGACCAGCTCGCCGAACTCAAGCCTGTAGTCTATTTGCTGCAAACCAATATCTTGGGCCTCGTCGGATGATGTCCTCGAAAGCAGGACCCCTACATTTGAATGAAAGCAGCACAATCATGGGATGTGCCGGTAGAAGAATAATTAATTACCTGGGTATATGTGATCGGGGCCTAAGGGCAGCGGGACAAGAGTCAACAAAGCTTGTGCTACTGGTATTGTAAATGCCATATTCTGGGAATCAACCACGAGATCTTTCAGTATTCACATCGATTAATCGTGTCGGAATCTTCCCAGGTTGACATTGGTGTGTTCCACGTAGTTCTCAAGGGCGGCATCACTGTATTTCCCGATCTGGGGCGAGGTACGAGCCGCTGTTAAACTACTTTACACCCTTGGCAAATATTTCCCAATTGAATCTTCTGCTTGCGCTCCCAAGCTACGCATTCATTTACAAGACCTTCCGATCGCCAGTAACAGCTGGGCCAGACATTGCAGCAATGACAGCTGCTCGTCTGTCTCCGGCGGCGAGCTTACTGCGCAACTCAAAGCTTTTCGCCCTTCCACCTGCACTTTCCGTACCGCCTACCGAACCTACCTCCGAACCCGTTGTGTCGTCCGATTCAGCTACTACTCCCTACCCACTGCGAGCAGCACTCGAGACTCCCAGGTCGACCCTGTTCAAAGGTGATTGGGGTCTCAAGCGAGCTCTGCCAGTCTCGACCACGACAAAGTCCGGCACACCCACCGTTAGAATACTGCGAGGAATTGATACTCCTGAGCACGTTGCCGATTTCGAATCCGCGGCCGACCATGTCCTTACTCTACGAAAATATCAAGAGCTCAATCTGAGGGTGACCCTCCCCGCCACCAGAGACAAGAGGCACTATGAACGCACGAGTGCATTTGACCCGGAAATCGATCATACCGCAGAGGTGCCTTTGACTCTGGACAGGAAGAGTGGCCCAGTATCATGGTTAGACAAATCTTCTGCCGAGCGTGTATCAGAACTGCCCAAGCATCTCAGAGAGACACTCGAGAAGGTCTCAAAAGACAACTCCGAATCGACTTCAACAACATCAACATCAACCGCATCAGAGTCCAGCTTATCGCCAGCTGCTTTGTCCAGGCGAAGATGGAGATATCTGGGCCCCTACCTGGCCGGCCTCAACGGCGCAGAATTTGAAGCTTTCTTAGGCAAGACCACAAAAGAGAAGAGGGCAGAATTTCGAAAACACGTGGAACGATACTTGATCAGCCAGCGGATAGCTCAACGTCGTGCCGACGCACTGGAAAGTGGCGAGACGGGGGCTGCGGATGACACGAGTGTGACGGTTTCAGAAGAGGACGTCGCCGAGTATCTTCGTCAGCTACGTTCTGAGCCCAGCAAGTTCGCGCCGCTGATAGTCGAGTTCTTCGATCTTGCAGACGGACCCAAAACATCCGTCATGAACAGAGAACCATGGCATTACGGACGTGACACAATAGCCGCTGATCAATACAAGGAGTCCGGACCTCCTCGAACACATCCTTCTGCCGGCTTGTCATATCTCAGGTCGGAATCCTTTGCACAAAACGATGTCATTGTTGGTCCAAGAGACACTCGTCCTCCGGTACCAGCCCGCTTGTTGAAGACGATCCAGCTCGGACAGCAGAGATCTATTCCCAATGTCGGCATGGCTGGCTTCGTCATTCCACAGCCTCATTGGAGCGAATTACGAGATCGTCCCTGGCAGTGGCAGTCAGTCAAGGATGGTCCTAAGTTGGTCGTCCAGCCTGTCTCTGCGGCAGTTTCACAAGGTGGAAAGGTGGAAATCAATACCAGGCTCATGAAAGACTGGCATCTAGAGAATGACGTTCCTGTCGAGGCCACTGAACGCCGACGGACAGGGACAAATACGACAAGGCCGGCTCCGGCTTCGCAAGTCAGACCTTTGGACAGACTTTTCAAAAGGCAGTCAACAGTAGCGAGATCTACTCCCGCACCGAGTCAGGATATAAGTGAAGAGTTGAACGAGTTGACTCGGCGAGCAACTCAGAATTTGGCCAATAAACCTGCCTGAAAGGTTGGTTGTAAGAATAACTTTGTACTCTGTATAGAAATTGAAAAAATCTTCTCATGGTCATTTTGTCTGTAAGCTTTCCAGGTATGTTCCTTATGAGTAGGGGTGCTCTACGCCGAAGGAGTGCACGCAGGGTATCTTGCTAGAATTTGTCTGACAGAAACCATGTTTTTGTATTCAATGGCTGGTTGTGCAGTGTGTTAGGATTATTCTTTTGTCAGACGCCAGTACTTCCGTGCATACCTCGACTAGGTCAGCTTACATAATTGGTCTCTTGGCTCACGGACGATACCCCATCCACATTTGCCAAGACGTCCACATTCTCAAAATTTGTCCAAAGTGCGCCGTAGTGTTCAATCCTCTGGCTTCCTACACACATCTCCCTCACCTTCCCTCAACACCACCAAGAGACCAGCCAAAGTCCCTTTTGTCGTCAAAATGGGTCGCGTTCGAACAAAGGTACACCTCAACTCATCTTGTGTTCTTATTCCTTGACAACAAACTAATTACTTGTTCAGACGGTCAAGAAGTCCGCCAAGGTCATCATCGAGCGGTACTACCCCAAGCTCACTCTCGACTTCGAGACCAACAAGAGGATATGCGATGAAATTGCAATCATCCCATCGAAGCGTCTCCGTAACAAGGTGCGTGAAGACTCCAGGAGAAGTCGTTGGGGTTGAAGGGGAAAAAAAGACAAAGACACTGATAGATTACGGAACAGATCGCGGGTTACACCACACACTTGATGAAACGTATCCAACGTGGTCCGGTCCGTGGCATCTCGTTCAAACTCCAAGAGGAAGAACGTGAACGCAAGGATCAATACGTGCCCGAGATCTCGGCCTTGGACTTCACCCAAAACACCGAGAGTGGTCAATTGGACGTCGACTCGGACACCAAGGACCTCCTCAAGAGCATGGGTTTCGACTCGATCGCCGTCAACGTCGTCCCCGTCGCCCAACAACAACAACAGCAAGAACGCGGCGGACGTAGAGTGTTCGGCGCCGGTCGATAAGCTTTTTCCCCCCCGACCCTCAAAACCGCAATAATGTTTGTTGTTGGGGAGTGGAGGGAGTTCTGTCGTTTTGTTGCAATCACGAATCTGAGCACCTTTGACACCCCCCGAGGCTACGAATTGGGAAGCGAGACGTGATGAGGAGAAGGTTGTCACACCTACTCTTCATCTTGATGTCACAAGAATGCCACAAAAGGTCATTTTATCATGACAGAAAAGAAGAGGAAAAGGAACCATTTGTGCTGTCGTGTCATCCTTTTTTTTCTTTCAAACCTTGCGACTCTGGGACTTGGGAACTCTGGAACCATGAGAGCCGAGCCGACGACACATGGAAAGAAAAGGAATGGAGGGGCATGGGGGAGCGGTGCTGTTTGTGGGTGGGTACGCAAGAGTTTCTTGAGGATTCGACTCAAGTACTCGTACACACACACACATGCAACACTCTTTTGCAGGATGACCACGTACCCCGTCCCTTGCGAGCACAAAGTAACCAGACCCAAAAACCAAAAAAAACGAAATTTCACAAAAACCAAGGTGTCGCCTAGTCCTTTCAGCATGGACGAAGCTTGATTGCCAAAGTCATTGTTTCTTTTCTTCGCCGTGCCTCCCCTCCCCCTTCTGTTACATGTCGTGCGCCCCGTAGTGTTGAAAAGATGAAATAGGCTCTCTTGTATACTCACATTCGTGGCCCGAAACTCATCCGTACATCTTCCTGCTCACTGTAAGATCAGACTTATCAGGAGTAGGGCCACTCTCTTGACACATAGCACTCGTAAAGCTTCTGCATCTCTCCCACATCGAACACGAGGCCCCTCCGTTTGAGACACCAGCTACTCAGGCGTTTCGAGGAACAACAAATCATGATAAAAAGAACCACCATAAACACGTGGCACAGTGAAGGATGAAAAGATTGCCAACGGCAAGTCAATTCGTACTACTTGAACATTCAGGTAATGTCTCAAGAACCCAATATCTTTTATACTTATTTAATTCAATTCAATTCAATTCAATGGATTCACCACTGTATAGACCCCAAGCCGAAAAACGCCATCGCCATGCACTGTACATATACAAAAGAAAGCCTCATGTTGAGACCCCTAGCCTCCAGCCATTCAGAACGTGAATCTGACGAGAGACCTGATATTCCCCTTGGGAAGTGCACCGGTTTTCGTCGTACAAACCGTCTGCTCTGTTTCATTACCGCCAAGGTGAAGAAAATCCCAAGACTCTCCCACTCCCGCGATGGCTTAATCGGCTTTCCCATTCGAACCTCCCAGCAAGCCTTCCTTGCCATCGAGATGGAAGTAGCCGCTGCTGTTCCGGCTGAGGTTCCTCTTAATAGTGGTTCCATTCTTCAAGACATAAAGCAACATGACCACGCTGACGATCAGGATGGCAAAAGAAAAGTAAGGATGATAAGTGCCAAAGTTTCGAATTTGAAAGAAAACATTCTCAAACGTGCCAATTGTTGACTTTGGCGTAAGCTTGGGTGGATTGGCAATGATTCTGTTCAAGGTCTCAAGGATCGAAGTTCGGGAAGGCACAATGTATGCTCCCGAGTCCGTGACATCCCAATATCGTCGGTTCTGTCAGGAGCACGTTAGTTTGGGTTCAGAGAACAGAGCTGAACATTCTGACGAGGAGAGGTAACTTACATCTTCATCGTTAATAATCACACGTTCACCTTTCGACACGTCGACGCCATAGGTCGAGCGCAGCCATCTCTCCCAGAAAATACCATCAACCCACGCGAAGCTGACTTGTTTACGGAATGACTCTTCGGTGATACTGATGACACGACTCTTGGCCTGTCTCAAAGCTCGCTGGTCATTGCGATCTTCGGCCTCCTCGATACGGAGCTGCTTCGAGTCTCGCAGTTCCTGCCGTTCTAGCTGGAAAGCCTGGGTTTGCTTGTCCATCCATTCAAGAGCCGCGTTCTTGAGCTCACGTCGTGATTGCAAGAACTCGTCTGGTCGATCGCGGCTTAGAACGCCCATAACAACGTAGTGGCCTGCCATGATTTCTCTTGCATTCGCAGGACTCAATTCGGGCACTAGAGGCAGCCACACCGATTGCATCCAGGTCAGGACACGTCGGAAGTCTCTCATGTCTTTGGGAGCGAGAGCGTTGTAGTATGTCGGCCGTCCATCACGAGAAACAAGCAACCTAGGCCATGTCGAGATCTTGAAGCGGCTGGCTAAGATCTCTGAGTCTGTCTTGACAATTTTGGCATGTCCGATCAAGCTCAGAGTCAGGCGGTCCAGCGCTGCGAAATCTTCAGAAGTGGTGGCATCGTCAAAGAAATAGACAAAGATCACTTCTTCGGTCTCTTCCATTTCTTTGAAGTCGTTGGCATCCACATACTTGACCTCACTATCCAAAGCTTTGTTGGCGAAGGAAAGGAGATCGCCCAAGCCTCTCAGTCCTTCGTACTCGACTCGTTCTCCACCTCGGAAGAAGTAGATGGTAGGGTATCCGCTGACCTTGGCATCCTTGCAAAGGCGAGGAGACTGTTCGCAGTTGACCTCTCCGATGTTTAGCTTGCCTTCCATCTCGCGAGCTAGTTCGGACCAGGTGGGCGCAAGATGCTGGCAATGAGAACACCAGGGAACGTAAAACTTGATGAACCAAGGATCCTGAGACGTGGTGACAAGTTTCTGGAACGACTCTGGGGTCAATGCGACAGAAGCACCTTTGGGGTTGGCCATGAGTCCTGACTTGAGACTGTTCTGACGGCCCAGTCTCGCAGTCTCAGATGCCAACATCGCAGAAGTTGTCTCGGCCGGGTGCTGTTTGTTCTGCTTGGCTCCTGCAGCAACACCTGCGGCGGTGTCCTTATCCTTTGCAACAGGTACCTCAGGCGAAGCTCCACGGTCTACACTTTTAGCACCAGCCTTGGGCACCTTGACGCCTTCTCGTGGCCTAGAACCGGGTTTGATTTGTTCGAGTTTCTCTTCGACATAGCTGCTGAAAGCCTCCATAGATTTTTCCCCAGTGTATTTCTCAACAAGCTCGCCGTCTTTGTAGAGGAGAAACGTCGGCCATGCGCGCACCCCGTGCTTTTCGCAGACGTCGCCGTACGCTATACAGTTCAGAGAAGCGAAATGGAAATTGTAGTATCCGTGAAAGCTGTTTGGAGAGGAGAGATCTGGCTGACCAGACTTTGTCAGTCCGTCAAGAGGGTCGGATGTCGCATAGAATTCGTAAAGTGTCTGCCAATGTGGTGCGATGGCTTTACAATGCCCGCAATAGGGTGAGTAGTGTTTAACCCACCTGCGATGATGTGTTAGTCAACGATCCTCGTTTGTTCTCCGTATAGACGCATACCAGTAGCCATCTTTTACCGTCTCTTCGAACTTGCCGCCCTCTATCTCCGCCATTGGGGGTACCTTGATTCCATTGAAAACTGTGTAATCGATCGCTTCTCCTCCCTCGGCAGGAGTCTCCCCGGAGACTGCATCGTCCGATAACACATTTCCTTTCGGCGAACCCGGCGGCGCCGCGAAAGATGTTGTGAATACGGCGGCTAGCGCCCATGCCAGCAATGCCGGCCTCATATTGTGAGTTGGCCAGCGATGGCCCGTTCAAGGGTCGGTAGAGCAAGGTGGACTTAAGACTTTTGACTTTCGAAGAACCCAGGTAGAGAACACCCGGTGCAGGCGGAACGTGAAGGTAAAAAGGGATCGTGAGAATCAGATGAGAGCCTGTTGCGATAAAGAGCAAAAGATTAGATAGTGGGAAAGAATGTACAGACTGGAAACTCCAGGTTCAATTGGGAGTTTGCAGAATGGCGAGATGGTTGAGAGACATGGGGGTTGGATCTGCAACGTCGCGGGTGTCTCTGCTTTGCCCCTTGCGCCTGTCGCTGCTTTTAGCCCGAAACCCTGGAGCCTCGTCACTCTCTGCAACTTCAGCCTCGTGAGCCTTACATATGGAATAACGTGTACCTGTTTAACTTATTAATCATCTATCAACCACATCTGAACAGGGCACTCATGGAATACCCATGGTTTGAACTTTGACATGTCGCTTGCAAAATCGCCCAAGGTCTTTCGCCCTACAGGGTTTGGCTCCACAAGCATCTTCTCCAGATGTTATTCTCAACAGCAGCATAAGGTCCCGGCACGACTCTCACAACCTTTACCGAAGGGAACATGGGACAGTCATATGCATGTCGTTGACCCAGTACGCTACAAATTGGCTGCCGATGCCAAATACAAGCCTCACGCTCATACCTTAGAAGATGCAAAGACCTTCTACTCTCAATTTGGCATACACAATATGGTCCTTGTCCAGCCATCCATATACGGAAATGACAACTCATGTATGCTCGATGCGTTAAAAGAATTGACCCCTCGACATGGCCGAGCAATCGTCGGGCTCGATCCGCATACCATTGACGAGGCCACCTTGCGACACTGGCATAAGCTCGGTGTGAGGGGAGCACGTGTCAATCTGGTGTCCGTAGGAAGAGAAGTCACCGAGTCAGAACTCCGAAGCGAATTGCATGCATATGCCAGGATCCTCAAGCCTTTGGACTGGGTGTTGCAACTTTACATTCCGCTCAAGCTCGCAACGCCTCTGGAGAATATTGTGCCTGATCTAGGGTTGAAGGTGTGTATAGATCATTTCGGCTGGCCAACCATGCCAGATCCCTACCATCCTACGCAAGCTATTCTCCCCTACAAGATGCCTGGATTTGAGTCGCTTGTCACGCTCCTGCAGAAGCGGACTTGGGTTAAGCTGTCGGCACCCTACAGGCTGTCGAAAGATCCTGACATGCGAGACATGGACCCGATTGGGCAGGAGCTGATCAAAGAAGCCAAAGATCGTGTCGTATACGCGACCGATTGGCCACATACGAGGTTCGATGGCGTTGACTCCGTACCATTCATCGAGAGGTGTTTTGAGTGGTGTGGTAATGACCCTGAACTCGTAGAGAAGCTCTTTAGAGACAATGCAGAAGAATTGTGGGATGCTTCACCGGCTTGATAAAGTGGGAACAGACAATGGTGACAAATTCAGCGATGGCCCTACCAAGAGAAAAACGAGGTCAGCTACTTATATATAGTCAGTCACATGGTTCGATCAACCCCTGATGGCGAATGAAGTTATGATCATTTTCCACCCCAACAGCCTGAAGTTTGATTGAAGAATTCAGCCGCCAGGCCCTTTCAACTAAACTCCGTGCTAATTCAATTGAATAGATACAAAGATGCCAGAATCGTCGTCTAGTCGTACATTCCACAGAACGCTCCGTGCGTCAATAAATCTTTCCTTGACCGTTCATGCATTGTTGATAGATATTTTATGCTCGTTTTGAACGAGCATTACTGCCAATCGACACAGTGGGTAAACCTCGTTGAGCCCTGCGGCCTCACGGCCTCCGAGTCGACTGGCGTGGCAATGCTCTGTTTTCCCAGTGCTCATACTCGTCTGGCACAGGCATTCTCAAGAGCGTAATCGTGGTAGCGAGGTAACAAATCCGTCTGCCCAACCTTGCCTTGGGTGCCAAAGGTGAAATGAACTGCCAGCGCGTCAGTCTCGACAGCAACACTACGGCCCAGCTTTTTAGGCAAATTGATGGTCAACCACTCCTCGTCCACGGTGTCCATTGGCAGGTTGTTGAGAACATCATCCGCCCACAGCGCGATGAAATTGATGCTGAGCCGTTTATAGTCAGTCAACCAGGCCTTGCCCATCTTGTATCGGTCTAGCTGGCCGTTGGCAAGGTTTTCCAGGAACGAATAATGTTCCTGAGCCGCAATCGCCCATGATTTCAGACCCGTTCCCCACGTTTTGTACTCGATCTCACTGACTGGGGTGCGGTGAATTGTCGAGTCATTCTGCAATCGTAGCCATCGATGCCCACTGTACGGCGGGTCCTGATGGATGTCAAAGAAATAGTCATCCGGGCCGTTCCAGTAGGGGTACTCGGAGTAATGCCACGATTTCCGATCATGTGATGTTACAGCATCCAGCAGTGGAGGATCGTAGACGTCGAATTCGGGAAGGTAAGGGTGCATGGCGCCCATATGATAATGCACCCAGCCCATCAAGGGTGAGTTGATAACATTTGCGCTGACGAGGAGATATTCGGGGTGCTCGCTCTTCATGCTCGCGATGCGTGGGATCGCGTCGTCGGCAAACCAGACGACATCGTCATCGATTTTGATATACAGGTGGCCTGGTTCGAGATGGGACCATGCATATCCGTAGCCGATGAAGCCAACTCCTTCCAGCTCAATCTTCTTGTACCGGGGAGAGGAAGCAAGGATCTCATCCAAATATGCCAGGTCGTCTGGCTTATCGGTGTTCTTGACCCAATGTATCTCATCAAGCCAGCCGCCATTATCGACCAAATTGCGCTGAGAGAATTAGTTGGGATATGTAGATTAGCCCGGGGATCCAGCACAGCTCACCTCTAAAAAGCATCGCAAAATCTCTACTCTGTTCTTTCTGCCGAAAAATACTAGCCCAATGATTTTGACGCCTTCTGGCTTGATGAACTCTTTGATACGAAGATCCTTGGTGAATTCAGGATCGACGTGGGATGTCGGAAAACTCATTTCGCCATAGTAATTCCGGCGGTAGTGAGTAAAGGATGTTACCAGCACCGCGAATGTCAAGAAGGTTAGAATGCCGACAATCCAGCGACGACGTGAATATTTTGCGTCAGAGTAAAGTCGAGAACCGGCCATGATGGCAGCCTTTCAGTTTGCTCGTGACTCTAAAACGCCGTCCAGATTCAATGCCAGGGATTCGAAGTTTCGGAGTAGTAGTACCGCTAGGGCGGGGGAAGGCGATTGTGTCACACCATCTTTTTGAATAGATCGAGGTGGCAAGATCAAATACTCCGTTTAGGAGGAGCTAGAGTCAGGCAGTGAATGAGAGAGAGAGAGAGAGAGAGAGGCACCCAAGAAATGGTCCTTTCTTGCGCAATAAAGTGAAATGTCAAAAAACGAAGAAGAGAAACCAACCTAAGATCATCTCGAGAAGATCTAGACACACAGGCCCCAAGGGTCTTCTACAGTACAGGGACATGGCGACGGTGGCCAGCGGTCAAGAGGCTAGGAGGATAGTAGGGAATTGCCTTAGATCACATTGGCTTGAAAATAAAGAACCATCCCCAGATAGTGAGTAGTCTATCGCCAATCCAAAGGCAATTTGATGAAAGATACGGGTGCTTTGAAGGACAGATTGGGGATTATCAGCGGGAATGGCGCTAAGCCTCATCCCCTGCGGCGGCATGATAGGACAGAACCTGACAGGGTTAGTCACTAGGCTGATCGCGAAAGAATTGATTGGAATGTTGGAGGCTCAAGTGCTACGGCCCTAGGCCGGGGAGAGGAAAAATGGCGGAAGAGAGTCCGTGTTCGGCATTTACGGTTGCAGGTGGTGATTTGCCGGATACAGGTGGCGTGGTTTCCAAGAGACACGGGCTTTATTTAAGGGGTGTTGAAAGGTCAGGGTTAAAATAGCTAGAGATACAGACCACACGGTATTTTGAATTGCTGTACCCATGAAGCCCTCCGATGGAAGGGAAGTACCACGAGTCCAAGATCCAGATTCCGCTCCGCTGGCCAGACAGATTGCTGAAAATTCTCCGTAATGGCCTCAATCTCTGATGGGAAACAGCCTTGTCTTGGCGTGTGATTATATAAACAAGGCTGCTGCGACTCTTGATGAAAACAACTTCGTCAATGATTGACTTGCAAACATCAGGACAAAAGCCGATCCTCGAACAGTCGCTCTCTCAATATCGACGCAGAGTCTGCTATTAATGTGCCATTTTTTCTCTTTCCTGATAACTGGTAGGCTTTCCATATCTTGGTCCTCTCGATGTTGCTGTCCGTTATCGTGAAATGAAGCGTGATCCTGGATAATGTATGATCATGATTTCGGATACTCACATTTGGTGTTTTATTTCCAAACAGTCCAAACACCGGAAATGATGCGTTCCACAGCTTCAACCGTTTTCGACTCTTTGTCTGTGCTACTGTTACCGGCTGCCGCCGTTGAATATGCAATATTCCTTTGTTGTTGCTTCCAATCTCAGCACAAAGAAATAACTTACGACCATATTAATAGTGCCATGATGGCTCGATATCTTCTTGTGGGATATTCCACCCTCCCTCAACATCGAGCTCTTTCCCGAGACATCCTTCACAAGGCACTCTTTACGATTCGCTGTCTTATCCGAAAACCAATCTGATTGACACTTGCCAACATCATCATGCGGTCTCTCTCTAGTTTCGCTGTCGCTGCATTCCTTGCGGCGGCAATACCCTACACTGCAGCTTCTGGAGATAGCGACAACATGGGCTTTCGCTATGAAGACTGCAGCCCAAGTCAAGATGGTAGCTGTTCCGGTTGCGGCGCTGATTATGTGCCCTGCGGTAGCGACACATGCTATAATCCGAAGGCTGGCGAGACTTGCTGCTCAAGTGACTGTGAGTAACTGCCCTCTTGCTATGAATGTCTGGACAGATTCTAATAGAACCTAGATGCCTGTCCCTCCGGCTTCAATTGCTCTACAACTGGTTCCAAATGCATTTCTGCAGATGGGAAGCGACATGCTTCTTTCAATTGCAGATTTGGCGAAAATGACGATGACAACGACGACAACTATAACACAACCTCGTCCATACTGTCCACTACCACCACCATCACATCTACAACGACGAATACCGTTACTGTCAGTGCTTCCACGACCTCTTGCGCCCTAAATGGATCAACTACTGGACTTCCTCTTACAAGCTCTGTGGCCTCGTATGGCAATACCACCACTATTGCGCTGAACACCACTACATCAACCTTGTCTGTTGTCAATGCAACTGGTGCCTCACCGACTTCCAACGTCACTTTCAACGCCACCAAAGCTCCTTCACCAACAATTAGTCCCCCCATCAATGGGTATAAGGGAGATGCATCTGGTCTGCAAGGTCAATCTTGCGCATCGTTGTTCGCTCTTGGCAGCCTGATCTTCATGTCTGCATTGCTATTGTAGAATTCTCCGAGTAGAGAGGTAAGGAAAAGGAGGACAGCATACACAGTGGTACTAGGGAATGGTGGTCTAATAGAACTGCGGGAAAAAAGGGCAAGGCTGACGACGGTGTAGGTTGATTATGTAACCATAAGATACCCCTCCAATTCCAATGAGTTACATGTTGTTCCTCAACACGATTCCAGGGTTTCCTGTATTTGCAAGGATTAATCACCTGAGCAGCGCTTACTGTTTTCCTGAATGGTCCCCATGTCCTGTAATGCCTGAATGTGTTGTGAGAGAGGAGAGGTGGTGGTGGGCCAGTTGGATGGATTACCTCAGTCCGTGTCCTCGTAGCTTCTCCGTATTCTTGCATCATAGTGTTGATTTTCAGCCGGAGCTTGCGAAATGCCCCTCCATCTCTTTCTTATTTCTTTGGCTCGGCGCCTGAGACACCTCGAAATAGGCCGTCCATACCCAACACATCTCTGCTTGACCACCTCGACTTCTCTTCTCTGGGCTTCTTTATCGGTAACCACGTGGCTCAGGATCCCCCTGACGATATTGAGTGTAAGTCTCTTGAGACAATTCCCAAGCCTGACGCAGTCCCACCCATCCCGCGGCACCCACAGTTTCACTCCGTTGTACTTAAAGAGAGACCGTTTCTTCTCGATCCTCGATTCACTCGTCCTCGTCCTAACCATCTCTTTACTCTTAGAAACCCTCCTTCTATCTCCCACATACCTCGTCATGCCTGGATTCTCGCAGGCCACGGAGCTCAAGGCGTGGCAAGCTCTCGTTGAGCACCACAACACCGTGGGCCGCAACATCGTCCTCAAGGAATACTTCGAGAAGGACCCTCAGCGATTCGAGAAGTTCAAGAGAATTTTCAAGAACAATGCGGACAACAAGGAAATCCTCTTTGACTTCTCCAAGAACTTTCTGACCGAAGAGACCCTGGACCTCCTCATCAACCTCGCCAAGGAAGCAAACCTGGAGCAATTGAGGGATGAGATGTTTGCTGGTGACAAGATCAACTTCACAGAGAAGAGAGCCGTGTACCATGTTGCCCTCCGAAATGTCACCAATCAGCCCATGGCTGTTGACGGTAAAAGCGTCGTCGAAGAGACCAATTCGGTCCTTGAGCACATGAAGGAATTCTCGGAACAGATTCGAAGCGGTTCATGGAAAGGATACACCGGAAAGAAGCTGACTACCATTATCAACATTGGTATTGGTGGTTCCGACCTGTAAGAAAGGATTCCGATTATCCCTAACGTCCAAAACTAACAACAACCAGTGGCCCGGTCATGGTGTCTGAGGCTCTCAAGCCATACGGTGACCGCAACATGAAATTGCACTTTGTGTCCAACATTGATGGAACACACATTGCCGAAGCCCTGAAAGACTCTGATCCCGAGACCACTCTCTTCCTCATTGCCTCAAAGACCTTCACCACCGCGGAGACAACCACCAATGCAAACACGGCCAAGAAGTGGTTCCTACAATCCGCAAAGGAGTCGGACATTGCCAAGCACTTTGTCGCCTTGTCCACCAACAAAGAGGAGGTCTCCAAGTTTGGCATCGACACGAAGAACATGTTCGGATTCGAAAGCTGGGTGGGTGGACGATACTCGGTCTGGTCCGCCATCGGCTTGTCGGTGTGCCTGTACATTGGCTACGACAACTTCCACGAGTTCCTGGCCGGTGCCCATGCCATGGACAACCACTTCAAGACTGCCCCCTTGCACGAGAACATCCCAGTCATCGGCGGTCTGCTGAGCGTCTGGTACTCCGACTTCTTCGGCGCCCAGACCCACCTGGTCTCGCCGTTCGACCAGTACATGCACCGCTTCCCGGCCTACCTGCAGCAACTGACCATGGAGTCCAACGGCAAGGCCGTCACCCGGTCGGGCGACTACGTCAAGTACACCACCGGCGCCATCTTCTTCGGCGAGCCCGCGACCAACGCGCAGCACTCCTTCTTCCAGCTGCTCCACCAGGGCACGAAGCTCATCCCCACCGACTTCATCCTCGCCGCCAACTCCCACAACCCGGTCGAGGGGGGCCTGCACCAGCGGATGCTGGCGTCGAACTTCCTGGCCCAGGCCGAGGCCCTCATGGTCGGCAAGACCCCCGAGCAGGTCAAGGCCGAGGGCGCCCCGGACGAGCTCGTCTCCCACAAGACCTTCCTGGGCAACCGGCCGACGACCAACATCCTGGCCGAGCTAATCACCCCCGGCACCCTGGGCGCCCTGATAGCCTACTACGAGCACATGGTCTTCACCGAGGGCGTCATCTGGAACATCAACAGCTTCGACCAGTGGGGCGTCGAGCTCGGAAAGGTCCTGGCCAAGAAGATCCAGAAGGAGCTCGAGACCGAGGGCGCCGGCGCCGATCACGACTCCTCCACCGCCGGTCTGCTCGCCGCCTTCAAGGCCAAGAACGGTCTCAAATAGACGGACCCAAGAAGGAGAAGGAAAAATGGAGGAAAGCAAACTTGGCTGGCAATGGACTTGTGTCGTAGTACAGGGGCAAGCTTGATGCCGTCGTTTAATAAAGTCCCAGTTCTGCTTATTAGGGACCAAGCTATCCCCCCCCCGGCCAGCCATGACGTTCACGATTCTTGACGAGACGAGATACACAAAATGGCCACACATATATGGAAATTGCACTGTTCATCTTATTTTCGTGCTTCTAGGCTCATTGAAACTAGTGTACCTGACTCGATTGCCCGAGCCAAAAAGGGCCCGTCTAAAATGTACCCCGTCACGCATCAAATCTACCTCGTACTCCTCAAAAACTCTACAATGCCGCGTGTGTAGCCCACAAGTTTGCTCAATCTCTCTTCCTCGGCCTGCATGACTGACCTCCACTCGCGCACGGCGTCGTTGAGGCCGGGAACATCCGCGACAAAGTCGCCGTGCAGTTTGAGGAAGACGCTCATCCACGTATTCACCAACTCGAAACTGCGCCGGGATTCGAGTTGGAGGGTGAGTGCGCGGACGAAGAGGGGCATTTCCGACAGCGTGAGGGAACGGATTTCCAGGTCCGCCGCGGACGGGGGCAGCGTGGTGAGGTAGTCGCACAATTCGCTCGGGCTGCGGTCTGACGAGAAGGAAGCCAAAAGGGTTGAAATCTGCGAGTGAGATTGCTGCGAAGAGGCTGCGAGAGCGAGACGAGATATACGCGAACGCTCAACCTCTTCGATATCGGCGACAGCAATGGACGAGGTGGTGTCGGCGCCGGTCCCGTTCGTCATGGCTGAGCCCAGGAAGAAAGGTGCCGCCTTGGGCTTCTCGGGCGCCTGGATCGGTTTATTGCGCTCTCGGATACTGTCGAGGTTGAGGAGTGTTTGCCACCGTGATTGAGGGACGAGGGAGAGGGTGAGGAGGCTTCGATCGAGTTGGTCAACGGTGAATGATTCGTCGTCGATGCCATCGATCTGGTCGTCTGCGTCGGCCACTGGGTCTGCAACTGCGAGTTGACTGGCTGCTTGGAAGGCTGCTGTCTCGGTGAGATCGATGATGCCAGTGGCTTCGTCAACCTGTTTCGTCGAAACGGCTGTGAACAGAGCTTTGTTCGTCCAGATGTTGATACCGACACTACCGGCGTGGGTGGTCGCCAGAAACTCGCCGGTTGATGAGAACGCGACACTGGTGCATGTTGCTGTTCGGAAGGCGTCAATTAGATGGCCCGTCGCTAGGTCAAATACGCGAACAATCGAGTCCATGGAACATGCCACTACCCAGCGACCGTCGTGGGAAAAGCAATAGTCGTAGATCTGTCCTACACAGCCCCAGAGCTCGCGGACAATCTTTCTGCTTTCAATGTCGACGATGCGAATGCAAAGATCGTCACAAGAAAGGGCGAGAAGCCCTGACGATGGGTTGTAGTGGATGGCTGTGGGCACAGCATCGGTATCAGTGCGTCTCTCTAGGATCCTTCCAGTCGAGAAGTCCCAGAAGATGATAGAGCCATCGAGACCAGTAGAAACCATTGTGCGATTGAGGCTGTCAACGACAATGCCAGTCACTGCATCTCGATGACCTTGTGGCACGGGCAGAATCTGCTCTGACTGGGCATGTTGTTTGAGCTGTTTGATCTGCGACGGAGTCAGACGAGGTGGGTATCGCTGACGATGTACCCCAGATTGAAGATTGAACATGTCCAGACTGCCACCAGCGGACCCGATGACAGCGAAAGTGCCACAGGTAGTGATGGCGACACTAGTCACGGGTTTGTGATCGCCAGTCTCGAAAGACCACCTGCCAGCTTTTTTCCTTCCCCAAGACCACGTTCTTGCAAAGCGATCGTCGAGGTGGGCAGTGACAATACTCTCCCAACCAGTGGTGCTGGTCACTTCTGCATTGCTCGTCTTCGCATTGGCCCAGACCTGGCCGCCCACTGCACCCATGCCGCCATCTCTATTCAGGGAGCAAGCCATATCAATGATAGGTGGAGCTTTGAATTCCTCTACCCCGGCGCCATCGTCTGCAAGCAGTCCAGTCTTCCGGGCTTTGTGCTTGACCGCACCCTGGCTCAACTCGGTGCTCTGACCGTCGCGGCGGAGACTGAATCCCCAGAGGCTTCGATCACTTCCAGCAGACAGTAGCCATTTCCCAGCGGCATCCGACCCATCTGAGGCGGCCGGCAGAAATTTGAGCTTAGTCACTGGAGCAGCGTGTCCGCTCCGTGAATGTAAAGGTCGGGGTGTTGGTGAGAAAGGATTCTCGTCAAATACCCAGGACCTCAGAGAATTGTCCAAACCAGACGATATCAACACAGGCTGTCCTGAAAGAAACTCCACCTTGTTCACTCCGGTCGCCTGACCAAGGCTCGAAGTCTCATGGGCGCCTCGCAATACTCCCACAATTTTACCACCACGATTAAGGTCCCAAAGTGTGATATCACCGCTCTCGATACTAGACGTAGCCATGGAACCGGACTTACGGCCATCCTCTCCGGCACCCATTCCATCGCTACGGAAGCTTATCGAGGTTATAGGCTTCTTGGTGTCTCTTTGATGCAATTCCAGCACCTTCTCATCTGACTCGACGTCAAAAATGGTAATAGTGCCGTCGGCATAAGCAACTGCGAGGAGACACAGTGCAGGGGCTGGAGAAAGGGCCGTCACCGGACCGCAATTTGCCGAGGGGGCGAGGATTGTGTGCACCAATCTCCCAGTACTAACGTTGTAGACCTCGATATAGCCATCTTTTCTTCCAACAAAAACCTTGTTTAAAATGGTAGGTAGGGTGCAAATCTGACCAGAGAAAATTTCTCCAGAATTGCTGGCAGCGGCAGAAGTAGATGGGAGGATAGTTGTATAGTGTTCGTAGGTGTCGGATTTCCAGACTTCAATCGCTTCTTTTCCACATCCTACGACCCAAGAGCCAAACACAAGAAGCGTCTCAATCTCTTGAGGGTGGGTGTCTTCAGTCTCCAACTCGCCAACGACTTGTCCTCGCTTGAAGACCCAAACGCCTCGAGGACTGTCCTGTTGCGATCCCCCCCATGCAACAAAGACTCTATCACGATATGCGCACGTAGATGTAATCTGATTCGGGCATTGGGGGCGGCTGAGGAAAACAAGATTGAGACCTCTGCGTAAGTCGTAGGTTTGCAGAGCATTGCCAACAGAAGTGGTGATCTGAAAAGTGGTTTTGCCCAGGGGAACGGACGTAAACGGGACACTTGTAGGGGAAACCAAGCCTAAGGTCTTGCAAGCAGTCAGCAAAAGATCTTCAGGAAATGCAGTGAGTGCATACTCTGAACGGAGAAAAGAGTCGAGAACTTGTTCGCGCTTTGTGATCGAGAGGGCTCTGGCCATTCTCGCGGCGCTGTCGCTTGGCCACGGGAAATTCGACGGCATCCTCCATGCTAGGAATGTGCAAAATACAATATCCCCAAGGCTCCTCAGCTTCTCTGGAACATGTTGAAGGTTGACGGCTGCGTCAAGATTGGGCGCAGTTTGGATGTTGGAGAATCCCAAAACGGAAAGCCACTAAATTATTTTTTTTCTCTACTGCGATTATTTGGGGTGGAACGATTGAGAAGGAGCAATGACGTTGTCTGCACCTGCCAAACTACGGATTTCTGGACGGCAAAGACATGAACAGCGGCAGCGGCGACGGGAACGGAACGTCTATCTTTCTCACAATCTGTCTTCTTCCATCCTTTCAATCGTTCATCTATTCGCTTCTCACTGACTTCAGATCATTATTCACTTCTATCGTTGACCTTCAGTATGGCAATATAATATTACATTTGCCACTCTTGTTCGATATTTCCTACAGGTCATTCATTTTGACTGGTGCCACAACGAGCCTTCGACGAGATTGATCGCTGTATCCTCGTAGGTTGGTTGAGCTCTGGTAACGGTCCAGGGTGCTACTGGTGCTGGTAACTATCATCTTGAGCACACTCTGCACTGTACGAGCGACACAATGGACCAAGGCTCACCGCTCCGGCGGACCTCGACAAACAATTCCGAAAGTGCTCTGGACGACACTTCTTCTTTGACAGCAGTATATTCGGGCTCTTCTTCCGTTACGTCGTCTCGGCCGCCGATGTCTCTTGGCCGGCCACCCTCGACACACTCGCTATTGGCTTCTCACAAGAACCCTGAAGTCCGCAAGGCTCCTCAGACTGAAACTACCAAGGCTTCGGCCGACCGCTCTAGTATAAGTATGCCACCTCCCTCGTCCGCGCCCACCATCAACAGAAGATTGTCTACCTCCCTGAACTCCTTGAGGTCTCACAGAAGATCTCAAGATGACGCTAGAAGCCCGCCTGGTTCAGTCAAGAGTCTGGACGCTCCCGTTCTGGGGACCTCGCCCACGACTGTGCAGGTTTCTACAACAGCCTGCGACCCTACTGCGGTCACCACTGCCTCCACCTCAACATCCCCAGGCCCTCCTGTCCTTTCACCTCCCGTTTTCGATCCAAGCATTCCTAATCCTTCAGATCTAGTATCATCTCAGGCCACGCTTCCATCATCCGCCACCAAGAGTGATACCTCGATTCCCGCTGGCCAAACACTAGGATCTACGACTAGGACCGATGGTTCCGAGACTGTTTTGCCCAACCGGGCTCCTCGAGTTCCCAAACCTCGCTCGATCTCCTCTACTCGACGCCTTAGTGGCACGGGCTCCTCCAAGAACGATAACGGAAGCACTGAAAGCAAGATATCAATGGGAAGAATTGGGGTTTGCGCCCTCGATGTCAAAGCCCGAAGCCGTCCCAGCCGTCAAATCTTGACTCGCCTTCAAGGCAACGGCGATTTCGAAGTTATCGTCTTCGGTGACAAAGCTATTCTTGATGAAGGTTAGTCAACTCCTGTTGTGACATATCGACGATGCTAATCCGCTCAGATGTGGAGAACTGGCCTATCTGGTAAGTCCAAAGTTTGTAGAAAGTGATCAGTGTTGTCCGACCGCTAATCTCGACAGTGATTTCCTGATTTCGTTCTTTTCGGACGGATTCCCTCTCGACAAGGCCATCGCATATGTCAAATTGCGGAAACCCTTCGTGGTCAATGACCTACCCATGCAGAAGGTTCTGTGGGACCGTCGACTCTGTCTTAAGATTCTGGATCAGATGCAGATTCCCACCCCCAGACGTATTGAAGTTAATCGAGATGGAGGCCCCCGCTTGGAATCAGCTGAACTTGCGCAGCATGTTTACAATATGACAGGAGTTGTGTTGGAAGGCCCCCAAGATGGCACAGGAGGTGGAGCCCCTGCGGCAAAATCTATCGAGCTGACAGACGAGGGTGACACAATCGTTGTCGACGGCAAATCGCTGAAGAAGCCTTTCGTCGAGAAGCCTGTCAATGGGGAAGACCACAATGTCATCATTTACTTCCCTAGATCTCAGGACGGGGGAGCAAGGAGACTTTTCCGCAAGATAGGCAACAAGTCGTCCGAGTACGATCCTGACCTCATTACGCCCCGTTCCATTACCGAACCAGGAAGCAGCTACATCTACGAACAATTTCTGAGGACAGAGAACGCTGAAGACGTGAAAGCGTACACTGTTGGACCAGACTACTGCCATGCAGAAACAAGAAAATCGCCTGTCGTTGACGGACTGGTTCGTCGCAATACTCATGGGAAGGAACTCAGGTATGTGACCAAACTTAGCGACGTAGAAAGAGAAATGGCTGCGAAGGTTGCTCGAGCTTTCGGGCAGCGCATCTGTGGCTTTGATCTGTTGCGTACAGGGAATTCCAGTTATATCATTGATGTCAATGGCTGGAGCTTTGTCAAAGACAATGAAGACTACTACAATGACTGCGCCAAGATCTTGAGAGGCATGTTCGTCACGGAAAAGGTGAAGCTGGAGAACGGTTGGACTGAGGAGCCGTCACCGGATTCAAGTGGTGAACTTCCAGTTCGCCGCCAGGGGGGCTCTAATCACCCTCATCGTTCAGCCCTTAAGACGATTTTGAAGTCACCAAGTATGAATAAGCTCTCTCAGCATCTGCCTCACTCCAACAGACATCACCAGTCTACAGCTGCCACCTCTTCGAAATCTTCGACGATGACGACTCCCCTTAGCTCGCCGCCAACTATGGAGAGAAGTACCAACGCGCAGACCATGCCGAGAGCTATGGACAATACAGAAATGCTACCTCCTCCAGTCGTGCAAACGGCACCGATAGGCACTGCATCAGGAGAGGCGATGTCGTCTGCTAAGGAACAAGATGCACCGGCTCCGATGCCTAGCTCAAAACATTCTTGGAAACTCAAGGGCTTCGTGACAGTCATCAGACATGCGGACAGGACTCCAAAGCAGAAGATCAAATTTACCGCTCATTCTCAGGTGTTTGCTGATCTTCTTAAAGGCCACCACGAGGAAGTACTGCTCAAAGGCGAAGCTGCTCTGGCAAGCGTTGAAGCTGCGGTCAAGACCGCACAGAAGGACCACCTCGAAGACCCAGACAAGTTGCATAATCTGCGAATCGCCCTTGCAAAGAAAGGTTCCCAACCTGGCACGAAGGTGCAGATCAAGCCAATGTTTCGGAAGCGGAAACCGGAGGAGATGCAGGCAAACATGAGTGATCCTGCCAACCCGAGCAGTCCATCCGTGCTGTCGATACCTGAGACAGAACCATTTCAGATCTGTGACTCGCCCCTTGCCGACCGTTCGGGCTCGATACCGGATCTGAAAGACCCTAATCAATTGCACCGGCCACAAACTAGAAGCGATTCCATGTCCGGAGCGACCTTTTCAAGGTTCTCGGCAGCGGAGAATGACCTTGTCCTAGACAAATTGCAACTGGTTATGAAATGGGGAGGCGAGCCAACGCACTCTGCCCGTTATCAGTCTCAGGACTTAGGAGCTAACATGCGTGACGACTTCAAGTTGCTCAATAGAGAAGTGTTGAATGATGTACGCATATTCACCAGCTCTGAGAAACGAGTCAAGACCAGTGCACAAATCTTTGCTGCTGCATTCCTGGATCGTCAAGACATACCAGAAGATTTTATCCAGGTTCGTAAAGATCTTCTGGACGACTCCAATGCGGCTAAAGATGTCATGGACAAAGTCAAGAAGAAGCTTAAGCACCTTCTTCGCGAAGGCAGTGTCCCAGAAGCATTTGCATGGCCCAAAGACGTGGCGTCTCCATTTGTGGTCATGCAGAATGTTATCGATCTCTTGAAATTCCACCGGCGGGTCATGAGGCACAACTTCAAGAAGCTTACAAGCGGGGCTGCCGCATCACTCGCTGCTATCAGTGGCAGTCCAGAATCAAAGGATGCGAACAAGGAGGGCTTGTCTGTTGCTTCCATTCAGTCCCGATGGTGCACTGGAGAAGACCCGGAACTCTTCAAAGAACGCTGGGAGAAGTTGTTTTCCGAGTTTTGCGATACTGAGAAGGCTGATCCCAGTAAGATCTCCGAGCTGTACGACACCATGAAATACGATGCACTCCACAATAAGCAGTTCCTGGAATGGGTCTTTACGCCTAGCCAATCACTCCTGGACGACATGGCCAAAGAGGAGAGTATTGCAGCGTCAGCAAGTCCGATTGAGCAGGAGCAGGTCGAGGGCTCTGTTTCACCTGTTGGTAAAAGCCGTCATGAAAGCAATGTGTCTGCTTCTGGTAGTCTCTCTGACAAACACTCGTTTGCTCACAAGATCGGTTTGAGAAGACAATCTATCTTAAAACAGCCTGTGCCAGCTCCACCACTTAATTCGTGGGAACAGGGTGCTTCTTACTTCAAGCTGTTCAGTGGGTCTTCCGAAAGCAAGTCAAGTCTCGATCAACGTCTTGGTCGTCTGAGAGAACTGTACCGGTACAGCAAAATCTTATTCGACTACATCGGGCCACAGGAGTACGGTATCAGCGACGAAGAGAAGTTAGAGATTGGCCTCTTGACTTCACTTCCGCTGCTACGAGAGATTGTGGACGACCTCGAGGAGTTGCAAGCGTCTAGCGATGCAAAGTCTTTCATCTACTTCACCAAGGAATCCCACATCTACACACTCCTCAACTGCATCATGGAAGGTGGAATCCATACCAAGATTAAGCGATCCACCATTCCAGAGCTAGACTACCTTTCCCAGATCTGCTTTGAATTGTACGAGGCCAAGGATGCTGACACAGCCGAGTCGACTTATTCAATTCGCATTTCCATATCGCCTGGTTGCCACACTATTGATCCCCTCGACATTTCTCTCGATTCCAAACATGCGATTGGATCAGCACCAAGACGATCCTTGACCAATCATCAAGACTGGAAAGAGGTTATTTCGACGTTGAAAGCGAAGTTCAACACAGTCCAATTACCGAAGAGTTTCCTCGCCGTCAACGTAAGCGACAAGCATGAACAAGAGGCCGAGAGAAGAGCGAGTTATTTGCAAAGCGAGGCCGCAAGATTAAAGCATGAGCGTGACGAACAAGAGAACGCAACTACAGTTGACGGTCAAAACAATGACGCCGCTGATGCAGAAACAACGGTGACTCGCGATGCGACTGCCTCCGACTCGCTCGAAGTAACTAGAGAATCTTGAATGGTGGATCGGTAGAATTCCACAAAATTTTCGACATGCGACAGTCTGGTCATGTATAGAGCCGACCAAGGTTATCAAAAGTATTAGAAGGACAGGGTGAGGACACAAAAATCGTGTTTGGGAGGCTGAGATCGGCAAACACTTCCAGCATAGGCTGTGAGAAGCGTGGTCCAGACATGTGGATAAGGCGTTATCAGGACAGATCAGGTCTGCCTATGGCTTTAGTAAATAGAGTCGGAGATTGATTAGATGAATTGTTTACGGCGCTTTGCTTGTCGCACATCAAAGTATTATATTGAAAAACAATATACATTCAATAGCGAACAAAGCCGAGGCTCGGTATAGAGAGATCGATGTTAGCACGTAGCCGAACGTTGGTAATAACGGTGGTGGTGGTGTTCCCTTGCAATCAACTGTCATGGCTGGAAAGGAAAGGGAAAAGATGCACGCGACAGGGACAGGGACAAACGGACGGATCACTTTTTATACAGTACAGAATATCAGGGTGAAGCAAGGCATTGATCTCTCGGTCAGTGCATGTCGAAAGCGAAGAACAAGTTTGGTTTGGGGTTTGTTTTGTTTTAAAAGAAGAACAAGTCATCAAATCATTTTTATATAACTCCGTAATTCCCTGGCTAGCCATGAACCCGATGCAGTTGCGTATACTCCGTATACATGAAGAAAAAGAAAAAAAATAGGCGAGTCGGTTTGGAAAAGCAATCTGTCCAACCTCGCAAGGAAACGAAAGAAGAAAGAGGAAAAATCGTCGAAACTCCATCATTGAATGCTTCTAGGATTCGTCTAGTCGCCAATCTTTTCTGCTCAAGTCTTTGAAAACAATGTCCATGCGCGCCCGAATCTATACGAGTCTTGACTGTGTATGAATGTTGTATGGTGTATCAAATCTAGGTGTCGTCGTTGGTGGTGGTGGTGGGGAGAAAACCCTTGTGTGGAGGTGCTCTTGATGTTTTAACTGAAATCTTTGATGTCCGTTGTATGTAGATCTTTTTTTCGGTGCGTATTACTCCGTAGGGATACTCCGTGGGTGCAATCAGAGATCGATACCAGGTGAATGGTAAGGGGATTCTACTAGGGAAAAAGATTCGTTGCAAGGGAGGGGACAGGGAATCGCCGGTTCCTGCATCGGGAGCCTTCGTTTCGTTTCGTACAGTAGGGAGGTAACCTAGGTAAGAGTGGGTTGCGCATGTGCCTTTTTTGTGTCTATCGTTGTCTAAAGGTGTAAATCGTGTAACTCGGGGTGAGAGAAATTTCGGAGGTGATTCGGCTATTCGGAGGTGATTCGGTAATGGTCGGGGCACACGGGCTGAAGAAAACCAGCGACAAACCCATAATCCGCGCAAACGTCAGTAAAAAAACTTGGGTCGTACTCCGTATCGGTGGTTGGCAAAACATTATTCGCAAATTGGCGCTGTGGTGATCGGTACTCGCAGGGGTCTTTTTTTTTTCGTCTTGGGTGCTCGCGTGCATTTCCCGAGTCATTTCGATCGCGCGCCCTTGATCGGTGCTGAGGTTCAACCCAAGTGTCACTTCCGGTACTCGGTAGAGAGAGAGAGGTTTCAGTTCGCAACACGCAGTTTGCTAAAGGTTTCCTTGATCTCTTTGAGATCCTGAAGACGTCCTCTCTCCACCTCTGCCATCAGCCTGAGGTTCTCCTGCTTCAGTTCCTTGAAGTCCTCGTCGAGCTTGTTGTGCCAAGGGTACAGGACAAAGACCTGGAAGGCGAGGGCGGAGGTTGCGATTACGAAGTTGGTGACGGAGAAACGGCGTGCGATTAACATCTTGTCGAGTTGTCGGGTAGAGATCGTGTATCGAAAAAAGACAGTTGGACTCTGTGACCGGTCGTGTCGTTTGATGTGTCCCCCGTGTGACGTCTGGTTCTATCTATATATAAAATACCTGTACCGATAGGAAACTTTGCAGAAAGAGAGATGGAGAGAGGGAAGAAGGAAAAATTGAAAGACAAGATATATACGCGCCACCGCCTGCTTATTAGTATTTCCCAAGTCAGGACCTGACCCGTACGAGTCATTAGCCGTTCACCGATACCGGCTACGAACTGTGCTTCATGTCAAAAAGTAAACAACACAGAGAGAGATCCGAGGCAGAGGGCGGAGTTCAGAGCCTTCTGGAACCCCCCCTCCTCGAATGTGCAAGGCGCGCCACAAGAAGACGTCGCGGTACGGTCAAGTGGAGGTACTTTGGGTACCAAGGGTACTGTACAGTAGTACATAGTAGTACTAGAGGTACCTATTGTAGCACGAGTCGTACACCAAGTACCCAGAGCGCGCTGGAAAAGGGTGGTGTGACCTTTCGGAGAGACACGGGCTTCATGTGCGAATTTGGAGGTCGTCGGGGAACAAAAGCTGAGCGCATGTGGTAGCGGCGGCGGGCGGTGGCAAGCAGCATGTCAGATAAGCGACCAAGCCTCACTCGATAGGCTGAAAGGCGTGGCCTCGTGGGAAAAAAGCGATCGGCTTATCCGTCCACACGGAGTACAATGCACGAGGACTGTAGGAAAACTCGTAGGAGATGATGATGCCTTTGGCCCGTTGTTCGTGATGGTGGTGCCGCACAGCACCTCGAATCACATCCTTGGTCATATGGTCCGCGGTGAGTGCTTCGTGACTATACTACTACATAGTCAGCAGGAGCAGCAGATCGGTCACTCTTACAATACCTAGTATTCGGCAACGAAGGCCAGTGAAGGCATTCTCCGTATGGTGTTACATCCCACTGCACCGCAAAAAGGAAGATACGTCGGGGACTTTTTCGTTGGTCGTGGCGCAGGTGCCGGATTATTGTTGTTCCTCTGCCGGCAAAATCTCATTTCTCTCCAACTGCGATTGACACGGTGCATGATGAATGCAACGAATGACATACAATTTCTATCCAAGGGGCCAGAATGTGATGGTTCGAACTCATCCTTGGCCCTCAAAATCTCATGGATCTACTCATCATGACGACGCAGCTGCAGGAACAATACAAGCCAGTTCCCTCCGTCGACCCAACATCTCAAACTGATCCGTCGTTTGTGATTCTCAGTGATCGTCAATCTGCTGGAAGGCTTGTGTGGCCCCCTATCTCGAGAAAAAAACAGCCGAGAAAGTCTCTTGTCACCTTCTACAAGTCTTGGGTAACGTCTTCAGGAGTGCCTACTCCATGCGAGCTGCTCCCTGAATATACAAATTCTTCTCATGGTGCACATATCGCCCTCCCCCTGCCAAGCGAGATCGTCCACCAGTTGCTGCTTGAAACGTTTCACATTTGAGCCTCCGACATCCCTCCACAAATGCGCTAAAGCCCTTCAGATCACTGATCATTGGCCCGGGGGACATCTTGACATGGAGTCGTGACCAACTGTGTCCCAATCAGTCCCCGTTGCTGTGCTTCACCGCGTTTCGAGAGTCGATTCAGCCGCATATCGATAAGGAAACTCCCTTGAACGAAACGACATTTGTTTAGTCTGGTGAATCTGCCAAGATCGAGGTCCATTGGGGCCATGCATCGATGCGAGCGAGGCGGTGTTGCGCAAATCCACGGAGTACGAGTAGAGAGACAAGGCAAAATGTAGGTCCCGCCTTGCCGGGAGAACCAGTGACCACTTTCTGTCTTTCTGTTCTGTATCTTATTCTTTTCGTCTTTCAACTTCGCTGGCCGGGTACGATTCATTTGTTTTTCTTTTTTCCGCCCTTCCATTTCTGCATTCTCTGAAGGCTGGGTCCTTCAATCTCGTTGTTGGGGTTTTCATACTGGAACGAGAATCGCAGTCGACCTGCTAGAACGTCTTTGCTTCACTTTGCTGTACAAATACTCACTTGGACACGAATCATGCCTCCAAGCAAGATACGATATCGGATAGACAGATCCAGAATTTCCAAGGCCAAGCCACATCTCTCTCGAAGCTCATCTCGCCTTCGTCGAGACGATGGAGAACCAAAACCTGCCACCGGCTTGCCGCCTAACCTCCCAAACACCATACTTGGGAAGGCAGCCAACAATGGCACGGCAGGAGAGGAATCTGAAAGTGAATATGATGACGATAGTAGCAGCAGTGACGATGACAGCAGTAGCGAAGATGATGGCGCGAACAGCTCGAGTGATGACGAAGACAAACCTATTGGAGCAAGTCTCTCACCAGGCGACTACACAAACGACTCTTCAAGTACCAAGACGGCAGACAATCCCTTCCTCCCGAAGAGCACAACGGCCTCGGGTATACCGGCCACCACCACGACGGCGGGCTCAGTGGCAGGGGGTTCCACCAATCCTGTCACTGCTCCAGGTGAGTCGGCGACATCAATCCCCAACATTGCTGCTGCCACGCATACGAGTGCAGCTTCGACATCCAACAGCCAGCCAACCGTCAATACTTCCGCACACCACCCTGCGAACCACACGGCAGTCATCGCGGTCGCGTCAATCATAGGGGTTGTCGCCGTGGCCACCGCGGTCTACCTGTTGTGCCGATACTGCAAGCCTGTACGAGACAAAGTCGCCGCCCTCCGTGCTCGACGCAGCCAGAGACTCGGCGACAACGAGAGCCCACCGAGTCCAGACATGTCCCAGGTCTCCACGGATGTCATAGGGCGCCCGAGGCTACAGGCACTGGCGAGTACTCCCAACCTCTTCAGTGGGGGGAAGTTGAAGAATCCATTTTCGGACCAGGTACCGCTTGCAGACAGCGAAGTAAGCAGCAACGGCCCAACTCTTCGCCAAGTCAGCGTTCCCAACAATCAGAGACCGCCGACTTGGGCCTCGAGTGACAGCGACACCACCTACCCGGCGGACACGATCTTGAACGAGTATGGCCCAGCAGCTTCGTCACCGCTTACACCACTTCCGGCGGTCCCTGCATTGCACCCGACGGGTCTGGCCAACAATCCACCCACGCCGGTCGCAGGGAGACGGGCAGCCCCGCCCCGTCCCCCCTTCCCACGACAGCGAGCCGCCATCCAGCCGCTCGTGCCGGACCCGGTCGGGGGTCTGAACATTCGCGAAAGTGTCTCCTCGCCCACACCGACCGACTTCCCCGTGCCCGGTCCAGCGGACTCCGTCGTGAGCCTGGCCCGTCCGTACAGCCAGTACCAACCTCGCATCCGCAAATCCATTACCCCGTCGGAGAGTGCGTCGAACGGGCCGTTCTCGCCGCTCCCTCTGCCCGCTCTGCCCGCGGCGTTCAACTCGCGCTGGAGCAGAAACTCCTCGAGTGTCAACAACGGCAGGTCGACGCAACTGAGCAAGGGCACGGCCATCAGGAGAGCGAGCGACGGAGATCCCGTGGCGACACCGCGGCCACCGCCCCTGCCGCTTGCCGTGAAGAGATCGAGCGCCGGGTCGGTGGCTTCGTCTGTCTGGTCCAGTGGGAGCGGTGCTTCAGTGAAGGACATGACCCGGTGAAGAGGAGAGCGAATAAAAGAGTGAGGAAAGAAGAAGAGGGGATGTTTGTCCATATCTATTAACGATTGATTCCTCTTTGCCCCTTTCGAGGCAACAGAGTTCAGTCATGATTGTAAATAAAAGAAAACATTTTTGGGGGCAATACGTCCCCGAACAAGCCCCAAAACCCTGTATTGTATCCATCAGATGATAGAACGACTATAACATTTCCTGTCGTGGCCCTTTTTCTTCTCTCCCCTTCTATCAGCCCTGTGACTGCGGTGTTTCGAAACGACAAGGAACGATAAAAGGAAGGCTGATTGTGACGGAACGAGATTTGTTTCAAACAGATGATCCATGGGACAGTGTCCGACTATCCACGCAAGTCGGCGCCGTCCACCTTCCAAACCCTCCGCTCCCCTGTCCACGCACCTACAAGACAGAACACATCATTCGTGTTCTTTGTCCGAACCGATCGAGTCTGTCGTTGTCGTCCGAGTCGTCTTGCACAACGGGGCGTGTCCGCCACACATGTTCTTCACAGAAAAACCCCACAGGTCAAAAGACTGAGTGAATCCCTTGGCATGCTTTTTGAGATTGTATTGGAGAATATCATAACAAGACACTTGTTGCGAAGAACGTCGGAACTGATCGAACTCTTCATTCTCTCCGTATTCAGGGCTCTCATTTCTGTAGATCACCAGGAGATCAAGATTGTAGGCGAAAGTGTGGAATGATTGAGTAGAAAGATATTGTGAAAGAAGGCCATGGATGATGACAAGGAGGAAAGTGACGTGCAAAACTATACAGGATCATTCTGCAAAAACGGCAAAAACTTAACTAGGATTTATCTCCCATAGGAGCCTAGTTAAGAAAATCCCAGTCGTGTAAGGATTTTTTTCCCCCAGATGCCTCCCAACTCGGGACCAGTGAAGGTCTTGAACCGATCTATGGTACTCGCTCTGGAATCTCCCCTGTCGCAGCGCTTACAACTTTTTCTAACCCTCTCCAGGGACGCTTGTATTCCTCCTATGTTGTCCTCCCACTCAGGTTGTCGTGACCCCCTCAAGTTTGGCCCCCAGAATTGATATCCCACTGTTGTGTTGATCCCACTGTGTTTTTTGACCAAGTTGATTAGTTTTGTTGATTGACCCGGTGAATTGATCCTCGTTGAAATTCAAGTCGTGATGTTTTAATTGTTGAACAATTAAATTGTTGACTGAACCGCGGTTCGAACCCTGTGTCCATCTCGCCTAGAAGGAAGCCGCTGACCACATGGCCATGTGGCCTTGACCTGAGCTCCTTTCTAGGGGTCTTGGTGTGTTGAGGGTAAAATTCAACTTTCACAATGATATTCTTTGATTTTTTTTCCCCTGTTGCCCTTCCCAGTGGGCCTCCACAAATGTCGCTTGGGAGGACTTCATGGACAATGTTGTCACCTTTTCTGGGCTTGACGTGGGTGCCTGCCTCCCGAAAACCGTCTCATGCGATCCCCTTTGCAAGGCTCGCGAACAGTACAGCCACTTTCCGTCACCCAGCAGACAGCACGTTTTTTTTTTAAAAAAAAACCAACCACCGTCCTCGAATATGTCCATGACCTACCAGCAACAAGCAGCGATGCGGCGAAGGGCTTCGACCTCGGGTCATATGGGCTCGGATTCGTTTCGGGATATGGGGACAAGCAATTGCCACATCGGTAGCCTCATTATCGGAGAGCAAGTACGGGAGCTCCCAGCCCGCACAAGTTTTGTTGAGATTGAACCTGGATTGTTCGAAACTGATATCGTTCAAACCGAGGACCGGCCCATGTTGGCTTTCACTTTTTCCCAAGGCAGCCTCCATCCATCAGTCCTAGGTCGATATGTTATTTTCCGAGAACGGCTTTTCAATGCTTTCGCTGCTTCCTCGAGCCCTTGAGAAGTGTCCTTTCGATGTCAAGTGCTCTACATTCAGCAGACCCATCACATTTTATCAAATGATGCTGACTCTGACATGATGCTTTTGCTCACAGGAGGCTCGATTGCTGTACCATGGATGGATGTTTTGGAGCGGAGACGGAAAAGGCTTATAGACCTGTACGTCCCTTGAAAAATTATTCACACATGTCCGTCCTTTCAACCACTGGCTTTTGGTATTCTCTTGAACCTGTGCCGTAATCGGTCCGTCAGTAATCCATAATACTCATGCACGTGCTTGGACGGTAGGAACTCGTCGAGTGCAGGGCTTTAAAAAAAACTCACCACACGGGGTCACAGTATAGAAAAGTATTCTGCATCCGCTTTACTTGGCCTCTGATCCACTCGAGTTGGCCCTCCCGCAGGTCGATTGGTACCGCATCATCCTCGGGTTCAGCCATCCGGAAAACGCCGCATACGTACGGGAACAGTGTCCAGCCGCCTGATGCGGCCGCCCGGGATTTGTAGAGCGGGATGTGGTGTGGGACGGTCGTGACCTTGCCCGTCGTGGGGTGTTTGGTGGTCTTGATGGGGAACTCGACCTCGTCGCTGTAAAGTGGATTTGTCACCACGGTCGTGGAGCCCAGGTGGAAAGGGACGCAGTCGCAAACGGCGTCCACGAGACGTTGAACGGTCGCGTTGATCGTGAGGAGAACCCGCTGGTTCTCCGTGGTCGCGAGGAGGCTCGGGACGTCTGCGAGAGCCTGTCGGATGACTTGGAGATTGACCAACCTGCTTTGATTGTAAAAGTTGGACATTTCGGCAAAAATCAGGTCGGGCCAAACGGTGCATCGCTCTCCATAGAAGCCGGCCGCGCGGACCGAGGGGGGCGCGTCGTCGCGGTGGACGTACTGCGCCAGCCAGCTGGGATCCGTGATGGACTGTCGCCACTCCACCAGCAGATCGTCCAGCTTGATGGCTTCGAGTATGATGGCTTCGTAGACGTCGTGATTGCGCTGCCGTTGCCGTTCCCCTTGACGCCGGATACCCCACAGACGGGCTTGGAGATTCACGACTTGCATGACGATCAACTCGAGCTCGGAGGCCCTGGTGGGCGGGAGTGAAGGGTCTTCAAAGAGGTTCTCGGCACCTGGCATCAAGCGACTTCGTGTACGCAGAGCGTGCAGCAGCAGGGTCCCTCGGGTCGCCTTGGCGAGGCCGGCACTGATAGGGGTGTCGTAGTTCCCCCTGCCCCTGATCTGCGCGAGCGCCAGAGCGCCTTCTTTGTGCTTGCCAGAAGTGACCGGGACAGGGATGTAGTGTTGCACCATGGAATCGTACAGGTCAAATATGAGGATCGTCATGAGTAACTCGTCCATCTTGTTCGGGGTCGGGTTTTGAATGGCTTTGCGTGTGGCCGTGAGTGCTTTGGTCATGAGCCTTCGTGCCGGCCGAGTGTCGCAACCCTTTAGGCACCACATCATCGTTATGTTGACGGTGAAGGCCGTAGTGACGAACCTCAGGGGAGAATCAAGGGCAGCTTGGAGGAACAATGGCTGCCACATCATGGCAAACCCATTGTGGATATTTTCGTCGTAGATTGTACCAGTGTAGTGGTGGAAGAAGAAGCATGTCGACGCTTCTTCCGAGTCCGGCTTCAAGGTGAAGGTAAAGCCGATAGGAGGCATTGTATCGGTGTGGACAGGGTGTGTTTGCAGAGCCGTATTGTCCTCTTCGCTCTCTTCTGTTAAAGGTGGACTGTCATGTTGAGGATCGCTAGTCGGCGCCGGCGCGGAATAGATGACCCATTGAAGTGGTTTCTTGAGACTCTTTGATCGTGGTATGAGAGAACTGCTACTGCTGCTGCTCGACAGAGATGATTCGGCTGGGCTATTGCCGCTTGAGCTATTGCTGCTCTGATTGTCAATGCAGGGCATCGAGTCTCGCAAAGCATTCTGTTTCTCGACCCGCTGTATGATCACCTTATTCTGGCTCCTATGAGCGCCATCAAAGACATCTGCATACCCTGGACAGGTTTGATGCCGGCGCGTACAGTTGTTGCAGGATGGCTTGTTTTGGTCGCACTGGAAAAACTTAGCGATGGTGTACGGACTTCCCCCGACGACACCAAACTCTTTGGCACTTGAGTATCATTAGCCCACATACCTTGACCCGGCGAGTCCTGCACGCCTTACAGCCTCCGCTAGGACCATGATAAACCATCGTATTGATGAATGATGATTCAGTCTCAAGAGAGTTTGCTGCCAGGGCCAATCTCAGGAAAGATCGGCCTCATCGGGCTACTGCTATCGCAAGGAATCCCTCGATATATACACACTCCGTACGGAGCACATGAACCTCCTCAAACCACCAGATAGTCATGTCGAGCATCAGCCACCATCAACACGTTGATCTATCTTGGCCTTCAAGGCGAGTCGGTCGACGAGGCACCGGTAGCTGTGGCTTAGTAATTTTCAGGCGGCCGGTAGGGGATGTAATGCCGCCGTCGGGGAATGAATAGTTGTTTCGTCGTTAGAAAAAAATGACCATGTTCTTGTTTAAAGGGGAAAACACGTGTGAGGACAGGGGGGATAGCGAACAAGCATGTCATCTCTGAAGAAACGAAATACGTTGTCCCTGTAATGTATGAGAAACTCCGCCTCAAAAATGAAGCGGACGAATCGCAAGGGACGTCTCTTTTTGGTTAGTGTGTTGCCAAAGTATATCTGTGCGCCATAAACGATACGGATACGAACGAATACGGAGGACAATCCGTACTGTGGGTTAGACCTACTGTAGATTCTGAGGGACGTACTCCGTACATTGAAGACTTTGCGTCAACGGCCGTAGGACCCCTCCGTGTCATTCATAGCCGCTGCTGAATTAACAACACAGCAATAGGCTGGAGTTCCAGGGCTGTGCCAAATTCTCTGTACTTTTTCTTACTCCAGTGTAGACGAGACACTACAGGCGTGCGAGAGGTGGAGCGCTGGTCAGATAAGCGGTGGGATTGACTCCGTACCAGTAGCAGCAGGTGGACTCTATGCTGTCAGGGTTTATTCAGGCAGCAAGCATTCGAAGGGCGAATCCGCAATGGTCACGGCGGCGACAGCTTCCAGCAGCCTCAATGCGGAAGGCTGCGGATGAGCAGAGTCGAGTGTCACAACAAAGGGTTACTACATTTTGTTACAGAAGCGCTCGGCCCGCGGCTTCTTCTGCTCGTAACTCTTTAACTGGCAGCTTTCCGATCATACTCATCTTTAGAGTATCCAAGCAGGAATTATGCATACGATATACGGAAAAACGAGACACGAGCAGAAGATGCTTTCGCGCTTCGGCACGGATTAACTATTGCGACACAAAGTGGTGGTCCACCGTATTCGATACGAGTACAGAGACCGAATAGGGGGGATCAAAGACGTGGAATGGGTCAAGTAGCCAAGATTATTGGTGATTTTCCTTAGTACGAGACAACATTAAATCTATTTCTGGTTCTTCACTGCCGTTGTACTTCTTTCGACTTTTTCGCTTCGTGCGCGACGATCGGAGTTGGAATTGAACCGAACATGGTGAAAAAGAGGAGCTTGATCTTCAAACGCCGGCAATCGAGTGTCCTCGAATCATCACGGTTCCTCTTGGCGGACATGTGAGGCCCCCGGTACCGAAGTCTATCTCGTGGATCACATTGGGGGCTGTACGGACCTACAATACATACAGGAGGATGACTAGCTGCAACGGGAAAATTCCTTGATTGTGCACAAAGCACATGGAAAGCCTGATGCCTGGCTCATTTCCCTATCAGGCTCCGGCTTGCGACTTGGCTCGAGCACAATCCAACACATGGCGTATCCGCATATCAGTCTTGGCCATAACTGCGCCCATTTAATTGCATAACCTGTATCCAATTTTCCCCAGCCATAGGGCTGGTGCAGCAATGTTTGGTGATTTCACAGTATGAAACAATACGGCCGGAGAAGCTCCAATGGAGCCACACTCATTGAGAAGCTCGAACATAAAGGTGAGGTCCGCCCATTTGGATGTGCCATTCCATATCCAACTCAACATCACCCCATCGACAGCAATCGCCTGAGCTCCTTATCTCTTATCCATCTTCTTTTCCTTGTGTTCGTTTAAAGCCAAATATTTTCTCAAAGACATTGTCAACATGTCTAACAATTGTACTAAACTCAGCGTCGAATGTCCTGTCGAACTCTCGGTGTATGGCTATCTTCCGAGTATACCCGCCAATGGCTTCTTTTTGGGCTTCTTTGCCCTCTTCGGCCTACTCAACTTAGGTCTCGGCATCAGATACAAGACGTGGTCTTATATGGTTGCTCTGTGCCTGGGCTGTCTGACCGAAACTATTGGTTATGTCGGTCGAATTATCATGCATAGCAATCCGTTTGCCGACTCGGGTTTCATCACTCAAATCTGCTGCTTGATCATCGCCCCGGCCTTCAACTCAGCAGCGATCTACCTGACTCTCAAGCATGTCGCATTGTGCTTTGGACCCGAATATTCCTACATCAAGCCTCGCTTCTACACCTACATCTTCATATGCGCAGACTTCATCTCCTTGCTCCTTCAAGCAATTGGTGGAGCATTGGCATCAACGGCCGATACCCAAGACGAACAAGACCTCGGAGACAATTTGATGATGGCTGGTATCTCCTGGCAGGTTGCTGCTCTGGCATTCTTTGCAGCAACTGCCGCCGTATATATCGTCCGGGTGAAGCGAGGCATGCGACGCACTCCGCTTTCCCTTGAGGCCGCTGCCACCCTGAAGGACACCAAGTTTCGACTGTTTGCTCTGGGTGTGGTGACTGCTTGGCTCACCATCTTCATTCGATGTGTCTACCGTATCATTGAAATGGCAGGTGGCTGGAAAAACTCCATCATGCAAGACGAGACCGGATTTATAGTCCTGGAGGGAGTGTGAGTGCATTTTATTCCGACCTGTGAACTTCGGTGGCTAATATTACTGTAGAATGATCGTCATCGCGACAGCATGTCAAACCATCTTCCACCCCGGATTTTGCTTTCCTCGACTCTCCTCCAGATGGACCTCAGAATACAGTGAGGTCGAAACCACCAAGGCCTCACAGGATGTTTCGATGGAGGATTTGCGAACAAGCGACACTGCATACACAGGTGGACGACATGACGGCTCGGCGAACGCTTGAACCGGGATACAGTGTTGTCGAGAGAACCAAAGTGAAAAGAGAGACATTAAACGACACGCAATGTAAATGATACCTGGAAAGAGGAGGACAATAGGGAGATTTTGTTATTTACCCGTCACGAGCTTCATCGTGATCGGCGTTGGATGTTATGATATGAGCGACAATGGTCTGGTATAGCTGGACTACTATTCAAAAATCAATCACATGTATGACAAGAAATCCACTTTGACTATGCATAGGTGATATTGTATTTCTCTCCCAGGCCCAGTGGAAGGGTTGCACATCATAACGACCAGAAGGAAATGTGGCGCTTTTCGGAGTGTACGCGTCAGAGCCATGCAGTGTGCTCTCGATTTTTGATAGCGACAAGAAAAATTCCCTGCTGCCTGGTCAATATTTCCTCTATCTCGCAAGAAAACATCTCTTGGCCCATAGCGTTTTCAAGGCGTAGAAAGGCTGACTCTGTCAGCGCCGCGACTCGGCTAAGAGTGGGCTTGTCCGAGGCGCATCTCTGACAAGGGAACAATGTCAAATTCCAATGAATCAAGTATGGTCAAGAGCGAACTCGGCATCAGATATACCTTGCGATGATCAATCAGAGAAGCTTGCCCAGGCGGGAAGCCAAGGTGTCTTATACACGGAGGACCTCGTACGGAGTAGATAGGTACCTAGGTTAGGTACCTGACCTAAGGGTAGGGATGGTGTGCCTTTCAACGAGGCTGAGCACTCACTCACAAAACACTGCCAAGCAAATGGCGGGGCAGGTCGATCAGGCTGCCCCCTTTGGCGCTGCTACCAGGCGCTGTACTGTATTACGAGTATTTGTGTGTCCCTACAGTACAGTTGGTACTGTATGTGCGTCATTTGAACATGGAATGACTTTTACTCCCCCCCCACCACCAAAGAAACCGGTGCCGTCATTGTCACAGTGACAGAGAATAGCAAAGCAAAAGCGACCCTGATCTGACTTGGTCCATCAAAAACGAACTACCTACTGCACTCTCCACCAACAACACATCCTGCTCGGTTTCCATCACTGCATCACGCACGCACAACTCTACTTCCTCTCTTCTCTACACATACACACACACACACACTCGACTACGTTCCGCGCTCACCATCAGTCAATCCTCCTCTCCTGCACCTCGGCCGGTCATTCACACCACCACAACCGTCGCCCCCAAGTGACACCCATCTTCCATCGATCGAGAGATAGAAATCACCCCTCCATTCTTCCGAAACATTCTCTTCTCCCACCAGGCTGTATACGGGGATTTTGAAAGACTCACCACCACCACCACAACAACAATGTCTTGGCAAGGTACGTCGCCGACTCATCCTCCTTTCTGCTACACTATCTTTGCACGAGTTTCCTGCAGGGCAAATTGCTAACCTTTCCGGCATCGCACAGCATACGTCGACCAAAGGTATCCCCGTTCCCCTCCCCAGGACGCACCCGAGCCGTTTCCCTTGGTGTAATCTTGATTACATGCTAACATGCCCCGCCAACTTTTCCAGCCTTCTCGGCACCGGCCACGTCGATAAAGCCGCCATCTTCAACACAGAGGGGAATTCCGTCTGGGCCAGCTCGCCGGGCTTCACCGTGACGCCGCAAGAGATGCAAGAGGTCGTAGGCGCGTACAAGGACACCTCGACACCCAAGAAGGTTCAGTCCACGGGCTTGCACATTGCCGGGCAGAAATACATTGTCATCAAAGCCGACGAGACAAGTTTGTACGGAAAGAAGGTCAGCATTCACTCCCCCGGTTTTTCCCCCGGGTTGTCATTTCCTTCTCTTCTCCTGCTTCTTTGTTGAACGAACCTGTCCCTCTTCTTTCCCAATTGATCCGGGCCTTTGCCTCGGTGCTCGGTATTCGGTACAGAATGGACACACGTATACTGACGAGACAATTCACCTTTTGTCCATCAGGGCCGAGAAGGAGTCGTTATCGTCAAGACGAAACAGGCTCTCCTCATCACACACTACCCAGAGACAATACAGCCCGGCACAGCCGCGAACACCGTGGAGAAACTGGGCGCCTACCTGGTCAGCGTCGGATACTAAAACAAAAAAAAACACCAACCTAAACCTGATGGGGACGCGCCGCCGATGTGTGACGGAAATCACAAAGACAAAAAAATTTATCGACCCAAAGAACTCCCCGGGTTCATGGAAAAGGGGGAGAAGGACCGACTCTTTCTCTTCTTCTCTGTGCAGCCTCATCGAGGAGCAGAAGACGACAACCGACCCCCAGAAAAAAGAAAAGAGAAATGCCGGCGGCGCCAAACCAAAGGTCATGAAGGACACGACATTGAGCATTCATTGAAAGCAGATAAACTTAACTCGGTCAACATTTTTTTCTTCCACACACTCCTCGGTCCTCCTGCTGGGTCTTTTTGGAATTACATTAAATGATGAACATCCATCCAATCAACCTGACCCAGTGCACAAAATCGAATCAAGAGCAGTTCATTGTGAATTTTTTGTCCCAAAAAGAAACAATCGGCTTGTTTGTCTCTCTGGCATCGTTGTTCGTTATTGATTGATCCTCTCAAATCGTAGTCCGCAGAATTTGATCGCCCCGAAGAACCGCTCTCTTATTGACTCTTGCAGTCAGTTGACCCATGCTTAGCAAAATAGCGTCACAAGTAACACACGAAACCATCAAAGAGGCGAAAGAGGAGCAACCAGGCAATTGGCAATGTTGGACAGTCGGTTGCCCTAATGCTTTCTTTATCTGCTCTTCCTGTATAATAACCCTACAAAACGCCCGGATACTGCGTGACCCGTTGCTCGATCCACCATCCCCCCCTTTGCAAATCACAAAAAGTCATCAAATCCTGCTGGTCGGATCTTCGCATCATTATTACGCTTTCACTTTACTGTGTCCTGCGCTGTTTCAAGGGCCTCGAAGAAGAGAGGCTGCTTCACACCTGCAAACTGCCCTTGTGAACACTGCCCTTTGAAAACACAGTGCGAGAAAATGCCCCCGGCCTGTCAACAAGAAATCCAGTCCACCTGCACACGGCTTGCCGTTTAGCAACACTTGCCACCCATGCCTCCGGACTGGTTTTGTGCGACGTTGACACCACCGGGACCAGCCTGGGACCCGCCACCGGAGCCGGTTTCTTTCGAACTGTCGATCAACCGCTTCTTGATGTCCGACGCTAACGAGTAGAATGCTTTCTCGATGTTGATGTTCGACTTGGCCGAGACCTCGAGGAAGGGAATGCCCAACTCGTCAGCCAGTGCTTGTCCTTGTTCCGTCGACACTGCCCGCTTCTCTTCCCAGTCGCACTTGTTCCCGATCAGAATCTTGTTGACTCCTTCACTCGCATGTTGCTCGACATTTGAAAACCATGTCCTTATGTCTGTACGGTCAAAAAGCGGGTTAGTCTGTCGTTGCCTGGAGCCACGCATCATAAAGGAGGGTGGAGGAGCCCTTACTGTTGAAGCTCTTCTCGTCCGTCACATCATAGACCAACAAAATACCCATGGCGCCTCGGTAATATGCGGTCGTGATGGTCCTGAATCTTTCTTGCCCGGCAGTGTCCCATATTTGTAGTTTTACCCTTTTACCATCCAGGTCGATCGTCCTAATCTTGAAATCTATACCGATGGTGGTGATGAAACTGGGAGTGAAACTGTCTTCGCTGAATCGCAGCAAGCAGCATGATTTTCCGACGCCAGAGTCACCGATCAGGAGCAGTTTTATCTGGAAAAGTTAGTACACGGTGGTCAAAAGGTTGGCGGGAGGACAGCTGAGCGTCGCGGAACGGGGGGGGGGGGGGTTTGTCGTACTAAGAAGTCGTAATTCCGTGTGCCTGCCATTGTGAGGCTGTGTGATTTTGTATGGGAGAAAAGGGTTCGAAATGCAGTATATGCCAACAGCCTCTTGTCGAGTTACGGGCTGGCAAATCCGACGAAACACTTGTCCCTCGGACGGGAGAATTCGAAAAGGACGGTGCAGATGGCGGTCAAACGAGGTGTGACGCAGGGAGGTAAGAAGCGGATAAGAGGTAGAGAGGTTTGAGAGATGTTTTAGGTGGCGGTAACAAGCAGATTGAAGCCTTGAGAAAACAGAGGATCAGGTGGAAGTGATGGGACTGCGACAAATGATGTCGCTGAGTGAGTGTCGGGATGTTGGATGCTCTGGCGTAAGTCAGTCAGTCAGTCACTTCAGGCGAAGTACGGAGTACGACGAGTCCTTGGTCGTACTGGAGAGAGAGAGAGAGAGTGGCTGGAGATAATGGGCTCCATGGGCGCATTAGGCGCAGGCGAGGGAGTAAAGAATTATTTGGGGGGGCGAATGACCAGGCATTAACCTCCCTCATTCGCCGGTCAAATTCATAAGCGAACGTTGACGGATAGGGAGCAATTGCTGCCACCTGCACCGGCGCAGCCTCGCCAGCCTCGTCAGCCTCGTGCTTCTTTAGGGAATATCAGATTCCATTGAGTCCAGTACAACTTATGTCTTTTCCATTACCTTCACCACATGGTTTGTGGAAGCTTCGGAGTATGCTATCAAGGTACATACAATTCAGCCTCTTTCAGATCGGCTCCATGATGATTTATTGGCAGAAGAAAGGGCTATTATTCCACAAGAAGGAAATGCCATCTTATTCACTACGTCTTCTTGGCTAGAATTAACCTACCTAACGTATCTGAGTTCCGTGGCTGCTTGACAGTATTACCACCAGTCTGGATGTTATTGATGTCAACGACGGCGCGACGCTGATAGTCTGTGGTGCCCTTCTCTTCGCTACTTTACTCGATGGATCTCGTGAGACAAAAGCACCTCGGAGTATTGTACCAATGACGTCACCACCAATCGTGTCTGTTTCTGCTTCGTTGATAATTGTTTTGGAGGCTTGTGCTATCCGTATCTTTTTGACAGCTTCGAGAAGACCTTGTCATTATCTGTCCTGTGGAAGGGTCCCTGCCTTGTTGACAATGGCATAAAAGAGCAAAATGCGCCATACTTCCTCTACAACTTTCATGACAGATTTTCGTTCGAGGAGGGTCGTACTGTGACCTTTTGACTGACTCGGTCGAGACTCGATCAATCTAGCCTGCATATTGTGCTCATAATGTCCTTCGTTGAAGAGTATGCACAACCTCATTTCTTGGAATTTTATCCTGACATTTTTGCAGCGATCTTCGGCGCGCTGATGCCGCACTCGACAGATTCCAGTTGAAAGATGCCGAGGAAAGAGTTGCAACAGCCGGCGCTGAAGGACGTGAAATCGCAGCCAGCGCCGAAGACGACCCACGCACCACTCAGCTGAAAGCCCTTATCAGATCTCTTTCCACCACCTCAAGCTCGAGACCCTTGATAAGCCGGTCGAAGGTCCGCAGTCTCCTCTCCCAAATCGTAAAGAAAGAAGACGGACAAGGTGCCGCAGTAGCATCAAGCTCTGACGTGTCAAATCTAGAGTGGGTGGCTGCTGGCAAGGCGACCGCACAGGTGTATGGGCTGCTATTGAACTCGCTCTTGGACTACACGATCCCTCTGAGCGAGTCTATATGGTATTGGGACGACATACTGGGATCTTATTCAAGCATTGCTCTCTACACGGTTCAGACTTCCCCCTTGCGTTTTTGGAAGCAGGCAAAAGATGTCTACGCCGATGCACGACAAAGGTTTCGTGCTGGGGCCGATCTTCGTGCTTCGGCTCGGGAGGCCACCGACACCTTGTCGGAAAACTGGAAGGAATTTTACAGGCTGGTTCGGAACAGTGTCCGAGAGCGATCCTTGGCTCAAGCACAGACTAGAATACTTTCGCCCTTTTCAATTGCACAGATCGAGGTTCGGAGGAACTTGCAGCAGATCAAGAGCCTGAGGCAGTCAAGTTCCGCTACCATCGGCCGGCTGGTCCGAGAATGCCTTGTTTTTGACGGAGCACCAGATGAACGCAAGCCCGGTGCATTGCCCCAAATGATCAATAGCCAGGAGGAGGATTGGCAAACTACCGTTGCACGGACGGTATGTCTACTGGATTCTGCCACTAGGGCGCTATCAGATGACGATAGCTATGTCCTCGACCCTACCACGGCCTCAGCAGCTGAAGTTGCCTCTGCCCTTATCAAGATCCTTGACGAGCATCTGCCGAACCAAGAAGCAGAGGCCAAATCGATGCGTTCAAAATATGGTAAACCATCGCGTCTTGTACGGTACTGGATCCCAGCCGTGTGCTTCCTACTATCTGGCACTACAATCCTAAGGATAGTGGTCAATCGAAAGGCCGAAATCGCCCAATGGTTTAGAGAATTCGGGCAAACCTGCATCGACTTCTGGGCCAATTGGGTGCTGGACCCCACCAAGAAGCTGATCGGAACCATTCGCCATGACGAACAAAGCGAGATCGCCATCCAGAGCAGGGACAGCCTCAAGGCAGATCGAGAGAGCTTAGAACGAATGGTAGTAGAGTTCGCGGTGCAAAATCCCGACAATGGCACGAAATTTAGCGACAGTCAGATCGCGGAAATTCGGACCAAAGTGAGAGAGGGTGATCTTACTCCTGTACTCAAAGCATACGAAAGAGAAATGCAAAGCCCCATCAAAAATGCCATCATGGGACAACTTGTTCGGACACTCCTCATTCAGGTCCAGAAGACCAAGGTTGATGTCGAGACCGCCATTGGTGGCATTGATTCTTTACTCAAGAGTCAGGAACTACTGTTTGGATTCGTCGGAATAGCACCCGGGGTTCTTATTTCCTATGCACTCGTCCAGTGGCTACGTGGTATGTTCGGGGGTCGTCGAGGCCTGCAACAGGGAAAGAGAAAGGGCGAGGCTCTTCGACTTGTTAGGTATGTCCAGAATCTTCATCGTCACAATTCAGGCTAATCGCGATCCCAGGAACATCGATCGAACATTGACAAATGCCGACGTCGATGAGGACGGCATCATCTCTGAGGAGAATCATGGCATCTTACTTTGTGAATCGCATCTTCTGCGTCAGCGAGCAGCTGCGGTTCTGCCGGGAAACACGAAGCGGGAATTTCTCCAGGATTTGAACGATCTACTTGACATCAAGGCTGGTGTTGGTCGGCAGATCAATGTCCTGAGGCGGATAGAATGGGCCTATTCCAAGTGGCTGAGATAGATTGAGCGACCTCATCTGGACACGCTTCACCTCGACATGTTCACTCTTCACTTATCATTGAAACGTGAATCTTGACAGGCAGCATAGAGCCGTTGTACACACCTCCCTCACTTGTACTTCACCTGGCCATCGTCTTCCTTTTAGTGTCAACATCCGGGACACATTTCTGTCGATGTTTCGCTCCGTGCCGTTCCTGCCTTTGACAGGTTGTTCAATGAGGGTTGCCAGATAAGTTGCTCCTTCATGCGTAACTCAATACTGTATCATCACAAATGTGCAATACTGGCCTTGCGCGGTTTCCGTTCTGTGAGGAAGGCAGGTACTTCCCAAATGGAAGGCGCCATCTCTCTTCAGGGCGACTACATCTTCCCGGTCGGTTTCGTTCCTCTTTGCATTCTTTTTCTCTCTCCTCTTTTCCACCTCAGCCACCCATCACTACAAATCGACATCTTTTATGCAAAGCCGTTACGATTCTTACTTTTCTCAGCACCAGTCGATCAAAGAAAGCCTCTTCCGGCCCAAATCAATCCGCAGGCCCCGGGCTCAGTCGGAATGACTGGCCTCATTGGTAAAGCCAAAGAAGCTTACCACAAGGCGAAGCACGGTCAGTCTTGCCACTCGGCACGCACATGTTGGCGAGTCTCGATGCTGACCCATACATGACAGATCTCACCCACAGTAGTACGCCCTACGCTAGCCATCACCACCCTGATGATGTCCTCGACGTATGTTGTCTCCTCGTCCTGTGTGCTTGAAGATGTTTCTAATGATTCTTGAGCAGCCATGCACCTTTCCCGACTGCGAAGCCTTCCACAGGATGGAGACTCAAGGGCTCCTCGCGGCTGTCGGCCCTGGAGCCAGAACTAGAATTTCCGACCCAGATTTCGTACTGAGACATCCTGAGAATTGGATCATCTACCCAGACGAAGGTTTGATCATCCTAGAGGCCCCGCCCTCGTTTCAGATTCTTTGGGAAAAGACTGACTGGATGGTACAGGTGGAATGCACAACGACACAACTGCCCCGCAGGGGGTGACCAACACCGAGAAGTGAAAGCATCTGGAAAGACAGATGATCAAGTTTGTCATGAGAAGAGACGATGGCGGAAGTTGCGCTTGACCTAAAGGAACAAGACTGGATGGAGTGATACAATAAGAATGATACCCACGAAGAGTATTCTTATCACATAGCATCAGAGAGGTCTGCTCTCTTCAAGAAGCACCTTGCACAATCGACGATTGACATTGTTATTCCAATTTCTTAGGCCCATTCTGCGTGGTTGTCAGTTTCGAATTCGGTTTCCCATACTGACTTGGGATCGTGAACGATATTGATGGCGACATCACCATGCAACTAGGGGACAGGAATGCTCATCACCTGGAGGGAGGAAAAAGAGAAATCTACCCGTAGCCTCGGTATCAAGTTCCTCTTGAATTTTAATCCGGTACCCAAAGATACCGAACAAGGGTTATTCACCGTGGTCGATCTGACTTGACTTGACTTTGGATTTGATGATCCAAAAACCACAAAAATTCCCCTTCTCATCCCTTTACCTTGCTCCTTCTCGTTCATAGATTAGAAACCCGACCATTACACACGCCTGATACCGGATACCTGACCTGTGCCGTTTTGCTCATCGTTGGCTATGTACCTACCTAACCCTTTGTGTGTTCCATTTGCAGCTTTTTTTTTCCTCCCCAAAATACGTTATAGGTAGACCAAGTCCCCTTGATCCAAACCAGGGCACAGCCCAATCCAACCCTTCGAATCCCTGGAATCCATAAATGCACCCATCCATGCTCACTAGGTACCTTTTCTGTATACCTCTGCTACAGCTTTGTTTTTGTTTTTGTTTCTTGTTTTGTTTCGCTCACAAGTATCCAACTTCCCACCCCCCCTCCCCCTTTTCCCCTCCCAATCTCCCAGAGGTGTCATCAAATGCCAAAATGTGCATTGCACACACACACACACACACACACACACACACACACACACACACACACAGACAGACAAAATAACAAGATCAGACGCCAAAGTTTTTAACATCATGTCCGTATCACTTACTCGACAAGACAACACACAGTCACAATCTGGGGTTCCTCGCGACCTCTTTTCCCTTTACCGGAATGTAGCATCAAGTCATGGTTTCCGTCTTCAATCTCACTCCAAATCCTGTCGGAGGATATTGTGTTTGCGAAAATGAAAAGGCAAAAGATGCGTCGTTGGTCGTGGCATCAATGTCACCACCACCACCACCACCACACACTTCTTCGAGTTTCTTCCAAAACACCTCGGCGGTGTAATTCGCGGCGTAACTCTTGCGGCCCAGCAGCGCCATGCCGTGTATGCAACACTGGGCCTGCGTGTAGAGGACGGCGGGGGTGGTGTTGTCCCTGACCCACCGGCACGTGGGGTCCGCCCGAGGACGCTTGTGGCACCACATCCAGTTGATGAAGATCCGACACGCACTGCCCATGGCCCGGACCAGGATGTCGGTCCAGGGCTCGGTGAGGATGGCGCTGCCGTTGCAGGCAAAGTGGAACTCGGGGTTGTTGGGGAACACGGGCCCGTGTTCGGACAGGCTCGCCTGGGCGATGCGGGCGATGGCGAGGGCGTTGTCCCTGCGCAGCTCGGCGAGGAGGTCGCACCTGCGGCGCAGGTCGCGCTGGGCCTGCATGGTGCGCTGCTCGGCGTCGATCTGGGAGACGGTGTCGGCCAGCAGCAGGCAGCCGTAGTGCCAGTGGCCGTCGAGGATGACGTACCACGACTGCACGTGCGGGGGCAGGTCGTTGTGCGACGACACGCAGTCGACCATGAAGGGGAGGTAGGTGCGGTTCCAGTGGGCGTAAACGTCGAGCGCCGCCCGGATGGTGGCTTCGAGCGCCGACGGCGACGCGCGCCGCGACGCGAGCGTCTGCAGGTGGGCCACGCGCCGGAACATGAGCACCTTGACGGGGATGGCCTCCTGCAGGATCTGCGCGGCCTGCTCGAAGCTGCACGGCCATCGCGCCGGGGAGGGGAGGCTGAAGGGGTCGCTGTGCGCGCGGGCGGGCGTGAAGGTCAGCAGGTACGTGTCCCACAGGGGCGCCGTCGTGGAGTCGTGACGGTCCTGGGACGGGGAAAAGGAGGCGTAGGACGGCTCTTCCGGTTGGCCTTCGCCCAGGGACAGCTTGTCGAGGCTCTCGCGGATCATGGCGCAGTCTTCGTCGGGGATGACGAGCGGACGGCGAGTGATGGCCGACGAGGTCGTGTCGCACATTACGCCCAGCCAGAAGAGAATGTTGAACGTTTGTTGGTCCTTGAGAGCCAGCTTGGGTATTGGGTTGGCGTCATTTTGAGGGGCTGAACTCCTGCGCCTGTACCTTTCCACTTTGCGTCGCCAGGAAAATAAATTTCGCACGGCGGTCTCGAGATACACTGGAGGTGAGGCGAGGCCTTCGAGCTCGGCGGTCTGGAAGGGATCCCATTCGGTTTCGGCTGCGCCGGCGGAGAAGGAGGCGTTGCCGCTGCTCGGGTACTCTCGATCGGAGGGCTCTTGTGGGTTTGTATCGCTGTTCTGCGAGGATGGTGCATCTCCGGTCGACTCTGTACTCGGCTTAGGGCCTTGGTCCCGGGGTCGTTGGGTAAGGGCGAAGAGCATGTATGCTAATATCACTTTGAACGAATCGATTTCGGTCGTATCCTGAATCGCTTTGCGAGCCTCGTGCCACAGGGTTTTTTGGATCTTGCACTCGAAATCGGTCGAAGCTGGAGAGTCGTTCGGTCGGACACTTGGCGGTTGGAGGGTATTGTTGTTCTGCTGCCAGGCCTTCATCCTAGAAAGACCTTCTTTGCTGCGCCAAAACGCGTTGTGGGAGCTGTGAGACCATTGACTTGCAAAGGCCATGATGGCTGAGTTGAGAGCGTTGGACGCCGCTTTATTCTCCGTCGCGCTCAGCTGTCGTCCTCTGAGGTGCGTAAATGCCGAGTCGAGTCGTGAAACACGCGAAAAGATTCGATTGTCACCAAGGCGAATTGCGGCTTCTTCTGCGGTTGTTCCTGGACCAGCTTGGGAAATCAGGGTTGCGAGTTCAGTCTCATACGGACAATTTTGTTCAGTCACCCAGCAAGACAGGGAATTCTCGAAACTGTCGTGGTATATGCGCAAGAGCCCGCTTGCGATCATAGCCTTCATCGCACCGTCTGCAAATCGGACCTGGTGGCGATTCATCAGAGGACTAGAGCTTTGTCGTCTGTTGCTTGAAAGAGAGGTTGAACTGGTTGAAGCCCGTCGCACAGAGTCACCAAGTGAGCCTTCCTCGGTCTGTTTGACGCCGAAGACTGCACCACCATGTTGATTGCGCCCTTGGGATTTTGCCCGCTCATTTTCCGGCCCAGAATCCGAGCTCGCAGATGCGCCGCTGTCAGACGTGTGGGAAAGAGCGTTTCGTTCTCTTGAAAATATCGAGTCATAGCTTGCTGAGGATATGCTGGTATCGAAACTGCGCAAAGTAGGTGGCTGGAAATCGCTGCTCGTGTTTTTTTGATATCGGATGCCTGGTCTGCTACTGTTGTTGAATGTGGGAGAGGACTCATGATGATTGCCATGCCCGGCATGAGGGTATTTCAACTTGGGAGAACTATTGCTAGGGTCGGGAGAAGGTAAGTGAGGGATAATGGATGCCTCCGATGCGTGCCCATTGCTGTGGTGCTGATGGCTGAAGGTATGCCTCTCCCCTAGTGGAACTGGCCCAGACGGGCGAGATGGGTGCTGGGCCGTGGAAGCAGACACATCGTAAGGCTGCTCTGTAGTAGTCGCCCAGGCCGTATCTCGCTGGGACGTCGCGGACTCTAGAGCAACCGCTGTGGATTCAAGTTTCCTCTTGACTCCTTTCGGAAGACCGTGGCGAGGAAGAGAGCGAAGCCAGTCGAAGGTGCATTTCTTGCCAGTTCTCGTACAATTGGAGCAGGCTTCGCAGGTAGATTTAGGGAGATTGATTGCGCCCTCGTCGTTGAGAGGAAAGTTGGCCACGCGCAAGGTGCCGGCATCACATGCTCGTCGACTCTTGCGACACTGGTCACAACTCTGATACTGGCGCCGTGCGGTTTTGGAATAGCCAGGGTTGCTACTGTTCGAGGAGAGTTCCTGGCTAGGAGCGATGGCAGCCATGGCCGCAGTCAGTCATCCTCGTACAGCGGGATGAGCGGAGGAGTCGCTGACAGAAGCTGACGGTATGGGCAGCGGAGGGTTTATCGTGGAAGAAGCACCCTCCAGAAACGACGAGAGTGGCTCGGGCACAGTAATATGACACGAGCAGAGTCTGCGACAGCCACTGCCAACTCGGTATTAGTATAAGAGTATCACAAAGTCAAGCCTCAGCCACGATGGGAGGAGCAATCATTGACTTGGGCCCGGACACGGCCGTGTGTAACTCTGGCGCTGGACTGGGCTTGTGTAGTACTCCGTATGTTGGGCTCAAATTGCGGATGTGAATACAGGTTGCATCGGGCGCTTTCTCTTGATGACTCGCAGTGTTGTTTTTGTTTCAGATATTACAGTGTCGATGAAGGTGACAAAAAAGGATTGACGGATCTCAAGTGTTTGATGAGGTGTTGAAGCGGGGGTGTGTTGTCTTATGGCGAGAGTTGGTACGCAGTAAATACGGAATAGTGGCCCTGGAAACTTCTACTAATGGTGTCCATTCATCGAGGATTAAATAATTCCCACTGGCAGGGATGTCGTGACGACGAGACCCTGTAATGGCTTTCCCCTCCAGGAAAAGAAACGTTGCAGGGATGGCTACAACAATGATCCCTGTTCCTTGACAACCTTGGAATTGATGTCCCCTTGCCTTGCTCTGGAATACGCGTCCCCGTACTGCATATGAGTGTCCGTATCAGCCTACAGGATGGCTGCCGGCGGCTTTCGAGATGGACGTCCTACTCGTCTGCGCCTACGACACCACTGGGACATGCTGGCTACCCATGACCACCCATGGCCACCCACAGAGACCTTTTCCAGGTCCTAAAGGCTCCATACATTGGCTCCCTTTGCCTGTTTAGGATGGGGGTTGGTGGGGATGGTCACCCCTAGGAAGCCCCGTTGCACCCAGAGTACCTCCGGAGTACCCACGGAGAAATGTACTGTATAGTGCAGCGGCAACGGGGCGTATTCTACAGTAGGTGCCAAAGGTAGGCTATGCCAATTAACGAGGTGCCCAGAAAAACTTCAAGAGGTCACGACCTAAATCAGCAAACTGTGGTTGCAGTTGATCGAGCTGCGTTGCACAAAGTGTTACATCTCTACGGCGTAGGCGACATGGAAATCTACTTCAACGCCATTTTCATCCAGAAGGTACAGTACAGCACAATATGTAACTACTACCTAAACTACCGGTGGGTGGGGAGTGTCTTCTTTGGCTCGCGGCACTGGGAATCAACTACAAGCGCCCCCCTAAACCCCAGACTGCTATGTACGGAGTACGCCCCCTACGCCTACAAAATCCTGGTTGGTGTACGGAGTAATGCAAAGCGCGGGAGCCAGAACAGGGCCGTTCCTTGCTCCATCGCCTGTCGTGATCACCGATCAGTGTTCCTCTCACTGTACGGACACTCCGTCCATACCGCTACAGTATATTCAACTAGGTGGCAGGACAATATGATCTATCACTACCCCATGGTTTCGCCAACAACCAGCCCCGCCAGTCAATGTACCAAAGACTCCGTACAACCTTAGTACTCTTCGGAGATGTATTGGCTTTTCCGAAGTTTGCGCAAATGGCCAATCTCGGTCTTGGTCTAAGTGAGGCTGTAGCGTCCTCGCGAGCATGATCAATCTATCACATGCATGAGCAATCCAAGATTCTACTGTCATCAGCCAACACTATGGGTGTGTGCACCACACATAACCCTCCTGAACAGTGTCTGGATCTGCACATCTGCATGACTCGCTCCATCCTTGTCTTTGCGCCATGCATTTCTCTAACATCATGACACGGCGCTAGAGCTGGAAAGATCGTGGACCGAACTTACCGCACATGTAGCTCTCAAATCACAGTGTGAGGATCTATGCCCGCCTCACCGCAGGTTGATGGCAATGGTGGCAACGTCTCCAGGAGGAGAAAAGTATGTCGACCTATGTTGCTTATTCGATGCCAAAGTGCCGCTGAGAAATGGCCCCGAGCGCCACCACTATCAGGAGAACATGTGCAGACACGGAATATGAAGGTCAACGCGGAGTACCTACAAACCTGTTCTTCTCAAAGATGCATGCATGCATCCAGCACATTGACATACAGCAGCGAATCTACAGATCCGAGACATGACTAGTGAGAACGAGCCTGACAGACTGACAACTCATGCAGCCATGCCGATTAGTAAATTCCAAACTACTGTGGCAGAAATAGCCACACCAAGGAAGAGGCACCAATGGCACATTGATCGAGAACTAACAGCAGACAAGGTCTCCTCTTGATTGACCTATGTAAATGTTATGGCGACTGCCCATCAACAAAGGACGGCTATCCACACTCGTAAGAGTACTCATGTATTTCATAGAGACTGTGATTGACTGACTGAATTACAAGGGCAAGAAAAGTCGGCGGCACAGACTAGCACTTGGCGCGGATCAAAGTATCGCCGGAATCCGACTTCTTTTTCCCTGCGCCTTGCATTTGTAGTAAACCGAACAGTATGTTGATCTCGAAAACTAAAACTACATATTTATCCATCTTCACGACTCTTGATTGCCTGGAACAATCTCATATCACGGTCGCCTACCCATGTCGCTCCTCCTCGAATAAATAACTTTACAGATTATCCGCCAAAACTACTTGGTTTTCTGCCACTGCCCTTCGACTACGACTGCGCTCACCATGTACAACCCTTATCAAGGTAGGATCTTTCAGCCTCGTCTGAGATCGAACGTGGACTGACTGTCATTATAGCGCCAGGGCAATATGGGGCTCCAGGCGACTACGGCAGTGTTTCTGGTGCACCGCCGGGGATGGGTAAGTCGATAATCATGGATTCTGTTGCCTGTGCAAGAACTCAAAGAACTCACCTCGTCCCAGCACCACCACCTGGTATGACCGCTCCAGGCACAGGCGATCCTCCCGGAATGCAGCAGCAAGAAGCTCACCAACCAGGCAGACCTGGCTCTTTCCCATCCAATTTCCAGCCCCCTCCGAATATGCCCAATATCAATTTCTCTGCACCCGTGATTCGACTAGGCACATCGGGCCCGACAAAACCTGAAAGTGGTCGAGATGAGAGGGATAATAGAGGTGGAAGAAGAGGAGGCCTAGGCTCTGGGATGGGCTCAGAATTTCGAGGCGGCGACCGAGACCGAATCACGCAGGTTCAACCACAGACGAAGGAAGAAATCATAAAGACCATCTTTGTCGGCGGCATCACTGAAGGGACAGGTGGCGATGAGGGCATTGAGCGCATCCTTAGATCCGCTGGAAGTTTGCGACGCTGGATCCGAGCCACAGATGCAGACAACAAACCTTGCAAGTTTGGGTTCGCGGAGTACGAAGATCCTGAAAGCCTCGGAACCGCCATAGAAGTCCTAAGAGACGTTGAAGTTCCTGTCAAGCGACAAACTCCTCAAGAGACAAACGGCGATGAAGAGCCAAGTGTCGAGATGTCGAAGCTAACTGTGAGTTTCCGAGTTTGGTTATCATGAAGTTGCTAACGATGAATAGGTCGTCGCCGACGACAATTCTTTAAGCTATATCGAGCAATACGAAGAGTCTGTGGGGGGAAAAGTTCCAGAGCAAGCTCAGATGCGACTTGATCATGCTCGAGATGCATTGGCTGCGGTGTTAAAGGACCTTACCAACCCAACAGCACCTGTTCAGAAGGACGAGATGTCGAACATCGACAAAGAAGGCGACGTCAACATGGTTGATGGCCAGATCGAGGGAGCCAATGGGGATGTTGTCACCATTCCAATCAACGTCGATGATGAATTGTCTGATATCCCTGCCGAGATGCGTGAGACTGTCGCCAGAGAGATTGCCGCTTTTCGAGACCGCAGTAATCGTCGTGATCTTGAGCGGCTCAAAAGAGAAGAGGAGATTGAACAGCAGGAGCGAAATCGCATGATGAACGGCGATCGATACAATCGTCTTGCTTCGCCCCCGCCAAGTGCTCCATCAGGGCCGGCTGGTGCTAATGGCATCCCGGTCGGGCCAAGAGGGGCACCAGCTGGTCCAAAAGGATATGGTTCTCAGATACCTAAGGACTATCAAAAAGGAGTCATATTTGTGAATGGCACTGCAATCAATGGTGCCTCCGCCTTTGAAGACGAGGACACCGACGCTAGTGACGAGGAACTCGAACGACGGCGACAAGCAAAGAAGGATGCGGAGCTCGAGAAGCAGTATCTTGACCAAGAACGACGGTGGCTGAATCGAGAAAGATCGCGGACCGCAGCTGTGGAGCGAGAAAAGACGCGAGACAAGGACGACTCGACACGTATTGATGCTGCGAAAGAGGCCATGGCCAAGCGCCTGCGAGAGTGGAACGATGATATCGAGTCATCACGCAAAACGGAAGAATACTATGCAGACAAGAGTCTCTGGATTCGCAACAGAGCGAGCTTCCGGCAGCGCGAGACGGCGAACGACGAGGCTGACCGGGCAGCTGAGCACCGCGAGCGGGCGAGACAGAATCAGCAACGTGAGCGTGCGGGTGCCATGACAGACGACTTCCTCAACCGACAAGAAGAGGAAATGAGCCGGCGAGAGCAAGAAGAAGACGAACGACAACAAACAACTCGTCGAGAACCTGCCCGCTTCAAGCTGTCATTGGGTGCGGCGGCCCAAAAGGTTGCTGCACAAACGGCACAACAAGCCACCAAGCGGACTGTCGCAGAAGTGGAAGGCCTTTTGGAGGACGAAGAGGAGGACTCCAAAGCTGGCAGCAGACGAACACTTATTCCTATCCAGTACGATGCTTCTACTACGTCAACCATGACCGAAGAGGAGCGCGCTCAAGCGGCTAGACAACTCGCGGCGGATATTCCAAACGACAAAGAGGGCCTTTGGAACTGGGATGTCAAGTGGGATTTTGTGGATGAAAGTGTGATTGATGAGCGATTGAAGCCTTTCGTTGAGAAGAAGATCGTCGAATATCTCGGTGTCCAGGAACAGATGCTCGTTGATTATGTGGTGAATGCTCTACAGTCAAGAGGCAAACCACAGGATCTGGTTGGTGAACTGGAAGGAGTAAGTTTTCCCTCTTACAATTCTGAGAAGACATGCTGACATATTACTACAGGCTCTGGACGAAGAAGCGGAAGTGTTGGTCCGCAAGTTATGGCGTATGCTCATTTTCTTTTCCGAATCCGAGAAGCGAGGACTTGCACCGTGAAATTGCTGAATGGTGTTGGTGGTTCCAAACCTAGCAGGTGCCTACAACAGGGTCCTGTTCCTAAAGAACCAGCCCCACCAGTCAGTCGTATGGAGTGTACATGACTGTGTTTACCATCTGTACAATATTACTTTGAAGATGATCTGGCCTGCTGTACTCTGATGAAGAAGTGATCACGGCTAATCCCCGGCAGCTGGTCGTGGACAATGGATTGTCAACACGGGCCCGTCACTACGTTTAGCGGCAGACAGATGCCGATGTGGGTGTTGGGATGAGCAGCCAGTATTACGAAGTAAGGGATCCAGGCCAATTCATCTTCGATTCCACCTATCATCGCTTTGAATCTCTGAAGTATGATATAGCTAAGGACAAATGAAGTTGCCCTCTCCCCGGTCTGTTCTTTTTGTGAATTTCACACGGGGGAGACTCCAGCCGTGAAGACGTGTGCTGCGGCATACGGAGTAGATTAAGGAGTATTTACTAAAGTGACTCCATATTTCGATATAGGCTATTTACAGTACGGAGTAGTGTACGGAGGTACAGTCGGGTGTCTCTCACCCCAACTATTGTAGCCGAGTATTCCACCTTTTGTACCTGACCTCAGTATGTAACGTCTTTCTGAACCACAAGATCTTGGCCAGCATAGACTCCTACGGGAATGGGTTACTTGTCGGCTCAATTGCCACTCCGTCCAATGGCACAGCTATGGGGAATATGTACGAGGTACCCTGTCGGATAAATGACCTTGTGCCGTTTCACTGTGCACGCTTTTGAGATGACTGAAGATGTTGAGATACTGCAAAGGAAAATATCCTCAACGCTGGAAACAGACGGTGTATGCTCGTTTGCGATACCTGACAGAGAGACTACGCAACGACAATGTCGTTTGAGCCGGAGGACGTGATAGAAAGAACCACGAATGTCGAGAAGTGGAGTCTCCTTTCTGGTTCGTTAATGCCTTTTTCTTTCTCTTCTCTTCTCTCTCTCCCCATCTATTCTACATATCAAAGTCTCGGAAAGAGGATGGACACATAATGGCGAATGATGATGCCGGTGACAATGGTCAAGACCGGTCATGCCGCCATCATAGAGTGATGGAGGGCATTGACTGACTGAATGCCATACACAGGCGCCGACTTCTGGCACACCGCCGCACTCGAACGATTCAACGTACCGAAGGTACGCTTCAGCGACGGACCGAATGGGATCCGAGGGACGCGCTTCTTCGGTGGCGTGTCGGCGGCGTGTATACCTTGCGGCACTGCGCTGGGGGCGACGTGGGACAGGGACCTGCTCTTCGACGCCGGCAAGCTTTTGGGGAGCGAATGCATCGCCAAGGGCGCCCACTGCTGGCTGGGCCCGACGATCAACATCCAACGGTCGCCGTTGGGAGGGCGAGGGTTCGAGTCGTACTCGGAAGATCCTCACCTGTCGGGCACGCTGGCGGCGAGCATCGTGCGCGGCTGCGAGAGCACCGGGGTCCAGGCATCCCCGAAACACTTTGTCGCCAACGACCAGGAGCACGAACGAAGGGCCGTCGACACCCTCATCACCCCGCGGGCCCTGCGTGAGGTCTACCTCCGTCCCTTCCAGATCGTGGCCCGCGACGCCCGCCCGGGTGTACTCATGACCTCGTACAACAAGATCAACGGCGTGCACGTGGCTCACGACCCTCGCTTCATCACGGGGATCGTCAGGGAGGAATGGAAGTGGGACCCCCTGGTCGTCAGCGACTGGCACGGAACCTTCTCCACGACCGAGGCCGTCAACGCCGGCTTGGACCTCGAAATGCCCGGGCCGCCCAAGATGCGCGGCCGGCTGGGCGACTTTGTCCAGAGTTCGCGACTCATCAAGCAGTCTGTGTTGGACGAGCGGGCAAGACGCGTGTTGGCATTTGTGAAGCGGGCGACCACAGACGTACCTCGAGTGGCGGTGACAGGCGCGGAGCCACAGACAGAAGGACAGCAAGGGGTGGTTCGCAACACTCCTCTAGACCGAGCTCTGAACCGAGACCTTTGCAGAAAATCCATCGTGGTGTTGAAGAACGACTCTGGACTCCTCCCGCTCCCGAGCACAGCAAAGACGAAGAAGGTCGCCGTGTTGGGATCGCACATGAAACTGCCCGTCGTGTCTGGAGGGGGCAGTGCGGTCCTTCAACCGTATTACACCGTGACGCCTTGGGAGGCGTTGAGTGCGAGGTACGCCGCGGCGGGCGTCGAGGTGACGCATGAAGTCGGCATGCCAGCGTACAAGATGCTACCCATCCTGGACAAGCTCATCCGACGACCCGACGACAACGACGAAGACGACGGTAACAACCGCCCTGGCGGCGGGGTCATGTACTTTTACAACTCTCCTCCATCAACTCCCGACCGAGTCTGCGTGGCCGTGGAACGCTTTCAGACCGCTTACTGTCAACTCATGGACTACAAGCACCCGGGACTCAACTTTGACCTTTTTTACATCACGGCCAAGACCGTCTTCACCCCCGACGAGTCCGGGGAGTGGGACTTTGGTCTGTCGGTCTACGGCACGGCCGATGTCTACGTCGGCGGGGAGTTGGTGATTGACGAGTCGGGACGGCGCGAGGAACGGCAGGGGGCCGGAGGGGCCTTTTTCGGAAAGGGCACCCCCGAGAGGCGAGGCACGAAGACACTCGAGGGCGGAAAGGGTTACGAGGTGACGGTCGAGTTTGCCAGCTCGGCGACGTCGACGAGTCCTCAGGTCGGCGTGACGACGTTTGGAGGCGGAGGGTTTCGCCTGGGAGCCGCACCGCACGTCGAGAGCCGAGAGGCCTCGATCGGGCGAGCCTGCGACGTCGCCAGGGAAGCAGACTACGCCGTCCTGTGCACCGGATTGAGTGAGGAGTGGGAGTGCGAAGGGGCCGACCGGGTCGGGTTCTGTCTCCCTCCGGGGATCGACGACTTGGTGGCGAGGGTGCTGGCCGCTCAACCCAACACCGTCGTCGTCACCCAGTCCGGCACCCCCTTCGCGGCGCCTTGGGAACCCCGGGCCGGCACCCTCGTCCACGCCTGGTACGGCGGCAACGAGACGGGCAACGGCGTCGCCGACGTCCTGTTCGGGGATTTCTGCCCCAGCGGCAAACTGCCCCTGAGTTGGCCCCGGGAGATCCGTGACAACCCGGCCTTTTTGAACTGGGGTAGCACGGGGGGTAGGGTGTTGTACGGCGAGGACGTCTTTGTAGGTTACAAGTTTTATGACGAACTTGAGAGGCTTCCCGTGTTCTCGTTCGGTCACGGGCTGTCGTACACCACCTTTGTCATCGCTCCCGACACCACCACCACCTCGTCGGCCGTCTCGCGAGACTGGGTGTCCGTCACGGTCACAAACACAGGCAAGGTCACAGGCACGGAAACGGTACAGGTTTATGTACACGCCAAGACGAGCCAGGTTCGTCGACCCAAACGTGAACTTCAAGGGTTCACAAAAGTCGTGGATTTGGCGCCCGGAGAATCGAGGACGGTCCAGGTCAAAATCGACCAGTACGCCGCGGCCCTTTGGGACGAGGCCGAGGAGAAATGGATGTACGAAAAGGGTGAGTATGAAGTGCTGGTGGGGAACAGTAGTCGCGTAGAGGACCTGGTGAGCGCAGGGAGTTTCCATGTCGAAAAGACAACTTGGTGGCTTGGTCTGTAGAATTCTAGACGACACCCTTCATCATTCATCACCGACAACAAAGGCTGGGCTACCTTGCCCTGCCTCGCCTTTGCCCTACTTCAGGTCTTGCATCTAGATAACTTGTCTATCTCCTCAAAGAAGGACTCTAGCTCCATCACCAGTCAGGCTCATTTGGTCTTATTGGTCTCTTCTTCATCATCTCCCCATCCTCCCAACTCTCTAGAGACGTCCCCGACATTCGGCCACCCTTGGGTTCCGTCCACGCCCCCGTCGAGTCTACTCCTCTTGACGAACTCGTCTCCCACAAACTCGACCACGGTGGCGACGGCGACCTTGACGCCTCGAATGACGTCCTTGGCCCGTCCGACCTTCATGCTCGTCTCGTCGGTACCCCTCGCCCCCAACACCCTGCCCAGGCCTCGGACGTGCCAGAGACTGGGACCCGCGAGGCCCTGGCACGTGATGTTTGTGTATGCGATCGTCTCGGTCTCGAGAGGTGACAGGTGTGTAAAGTCGGACAGATACAAACCGTACACGACGGTCAGTTCGTGTAGACCCATGTCCTTGCGGTAAGGGCCGAAGGTGTTGAAGATCCGGGGCCACAGAGTTCCGTAGATTGAGGTGATGGTCTCGACCCCTCGTGCGTGTAGATTTGGAAGGGTAGTATCGGACCTAAATCACAGCGACGATGATAAGCACAAGACACAGGGAGCCAAACACGGGCAGTTTGTGAACGAAGGAAACAACTAACCATGAATCAATCTCTAATTCTCCTCTTTGAGAGGTCTCACCCTCGGGCATTTGAACTTTGGCCAGGGGGATGAGTGCGCTGAGGACTTGCGGAGCACCGGATAGTGTGAGTTGTTTGTAGAGCAAGTCACCGAGGCGTTTGGAGAGGCGAGATTTCGAGTCGGGAGTGCTGAAGGAGGAGTCGTGACTGGTGAGGTACTTCCAGAAGTCGGCGAGGAGGTGTGGTCGTGGAGAGACGGTTATAGCTGTGGCCTGTGTACACGAGAAACCCCGAAGGTTAGTATTACTCCGTAGTCAATACTCTCATGTTTGTAGTGCCTGGTACATTTTCTTTTGAACTTGTAGACAACGACAAGCCATGGGTGGATGGGGAGGTGGTTGAGCAAAAAGCAAAGCAAAAGAACCTCCCCAGGTGGACATATGTGCCACTTACAATGATCAAATACCAAGTGTCGGATCCCATCTCTTGCATCAAGTTACTCTTGACATCTTGACATAGTTGATCCCACTGCTCTTTCGTGGGCGGGTTCGGTTGTTCCAACGTTGCCATTATTTCCCGCTCTCTGCTCAAGAAATGCCAGAAGGGAAAAGTCAAAGTATTCTCCTCACTGAAACAGAGGACAATCTTCTTTCTTTTCCAAGGAATATTCACACTTGAAGGCGGTCTGGTGTTGTTCGTCTACGGTCAAGGTACCGAGGATAATAAGTGAATAGCAAACAAATGACTATGGAGTCGTACGATGGTTCAATAATTGTCGGGGAAAGATTTTGAACAAGATTGGAGTTTCTATGTAAAAGAATCCCAAAGCACAGGCGTCGATCAAATATCCTCCCGTTACTCGTAAACGATACAATAAGCATAAGCAGTGTTAAATTAGTAGGATTCATTTGCACTCCTCAAGACTTTGATCACCCCAATCCACCAATCTGTTGCAACTCCTGTACTCCGTACATATCTTCATCTACTAATAGTGACTGATGCTAGTGCTGAGATCTCAATAAAAGAGCCACCGAGCACCATTTGAGGAAAGTGCGGCGAGAGTCTAACAAGGTTTCCACCTAGTACCAACTCGTACAAAGACCATGGTCTAGAAGTCGTATTCGTGTTCGCACTCGTGTTCGTGTTCGTGTTGCGTGGGTGACTCAAGCCTAATATGGTGTGTCTTCCACCCAGAGTGTGATCTCCTTTCCACGTCCCTTGGTCAAGAAGTGGACGTAATGTGGGTATATAATTCATTGAAATGCCGATATGATTGAGAGTTCACACACGGGCCTAGACGCTCACACGCTTGTCGTCGGATCACCGCAGGAGGATATATTCCTCCTTCTTCTCGGACTCTTTTGCTAGCCACCCACCTTTCCCCCCTCCAACGAACAAAAGATTCAATAATGACGAGCCTCGACGATAAGGAAACTCAAACCATATCTCTCGCAGATGGTCGGACTCTTGCTTATGCCGAGTACGGCAACCTTACAGGCACTCCGATCATATGTATGCATGGCACGCCGTCATGCCGCCTCGAATATCGGCTTTGGGAGTCCTCGGCCAAGAAGCTCAACGCACGCTTGATCGCTCCCGACCGTCCGGGAATGGGTCTTTCGACAAATTCCCCGGGCCGGACATTGCTGGATTGGCCACGAGATGTGCAGACATTGACACAACAGCTCAAGCTCGACCGCTACCATGTCCTTGGCGGGTCGGGAGGTGGACCTTTTGCACTGGCATGCGCAAAGGAGTTGCCGAAATCTCAATTGTTGAGTGTGAACGTTTGGGCCGGGGCAGGGCCACCAGAGATCGGTCTGAAAGGCAGTAAGTCTCGCTTGTTTTCCCGATTCTATCAGGAAGGAAAAATCAGATGGCAATTACGTCTTTCACAAGCCTACAAGACCGATGATGTTGTTATGAATGATGTATTTCTCTTTCCGTGCATCTGTACAAGTACCTGAGAGCGATTTGATCCACTGACGTTCCCATCCGGTTCTAGTGACACTTCTCGGTAGATCTGCGTTATTTGTGTACAAGTGGATGCCGTCATTGATGGGTTGGTTCGATGCCCATTTCGTTGCTCCAGCGGCGAAAGACCCGGATCCCAAAGTCACCGAGGCGTTCTTACTTAAGACGGCCAAGTACCAGTCGAAAGAGGAGCAAGCACTATTCGAGGACCAATTTTACATGGACGTTGTGCGTGATACATTTAGGGAAACTTACAGGCAGGATCAAGATGGCGCAAACGAGGAGATGAGGATATTAGGGGAGAATTGGGGCTTCAAGCTCGAAGATGTCGAGGTGAAGCGGAGCACGTTCTTTTATGGCACAGACGACACAAATACACCGATCCGAATGGGAAGGTATATGCAAAGTCGACTGAAAGGGGCCACCTTGAAAGAGTTCCCAGGAAAGACGCATTTCACCATCGACGATGACAGAGGTGAGGCTATTCTGCAAGGCGTTTTGCAGGCGTGAATGATGATTGCTGACGAAGAGGAACTATTATAAAAATATTGTTATCATTTCATTATTACTATTCTCTGCTCAGCCATAAGCCATTTGGCGGGAGACAATGACCATGCCCATCTGGAACACCTTGTCAGGTACATCCCTGTGGGTGATGTTGCTCTATATTGTATACTATCATCTCATTCTCCATTCCATGCCCTCTCTCCGCGTCTCGAAGCGGTGTCAATCACAATGAGATGACCGCGATATTGAGATCCTCCTAACCAGCATCCACTCCGCTGATTCACTCAAGGTCCTGCCTAGAGTCTTTGCATACGTTATCACGGGACCATGGTCTTTAGCATGTGTGAGAAGAAGTGAAGTCTCAGCCTTGTTACCACAAGAGTAAGGCTAAGACGTTACTTGTGCGAGTACCTCACCCTAGTACACTCGAGTGGTCTATGTGCCACCGTAAGTAATAGTAGGCTCACCCCGCCATCGGGTACCCGAGTGAGTACCCGAGTTCCCGCGTACTCGCTATCGCGGACAGACATCCCTGCAGGGAGAATGAATCTCACATCTTCCAACATCGACAGAGACGAACGAGGCCCGGACGGCTAAAGCTATCACTTCACCTCAAAGAATGGTCCCATGAATACGGATACCGTTGCTACACCTGCAGCACCGCTAAACAGAAGGCACAAACCACGCTCTTCCCTAGCCTGCTTGCCCTGCCGCTCACGGCACCTGAAATGTGATGGAGTTCGACCGTATTGTAGCCGGTGTACCGTAGCCGCCCAGAAATGCCAGTACACTCAGTCGCGAAGAGGTGGCCTCGACCGTGCCGCTCTTGCTGAGCGACGCAAAAGGCTCGCGGCCACGGGATCGGGAGCGACTCAGGCAGAATCGGCCGACATCTTGAGTCCACTACAACAATCCTCTCGGGCTCACCGGCATCAGGAACATCCACCACCGCGACTGCCTGGCGACGACGTCGAACCAGACATCACCAACGACTATGGCCTGAGTGGTGAGTCGTCGAATGCAGGGTCACCAAGCTCGCCCCGAATAGACATTGGCGACGACATTGAAGGAGATCCTTTGATCGCTTCGTACTACAAGAACTTTCATAAATTTCACCCACTTGTCTTGCCACATAAGCACTTGACGCGAATCCACCGGACCCCAAGCATAAAGCTGAATCTGAGACCTCTCGTCGCCATACTTCGCCTCATCGGTCACATCTACAGCTCTCGAGAATGGTCGACGTCTCTCAGGGATCATGTCGAGAGTTGTTTCGCGGCAGCTTCGCCTGCGGACCCGATCATGGTGCAATGCCGAACACTGTATTCCATAGCGTTGTTCTGGAACAATTACAAGGACGAATCCAAGAGGGAAATGGACGCCGCCGTTCGACTGGGACTCGATCTGCAAATGTTTCGACAGGACTTTGCAGAAAAGCACGGCTCGCAAGATGCCGTACTAACAGAGTGCTGGAGACGGACGTGGTGGACCCTGTACATGGTCGACGCCTTTTATGCCGGAACCCTTGGAACCATGAATTTCGCCACTGTGGATGTCGTCGCCACTGTCGACTTGCCATGCGAGGAGTGGGAGTATGAGCAAGGGGTGAGTAGTAGTAGTCCACCTGGCCAGCGCTGCCCTTTTTAAATCGACGCCCCTTGTTTTTCCTATGTCAGCGTTTGTCGCATTGCTTTGGTTACAAACGACTAAATATTGCCCTTGTTGTCTGTAGCAAATCCCCGAGCCACCCAAGACGCTACAAGATTTCGATTGCCGCGACCTGGCTCCAGAATCAACCTCCTTTTCGTCCTTTGCCTATCTCATTGGTGCCGTACGATGTGCCGCACTGGCGATATCCACAGCACCAAAGGTGGCGACGAGCGAATGCTCCCAGCAGATTCTCCAGGCCGCCGATGCCGTCATCAATGGATGGCTCCTTTTATTGCCCAAGGGTGATCGGAAACAGGTCCTGAGTAAAACTGGGGAGTTGGATGAACTCATGTTTCAAGCACACCTGTTGATTCACGTGTAAGTTTTTCTGTGCATTTATCACTTTTGGACCCCCTTCAAAGGTCACTTTGCAGTAAGAAACTGCTACCAACAAAAAGCTGAATTTTCCCCATTCTTCTTACAGCGCAACTGTCGGCCTCCACAGACCATTATCAGATCTCAAGTTCAACGCGATAGAATGGATCTCGACTTGTGCCCGAGCGCCTCCCCGCGAAACACCCACCACGGAACTCATCAATGTGCATACGGTGCGAGTCTTGAAATCGACAGAAGCGCAGATTCGCCTTTTGGCGTTGCCGACCGAGAAACAATTCCACCACAGTCCCTTTACCACCTGCATGGTCAGCGAAGGAACCCTGGCGCTGCTCTCGGGTTGTAAGTTTTTGTTCAAAGGGAAAGAACTCGCCATCGCCAGAGATCAGATCCGTATGACCATTGGGTGCCTCAAGGTCCTGGGTGAGTTGTGGCCCAGGACGGCCAAGAACGTGCAAGAAATCCAAATCATCGCTCGACATGCTCTCGGGTTGGTGGCGGGGCCCAGACCCCAGGCTGCGGCGATGACGACAACGACGACCACCACCACCACCAAGCCAGACGACAGTGTACTTGGAAACAGTCAAGTTCCAAGTCTTTCTTCAAGCAGCGACCAGGGTGGTGGTCAAACGACGAATGAGGGATCCGACGTAGTAGATCCGTTGTCTAGCGACTTCGATATATTTGCTTCCTTAGGATCTATGGAGGATGTTTGCGGATGGTATAATAATTCGAACGATTTTGGTCAAGACCTCTCTTGGTGGACAGACAACAACCCTCTATGAACGTAAGTTTCCCCGTTGGCGGTTTTGCGGTTGTAAAGGCTCTTTTACTAGGGTGACGACGTTGCCCATTCATTGCAAAAACCTTTGTCCTTTTTGCCCGAGTCTTTTTTTTTCTTTTCCAAAAAGCCTTCAAAACGTAATCACCACCTTCTTGTTCCTTCCTCTTTGTCTCGCACGTTCCCAAGCCTGTTCTGCCTCTTCAAAAGGGAACGACTCGACTTCCAACGGTTTGATTGTGCCCTGGCTAACCATTTCCAGAGCCTGACTCAGTCTGTGTGAGTCTGGCTTGACGATAAAATGTATATGGTTCACACCTGGGTGGTCTATGGACTCTTTGGGTTTGATTTTCTTGTTGAAAGCCCACTCCGGGGCTGGATCGCCAACTGTGACGATAGTTCCACCATTATTACTCTTGAGGGTCTTCCAGGTCTTTGTCAAGACTTCTCCTCCTACCGTGTCAAAGACCAAGTCGACATTGTCAATATTGTCTTCCCAGTTTGGGTTGATGTCGTAGTCGTGTACCTCGTGTACTCCGAGTTGCTTGAGGGCGTCATGATTCTTGGATGAAGCCAGAGCAATCACCTTGATGTCGTCACCATCAAAAAGTTTCAGAGCCAACTGTACCGCCAATTTTCCGACGGCGCCGGACGCTCCAGTGACGAGGATTGTCATACCGGCGGCAAGTTTTCCGTAGTCCACGAGTGCCTCCCAGGCCGTGAGGATCGGGATGGGCAACGCCGCGGCTTCGACGTGCGAGATGGTGGTCGGATCCAGGCGCGAAACCTCCTCGTCGAGGCACATGGTGTATTCCGCTTGACCACCTTGGGCACGGTCGGCCGCGAGGAGGGCGGCGACGTCCTGACCGACCTCGAGTCGGCCGGTGTACTCGGGGCCCAGACCTCGAACGGTCCCCGACACCTCGTTTCCAGGGATTCGAGATGGCGATGCGTACACTTCGGGCCACGTCACCTCGTCGCCGGTGACTCCAGCGGCAAGGACTCGAACCAGGATTTCGGCTCCCTTGGGGACGGGAGTGGCTATGGAACTGTTTGTCGTGATTCGGGGGGACGAGGTGTTTCCCAGTATCTGAACGGCTCTCATCTTGTTGTCCAGGGAGGGCTGACTTTGTGGGTCTGGGCGTGTGGCTATTCACTCAACGAGTCTTTTGTGTTGTTCCGCCAAAAAAGCCCGACGACGATGGTTTCTGTGTGTATAATGTGTGAGACTTTTTCTCAAATGGAGATTGGAAGAGGAGGCCGTATCATGATAGAATTCCGCAAGTTTTTAAATGGGATTGAATTCATTCCGTCCGCAGTGACCACAATGTCTCTCTCTCTCTCTCTCATGTACTCACACACTCTGACACACACACAAGACAACACCCACCCGTTGTGGCTATTCGGGACAGTCGTTTGGGGGACACGAGTACCCGACACCGACATCAGCCCCGAGACCCCGGCTTCCCCGGTCACGGAGTCCCGACCAACGGGTAACTATGTTGCATTTCACATTTTGGAGGGACCATTCATTTCTGCCATTCTTGCCGCTGCAGAAATGCGTTGTTGTGATTGCCTGAGTCGGGTAGAGAGTAGTTCTTTATGGGGGGACACCGCCTTCCGACTCGTTCTCAGAAGTCACAATTATAAATACCCTCTTCCGTGCCCCGTGGGTGTGTGTGTGTGTGTGTGTGTGCATATTTCTCCTCGTCCTTGGAGTTTTTCAGTGCCTTTACTCATTTCATCCCCCAAAGGACCATCCACATCCAACCACCCTTTTTTTTGTGAACTCGGCAAACTTGACATTCCGTACACACACAAGGTCAGAGGAAAAATGGACCCGTCACAGTCGAAACAAACAAGGTGAGTACTTCAAACTGGAAATAATGTGAGGAGGGGGAGGCATGACCGCTGACGTCTTACACCCCTCGTCGTGACTAGTAATCGGCCTCGAGAAATTGTCAAGCTCTTGTATGATTACAAACTCGAAAACGCACCGGGGAAATCCATCGTCGGACTCGAAGTTCACCTGCCCCCCGGAGGGTTCACGCCCCCTCACCGGCACGGCGGCGCGACCGTCGTGGCGACGGTGAAGGACGGGCAATTCCTGAGCGGCATGAACGGCAACCCACCTGTGGTGTACGGTGTAGGGCAGAGCTTCATGGAGCTGCCGGGTTGCCACCACACGGTCGCGGAGAACAACAGCCGAGAGGAACCCACCACGTTTGTTGCCGTCTTTGTCGTCGACACCGACGTCGTCAAGATGGGGTACGACCGTCTCACCGTGCTGGATGAGGAATGACATGTCGGAAAAATCCCTGATAGAGGAGGGATAAAAAGTCACCGAGTCACACGGGATTCAAGTCTCTTTCTAGTGTAGTATCATCCGTACGCAAAGCAATCCTCAATTCTCAAAAAGTCCCCTCGTGTCTTTTGCCTTGCTCAGTCGAAATGAGGTATGGCAGGATAGTTTGTGTCCCCGCTGACTCCAACCAGATCTTTCGGGAGCCATGTCCAGCTCCCTATTCAAAGATAAGACCCTAACTAACCATGTTCCATAACTCGTCGAGGGTATAATTTCGTATGTGGGACGAGGAGGTCGGTGAAAGCCTGCAAAATAGTGTGTGCGTGTGTGCGTGTGTGGCTCAAGTGCTTTTCATCCACCAAAGATTCTTCCCGACAATCCCCCACCAGCACCTCCTCCTGATCCAACACCACTCGTACCAAATGGATCCCCTTTCCTCATCTGTTCATCCACCCACGCCGCCATCCTCTTACCGTCACCCAACATTCTCGTGTCCGTCAAACGATCCGTGACCCTTTCCGCCCTCCGCCCTCCAAACCCAATGAGGGTCGGCATGCTCGTCACGCCCCACTCGACGCCCAAACCCATCATGCTCCCCTCGCTCATGTCCGGACTGTCGAGCTCGACTTCCGCAAACGCCAACGCGGAGTATCGGTCCGCAGGGTCCACCGGTCGAGTCTCGACCAGACTCGTGAGCAGCGGCGTGATGGTCCGACACGGCGTGCAGGTGGACGTGGTGAAGAGGGCGAGGAGGAGGGTGTTGTTGGCCGAGCAGAGACGGAGCGAGTCGTGAAACTGCGACGGGGTGCGGAAGGGATTGAACACCCGATTTTGTTGGCGGAGAGGAGCCGAGGTGGTGAACGGTCGGCGTCTCAGGGTGTGGGTCGTGTCATGGCCAGAAGCAGGAGGGCAGTACTTTCTTGGAAGCGTGACCGAACGACATTGGACGACGCTGCGTCGTGAATGGACTGTCGTCGTGGACGAGAGAGCTTCAACAAGAGATTGGAGGAGCTGCGCAGAGCTTTTGTGGGCGCCCATGGCAGCTGAGGGTAGCAAGGGAGAGATGGCAATCACACTGTAATCTCGGGAAATCGGTCAGGAACAAGTACGGCTGGAGACTCGACTTGGTGTACTACAACGTGTCTTCCGCAATGGTTGATACGGAGCCAAGTGTTTTTGTATTCAATCGACCTTCAATATTAATTGGAGAATCGAGGTTCGTATTCCATATACTGACGTCATGGCAGCCTTGCTCAGCCTCGTCACAATCAACGAGTATTAAGGACATGAAACATGCCAACTACTGCTAGAACATGACAATCAGGTTGGTAGGTCATATGACGAGTTAGGTGTGCAAAAGTTGATCACTCTCATTCTTCCCACCTCCAGTGGTATTTATATGCATAAGATACGCAACTAGTAGGGAGTATATATACAAATAGTCACAGGAATATTGTGAGTCTGAGGCGACATCAACCAAACATTCCCCAACAATGACAAACGCCTGAAAAAGATCATAGGAAACGGAGATCGCTTGCTCATTGCCCTTCGCTAATGATATGAGGTCTAATAACCAAAATGTTCGTCAAGAGTCGACCATGACATGATCATGCGTAAAAACATCCAGGACCACAAGGCCAATGTCGACCGGCCACTGCTATGCTATAACACAATACATGAGGGAGGGTGCTGCCTGTTTGGTTGAGAAAAAGTTAGTGGTTTTTCTTGAACTTGTTCTTGCATAGCAAAGGTCGGCCATGCCGTCGACGATTCCCCAAAACTCTTCTTAATTTCATCGTGAGGCTTTGGTGCGACTCCGCTTGTAGTGTGCCAGGCATCATCCCTCGTGATCCGGTTCGTCCTCACGAGAACCGGCGGCTGTTGTCCGTTGTTCTGCGCTGAACTCGCTTTGGGTACACGACGTCAGGCGACATGGCCTTGTAACTCGGCAAAGATATAGGGACGGGGAAAAGAAAAAGGTGGACTTACTGCCTAGCGCGTTCAAGACGTTGTATCCACGAGGCTGTAATCTTTAACCTCTCCCTCACACTCGTCGCCGGCAACAGAGTGTATTTCTCCGTCTGTGCTATAGGTAGCACGCTCGCTAGCCAATAGGGGAAAACTGCAGGATCGGATGGCGGTTGACCGTAAGCTGCCAGTACCCGTTGGTGGAGCCACTGTGCAGACTGAGAGCGGGCTTGTTCCACAAAACCCAGACACATATCCAATAGACGTTGTGTTGACAGATGCTGAAGTTGCGTTTGCTCATCGGCGTCCGGGGGTGCGGCTGTGCTCGTCTCTCGAGACTCCATGATCTCTTCTTCGTGCACAGGAATGTCACCAATCCGCTGGACTTTTCCAACGAAATAGCCATCAACCAAGGAGGCCTCGATGACTCGGAACTTGTAGAGTCCTCTAGTCTCTATCAGACTTCGGCCATCTGGTAGCATCTCCAAGCGCTCAACATAAAGGACAGTGCCATATGGCATGTATTGTGGCGCTCCCGAGGGCGGGGTGTAGGGTCGGTACATCAGCATGCCAAACTTCCGGGAACCATTATCCATAACCCTTCTGATCATTAATCGATACCGCGGTTCAAAGATATGCAGGAAAGTCGGCATCTGCGGATAGGCCAGCGTGCAAGGGAACAAGGGCAAGTGTCCTTCCTCGTCAACAGAGTCCTCTTGGTCTGCAACGGCTCTTCTCGCCTCCAACAGATCATTCAGCAGATGCTGAAGCAAAAAAGTGACTCTCTTATTACTCGGTTCACTCACCACACTGGGCAGGAGTGGCAGACGCCGACGACACATTGGACAGTAGTTTGCGTGGTCCATTGCGCGTGCGAAACATTTTCGACAAAAGGTGTGCCCACAGGTCGTCGTCAGGGGATCGAGCATGACTTGATAACACACCTGGCATTCCAGCTCAGCTTGCACCACCTCTTTCAGGGCTGACAATGTCGCGATATCCAATTCTCGGATGGTGCTCTCTTCGATACTCGTGCCGACTGGCGTGTATGCGACGTCGGACTGATAGTGGAGCTCGCCCATGTCTGCCAGAACGTATGTTGCGAGGATACGACCCCCTTGAAGTACGCGTGACCTGGGCATGACGTCGATGGAACTATCTCTCACACTAGGCCAGTCCAATTTTTCTTCCAGCAACAGCGACACCTTGGGTGACTCTGTCTGGTGTTGGGCAATATAAGCCTTAATGACATGCATGATCTTGTTCAAGGTCACGTCTGTTCCGCAGTCTCCCACTGAGTGCTCCAATCCACAGCCCTTGAATGGACACAGAAACCCCTCCGACCGCCCGTCTATCAGTGGATATGTGATGTTTTCTCTCTTGTACAGCGGTGGGAGACATGGCTTGCAGAGAGAATTGCCGCAAGGTAATGTCATAGGATCCCTTAGCGGGTAGGAACATTGCGAGCATTGGAACAGCCTCACAACAGCTCGGGCATCGTCGTAAGCCTCGTAGGCAGCGTGGGCCTTCGTCTCGGACGGATCTCCATCACCGCTCATCTGCGCGGACGGGGAGGAGTGAATGTGTTTCTGTCGTTTTCGTGTACTCGACAGTTCTTGTCTTCTTGAGTCTCTAGAAGTACCATTCAGGCTCGGAATTATTTCGTCTCCATGTGACGAATGATGGCATTGATCCCGGTCTTTAATCATATATATATCGAGGGAGTTGCTTTGGGTCGGAGGGTAAGGGGACGTGGTCTGAAGACGTTCGTGAGAATAGCGGTCGGTACAGTCGATATCCTGGAAATTGGTGGTGAACCGTCGGGCACGAAGAGAAGTCTGCCGCCTTTAACCAGAGCGGTATAACATGTCCGAGGCAAAAGGTAGGAGGCAACCCATGCAAAATTGCAACGACCGGTCTGGATGCTTGTGAATGAATGCGCACAGACAGATAAAAGAGCGAAAAGAGGGTTAACTGCAAAGTCGAGGCAATAAGGTCGTTGTAGTTGCAATATCGACGACGTGTACACTCTGGGCCAGAGCAATCAGATGTGGTTATGCGCACGGATGGATAGCAAAGTCCATGGATGATGATCTGCACATCTGGTCAGGAACAGGTTCCGGCATGTCGCAAGAGAATCGCAGAGGGAAAGAAACTGTGATGGCCCCGAGATACCGGGTCCACGATCAAACGGATACGAGTAGGACGACGAACGCCCATTCGATGACAGCTGCCCCGGTGAATGGTGGTCGCAGGGCACTGTGGGTTGCCACAAGAGTCGCCCGATGAGGGTGCGATGTCGAGGAAAATCGCGATCTGAACAATAGCAGGCGGATCGTAAAACTGATGGCGAGTGGACGAGGACGCAGCCGCCAGCAGGGATCACAAAGGGCCCCAAGCCTCTCATATCGGGCACTTTCTAGGTATTCTGCCTTAGTTCTCCTTAGGCTCACTACCACGCTGATGTTAGGCTTACCACTCCCCGTAAAGAAGGTGAACTAGGCGACGCTTAGCGTTGCCACCAGGGCCCTCCATCGCTGATTTCTTGGACGATTCTCGGTATGGCCACTACTTCTTCCGGGCATGGGAACAGACGTGCGCTACATAACATACTCTCACGTGATGCGGATGGACCAGACGATGACGGCTCCATTTCTAAAACAAGGCTTGAACAGGCCACGAGGCTCGCGAGTTTAACTGTTCTTCTCCAGTGTATGACACTTACTTTGGCACGTAATGATCATACACTTGACGCCTGGACCCTGTTAGGAGTACTGTATTCGATCTCATTGGCGCCAGACATCTGCTCCAAGCTGGTACAAACTCTCCTCTCCCAGTCAATCCAGTGGCGTGCGTTGAACCACAGATGCAACGCCACAACACCATGGTACCCTCAAAGACCTTCCAGAAGCTTGCCCTAGAAGGCAAAATTGCAGTCGTTTTCATGTCCACGTCCCATATGCTCGTCGCCTGTCGAAGCAGACAACAAAACCTAATTGTCCACCTTCTTACTCCGCCTCGCCGGTCTGCCACGCGACATCTTGGGCCCATGCACAGATAGAATTGATCCCCTTCGTGATACTTGTACAAGGCTTCAGCACAGAGCCTCGCGTGGTAGGCGACGTTGTATGCGCCACGAGAATATCAAAGACGACCCATAGAAGGGCCGGTCGAGACCTCTCATCCGGTATCCGAACCAGTAGTGTCATTCTCCTCCATTTCTTCGTCGAGGATGATTCGTCGCATCAGTCCCTTGTTGAAGAGATTCAAGATATAATGCCTTGCTTGAAGGCGATAATGGTGACTTTCAAGAATGACAAGGGTTCTCTTGAACATTTCCGTTTCGGCAAAATAAGTGGGTTGCTTCACCCTTAGGGTATGGAGGTCGCCAGCCGCTTTCTTGTACATCACTGAGTTGCCCATCTCAACGATGTGCTTGAGAATCTTAGCGCGGATGGTGTCGTCGTCAGTCACAGCAGCCTTGTACTTGGCATCTTCTTCTGGCGTTGAGACGTTCAGAGGAACATTAGAACCAACAGATTTCTATGGCATGTTAATATACGGTCTAGTCAGAGGTAATTGGGGACACTTACCAGACACAGGACCTCGAGGTTGCGAGGCAAGCAGAGGCCTAATGAACGTCCTCGATGGTCAACTGTTGTATCCCAGCCACTTTCCGCAAGCATCTCGAATCCGTGCAGGGTCCGGGAGATTAAGCCCAGCACAAAACACGCCGTCCCTCGCATGGACAACACCTGCGCACCTTCTGCAATGCGAACAATAGCTGTCACGACGTCGCCTTCTTCCAAGAATGGTGCGCCGAGATCCATGGAGCCAATGTTCCCAACTGCCCACATACATCCTTTGACTTTGGTTAGACATTCTGGATCTTCTTCATCTAGTCGAAAATCTCTGATGGTCGACGCAAATTCGTAGAAATGTCCCGATTGTCGTAACAGCTTGCAACCTTCCTGGGTCCGTGCAAGTTCGCGGTAGAAGTGAGGCGGAGCGACGCCGGGTTCATTAGGGTCGAGCGCAGGGTCTACCGAGAAGTGTGTTTTGTGCGGCGCTCCCTCCAGGTAAGCCCGCAGGATAGATGCCTCTACCAACGCAACGTAGGCGTCGTTTCGTCCCAAGAACCAGTCATCCATTTCCTGAGTGATATAGTCCAGCCCGCTAAGGTACCGGTAGCCCACTGAAGTTGACAGAAATCGTAGTAAGAGCGGTGCACCAAGCTCGCCCAGATGATCTAGCGACGGCCTGCATTTGACGACATATTCAAGATGACTCCGCTGGTTACAAGCTTCTTCCAGTATTTTCACGGCAATTTCGCAGACTCCGATGTCAGGGTCGTATAATTGTGTAAGCACGAGCCGAAGGGCCCAGTGTGAACTAGAGCGATCTTGCAGTCCAGACGAATACTGCACCCTGCCCACGGCATACCGCCGAAGCAATCTGGTGGCAAAGATTCGTATGTCTTTAACTCCTGACGTGAGAGCTTTTGACAGGATGACTCGTAAATGAGAATCCAGGGTATAGTCCATGTTACCAAGGAGAGCTTTCACCAGATCATCCCGATCTCTGAGTTTGACCAGGTGATAGAATATGTCCATGATGTGCCATCGTTCCATCATTCGTAGGCCTTCCGAGGACTGGCTCAACGCGCCAATGAGAGCGAAATATCCGCCACTGAGCGTCTCGGCCATGTGTTGGCGGTCAAATAGCGGACTCGCAGATGTGATGCCACTGTGAGGAGAAACCTGGGCCAGGCATTCCGCAATCTGCCGTAGAAGCTTATTCTCGGTCAGATACTCTAATCCAAGACTGGTTTGCGTGAGAGTTTTCATGAGAGCACATCCTGTTCGGACGTAGCGCTGATTGGGTCTTGTGTTTCGAATTATAGAGAATCTGTACTTGAACGGGCGATAGAAGCCAACAAGCCGCTTGAGGAATTTGGGTGATCTGATGGCGTCTTCCAATCTCTTTGGATTGGTCAACGGTCCTTCTACGAGGTTGTGTATTAGGTCCCATTTCCACTTGACATACTGGGAATGACTCGTGATCTGGCTGTCGGTCATGGCTTGTCGAAATTGATCGGAATCCATGAGGGCCGTGTACCTTGATCTTTCAATGGCCTGGGGTGCGACAGCTAGTTCGTCTTCCCGAACGCCTTTTCCGTATAATGGACCGGTAGTCCGGTTCAAGGTTCGATTGATGCTTTCAATCTGATAGATCAAGGTCATGTTCGTGGCACAATTCTCAGAGCCATAATCTTGCAGTGAAGGGACTAGATCACCCAGTACTTGTATATTCGCACTGATGGATTCTGGTAGAGTGTGGTGGGCTAACTTCAATACTTCTGTTAGAAGCAGAGCAGCCTTCCGTTTGAGCATGAGATCTTCCTCGATCCGAATCAATTGGACGAGGGCGTGAACGAGATCAGCTTTGACAAGGGCGGCCAGAACAAATGCTGAGAAGTGATACGTCAAATCGAATTTGCCCTCTGCGTTAAACTCTGCGATCTGCCTCTGCGAAGGCTGCTCGATGGGTGCTGTGTTGACCCGCCCGTAGGTTGTAAGTCTCCGGCCAGCCAGGAACGAACTTGACCAAGACGGAGGCTTGATACGTAATATGTCAAAGAATAACTCAAGGACTAAGTCCCGCGACTGAGGGATTGGGTAGACAAGGGAGTCGATAAGAGATCGAAGCGGCGCTGCGCCGTTCATGGATAGTAGCAAAAATCCCGGCCATGTCTTCAGCATGGCTGATATGGCCTGAGCGCATGTCTTGAGTCTTTCTTCGTGGCCACTCAAAAGCAACGGGTCGGTGAATGGAGCGAACATTGCCTCGAACTCTCGGCCAGTGTGCAGAAACCGTCGTTGCAGAGGGTGATCGAGGATCTGCAGAAACCCGGCAACGAGACCTTCTGGCGCTGGAAAGGAGCCATCGGCCAAGGCTTCTGTAAGTGTGCTAATGCCGTTGGCGGACACGACAAGTTCAGTGTGTTTGGTCAAGAGCTCTGCCAGTGTCAAGAGGCAGATATCCTTCAATCTGTCGTCTGGAGTTTCGGCAACAGCCACCAAGCTTCGGACCACAGCCCGTGAGAGCTCCAGGACCCCGTCTTTGACATCTAGGAAAGCTCGCACAAATTTGACGGCTTGTTCCCGTTCTAAAACAGCCTTCTCTCGTTTCACCAGGGACAAAATCACTAGCTCATCGGTGTGCAATTCTCTGATGGTCTGCAACGACTTGCGATCTGCAATGGCATGTCGTGTAAGCCTGTAACCTGCTGCGACAACATCGGAACTTTCGCTCAGTAACATTAATTGCACACGCAAGCTGAAGACTGACCAAGCCAGATCGTATTTCAATGTAGGGTTGCGCTTAAGGAGCTCGACCAATGTATTCGCCCGTTCAATGTAATAGTCCGGTTGCATGCCGTCTGCCTCTAATTGCTGAAGGGTTTCCGTGAGTACAACCGTTGGAGACTCACTATCGACGGACTCTGTCAAGGTATTCTCCTGAGTCTGTGCTAAGGAAGGAGGAGTTCTTAGGGGGCTGCCTCTGAAATAACTGGACATTCTCTTGCTGGGAGGCGTTGTGGGAGATTGAGCGCGCATGATCTCCTGGTCGAGCTCTTGCTTTAATTCAGCGAGTTTCCTGTTTGACGTGCCTAATTCCATCTCAACTCGCTGTCGCTGCTCCTTTGTCTGTTTGTTATTCTTGCTCAAAAGGGCTTCCAGCATATTCTCAGTTCCCAGCTTGATCTTCATCTCTTTAGCTATCTTGTCACGCACAGCAGCCTGGCGTTTCTCCGAGGTTGCGAGAACATCTCCATCTTTGTATGGTGGAAGTCGGGAAAATTGCACAGACGCCAATTCACTTTGTGGTGTAGTCCTCCCCGACTGCATCGCACTCTTCAAATCGGCATTAAACGATCCAGGAGGATTGGTCGATGTCATGGTAGCCATAAATGCCTTCGGTCCATATTGACTGCTTCCACCAGATAGCGAGCGACCATCCTTAAAGGATGGTCGTCGCGATGTCGACAGATCATCGCTCTTCCTAGAATTATGGCGAAAAGTGAATCCTCTGCCTTGGGTTGGCGTCACCGAGTAGCCCGACCCTTGCTCTGATGAGGCCATTTGCAGGCCATGGAGCGTAAAGTCGTCCCACCAGGGTTACTTTGTCCGGATGAGGTGCACTGTACACACTCATGAAACGAGAGGCGGTTCGAGCGGAAGCAGTGCCTGAGACTCTGTAGTCGATTTCAGGACGACTAGATGTGCCGGGCGTTTAAGGATGATTTCGGACTCGAGGATGGTTCATTGGGCCAATGAAGGTGTTTATGATCGGCCTGCGTGGGAACGAGCAGAAACATTCACCGGCAACTGTTGATGTCGCTCATCGTGCTTTCGTCGATGTCAAACTGCTGATGTATCGATTTTTCGCGCGTCGAAGGATTGGTATCACAAAGCATTTGTTGTTCTGATGGGCTGTTATTGTCGTTGGGCACTGGTAGTGTTACAGATAAGTTGGAGCACAAGTGCAGAGTCCGGAAGAAGCGCAGTCAGGCTGAGATTCGCGAAATCTAGCCAAAGTCTGGGTGTCGAAATGAAGGGACTACGTCCCCCGCACATCACTTTTAGGCGGGCTTGCGCCTAGTGTGGCCGAACCGGAGCCCCTAAACACGTGCATCTAGAGCCTGTCGATGTTGTCGTTTAGCTGGACACCACCGGGTAGATCCCCTACCTCAGGTAAACCACGAGTACGAGTACGAGTACCCTGTAGATACTTGCCTAATCCACCTTACCTGGAGACCGACTGTCCAAGACCCTGGTTATTCTGCTCCTGGCTTGCTTTTTCCTTGAATCAGAATGATACAGTTACTACGAAGGCCGTCCTATCTTCAGGATACGGGGTACGAGCATAAGGACAGGTTGGATATTCATCTAGGCTCGCTACGTGCCTTGTTGACATTAGGGGCATTATTCTGCATACTAAATGTGGCTGAGCCTCGTTAGAAGTCCACAGCCTCGTCGTTCTTTTAGGCTAAGGCAAATTGACATCATAGGCGTTTTGGTTCAGCGTTTCAAACCCCGTCCCTTGATTGTCACTGCCATTGTGTAGAGATAGAGCAAACGAGATGAACATTTCTTTGTACGAACCAAACGGCGAGATCCCGTACAACTTACCTAAAGACAAACAGGTTCATCAGCTGATAAAAAGATCTATCTACAATACAGCGGGCTGGGAGTTCTAGGTACAATCAAGGCTTTCGGCGAGCTCCGCCATATGCTTTATCGTACAATCCGCGCACCTCCAGACGAATTCGTTGTGCGATACACCAATCGCCTCCACTACACACATCTGGCTCTCCTTCAGAAGGGGTCCTGATCAGCATTTTGTTAGATCTGGACGCCGTGTGTCTGTGCAATTGGTGTGCGTAGTGGGCGAAATTTCCCTATAACAACTTTCCCCTCTGATAAGGAATTCGTTATAAAGCCGTTCCTCAGCCCAAGTTGTGTCTCTCTGTCTCTTAATCAATTGTGCTTCTAAACGGACGCTCTGCAAGCAAAACAACTGTCAATCTAGCTCAAGAGTAGACCTCCTACAACTAGCCTCAAGCATATCCAATTACTGAAGTCGTCATGGGCTACCTTTCAGCAGCTCGCTATGGCAAGGACAACGTCCGCGTGTACAAGGTCGAGCGCGACGAGGCTACAAAGACACACACCGTATACGAGATGACTGTTTGTGTCCTGCTGGAAGGAGAGATTGACACCTCGTAAGTGACCAGGCATGTGCGAAAGTAGCGCAGAGGCTAACATCGTAACAGCTACACCGAAGCAGACAACAGCGTCGTGGTCGCTACCGACTCGATGAAGAATACCACCTACATCATGGCCAAACAGAACCCTATCCATCCCCCGGAGCTCTTTGCTTCCACCCTAGGAAACCACTTCGTTCAAAAGTACAAGCACATCCATGCTGCGCACATCAGCATCGTCCAGCATCGGTGGACGCGCATGACGGTCGATGGGAAGCCACACCCGCACTCCTTCTTCCGGGATGGCAACGAAAAGAGAGTGGTGCAAGCAGACATCTACGAGGGCAAGGGTATCGAGATCCGCTCCGGCATCTCGGACCTGCTCGTGCTCAAGAGCACCGGCTCAGAATTCCACCACTTTGTCCGGGACGACTTCACCACCCTGCCAGATGTTTATGACCGCATCCTGAGCACGTCTGTAGACGCTGGTTGGAAGTGGTCGACTTTCTCTGGCCTCGACGCGGTCAAGAAAGCAGTGAGCAAATTCGATGAGACTTGGACCAAATCCAGGGAGATCACTTTCAGACTCTTTGCTACCGAGGAGTCTCCCAGCGTGCAAAACACCATGTACAAGATGTGCCAGGAGATCCTCGCAGCACAGCCTCTTGTCGCTGCAGTCGATTACTCACTGCCTAACAAACATTACTTTGAAATCGACCTGAGCTGGCATCACGGGCTCAAAAACACCGGCAAGGACGCAGAAGTCTATGCACCACAATCCGACCCCAATGGGCTGATCAAGTGCACAGTTTCACGCGATGTAAAGGCCAAGTTGTAAATTGTATTATCGGATACACCATATACCAAATCACGATCATGACAATGGTTGGAGTTCTCTGCCGGTTCAATAGAAGGCGTCGCAATAAACGTTCTGTGGCCAGGATAATGTACAATCGTATTCATACATCTTGCTAGATTCCATAATTACAACAAATGCTCCTTGCTCCGTCATGAAGTAGTACTTGTCGCGGGTTTCGATGCTTCAATCGCTTCCATAATCTTGCCTTTGTGTGGTGTCCCGGCAAATCGGACAATGTTCTGACGGTAGGGATGTGCCGTTCCTTCGAAAACTTTTAATCTGGCTAATCGCTTGTCTCTGAGGCGGTTTTTTGGGAGCATTCCTCTCACAGCTTTCTTGAGGACTTCTCCTCCACCCCATTTCTCGATCATGCGCTCCATGCTCATTTGTTTGAGGCTTCCCGGTCGTGTATTGTGGGTGTAGTACTGTTTCTGTTGTCGTTTCTTGCCCGTAACATGTAGATCGTGGCATCCGACTGCCACCACATAGTCTCCGCAGTCTGTCGAAGGATCCCAGATCGGCTTATGCTTGCCCATCAAAAAAGTCGCTATCGAGGTTGCGACCCGGCCTAACGACCTTGTATCACTGCCAATATCGATATAATGCCATGTCCGAGAGTAGGCAAGACGAGTCTGAGGGTCGGATTAGTTCAGCTACCTGTGAGGAAGAGAATGCATGATGTACCTTGCCCACGGTTTGCGACATGGAGGGAAGAGGCTATCTGTTCATGGGGCACAATTGCCTCTTCTGACTGTCCACTGATGACCAACCCACCAACGTTAGTCAAAATCGCGTGTACAAACAGGATTGTGTAGATTGTCTGAACAAAAGGCGTTGGAGAGAATATCGAGTGAATTCCGCAGGCGAGCTTCCAAGGAATATACGCTAGACCATATTTATACTAGCGTATATGATCTTGGCAACCGTCCGCACACGAACTTTTGCTTGTCGCAGTCCACCGCACCGCAAATCTCCCTTCGACGATTTTAACACGACAACGACAACGACAACTCTTCGACTGTATCTCCTCTGTCAATCGCCGCCAGTTCAATATGTCGGCTCCTCAGAGTGTGCAGTGCTTCGGCAAGAAAAAGACTGCCACGGCGGTCGCCCATTGCAAGGTTCGAGAATTCAGCGCACATCGAAATTGAAGACGGCAAGCTTACAATTTTCTTTACAGAAAGGAAAGGGCCTCATTAAGGTCAATGGCCGCCCTCTCTCCCTCGTGCAACCCGAGATCCTCCGCTTCAAGGTACGTTGGCAACACCGATGAAATTTTGGGTATTAGGTAGAGAATGAATGAATGGCTGACGGGAGATGAAATGTACGAAACAGGTCTACGAACCTGTCCTCATCGTTGGTTTGGATAAGTTCGCCGATGTCGACATCCGTGTCCGAGTCACCGGTGGTGGTCACACTTCCCAGATCTACGCCATCCGACAGGCAATCGCCAAGTCAATCGTCGCCTACTACCAGAAATACGTCGATGAATACACCAAGAACCAACTGAAGCAAGCCCTTGTTCAGTACGACCGCACACTGCTCGTTGCCGACAACAGACGGTGCGAACCCAAGAAATTCGGCGGTCCAGGTGCCAGAGCCAGATACCAGAAATCCTACCGTTAAGCGAAACGACACGAGTGCGGTGGTTTGCGGTGTTTGGCTGGTCATGATCATTGCCCCAGGTTGAATGCGTTGCGGATTTGATCTAAGGACAGCAAGCCGCACTGATGGCGGTCGGCTCGTAATTGCATTGGTGTGGATTCGGGCATTCGTCAGGGAAGCCGAGGATGAGACCATTCTCGGTCACCAGGTATCAGTGCGATGCCATTAGCAGATCCTGCAAGAAGATCAATAAACTGCGTTCTTACGAGAGCGAAAAGAATAAATGCACTGTTCAAAAATCAAATCCTTTCCAGGTTCACACGAAACCAAGGCCCCCGCGAGCTGGTCAGATTGCCTTGCCTTCTCCCTTATGTATCAACGACCACAGGCGCATACTCTCCTGTCTCTTCGTCCTCATCTGCACCTGACATACTAACCTCGATCCTCTCTCCATCCTCCAGCTCTAGCATTCCTCTCCGTAGAATGTCCTTCTCACTTGCCCATCCATACTTCTGTTCAAACAATGTTTGCACTTTCTCAACCTCCTTCTTCAAGGCAACTCCTTTCTCTTGTGCACTCCCTTGGCTCTTTTCGTCAGGATCGTTCAACACCTCATCTACTGTTGCTCGAAACCGACCCCATGTCTTTCTGAGCCATGCACTCCCGCCTTCATCCCTCATCTCGAACAATCCACCTTCCACATCATCGATATGGGCTACCTGTTGTTGAAATCCTTTGACGGTCTCCACGAAGAAAGCCTCAGCCTCGCGTATAGAAGACTGGCATGAGAAGATCACATCCAACAGCCGTTTCCACTGCTCCAAGCAGCTATAGTTGGCCAGCGTGAGGACCATGAGGAAACAGAATTGTAATTCTCCTAGTACCTGTCTCGCACCAACAGCCCTGTCCGCTTCAGTTGGCGTCACTGACTCGATCAGATGTCCGAGATACCAACTGCGATCCCTCGCACGGTCGGTTCGCGTCCGGCCAATGTCTTCGTCAGCCCACGTCTGCTTGAGATCGATTGGCAGAAGATCCAAAGGCGACTGGTGCAACGCATTGCTTGCTTCAAGGTGCGACAAGCCAGGTATAATCTCTGCATCGGAAGGTGCAGACGATATACTTGACACGACCCATGCGGGAGTCAAAATACGTGTAAGAAGGGCGGGCGATACGTGAGAGATCATGGAGGGGTAGTCGGTACTCTCGCCCCTCTCACTCCCATCTCCTTGGTCCTTAGTGCCTGAGGTGTCTGTCTGAGAAGCACATGCTTCACGAGATGCCAGGTCGGACGTCGCATCCTGGAGCGCTGGGTAGTCGACAAGCCCCTGCGGCGAGATAGTATTGACAGCACTACGGGCTGTCGCGCATGTGGGATCCAGAAGATCGAGAGACTCTGTGGCGGGGGACCATTGCAGGACTTGAATGTGTGATTGCGATGTTATATTAACCCATCGACCATGACGGATAGAGAGCGAGGCATCCGTTCCAGTGTATATAAAATGTAAGCCTGGCGTGATATTAGTGATTCCGTGGAAATTTGGCGAGGCCGTGAATGAAAGCAGATCCACGCCGATGAAAGTTTTTGGCGGCAGCGATAGAATTAGAATAGTCGGTGATTCCATGGACGCTACCGTAGTTATTGATACAATTAAATGTACTTGGCGAGATTTAGGTGCAAATACGTTGGATATACAAGGGAAAGAAAATTATGAAGTCACAAAGAAGTGTTTTTGAGATTTATTTCATGCCGTCTACTTGGAGCAGGGCGAAATGTGTGTGAAGACCAGGCAGAAAATGCCGTTCTTCGCGTATTTGTGACCACGACCATCAATTTCTTCCCAACACTGACGTCTCTTTCGTGCACTCGAAGTGGTATGGGATCCATGCCACCACCACTCGGATCCACGAATATGAGAATGTGCGCAAAGTATTCTGCAGCGCACACGCTCAGAGACGACGACCACGACGACCACCCTTGCGTCTCGTGCTGTCGGATGGGGTAGGAGTGACGTCCTCGATTCTTCCAATCTTCATTCCTGAACGGGCCAGGGCACGGAGGGCAGACTGGGCACCGGGGCCCGGGGTCTTGGTGCCGTTACCACCTGTGGCTCGGATCTTGATGTGCAGGGCGTTGATGCCGAGTTCCTTGCATCGCTGGGCGACATCCTGTGCAGCCAACATGGCGGCGTATGGAGAGGACTCGTCACGATCGGCCTTGACCTTCATACCACCGGTAACACGGCAGATGGTTTCGCGACCACTGTCGTGAAGACGAAACGTTAGTCATTTCCGTCATCGAACGTGTGCAAACGATGTGGTCTCATTCCGTATGAGCATGGTCTTGACTTACGAGAGATCGGTGACATGGACGAAGGTGTCGTTGAAGGATGCGAAGATACGTGCAACGCCGAAGACGAGTTCGCCTGTACACGTACTCGATTAGTTTTTGGGATTTTCAAGTAAAGACTTTTTGCGCAAACTCACCTTCTCGGACCTGGGGACCGAGAGAGATGTTCTCGTTGGCGGGACGCTCGACTCTCTTCTTAGGAGGCATTTTGTTTGTCGACTTGTGAGTTGGGAAAGTACTCTTGATCGTCTGGTTGGTGGTCACAAACAGAGAGAGAATGTGAATATTCTGAGGATGTGTTCGAAAATCGCAGTGTGGGAGTCGGCGAACTGCAGCCCACAAGCGCCGATTGTGGTCTAAGCCTAAATTGGGAATAAGTCTTGGCAACCTCCAAAGACAAAACTCTTCGACTTTTCGACTCATCGTTTTGCAACTTCTCAAGCTTGACTTTCTTCTTTCAATGCCAATGGTTAACGAAGAAAGGTGTTTGATGAATTGCAGAGGGCACGCTTGAAGCTGATTGTTCAGCATCACTTACCTGCAGAAGATCCTTCGAGTCGATTACTGGTCGAGGCTTTTGACTGGCTCCGGCCGCTCGTGGTCAGCATGGAGAAGAACGCTGCAGTAGGAATTATCGGTATGGGCGATATGGGTCGCTTGTACGCGAAGAGGTTCAGTCAAGCTGGCTGGAGGTACGAAGCCGCGCAGTTTGTTTTCTCAGAACGGTAGAAGTTCTCGGGAGCTCGTTCATGCTTTCAAGGTACGTTGTCTTTTGACCCCATACCGCACTGTTCAAGGATGACTCTGAGTGCATTTGGCTCGAGTATGGTCATCACGGTACTGCTTCATCATTCTGATGTGGCGTCTTATCGTGTGGGCTGTCACTGATGTAAAACCCTCGCTACCTTACATTTTTTCGTCTGAAGAGATCACATCCAAGCATATTGTTTCCACTCGCATCTTGCTCGGTCGGTAACTAATCGTTTTATAGATGTGCATTTGCTGCTGCTTGCTACTGTCAAATGTTATATAGTATGGGACTGATAGAATGTCATGCAGAGTCAATGCCTGCGACCGACCAGACAAATTTCAGACACTCCAAAAAGAGTTCGAGAATGAGGTTTGTGTCGTCAGCAGCGGTGATGAGCACGATTGACCAGTACTAGAAAGGAATAAATATTTTACCCAATGGACATCTTGTTTCAAGAGCCAGCGACTGGATCATATACAGCGTGGAAGCTGAAGTGATTGGCAGGGTTGTCGCTGAATATGGTCCTTCAACGAAAGTTGGGGCCATAGTTGGTGGGCAGACCTCTTGTAAAGCTCCTGAACTGGCCGCCTTCGAAAAGTATTTGCCCGGCGACGTCGAGATCGTCTCGTGCCATTCCTTGCATGGGCCTGCTGTAGATCCCACCGGCCAACCACTTGTCGTCATCCAGCATCGAGCCTCACAGAAAAGTGTTGACCTCTGCGTTCGAATTCTTTCTTGCCTCAATTCCAAAATGGTGTTTCTTTCTGGTGAAAGGCATGATAGGATCACAGCGGATACCCAGGCGGTTACGCATGCTGCGTTTCTGAGTATGGGAACTGCCTGGGCAGCAAACCAACAGTTTCCATGGGAGATCGACCGCTACATTGGCGGCATCGAAAATGTCAAGATCAACATCACGTTGCGAATCTATGCGAACAAATGGCATGTCTATGCCGGGCTTGCAATACTCAATCCTGCAGCCAAGCAGCAGATCCGCCAGTATGCACAGTCTGTCACGGAGTTGTATAAGCTGATGCTTGGTGGACACCGTGAAGAGCTTGCTAACAGGATTAAGACTGCCGGCGCTGCGGTCTTCTCAAATGATACTGCCCACCACAACCTCCTTCTGGGAGATGACGTGCTGGACAAGTTCTCTCTTTCGAAAGCTCCAAAAGAAAGAACACCAAACAACCACCTCAGTTTGCTGGGGATAGTTGATTGTTGGTGGAAACTCGGTATTGTGCCGTACGACCATATGATTTGCTCTACACCTGTAAGCCATGTCTGTCTCTATCAAGTGTACTTTCTATTGCTAAACCTCTAGCTTTTCCGCATCTGGCTGGGTGTCACAGAGTATCTATTCCGAGACGAGGCTTTGCTGGATGAAACGATCAAAACAGCGATCGAAGATAACACCTTCCGGTCGGATGACTTGGAGTTCACGTTTGCCGCTAGGGTAAGTCTACACTGCGACCATAAGCTTGGCCTTGGTCAATGCTCCCGCCCGACCATGGGAAGATACTTTTTCGCGCACGCACACCCTCCTCCTGCACTCCATCTTCTTTGGAAGGTGGAGTTGTTCTATACTATCTATGATCAGCCGCTGATAGTTCCCTCCAGGCATGGTCTGAGTGTGTTTCGTTTGGTGCTTTCGATGCTTATCGTGATCGATTTGAGAACATCCAGCAGTACTTTGCACCAAGGTTCCCGGATGCAGTCAGACTCGGAAATGAAATGATAAAGGAGATCATGATGAAAACGACCAAATGAATGTCTCTGACCACCAGGTGAGCAACAGATTGAGTAAAGATGTAGGATGGACCTTGCTACCGATTCTACGCCTTCATCAAAATTCCACTCGGCTGCAATCAACCAGCTGTCTTTGGGAGACGGCATCCGAGTTTCCCACGGTACATTGCCGCAAAAGAGAACTTTTTTTTTAACCAGGTCGACGATCAGCGGATACAAATAAGCTCCTCAACTTATCTGCACCGCCACAGAAAACTAACCACGCACGGCAAAAAACCGATGATGATGAACATGACCCTCCCAAGGAAGATATAGCGAGAAAGAGGAGTCGCGTGGGACTCTACCTCCAGCCTCGTACAGATATGGATGAGGCCGTATCGCTGCTTCAAAGAGCAAAAATAGAGCGGCATGTGCCCGCGCTCTCAGAACACTTCACGAGATATCAAAGTCCATACCAATTCACATGTAGAGCAAGGCCATTGAGATGGTGACTGGTATTCGAAACATTTTACCAGCAACGTAAACCCGCCGACAGACTCGGCGCAAATCGAGCCACAGAACAATTGAGCTAAACAGAAGAAGCATACCTACCCAGTAGACTTTTTCATACGGACGGACGCGCCCCTCTTTTTTTCCTGGGAATATATATACTGTAAGACTCCTCGTAACTCGTACCCGTACGGAGTATTTGCTATGAGGATTACGTTAACCTATAGTCACCCAGTTATGGAGATCCAGTCAGGAACTACGCAATAATTGCGATCCAAGGGATTTCAGCAGGATGAAAAATGCATCGCACGGCGATCAAGCTGTATCCATCTTCTAACTGTTCTAGACTCGCAAGGCCTTGGAGGGGCAGCTTGCGACGCCCCCAAGAACCACTACGACCAATCAAGATATCTACAACTATGCTGATGGACCCGATGCAGCTCATCCTCCGGCCAAGCCCTATACTAGCCCCTTTCCTCCCCGGACAGGCACAGGAACGGAGGTCTGACTGGCTCCCGGCAAGCCACAGGGTTTAGCGAGCATCCGTTTCTTTCAATGCCTGAGCCTAGTGTCTCACCCTTGTCACTCCCATTTTGGGATGGGCTATTTTTACTCCGTACGAGGACCTTGTCATCTCGGTGCCAGCCCTGATGGTCGGAGGCTCTCCGTTATGGAAATGGTACGGAGTGGCTAGCAGAATTCACGGTCGCCTCATACGCAAATTTTGCACCATGTTATCTCGCCTCGCCCGTTGGGCACGCTCGTCGTTTGCTGCGGAAATCGACAGGGTCATGTAACACGTCAGAAGCAAGCTACGTCTCAGAAGGATCCTGCAGCAGGGGGCTTGGCTCGTTCAAGGCCTCCGGACTCCTGATGCCCCCTTGGCAAGCCACCAAACGCGCAATCCACCCAAGTAATTTGCACAAGCTTTGGCGTGTCGTGCCAACATTTTAATCGATAATGATAAAGCCCCCCGTATCGCTCTGCCCGTCGCGTGGCTCCTTCTTACCAAAGGTCGAATGCTGCAGCTTTTGTTCGGCGCGTAGAGAACAACATCATCTTTGCGTGTCTGGTCATACTCATATATTAAGACATCCGACACTCGACCCCTGATAAATTCCTTCGCCACGGTATATCAGCTAGGAGATCTTCTCGGATTATGGTACGTTGTTCGCTTCAATCTCTTCAGCCAAGTCGTTAACATATCGCCAGTGGCCGGCTCAACAGCACAATTCGCACAGTTTGCGGGAAGCAACTATGCCATCTCGGTCAATGTCCCATCGGACACCGCTTCGTCTGGCAGTGGTTCGATCTATCTCCAGATCAGCGCTCCAAGTGGAACAGAATGGGTCGGGTTCGGCCAAGGATCACAAATGTCCGGGGCGAACATGTTCATTGTCTACGCTGCCGACAGCAACAATGTGACCGTATCGCCACGATCAGGCACCGGGCACTTCGAACCAAAGGTGGACAGCGATGCCAAAATCTCCGTGCTCGAGGGAACGGGCATCACTTCAGGCGGCAACTTGGTCGCCAACATAAGATGCGACTCATGCTTGAGCTGGAATGGGGGCAGCATGAAACCCACAGACTCCTCCAGCTCCTGGATCTGGGCCTACAAGACTGGCAACGCTCTAGACTCGACCAGCGTTGACGCATCCATCTCCCAGCACGATTCGATGGGAGCATTCAGCCTCGACCTGACCAAGGGAACTGGAGGAAGCTCACCAAACCCCTTCGTCGCCGCTTCAGGCGGTTCCTCGGGCGGTTCTTCCTCGGCAGCTCCATCGGGCACGTCGGCTCCTTCGCAGACGGCTGCCGCTTCAGGGACTGCCACAGCGACCACCGGCAGCGCCGGCCCAACCTCCACGGGGGGTGTCTCTAATCCCTTGGTCGGCAGCAACCCGTCCTCGTCCGGCTCCAGCCACAGCGTCAGCGCCGACCCTAACAAAACCACCCGAGTTGCTCACGCGACCATTATGTCTCTGACGTTTGTGCTCTTGTTCCCCTTGTCCTCGTTGACCATCTACCTGGGTTACCGCGAGAAGGTCAGACACGTTCACGGTCCTCTCCAAGTGGTGAGCATCATCCTGATGCTGGTCGGCCTTGGCTTGGGCGTAAAGCTGGCAGATAAACTCGACGAGATTGACGGGTACCATCAAGTCATCGGCTTCGTTGTTGTCGCCTGGATGGTATTCTTCCAGCCACTGTTGGGATTGTTGCAACACTTGCACTTCCGGAAGAATGGAACCCGCAGCCCCATGGGCCACGGCCACCGTTGGGTCGGCCGGGCTTTTATCCTACTCGGTATTGTCAATGGTGGTCTTGGCTTCAAGCAGGCCGGCAAGGTTAACAGTGTCAACGTGCCGACGTATTCGGTGGTCGTCTACAGCGTCTTCGCGGTCGTCATCTTCTTGATCTACATTGCTGTTGTCATCTTCATGCCGAGAATGTCAGCACGAAACGGCTCGAATGCGCCTCTCGGCGAGAAGCCTCGGCCAAGGAGTCAAGGATACGAGATGCACAACCGCTCCGCTGATGGCCGTGGTTATTCATAGATATAGTCTTAAGCAGGAGGTCTTTCTTTTGTTGTGATGCGATGAATGTCGCGGGATCTTGTATGAATTGTTTCTCCGATCTCAACCAGTTGTTCGTCTGGAATAGGGGTCTGGTTTTGGCGCACTTTTATTGATGTGACGGAGTATGGCATGGGGAATGGGAAATGGAAAAAGATTTCGGATGCTAGATGACTGAAATGCCATAGACATGAAGAACGAAGACATTGTTCAATTCTACTGAACCGGCCTGCTCGTACTCACGTACTGTGTAAGCATTTGATGTCGTCTTCCTCCCATCGACAGCTGTCGCTACCTCGATATGCAACCAACACAAACCGGCAACTCAACCCGACAAGATCAAGCCACGTCGTCATTCCTCGAAGCGTCTCCAGATTTTCCCCCATGGAGAAGCGGTAGATTGTTCGGACTTTCCCATGGAACTACACCCATATTGTATGTAATTTCTTCATGGGGATCTCCATCACGAGGCGGTTGTTCTTCAGTGCTGTGGGTTTCGTACCGCCCGCCTGCTTACCGGGATTCTCTGTCTACTCGTACGAGGGACAATCTACCGGGGACGAGCACACGATGGGTCGCTCAAACGAGAAGATCTGGCTCGTGATCGTCGATCAAGGCAAATGAGTCGTCCTCGTACGAGCTGCAACAAGCGCTTCGCCATGAATTGCTTGGATGAGCTCTGACCTTTCCTCCTTTCCAATTGGGTGCCAGGGATTTTTGCTTTCCCCCCCCCCCAAAGCTTCAAGTACTCGTTGCAAATCTAGGGTGCCTTGTAGCGGTCCGTCGTCGATCAATGAAACATTGTTTGGGAGGCTCCATGCGCGAGTTCCTTTCTTTTACATGACGTCGCTCTCGCACAGAAGTAGGTGGGCAGGTTCTCGATGTAAGTATAATACTCCCCTCTTTCTTTTGCGAGGTCCAGTATCAAAAAGGTGTGGAAGAGCTGCTACACCCTGTCGAGGGTCTTCTTCTTTTACTCTTCTGTTAGATTTGGTACATAGTAGCAACGAAGACTTCGCCTTTAATTTTTATTCCACCACATCATCATGGGCTTCAATGTAGGGCCTAAACAGCCCTACTTTGGTTTGAAAGGTGGATGGTTGACATTTTGGATCTCTGTAAGTTGTGCACCGTCTCGTTGAGCTAAAGTATCGATATTGATCTCTTTTCTCAGGTTGCTTGTGCAACAGATATGACTTTGTAAGCTCGATTCTGAAAGCAAAGGTTTTGAAGAGGTGTTACTGACATCTTGGTCCCTCCAGGTTCGGCTATGATCAGGTAAGTCTCTCGGCTTTTGTTGCATACTACGATCTGTTCCCTAATTAAGTTCTTCAGGGTGTCTTTGGTAAGTACGACGTGTCTGCAAAAAGTGCAAACCTTTTAATGCTCCTCTCGCAGGTGGTGTCATTGTCACGCCAGATTTTCTAAAGGTTCATAACCTCGGTGGTGATTCGAAAACCTCGCTGCTGGGTTGGTATATCTTTCCCACCAGAATGAAGTCCATGCTCATGTTTTCAAAGGCACGGTGGTTGCCATCTATGATGTTGGCTGTTTCTTTGGTGAGTCGTCATAAAGCTCCTCTTACAATGACATTGTCATCATCCGGCTTTGTCTGAAGCCCCTGACCTTTGCCCCTGATGTCGTATCTATATCACTGCGGCTGCTAACGCATAGGTAGGTGCCGTCACGGCCGTCTGGCTCGGTGAGAAGCTAGGTCGAAGAAAGTCTGTCCTCGTTGGAACAACCATCATGAGTATTGGCGCCATTCTACAGATTGCTTCGTTCAGCACGGCTCAGATGATCGTCGGGCGTATTGTGGCTGGGATTGGCAATGGTATCAATACCGCCACTGCACCAGTATGGCAAACGGTAAGACTTTCTCTTCATGCAGGAGGGCCCGCTAGTTTCCATCCCAGGCGTACGTATCTCACCAACTCCTCGCTGACACTATTGCAGGAAACGTCTGCAATCAAATGGAGAGGCAAGCTTGTCGTCATTGAGCTCATCCTCAACATTGCTGGCTTTTCACTGTCGAATTGGGTCACCTTCGGCTTCTCTTTTCTGTCAGGGGGTGTGGCATGGCGCTTCCCCCTTGCATTTCAGTTCTTTTTCATAATTATCCTATTTGCCACAGTACCTTGGTTACCAGAATCTCCCAGGTGACCATATACCGATGCCCGTTGACACAATGAGATTTACTAATCACTTTTCTAGATGGCTCATTGCCCACGATTACGAAGACGAGGCGTTCAAGATCCTTGCTGACCTTGAGAACAAGAAAGAAGATGACCCTTTCATCCTCGCTCAACACAAGGAGATTGTTTACACTGTCCAATACGAGCGCGAAAATGCTGTCCCTTGGTCGAAACTGCTGATCGGAAAGACTGGGGACAAAGGCGGCACAAAAACGATTCGCCGTCTCCTTCTCGGCGCCGGCACCCAAGCTATGCAGCAACTGTCTGGGATTAATGGCAAGTCTCTTTTCTGATCATAATTTACATACGGAGCATGTGAATTACCTTGTGAATGCCGACGCTAACTTGCCCCTTTAGTTACCAGCTACTACCTCCCTACAGTACTCATCAAATCCGTCGGGCTGACTGAAAAGATGGCCCGACTGCTTGCCGCCTGCAACAGCGTGTCTTATCTGCTCTTTTCTCTTATCGGAATCCCTAATGTCGAGAGGTGGGGTCGTCGAAATATGATGATCTTCGCCTCCACCGGCCAAAGTTTCTGCTACTTACTTATAACCGTCTTGCTTCGCTACAACGAGAAGCCTGGCTACCCCCATGCTCAGGAAGTTGCAAGTGCCAGCATTGCGTGGTTCTTTTGCTATTACGTCTTCTTTGGAATTGGAATGCAAGGAGTTCCTTGGTGTAAGTCGTTGGTGGCCCAGTCCAAGGTGTTCTTTGCTGACCGGACCTTTCAAATAGTATACCCTACGGAAATCAACTCGCTCGCAATGAGGACGAAAGGTGCAGCCATCGGAACAGCGACTAATTGGATCTTCAACTTCATGGTGGTTGAGATCACTCCTATTGGTATTCAAAATTTGGCGTGGAAGTTCTACATCATCTGGACGGTTCTGAATGCCTCATTTGTGCCGATTTTGTACTTTATCTATCCCGAAACGGCAGGTCGTTCACTGGAAGACATTGACGACTACTATCGCACGGATCCACCCTTGCTGGTATTCCGGGACAAGGACGTGACTTCGACCAAGAGGCCGGAGAAATACAAGGTCAGAGAGGAGGAAGAGGTCAGACGGGCATCAACGGCGGACCCAATGGCGTTTAGACGAGCGAGCAAAGTCAGCATCAGAGATGCTACTGCCATGGCCAGAAACACGCACATGGCAGCGGCAACAGGTCGAGACGACGAGAGTTATGAAGGAAAGACCGAAGCAGGAGATGTTGGACAGGAACGGGTAATTCACAAGGAGGAGGTTTAGTGGAGGAATAGTGAACAAGGCTATAGTTTGCAAGGGTATTCGTCTGAGGAAAAGGTTGTGCAAAACTCACGGCAAGAGTATTGCCAATGGTGGCGTATGGAAATGTTTTTGGTTTTCCAAGTATGTGCTGAACAAAATTGAAGTGTGTTGCCTCGTATGCACAAACTGCCCCTGAAGAACATCGTCGTGACTAAGCAGGCACATCCACGTGATCAGTCGTTCAGCCCCAAATTACGGTCACTCTGCGATCAGTTCAAGGCCTACTCTTACAATTCCAGGTGAGTGTTCAACAGCTTCTCATGGGACAGCCAGTTTCTCATTAAGGACTGCAACGATAGGTATTGTCACTACTCGATGCCGAAATACGAAAGTTCCTCGGTAACCCGTTTCCCATGCTCCTGGAATTGTTGACTTCCCGTTCATCATGGCGAAGCCCTATATTGAAGAAATGTTTATACACGGTACTTGGCATACTGTTGATACTCCCTAATCAGTCTCTATCTCCTCGTATGATACCTAGATACAGATCTCCTGTTCGGTGTCGCGTCTCTTTCAAGGGCATCCGTCGAGCATGGCCCTCAATCTGCAGCCGATCGAGACGAAGCACGTCGCAGGGACCGTCGAATTTCCACTCGACAGTGTCAATGGAAGACCTTGACGGTAGTGGAGACGGGCTTCTTCTCAGGTTTGGTCGGCCTATCGCCTGCGAGGGCGCCAAACACGATTTCTGCCTTGACCGACCATGTGGGCGGAATATCGAATGTTGATCTGATCCCGTCCTCTACGCCAGGCACAAAATGCGAGTGCTGCAGGCTAGCACCAAGGCCTTCGAGTTCAAGGGCAGTCCAGAGCGCGATTTGATGCATGGCATTCGAATGCTCGGCGAAGGTCTCGAAGACCGTTATAGGGAATTGGGAGAACCTCCCGTGTAGGTTCTCGATAGATGTATGGTCTTCGAAGAGGGAGATCTGTCAAATAGAATTAGCGACGCACGCTGGGAGAGACCTGAGCAAGAAGTATCCTGCATTTGCCGCTCCTGGGACAGGTGGGAATGCACGTACTGTACCGTAGGCAGCTTTGAACGAGTTGAAACGATCCTCGTTACGCTTCCAATCACTCTCGCCTTTGGTTTCGAGAACAAACGGCCTCGCAGCATTGATAACGGCATCCCAGAACTTCTTGTGCGCCGCCCCGAGAGTGACGACAATGCGGGTACTCTGCATGTTCCATGACGAAGGAATGGTTTGAATGACTTCGTTGACAATCTCGATAATGCGACCATCCGACACCGAAACGTTGTCGGTAACGCCATATATAGTACGACGGTACTTTATCGCATCGAGAAATGTCGAACTCGAGTCTGGGCCGATTCGGACAGGGGTTGGACTTGTCATTGTCGGCCCGTTGGAAAAGCTGGTACTTGATGAGTTGAACGAGTTTGCGACTGCGAATCTTTCCAGCAAGAATGGAACGGGATTGAATGAAACAGATGGAGGCAAAAAGATGAAATTTAGATGAGCTGGCAGGAGAGCTTTACGCATATATACGCATCCTACGTAGCATAAGTGGGATTGGCGTGTGACAGATACGTCCTCTACGATAGTATCCCTGAGGTGACTCGCACCTGGAAGACAATACACGGCATTCGTCAGCACATAGCTACATGGCCAGAGTGCAGTCATGCCGGTTATCTTAGAAGGATATCGACGAAAGCTCTGATTGTGAATATGGACCCACCTGACAAATGACTTGATGGTAGAATTACCCCTTTCGGCAATTTTGCTCTCGGAATACTCAAAGCGGAAGTTTGATTGTATGCGCATGCTCGTAGACTCGGTTTCGAAACCACGGATCATGTAATCGCGTGCATGGAAAATCTGTTGTCGCCGCGGGTATGGCTTATATATGACGGGCACAGGCCTGCACGTGGGCAACTGAACATACCTGCTACAACCACGTTCGACATCCAAACCTCTTTCGACGAAGAGCACGAAGGAGCAATGGATTTCGTGAAGCGTACTTTCAATGCGCCGAACTCTACATCTCGCAGAGGACAGAATGAGCAGCTTTTCTTCGATGAAGATGGTCATCTGCAGTTCGGACCAGACGACCCTGAAAACCCGATGAATTACGCATTCGGACGCAAATGCTACATCACCGCCGTTGCCATATCCTTGGTGATGAACGCTACTTTCTCTTCTTCTGCGCCCACCGGCTCCCTCCAAGGCGTCAGTGATGATCTCCATGTCTCTGTGGAGGCCGCCGGCCTCGTCACCACGCTCTTCCTCCTGGGATACTGCGCCGGTCCACTCTTTTGGGCGCCATTGTCTGAATTCTACGGCCGCCGCTGGATCTTTTACATCTCCTTCACCTTCTATCTCGCCTTTGGATTTCTCTGCGCGTTTACACCCAATTTCGCCGGGCTCTTGATCGGTCGCTTCTTGACTGGCACCGCCGCCAGTGCTGCCTTGACAAATGCACCTGGCGTTATTGCAGATATCTGGGGGCCTGAAAAGCGTGGAAACGTCATGATTTTATTTGCAACGGCGACGTTTGTTGGACCTGCTTTGGGACCGGTCGTCAGTGGGTTCCTTCAACTAAAGGAGACATGGCGTTGGACCTTTTACGTTCTCCTCTGGATGGCGGGGGCCACCGAGATCATGCTTGTCAGTCTCCCCGAGACCCTCCCGATGATGGTCTTGCGTGACAAGGCTCGACGCATACGCAAAGCACCCGGCAAAGAGGGCGTCCTAGCACCGGTTGAAGTTTCCGATCGTACACTGGGAGGGATTTTCAAAGTCGCGTTGACCAGGCCTTGGAGACTGCTTTTCGATCCAATCAGTTTCTTCGTCGCCATCTACTATGCCATAGTATATACGCTTCTGTACATGCTGTTCAGCATTTACCCCATTGTTTTCCAGCAGAAGCGAGGCTGGAACACTGGCGTTGGTGAATTGCCATTGATCGGGACCGTCATCGGAGCGTGTATTGGCGGCCTCGCACTGTTCGTCTATGGCCAGGTACAGGCCAGGAAACCCCGAGCCCGCAAGCCAGTTCCAGAGGACCGCCTTCCCGGGGCGATGGTCGGTGGGGTCATGTTCGCAGTGACTATATTCTGGTTCGCTTGGACAGCAGAGTACAATTCAGTTCATTGGGCTGTCCCGACGGTGGCGGGCACATTCCTCGCAACGTCCATCGTGCTCATCTTCATCGTTTTCATCAACTATATCATGGACTCGTATCTGATGTACGCCGCATCTGCAGTCGCAGCGAATACAGTCCTGCGCTCGGCCTGTGCTGCAGCCTCGCCGCTCTTCACACAGTACATGTTCGATGCACTCGGCGTGGGCGGTGCTGGGTCACTCATCGGGGGTATGGCTGTGCTGCTAATGCCTATCCCCTTCGTCTTTTATAGGTATGGGGCCGTGATTCGGGCACGATCCAAGTTTGCATCGGGAGAGGAGACACCACGCCCGCCTACCGACGAGGAGAAGGCTGCGAATGACGAGTCTCCTAGAATGAGCAGGGACCGGCGGACAGAGCTCGCTGTGGGTACGAGCGACTGAACCGATCGATGGACTGACAGACTTCATGAGACGATATCATTGATTCTCTATTATCTCTAGAAACTATGAAGGAGGCCAATAAAATGAAACCGAGCAAGTGCCATGAGGCATTGGCTTGACAAAGAATGCAAAGGCTCATCTAACATGTGATTTGGCTCGCGAGTTGGCTGAGATACCAATACCGATCTCGTCGCGGTGCACTATGCAACGTGTAGAAAATTCCTAATAATTCTTATAGCTCAGAAGTACCATAAAGGCAATCGTTTTCATTTATAAGCTGAAGAGGTCCCCGACTCGGCTGCCCTGTGCTACAATAGTGGTAAGGATTCGCGGACCCACCGGTCTAGATAAGCCTACGATAAGTGGGACAAATGTCGCATTTATCAGCGACCGCAACAACGTCAATACCTAAAGGGTTGGCAATTTATCCTCCCATCATCCTCAGTCCATCGCGTGCAGGCTAATCCATGGCTTCACTTCCAAATTATTCTAGACACGGCGAGGGATTCGCTACGAATCTTCCATACAACAGCCTCCATGTTTCACCGATTCTCCGTCACGCCCGGGAAGACACGTCGCCAGACCAAAGCTGCAATTCAGAAGAATCAGGAGAAGAATCCTGCTAGTCCTGCTCACAAAGTCCTCTCTTTGGCCAAACGCAAGAAGTCCATCAGAGCGTGTGAGCGCTGCCGGCTGCACCGGATCAAGTGTAGCGAGCAGAAGCCTTGCGGGCGGTGCGTGAGTAGCAAGGCCAGGTGCATTGTTTCTTACGGGGCCTGCAGCTCGCCTCAGACGAACAACGGTAGTGACCGGCGTTCGGGCTCCGACCGTTGTGAAAATGCCAGTCCCAGCGGCTCTGCCGCCGACAACAGGCCGCCATACGGGGTCCCAGACGAGATTTTTGATCTTGCTCACATCCGTGGCTTTTTTGCTGGCGAAGATTCGGCGTTTTCACGTCGCTCAGCCTCCTCCGCACGCTGCGTCTTCCCTCACATCCCACATGCCGCCGTTCCTTCGCCGGGGCGGCCTCCTGTGCTGAATGCGTTGCCGAAGACACAACGGAGTTACTATCTCAGGCTTTTCCGGGACACCTGTCACCCTCTTCTACAATTAATAAGCGAGACTGACTTTGTAGACCTCGATGCCCTTCCGTCACACGGCAGCATCTCTGATGGATATTCGACGAGGAACGCCTTGGTGGATATCATACTCGCACTTGGAATACAGCAAAGCCACACCACCGGCCTTGCCGGACGCATATTAGGACTCCGGCAGCCGCCTTCTCCACAGTCGCAGGACGCAGTGCCCTCGCCCGACGCTACCTGGCCTGGTTTGGAATATTTCAACCGTTGTCGTGAGTGCATGAATATGAACACGAATGTGACCTTGGAAACCCTACGATGCCATGCGCTGATGGCCACATACCTCATGAAAGGCAATGCTTTCCAGGATGCTTATATTTTGCTTGGTGTAGCCATCCGCAAGGCCTACGTTGCGAAGATCCACCGACTGCCCCCCAGTCATCTCCCCGAGTTTGAAAAAACCGCTCGCATGCAACTGTGGTGGACGATCCTTTCTCTAGATCTCCAGTGCTCACTACAGCTTGACGTGCCCGGCGCCAGCGCGAAGGCCGTCGCAAGATGTCCAACACCCACAGAGCATGATCTTGTGAGCTATTTCTCTCCCTCCAGCCATCATGAAGGGCCTGTGAGTCCTTACATGTACACAATGTGGCTCTTCAGACTCGTGGCCGTTGTGTCCGACATTACAGCGTGCTTCTCGTCCGCGGACTTGGACGAAGACGACAGCAATAACCCGAACACTCTTGAACGTCACACCTTCAAACTCTCGTCCTCACTTCGAGACCTCGATGCTTGGCACAGTCAGCTGCCTTCATTTCTGCGACTGGGCCAGGTTAGAAACGCCTCCGACGATGCCGAGGGGCTCGACTTTGATGGTAGCCTAACCCACCCTGTTTGGCTTCAGAGACAAAGGGTGCTCTTGGAGCTGCACTATCGAGACGCTCATGTCTTGATTCAACGTTCTTTCATCCGTCTTCGCTACCAACCCTCGTCCGTCAACCCCAGCGGTATAATGAGTGCGCCAGGTTTGGACTTTTGGCAATCGCAGACGGACACCCACGCCAACGGTGCTCTGCACCATGCAAACACGGTCGTCGACATCGTCTTCACCGTGTGTTCCACCTCTGAGATCTTCTATGGATGGTCAGAGATCCTGCAGCCTCTCTGGAACGCAACCCTAACGATCGTGGCCCATGTCTACGCAAACCCACTCAACTCGGAGGTGCCACACGCGCTGAATTCCCTCAAGCGTGCTCACGCTGTTATCGAGTCTTTTCCCTCGACTTTGCCGAGCATCAGATCTATAAAGTCGGTCGTCCACACACTCGCCACCAGCATACAGAGCGTGGCGGCTCAGGGCCGCAGCCCCGCGCGCGGTCCCTGACGACGACGGACGCGACGGGCTGGAGTCTTTGCAATCCTTGGCTCGAGGGTCAGACACTTCAACAAAGCGATTGCTTCTTTGATCATGGCTCAGAGGAAAGAGGGATTGATGAATTCGAATGACAGATCAGCCGAGTGGTCTCAGTGATCAGCTGTGGTCAGTGGTGATGAGGCTGAGCGCCACTGAGCACAACGAACTATATCTACCCGGTCATTTCATATCTTCACTACCTAGTCAACTTCGTTCACGATCATATACCCATATTTTTTGGTTGTGATCATTTCGCTCTGAGTACATTGACTCGCTCTGCACCAAGGCTCTCATCGACCTCGCGCCTCTTATACTTCCCACCTGCCAAAAAAACCCATCCAGTACGTGTACTCGTCGTTGCTCAGGCGTTTGATCCCAAATCACGCCAACTCCGCAATCGGTTTAATCTGTTGATAACGCGGGTACGAGAGGAGAGGAACGTGTATCAAGGAGACGTGAAGTCTCACAATTCATTTCCCACCCTTGACCTGACCCTGGTCTATTTCGGTTACGAAGTAGTACTCCTTGACAAGGATTTTCGACTTGTTTTTTCGGTGCCCGAATCAAAAACTCAATACGAAAGCAGTAAATACCTATGATAGAGCTTTACGCGCTGTTTGTGTATCACGCCCGAAATGTCTTCTTCAACCTTTATCATCCCCCCCGGATCCTTTCGGTGCCGTCGCCAGCAACCTCGCCACGACATCCGATACCATGAGGGTGACCACCGGAGGGCTAGGCGGTGCTGGACCTCTTGCAGAGAGGAGCGTCAATATCGCGCCACAAGTAAGTAATATCACGCACCTTTACATGTGATGGTCGATGTACTGATTTTCGGTTGTCTTGTCCAGGTCTCGACGGGGATGAAACCCACGGCGGGTAAAAAACGCAAGAGTGACGGAGCACCAACCATCGACCCAGATGATATCGAATTACCTGAGGACATGGAGATTGTAAGTCTTGACTCTTACTATTGCCTCACTGCGTCATTGCCTGTATCCCGAAAGTCGCGTGATCCCCACAAGCAAGGTGGTGGTGGCCATGTTATGAAACTCAACGGGAGGGACAAGGGTTCCGGCGGCGACACGTACTTTGCCGCCGCCGGGTTTTTCAAACGTCGTCAACTGGCCGGAGTGAAGACTTGTCGACAAAATAAATCCAAACCCAACACCTCGACTTCCAATTCATCCACGAACACCGCCGGCGCCGCCGCCGCCGGCGCCAGAACCTCGTCCTCCTCCACCGGTAAATCCAAAAGGGCAGAAATCGCAGAGGTCGAAGCCGCCAATGACGTTTCCCAGATCAGACTCACGGGCGAGGACGACGACACCGTCCCCGTCATGGACACGTGCGACGACGTCCGGGCCAAGATCAACAAGTACCTCCGGGAGACGCCCCACGCCACGGGAGCCAGCGTCATCGGCACGATCAACCGTGCCCTCCCCGAGGGGAGCCGCAACCAGGCATTCGGCCCAGACCCCTTTCCAGGTTCCTCGGCGCCAGCGGACCCCGCAAGGGGGCCGAGAGCATGGTCTTTTACACGCCGCCTACGTGTTTTTCGAGAAGCTCCGACTGAAGCAGAACAGACCGAAATCCCAGAAAGCGTCTGGACGTGGAAAAGGCCTGGGGACCCCGGGGGCATCGACCTGGAAGATTCCTCCAGGACCCGCGTCTGGGTTGGACCGGGCATCCCGGACGTCTACGAGGACAAGTTCGGCAAGCTCCAAATTATGTGAGTAAAGCGATGAGTCCGTGGTGTATGGGTGTACCAAGATACAAGTGCCGGCATGGCGGAGCAAAGCTTCAAACCTGCGCGAGTATCAGGGCCAGGCGATGAAGAGTGGGGGGTTGAGGGAAAAAGGACAGGCTTCGCTCTCAAGTTGAAGAGCTCTGCATATCCTTTTTCACTTGTACTTTTACCTCTATTTTTACTTTTTACTTTCGTGTTGACGTTGATAATGGGCTGTACTCGCTTTCCTATTGATCCTACTCCCTTGCTATGAGGATAAAGAGAGGTGTGTGCTCGTACTCCGTAGAAGCGATTGACTATACGCCGTCCATAACCAAGAAGGCCGGCTAGGTCACAGGTATCGGATACATTCTGTGCTTGTCTTTGCATATTTGAACGAAGATCTTTCTTTATTGTTTGTTACATGCCTGGGAATGCAAAGATTGGTAGACAAGAAAACATCTGTCTATCTAGCATCTTTCTTTACTTTCAAACAGCCATCACGTCGTCCCAGCACCCGACTGGGTACCTTTGGTGAGACCCAATTCCTCATAAAACGCGTCGGTCTTGGGCTCTCTGCCCAAGAACTCAATCAGCGTCTTCATCTCGTCCTGGCTGCCTCCCTTTTCGAGCACCGTGTGTCGGTACCGGCGACCCTCCTTGGGATCCATCGGGTTCTTTCTAAAGACACTATAAAACATGTCTGTAGAGTAGACTTGAGAGCTGAGGTAACCATAGTAACCTGTACATACTCACGTCAGTGACCCATGAATGCCAACCAAAAAAAACACAACCCAAAAGAAAAACTTACCTGCATCGTAACCACCCATCAAATGTCCAAAAGTGGCTTGTCCGTTGCCCCATTTGTTGCCCCCGCCGAGAACTTCAGGTCCATCAATCTTGCTGATGTCCTTGCGCAAGGCGTTGTAGGTTTCGGAAATGTCCATGGCTTCTAGACTGGCGTGGTCGTGAGGCTCGTGGATGGTCATGTCGAAGATACCAAAATGAAGTTGTCGAAGGTTGAATAGTGCTCCGTTGAGGTTCTTGGTCTTGATCAACTTTTGGATCAGGTCGTCAGGAATTCGCTCCTCGGGCTTTGTGGTTTTTGAACCCGAAGCCTCCTTCCAAGATTCGTAATATTCTGGCGACAACGTGGAATAGTGTCTACTCAAGGCCCGCAGCTGTGATGGAGTCCAGCACCAGTTCTCGAGCATCTGACTTGGTGCTTCGACAAAGTCTCTAACGGTGTTGGTTCCATGGAAACGCGAATAAGTGGTCCGAGAAACGAGATCGTGAATACCGTGACCGAGCTCGTGGAATAACGTGGTGACTTCATCGTGCTTGAGCAGACTAGGTTTCTTTGCCGTAGGCTTGGAAAAGTTGCAAACCAGTGCTGTTGCAGGATATCTTCTCGTACCGTTCGTGTGGATAAACCCTGGTTGCAAATTGAAGTTTGCTGCGTGTCCGTACTTGCCATTGCGTGGGAAGAGATCTAGGTAAAGGTATCCGACAAATCCACCACCTTCACCTTCATCATCCCACACACTAAATACCTGGACTTCTTCATGCCACACAATATCATCGCCTTTGCCGGAGGGAGAGATACTGTCCCGGTCTTTTCCAACAACCTCGACAAAGACAAGACCGAAAAGTTGTTCAAAAATCTCGAGCATACCTCGGATTGTGGTCTGCAATGGGAAGTATTCCGAGATCAACTGTTGATCGAGCTGATAATCTTTCTCTTCCATCATTCGGTCGTAGAACCTATGATCCCAGAGATAGTAGCGACCATCAAATTTCTCGCCTCGAGATTCAAGATCGGCTTTCTTCATCTTCTTCAGCGTCTCGATTTCGTCGAGTCCTCCCTGGCTCAGCCTCTGGCGTAGATCATGGAGAAAATCGTCAACGGTTTTGGGAGTCTTCGCCATCTTGTCCTCAATCCTGAAAGCAGCGTGGTTTGGATATCCCAGTAGTCGAGCAGCTTCGTCTCTAAGCAAGATTGCCTCCTGGAAGAGTGGAACGTTCTGGTTGCATTTGTTCTCATTCGACACGAAGACTTTTTGTCGGGTCTCACTGTTCGTGGCGTATTTGAGGGTCGGAAAGAGGTCTGGGTACTTGAACGTCAACCAGTACTTGTCTCCCTCCTTTTTCAAGAGAGACAGAACATCTTCGGGGACACCGTCCAGCTCTTGAGCAGTGAACCACATCCCGCCCTTCTCTTCGTTCAGATTCTTGGAGAAAGCAATTCCGAGCTGACTAAGTCTCTTCTTGATCTCCTTGAATCGATCACGTTTCGGGCCAGCTGGGATATTCAACCCGTTGCGAACGAATGCCTTGTGTTCCTTTTCGAGGAGTCTCTGCGATTCAGGGTCCAACTTGTCCGCCTTCTTGAGCGCAGCGTCCACAAGCTTGAAGACGTCCTCCCGCATGGCAGCCTCGATGCTGTAGTCATCCATGAGCTTTTCAGCTTCGGTCGAGGCATCGCGCAGTGCCTGGTCGGTGGAGACAGATTGGTAGAAGCCAAGTATGTGCGCTTTCAAGGTCTGCAGGTTCTCGTCATGTGCCATTGGCAGCAGTACATTCTGGAAGGTGGCGTCCTTCTCTGCAATCTGAGCAACAATGTCATCTGTGACCTTCTTGGACTCCGCAAGCATCTCCTTTGTATCCTTCACCACCGACTCGGGCGTGGCCGTGAAACTTGGAGGTGCCTGCGGCGGCTTACGAAACTTGGCCGAAGTCATGGCGGATGTCGTGACAGGTCTAAATGGACTGGAAGATGTCGTCGCCGGTCTGAACGGCCTTATTTGGTTCAAGATGGAACCGAGGCGGGCAGGAGTGCGGAAGGGAGCCAGGATGACGAGACAGATGACGGAGAAGAGAGCGGCGGAGGTGATGAGGATGAGGAGAGGCTTTGGTCGAGCCAGGATGACAGATTGAACGGATCGCTTTCAATTCATAGAATAGAGAAGTATACCTCGGATACGTGCCAGCTTAGATGGGGTGTTCTAATTTGCAGTCTCGAAATAGCCACGACACGAAACTTGTACAGTGGTTGCTCTGTCTCCCTACAAGGGACCGTCTGGACCGTCTGGAGAAGACATTACGGTGGACCATGGAATACGGTGCAGCATAGCTCGAATTCAACCTGCTCAATACATCTCTTTAGACATTGGCAAGATGTTCCATAGAGTCTACGAATGCCATAAGGTAGAATAGAGTGCCGCTGTGGTCAGGTTCACAGTGTGAACTACTCGTCTCTTAGGACATGAAGTCGAGGCTGGCAAATGAACATGGCTTCTTCTCAGCCTTGTGATGCTGTATCAGGTATGGGAATACGCTCACACCAATCACATTTCAGACTTGCGGTGGTTCAAGCCACAGGGTCCAGCTGAGAATGATGAACATCTGCACTTAACATCGCAAAGGGCGTGAACCCAAGGGCGTGATTTTGATCAATGAGAAATACCATGAGGCTTGCAAGTATATCAAGCAGGCACTTCCCAAAAACCATGGATCAACAACAATTCACCATCGACACACAATCCAAATCCAAATCATCATGGAAGACTTTCAGCTCAGTGACACGATAACGCTCAAGACAAACGACCACATTTACACAATTCGGTACCGAATTCTCGGAAAGCCAGGAGGTCATCCTCTTATCTTCGTTCACGGCACCCCATGGTCGTCAAAAGTGTGGGCTCCTTATGCACAGGCTTTTGCCTCGACTTTTCGAGTCTACCTCTTCGACAATCCCGGATATGGAGAATCTCCTGGCGGCAAGCCGACTTCAGACCCTGAAGGTGAACCGATTGTTTCCCTGGCAGGCCAAGCAGAGGCTTTTGCCGCCCTAGTCAACGCATGGGATCTGACCGAGCCGCCACATGTCGTAGTGCATGACTTTGGTGGTATCATATCTCTGAGGGCACATCTTTGCCATGGTATCCAGTACGCGAGCTTGTGTATGGTCGACCCGCTGGCAGTTAGCCCCTTTGGCTCCCCTCTTTTCCGTCTGGTAGCAACGAACGCGGCGGTCTTCAACAACCTGCCAAGTCACTTATCGGAAGACTTGGTCCGTTCATACATTCGGGAAGCAGCCTTCATACCATTGAGCCAGTCGATCGAAGATATGCTCGTTAAGCCGTGGACAGTCGATGGTCTTCAAGGGATGGCGGGATACACCCGGCAGGTGAGGCAGGCAGATCAGCGGGACATTGAAGAGGTAGAACAAAGATATCACGAAGTAGGTAAGGCAATGCCTGTCAAGATCATCTGGGGAAAAAACGACGTTTGGATCCCTATGAGCGCGGCCAAGCAACTTGCACAAATGATTGGAACCGAGGAGGTGGCTATTGTTGAGAACGCTGGGCATCTGATCCATTACGATCAGCCTGTACGGCTGGCCGTGGAACTCAGTATGTGGCTTGAGAAGGTCCAAAAGAACGGGTGATATGTGAGCAATGTGGCCTTTGAAAACCAAATCCATGTATCTTAAGCGCCGTAAAATGCAGGGTATACGGTAGCCAATGTCATGATTCAGATTGAACCGTTTGACTATGATGCCTTAGCTTAGCGATTGATATGGGAGCTGGAGCAACTTACGAGAGCCAATCCATGCCTTCGTTGATGCCCTTGCCATCGATCACGGAACAGGCCACAATGCTCCAATTCCTGTCTCTTAATTCGCCCAACTTCAAAGCTTCAGAAATCTCTCCGGCACCTTGCGCCCCAGGCTACAAGGTTTTAGTCTCACGTACTCAAGGGCATATGACATTGCGTACCTGATCTTGCTTATTTGCAAACACCAGCAAAGCAGCGTCTTTGAGCTCATCTTCATTCAACATGGAGCGCAGCTCATCGGCAGCTATCTCTAACCGCTCGATATCTGTGGAATCGATGACGAAAATCACAGCAGCGGTATTGGCGTAATATGATCTCCAGTAAGGTCTTATGGATGTCTGACCACCGAGGTCCCAGACATCGAAGTTGAGATTGCCATACTGCACCGACCTTGGTGACATTAGACGACTTTCAAGGGGCCGGCAAGGATGCACCTACTCAACATTGAACCCAATAGTTGGGATTGTTGTTACCACTTCCCCTATCTGTAATCGTTAGTAGGAATCCAAATATGTTGTTGCTGAGACTCACCTTGAGCCGGTAGAGAAGTGTCGTCTTGCCTGCATTATCCTATCGTAACCATCAGCGATTGTGGCGGTTTTCCAAGACCATCAAGACCGTACGAGACCAAGAATCAATATTCGAATGTCCTTCTTGCCCCAAATAAGGTTGGAAAGGTATTTCGATACTGAGCCTCCCATTTCTATTTGCCTCAGTTGATCGTATGGGAAGTTCGCGGAATAAGGGCGGTCACAAAACCATGCCGCTACCTTGGCCGGTCTGATCCGTAAGAGAGAGCGAGAAGTTGCGTTGTTTTTTTATTCGATGTTTTCTGAAGCTGCCTAGTAGGAGTAGTCGGAAAAGATTAGTATCGTACTGCTGATGAAGTGTTGATAATGGTGACTATTCTGACCAGATCGTTAAGAAATCGAAGGTGTGAAGAGAGTCTTCGAAATTGTATGTCAAGCCACTCAGCACCGCCACAACTCTGTTCCGTAAACGCGCCACAGCTACAACAAGAAGCGAGGGATGCGGAGGATTGACAGTCACTTTGTCAGTGTCTTAAAGATCCTTGTATTTACCTGCATTTCCGCAGTCTGCGCATCACTGACCTTGTTCCCGGTCTATCTTCTTTACTACCCAAGCAATGAGTGCATACTCGACATAACAATTCATATCACTCACCCTGACGCGTCGTTCACAGACGAACAATAACCCGTTAATCCGCTCACTGCACAGGAGTCAAAAAGATGGTGGGCAAAAAGAGTGGAAAGGCCCTTCTGCGCGAGGAGGGCCTCGAAAGAACAGACAATAACATGGAGTTAACTTCTTGGCCTCAAATCATCGCTATCAATCAAAAGAATTATTACACAGGTGTGTGCGCATTCGCTAGAACTTGAACGATCATGGACCAAACTAACCAGTGTGTGACAGAGTACCTCAAACGAGACGAACAGATTTTGGCCGTCCGATCTCAACAAGAGGAAGCCCGAAACAAGCTGATAAAGCAACATAAAGACAGGGACAGGGCATTGGCGCAAGGAAAGGCTGTCGGACCTGACGGCGACATCGACATGGAGGAGGGCGAGGACGAGGAGGAAGCTGAAGACGAACTTTCCAGTGGCGCAAAGACTATTGTCATTCATCTTGGTTCGCAGAACCTTAGAGTTGGCCTTGCGAATGACGCTCTTCCCAAGACCGTACCCATGGTCATTGCGCGACGTGCTCCCACTGCTGAAAGCGAAGACAACGATGGCGAACCTGCACCAAAGCGAGCCAAATTGGACAATGGTCGGTATCCTCCTGAGCCAGAGAAGCGTTTCGGGGAAGACTTCCAGAAAAAGTTCTCGGGAATGTCGAATGACCTGAAAGTCAGGATGAGAATGAACAAGAGAAAAGTACTTCCCCAGTCCAGAGACATGGTCACAAGCTATAATCGAAGGAATACATATGAGACCATAACAGAACACAACGACACCATGCGCATAGAATGGACTGACACAGAAGGCGATGAGAAAGGCCCACCGGATTGTATCACTGGGAAGGCTGCCTTACGAATCCCAGACGAATCCACCCCCCGGTATCGACTCTACTGGCCGATTCGGCTCGGCTGGCTCAATGAGGCAGAGTATCCTTCGAAACGCTTTCTATACGAAGACATCCGGCTGATCATCGAGGATGCGATCAAGTCCCAACTGGAGCTCAAGATTCGCACTCGGAGCGATTGGGGTCAGTATAGTTGTGTCATTGTCATTCCCGACTACTATGAGCGAATGTACGTGACGAGTCTTCTTGACATGGCCATAACAGAGTTCGGATTCGGCCGAGTGTGCTTCATTCAAGAGAGCTTGGCTGCTTCCTTCGGTGCTGGTTTCACTACTTGTTGCATAGTCGACATTGGTGCGCAAAAAACGACAGTTTCATGTGTTGAAGATGGCATGGTGATCGAAAATTCGAGAGTCAACCTGAAGTACGGAGGCAAAGACATCACCGAAGCATTCGTCAAGATGGTCATCTACAATCACTTTCCGTATGCGGAGATCAACCTCAACCGGCGTTATGATTTCCAGCTTGCAGAAGAACTGAAGCAAAAATTCTGCACCATGAATGAGGCCGACATCTCTGTTCAACTATACGACTTTCATCTTAGGGCTCCTGGACAGGACACTAGGAAGTACACATTCAAGATATACGATGAAGTCATCTTGGCACCGATGGGGCTATTCAAACCACACATTTTCAACGACGCAGGGAAACTCGAAGGCCGCCGGAAATTGATCGACAAGTCTTACGACATATACGACGGCAAGCCCAATGACCCAAGTTCGAGTGCGCAGGCAGAAATCCTCACCTCAATCGCCCCAGAAGAAGTTTTGACCACGACTAAGCCTAACGTCAAAACAAATGGCGTCACCAATGGCATCACGAACGGCACGACCAACGGCACGAAGGAAGAAGCCGCCCACAACGTATCTCGTCGTCCATCGTTCAGCAACATCAAGGAAATGGATGCTACGCCTCAGCCATCTGCAGCGAGCTCTCCTGCCCGACAGATAGATGGCACGCCTCAGCCAGAAGACGCCGAGGGTGCCGCCCCTCGAGAAGAGAAGCCCAAGGTTGAAGAAGAGGTAGTAGAAGAGCCCTTGAGTATCGAGCGACGCGACGATATCCTACCAATCTACCCTCTACCCAACGCCATTGTCACGTCCATCACTCATGCAGCTAAGAACTCGCCTCAGAAGACCAGCGATCTGCTCAGCAGCATCATGCTCACAGGAGGCACCAGCATCATCCCGGGTTTGGCAGGGCATCTAGAGGATACTCTCAAAGGCATATTGCCCGGCTACAGCAAGGACATCCTCATCTCACGGCCTCCAAGGGAGTTGGATCCACAGGTGGTGGCGTGGAAGGGTGGTGCAGTCTTTGGGCGGATGAGCAGGACCAATGACAGCTGGGTTACCCCTTTTCTGTACGAGAGATTAGGCGATCGGGTTCTTGCCCACAAGCTGATGTGGGCATGGTGACCGAAACAAACTACTTTCCCTGCTTGTTGATACCGGAGGCTTTACTATTCAGCATAGAACTGTGCTCTTTGGCTCAGACCATTTAGACTACCAAAAAGCTGTGCAACACATAGTCTTCCGGTGCTTATATCTTGTTGTATGACATATCGGGGGCCGGAAGCTGTCCTCATTATTGGTGCCATACTCCCTTCTTGACGTGGACTTGATTCGTCCAGTAGACTTTAATGTTACCAGAATGATTAAATAGGGTGAGGATTGCAATTATCGGTCTGAATAGGAGCGATTGCTCCTGCGCGATAAAACAACAAGAGTAGATCTCATATATATCAAGCATCAATCTGAAACAGTCGAACTCAAGAAATTTTTTCTTAAAGAAAGACCACGCTTCCTCCCTCACCTGATTGAATCTCAAAGACGTGGTTGGGGAAATTTCGCCTTGAGCCAAGCCAGCAACGCCTCCCCAAACTCCTTGGGTCGATCCAGATGGGCCCAATGTCCCGAGTCGACGACGACTTTTGTACAGTCCGGCGTCCACCCGGCTTTGTGGCTGAAGTCGCACACCTCGGTGCGGCAGATGTAATCCTTGGTACCGCCCCAGAAGAAATGTGGCACCTTGACGACGTAGTTCTCGCGCGGGATGGCCTTCATCGCCTCGTCTTGGGAGCCAAAGGTGGCGGCTCGGTAGTAGTTGAGCGGCGCGTCCAATCCCCCATCCGCGAACCTTTCGAACCAGGCGCGACGACGCGCTTCAGTGGCATAGGACATGACGGGGACCTTTTTGTCCTGCTCGACAAAGTCACGCGTCCCGCCTTCCTTGCACACCGTTTCCAGCCAGAGCTCTGGTTTGGCGGCGTGGAACAAAGTCCACACGGAGTCGAGGTGGGAATTTAAGACGGCCGCTCCGTCGGGAGCGGTGAACAACTCCCAGTACCAGTTCGTGCCATACCCAAAGCTCTTGGTTGTTATTTGGATGAGTGCGTCGAGACTGAAAGGTTTGGCGGACGGCACGTTGTATGCCACGTTGAGCAATACCAGACCCTCGACGCGCTCGGCGTGGAAGTTGTAGAGACGTTGAGCGAGGGGGGAACCCTATATCAAACACAGATCATCAAAACTTCAGCATCAGTAAGCTACTACAGTACCTATAAAAGTAAAAACAAGGGAGATGGGAGCTGTTTCAGAGGAAAAGACATTTAGCTGAATTGATTGACTAACCCAATCGTGTCCCGTGCTGATGACTTTCTCGACACCTTCTTGGTCGATGATCTCCTTCATGTCTTGCGACAGTAGCTGGTAGTTGTACGCTTCTCGGTCTGACGGCTTCGAGGTTCCGCCATAACCTAGACAGTCGATTGCGATAACCCCGTAGCCGTGAGGAAGAAGGTAATCGCGGACGACGTCGGAGAACTCTTCAGGTGAGTCCGGGAAGCCATGGATCATGAACAAGGTGGGAAGATTGCGTTTCGCGACATTGACATAATATGTGTATGTGAAGCCTCGGGAGACGTCGAATTTCCTTTTCTCGAGGAGGTCCATATTGAGCGGTCCTCCTATATAGCAGGTAACACTTGTTTACTCAGGTGGGTTTACCATGTTCCGAGAGGTCGACTAGTTGGCAGAGCATGGGAGGGTGTATAAGTGCCTGACGAACATCAAATGTTCTCGTCTTGCTGAGCCATTAGTTTGTTGCGGCTTTGAACCAGATCCGGCTGGAACCCGAGGATACCTTCTGCATATGAAGCGGGACTTGGTACTACCGCCGACGTCTAACTCAGCTCTAAGGAAGGATTAGGTGATCTCGAAACCAATCAGCGAGACGCAGCGACATCTCTGCCGATGTCGAGGCAGCTAATAATTCAATTCCTCCCAGATCTCACCCTTAGACCTCGGCACTCGTGTATACAACATTGAAGCAAGACATGAAGCCATGCGAGTATTCGCAGTGTCATGGATATGGTTTTACTGGGACCCGGCTTTTCAGGCGGGGTCGGAAAATACGAGGTTGTGAGAAGACTTCCGAAAAGGCTGCTTTTCAGTATTAGGGCTGGGGATGTCAAACTTCGTGTCACCCTATGATTTGGTCGGGGGCTTCACAGCCAAAACTGTTAGTTGCATGATGCGCCCAAGGTGAAAGGCGAAGAGTGACGAATTTCTCTTTCTAGGCTCCCGCCATAGTGCTTGGAGGAGCAGCTGGCCCCTTGCTACGTCCGGGGCCTTCTAATAGGCGATCCTCGAACGTGTACAAGGCCAAGGTAAGCCAACGACTGCTCTGAAGTACCGTACCTGTCTGGGGAAAAATCAAAGATCCCTGTACGTCCAATAAGTATGAACCCGACAAAAGATTCCCTTGCACGTCTCAAAAGCCTGCATCCCAGTGTTCGCTCGGGTTATATCCATCTCTATCCTGTTCGGAAAGAGTATTCAAGGAAGTGCAGTTCTTCATCAATGCTTTTCTTCTAACATTGCATCAACACTTGTAAACAGAAAACCACACACTAATACCCATGTCTCTCCTCTATGGTCTCAATGGCGGAGAAAGAGTCACTTTGGCTGCGTTGTGGAGGTACGTGCACGAAAACGAAGAAGGAGAATTCGAGATTGTTCCCTTTTGGAGCCATTACTTGCAGAAATTCGCGTTCCCTGAAAGGAATTGGATCGAGATTTTGGGGATCAGACCTGAACAACCACAAAGCAACAGCAGCGAAAGGCGTTTCGACCGCGGTATCCTCTATTTCGCCCAAGGAGAACAAGAGATAATCCTTCTTTGCTGGATATATGGGGAAGGAACACCCACTACTTCCAAAGATGCACTGCGAGAAGTTGAAGAGAAGGCTCGTTGGGCTTGCAAGAGACATCTCGACAGCCACCCGTGGCAGGAGAGCATCTACGCATTCACAACCATACTCACCATGGGTAAAGCGTGAATCTACACCAGGCATGAAGGCGTCTTGACTCCAATGCACGACCTCGATGATTACATTGAAGCAAACTCCAACGACGGGTACAAGCTCGGCATGTGTTTCGAAAGGATGAAAGCTTTTCTACCTACAACTCCTGCTGAATCTCTCCCACATCCACCCGATTTGGTCGCTGCGTAAAATCCTGCACCTGTTTTGTTTGACCTACAGTCGGACGACGGAAGCTGGTTCTACGTTGTTGATCTGTGAAACGAGATCTGCGAAAGTGACCCTGTGAACCTACTGTAGAACCATCACCAGTGAGAGGTCTCAAGCAAGTCTGTCATGTTTATCAGCACCGGGAACCTTCGATCATACAGACCAAGTTGATTCCATTCCAGCCCATTTCAGGATAATCGCAGAAGAGGCAGATCTTTTCCCCTTTTGGACAGTCACGAAGTACGGAAGAGGCCTTGAGAGCCTTTTTGCAAGATTCCGTTATCACCAGGTGCATGCCAAAGAATAGGATCATACAAAGCAAAAATGTCGTTCAAATAAAGGGGAGAAGTACTCGAGGATTTGCGGATACGAGTGCGAGGCCGCTGATCACGTGGCTCTCATACTCTCCACGTGCGTCATTGGCCCATGTTTTTTTCTTATGGGGAATACTCGGTGCTCCGTACGAGTAACATGTACATAGTCCTCCTAGGGCGCATACAGTCAACGCGATGGTACCAGCTAGAAGGCTCGATAGGCGATAGTGACTATACCCAGCTGTGCTGTTTCTGAGCTGGAGATATATGTCGCAAAGATGGGTTGTTCAGACAACCGATATGCGCTTCTCGAAAGTGGTGCAGGTTCGTTCATCTGCCCCATTGCGAGTATGGCCAGTTCAGAGCATTCACTGACGATTTTCATTTTGGATATACAGAAGGTGCAGAACGCACGTAGCCCAGTTGGGCACCCTTATCTATCCGCCCTAAGACCCTTTGCACGGCAACAGCTCAAACCCCTTCGAATCCTTGAACGGTCCGTCACGAATGTTCGCTGCTTGCATACAGAGGCACTTCAAACCACTGCCCCTCTCTCTGATGATGGTATCAATTGGCAGCAATCGGATCTGTCAGGGAAGGGTCGTAGTAGTGGAACACAAGAAACATGGACGGAAGAAGCAGAAAATATACTCGCTGGACAACGAGATGGTGCAGAGAACGCCCTGACAAAGACCGCTCTCGGACAAACGTATACCGTACAGGAGTCCAGGCTTTTCAACTTGAACTTGCCCCAAGTGAACATTCGCTCGTCCATCGAGACACTGAAACTAGCGCGAGGACTTGGTCTGCCGGAAGATGAACTTATTCTTGATCCTTACAGCAGGACTCCTCCGAAAAGAAAGTCCCAGTCTGGGCAGGCCGAGCCCAAAGAATTAGCACCTGGAATTAGAATGCGATTGGCTTACTTGGAGAAGACATCATTGCCTCATATGAAGGAGATAGCCGCAAAGAGAGCAAAGCTTCCCATAATTGCACATGATCCGGTCGAGGGCAAGAAGTCCCTCATAGACACCATCAATTCATCCGACGTAACAGTTGTTCTTGCGAAAACAGTAAGTTTGTCCACCCCATTGAAGCTGCACATACCTATCTATGCATACCCTCCGCTGCCATTTGTACGGATACATCGTCCTGATCATGTTAGGGCTCTGGAAAAACAACTCAAGTACCTCAACTTATTCTCGAAAATGGTATTCTTAAGAACAAAGGACCGGAGACACGCATTCTCTGTGCCGAGCCACGGCGGATCGCAGCAACTTCCACGGCCCGTCGCATTGCTTATGAGCGAGGTGAAACCCTTGGCCAGTCAGTTGGCTACCAGATTCGCAACGAGGTCCAACTTCCAAACTCACACGGGTCCATCACCCTGTGTACTACAGGTATTCTCCTGCATCGCTTGTTGACCCAGGGTTGGCCATTCCTACAGCAGTTTTCTCACATCATGCTTGACGAAGTCCATGAGCGTGATGCCCAGCTCGACCTAGTGTTGTCTCTTATACGAAGACATACCCAAACTCTCAAGGACTGCGGATTTGATTATCCCAAGATCATCCTGATGAGTGCCACGATAGATCCGAGCTCTTTCTTGAAATATTTTGACCGATCATCCGATCCAGGTGCTCTGACGGCCAGTTCTTTCGAAGTTGGGGGCAGTGGACATCCTGTCCGTACGCTTTATTTACCAGAAATATTGAATGAGCTCGCTTTGTGCAAAGACTTACATCCTACGATGCAAGCTCTGTTGCAGGGCAAGACCACCAAATCTAGTGCTGATTACATCAAGAACGAATTGATATATGGAGCCTTGCAACAGGAACCATATCAACAAGTCAACTGCGAAGGTTCAAACGTCAATCGGACTTGCTCTATGACATCTATCGATGCCAACACAAATACACCTATCTCTACGCCCAGCAGTCATTACATAGGCTTGGTAACAGCGGTGATCGCACATCTAGTATCTACGAAGCCTGAAGGAGATGTACTGGTCTTTTTACCTGGCAAGCTAGACATCGATACCATCTATGACCTTCTGAGGGACATGAAGCCAATGGGAATTGATTTCGAAGATGAGAGTAGATTCAGAATCTTCAAACTTCATTCAGCATTCCGAGACACCAATGACAATGTTTTTACGGAAGTTCCTAAAGGTTGTCGAAGGATAGTGCTGGCAACGAATATTGCCGAGACTTCAATCACGTTGCCCGAAGTGGTCTATGTTGTGGATACTGGAAAGATGAGGAATAGTATCTACGATCCACTAACTTTCAAGAGAAGTCTACCCTACGAATGGATTAGCAAGACCAATATGATCCAGCGCCGCGGACGGGCAGGGCGTGTTTCACCCGGAAGATACTATGCGCTATTCACAGAGGAGCGTTGTAGCACGTTCAGACCGATGGCTCGTCCCAAGATAACCGTATCCAATCTGGCTGACGTTGTTCTGCTTCTGGCCGCACATCCTGATCATGGTGATGCCGGCGACTCTAGCAGCCCCAGAGAATTTTTGCAAGGCATGATCGATCCACCGAGCGAAGATGCCATTGAATCAGCATACAGAGACTTACAGAGTCTAGGTGCGCTCGACCTTGATGGCAAGATCACTCGAGTTGGTGCATTTATCGCAGACATGAACGTCCATGCAGCTTCTGCAAAGGGAGTATTGCTTGGGGCTGTTTTCGGGTGCCTTGAACCTATGATCATTCTTGCTTGCCATGATTTCAATAACCCGCTAATTCACAACGCTGAACTTAGCATCAGTCAAGTACGAGAGTCAAAACGGCTCCTTGATCGGGATCTGGAGAGCGACCTTCCGATTCTCATTGATGCTTTTCGACAGTACCACGCAGCTGTTCAAGCTGGCAACCAGAAACACGTGAAACAACTTGGCCAGGAAAGATGCATCAAACACAGTGCCTATTTAGAAATGATGCTAACGAGCCAAGCTGTGCATCAGACACTGACTAAATATGGCATTGTTGATCCACCGGCTGATGGGCAAACCATTTTCGAAGCCCTCCCAGAATTCCTCAACTACAACTCGGACAATATGGTCTTGATGAACGCCCTCGCAGTGAACACTGTCACTGCTGAATTGGCCGCTTGGGATTCCACCGTTAGGAAATGGACCTTGGATGTACAGAATGACGGTTTCCCGTCCAGAACCAGTATCCTCCACCAGAAGACTAAATCAATACGTCGAGCTAGGCGTAAGTATAGGACTGACGGTCGCCTGATGGCGTATGCATGGAAAAGCAGCAATGATGATCTGAGTGACGGAGCTGTATGGCTCGAAAACAATTCCATGGTTACGCCGCTGATGTTGATCCTTTTCAGTCGCAGCGCGAGATTGGAATCGCCTCAAATCATCAAATTCAATGACTGGCTGAGAATTGAGACTGGAGTTGAGGGTCTGGACAACACAATTGCCACTCAAAGTGCACGAATTGTCATGGAGGTCAGGAAGATGCTCGATCGTTTCCTCACTTGGAACTGGGCTCGAATTTTGCCCAATCAAGAGGTTAAAAACGAAACTGCAACGGTGAACGTCAAAGAACATCTCGCTCCGAACGGGTCGACTCGTAAAATGGTCAATGCGGTCACTGAGATGATTCGTTCAGACAATGACTTTTGGCATGATTACAGAGCAGGACGTCGAGCATATATTGAGGCAGAGGAAGCGGCGCGTGCAGAAGAGGCTCTGCTACTTGCTGAAGAACGAGCAGAGAACAAGGGTGCAATTTTGAAGAGTCGTTTGTCGTCTTCATATGTCGACGAGGATGTGGATCTCAGGGAAGAGGATGACGATGACGATGATGGCGATTTCGAACCATCGGAGACTCAGAATGAAACGGGAGATGTGCCGTCAGCGTCTCGGAACGGCATTGACAATTGACAAACAGCACCGCCAAATAGTCGACCAACACCGTTGAGCAACGACAGAAATCACATCCAGAATGGTGTGGAACGCGGCTCTCGGCCAGGACCCGTCCAGCTATATGTGTATACGATACGCCACGATATTTCAGCATACAGTTCTTATATTTGAAGGGGAGCGTTCTCGCCAGAGTTGACGCTGAGTTTTGGATGTTCCCAAACCCCTGGAGCGTTTGAATGTCTAATATATCAACAGAAGTCGCCCCTTTCAACGTATAATATAATCTCTCGTCGATTGTAACCAATGCGAATGGAACAAAGAAAACACTTGATGAAGACCTTCACATTGTAATTTAGGACGTAGCCGTATTACACAATACTTATTATTGGGAACTTGAGTACTCGTATCGACCGAGAGAAGATCAGGATGTTTGGTTTTCAGGTTCGCTATACGACACGCATCAATCAGACTGTCTTGTACACAATTACTCCCTCCCTAGTGACTCTCGTGGATGTTGAACATATATACCTAACGTGCTGTAGTGGGCAGTTGCAGCACTTGAGCAATTGGTGTGATTGGAAAGGTCGGGGAACCTCGTTGATTGTCCATTTCTTGACTTGAGCGTGCTTTTTTTTTGGTTTCATTGAAACAACCTCCCCAACAGGGGCACGGCGGCATAGATGCGGTCCCAATTCTTGGCCTCCCAACCGACGCCCGCCCCGGATCTGCCGACGACGCCCAACCCACCGGCGATCCAGAGAGAGGCCACCGCGGCCGCGACGCCGTTGATCATTCTCCCCCTCCACTTTTTGCGTCGTGCGCCACTCTCCCCTCCCTCGACGACGTACTCTCGCGAGAGGCGCAGGTACTTGGCCGCGCCCGTGACGAAATGGTAACTCGCCACGGCGACGAACGCGGCGTAAAAGGTGTTGGAGAACCAAGGGTCGTGCGCGACCCCGTGGGCGAAGTACCTCAACCCTACCCCCGCGCTACTTCCTTCCACCTTTTGGGGGATGACGCGCTGCATGGCCACGTGTGCGACGAACATGGGGTACAAAAGGTATCCCGCGGCCGAGGTCGGGCTCAGAGGAGGATAGGGGATTTTGCGTCTCTGAGAGTGAGTCTCCGCCCCGTGTCTCCTGGCGGTCAACCGGCGACGGTAGACCCTCAGGGCGATACCCGACAAGACGTGGGCGACGACGGGAGCAAAAATCATCAAAGGCTCGAGCGGGAAGGATTGGTAATAGGGCCGTGTCAAGAGCAGGTACCGGTCACTCTCGATGGCCGACTGGGTCACGAGAGGGATCAAGGCGGTGTTGGTGTAGTGCATGCTAAGGTAGAGCGTGGGAGGGACCACGGCGTATTTTTGTATGGTACCCAGTATGTGTATCGTTCTAGATGGGGTGAGACCCAAGAAATTGGTGGAGGAGGAGGAGGAGGAGGAGGAGGAGGTTCTGGACGACGAAGTCGCTGGCGTCGGTAGGAGGGGATTCTTTTCATCACCATCATCGTCCGCGTCAACGGGAGATGGGTCGACTTCGTGCATCGGGACCGCCGAGATTGAGGATGCTCGTGTGTCGGTCGTGGTCAGCGGTGGGAGGTCGGAGGACATGATTGTTGGTGCTGTGTATGGTGATGATGGTGTTGCACTCTAGACAGAGGTACTCCGTAACCACCGTAAAGATAGCGCCGGTTGGTCGTACTCCGTAGAGCGGGCGCTGTTGCGAGATTATGGCGTTGGTGGTGTCTCGTAGTGTTGATGTCCTCAGGTTAGAACGCCATCCTCGGAGATGGAAACGACAGGTGTATACGAGTGGGAAGTTGTTGGAGCTTCATTCGACTGCGGGAGTATCATACAAAACGATTGTTCACGAACGAGGTGTTTGCAGATGTCACCACGAGGGTCAATTATTTACTGTCCAGACAGACGAGACCAAAACATGCGTCCAATGGCACTCGATTGATTACACTCGTGCAGCCTTGTGAGCCTTTGTCAGACATTATGTAAGAATTGATGATCAGGGGTTCATCCCAACAATCACTTTGTAAGGCTGTAAAAACTAGCTACCATCACCATGAAGTCTTTTGGTGTCGCCCAATATTTGGTAATGGCAAGGTGGCTATTTCCCAAGCCCTCAAATCCATGGCAGGTCTCGCCAGTATCATCACCTCCAACAAGCTCGAGCGACACTAAGGAACCGAGACCAGACCACGACCAAAAGGTCTAGGGACCGTCAGCACACTCTCTCCGTACCTGGGTGTGAATCAATCCAGTGGCAGAGGCTGCCATATTTCCCAACTCGTAGGCCATGGTGAATTGATGTGGCTGCCACCAAGTAAGCACTAGGGTCGTGAATCTTCACGCCAGGACATCAGCAAGGGAAGCAACGAAACTTACACTGCTAGGTGCGGAATCGGAAGACCAAAACTCGAAGATGGTTGCTTGAATTCCTCGCTCGAGACGGTTGTCGGTACGTTGATGACGCTGAATTTGATTCGTTGGAGATATCTCAAGCGATACCTCATGGCGGCCAACCGATGCACAATAGTCTGTGCCTGCGCAGGCGACGACACTGTCAACTTCAGCCGCCGGACCGAGTTCGGAAAGTTGTCCACAAAATCGTCGTCCAGGCCTGGCCACGTCAGGTGTAACTCTTGCAAGTCCGGGGCGGCTATTAGGAAGGCCGACAAGTATGCAACAAAAGACCCCGAGGGCGTCTCACTTGCCGAGATATGAAGCACTTGAAGGCTATCTTTGTGAATTTCGTAGAGAGCCCTGACGGTTTTGAATGTTAGCAAGCCGCTGCCTTCACCATGTGAATTGAAATCGATGACCTCTTTGATTCTTAGGCGCTTCAAGGGTTTGAGTTGTTCAAACATGTGGTTCGACACCGACTGGACAATCCGCGACTGTATGCCGTTCTTCTGCCGTGTCTGTACTGCTCGTGATGGACCACTGATGTGTAGATCCTCCAAGGATGCAAGCCTGCTGCAAACATCTGCAGCTCTGAGAGGACTTGTCTCTGAGTAGCCGGATAATCGGAGTGTGCGCAATCTCGTAAGTCTACTGAGGCTGTCTAAGCGACAAGACTCTACCTCGAGTCTTAGATCTTGGAGATGGCGGTAGTGGTCTACCACCCACTGAAGGATACTAGTGGTCACAACGCTCCCCGGTATGTTCTTGCTTGTGTCGCTTGGTCCGAGTACAGTTAGACGAGTGATACCGCTGATTTCTGTCAGGGCGCCTGTAATTCGATTGATTTCAACAAGATATGGATGCTGAGCTGGAGGTACGGTAGCGCTTGTCGCTATACTTGCAAGGTATGGTTGCATCGCATGAGCTTCGATCTCTTCCAACCTCAAATGAAGGTGGGTGATGTCTTCCAACACCTTCTTCGAACCCTTTTGAACAAAGTCGATGAGATGGTTTTGGGAAGGGCAAATCAGAGGTCGCCGGAAGAAAGACTCTCGGGCTTCGCAGTAAATCTGCTTGCAAGTACACATAAGACTCAAATGATCGGATGTTCGGAAGTGGAGCATCAGAAGATAGATGTGTCTGCGGATCTCGAGAGGTAGGTCCAAGAAATGAAGTGAAGTACTATGTGTTCCTTTCTACCAACGGTCAATATCGCGGAGATATGCCCGGAGCGAAACACCTACCACACTTGACGAGCCCATAAGCGTCTAATCTGAGGCATACCACCCAGAAGACGACGAACAGCGCATATGTTGAAGATCCAGACTCTTTGTGATTCGTGTGTGGCACAAGTTGATGCAATCTTTCTTGCTCCTTTTGGTCGTGTCATGTTCAGAAGCGTCGGATTATGAGGTGTACGACTGGTTTGGACAAGCGGGGATGTCTGTGGTATAAAAAGGCCGGACAATCGTTTGTCTCAATCGATGGCAATGTGCCTCGCTCTAGACTGTTCTGCGCAGAGTTGTAACCACATGCAGTTATGACGATTTGAGGCCTCCTTTGTGGTGCCATGCTGAGCATATTTTGGTCCTTCGAATCGAACTACCTGACGAGATCGGGCTCTGGTGTTAGCAGTGATGAAGTGAACCGAAGAGGACACAGGAGACGGTTTGGTGGCTTTTTTCCCACCTCGCAGGGGTCTGCGTAGATGCTCGTTCAGAACGGTGAGAGGTTGGTTCCCACGTGGAGGTCTGGTAGCAGCCCTCAGCATCGTCCTATTCTAGCAGGTGCATATGTGAGTGGCAGCCACATGGCAACAGGGGTGTAACACAAACCAACATGGGGCGGTCAAGTCCTTGGAGCCGTCTTCGTATAACGATATCGCCGAGGGCAAAAGGCCTGAAAAAGAGGATCGCTAGAGGTGATGCTGCACATATCATGCCACGACACGATCGCCGTGATGGGTAACTATGTGATAGGACATTGCCGAAATTCATCATCCACTGGGCTGGACAGTAGATCGAGATCTGAGAAGAGAGCGGGCAGGTGAAGATATGCAGTGATACGCTCTGGGAACTGCGTGAAAGGCCTAAGCGAGGCACCAGACAGCCTTACCTTCCAGGCCTAATTCAGCCGTCCATATCTGGAAGTCGACATGATTTGCGGCACGAAATGGCTTGCATGTGGCTTGGGGTCGCGCTTGCAGCCTTGACTGTGGATTGAAGGTGTCTGAACGTGAGTAGCTTCTGTCATATCGGTGCTTTTTCGATGCTGGTCTGCGGAGGTCGTGTCCAAAAGGCAGGGTTGTATCACAGTGGACACTGGTTAGCTTCCCAAGGTAGTCATCAAGCTAGAGGAGGTAGAACGTCATCCTAGAGGGATGTCGTGTCAATGCAAGGGATGGCGTTATTAGAACAAGTGTCTTGACCAGGGCCAAATTCCTTGAAGCCGGCATATGCACACCATTCTGATGCCAGCATCAAAATGGTCGATGTCAACCATGCGATGGACATGGAGGGACAGACTGAAACCTGCAAAGGCTTCATTGTTCCACGGCTGTCAAACATGACCGGATCCGAGATGATGGGAGAGCACATGAAGCAGGACAGGGTGAGTCGAAGTGCCTTTTGAGTAACGAATTTCCCATGAGTAGGATAGTGGAATAGTGATTGAAGGTCGCAATGCAAGTCCAAGGCGGTGAGGGATGCGTCAGAAGCACGAGTAGGATGGCATCAAAGCCATGCAGATAATCATGATACCTGTAGAAGAGTCGACACAAGAGGAGATTGAAGGCCCACTGGTGTGAAGTCGATGGTGAGGTTGAAGAAGGTCTAGGCCCATCTTGTTTGTTCGCAGCCCCGGCATCACCGGCTTAGCATCCAACTCGCCATGTGCTTGACAGATTCGAGCTTCAATAATACTCATTCGCATTGGCCGAGCTGATCTTGTATGCAAGTCTTGTATCACTTTCGATCCCAAGGCGCTGGTTGTCAGGGGCTGGTGACAATATCTGGATATTCTGTGCAACCACGAATACGAAAAGCCCTCGACCTCCTGTCGCCAGATTGAGCATACATATCAGTATATTCTTTTTAGTGGTACCAACTGCTGCCCTGTCATTGGAAAGTTGCACTCGCAAGCGAGCTCTCCATCACTTGTGGCGTTCCGCAATGGGTTTTCTTGTTAGTATATGGAGTACGACAAAGCAATATGCGTCAGAAGTCTTTTCGTGTCATACCACCGGTTCATGCAATACATGGGACTAGCTGAAGCTGAAATTATAACAATTGCCGGCGACCATGTGGTAGCCACTCAACAGCAACCCAAACCAGACCAGATCCAGATTCTCCACCAGGTTTGAAAACGCGTTCGCTAATAACACATCCAGAATGCTCCTTTTGAAGCCCTGAGATCCCGTGCCTTTACACCCTCAAGAGCTTGGCGGCGTAGTTGGTGATGGTGTCAATTTGAGGGAAGGCCAGCTCCTCCAGCTTTTGTGCGTACGGCGTCGGAACTTCGGCACCCGTCACGCGAACAGGAGGCGCCTGAAGGTAGTCGAAGCCATACTCGACAGCCAACGCCAGAATTTCGGCACCGACGCCAAACGCCGGGAAACCAGACTCGACTGCCATCAAAGCACCTGTCTTCTTGACTGATTTGATGATGGCTTCAACATCCATAGGTTTTACTGATCGTAGGTTGATGACCTCTGCTTCCACGCCGTACTTCTTCTTGAGCACGTCTGCTGCCTCCAATGATTGTCCAACGCAGCGTGAAAGGGTGACAATGGTCAGGTCTTTGCCAGGGCGTTCGATCTTAGCCTTGCCGAAGGGAATGACAAAGTCGTTCTTCTGTGCTTCGGCGCTCATAGGGAATGCTTGTCCGTAGAGAAGTCTGCTCCAGTTAGAAATTGCTGTGCTGGAAATGTATATTATGATAGACATACTCGTTCTCGAGAACAACTACCGGGTTGGGATCTCTGATGGCTGCCTTCAACAAACCCTTTGCATCCTCTGCAGACCATGGTGCTACAACCTTGAGGCCTGGGATGCTTCCGTACCAAGCAGAATAATCTTGTGAATGCTGCGCAGCTACACCAGCCGCAAATCCGTTGGGGCCACGGAAAACAATAGGGCAGGGTTGGATACCGCCCGACATGTAATGTGTCTTGGCTGCGGAGTTGATGACCTGGTCAATGGCTTGCATGGCGAAGTTAAACGTCATGAACCTGCGCATTGTCAACTCATGTATGGTGTCTCGGAGCTCGAGGATCTAGAACGTACTCGCAGACAGGATGGAGGCCGGCCAAAGCTGCGCCAACGGCCAAACCACAGAATCCAGATTCGGTGATGGGTGTATCAATCACTCTCTTCGGCCCGAATCTGTCCAAAAGCCCCTTGGTCACCTTGTAGGCACCTATGCGTCTCATGTTAGCCAATACGGAATTGTTCTGTGCTCAAAAACACCGACCATTATACTGGGCAACTTCCTCGCCCATGACGAAGACTTTGTCATCCAATTCCAACTCCTCTGCGAGAGCTTCATTGAGCGCATCTCGGACCGTGAAGGTCTGGTTCGACTCTGAGGCATACCCGCGTATCGTTGGAAGTGAGAGGGGAGCGGCTTGTCTGAATGAAGGACGGATGGATGAGGGAATGGCAGTCCGTTGGGACAGCAGCCTTGAGGCCGGTCTGAGGAGTCTGGAGGCAGCCATTGCAGGAGCAGAAGGAGATGAGAACTGAGAAGACCTTCAAGTGCTTCCCGCCGATGAAAATGATCTGGCGGACAACTTTTATACGCGAGCCGAAAGGGACAAGAAATGTTGGACGGGAATCTTTTGCATTGGGGGAGCTTCGTTTCAACTCCGGGCGCAGCTTTGGGAGCGATTCAGTGGATCGCCGGCCAACAGCCCAAATTTCCTCCGAAGCCACCGCCAAAGCCAGAGAACGATGAGCTTACCTAAGTCAGGCTTGGCACCCTATACGAGTACGAGAGCCTGGTGCCCAACAACCGCCGACGCCTCTGTTTACCCTTGCATATCTAGCCTGGGTCTCGTGGCCACTCACTCTTGAAGATAGAGGACCTTAAGCCCGCGAGAGCAGAGCGAGTATCCTCCTTTCAATCTTCACACCCTGATCATGTCTTGCTTTCGATAGACCATCATGGCGCTGAAGACGGCTTTGGCCTTGTCTCTGCTGGCATTCCAAGCCCATGCCGTACAGCCTGGTGCGCCCAAACCTCTTGCTGCTCCTCTCCGCGACCTCGAATTCGGACAAATCAACTTCCTCCACACTACGGACACTCATGGCTGGCATGCGGGACATCTTCTTGAACCTTCGTTCAGTGCGGATTGGGGCGATTACGTTGACTTTGCCGACAGGCTGAGAGAGAAGCTAGAGGCAGAGGGGAAAGATCTGTTGATAATAGACACCGGTGACCGCATCGAGGGAAATGGCTTGTACGATGCTTCAGACCCCAAAGGTCTGTTCACGTTCGATATCTTTCGTGAGCAACATATGGACGTTCTATGCTCTGGAAACCATGAGCTGTACAAACAGAACTCCTCTGAAAATGAATACTTGGTCACTGCCCCTGCCTATCCCGGCAGCTACCTTGCGTCCAATCTCGATATACACGATCCTGACACGGGCGAGGTGGTTCCCCTTGCACCCAGGTACAAGAAATTCATCACGAAGAAGCAGGGCATCCGTATCATGGCGTTTGGTTTCCTGTTCAACTTCGACCGCAACTACAACAATACTATTGTGCAAAGAGTCGAAAAGGCCATTCAAGAACAATGGTTTCAGGATGCGATCCGTGACCGAGAAATTGACCTCTTTGTTGTTATCGGACATTCGTCCATTCGATCCGAAGAGTTCGACATGATCTTCCGAGCCATTCGATCTGTGCAATGGGATGCTCCCATTCAATTCTTTGGTGGTCACTTCCACATTAGAGACTATCGCATCTTCGACCGGAAATCTCATGCTTTGGCCAGTGGGCGCTTTATGGAGACCATCGGTTTCCAGTCTATCAATGGCTTATCGACGAGTGCTAGTCGAGGCAAATCTCCTACATTCTTCAGACGCTATATTGACAATAACTTGTATTCATTATATCATCATTCTGGCCATAATTCTTCAACCTTCCATTCCGACCGAGGTAGAAACATCACGGAAGCAATCCATCAAGCGCGACAGGCTCTTGATCTCGACCAGACATTCGGTTGCACCTCGCGTGATCTGTGGATGAGTCGAGCCCCATACCCGAGCAATAACAGCATCTTCAGCTGGCTAGAGGAGAAGGTGTTCCCGGAGGTGGTCAATGATCCTCGACGGCATGATCGAGCACGATTAGTTATTTCCAATACCGGTGCTATTCGATTTGACATCTTCAAGGGCGCATTCACCAAGGACTCGACCTTTATTATATGCCCTTTCACGAGTGGATTCCATTACCTCAAGGATGTCCCTTACAACAGGGCCAAGAAACTCATTGACCTGCTTAATCGCGCCGGCGAGATCTTCGAAAATGCAGATCCAGCATTGGCCATGTCACAACTGGCTCCAGTCGACCAGATGGGAATTCTCCAAGATATTGCCGTAGAGGACTCATTTCCATCGGGTCATCATGGGCACCAGCTTTCCCTCACCGCCAACAATGCATTAATTCCGGGATACACGACGGTTGATGATGCTGGCACCGATGGTGATGACACTGTTCATGCTCCTATATCATTCTACCGAGTGCCCAACTGCATTCAATCAACTGTGGGCGTCCAGAACGGCAACGATGAGGAGGCGATTGTCGATGTGGTGTTCAATGAGTTCATCCAGCCGTGGATCTTGTTGGGTTTGAAGTTTCTGGGCCTTGACTATACAGATGACGACGTGGATCAGTATATGCCTGATGACAATATGACAACTCTCATTGCCAAATGGGTCAGTCAAAATTGGGCCGAGAATTGCTGATGGTATGCTTGCCAACGGTACTCGAACCCAGGCCGCCGGTTTGGCGTCTCACATTCGCTCAGACCCAGATCAACTCGCATTATGGAGCAGTAGTCAGGTGCAAGCACAAAAAAAGGCCCTTGCGTGAACCGAGGCATCATCTCGATACAGTCCTTCTCCTTAAAGAAGCTCTATATGAACTCACCAGGCATGCTCCCTGTGGCACCGCTTCGACCCAACTGGAGCCCAGAGCGAAATGCGGTAGATGACCGGAGGTAGGCAGACCTTCCATCCAACTGCACCACAACGATCGTTGCGTCTGAAATTCCCTCACATTCGGAATGGGACACACGTGAGCTTTATACCGCTCTGCACTCACACATTCGTAATTGACCTGAGTAAATTTGAAAGTAGTCGAAGTTGGATACAGTGGACGAAAATAGAAAGCATTTTAGGCTTACATGATGCTACTGGAGTCATGACTTCAGCTGACCGGGGTACCCAGTGGCACCAGTCAGATCAGAGGTTGTGTACCCGTACCGAGCACCGAGTAATTTGATCACTAACGAGAATCATTGACAAAGGGTTTTGGACGTGGTCAGGAGGGAAATGAATGTTTTAATAAATGTCTCAAGGGCAATCTCGGGCAAAAATTTCAACCTCAGCATCGATAAAAATCAATGAGGTCAAGATTTATGCAAGATCTGCAAAGCCTTATGAATAATTAAACCCATGGTGACAGGTCGGCGGGAATATTTGTCGTCTTCCGTATTCTACGCGCGCAGTTTTGTCCCGTGCAGGCGGCTTTCCGTGCAGGCGGCTTTCGGGTACGAGATTGTAGCGATGCGATCCGTGTTTGTCTTATGCATCGTCGCAAGATGATATCAGCAACAGCTTCATCCATGCCTCCATTGGCTCCCTATTGCTTGTCATTTCTCGGCCCTGCTGCCCTCGCTGCCGGGCTGCCCGACGTGATTATTTGACCCCGATCCAGACTTACGGGCTTTAGAGGGAGGTGGGATCTTTTTTGGGCCTTTGGAGTCCCTATCTAACTGAAAAAAGTGCCCATACAGTCTAAGCAGGCTTGTTGGTGACGGCTTCCTCGACGTCTTCTTGGAGATACTTGTTTTCGTCCTTCCGTCGGTGGCTTTCTTAGCACAGACTCATCTTCGTAGAGTCCTACAAACAATTTGACCTGCATCATTAGCCCCCCAACCGACTGACTCCTACATCAAGTCCCGGTCTCAGTCTGGTGTTCAACGTCCTTTTCATCATTCTTTCCTTTCTCTTTTCGAGACGTTGTATTCGACTCTTTTCTTTGATACACGCACATCTCGATCTGTGCGGCCGAAATACCCTCATCTCTTGGGTCCAGAAGCCTCACTGTAGCGCGTCAGGCTACACGCCCACGAGATGAGCCAACTCTATCGCACCCTCACCGGCCAATCGCATCAGTCGCATCATTCAGAGCATTCTACTCAAGCCCATCCGACTCTGACGAGAACAACGACCACCGATCCTCTGACGGGCACCCTCCACCACCTCACTCCTACGCAAGAAGAAAAACTTGTAGACTTCAAGAAAGAACTGCAAAAAGGAGGGTGGTGGACGCCTGACGGGATCAATGGCAAACCCTCCCACGATGATGCAACGCTTCTGTACGTGTGCATGATCTCTCGGGGTCCCCCTCCCATGCGCTGACGTGTTATGCAGCCGATATCTGCGCGCTCGCAAGTTCGATGTGGACGGTGCAATTGGCCAATTCACAGACACAGAGAAATGGTTGAAAGATCAGCGGGTGGACGAGCTCTACAACCATTTCGATGTGGAAACCTACGAAAGAGCGCGTCTTATGGTGGGAAATTCTGTGAATCGCAGCCCAGACTTGAGCAACTAATATGCTGGCAGTATCCTCAATGGACCGGGCATCGAGATAAGCGAGGCATTCCCATCTACGTATACGTGATCAAAGGACTCGACGGCAAGAATGTGTCCAAATATCAGAAAGAGTCGCAATCATACAAAGACAGCCTTCCATACCACAAAACCCTCTCCACACCAGCAAAACTCATTCCTCTATTCGCCTTATACCAGAATTTGCTCAACTTTGTCCTGCCACTGGTTTCTACTCTCGAACGGCCAAACCCTGAAGTCCCCGTGACAAATTCCACAAACATTGTCGACATTTCTGGCGTCGGATTGACCCAGTTTTGGAATTTGAAAGGCCACATGCAAGACGCTAGTGTGCTAGCCACGGCACACTACCCCGAGACGCTGGACAGGATATTTGTGAGTACTCTGTTGTCAGAAACATTCATGGTCTGGACTGACTGGCTTAGATCATCGGTGCCCCTTCGTTCTTCCCGACCGTATGGGGTTGGATCAAGCGATGGTTCGATCCTGTAACTGTCTCGAAAATCTTCATCCTAAGCAAGCACGACGTGAAACCGACTCTTTCGAAGTTCATGGAGACCAAGGACTTCCCGAAACGATACGGCGGTGACCTCGAGTGGGAATGGGGCGAACTCCCAGATCTCGACGACGAGACACGTGCGGCTCTAGAGAAGGATGGAAATAAAGGCTGGGTTAGAGGTCCATGTCAATGGCTTGATGGGAAGAGAGTGGTCGTCGGCTCCGAGAAGGGCAAATTGCGAACTCCAGATGAAGAAGTTGAGAAGAAGCGACCGATTGCTTATGCGGCAGATTACACAGAGCTTCCCGTCCACGCGGGCAAAGGCCTCCCGCACGTATCAACAGAGAATGGCAAGACTGGAGCTAACGGCACAGCCAAGCCTCATCATCACGCTGAAGCCGCATCCGCCGCGGCAACAGGTGGTACTACTGCAGCCGCTATCATCGAGAGCAAGACAGCGTCGAAAGAACCGGAACAAGCATCGACCACAGTACAGACGGTTCACCAGTCCACAACAATTGACACACGAGCTTCCTCAGACAACTCAGCATCACAACAACATCCCCATCCGCCATCACAGCCTCAGCCTGGACCTATTCCCGCGCACTCTGCGGCAATGACCCAAGCTATCGCAGATCAACTGAACGGTGAGTCAGTCTCGACAATTCCAGAGACGGCGAACGGACATGCACCCAATGCCGAGAATACAGGACACGGTGAAGTGACCGTGGCAAGTGATCCGGCCAAAGGTCTGGCCATCGAAACGGAGAAGCTGGCCATGACAACCCAGAACGGTCACGGTGGGGATGAAAAGGAGAAGGAAATCGAGCGGCCTCCGATGGAAAGATTTGTCACTGCCACCGAGGTGTAAATCTGATGGGGTCGTTTTGGTTTGGGCGTTCTTTCGACTGATGAGATGCTGCTGCGATCTTTCCGCGGCACTTTTGTCATTCGGGGCAAGGGGGACTTGTTGATACAATGTCGGCGTATGATTGAATGCTTGGGCGGTGGTGGAATGGTTGTTGACTCTCAAACATTGTTTTCTGACATCTTGGGTTTTGCTTGAAGTCCTCGGGAGAGATCCCTTGAGGCCCAGTAGAGGGTCCATTCTGTTTGCGGTTTACATAGCATGAGATCGAGAACGGCGCTAGATTATTGATCGAGGGTGGGAAAATGGCTACCTTTGCACAGACTGGGCAGGCACCGAGCATGGTACCTGTGGATATACCCTTATACTTGGTTACACTACAGTTCGCGTACGAGTAACTTGATACCTGGATATTTGTTTGGATTGACTTGTTTCGTTTATATTTGCTTTTTGGGTGACTTTAATTCTTTTTGCTACGTGGTCCATGGAAACCAAGACCAGCTGGCTAGCTAAGAAAAAGGAAACCTGGTGGTATCACTCCATCATTTCATCATTCCAAAATAATTGCATGCTGTCGGTTGTTTTAAAAATAAGTGAGGGTTGTCGACAAGAACAAAAACAAGATCCAGTTGGCTCTCTGGCTTTGCAGTTGCAATGCAGTTCCTTTTTGCCTCGGAAAACAACCAATCTATTTCTTGTTTTGTCTTTGTCTTTGTTCTTCTCCCCTCATGTTTTTTTGTCTTGCTGCTTTTTCAACATCTTATGCGGCGATGCCAATGACACCGCAGGCAGGTCGAGGACCAGCGTTACCGGTCTTCTTGCTCTCTTCGTTCCCGCCCTTGCCGAGATCATCGGTACCGGCGTGGACGACGATGGTTCGCTGTTGTGTGAGACGATACATGTTAGTCTCTCTTGTCTCGATTGTGTTGGTGGAGAGGGGAGGGGGGAGGGTGTCAGAGGGAGAGGTGAAGGATGTAAAACGTACTCCTAGGACACTGTGCTCTCCAAACAACTTGACGAGACTGTCGCTCACGCTACCCTTGGCGTTACCTTGACCATCGGTCTTGAAGTTTCCAAGGTCACCGACGTGACGGTCAGAGTCTGAGGGGGCACCGTGGGTCTTGCCGAATGGGTTGTCTGTGTGGACAGTAAGCATTTGTTTTTGTCGGTCGTGCGTCGAGATGATGGTCCTTTCGTAGGCAAATACATACAGTGAGGACCGGCGCTGGTGCAACCGTTGGTGTTGTCACCAAACTGGTGAACGTGCATGCCTCGCTCAGCATTGGCGTCGTGGCCGGTAATGTCCCAGGTGATGGTGGTTGGGCCGGATTCGGAGGTCTGCTCAAAGGTCACTGTGCCAGTGATCTTGGAGTCTCCTCGGAGGACGGCAACTGTGACCAGACAAGAACGAGAGAGAATGTCAGTTTCTCCGAAGATCAAAAGAAGTTGCTGACAAAACAGGGTGCGGAATGGACAGGTAGTAGGCATTCGAGCTCCAATGATTCAGAGCGAGCAAGGGTACAAAGTAGGGATGGAGGGGTTCACGTTGTGCTTTGCTTACCTGCTTTGACCATTTTGACTTGTGTGTTTGAATTTGGGAGCTTTTTAAAATTCGAGATGTTAAAGTCGGGAAAGGTGGTGATGGATTGAATATACGGTTAGAGAAGAAAAGGAAGAGAAGAGAAGAAGAGTCTGAAGAACAGGAAAAGATTGCTAAAGGCGTAATCAATGGAACTGCGCCGAAGTACGGGGGGGGGGGGGAACTTGGTGATGATCCCAGCGACCAGCAGCTGTAACGGAGCATTTCGTGCCCATTGACGTCGAGCGAAACGTATTTTCCGATGATCAAAAAATGAGGGGCTCATGAGGGGCTGCCAAGGGTTTGTTTCTTTTCGGACTTTAGTCCTCCCGAGTCCCGGATTTAAATTTCCCTCCCCCCTTTCCATCATTCTCGTCATCATACATGAAATGGTACATCGAAATGATACAAGAACAAGTACTCGACGATCTGTCAATTGACATATGAGTAGAAGGTATCTACAAGTACTCCAAGGCTCATCAAGCAGACATCATCATTCCTGCTTCCTCACTGTCAGCTTTCAGACTCTGCAATCCTCTGGTGGTACCTCAGCATGAACCTTTCTCCTGACCAAAGAGTTCTTCTCGTGTGACCTTTCCTTGCACATGTGGAAGAACAACTTTGATGACAGTGTGACTATCTGTCTTACAGCTTGCTAATCTTTCACGACTTGGGTGTTCGATGCGGACATAACCTCGCTTATTGCTTCTCGTGCTTCTGCTCTTCCATCACAACCAGAGATGTTCGACCAATCGAATGCGCCCCTCGACATCCCTGCCTCAAATTGACATCAGGTTATTTATTCGTAGACGCAAGATCATCATCCGTTGATTCCGTACATCGATACCTCTTGATCACCTGGTTTTATTCGTTTCACTGACTATCGTACGATGAATGAGGTCGATCTTTCGCAACCGCATAAGCATCAAGTTGCCATCTTCGAGGGCGGTTCATCGACCGTTACCTGCCCCTATCCTACAACTCCACCATCTCCGTCCCTGTTGCTGACCACTCCTCTCTCTTCCTGACTTGCCCCACGTCAGCTCACGAAGAACCATGGCAGCTCCAGACGCGAAAAAACTCGCCAAGTTCATCCAGGCAATGGACTCGACATATGGCCGCTTCCCCGAACCCAACGACCCAAACTTGAGTCAGTGGGTGCCACCACCTGCTGCAGAAGGGCACCGAGGGCGATATCTCTGGACTGATGGGTTCGCAGTAGTCAATTTCCTGACCTTGTACAAAATCACAGGGGAGACACAGTATCTCACCTTCGCCACGAACCTTGTGACGGCAGTCCACGACGTCCTAGGTTATACCAGGGATGGAAAACAGAGACTTCCTGGTGCCACTGATGACGATCCTCTGGGAGGTGGCCTTCGGATTGGCAAGCACGATGAGAGCGGTCCGGACGGTGATGGGCAGTACTTCCACTACCTGACCGTATGGATGTTTGCACTCAATCGAATGAGCCTGGTCACGGGCAACAAATGGTACAATGACCAAGCTGTGTCCATGGCCAAAGCGGCCCTTCCTCACTTCATGACCAACGCTTCTGCAGAGCGCCCAAGAATGTTTTGGAAGGTCAGCATGGACCTGTCCCATCGCCTTGTCAATTCTGAAGGCAACCTTGACCCCATTGATGGCTACGTAACATACTCGCTCCTTCAACAACTCAGTGACAATCATCATGTTCTCGATGGAGAGATTTCTGCTTTGAAGAAGATAGTCGACCAGAAAGCTCCGCACTATTCAACACACGATACTCTCGATATCGGAATGACTCTGTGGACGGCACATTGGCTAGTTCCTGAGCCAGCTTGGCCGCCTGAGCAAGGTTGGGCATCGCAGTTGCAATATCGTACTCTGCAGAATCTGATAAAGATAGCCAACACGGGTTACTTTGACCGACCTCTCGAGTCACGACTTGCCTTTCGTGAGTTTGGGACTGCATTGGGCGTTCACGCCGCATTGCCCTTGCTCGACAAGATGAGAGACTCGGAAGGCAGCAAGTTCAGTGTAGAGTCAAAGCTGAGAACGTTGCCGGATCAAATCTGTGAGGCTTGGGAAGATTTCGGACTCGTGCCCGTCCTAGATAAAGATGTGTCACAGCGCTTGACTGAGCTCATGCCTATAACTGCCGTGGTAAGTTTCTCACATTGGTTGGTACGTCGTCTCTCCTCTCTTTTCTAACATTCACAGATGTATGCTACTGCTCTCATTCCAGGGTTGATGATTCGGCAGCCATGAAAACAATGTGCCGCTCCACAGCTTGATCAAGTCAGCGTTAACATCCTGTTCAACCCCCAGCTTCCAAGGACAGTTGCTAGAACTGTCATCACAGCCTTCCTCGCCCATAATTTCCATCCAAGAGCGATCCTCCATTTCACAACGCCCTCCATCTTCTTTCGATCATTGTTTCTCGGCAACGGCACGACCGGCACTTCCTTCCCCAGGAACCTGCACAGCTCCTCCCATCCCATGCCTGGCTCCCAGAGCAACACGTCCTTCCCATGTTCACGACAAACCCTCTTCACCCACTCGTTGTGCATGTCGTAAACGCCGGAATCCCAAAAATGATTCACACCAAAGCGCTTTCGGACGTCACCCTCCCATGCTATCTCCGTCTGATAATGCCACCAATCCGGCACGCTCCAGTAGCACGCCACGCGGTACGACCAGCTCATGAACGGTGCGATGGTCGTCTTCATACTCGTCGCCCAGTCCGTGGCGCCTCCCTTGCGCACGTTCAGGACCACCTTGGCGTCCGGGTACATCTCGACCAGATCCTCGATAAACAGATGGCCAGGGAAATCCGTGGTGGCCGCGCATCCTTGGAACAGCTGGTATAGTATGGCGCGGCGTTTCATCGTGTCTTGCTCGCGAAGGGCGTCATGCACAAGTTTCATCTTTGCTGGCTGTGGAAGACAGCGGTTCATGTGCATGGTCGGTCCAATGGACAATTGATCCTCGAAGACTTCTTTGAGCGTGCTTGTCGCGCAGCGTGGCAGACCTGCCGCTATGACTTGAAGTGGTCCCAGGAAATCCATGGGGATTTGTGGCTTAGGGGTCGGTGGGAGAGATGGAGCCATGGTCAAGTCTTACGCTAAATGGAGACTGAATGTATCATCGGCAACGATACGTGAAGGATTGGTATGTGTCAAGAACAGTCTCGAGAGTCTTCTTCCAGATGGAACTTCCAGATGGGAAATGCAGAGCCTATATTTGAGTCTCGCGAGGTTCTTCCAGACACATGCTGGACACCATATATTCACTACCATCCTATCAACTACCTTGCCTCCCCTTCCTCCTATTCAGTCTTGGTTCCATTCCAGCCCAGTCCAGGAAGTACTACTAATGCTTATGCTTGTGCCATTTCCGAACTCCATCAGAGGTCTATGGCTTGGCACGTCGCAGACAGAACACCGGGAGCAAGGGGCGATGAGACAAGAACATGGGTTCTTTATGGTTCACTATTCTAATTCGATCCCGGTCATACTGTTCCACTCGCTGGGCAACCATGGACTTTTGCCAACGTGAGTGTCGCAGAGGCGCCTTGTGCCCTTATCCATGGGTTCGCATAGAGCCTACGGAATTTCAGTCTTGAATGATGGGGTCCACTCCGTTGGGCCCCTTCGAGCTACCTTGGCTTGAACATGCATGAAGTCCTACGAAAGATTTCCGTACAACTTTCGGCTGTGCCGTACGAGGACAGAAGATCAGGTATGTGTGCAGGAGACCGGGGTTCTCTCGAAAAGCAATGTCTTTGTTTCTTGCTCGTACAGAGCTGAGGCCCCCAAAGTCTATGCATAACTATTGTCTTCCTAGTGAATCGCCGGGGCTTATGGTGCCACGAGTCCGAGTACCACCGACATGGTATGAGAGGAAGCTCTGATTAACTCGGCTGGATAATATTGGGCCCGAAGGAAATGGGCATTTTTACATACGCCGTGCGGATATAGCAGAGGTGGCACTTTTCCCTGGTTCCCAAGGCTTCCAATCTGCAACGGTGGGGGTGTGTTCTGTCAGTACCAGGTCTTTTTCGTCTCAGGTCCAGGGCGTCTTAAGCTGCGAGCAACTAGATGGTTCCATGCTGTCGGCGTCCGAGAGAACAATGACCATGGATGGCATCGAAGTGAGACGAGGGGCGTAGCCTTGTTGCTGTGTGAGTGTGTGACATTATTTACCGTACTTACTGTGGTACCACGCGCAATGTGCAACGTTGCAACGTTCCCGACGCCTTGGTTTTTGTCGGATTCTTGAGTCGTTTTTGCTATTTTCGGAGTGCGTATATTGATTTACAACAGGACAACAGTACAACAGTACCCTATGGAGTAGCAAGCTGTACGAGGATACTCCAGTGGCTGGTAAATATCGAGTAGTTGCCTCAACCAAGCAGTGGAGTTTGGTCTGTGTCTCAGTGGTTGTGTAACCCGTCACTCTTAACCTGGTGATATTGACGCCTTACGGGAAGTCTTGGGATCAAAATGCAATAAAACCAAGGAGGATAACCACCTCGCAGGAAGACCAAAGAGAACCGTGAAAAAAGACCTTGCGAGGCTCAATAGGATCCGTACCACGCGTGCCAAAACCCTTTGGCCCTCCCCACCCCCTTGTGTGTGTGGGTGTGTGCACCGTGCAGGGCTGCGGGTGATGGGGTAGTACTCGTGCCCGTGTACGGGCCACCTATGTACGCATGGTCCTGCGTGAGTCAAGGGGGGGCTTGTTCTTACCGAGAAACTGACTGACTGCCCTGACTGTGACTGACTGCAAGCCGTAAACGAAGCAAGGAGCTCGCTCCTTGTCCGCCAAAAGAAGCACACAACACAGCTAAATAGGGAATAGTTTACCAGGGGAGGGGGTGTCCTATCCGTAGGGAGATGGAGCACAAAACAACAAGGGCGTGCTTTCGGATCCAATGCCGCCCAGCAGTATACGAATCGAGACGCAGGAGGATGAAGAGTTATGAAAAAGCAAAGAGAAAAAAAAAACACAAACAAACAAAATGCAATCCTGCATCAGCTCCATCCCTCACTCGACGTGGGTCATGGTCATGCTCATCATGGGTATTGTGAAGGTTGCTATGTAGGTATGTACTTGCTTACTTCAACAGGTTCGTCAAATTCGCCATGCTATGTGCAAAAACAGGAAAAGGGACAAAGAGCCAGGTCGCTGAATTGTGCCAATTTTTTTTTGGGTGCCCGAACGGTCCCTTTTTTGACGTGGAAAATGCTTTTTGGTTTTTTTTCCCCTCTGGCGTGTCGTAAATGCTTCTGTCTGTAAACTGTCGTTCTCCTTGTTGTGTGTGTGTGTGTGTGTGTGTGTGTGTGGAATCCTCGGTCTGACGGTCCCCTTACCTTGGTTCGAGTGCCCATTCGCATCAACGTCGATGCGAGTCCAGACGTCGGACTTTTTTGTTTAATCTTCCGTCAAATCACCATACTCCCACATGCCTCTGCGGGCCTCCTTGGCCTGATCCTGGAGGGCTCGCAGCTGGGTCAACGTGTCCGCCGATTGTCGTTCCCAGGCCTTCAATTTCGTCGGGATCATGGCCAGCCCTTCTCTGACCACCTCGGCGTTGATGCTCTCGTCGATCTTTGACGAAACCTTGGGGTCGAGCAGGGTGAGATACAGGGTGCCCTCGGGGGCGACGTAGTCCACGTTCGCGACCAACTCCCGACCCTCGGTCTGCTCCATGACGAAGTCGACCGCGTCTCGGAGGTACTGCTGAGAGGTGGGCAGCTGCAGGAAGGAAAGGACCGCGTCCGTGGCTTGCGGCTTCAATTTCTGCGTCGAGAATTGGGGCTGGGTCAGGGGCCGCAGGCGACTCCAGGGCACCGTCTCCGAATTGCCATAGTCGAGGTAGGTCACGTCGACCTTCTTGCCTTCGCGGTCGACCCTCCGTACCTTGGCCCGGTACCATTCGTTGTCCAGCGTGAATTTGGCGGCGACGACGTCCCCGACCTTGGGAGGTCCCGGTAGAGGGGTGTCGTTCGCCTTGTTGAGGTGGAAGGATTTGAAGGCGTTCATCAGCTCGGTCAAGCCGGTCGTGCCAGACCCGATCTGTTGGATCTTGAGTTTTCCGGCCTCGTCGACATGCGTCACCATCACATCACGGTAGTCCTTTCTCCTCTCGGTCGATTCCCCGTTGGTTCCGTTGGTGCCGTTGGTGGGAAGAGGGGCTTCTTCTGCTTGCTCTTCCTGCTCCTGGCTGGGGTCCCAATCATGCCACATACCCTTTCGTCCTTCCTTGGCTTTCTTTTCGGCGGCGACGAGCTCATTGGCGTGTCCACTTTGTTCGGCGGAGTAGGCGTGCACTGATGCTAGACCTTCTTCGACCAAGGTTTTGGCAAAGTTTTCACGCCCGACGTACATGGTGCCGATGAAGCCACCGACCTTGTCAGTGTTTTCGACGTCGATCTCAACATCTCGCTGCATGCATCTCCTGCTGGCAAAATCCAGAGCCTCTTGCCCAAATGGCTCAGAAGCATCGCCCGGCTGTCTTGCGGGCTTGGGAGTGCGGATTCCGGATAGGACAAAGGTCAACTTGGCATTTTCGCGAGGAACAAGGACGACGAATCTCGAGCCAGCTCGCACAAAATCGACCACGGCGGGGACCTTCTTCTGCCTCTGCAGAACTGAAGCCTCCATTTTGGCCTTCTGTAGACTTTCGGAGTAATCCTGATATTTCTTGGCCGCTGGTGCTTTTGGTGACCACATGCCCTTTTCTTCCTTTTGGGCGGTTTCTTCTGCGAGAAGGAGAGCATCGTAGTCCGGGGAACGATCATCATCATCGCGTCTATGTCTGATGACAGAAGCATATCCAGCTTCGACCATAGTCAAGGCAATATTTTTCCCGTTGATGATGACGGTGGCCACTTCTCGCTCCTCGAAACCTTCCGAAGCAGGTCTCTTGCCGTCAATGCTGACCTTGACATGCTTACCGATCAAACGCTTCCTCAGGAATTCCTTTGCATCGGCGCCGAATGGAGCTTGCTTCGGATCGGAAGGCTTGGGTTGACGTATGCTTGAAAGAGTCACTTTCCGCTCTTCGCCAGATCGAGTTCTAATGAAGACGGTCTCGGCATTGAGTACTCGTGAGACGGTAAAATCAGCCTCCTGTACGCCAGCAGCTTTGGAGGAAACTCCAGTAAAGATACCCCTTCGCGCAGTCTTTGCAGCGTTCTCAGCTTGTCTGAATTGCGACATCTCGTTTCCAAGCAGAGTGACATGTTGGTCATTCGATCTGGCCAGACCAGCTTCAAGCAGGAATTTTGCAATGTTGCCTTTGGGGTGTAGTACATTTGCGATGAGTTGATTTTGTGGTGTCACCCCGAGCAATTCAACCGCACACTTTCGTTGGTGTAATCTTTCCTCCACAAATGTATGCGCTTCGGTACCATATGGTTCCGCAGGGATATCCTTCCCTTCGGGAGAGGTTCTTTTCGTGGCTGGAGTTCTTATCCCCGCCATGACCAACATTGTCTGAACGTGCTTGGTGGGGGTGAGCATGACACGTGCGATCAAGCGATCCCCAGTGAGGACACGCTCAATAATGGCATCGATCTTCTTGCCCTTGTATTGCTCGACTAGGGCATTGGGGTCGGCAACCTCTGAGGACGTCTCGATATGACCACCTTTACCCCAGACACCTTTGCCCTCTGACTTTGCCTCACCTTCGAGGGTTCGGAGCTTGTCCAAGTATGCCAGCGCATTCTCGTCATCCTCCTTCTTACCCGCATCCTCTCGTACTTTGGCCCAACCTTCCTGCACGATCAGATCCGGTAACTCAACTCCGGTAGGAAGTTTAACTCGGCCGTATTCTCGTTTCGTGGTAGGAATGGCGTAAAGGACTTGGAATTGAATGACCTTGCCGAGACATTGTTCTCGGATGAACTCGCGGGATTGAAAGGCAAAGGGCTTTAGTGTAAATGGTATTAGCTTGAGCAGTGGTCTGAAAGTGGAGGGAAGCTTACTTCGTCCCCTTCTCTCTTCAGACGAGGAGCAGAAATATATGCTAGAGACAGAGTACGCTCAGCGCCTTTCTGGTTGGTAATAATCAAGGTATCGCCCGAAAGGACACTCTTGACTCTAGCTTGGAGAAGAGCCATGTTGCAGCGGTCTGGATGGGATCCACGGGCAAAATGCAAGCCAGAGATTTATTGTTAGACAGCAAGGAAAACGAATAGCAACGCTATACAGTCCAGAACAAAATCAGATCGAGGTGATGACGGCTAGTAAGGGTTGAGTGGTGAAGATGCACCGAGTACACAGTATGCTTTCTCGAAAGGTGACACTTTTCTTTAGCCCACACACCACACGAGTGACGAATGTGTGGGGTATAATTACATCCCTTCAGTCCTCCGTATGTACTCCTTCGTACCTGAGCTTCAACCTAGGTACAACATGGAGTAGTAACACGTGAATTCTTGTGTTCATCATGATACATCTATCTCTTCAGATGCACGTGAACAGTTACCTTGCCGTTGGTCTCAGCCTACCCAACTCACCGAGTACAAAGTGCTAACAGAATACGAGAACGAGAACGAGAACGAGAACGAGAGCGAACCTGTGAACGACATCACGTGGTTGGTCGCGTGTCGTGTTAGTAAGGTGTTGAAGTACCTCTCTATCTCTCTCTCTCTCAGGGTCGAATTGGTGCGAATGTGACTACTATCGTAGATAGTCTCTCTCTACGAGTACTGGTAATGCCTCCCTGCGAATTCGTCCGTGTGGATCTATGCTCAGCTAAGGTACTGGCTTCACTTCGGTTGTCCTCCAATCAGATGACTGTCGGGCTGTTTGATCTTCTTGTACGAGCAACACGTTTCTGGACGACCTTATTGCTATGAGGATGTACGAGGCAATGCTTCCTAAGCAGGTGAGCCAGCAGACATGAAGTGTCGTTGAGTGTGGCTATAAAGAGCCTGAGAAGCATTGGAAAGAAGACGAACACCGTTCAACCGGAGTCAACCTGCGATCATCATCCTCCTTAGCCCTTCCCACTCCTTACCAGCAGCAACATGGCTTCAGGTCCTATGCAAACCTGTTGCGTCAAAGGGTTCAAGCATGACGGCACACCCACCGGTCGCATTGAGTCAAGCTTCGTCAACACCCAACTTGGTCCAGTCGATGCTTATATCACCGAGCCCAAAATATCAGGTTCTGATGAGAAGAAGCACGGGATTCTTTTGTGAGCCATAGCCATGTGTTGTTCCAACAAGACCAGTGCTAACTGAACCCATCTCAAATACAGCATTCCCGATGTCATCGGCCACACTTCAAATAATGCGCAACTCCTTGCCGATCAGTTTGCGGCTCGAGGGTAAGATGGAGTTGTATCGAGTCCTGACACCAGTATAGCTGACCTGATCGTCACAGCTATTACGTCGTCATTCCTGACCTCTTTTACGGAGACTTCATCGAGATGAACAACTTTGCCAACGTCGACCTCGCCAAGTGGAAGCTAGGCCACTACTCGGACAGAAAGCTCGCCCATGATCCTGCAAGTATCGACCCTATCATTGAAGCGTGCATCAAGAAGATGAAGATGGAACTTGGCATCAAGGTACGCGTCGTCCATTGACATCAAGACACCTCTCGCCAGACCGTACGAGACTGAAGCTGAGAAACATGCACAGAAACTCGGCGCAGTCGGATATTGCTTTGGCGCCAAATACGTTGTTCGCTTTTTGAAAGAAGGCTCATTCGATGCCGGCTATGGTGCACATCCTTCGTTCGTCGACACCGAGGAATTGGCAGCCATCACACGGCCATTCTCCATCGCCGCGGCGGAGATCGACGGCATCTTCACTGCGGAAGGCAGACACCAGAGCGAAGCCATCTTGAAGAAAGCCGGTGTCCCCTGGCAGATAGACTTGTACGGCGGCGTCAGTCACGGCTTCGCTGTGAGGGGAGATATCAAGGACAAACGACTTCGATTTGCCATGGAGGCAGCTTTTTCACAAGCTGTGGATTGGTTTAAGTTCCATTTGGACGACTGAGGTGCTGGACAGATGAGGAAAGCCCTTTTTAGGAGGTTACTCACCCGTAACGTCTCCCCTCTTACTCACCCAATGGCATAAGAGCACTTTTCTCTGGCTGTTTTTCTCTCTTACACCATGAAACACCCCCATTACTGTGTGAAGAGTGATCCTTGCAAGTCAGGATCAACGACGCGAGACTCCCCCGTTTTACAACCTTCCCATTTGAGACTGACGCTTATCTCGAACAACTGCGGGGTTTCGCACTAAAGCCTGCAACCAGCGCGGACATGACCAACGTACACCTTCTCGATCTTCCGCTGTCGTGGTCCCAACAGTGATATGAGCAGACTATCTTGCTTTTTATTCTCCGTACCCTTCTTCCCTCTTATCATCTCAGCTTCAAAGCTACAGCCATCATCCCGGATCGCCCTGGATCTATCGTAGATCGCTTGACTTCATCCCGTCCTGATCCCCACTCGGTCTTATGGGGCTTCCCCCTCCCCCTCCCCCTGACAATTTTCAGCCTCGTCGTCCGACCGACTCTCTCGTAAAGGGACAAACAATGAACAACACCGACCCCTCCCATCGCCGTGGCGTCATAGGCGACCCCGAAGGGTCCTTCTGGCTCTACGACTCGACCAGAGGGTTCGACCTGACGCACCCCGCGACGCCGACCTCGCCCCGCCCGACGCCGAACCACACGCTCAAGACCAACACCCTGCCCGTCACCGTCGCCTCGTCCAAGACGGCGCTCGTGATCGTCGACATGCAGAATTTCTTCCTGTCCCCGTCTCTCGGGCGGCCCGAGGGCTCCAAGGGTCTCCTCGCTCAAAACCAGCTACTCACGTACGCCATCCCCGCCGCGCGCAAGGCCGGCATCCGCGTCGTCTGGCTGAACTGGGGCCTCACCGACGCCGAAGTCAAAGCCATGCCCCCTTCGACGTTGCGAGCGTTCGGCTTCGAGACCGTGCCCGCTTCGAGTTCTGAATCGTACACAAACACCGAGGACAGAAGCGCGGCCGTCGACTCCCACGGCGTCAACCAGGGTTGCGACACCTTTCCCTCCGCCGACCCACAGATCGAAACGTCGGGCAAGAACCCTCGCCTCTACAAAGGTCTGGGTACCGACATTGGACCCGTGACGTTGGAAGGCAAAACGACGGTCGATGGAGGTCGATTGTTGATGAGAGATACATGTAAGAATCTTGTTTTTCCTCTCCTTCTCCCCTTTCCAATTCACCTACCTGACCTTGCACAACCCTACCCTACCGCCTACTCTGGCCTGATTTAAAAAAAAACCTCAATCTAAAACATACCAAACAAAATCAATAGGGAACGCCGACCTGACTCCCGAGTTGCGCGCATCATACGAACAAGGCCTCACTGCCAGTCCCGCCGATGTATGGATTCACAAGAACCGCATGTCCGGCCTCTGGGGCACGAGGACAATGTGTACGGATTTTCTGGAGAAGGAGGGCATAACAACTCTTCTCTTCGCCGGTGTCAATACGGATCAATGTGTCGGGGGGAGTCTACAGGACGTAAGTATCGAGTACCGTGTATCCCTAATTTGATTGTTTTCTTTCGAGTCTTTTTCATTGAACTTTCGTATCTCTCGTTGCACCTTTTCTTCCCATTCTTCAACTGTCACTAACGGATTCTCCCGTGCGTCTGTTCTAGGCCTTCTCGAAAGGATACGACGTGATTCTCCTTTCCGACGGGGCCGGTACAACCTCTCCAGACAGCAGCCAGGAGAGCGTCGAATTCAACTGTGCCAGGACATGGGGATTCTGTACGACCTGTAAAGATTTCGCAGAGAGTGTTGGATTGTAACGTTTCTTTTTGCTTTGCGAACATTCATTCCTTTTTGAACTTATCGTCACCACCTCGGAAAAACCAGCGAGGTGTCGGACACAAAGTACTGCTGGTTTTGCACTGCAAAGGCCGGCCATTCCAGTATCATATATTTACAGTAAAATTTCTACTCTTTTCCCATCGCCAATCTTCCTGCTCCCTTGGCCGACATACCAAAAACATCCACCAACATCCCTCGCCATCTCTTGCGTACACACACCCCACACACTCAAGAAGCCCACTTGCTCTTCTTCATCTCCTTCTGCCCATTCTTCCCATCCTCTTCACGACGATGACGACGGCTGGCATCTGTTGCCTCGTCGTTGCCCCCCTTGGCTTTTTCCTTGCCATTGTCGTCCACGCGTCCTCCATCCACATTTGCCCGGCGGCTGTCTCCCAAGGTCCGCGTTTCTTCAAGAGCGGCAGCATGGTCATCTTGACCAGCGCTCTCTTGTACCTCCTCGTCGGTCTTGGGCACGACGATCTCCTCCTCCGAGGCACCCACCGCCGCAGTGTTGTGTTTGTTGCCGTCGCCAACGGAGTCCTCAGCTCCACTTGGCTGCACAACAACAACAGCGGCGGCAGTAGCTGCTGCTTCTGCCGCCGAAGCCCGCCTATCCTCGCGCTCTCTCCGCGTCATCGGCCTTGTAGGGATCCCCTCCTCATTGAGGCGGGGTGGACCATACATGACCGAGCCGCCGGCGCGAGGATAGGCCGCCGTAGCACGCAGCGACACGGCAGAAGAAACCGACGATGCTCGCGAGGAGGTGACCGGTGCAGGAGCAGGAGCAGCAACAAGATCAGGAGAGGTAGTTGTCTTCTTCGTCGCCTCCGAAGGGACCGTCATGGGCAAAGTCGAGGATCGGCCGCCAGTGGTGGTAGTATGTCCTTGTCCCTGGCAACTACAACGACGGTTGTCGTCACCGAGTGAGTCATTCTCCCTCGTGAGCCTCGCGATGGTGGCTTGAAGCGCACCATTCGCCTGACCCAGTCGCTCGACCTGGTTGCCCAGGCGGACATTGTTCTCGAGGATGCCTTCCATCTGGTCCTGGTAGTCTTGCTCCTCGCTCTCGAGGTCCTTGACGGCTTCCCGGGCTTCATCCAGTTCTTTGCGGACCGTGTTCAATTGAGCCGACTGCTCTTCGTTGGCGTGGGTGAGAGCCGCATTCCAATTTTCCAACGTCTTGACTTCATCAGTCAGCTGACGGGCATTGGAGACGAGGTTGGCGATACGTGCTCTCAAGATGATAACGACGAAGCGGAAGCCAAAGGAGATACTGGAGTCCTTTTGCACGGTATCTTGAGAAGACTCGTTGGGTATGATGTCAGGTTCCTCAGGATCATCGTGAGTCGACGTCGTTTCTTGGGTGGTGGTCGACTCCGCCACAAGGCTGGCAAAGACAAAGTCGTCAATGGAGCTAGGAAGAGTTTCAACTGCCCAAACATCACGTGTGAAGTCGACGTCTTCTTGTTCCAACACAGTGATGATGTGTATATACACACGCCACGAGATTACGGTGGCGATGACCAAAATTCCAAAGGTCGTCAGGAGAGTATGAGGAATTTCCAAGGTAAACGAGCCAATTTCGATTTTAGATGACAGACTTGCTCCAATGGGAACAGGCGTTGCAGCTTGATGACCACCAGACAAGAACCAAGCGAGCCACTTTGACTCGGGAAGATGACTCCATTTGTTGTTGGGATTGGTGTTGTCGTTGTCGGGTGTTGCCGAATCGGTTATATAATGCTCGTCCTTGACAATACCACTTCCAGGAGCAGTCTCAAAGGGTACGGCGCAATAATCGTCCACTTGAATAACTCTTGACGCATTGGTCGGCAGTGACTGTGGAGGTAGTCGCTGGAAATCCAGACGCGGTGAGATCATGTTGGGCGAAGAACAAAGAGGTGCTAGAAGTCCGGTGTTGAGAGGCACGTGGATGTTCAAAGAGATGCCTTGGTCATCCGAAACCGCGGAGATCAATCCAGGTCTGGGGACGTTGAGAAACCCAAGGAAACCATTCAGCCATTCTGAAGACTCGAAGATGGCAGGAGGAGAGACGCTGAAAGAGTCCAAGGGGATACTGATGGCCGGGAGTGACAATGACGGGACACCACCGACACCAGAAAAGGACCACCATGTCTGCAATCTCAACCAGATGACGGAGAGGAAGAGAAGAGCGTTTGCCATTTTTCTTTTTTTATATTTTTGGTGAAGAAATTGCAAGTTGTTTTGTTGGTTCAGAGAAGACCGGGAAAAAGAAGGTTAAAAGAGGTCTGAAGCGAACTTGGTAAACTGGCCAGCAGTTTGCAGTTTGCAGTTTGAAGTTTGAAGTTTGAAGTTTGGTGTCGTTGGGTTTGGTTCTTGTTTTGTTCTTCTTGTTTCTCAGAGCTCGATTTCCAGAAGAAATGGTCTTGAAGGTGTGGAAATGAAAGTGGAAAAGGGAAATGGTAATGGTAGTGGTAATGGAACAACAGATAGAGTCTGGTGTGTTCTGTAAGATACCGGCGTAAAAACAAAGAGATGATTGTTTCTGAAAGCACAAAGGGTCATTTAATTCATCAAATGATATTGTCGCCAGTTGGCAATCAGTGGACAATGAGTGGGCTGCTGCATCAATAAACAAAACAAGTTGTGGAAACAATGGGACAATGGAACCTGAACCCCCCCTTCAGCACCCATTGAATTGGTGTTTTTGCCAAAATTCTCGTGAATGGTGACAAGGCAGCGGAGCGCCGGCAGCAAATAGCGCAGTGAACGCGTTCAAAACGCACAAACAAGAACCTGTGAATCTGTCAATACAGGAAAAACCCTTTCAGCCTGGACAAACCATGATTGTTTTCAAAAAGAAGGGGCGGCCTTGACTCATCATCTCGAAAGGTTTCCAAGAAGTACAAACAGAATTCCTGCGAAAGAAAGAGACCATTGCAGGATCATAGGAATAGAGGGTATCATGATACTGGTACAAAAGTTCGTTGCTGCTAGTACATTACATCTGTTGCTCAAATGTGCGCCATCGCTTGCCCCGGTTGACAGAGAACCGCCCACATGCATAAAGCCTCCCCGGTGTTTGAACATGGACAAACTCTTGCAAGACACACACAAAGTCAAATGTCAAAGTCTCACTGTTGATGCATGGTCCCGTCATTCATGTTATCGTTGAATATAAAATCATTGTAGCCGCCGGATTGCCCAAAATCCGCCCAGTCCCATTCAAAAGTCATGGGCATTTGCCATAAATCTTGGGGTACAAAAGGTTGTTGAAAAGAACCGACATTAAGAGGCGACATGGTGGCGCTGGGCATTTGTCCCATGTCTGGACTCATACCATGCTGACTCATCATGTCAGGATACTCGTTCCCATCGAAACCGGGTACGTTGAAAAAGGTTTGAGGAGTGGCGTTGGTGTTGGCCATGGGTGTAGATTGTGTTGCAGGCACATTGATAGCATTCCGAGGAGAACCACCTGCCCCACTAGATCTTCTTGAGCTAGGTTTCCGTCCATTGATCTGAGCCTGAACTTGAGCCATGGCCGATTGATTGACCCGCAGTACTTCCTCGGGCACGAGTCTTCGTTTCCGTTTCGAGCCTTCCTTCTCGGCTTTCTCAATCACAACTCGTGCAATGCGAGCAAACTCCGAGCAGACGGTGAGCATGCGATTCAAAGACCCTGTGCCCTCATCATGGGCCACGTTCGATAGAAAGTTCACCACAAGGTCCATGAGCTTGATGTCAGCTCTGGCACGGGTATCTTGCGGATTTTGTAAAATGTTGGCGAACAATGTCACGAGTGCTGACACTGGAAAGTACAGAACCAACCAGACACATGCAAAGTCACCCTGTGGGATATACTTGATGAGGTGGATCGAGGCACGAGCTGCTGAAACACAGAGAGCGGCGGACGAGAATACTCTGGGGTTCAGTGGTCTGGCGTTCAGGCCTTGGATGGCGTACTCCGACAACCGACTTGTCCAATACCCATGATGGACTGACATTCGGTGTATTGTTGTTAAGCAGTTGTAATAAGAGAAGTGAAGGACGACGATATGTAGGATGAGGGGAGTATGTGCTGTTTTAATTTCATGCTCGGGTCGGAAGTCTAGTGGAATGCTGTCTTTCCACGCTTCCAATTCCCTGTCGAGCTCTCCGATCGTGTTGAGTAGTTCACCGTCGCTTTGTTTCGAAGCTTGTACTGAGTATAGTTGCCGGTAGACCTTGCTGGATATGATAGCGAACTCACACATAAGACGGAAGAGGTTGATCTTGCCCTTTCCATCGGCCAGTGGGACATTTCCTATGTTGTCCGGAGGATCTTCGGATGGCAATTCGACGTTCATGTCATCGTCATCTTGCGCGGGAGGTCGACCTGCACGCAAGCATGAGTCTTTATCGAGAAGATATGCGATCCAGAAGACTCGTTTCCGCTGCTCTGCCTCGATAGGATTCAAGTTGAAATTAGAGCCACGTTTGTGCAGTCCAATTGTGTGAGAGCATCTAATGGCGGCAGAGATAAGGAAGAAGGATGGCTGGGGGTTCGGTGTTCCTTGCAAGAACAGTGCCATGCCGAGGAGGGCCTGGACACTGAGCAAGTCGGTATTTCGCATCGTCAGCTCTGTGATGACTCCCATGGCATTCTTCAGATATAGCCAGGCTTTCTGGTCATCCTCTTGAGGAACGACATTGCTCATGACTCGAATGCGATAGGCGATGGCGAGGGCAACATTGATACTGGCCCACCAGCCACTGCCCTCGTACGGTTCTTTAGAATATTGCTTTTCCACTAGATGCATAAAGGTAGGTTCATGGAAGAGAGGAAACATGCAATTAAAGTTCTCGAAGAAGTCCTTGAATAGTGATAGGGCTTCCTCCTTGGGTGGCAGGGGCTTGAAGACACGGCGTACAAAGATGTCACCAAAGACTTCGGGTTTCCAATACTGCCACTTGTTGTCATCTTCGTTGACAGCATTCTGTATGGTCTCTTGGAAAGACGTGTCTCCTGTCTTTTCGTTGACCCATTCGATACCTTTACTGGAGAAGATGGAAAACGCCGAGGAAGAACCTAACCAAAGTCAGCGGAGGAGACGTAGGAGACGACGTGCCACTCACCAATGTATCTGGTCTCACCCACATTGTTGGTGACTAGCGAACACATGGCTTCGGAGAGGTTTTCCACTTCTTCACGAGACTTGTCACCGTCGACGGTACTGGGTGTCGTAATAGTATCTCGTGGTGTGTCATGTGAGTGATGTGTAGACCCCGGCCGGGGGGAACTCTCGGGGACTGAAGAACTCGCGCCACTCTTGGGAGCTCCAGGGGATTCTGTTGCTTTGGGCCCGGACTCTTTGGCAGAAGCTTTCTCCGCTAGGCGTTTCTCTAACGTACCCAGGTCTGTCTTGCCCGCATCATCTTCAGTTAGAAGACCGGACATGCGCAGTAACGATTCCATACGGCCTAGTCGGTTTTCTAAGCCCTCGATGTATTTGGCTCTAGCAGGTATGTCAGCCTTGCCAGGACGACCCCCCCGCTGGACATCATGGTTACTCACCCTTTGGGAGGATTCCGCTTCTTTTCCACCTGTGTAAAGACACACTCTGTTTTGTAGTTGATACAATGTCCGCACTTGGGCATCTTCCCGTCACACTTGATTTTCTTCTTCCGGCACATATCGCAAGCCTGGATTCAATGTCAGACAAGGTCAACTTTCTTTGGTCTCAGCTCGGGGAGGGTGACACACCCTAGCGATACGTCTACGCTTGGGATCATTCTCATCCACCATACCATCGTTCAAGTCTCCGAAGTAGGGACCGGGTGGCAACGTCGGAGGAATCGGTGTGCCGTCTGGGTTGTAGGCGCCGAAGATCTGGGGAGGGTGCTGAGGCATGAAGTGGGACATGTCATACCCCAGACTGTCCAGGCTCGGTCTGTGGTCCATGGCGGCGGCGACGCTGGACAGGCAAAGAGAAGTGCACTCGGGGGCCCGCAGCTTCTGAAAGATGATTCTTTGGCAGCGGAATGCAGCGATCCGCTGATAGTGGCCACAGGGCGGAGAAGTCTCAGGATTGATAAGCCAATGGGCGCATATTCGCAGGATGACAGTGCTGTATTACTGGGCGGAGGGCAGGACGAGGTTCGTTTCGTCGATGGCTGTGCTGCTGACGAGCACGGGCATACAAGCTGAGGGCGGAAGAGTAGAGAAAAAAGAAAGGATGGTGGAAGAGCGGAAGACGAACAGTTCCGAACGAATACTTGGAAGCAATCAAAGAGATGATGTGGTAAGGAGTCTCTGGGGTTTAGAAATCAGGCAGAGAAAAGTGTATCATCTTTAACGTGTTAGCGATGATGTGTGTGGTGGTGCAGCACGGCTAATGGGCAGGGATACGATTTACGACAGGGCCCCTGCCTTTGGCCCCGACAGGCCTAGTGTCGCTAGCCTATGACGAGATGGGTCGGAGCCTGAGTCCTGAAACCACCGCCCAAGCAACGCCCAAGAACAAGCGGAGTTCCGTACCTAAGCCTATAGTGCCACCCTCGGGGCTATTGAGCGAGTGCAGTAGGCTCATCCAGGCCTCCCCCGGGCACTCCCCTGCACCCCCGTCGGTGTTAACGGGCTTCCCTGTTTGCTACCCTGTGGCGTGTGTCAGGCTCACCAGGCTTCGATTCCTCTACAAGTCCAGTATCCATACCTCCTCGCTTCAGGCGGTCTGCCCATGTGTCTCAGCCTTTGTATTTCTTCCCACTCGTACCCTTTTGGGCAGGGGATTTGTTTCATTGCCACCAAAAGGGTGTCCTGGCTCTCGGTAGCGTGACATTTGCAAACACATCCGCATACCACAATGGACACCCTGCACCTTGCGAGAAAAAAACGTGTGGACGTCCGTGGAGACTCCGTGCCCGAGTAACAAAAGTCTCCATGACGAGCGACGGATGATACGAAAATGCTGGTAAAAAACCTCATATCGGAGAGATTCTCATTCCTGGCCCGTTCGACAGCTGTCGCCTATCGAAGTTTCTCGCTTTCGTGTTCAGCGTTTGGAGCCCGCAAGAGCGGCTAGACTCGCCAGAAGTCGCGAAGTGCCTTTCCACCACGACCCTCCGCTCGTCCTCCGCCTCCAATCACTAGTGTACACACGGACGAGGACCTTTGAATAGTTTCCGCGTACTCGGAGCCCGGATTCAGCCATGACCGGCGGGCCCGAGATATGCCTTGCATCTCGTCCGAAAGAATCGTGCCATGGCTTATGGCTGATTAGTGCCAGTCAGTGCAGATCGTACATGTGCTGGCGGACTTCGAGTGCCCGAATCGGCCGAATGCGCATGATTTTTTCTTCTCTCTGCGCAGGGCGTCCCGTGGTCGAACCAGCCTTCTGACCAAGCGAAAAGCTTCCCCACGAGCAAAAACTGTCTGTCTTACCAATACGGCAGTTCCAGACTGCGAATGAGTGGCTCAGGCAGCTGACAAGAAGAATGGACCAAAGGGAATTGAGATTTGCCGAATGTACCAGGATGGGTATTCACTTCGACGTCGGGCAAATTGGGGACTGGGACTCATTATTTCATCCCCGACGCGGTTTACAGTTCCCGACTGGAAAACTCTACCTGATCGTCGGGGACAAAAGACCTTGCATTGTAGAGAGTCATCGTGTGACTTCGCGTTGATATGAGCATCCTCGCCGTGTCGGTGTTGAACTTCGGCGATTGCTGAAGAGCGAGGTACGAAAGTCTAAGAAGCGGTCAATACGTGTGGAATGTGTTTTTCAACTTCATTCACATTCCTCTGCTGCAGCTCCAGGCTGCGTATGTACACATACAGGTAGGTAGGTTCACTCCATCCTCCATCCCTCACACATCAGGCTCTTGGGTTCATCCGGCCCAGCCACTCACTCCTCCTCCCCAAAGCCAGCTGGCGCAAACTCCATGTCATCATCATCATCATCCTCTCCAAAGTCAGCTGGCGCCATGCTATCACCCTCCTCCTCCTCCACCTCCAACACCAATGCCTCTCCTGGCCCAACATCACCCCCATCCTCCTTCCCATCCTCCTCACCCTTCTCCCCCATGTCGGCCTCAACTCGAGGACTTTGTGCCTCAACTCGAGGACTTTGTTCTTCGACATGGGGTGCCGAAGGTAAGACGATCTTGTCAATGATGATCTCCAGGTCATCATTCTCCTCATCGTCAATATCTATCGTGGTGCCATCCTCGTTGTCGTCGAGAAGGACACCAGCAAGGGCCGCACTCTGAGGAGCGATGGGACATTGGACAGTCCCCGCCCCCCGAACGCGAGGCGCCAGAATCTTTCGGTCCGGACGCGCCACCAACTCCAACTCCGACTCCGACTCTTCGTGAGTCGATTGATCTTCGAATGAGTCCATGTCTCGTTTTCCGAGACCCGAAAAAGGAGTGCCAGGAGTCACACCAGCGGTGTTGGTACCACTTGGCTGGGCGTCCTGCACCAGAGCAAATCGACCACGAAGGCGGTATGCGTTGCGGCGGTCCGCGAACACAGAAACACCCTCATCCGGCACCCTAAGGAAGGGGCACGGCACGCCATTGTTTCTCAGGCGACGAGGGAACCGCTTGTTGTAGTGGAAGTCGTCGTCGCAGGGGTTGGTCTGGGTGGCTACCGACCGGTAACCACCAAAGGTCTGAGTTGTCTGACAGGCGACCGACACGCGACCAGCGCCACGTCGGCCACCCTTGATGGTGGTGATGGTGAGGCACACAACCTCAAACAAGGTCTTGCCAGTGCATTTCTGGCACGCGATCGAAATGTTGGTGATTGCAAATGCAATCAAAGAGAGAGCGAGACAGATGTCTACAAATCCAAAGATTTGAGACAGCAGTCCCCAGAAGAGTTGGTAGACGGAGATTGTGTAGAGCATGGTGATTGATTGTTCGAGTGATTGTTCGTTCGGTCTGTTATGGAGAGAAATGTTTTCGAGAGAAGGAGAGATGATGCTGTTAGATGAGGATTCAGGTAGCTTGCCGGGCGGTGAGGCAGGGTACGGTTGAAAAGCTTTTGCAACACTAAAATTTCAACACACAGTGAAGAAGCCATTGATGAGGAGATTTTCCTGCTGTTAATGGTGGTTGCCATGGCGGTACGAAGTGAATATCACAATAGTGAGTACCAATATACAGTGACAATAGCAGTGGATGTTGGGCGGTCAGGGGGTGTAAGTGAATAGCACCGAGGCGCTTGTCAATTACGAATAGGATATTGGCATTCATGAAGACAGAATGAAATCGCGCCTTGTATTCAGAATCGACTGGATTATACAGTATACCTTATTCTGCTCCTCGCACATTTCGTTTCCGCATGGTGGAAGAAGCAGAGGTCGAAATGCGAGGGGTGGTTTTGGCCATGTTGTCGCATTATGTGCTCGTCCGAGCCAATCTAGCTAGCACTGAGCGAATGATGCAGTCTACCATTTCCTCCTGCTATCTCAGACGACCGTTGACATGTAAAACCTCGAATATGTAGACATATTCGCACTCGTCGTATCTCGTATTTCATCAACGCCAATCCACCAGGTCTCGGCAACATCCGATGAAACAGCCACAAATTCGCATGTGCAGATCGTACGAGAAACGTGGATGACGTCGTTGGCCTCGGCCCACGACAAGGGTCAAGGTCCCTTTGTGACGAGTAACAACTTGAGACGAAGATGGTAAACTCAGCAACCAAAAACCGGTTTTCGAAGTGCGTCAAGGTGAGATACGAGCATCAAGAAACACATAAAGATATCGCAAAACATTTCCGGTGTACCAAGGCATCGATTTGATTTCTTTACAATTCTCTATCCTCGCTGCAAATCTCCCACACACAACAACACCACGACGGTACCGTTCATCTATTTCCCTGCCAAACAAACAGTCCCTCTTGCCACTGTCCTACTACGAGTATACCACCACCATGTCAGACGACGCAGGATACTTTAAAAAGACATCAGAGGCCGTTGCGAATGCCGGTGCATCCGTCGCTGGTGCTGTTTCAGGCAGTCTCAGCCTTGGAGCCAATGCCAGTCACAAGAAAACGACAACTACGAAGACGAGAGTCCCCGTCGACGCCTCAGCCCAGCAGCCTCAAATCATGAACGGAGCAGGGCAACCACCGCAGGGACGCATCACTACTGGAGGTGTCGGTGAGCAAAAGAGGCTGACCAAGAACGAAGCCGATGCCTTGTATACCGAGAGGATGGAGGACGAATATGCAAAGCGTGAGGGAGGAGCCTGAGCTTTTCTCGGGCGCATTGTATACTAGAGACAAAAAGGGCGAAGTAGGAATATTTGGTAGGACAAATAATGAGGAGTCGAGGACTGATTACTATGCATTCCAACTTGCTGCAGTGTGATTGTGTCGTATTGCGTGCTACTCCAGTCCTCGACATCCAAGGACGACCACCTTGAAGCACACGAACCCATGTTTATATTCAGACTTGAAGAGAATGTCCAAGCGCCAATCTCTCCTAATAGAAACACTTGTACTCGCAGTTTTGTCGATTGAAACACCAACACCAACGGAGACACATGCGAAAGTGTATGCATCACAAGGCTGAGCCAATGACGTCGAGCGGGATTCCAATTCCTCGCCTATTTTTGAATATTTGCAGATCACACTATTGATGTTCTACCCGTACGAACCACCACCACACCATCCCTCACCGCAGCCTCGTGTGCCAGATCCAAACAACCCAGACGGAGTTCTCGCGAAACCCAAAGTATTTGTTACTTTTACTAGATAACTAAAAAGCCACTATCCAAAAGCATCGCTCTCGTACGCCCACGCACCACCATGTCTCCAAACCTCACTCGAGCCCTTTCCATAATCGACGCAGCCCATGCCGAAGACCCAAACAAAATCACGGTCCAAGACACCTCCGTCCCATATGAACTACACTACGCCCAGAAAATGACCAAATTCCTCATTCTGCACACTCCCGACCCATCGCCGCTTCTCCAGACGGCAGCACGAGCCCAACACTTCCGCCGCTGGGAAGTGCCCCGCGACTCCTACCCTCGCACCAAGCCAGGGTACTTTGCGTGGCGCACGTTCCTGAAAAATCGCCAGGCCGAACAAGTCAAGCAGATTTGTCTCGAGTGCGACTACACGGCCGAAGAGGCGGACAAGGTGGCCGCACTGATCGCCAAGGAAGATCTCAAAAAGGGAGAAGGCAAAGGAGACCCGGACGCGCAAATCATCGAGGACGTGGCGTGTCTTGTGTTTTTAGACGATCAATTCGACGAGTTCGAAAAGGGTCACGACGAGGAGAAGATCATTGGCATATTGCAAAAGACATGGACCAAGATGGGCAAGAGGGGACAGGAGCTCGCATTGGCCATGGATTTGAGTCCCAGGGCAAAAGAGATGGTGGGTAAGGCTCTTGCAGGTTGACGTTTCCCGCTCTTCCCTTCGTTTCCGCCTTTGTATTGAACCGAGTGATGAATGATCCAAAGAGACGAGCTTGGGTCGATTCGCCCGGATGGACCAAGAGCTCATACGGAAACACACATCGGACGAACTCGCCAGAGAAGAGACCCAACCTCGCACGAGTATGCCTTTATCTGGAAACCAGCCTCCGAAGCTTTGTCATCCTGGTGTTTTCTTTCCATCCTGTCCGCCTCATACTCGAGAGTCGAAGCTTTCTTCTTCGGTCGGTTGACAAGGGACCAACAAGCAACCACCAATCAATAATCAAGCTCCCTCTCACCTGTTTCCCGGAAACACCCTTGGGTCTCGCACGTCACTCGAAAGATCAACAGGACTCTGTACCACACATCACGGAGATACAAGTCCATATTCAGCAACTTCTCGGCCAACCTGTCACACACTTGCATATGTATTGTACGGAGATAAACTTCGGACTTATGGCCCTCTCGTCGAGATCTTGCACCAAGCACTACCGACGGGAGTACGAGTTGACAGCATTGTATCTCGACCCTGTCGACACTCGATTCTTAACGATCCTGTCCCTGTACGATGAACAATACGCGACAAGGTTAGTCTGGGTGGCTTCGTCGACACTACTAAACCCTCGACCTGACCCAACCTTTTGGGGAAAAAACAAGACAAGAAGCTAGCGCGGCTCAAAGGAGACAGGGGGTGGAAGGAGCGGTCGGTTGAAAAAGTGGCAAAATGTTTCCCTAGAGGTTGTACCCGTACGGAGATCCCGTTCGCACCTTTTCTTTATACCAGGTACGGACGGACCCCTACTCCGTACGAAACTAAGCGAAAAGAGGTCAACTTGTCTGAAAATGGCGAATTCAGCGAACACGGCCTCGTCCGTAAGCCTAGCATGTAGCTTGGTTGCGAAATTTCCTCACTCAGACGGCTTCAACCAGGCCAGGCGGACCTCTAGTACTAAAAACTAAATCCTTGATGATCGATCCTCGATCCTCTTTCGCGAGGGGTCCCTTTTCCCCCACCACACGAGCCAACCCTTCGTAGGTACCGTACTGTACAGTACCAGTCTGGTACGGGAGTACGGAGTTACTCGTGGACGAAGCCAGGGTCGGACCCGAGATAAAAACTACGAGCGCGAGTAGTAATCAGACCACTCGTAACTCCGTACGGAGTACTCCCTACTTGCTTAGCCATGTGTAAATCTTCCACCGGGTGCTTGCCACGGCCTTTTTTGGGGGGGAGGCGCGGCCGAGCCTGTCCCTCGAGATCTCGAAGTCTCTGATAGGATACGTCGAACTCGGTACTCCCGTACGGGTATTGTTACAAGTACACACGGGAGAGTTGAAAGAGAAAGGGTGGAAAGTGGGAACCAGTTTTTGGCGTTTGGCCCCCCCTGATTATCATCCATCTCTGTGCGACACGGCGGATGTTTTTCTTGGACTGAGACCGCACCGGGGATCGCAACCGACGGAGGACGGGGGGGTTTGAAACGAGAATGGGCAAAAGGCGAATACGAGTACGAAGTCGACAGCAGAAAAAACAAACCAAACCTGTGGTTTTTGACGGGTGCCTATTTTTTTTACTTACAGTAGTACTCCGTACTCCATACGCATACCGTACGTCGTACTCTTGTCCCATCTTGTCCAGCCCAAGGGGGGGAGGGGGGGGGGGCGTTTGAGTACTTGTGGACCCTACTCGTTGTCGTTTTCGTTTTCGTATTCGTATTCGCGGAGTCCACAACGACCACCAAGGTACTGTCCTCTACTCGTTCTCACGGTCACGGCATCAGATCAAGCCCCCATTGTATAGTGTGCTCGGCGCATCAAGCCTGTTGTCTCTTGTACTCGTCAAACTGCCTCTCGCTTGTCTCGAATCAGGCAGTGCTGGTTCTTGTCATGCCCCTTGGACGTTGGATCGTCTCGCGTCCATCGACCGAGCACCAAGATTCGTTCATGCCATGCGCCAACAAGACATCAAGGGGCTCTCAAAGCTCTCAAGCATCCAATTTCCAGCTCTTCAGCTCTTCAGCCCCCCCAGCTCTCGACTCTTGCAATTTCCATGCCGACCACGTCCCGCTTCCGGGCAATCCCAATCAATCCCGGTCAATCTCACAATCTTCCCACGTCATTGATCGTGCTTTCCAACGTACGCTGCGCGTCAGATGTTTTTTCCAACTCACATGCCATCGCTCATTGTTGTCGCAGACGGGTCAACACGCGTGTCCTTGTCGTCACTGCGATGGGCACCTATTCTCGTCGTTGTAGAGAGACACCGGTCGTTCTGTTCGCCTCCTCTCCCGAGAACACTTCCGACACAGGCACATGCCACCCGTCCAAGGCCGTAACTTCTCCTCTCTGACATCGTGACCCTCTCGCAAGTCTTCGTCGCTGAGGTAGCTGACGTACAGCTCTTCTCCACGCTCGATCTTCCTCGTGGTCGTCACACAAATCGCACTGTCCTCATCCTCCGAATCGCTGCTCTTCACGTTCGGCTGGCAACTGTGATTGAAAAACGCATACATGGTGTTCACAGCCACCATGTCGTCTCCGTTACCGCCGCTGTAACCCCGCATGTTGGTTTGAATGCGATTTGCAAGAGTCTCAAGTACCCATGCCTCCGCCAGTTCGTCTTGGAATATGTCGACGCCGAGTTTCTGCAGGAATTCGAATCGGAGGCAGACGTCTTCAGTATACGAGAATCTCTTCGAGGCTCCAGCACCATCATGATATCGTGCCGTAAGGTAATTGAGCATTCGAGTTTGTAAAGGGTGTCGGCCAGGATATCTTTGCGTGGATTTGTATACCACTTCCAATGCTCGCTGGAACAGAAAAATCTCTTCCTTCCCCGTGGTCTCCTCTAAGTCATGGTCCGCGAAAAAAGATTGAAAGCCTTCAGGTCTAGAGACTGTTTCTCCTAGGTCCTGTTCGTACCGATAGAATGTTCCAAGACCGCATGCGGCTCTGAGGTTCCGGAAGCAGTTTCGGTCGCAGTAGAGCTTCCCCAAGAACCGGCTTGCGCCTAGACTGAGATCGGCACAACATGTTGCACAACGATACGAGCCGTCGGTGGCACATAGGATGGTCTTGTCCAGGAAAAGCTTCGTGTCCGCAGGAATATCTGTCATCGCGAAAATGCCGTAAGCATCTTGGTCATGCTGTATCTGACCATAACTACGCAAAGTGTCAGACAGTCTGCTCTTTTTGATGACAAGTTTGTTTTGACTGAGAGCTTCTAGAGTGTTGTTGGCCCGTTGGATAGCATTTTCACTGCGGCGGAATAACGCTTCTGGGAGCCATGGGTAAGCGACAACTTTGACATCTCCCTTGCGTATCGTTTGAAGTATTTCCTGCTCACCGGAATCTCTCCAGGTGTCTTCTTGAAGGAGATATCTTTTCTCATGGCGGAGCGCACGTTCTGCATATTCTTTTAGCTTCAGATGGTCTAGAAAATCCGAAACCGTATGGCCACGATGACAGCCGTTTTGACTTGTTATTGAAATGCTTCGTTGTATGACGGTAATACATTCAGAAAAGCAACGGGCGACGAAAAGTGCCTGCGCTAGTACGAACAGTGCCGATCGTAGACCTATACCGCCGCTGTGCTGACTTGATCGCATATCTGGCTTCCTGTTCTGTATACAAGGTTTTGGCATAAGCGATGGTATTGTAAAGTGATAAGCAGAGTATGGGTCGCAGCGAAGTTCTCACCAAATGCATTAAGAGCAGGACTTTATGGACCTCCGGAATTACCAACTCTGGATACTGTAGCATAAGCAGTACTTTCGCACTGGCTAATCGCTCAGCAGGATCGAATGGGTTTTCAATTATGCGTACGGTGATTGATCTCAGGCGACGTTCAAGGTCTGGTAGCTCCTGTATAGATCATCAGTGTTCAGTAGCCAGGAAGGTGCTGAACTGAGTCTTACGCTTGAGTGTGGTGTCTGCAGACATGAATTCTTTGCAACATAACTCTCGAAGACACGTTGGCTGCCACCCTCGTACTCGACGATGCTAGGCGCCCATGGGCGAACCCACTTTCCATCCATAAGCCCAATCCTTCAGGTGGGAAGAGACCCAGCGTGAGATAACTGTCGACAACGAAAGGACTGTGGCTGGCAAGAGAGGCGTGGATCAAGGAGAGGTTTGGTGTCAGGAAGGAGTTCTTGAGTAAAGTGAATCTCACTGATCTCCTGCTGAATGTGAGCTCACCACAAGGAAGTCAATTTGTGAACGGCAGGTCATTCACTGCTCATCAGCAAAGTTCAGGCCAATTGAGCCAGCATTGAACAGCAGCAGGTGAAAAGGCTTGTGATGAAACCGAAGTACGGTCTTCTGCTGCCAGATGATTCGGATCGAAGATTGAAGAAGCCAAGCCATAAGTGATCGTTGTAGAGGCCGGTGTTGCAGCATCAGCCAACATGGCGGTTGCAGATGGCGGCTGAAACGACCTCATTTATGGCGCTGTGGACGGTGAACCTGGACTGCGACGAGCTGAAGGGACTGAAAACTGAGTATAATGTAAAGTTCCGCTGTGAAATGGTTCTTTGCTTATAGTCCCAAGGCTTTCGTGTGGTCACACATGTGAAGCGTGGAGAGCCTGGCTTCCGTCAACGGTAGTATCATGAATGAAGATTGTGATGTAAGTTGTAAGTGAATGACGCTGCAAACAACTGACTTCCCATAGGCCATTTAAAATTTGATAGTTAAGATAATTATGTATGGTAAGTCCCTTTTGAAGGATTGTCCTCAGGCAGACCATTTGCGGAACTCGTGATATGTGTTCTCATTACAAGTCAGCATTGACCTGTAGGTCCATTCATGCGCTCAGATTTCACACGAGAAGGTGATCTCAATCACCGTGTCATGTCTTCATCATCCAATAAATCAAACACTTGACCTTTCCGCGAGTTCATATCTTGCTCGATATCAACGTTACGTCTCGCAAAATCCGCATCAGCTTCGATAAAAGCTTCCTCATCATTCGGCAAAGTGGAGGACTTGTTCTTCTTGTTCTTGCGCTTCTTAGTGTTGCTGACAGCGTGATTAAGTCCTTCGGTCAAGGCTGCAACTGGCGTACTACCGGAAATGGGAAAATCTGAAGTGATCTTGGTTTCTCGATATATGACAGCATCGTCCTCGTCCATCGGCGGCTGGAGCGAAGTAGAAGGTACCTGTTGAGAGTGTATGTCGCCACCAAAAACCCACTTGTCAGTGATTCCAGGCATAGTCCGTGACGAAAAGGCTTTGTGCTGTCCAGACATGGTAGAAAGGAGCCCATCAGACAACCGATCTTCAAGCAACGAGATGATGACCCGATGGTCGCAGTGGAATGGCTGATATGGCGCATTTGTCTCAATTTCAGCGGACGCTAGGGGGTGTGACATTTTCACTCCGTCGGCTTTGCTTGCTCTAAACCTCCAGAATCCAGTTGCGGGAGGAGTTCCACTATCCTCGTTGCGCGCGACATGTCCTCTATACAAAGGATCTCTGATCATGTCGAGTCCTTTCGGTAATTTGGTTACCACAGGTTTTCGGGCATCAAAGACGGAAACTGTTTGCCGCTGCCGGTCTTCTCTCGGCTTTGTCATCCGGACGTAATAGTCCTTGATGGTGTGTAAATCCAAAATTGACAACACGGTTCTTCCTTCCCGTCTTTGCCAACAAAGCATACCTGGCCGAGCTGGGATCTTCAAATAGAGTCTGCTCTGATTTGCGTGACGAATATTCGTGACGGTTTCGCTGGCAGCTCCAAGAGACTTGCTAAGACCTGCAGCTACAGCTCTGCCTGATTTCAAGCCAGTGGTAGAAGCTAGTCCAATCCCCGAAGCCCCAAACCCAGTGATCCCACCGCTATTTATGCTGGGAGCTCGACCTCGTAGATTCGCTAGCATTGGCTGTGTTCTGCCAGCAATACTCATAGCCGAGGCGAAGAAACCTCCCGCTGGGACAGGTTCCTGTTCTGTCTTTGCTTGTGGAGGTTCGACAGGGGCTGAAGATGGGCGTTCTCTCTTGGTATGTGGCGGAGGCCATTGGAAAGCAGTCTTGGGTAGATCAAAAATATGTACTGTTCGATTCTTCGTGAGTAACGCGAACCTATAACCTGTCGGCCCGTCCCAAGCAAGATCGATGATGGTGGAAGGACTCAGCCGCTCATAGCGGGCAATCTGCCGTACACAGCCACTGTTAGGTGTCGAGGTCGTCTGCGAAACTTTTACATGCTTCATTTGTTGCAAATCCCATATATACTGCACGTCACCCTTGCGATTTGCAGTGAGAAGACCAAGTCCACTGGGGGTAAAGGAGAGAAAGCTGCAGCCTCCTGGCGGTTGAAATGTGGCAAGGGGGCCGACTTCGACGCCTCGCCTGCCCTGGGCGTCTTGCAGAGACTTCAAATCTAGAATCGAGACTACCTCAGGGTCTTTTGGAATATTCGAGGATTCCACTGCATGCGTGGGCGGGAATTGTGCCATGCCGAATTGTGGCGAGTACATCGGTGGACTTGGGGAGGAAGTTGTGGGAACGTTGTCGGTGCTTGAGTCCTTCTTCCAGTAGTTCTGCCACGTCTGCACACCTTTCTCGCCAATCCATTTGGCACTTCTAACAGCTTCCTGCGCTATGCCTTTGGCAACCTTGCCGAAGAAGGTATCAACATCAGGGGATTCTACCTCACACGTTACTGGAGGTCGCGATGGAGGTGTTCCAGCAGTGATATTGGAGTTTTTGTTATGGATGACAGAATCGCCGAGAATCGCACCAATCGATCGGCGAGAAGGAGTGCCCGCGGGACAGAATGCTAGCCATCGACCATTCAGACTAATAATCGCTGAATTTTCCGCGTCGATTCCGCGACCAAGGTCTGCAGGCGATATTTCAGCGTCCGAGGTCGGCTGCGACGAGTCTCTCCTCTGAAAGTGTGGTTGTATGGTTGTCCAGAACTTGCCTAGACACTCAAAAACAGTAGAGTCATGGTCCTTTCGCGCAGAGAAGACGAATACTTCGCCACTGTCGCCAGAAGACACGACGATGGCATTCCCACTTGCATATGTCTTCAGATTTGCTGCAGATCCAGGCGGTAACACGCCTCCGTGAAACATCCTCATGGGGGATGGTACAGACAGCAAATCAGCCACATGACATCCCTTGGCAATGGAATATACCATAACCTTGGTCTCAAGGTACACGCCTGTCGCATCTGACGAGGGTCCATCCCTATTCTCACCCTCCACGTTGGTTGGCCCATGTACGGTCAGTGCCACTAGAGGCCGATATTCCGCAAAAGGATCACTGCCAACGTTCCAGGTAAGTACGCAGGCGTCGAGGATTTCACCCCGGACACCTCCCAGGAATCCAGAATGTTCCAACTTCTCACCATTGTAGGTCAGAATATTCAACTCTTCGTCCCCTATCATGAAGACGGCTTCACGAGCTTCGTTGCCAGGTGCTGGATGACGGGAGAATTTGAGTGCAACAGGATCTTGAATATTCATTTGTGATGTGGCATTTGCAAGGCCTAGGTCGACATCATGAGGGCCGTAGAAATGTTGTTGGGGCAGATGCGGCGGTACAGGTGGCGAGCCATAGGCATTCACCGCGTAACCGTAGGGTGAAGTCGAAATCCTGTGGTGAGGAGGTAGAGGGGGAACGGCGCTCCCATAACTCACAGGTCTTGCTTTCCTTACCGGCGGAGAAAGCGGGGGACTTCTAGCGAAGCCGCCGCGGGTGCTGAAGCCAGGCTCGTAAGGAGGTGTTCCCGAGCTGAAGCCAGGGATCGGTTCAACGGGCGGAGACCTGCCGTAAGCAGTGCCTCGTGCCCAGACATTGGTAGGAGGCGTATGTTCGTCGGAGACTTTGAGTGTAGAGTCCACCTCACTCAAGGCATCAGAACTATCATTTCTCTGGCCGTTCTGAGGGAAGTTGGACTTCAGCTGTCCGAGTATTGACTGCGGGTTTGCGGGCTGGCGTGACTGTTGACCCATCTGCTCTGAAGATAGGGGTTCTTCGGCATTGTCGAGGCAGGATGGCTGTTTTGCAGCAGCATGCTTTGCCTTCTTCTTTCCCACCTTCGGTTCTTCTTCTTGGAGTATGTCTTCTGGGTCGAGGAGGTCGGGGGGTGGAGCAGGTTTCCTGTTGCTGGTGGACTTGGATTTGTTGACTGCTGGCATTCAAAATGAGATCAGTAGACGCCAGGGGCACAGCAGGAGCAGCCCTGGGCAGACCACTGGTATGGTAATTGCCTGAAGTCGACCGTGGTCGAGATGGTGATGTGAAGGAGGGACAGAGTCGGCGATCGAGGAGAACCCCTGGCCGACGCGGGGTGTGGATGCGTCGCTGGTCGAGGGCGTGACCGGGATAGGCGGACACCTGATACCGCTGGGAGTCGATATGAAACGAAGCTTGGTTTGGAGCAGAGACTGTAGCAATTGATACAGGAAAAGACAGGTTTTGGATATACGGAGTAACAGCAGAGGGAAACTGCAGTCAGAGAGGTTGTTTATATGGAAACAGGCGTCGTGGTGGTTGAGTCACTAGCCAGACATTGGAGTTGCTGCTTATCGGGCCAGATACCGAACCACGAAGGCTCTCGGGGGCTCGTGGATGGAGTTGGTCTTGGTTGCGTCCGGGTGCGGGGAGGCCTCATTCAGTTAGTTCTCTTTATCTACACGCGGAGGGTCTTGTGCAGGCTAAGGAGTATGAAGTCGTAGTTCTCGTATATGATGATGATGCCGGTGGCTGGGGGTTTGGCCATGTCAGTTGACCATGTCCGTTTGCAGCTCACTTTTTCTGCTAATGATCAGAATCATCATCAATGCTCAACCTCAGCGACCCGTTGCACCATGTGACGATGGCCTCGGCTCGCCCTTCACTGGTAAGCATCATCCCCATGCTACGGAGTACTCCCTATCAGTCTGTCATTCTGCCGGCCTGTACAACAACTCTTGTCAGCGGCGCATCGCTCTGCTTTCAGGCTGTCATAGTCCTCAAGCACATGACGAATCCTCCCTGCCCTCAATCAGTCAGTTTTCGGACTTGGACCCTACGGTAGCAGTCGTTGCGAAATTGGAACACATAAAAGAGCAGGGTGCGGGTTCAGGACGAAAGTTGGATGCATATGAAGAAGTCTGGACTTTTGTCATGAGCATTGCGGCATGGCGGTATAACTCCAATTTGTCGACTGAAGACCAAGACTGTATGCATCCACGCGAAGTAACTATCTTCCTATCACCTGGACGCCAAAGTACTGTTTCGAGAACATCCTACTCGGACTCGAAGCCTCCCATTTTCACAGTCGATGGCGCCAAACATGCTTGAACCATTACACATGTGGCCCGTGCCAGTGTTTGAGAGCTTACAACACTTTTCTTTGTGTCTGTGTCGTTCCAAGTACATTGAAGAGATGGACGCCAGTTGATTCATATATACGGAGTGGCTCTTCTTCTTGTTCCAATTTGTATCTCCTCATTGCACTTATTTCGACTTCTTCGCTGCTGCAGCCCGTGCCTTTGCCGCCTTCTTTCTGTTGCTTCTGATCATGACCATGGCGAGGAATGTGCCGACAACAGCTGAGGCCAGAAGAGTAAGAATCACTGGAATGCGTATAGCCCAAACACGAGGAGGAAAGAGTGCTTGAAGCGGATGGTCATCGTCGACAAATGGCTATCCCGCGTCAGTCCCAAAAAAACTTGTTCAGTATCAAGAACATGTGCGTACCATGAAGAGAGTCCATAGTGTATAATACAGGAAAATCGTCGTGGCTGCTATGAGCATAGCCATGCCCACTAGTTTGTCCAGCTGCCACAGGTCAGTATTGGAGCGCGGTTTGAGTGACATGACAAGATATACCATCTCTGCCTATCCACAAGTTCTCACTTGTTCCGCAGTTTCAAAAAGTTGCCCGTCGCAAGATGTGAAGAACGTGATTAAATGCGTGGTACACAAAGAACACGCTGTGTTGAAACTGGACACGAAAGCCAAAGTCCAAAATCGCGCGACTCGTTCCCCATACTCGTCCTATTACCATTGGCGGCGAAATGGCTGCGGCCAACGGGCTTGGCACTAAGATTTTCCGATCTGGTCACCTCCGACTCCAAACGCCTCTATGTACAATCACATCGTTGCCTACTTGTCCAAACTTTTTTTGGTCAACCCAACACAGTATGCGGATTTGACCTCGTCTTCTGCCACCGACAATCGATTGTCGCAACACATCGACATCATCATGGCGGACACCATGACTTTGTCTTCGGCTGTACGGCTTCCAACACCTCCTCCCGGCGGCTCTTATTCACCTGGGCCATCAGGCGCAAGAAAACGCTCGCCGCCTTCACGATCCCCTTCACCTCGGCGTCGTCGAGTAGCCCGCGCAGAAGAGAGTGGCAGGCAGAAGCCGCATGGTGAGGAACAGGAGCGGGAAGTGGATGACCGAGAGCGGGAGCTCATGGCAAGATTCAAGCCTCGAGAAAAAGAAGAAGTGAAACGCAAGCCATTGACTGCAGAAGAGAAACAAGCTGCCGCCAAAGCCGAATATGAGAAACTTCTCACCATGAGGTCGGGAGGTACATACATTCCACCTGCAAGGTTAAGGGCGCTGCAAGCAGAAATCACGGACAAAAGCAGCAAAGAGTATCAGCGCATGGCATGGGAAGCACTCAAGAAATCCATCAATGGTCTGATCAATAAAGTCAACGTCTCGAACATCAAACATATTGTTCCCGAGTTATTTGGAGAGAACTTGGTTCGAGGACGGGGATTGTTCTGCAGAAGCATCATGAAAGCCCAGGCAGCCTCTCTACCTTTCACCCCAATCTATGCTGCAATGGCTGCAATTGTCAACACCAAACTTCCCCAGGTCGGCGAGTTGCTCCTCAACCGTTTGGTGGTCCAATTCCGCAAGGCTTTCAAGCGAAACGACAAAGCCGTCTGTATCTCTTCCACTACTTTCATTGCCCATCTTTGCAACCAGCAAGTGGCGCACGAGACGGTGGCTGCTCAGCTCCTCCTGCTACTTTTGCACAAGCCAACAGACGATTCAGTGGAAATCGCCGTTGGTTTGACAAGAGAAGTAGGACAGCATCTGGAAGAGATGAGCCAGCCGATCGCATTGGCAGTGTTCGACCAGTTCCGAAGCATCCTTCACGAAGCCGACATTGACAAGCGAACACAGTACATGATCGAAGTCTTGTTCCAAGTGAGGAAAGACAGATATAAGGATAACCCTGCCATCAAGGAAGAATTAGATCTGGTGGAGGAGGAAGACCAAATCACACATCAGGTTGACTTGGACGATGATATCGAAACACAAGATACACTCAACATTTTCAAGTTCGATCCTGAATGGGAAGAGCACGAAGAAGCGTATCGAAAACTTAAGGCCGAGATCCTAGGAGAGGACAGTGGTGATGAAGAAGACGACGGAAGTAGTGATGACGACGAGAGTTCCGATGATGAAGAAGCTGAGCAAGAACGAGCGATGGAGATCAAAGATCAAACAAACACCAATCTGGTCAATCTACGGCGAACCATCTACCTCACCATCATGTCCAGTTTAGACTTTGAAGAAGCATGCCACAAGTTGATGAAAGTGCAACTTCCAGCTGGCCAGGAACCCGAACTACCATCCATGATTATCGAATGCTGTTCACAAGAGAAGACATATTCAAACTTTTTCGGTCTTATTGGTGAACGTTTTGCGAAGCTCAACCGCCTCTGGACGGACCTGTTCGAACAGGCCTTTGCTAAATATTACGACACTATCCACCGGTATGAAACCAACAGGCTACGCAACATTGCCCGCTTCTTTGGGCATTTGCTCAGCACTGATGCCATTGGTTGGCATGTGCTCTCGGTGGTGCATTTAAATGAAGATGAAACCACCTCCAGCAGCCGAATCTTCATCAAGATCTTATTCCAGGACCTAGCCGAGTCTTTGGGCATGCCTAAATTGCAAGAACGCATGAAAGACGATATCCTCCGCCCGAGCTTCATGGGTATCTTCCCAACAGACAACCCACGAAATACACGCTTTTCGATCAATTACTTTACAAGTATCGGCATGGGCGCGCTTACCGAAGAAATGCGAGAATATCTCAAGAATATACCAAAGCCTGCACCTCCAGCGCTTCCTGCACCAAAGGATGATGACGTTTCGGACTCGGAAAGTGTCAGCTCGTACTCGAGCTACTCGAGCTACACGACTAGTCGATCGTATACTAAAAGCCCGACACCTGATCGTCGGGGCGCGGCACGTGGAAGGGGACGAAGCGACAGCCGTTCGGTGTCGCGCTCACGATCTCCAGCACCTCGTCGCGGAAGGGAACGAAGTTACAGCGCCTCGGTATCGCGCTCGCGCTCGCCACCACGCCGAGGCGCCGCCAGTAAAAGGTCGCCTTCCCCCTCGGTGTCCCGGAGCCCTCCACGACGAAATGCCGTCCCTCCTCGTACACGAGGTAGATCCCCCACCCGCTCACGAAGTTACAGTTCACGTTCGCGCTCACCACCGCCCCGAAAAGGGGTTCAAAAGCCACCTGCGAGGAAATTTTCAGCTTCACCGACTCCGTCTCCTTCCGCACCGCCGCGCCGACGGACCTATTCTCCATCTCGCTCTCGATCTCGATCTCCTCCACGGTTCACATCACGACGTGATGGTGGTCCTCGTGCCGGTCCAGCTCGAAAAGGTAACCAGAGACGATCCCCGTCACGGTCGCTCTCGCGCTCTCCGCCCCGCCGCGGAAACGGCAAACCTAGGTACTCCCCGAGCAGGAGCAGAGGCAGGAGCAGAAGCTACACTCCACCGACACGCAGAGCGCCACCGCCGCCGGCGAGGAAAAGGAGAAACTCATCGAGCGAACGGTCAGCGTCAGAGTCACGGTCTCGCTCGCCGCCGCCCAGACGATTCTCAAAAAGGAGTCCGAGCCCAGTTCGACGCGGTGGTGGTGGTAGATCCAGGAGAAGCTCGAGTCCCAACCCCAAGGCAACCGGACGTGCGAGAGCCGCCGACTTTGATTGATGTTGGTTCAAGTTGCGATTATGATTACGATGCTCGTTGCACTCACATTTGTACGGCGGATGGTTGTTGTCGGTCGAGGCTCAGGTGGAATTACGACGTCACCAGGAGCTGGAGGTATCAGAGATAGCTTTGTAGCCTCTTACAGACACAAATTGAAATGAAACGGGTACCGTCCTTGGTTTCAGAGTAACAATGGATCCATCACCTGTCTACACGTCTCACTTTTACCCTTCTTGCCTGGGTCTTGAGAATACCAAGATAGTCGATTCTCTGTGATGCATGGTAGGAAATTAACTCGTAATAGCTTGACCCTTTGATTCTTCTCTTTTCATGACTCCATAAATTCATTTCTTCATTATGATTGATAGGATGCACTTTCCAACTTGACTTTTGGAGCATCTCTCGCTCTCTCTCTCTCTCTCTCCTGTACTCCATAATTCATCCTGATATGGTGCAAGTGCTTCAGTCACAACGCCTGCCCGGCGTCTTTTGTTTTTCGACTTTGCAGCAGCCATCCATGACCACCAATACACTTCAGTCCTTCAAACTCCGAGTCCAACTCCCAAGGCAAGAGGCAAAAATCCAAGTGTTTTGTCAGACCGAAGCCGGGGCCTCCCTTGTCCTTGTTGTATCCGAAATCTCCTGGGGCGAAGGTGGGAAACCAAAGGTAAATTGGCCATCAGACAACCCGTCGTCGCCCGTCATTTTCGCCTGTGCAAGCGAGTTTGTGAAATCTCCGAAACCCCCCTGCACAGACACAAACCTCCCCCCCCCCCTTTGTTCGCCAGGATGTGATTTCTTAACCCTTTGAGATATCCAAACTCCACGCCATCCTTTACTTGCTTCGATCGATCATGACTCATACTGTATCGTCATCGTAGGCGAACCGTACACCCCTCAGGCCTCTTCCACGCTCGCTCCTGGTCCATCCGTTGGGTCCTCGCACTCCCATACTTTGACAAAACGCCTCGTCCCCTTGCGGTCGTTCGTTCTTGGTGTTGCCGGTCAACATGCTCTGTATGCTCATGCAAACGCTCTCGACGGACTGCACGGGTGACCAACCCGCGCTTCCGAGGAGGTCCAGACAGATGATTCCATTGCTGTAGATGTGAGGGTGGATAGGTATGGGTCGGCCGGTGTTGGGTGTGGTGGTGGTTTGCGACTGCGGCTGCGACTGTGGCGGTGACTGCGCATGTGTCTGGGTATTTGAGATCGGTTCGGTAGAGGAAGAAGACGACGGCGGGACGTAGATGAATGTTACTTCGGGCGGTTCTGCGGAGGAAGACGTGAGTGAAAAACCTCTGTGTGCGTGCACATTAAGTTTGTTTTTGTAGATCCGAAAAGACGTGCTCTTCCTCTCGTGCTCTCTCTCTCTGTGTCTTCCTTGCAGGAAACGTACCTATCGGGTAATTGTTGGTGAAGATGAAACTGAGGCGATATATCTGATTGAGATACAAGGGGTTGGAGTCGAGGACCCGAATGTCAACCTGCCATTCTTTAAAGTCGTCGGCTTTGACCAGGTCAATGCCCGGAGGGAGATATTTGGCCTATGGACACACGCAAAACACCCGCGTTAGACTTGTGGCACATGGAGTGTACTTGTTTGTGTCTGAGGAGGCGACATTGGGCATATCGAACTTGTAGTAGATCGCCGAGGGGAGGGAGAGAGGGAATGTCAAGGGACGGGGCAGGCCAGGAAGAAGCGTACCTTTTGGAGTTCCTAGATCAAACGTGTCAGCCTTTGCATGTTACTAGAGTAACGGTGAAGGTGTCGACGGTGTTCATCTTGTACTCACCTTGCCTAATCTCTTTGCTGCGAACATCTTGAGGCTTCTGAGCGCAGTCAGGCTGAGAAGGAGTGTGTTCGGGACCCGTTGGAGGTAGTGGTTGGTGGTGGTGGGACACGAGGCAGCGCAGCGTTTCGAGATCCGTTTACCCCGCAGAGAGAAAAAAAGAGATACAGTAATGGGTGACGGTGACCGAAGATGGCAGTTCTATGTGGTTGATTTATTTCTTGCGCGCTGATGTTATGTGGTGGAATTGACAGGCAGGTAAATCCGACTGGAAGTTCACGGCGAGTTGATACAAAAAGGAATATTCAAAAAGGCTTGGAGGATTCAATGCATGTGACTGACTGTACAACACAGCACCATCGGCCATTCAAACAGGCAGAAGTTGTTCCTTTGCTGGGTCTACAGGTATGATCATCCCGCTTCGTTTCCACAGTTCATTGGGCTCGACATGTCAACCAGAGATGGCTGACTCGAGGCTATTCCAGGCCCCAACCATGCAGAATACACATGTGATGCAAGCTTGCATTGAAGCTACCTAAGGGTAGCCGAGGCGTAACTTGGGCTCACGAGGCTACCTACATTCAGGCAATCATAGATGATCATACTCGCAGCCCTGGAATACTTCTATTCTTGTATCAGACACTTTTCTTTGTCTTACTCTCGAGAGTTTTGTCGCATTATCCCTGGATAGTTGCTGTTTGAAGCTTGTGTCTAGAAAACATGAACCTATTATTGCGTGCTGAATCTTTTTTGGGTGTATTGAGATCGGCGCTCGGATACATTAAATATATTCCCTGCAAAGAGGATCGCACCAACACCAAGAACCCTCTGCTAATCTATTCTAGCCATATAATCTAAACCTGTACTGTAACACCTGCGCTCATCCAAGCAACAAACCCCACGTGTACCATCTATTAAGTGATGACCATTCAAAGCACGATCAGTTACAAACTCTAAGACGAAGTTGGCTCGGCCTTGGGCTCGACCTTCTGCTCCGGGGTCGCGTCGCCTGTTGTAGTACCACGAGCAGGGAAGCCATGCGTGATCTGTTCAAAAGACCCGCGGCGACCAGTGTGCTCATCGTTGAACAGTGACCATTCTCCAACCATTTCATCCGAAAACTGATCAATGTCCAATCCAATCATTTCCACCTCGTCATCAACCCTCAGGTGGAGGCCTGGAATGTACTTCAAGATCACGAGGAGAATGAAGGAGATGGTGAAAGACCAGCTGGCAATAGCAGCGATCTCTGCCAATTGTCGTGCGATCTGGCTACCAACACCATCAATGGCGCCCGGGGCGAGGGTGGCGCCATCGAGAGCCGACACCGAAGAGGATGCAAAAATCCCCGTCAGGAAAGCGCCGCAGATGCCGCCAATGCCGTGGATCTTGAAGACCTCGAGGCCATCATCGATGTGCAACCAGTCGTTGACATTCTCGAACAGGTTGACCACGATAGCCGTGATGAAGCCGATGGCTGCACCGCACCAGACGGAAACATAGCCTGCCGCAGGGGTGATGCCAACCAATCCAGCAATCGCCCCCTCACATGCTCCCACAACGGAGAACTTTCTCTTTTTGATATAGTCCATCATGACCCATCCAGCCACACCGCAGGAGGCGGCAAAGTTGGTGTTCCACACGGCCATCATTGCACGGATGCTGGCATTCAAGGCCGAACCGCCGTTGAACCCGAACCAGCCGAACCAGATGAGGGTGGTACCGAGGAAGATGATGGTGACATTGTGAGGCTTGTGGACATGCTTCTCACCGAGCCTCTTGCGCTTGCCGAGGACAAGAGCATACGCCAAACCGGCAGTGCCGCTGGAAATGTGGACTGGACCACCACCGGCGAAGTCCAGGGCGGGAAGCTGGAAGAGCCAGCCATTGGCGTTCCAAGTCCAATACGAGATCGGACAGTAGCAGAGTGTGGCCCAGCAGAACCCGAAGATGATGGAGGGAATGATTCGCCCACGCTCAAAAGAGCCACCGACCACGATCATGGTGGCGCAAGCACAAAACATGAGTTCGTAGAAGCTGAAAACGATGTCTGGGATGACGGCGGATCCCCAGGACGGTGCAGCCATGACCTAATAACGCCCGGGGTGAGAAAAGTGTTCGCGGATGAGTGAGACGGTAAGACTCACATTCTTCATGCCAAAATTCGAAAGGTCACCAATGAATGGGCCACCGGTGCGAGAGAAGGCGAGGCTGAATCCCCAAAAAGCCCACTGGAATGAACAGACAGCCATGACGGTCCATGCTTGGAAGATCATGGCCAGAGCGGATTTCCTTCGTGACATGCCGCCGTAGAGCAGACCGATACCGGGCACGATGACGAAGACCAGGCAGCCCATGATGACCTGGTAGACGTATTCCCACTCCAGGCCGGTGTAGGGAAGGTTGACATCCATGGCTTTGGGGTCGCCGCCATTGGGGATACTCGAGTTGTACTCTGGCTATGTACATAGGTGGAGTCAGTAACAGATCAACATCAGGCTCTGGAGTAGATCAACGTACAGGAGTCGGTGGGGTGGCCATTTCTGCTGCGAGGGCTTCTTCGACCTGCTGCTGTTCGTTGACGGGAATATTGGTAAATCGACGAAGAGGACGACGTGGAAGATCTAGGGAGCCAGAGATCAAGGGATATATACCATTCACCTACCACGAGGTACAATGTCTGGGGACAGAAGGGGGGGGGGTTTCCTCTTATCCCCACGCTAGATGAACGGATACGATGTGAGAGAAGTCGATTTTTCTTTCTTTCTAATCACTACGACTAAAATGCCGCCTTGTTGAGACGGTCTCGAAGCACATTCCTGAAGGATTTTCAGTCTTGGAAGTCCGGGCAGTTTCGACCTTGACCTAGATGGGTTCAAGACATCCGGACAGACATTGGGGAAGGTTGATAACGCATCTGAGTACCATCATTGGCCCAGGATCCAATTCACAAATACTGCGGCATCATAGAAAAGGAAGTTGGCCGTAGTAGATTAGCGAGCCTCGTTATCTGTGGAGCCGCGCCAAGACCCCAAAGACTCTGGGCGGCATCCAAGCCTTGCGCCTATCGCTGCTTGTTGGGCCAATGAGCCGGACAAAGTCGGGACAAGCTCGTCGATTCCATGTATTTGCGGTCGTTCTAATTTGCTTGGATTGATGCTTGAGTGTTGCTTCTGTTTGGTGGAGTCAACAGACACAATCAACTCGAGGAGGAGTATTGAATCGCTGCAAGACTCGGGCAGGGTAGGAGAGGCGAATAACGCAGACGAGCGACCGAGTGAGGAACAAGCCCGGGGTGTAATCCGTATTCTCCATGCAGCTCATTTCGATATGTCACACCAATAGCTTCCTGCACATTCTTCAGTTTTACTCCGGAAATAGTTGAGGGCCTCTTGAGTGCCACGTGGCGGCTGTCAGGCACATCCAGAGAAATAAGTGAAATCGGGAAGAGGAATTTTCTCATGTCAAGTGCCTGCCATGAAAAGTAGTAGCCGTATGCGGGGACATCAGGACTCAATAATCATCATTCTGACTGTACTGCACTGAGCAGCATAGAGTCACCGATGGCTCGCATGTTCACGCTGATATCTTTGTAGTTTGACTGCTGCAGCTGAATTGACATCATTATCGTATTGAGACCATGAGCCGTACCTGAGTCCATGGCTAGTGAGAGCATGTGAGGCGAGACTCGACTTGGTTGTGGAATAAGACCTTTAGATCGTGTAGGAGCATCATATTCTTTGCGACTTATAAATTCAAATTTATGCGACAGGAGGCAGAGGCGCTGTTTCAAAGTTTCTAGAAAGAGAATCTGTCCAAAATACGATCTTGTAGACGGAGCTCAAATGTATGCTGCCTAGACTCTTCAAATGTGACCACGAAATAGTCCGACCCAGCGACGCGGGCACGAGTTTTCTCAACAGCAGGCCTTTACCCTACACCAGAAATATCATATCCTCGCCGAGCCGCAAGAGGCTAGATTCTCGAGTCGAGTAGGAGCAGTACCGTGTCGAGGAGGTTCGCGTCTGTGTCTTTGTTCAAGCAACGTGTCTGTGCTCGCAGCACACTCGACCGTCGAGTCCTCGTCGAATACAATTGATCGTGCGCACATCTCTCCAGCAAAGCAAAGCCCAGCAATTTCTGTTGTTCCATAGTCATGGTAACTTGCACCTCGAGACAATCAAGGCACTCTGGAAAACGCCTGCGGCGTTTGGTGTTGACAGCCTCAACGGGTTCGTCCCAAAAAGGAATAGTAATGTTTTGATATCACGTGTAGTAATTAGTGTCAACAACCCCAAAGACAGCTGCCAGCTAGAATCACTTCACAGCCTCCCGTGACAGACTCTTCAACAGCTGTACCCCATCATGCCTATTTCCTTCCCGACCTGAGCTAGATCGGAGGATATCCTCAGGCTGAAACATGGATTCTTTCAAGAAAGATTGAAGGCTGCAACCTAGAACCTGACGGGGAATGGTGTGCTCATATAACCACTCGAAGTACGCACTGTTTATTGCGATGTGGTACGCAAGAACAGCAACCTCAGATGTCAATGTGATGATACCTATGGCGATGGCAGCAGTCAGTAGCTGTCGTTAGAGCCGTTCGCAGATTGATTCTACGGCGAACTGGCAGGCAAAAGCTCTTGAAAAGGTCTTGACGCCTTCACAACAGAATTGACACCACCGTCAGCTGTCAGGTGAGTTGATTGGCCGCGCACTCTACTGATCTCTTGTGTGGTTGTTGGTGGCAGAGCAGACCTCACACAGACCTCATGGTGCATCCTGCTCTGCAATCTCGGCCTCTACCAAGCTCCAACAGCAGGAAAACAAATCTCACTCTCTTCCTCGCCTGACGTGTTCTCATCTACCAAAATGCTACAATCAGCGGTAACAATTCCCTTTGACGTTCGCATTCTCCCCACGGACTCTCCCCTGCACCCATCCCCTATCTTTGCGTCGTTGATCAATTACATTCCGTTCAAAAGCCTGGATGTTCCCAATCTTCCCTATCGATTGTTTCCCATCAACAATCTCCAGAGAACAACAACAACAATAACACAGACAACGCTGGTCGCCATAGTACCTCGCCGAATTCGAGATCCACCCGAATCTGCTCGACCAACGAGGCCTCGAGTGTGCTCGGAAACTTTGCTATGGACCAATTAGACCAGACGGGATTCTCTCTGTTTCCTATGCCGCCTACCCCGCCGGTGAACAGAGGCAATACTACTAGGATGGTCTTGAGTGAACAACAAAGGATGGTTGCTATGGACAGCACCGAGCCCGGTTCGAAGCACCGACTCTCGGATGTTCAACGCTTGCGTCCTCCTCCACTGAAGCTACGCAAGAAGAAGCTGATCGAGGCCAATCAACCGTATACAACATCATCTCCTTTGCTTGGGTTTGAGCAATCCTTGCCGTCACCCACAGAGCTCGACGAAGAACCCTTTCCACATTTCGCCACAGACTATGAGGCACCTAGTCAGGGCACACACCTCGGGGTACCTCCACCGTCCGTCAGGGCCTCTTCGGTGTTGGTACCTGAATACAACATTGTCGTAGACGCCCCTCCCGAGGACCGAGAGCCTGCGATTGAGGAAGAGCCTGCTGCCCAAAACGATGTCTTGGCCAAAAGATCTTCGTATCGAAAGAGCCAATGGCTCGATGGTCAAGGAGAACTTGATCGCAAGAGACTGTCCATGTACTTGAGCGGAGTTCTCGATCCATCCTTTGAAGTCGTCGAGGATTCGAGCTATCTCACACCGTTGCCACATGATGCACGTGCGAGCATCCTACAGCATGAGAACCAAGCGTTCGACAATGCCTCTTACCCCGCGTCATTCTCGATGAGAAACTCTTGGAGATTCTCGGCTCTCTCGAACGCGTCTCACAACTCTCACAGACCAACCCCGATTCAGATCCGGGACGACGCGTCGGCCAAAGATTGCCACTGTCCCCCTGGGGTGATCATCTGCAAGTGCTGTTCATCTCCAGAGTTTGAGCGTTTCCGACGCGTTCACAGCGAGCACAAGTCCAACCCCAGCGTCAGCTCGACGACATGTTTCTTGTCGATCCCACGGGCGCGCTTCCGGTCCAACCTCGGCGAGGTCGAGGAGATGGACACCCCTTCGACACCGCCCGGGCTCATGTATGACTCTGAAGACAGCGACGAGTTCGACTGGTCCCTTCCCAACTCTCCGACGTTCCAAGAACGTGCGCTGCACTACCAAGACACGCCTACCCCGGCTCCTCGTCAACCCCCCACGACGCGACCCCCGGTCCCGTCCTTCTCCCTACCCTTTTCGCACGGCAAGCAGATCCGACCCCACTTCCACGTCGATCGGGCGGCCCAGCCTTCGCCACGTGCCGCCATGCAACAACGACAACAACACCCCTCACCGAGCAGCACGATCCCGACGTTGGCCAGCATCTCAACCGTGTCTACGTTCACGTTCGACTTCTGCGGTGACGACAACGACGACAATCAGACCGAATACGACTTGTTCGACTCCGTGACGGAGATCAGTGAGATCCGCACGTTCGAACCGGTCCAAAAGGCCAAGCCAGTCTTGGTTCACTGTCGCGGTCCTTCCCCACAGTCCATCAAGTATGGACACCACCATCATCTCCGGCACAAGGTGGCCGACAGCGATGACTCCTTCTCGTCGAACGGGAACAACTGGGGAACTGGATACGCTACTATCTTTGTACGATAAAAGTGTTGCTTTTTTTGGTCTTGTCCACAAATTTTCCTTTTGTTTTTTCATCATTATACTATGGGATACAACTTATACCAAATTTTTTTATGATTCATGGCTGCCGTTTATATGGGTTCAGGCGCATTCATTGTCGGCAAAAAAGAAGAAGACAGTCTGCTTAGCCAACGACCCTTTTTTTTCCATTTCATTTCCTTCATACCCCCAACTGCCTTGTTGTTGATGTTGTTGATGGCAAGGTCGGGGTTGCCGTCTCTATGTAAATTAGGATTACTCTTTTTTCAGACTGGTTCGGATATGGAGTTAAAAGGTTCGATATCGGAGAGAGAGAGAAAGTGTGTTGATGATGGATCGGAGTTGTCGAAAAGATGGTTGTGTACGTAGGAATATGATGTCTATCGGCCGCCTTTCAGAAAGGTTGGCTTCGGTAACCATTCTTTCCCTTCTTGGGTCCACTTCATGACTTTGTGCTTGTACTTTCTTCGCCTTCCTTTTCTTTTGATGGTGGTGGTGATTTCGTCGTGGTGGTCTCACGTTCGACCTCTTTTACTTCAGTGGCCTTGCTTTTTTCATCGTCGAGATGAGTATATGCACTGAGTGCTGGTTAGTTTTGTTTTTGTGAGTGGGCAGGTGGGTAGATGAATGGTGATCATACATTCTGTCCTTTCTGGTCCATGAATCTTCATATATATACCTTTCCTCCTCCGCCTTGTCGATTTCCCTCTGCAAGTATTCTGGTAATTTTTCTTTTTGGGTGTGAGGATGTGGTTGAGTTTTTGAAAATGTCATTTTGTAGAGTTTTTGTTTTTTGCTTGTTTTCTCTGGTTGGTAGTAACTTTGTATTTGTGAATGTGTTTGTATGTGTGTGAATGTGGTATGTCGGGTGTCTTTTGGTGGTACTCGTTGAGATGTCAATATTGGGTTGACGTTGTCATGGTATGGTGTACACTTTTGATGGGTGGCGAAGAAGGGGAGAGGTAGGGAGGTATTTATAGGCTTTCGTTTTCCATGTACACTCATTTACACCCCCCCTCCCCCCTTGTTCACTACATGGTACGGAAAAAACAAGTAATTGGGGTCAGGTACGTACGGAATCAAAGTCGCGATGATAATGTGTTTGCGTCAGAGAGGTCTCATGCAACGGCTTAGAAGCCCATTATATCACTCATGATACAGTAGTGAGTTATGGCAGATACAGGGTTTATGTCATCGGCATTCTCTCGGTCATGAATGGGAGAAAAGCAACGGGGGGGCAATCGAGTCAAAACAACCTGGAGAGCGAACCCGGCATTTGAGCGATAACTATCTACTGTATCACAGTACTAGGTACGAGTACGAGTACGTCATGTCTCGCTTATCATCGAGATGGGGGGGGGGAGGGGAGGGGGAGCTACATACAGTACAGGGTCCTCGACGAGCGAACGGCGAACCAGACATCAAATCACGATTACCTTACTAGGCAAACTTCCTCTACTCCGTGCTCGTCCTCCCCCCCGCATGGGAAACTGTTTTGATGATTCACGGCTTACCAAATTCCATGCGGGATTAGTTGTCGTCAAATCCACCTACTGTAGGTAACTCCCTCGAGATACGAGTACCCACGGCCACGGCACGAGTTCCTTGGTCCTTGACCCGAACTTGTTAATCTCTTCGCGGTAGCCGGGAGCGACATCGATCAGAAGGCAAGTACTCCGCATTCCGTACGTACAGTATATCACTCTGTCTCTCACTCCTCACCAACCCACAGGTTCCCAAGTGCGAAACGAACCCAAGGTGTTATTTGTGGATATGAGTTGTGAAATAAACACCGTGACCTCACACCCAATCGAAATAGGGACAGGAAACACTTTGAGATTGAACCGAAAGACTCTCCGTGATCCGCGTCAGCACATTTAGATCTACGCCTTCCCTTTAACCTTTGAAACACCTCCATCGACAATGAGATTCTGTCCCGTCACGAAGCCAGCTCCGAGAAGATACTCGCAAGCCTCGGCGATGTCCTCGGGCATTCCTGCTCGGTTGGTGGGATGAGTGTTGACGTCGTCCTCTCCATTGTCCCAATCTTCGCCATTCTCATCACCAGAAGGGTTCTCATGAGTGACCTTGACCCGGCCAGGTGATACCATGTTGACGCGAATCCCAAATGCCTGCATCGAAACGGCCATGCTTTGAGTGAGGCCAAGCAAGCCCGCTGATGCCCATTTCGTTAGCGACGGCCAAGCTTAACAGATCGTTAGGTAGTCGACCACCGACTTACCCTTTGACGAAGCATAACCTTCCTGGTTCGGATCCGATATGAGTGCCCGAAAACTACTGACGTGGATGATACATGGTCCCGCGCGGCCAACATTCGAGTTGGGGAGTTTCTGTTTGTCTTCTTGCCGTTCGACCTTCATGTACGGGATGCATGCTTGCGATGTCACAAAAGGTCCGGTCAGATTCGTCTCGAGGTACGCCTGCCATTGGTCCAGAGTGGAAGGATCGGCCATGGTCTTCCCATCTGCCCAGTACGGGTGCGAAATTCCAGCATTGTTGACAAGAAAGTCGATACGGCCATCGAGGAATTTGGCAGCCTTGTCGATGGTCGAGCGGATCTCGTCCACATTTCGCAAATCACATTTGGACCACGCAACTCGATCAGCATGCTCCTTCAAATGTTCTTCTGCCGTGTGCTTGACATTGTCTTCATTGACGTCGAGGATAAATATTTTGTGGCCGCGAGACACAAAGTGACGGGCCAGTGCTCGTCCGATACCTGTTGCCGTCGGTCAGATTTCTGGAAATGTCAAGAACATAATCTCTTTCATACATACCCTGGCCTCCCCCACTGATAACTATCCTGGCTTGACCTTCTATCATTCTGATGGCTTCTTGATCCGATATGATACTCAAGACGAACCAGTCTTCAAATGTCCATTAACCTGCTGTTGAGATATCTCCTTGGCTAGGCAATAACAATTCAACAGGAATATCAAATGAAGTGAAAATTTTGGATACATCTTTACCGTGTCATGTCTCGATATTATGCAGTCACGACAGTTCGAATGCTGGGTCGATTGGTGTTGATGCAACGGCATGTCACTCCGTCCTCAGGCCGATGACGCAGTGACTCGCCAAGAGATATTGCATCAAGCATCAAACACTTCCGCCATCGCCCAGGCAGGGATCCTGATGTGCGTTCTCTTATCGTGCTTGGTTCGACGTCGATTTCACCGTCGCCTTGGCCGAGGCTTTCAACATGTCTTGCAGTGCTCGAGAGTTAGGCCATTTCAGAGCACATCGGTCCAAGACTGTCACGGCAAGCACGTAGCCTTCTTGAGAGGCATCTTGCGATGGATCTGAAAGTAAGAGTGCCCCAGCTTTGTAGGCCCAATGTGGTGTGAAGATGTTGAAAATCATATGCTCGTCGTGATATGAAATGAGAAGTTGCATGGCTGTCTCCGAACTTGGTCTGAGTAGGAACGCTGTTTCGCTTTTCGCGGCTTGGACCAATGGGTTCAATTCCGCTCCGTCCGACTCATAAGCATTCGTTACATCCATATCTTCCATTGAGAGTCCGTCTCGGAATCTTGACTGCATTTTGTATAGGCTACAAAGATGCATGAGACTGTTTGGTAGGGCTAGTGTCTGTGCATCGTCCTGTATTTCGTGGTCAGTCCCATCGTTTGTAGTCGTATGAATGCAACCTATCTACTCACCGGCTCGACAAGGCCGGATGGCCGATCCAGTGCGGTGGCCATCTGATTCCCAACACAGTATGTTGTCGCTCTCAGCGTAGCCAAGGCATGGGAAGTCTCCTCGACTTCTCTAGCACTCAGTTCCATTTCCAGGTGATGAGCAAACGCCACCTGCTGCCCCAGGCTACCGGTCTGAGAGTCAAAGAGGCTACGCATGGCGAGCAGATTGACGGCCTGTAGTGCTTCGAGGTTCAGTTCAGCAGTCACTCTGTCGGCATGAGTCAGCGCTTCGCGGTGGTAAGTGTCGGACAGCAGGACCAGTTGAGGATTGTTGCCAGGTAGGCAGTGGCATGCAATGGAATAGACACCATTCAGGACAAATGCCTCAAAAGGAGACGCCTCTGCCCGACCAAGCTGGGGATCGGTGAAGAGCTGCGACTCAGGGTCCAGGATCGGGTAGACCTGATGTATCGTGGCGAAGTACATATCGATGAGGTATTGGTGTAAACCCGCATCCCAGGACCATGTCGGAGGGATTGCCAGTCTTGAGCTCGACTGGTTGCTTCGGAGCTGACCTGGGCACGCGAGCAGGTTGGATGCAGAACCCCCCAAGGGCGCGTTCTCACCTAGGTACCTGAACGCATCTCGAACGAGCACAAAGCGTGGCCGGTGGGATGAGGCCGTTGTTTCTGGCTCGGCTGATGATGTTGATGATTCTGCGCCAGTTGCATGGCCTCTCGCTTCCAATGACTTCAAGTGGTCCACCAAGGAGGCAATGTACCTGGTCGTCGTTAATCATGTTCACCAGTGGGGGAAATGGCAATGTCCGGGATGGACCTACGTGCGCGGTAGATATTCCTTAGAGACATGATCCAAGAAGACACAATCTGCGCCAACTCTGCTGCAGTTCGCACAGGCAGGGAGCTGCGTATCGCATCGTCTTTTGGCTTTGCGACATCTCCTACAAGCGGGGAGCAGCGCGAGGAGTGTGTCGAGATCTGTTACTTCCATCTCGTGTTGCATGCATCATGGAATATTCTTCAGCGAGATCTCTTTTGTTGGCTCTTGTGCCACTTGTGGAAAGCGCCCTGACTGCAGCTTCGAATTGGTGCAAGGCAAGGTATTGCAATGGTATGAAGAATTCAGTGAAGCGGAATTGGACCCTTGATCATCTCTCGCCTAAATTTGGAGCCTGCAAGACAGATTCCTGTCGCCCGTGTCTTCCTAAAGCGGCCTGAGGTGGGGGCTTCCTCGCGCCCAAAAGGCACTCCCAGCAGGTGCCCGGAGAATGCCAATTTCGAGTATGAATAGGCGACCAAGTCGGCCCTTCATCTGATTTTCCAGGCAGCTTACGGGCTATTACGGGCTATTTAGGGGTGGCCAGATTAGGCTAGTAAGCCAAAGTTTTACTTGAAATCAGTTAGGCTTCCCCAACTCCAAACATCCCGCCCCTCTGATCTTCTCTCGACCTCGTTATCACTGGTAATCTTCGAGCGAAAGCCCGGATTTTGAAACACCTGACCAGGTCCAGAGGACGAGCCTCTGCGACATCCCCCAGCTCATTGCCTGACCATGTCTAATACTCCTAGAACGCAAGGTTGAGTGACTGCTGCCAATACCATGGGGTCCAACAATCGAGTAAGAAGGCGCGTGGTGTCATGTGCACGATGTCGAAAGAGGAAAATCATGGTGCGAGATCTCTAGTAGTACGAGAAGATGTCTGACTTTGCTATAGTGCGATGCCCAGGCACCTTCATGCTCAGTCTGTGTGGCCGCTGGAGTTCCGTGCGTGTCGCTGGACACAGCGACGAACGCGACTGCTCCACGAAGCATCGCAAGGTACCTGGAAGGACGCATTGCCGACCTTGAACGTCTGCGTGGTAACCTGCCGCCACCAGAGACAGGGTCGAGCAATCTGCCCGGGGACGGCATTCCACCGACCTGCGATATAGGAAGACTATCACCCATCATGTTACGGGACACAGCAGTGAATTATGCTCTTCACGACATCACCCCATGCTTTCTCGGACTCACTGAAGCTATTCGCCTACCAGGCTGTTCGGCAGCACCGACACAGATTCCATCCGCGAAGAAGTCGTTTGGTCTGAACGATCTAGACGAAAACCATCCGCGATCGATATTGAACCAACACCCCTCGAATCTGCCCCTGTCTTCGGTTCCAACAGGAGTCGCTGAATTCCTCTTCGACATCTACATAAACAGAATCATCCAACAGTATCCCATCTACCATTCCAGTGATGCAATAAGAGCGTTCCATGCTGTTTTCAGGAGGCAAGCGACAGAGACATCTGGCGACTCCCAACCAAAGGCACGAGACTTGTACATGGTAAGCCTGATCATGGCCATCTCGCTGTCGACAGCCGCGCGCAACAAGCAGGCTAGAGCACAGTCTCTTGGGACCGGGCTGTTTCGCAACGCCATGCTCTACGTCCCAGTGGTTCTCTCCAACGACCTCTCGGGACTTCAGGCCCTGCTTTTACTCATTCAATACACCTTTCTCAATCCAACTGTGGCGAACCTGTGGCTGCTTACTGGTATGTCAAGCGAAGCGTGCATTGACCTTGGCCTTCACCGAGAACTTCCAGAAATTACAGATATTGATGTCCTCGAAAGGGACATGCGCCGTCGAATATTCTGGTGTGCCTGGGAGATGGAAGTCGCCGTCTCCGCGCCATTGAACCGGCCTATCCGCACTCGGAACAAGTATATCAGTGCAGCATTCCCAGCTGAATACGGAGACTACGGTATAACGCGTGATGGTATCAACATCAACGCACCACGAGCTAAATTCATCTCGAGAAGAATATGGCTCTTTCGCAAAGTCGAGTCTTCAATCATGTCTATTCTATACCAGAACGAACCCTTACCGCCAGACTGTCCGTCTCTGGAGTCCTGGATGGCTGAGACCGAGCTTGAAATTTTAGGCTGGAAAGAAGAAGTCCATCACAAAGCCTCCTTGAATCAGGACTCCTCTGTCAAATCACAGTGGGACGAGATGGAATTGTATGCTGATATCGCGTACAACTACATCATTGTCTTGTTGTTTGGTTCATGTCCCAGAATCAGGACACCGTCCCGGCAACATCTTATGAAAGCTTTTGCTGCTAGTACAGAGGTTGCCACCGGATATTGGCGACAGGCAAACACAGAATTCGGCTACATGAAATATGTCTTTCATCCCTGCCATCACACCTTCCTGTCGGCAATAGTCTTCCTTCAGACTTTGCAGTATTGCCGGTCCGAGATTGCTGATGCTTACGAGATAGAGGAGGTGGAAGAGTTCATGGAACGTTTTTCACGATTCTTCTCAACAATTTCCGAACGCTGGCCAGCCGCTACCCAATGCCTCCAAGAATACGAAAGGCTCTTGGGGCCGATAAAGCAAGATTATTTGGACTTTCTCCTTCTTCGGAAGCAGAGCACATCCGAAATTGACTTGCTGCAGGGTGCACCTATGGATGACTACCTTGATGGGACAGCACACTTCCACGATCCATTCGAAATTTGGCCAGTGACGAACCCACTCTTGAGCTCGAATGGAAACGATGCCTTTGACGCTTACTCGTATTTGCCATACGACTGGAATGCTGAATTTGGGTTCGGAATGGATTTGGCACTTTCGAATCAAGAGGCCTGAATCACTATCTCCATCTATTCAACGCTGATATCTACATTCAGCCCGTTCTACTCACGCTACAACAGCCATTAAACTATCCACAGAATCTTCAGAATACACGAAATTGGCGCAGCTCGCTGCCGGATTCTATGTGTCCGACGAGCAGATGTACTCGTTTAAGCCTTGTTGTCGCCCATGGTAACGGTCTGATCTTCGATCGGTACCTTTTCGCCCGCAATGCTTGCGCTCTCGGCTTCGTGCTCTTCAAGTACATGCTTGGGAATAACGACATCGTCTTCACCGTTGAAGTACTCAGTCTCACGGATGTGGTAAGCAGCCAGATATGCAAAGACCAACACGCCAGTCGTATAGAATGTGAAGATGACGGCGGCCTCTTTCATGTACGGAACCGCAGTAGAATCAACACCGAAACAGATGGCCTCACCAGCGCCGAGGATACCGCGAAAGACGCCCTATAATGGTCAGTCTTGGAAGGAACTCAAGGTCCTGGAGGAAACTTACTGCATAGTTGGCCGACTTGCGAGGTGAGTTTGTGAGGGTGCCGAGGAAGTAAAGAATGATGTACTGCCAGAGCGAGCTGAAGACCCAGTTCATCATGAACAAGAAAAATATTGCGACAAAGCCGTCATCAGTCCAGTCCATTGGGTGCTCGGGAGGGCTAGAACGGTCGTAGTTACGAGTGCGGATGATTTCCCAGATCCAAGCGCCGATCAAGGGAATACCAACGACACCGAGTCCGATGAAAGCTCGGGTTCTTCGTTTCACTGAATCGAAGTTAGCCTTGTCAGCAACTCTGTATCGTGCAACCTTACTCTTCTTGTTGTCGAGAATCCATTGCAAACCCCACCCCGCCGGAAGCTGCAGTACCACCGAGATGAAGGACAGGAGGCATCGAGTACGGAGGTTATTGTGGTATGCGTTGACAGAGCCTCCATAGACGAGAAAGCATTCTGCTGGAAGAAACGCGGGTATCTGTAGATATCCAGGTCAGCATGCAGGTCTTACCGCGTCATCTTATTGTGTCGCTGATGGACACCTACCATGATGAGGAGCTTCCAGTCGCGGAAGATCTCGAGGTTTGCCTTCAATTCCTCTACAAAGGTTCGAGCCTGAACGACACCAACCTTGGTTCCATCGTCACGAATGATTTTGTCAGGTGGCATAAGAGCAAATGCTCCTATCATGCCCAAGCCCATCACCACAATGAAGACGATGTACACAGCCGGCGGCACACCCGCTGCCTCGGTCTGTTCCAAAGTCAGACAGTTCTCACGGGCGCAGAAATTGCGATACTTACAGAATTGCGGTTAATGAGTAGAGGGATGATGCCACCAACAATGGCACCAACAGCTTGCAGATTGATCGAAACTGTAATGTACTTGCCCCGATCCTGCTCTTCGGAGTACGACATCGCGATGTACCCCATGGTCACGAAGATCAGCCCAGCCGAGATCTGATATAGTCAGCGGATATAACAACAGTGTATGCCTCCAGCTGCTACTTACACCGATAGCAACGCCTGCAAAAATTGGGAAGCCTTCCTTGCCAGTCTGGTCGAAGTACCAGAGAGAACCGACGTAGATGATGTAGCCCAATACACCCAAAGATGCAGTAATGGCGGGACCGATCTTATTCAAGACTGTGCCACCAAACGACGCTGAGAAGAACCAGACTGCACACAAGGTGGCATTGACCACCTGCACAGTTTGGGCTGCATTTGGTCGACCGCCTCCGGCGCCGAGAAGATTGAGGGCAACGTAAAGTCCAGCAGTCAAGCCCACCAGGATGCCGATGATGACACTGATAAAGTCTTTAGCGTGAGATCTTTCTGTCAATATGTGTTACTAGACTCACTTTTGCCAGTAAGGAGAGTGCAGCCTGACCGGTGGCAGACCTGGAATCTTGAAAGCCATATTTTGTGATTCCGACAGGACTGTCAAAAAGTTGAGAGCTTTCCCTTTCGCGAGTTACAACTGATTTTAGAAGCGAGACCTTCGCCTTATAAGTCTTGCAGATCCATCCCCAAAAGTGATGTGAAGACACAGGCATAGCCTAGCCAGGGTACGTATCTCATGAGACCCAACGATTGTTGACATCTATTGGTGGACAAGTGCACTTTCTCGAGGCCGTCGCCATTTTCCGTCGCCCACGTCCTGCGCTTTGGTCCGTCGCCTACATCCGGTGGATACAAACCATCCATTCGCATTGGACTGATTGTCACCGCTGGCGGCATACTGCCGTTGACTCCCCAACCATTGCTCAATAAAAGTGGATGTTGATTGCTCTCTTTCCCCTTCTGGGGCGCCGACGTCCAACCAAAGACAGTACTCTCGTCGACCCTGCCATGGGGGGATGGATATCAGAGTCGACAATGCGGAACAAGCGCAACTCGGCACCTCCAACAAGCGTTGTGCCATTATCGATGATATCTACGAGTATCCAATTAGATAGGGGGCTGGGTGAACAGCCCCTTCGATGTACATCCACACGGTCTACTCGAAAGTCCCCTGATCATGTTGAACGAGGTAGCTATGGATCCCTTCCCCGTGGGCTTGGGCGCAATACCCACCAACTTTATCAACCACGTTCTGACTGTGAGCCTGGAATCCCGAGCGCGCCAATGCTCCTCGGACGAAGCAGGTTGTTTTTGGTGTTCTTCATCGCCACCGTCGTCTTATTTAAGGGTCGTGGTCCGGTACCAAAGTTGGTGTAAGATCCCTAGGGACCTTTCTCCTAAAATCCCACTGTTACCATTAGTCATGGGGAGTATTGCCGAGGAACCACTGGTGAAAATACCAGTCATTGACATCTCAGGGTATTTGGCCGGCGACCCTGAAGCCAAGAGGCAAACAGCCTTGGAAGTTCGCGATGCGTACGAAAATCAGGGATTCTTGCAGGTCATAGGACATTCCGTGCCTCCGGAGGTTCAAGAACGTTTCTTGTCTGCGATAGCGAGCTTCTTTGCCCTCCCATTGTCGGAAAAGCAGAAGGTGTCGCAGGAAAACTCAAAGTGCTACCGTGGCTACGAGCGCATCGGCGGTCAAAAGCTAGACGAGCTCGACACTTCAGCCACTCCGGATCAGAAAGAAGGCTTCTCGGTCAGACCGGAACGACCACTGGGCCGCTTCTTGCAAGGTCCAAATCAATGGCCGGAGACTTTGCCTGGCTTCAAGGAAGCCTACCTCGACTACTTCAACGCCGTGCATGAGCTGTCAAAGAACGTGTTCAGGTTGATGGCTTTGTCGTTGGATCTGCCGGAAGATCATTTTGATGCATTTGCGGCCGATCCAGATGGTGAGTCCTTGGAAGATGAAGCCATTGGTTGATTGTCAGAGGTATCTATTGCTGAGACCGTCTATTTCTAGGACTGTGTCTTTGTCGATCCCATCATTATCCTCCCACACCTGCCGACGTGGCCGGCAGGACTCGAGGTGTCGGCGCTCATACCGACTTTGGAGCTTTGACATTGCTCCTCCAGGACGAAGGTGAGTGCTCTTGGACTTTTCTTGTCATCGGGACCCACGCTGAAAGAATGCTACAGTCGGCGGGTTGGAAGTTTTGCATAAGCCCACCGGTACATGGCACCATGTCCCTCCTGTCAAGGGAGCGTACGTGTGCAACATCGGTGATCTGATGCAAAGATGGACAAACAACCGGTACAAGTCGACCATGCATCGTGTCATCTCGCCCCTGTCGGGCAAGGACCGATACAGTTGTGCATTCTTCAATGACGGTGCGCTGGACACCATCATTGAGTGCTTGCCCACTTGTATCGGGCCTGGCGAGAAGCCGGCATACGAGCCACTAAAGGTTGAGAAGCACATTGTTGAACGATACGTGCAGAGCTATGGGGCCGGTGGGACTGTCTTGGTGGCTGCATGAGGACCTTTATGGATGTTATAGCAGTTTGCGTCCGAAGTCTGTCTTGTTTTGTAGGTCGTGGTATACCTCAATTTGATGTGTCAATATTCGAATGCTATGAATGTTCTCGGCTTTTTGAAGTGCTTTCTGATTCTTCACCTCGTGGCCTTTTGGCCAATAGCTACACTATTTCCCTCCCCTGACCTCTGCACCTCCGAGCCTCCCTTCCTTGAACTCCTTGACCATGTCCTCCATGGTCATCCACTCGACCCCTTCGTGGGAGTTGATCCACTCGATGATCCTCTCGTGCATCAACACGACCTGGGGTTTCCCGCTGACCTGCGGGTGGATGCTCATGGGGAACACGAAGGTGTCGTACTCTCGGTACAGGAAGGAAAACTGGTCCTTCCACAGGCGTTCGATCACGTAGGGGTCCACGAACCCGTGCGTCGACGGCTGTTTGAGGTTGAGCTGGAACGGAGGCCAGTCGTCCAGGTGCCAGTTGGCGGGGACCTCGACGACCTTGGAGGGCTTGATGGCCGTCATGGGTTTCATCCATTCCTCCGCCGACTTGGCCACGTCGGTCTCGGTCCACTCCTCGCTGCCGTCGGGGCAGTAGTAGAGCTGGGAGTCGTGGTGCATGAACGAGTGGTCGTACTCGATGCCAAACTCCTCGAGGAGCCGGATGGTCTGACGGGACGTCGACCACGCCGGTGCCGTCCACCCTCGAGGTTTCTTGCCGGTGAAGTCGGTCAGCACCTGGACGGATTTGGTCAGGACGTCCTTCTGTTGTTGTTCCGACAGGGTCGAGACGAATTCGTGAGTGTAGCCATGTAGACCACTAATAATTTTTTGGGGGGATCAATGTCAGTTTTCCTACGTCCAGCCTAAAAAAAAGGGTTCCTGACTATTAATGACTCAGTGGTAGGTAATACTTACATTTCATGCCCGGCGTTCTTGACTTTGGAAAGTTGTTCGGGAAAACTCTCAATCGAATGAGCTGGGACGAACCATGTCGTCTTGATGCCGTATTTGTCCCAAAGCTTGAGGAGTCTGTCGATGCCGACCGTCGCTCCAAAGACACCACGAGAGACGTCTGTTGGGTTCGCTGGTGATCCGTCACGAGTGTTGATCCTACCAACAGCCCAAACGTCAACACCGCTGGTCGCACTTTCGTGGGCTGACATGGTTTGGTTGTCCATGGAGAGGAGGTTCAAATCACTTACCATCCACTGACGGCGTCAACGTCGATGCCGTAACCTACGAGAACTCGTTTCTTGCCCATGTTTGAAAAAAGGACGGTCCAGGCTACCAAAAGGTCTCTTCGATCAGATATCTCAACGACACAAAAAAGAAACCCTCCACGACGAATCCAAGAGACTTTGCTGGCTCTTCTTCGTCCTTTGCCCGTTTTTACTTGCTGATTATTGGAGACAACACGTACAGGGTAGACGAAGGTCGGTTGGACCTGTCGTTGGACCCATCGGACGTGGGCGCTAGGCATGCACGGTGGTGAGCGAAAACGCCACAACGTCGTTCCCTGGGGACCCTTACGAGTACAATACCCTCCTTGACAGTGCCCCATGTGTTCGTTCACAGGCCAAACTCCGGCCCCCGTCGAGATCGATATCGAACCCCTCACGAACTTGGCGGAATTGAGCGCCCCTGACCACCGATGAATGTATTTACCGAAACCTTGACGAGGCCCATGTCCGCAATACTTGCAACAAAAGCACATCCGAGGCATCGAGATAAGACAAGAAGTCAAGAAGTCTCTAGAGATTGTGGTCGAAGTAGCTGACACTCTCACATTTGACTTCACGACATTTTTTCCATAGTCTGTCTGATCTTCCAAGTCGTGGTCTTGGTCATTTTAGAATCCACAATTTCCTCCACTTGGGCCAGAACATCCCATACCCGTCACCATCACATACAGTACCTTCAGAATGCTGTCCGTAAATTGTCAGGGGACTCCGTACGAGGTAAGACCTCTTGCCTAGTCCACCTCAACTGTGTCGGGGACCATTAAGACTGACCACAATGTCAAAATCCAATAGATAGGTGTACAACATGGCACGGCGGCCAAGGAGCACGTCGCGCGATGCATCGATTTCTATGCGTCGTTGTTCCAAAAGACCAGCAAGTTGGATTGGTCACAAGTGCAAGAAATTGCCAGAAGTTTTAGCAATCACATCGAGACCGCATGGCCGGCATATCACGAAGAGATGAAAGGTTCGTACGACATGCTCATTCCATTTCTACTTACTACCCTTCAATCATCATGCTGATACTCGGAATGCAGGCGTCGCCACTGGATCGGATCGCTCGATTCTTGATATTGTCGCCTTGAACGTACGTACGGAGATTGCCTTTGGCGCATTCAGTGATGGATGCACTTCGTTGGCGTGGAATACCGAGAAACGTGCCTACCTGGGACAAAACTGGGACGTTAGTGCTGCCCTCTCCTTTCTTCATGGACCTTCGGACCACTTCTGTGTCCAAAGCTAACCATTCGAGTCACTTCTTGCAACGTATCAGTGGATGGAAGAGCAGAAACAAAACCTGATCCTCGTCAAAATCACGCAACAAGGCAAGCCGTCGATTCAAATGATCACCGAGGCCGGTATAATTGGCAAGATCGGTTTCAACTCCTCCGGGGTGGGGGTTTGTTTGAACGCGATCAGGGCCAAGGGTATGAACCCTCAGCGCCTGCCTGTCCATTTGGGCCTGAGAATGGCTCTGGAGTCTCAATCGGCGAAGGAGGCCGTGCACGCGCTGGAGCACTGGGGCATGGCTTCACCGGCGCACATACTCGTCGCCGACGCGACCGACGCGACCGGGTTCGAGTTTACTTCCACCACGATCGAGAAGATGGTGCCGGATCGAAAGGGGAGGGTTGTCCATTCGAACCATTTACTGCTCAACCACCCCGGGGTCGCGGATACCGTTTGGATCAAGGACTCGCTTTTCCGCGTCGACAGAATGGCCGAGTTGTGTGACAAGTTGCCCAGCGAACCGACCTGGGCCGAAGTTTCCAAGTTGTTCGAGGACGAGGCGAATGCTCCGACCGCGATTTGTCGCGAGCAAAAGGGAGAAAGCACTTCGGCGACCTTGTTCAACATACTCATGGATCTGAAGCAGAAGGCGGGAATTGTACGGATGGGGAGACCGACGCAGGTCGAAGAGACCATCACTTTGGGATTTTGAAGTACCTTCTACTGATTTTATGCCTCATGTCGACGACTATCTTATCAGATACCATTGCAGTCTTATGAGGACACCAGATCTGCGTTGACGACCTTTGTAACTTTGTCATGACTACTTTCTTCCTCCGTAATTTCAATGACAATTCATGAATCCTTTTCCAGGGCGGAAAAGTAATCAATTGGGCTTTGGGCGTTAGAAACGGACAACAGCGTCGATATGACCAGATGTCAATAACGCCACATAAACGCAGTAACCCGCGCGCTGTGACGACGGCCGGCGACTCCATGACGAGCTCTCTCACAACTGTGATCACTTTTCATTCTTGACAAGAGTTTTGGTAGGGCTGCCATAAGATCAAAAGGACGAAGTAGATTGTACACAGCAGGACCGTTGTACCCAACACTGCCACGCTGTCAGCCATGGAAGCACCAGACATCCCAACCAAGCACAAAGCTCTCATCTACGACAACCCGGGGAGCATCTCTGCAAAGGTCGAATATGTCGACACCCCGAGGCCCGGTGTGGGCGAGGTCCTCGTCAAGTTGACGCACTCGGGCTTGTGTCACAGTGACATGGCCATCATGACGAATCGCTGGACCGCCAGGATCGAACCGACCCCCAAGGGTCAAATCGGCGGACACGAAGGCGTGGGAGAGATTGTGGCATTTGGTCCTGGCGCGGTGGTAGACCAGTCACTGAAGTTGGGATCTCGAGTGGGAATCAAGTGGATGGCCTACGCATGTTGCAACTGCATCATTTGTCTGTCTGGTCTTGATTCGTATTGTGAATCTGGAAAGGTTTCAGGGCAAGTTCTTTTAAGAATCCTTTTCTGTTTCTTGCAAGCTCTGGTCATTGATGCTGACTCTTCAAACAGGTTCTTCTACCCTGGGACTTTTCAACAATATGCCATTGCCCCGGCGCATTATGTCACTCCCATACCTGACGGCGTCCCAAGTGACATGGCCGCACCTCTGCTTTGTGCAGGTTTGACGGTATATTCTGCCCTACGGAAAGCCGGTGCCGAACCAGGAGACCCGGTCCTCATCATGGGTTCTGGTGGAGGTAAGTCGTTTTCGTTCATCACTCAAAATGGCCCTCGTCACTTCCTTCCAACACAGCCTTTTTTGGCGTTTTCTTGTGTCAACACCAACTAAATCTTCCCGCTTCAAAGGTCTCGGCCACTTGGCTCTACAAATAGGCGCCAACGGCATGGGATACCGGATGATGGGCGTCGACATGGGCGACAAGGAGACCATTTCCCGTGAATGTGGCGCAGAAGACTTCTTCGACCTGAGCAAATACTCCGGTGATGGCTCTGAAAAAGAACTGGCCGATGATGTAAAAGCTGCCACTGGAGGTCGAGGTGCCGCGGCGGTGATTGTTTGTACGGGCCATAACGCCGCCTACGCCCAAGCTCTGTCCCTCTTGAGGATCGGGGGCACCGTGGTCTGCGTTGGGATTCCTGAAGGCGGTGAAGTGGCCATGCCGAACGCGACGCCGTCTCAGTTCATCTATTTGAATGCCAAAGTCGTGGGTAGTTCGGTGGGAAATCGTCTAGAGGCCATTCAACTCATGGAGTTGGCTGCGAGGTAAGGAAGAATTTGAACATGAATTCTCATCGAGAAGACAGATGCTAACAATACTATTGTATTTTTAGAGGTAAAGTCAAGACGCATTTTCAAATCAAAAAGATGGAAGACGCTGCAGAGGTGTTTGAACTCATGGACAAGAATAGATTACAAGGAAGAGTAGTGTTTGACCTGCAAGCTTGAATTAAGTAAGAATCTTGTCACAATTCAACAAGCTTATAGTCGATCCTGTGCTTTGTATAGTCTTGACTCATCTCTTTCTGGCCAGACCGTCTAGTCAACGGACTATCATGTATGATTGACGACCTAAGAGATGGTTACTGATAAGGAAAGGACTTTTGAGTTGAACAGTCGACGAAGTAAAGCAGTATAATCCCCGCCAAAAGTCAACTTCCCACACTGGATTACCAGTAAGTGTTGCTTGACGATCTCTCAGGCTAGGCTCATTCAGTAGACAGGGATAGCCTATGTATCTAAGATATCTCAGGTACGTTTAAGTTTAAACCTTGCATTCGTCTCTACTAGAGAGAAAAAAGAAGAAAAGCTAAAACACTTTTCAGTAGTCGACTAATTAGAATCGAATCACTTAGTTGACATTCGTCGAATGTTATTCAGTATCGTCGTGTCTCATACTGTAGAGTGACAAGACTGTCCCGGACAGTCTTTCCAAGTGCTGTGATTGGTTGTCGACTGCGCGCGAGACATTAGATAGATATGCACACAATCAAGACGAGTTTTCGCGACTAGTGGAGACTCGTATGGCAGTAAGGGTGACTAAGCGACGAACGAGATTACGAATGAAGGGAGACATGGATAGAAAGAAGTGTTGAGGGCATTGTAGTGTGAGTCTTTGTTGAGTTATAGTGTAGAGGGAAAAGCAGGCGGTACGGCCACAGTGCTGTGATTGGATGATGAGTACGCTAGAGGTGTGAGTGCCTCTGCCTTTCCTGCAGTGTCAGGAGCAACAAGTAGATAGACAGACATTCAAACAATCGAGTTTTGCAAAAATCATAGCGCCGCTACGTGCGCAGTATGAGCGATGAAGTGAGTGTGCAATGAAGTCCTAGTTACAGTGTTGATCTTGGAGGCCTGAGGCGACTAAGCGGTGGCTGTCAGCAGGAGGTTACGATTGAAACGAGAACCTAACGGAGGTTACAGAAGCGTTGCAAGGCTCGCAGCGCGAGCCTGGAAAGCGTCTCTACGTGCAAGGAGTGCCTCCGAGTTCGAGGCAGACATGCCCTAAGCGCACCTGGTGCTTCCTCGTCTACTTCTGTCATAATATAATTAATGATTTCCTTTTTGAACAAGATCATGATCAAGATGCCTGAATCAATTTTGAATTGATCTATCTGTCGACTATGCAAATCTCGTTCGACTGTACTCTTCCTACCCAAGATATTTATTAGAATGCTCTAAACTACAGTACCGAAATTGCTAATTTGGGTTTAGCTAAACTATAAGGGATCACAAGGAGCTCAGTCCAGAATATGGATAACAAAACTTTATAGATGAGTACTATAAGGGGTAGACCCTCCGAGGCAGCACCACGGTACACTCAAGGTGTGTCTGTAAGTCAAGAACAACAACCTCGAACTCAGAGGTCGACCTTTCCTTGCGCGTAGAGAAGTGACACTCGCAATCTTTTCTGTTAACGTCCTCTTTCGCTCGCAATCTTTCGTTGAAAGTCGTCGCTTAGTCGCCCTCGTTGCTCTACGGGCTTTCCGATCGAGTAGCTAGATCTTTTTATTGTACACTCGTCGCTGGCGCTGTGCGCGCAACTGTCTAGATATCTAGATATCTACTTGCTACTCTCTTTCTTCGGGAGGAAAAGGCACTCACACCTCACACGTATTGACAGTACCCTTAACTCGATCTACGAAAGAGTCGGTAGAGTTTGTCAGACAATAGAGCGCCGCATGATCAGTAGCAATAATTGCGAAGAAAGAAGTCTGATTCCAGAGCTTTGTGAATAGGCCAATGGCACCTTCGTATCTTCTTCAGCAGAGTGGCTAGCACAGGAAAGAGAAGGTTGACTTGATCAAATACATGATCATCATGAAATGTTGAATAGTAAAGAGAAAAGAACCAACATAAAAGGGAATCCAATTAGACTAAGCTTCTAAATCAGCTTCAGTTCCCCTTGGGGATTTATTTGCTTACAGGATTCTGGATTCTGGATTCATTTCCAAACGGACTTCATACCTCGAGAATACAAGACTACTGACAGTCTGTCTCAGTTGACACAGTCACTGGACTTGACGCGAAAAAAAGGCTGGCAAGAGATGAATTAATGCATTATATCATATGATTGATTGACTTTTGGGCGCACCGAAATGCCAGATGGTTCGGCAAACTACGGACAGTTCCGGCGATGCACGAACCCATTCAAGATTCCGTGATTCACCGAGCCTTCAAGGGTAAGCTGTTGACATTCCCTCCCCACTACCCCCGTCGATTTTCAGACTTACCCTTACTGCTTTTTTCCACTGATCTACTACTGTAAGATAGTTTCAATTTCCAGTGCACCTGCACTACTTACTACTACTAATATTAGTATTGATTGAAGTGTGTACGAATTGCCCTAGTGAACTGAGGCTTTCCACTTCTGATCACGTGTTATTAAATACTGTTGATTTCCATCACCCTTCTCTTTCGCGAATCATGGCCGGAACAAACTTACAAATTGAGGACCAGACGGTTCATAAACCGCGGCAGCGCCGGTCAACCAAGAACTTGAAACCTGGGTTCCGCGTCATCAAATTTCACCCAAAGAGATCTACCACAAGTCGGCGCAAAGTCAAGCAAGAAACATTGCCATCGAATCATCGCCATGACCAGTCTACCACACCTTCCGAGTCGCAAACCACCATCTCCAGATCCTTGGGCGTTTTGAAGAGCCAGCGCATCAATGATTGGGAATGGGATTTTCTCAGCGACTTGCTGGTGTCATCGTCGTCGCCGTCATCAGCTACCAGTGTGGAAGACAGGAAAAGTACTTCAGAGCCCACGGTCAATCAGTATGAAGAAAGTCATGGGGACACTGTCATTGAGAGCGTACTCGAAGCCAACAGCCATAATGACTATTTCAAACCGGACAATAGCGACTCGGAGGAATGTTCATCAGGAGCATGGCTGGACGGTTTACTTGATTTTAGTGGCTTGAATCATGCCGCAATGTGGCAATAAGCTGCCAACCAAGAATCGACGACCTATATGAGGCTTCTGGGGGGAAGCTCAGGAGTACCTATGTGATTTTCAATAACTTGGAAGCCCAAGTCCCAGATCCTCCATCCAACTTCCAGCTGGATCCAGGTCGTCAAAGAACAAATCGCCATGGGGTAGGAGCATGGACTCGGCACTGTGCAAATCGAACCGATGATTTTGGTCCAGCATATTGACCGAGCTCTCCATATCATCATGATCTTGTTGCAATTGCCTTGGGTTAAAATTAGTATCAGGATGACTGGGAGGAAAATTAGTCTCGGTGGGATCGAAAGTCTGCCCCAGGAGAAAATGCTGTTTGCATATTTCTGGACCAAAATCGTCGAAAAATGTCATCAAGTCTCGTGACTGCTGCTCAGGTGCGTCGCCAATGAATGGGTGTCGCTCTGTAAGTCTTTGCATCTCTTCCAATGCCGCCAGAGCACCCACGGCAGATCCCCATCTGCCCTTCAGTTCCACCAGGGAGGATCGAATAATGGACAATGACTCTTTGGCCGTTGGAGCAAGTGATCTGTACTGCAGTGCCGGAATCTGCGCCAGGCCGGCCGCAAAGCCATAGAATGTAAAGACTGGTCCACAATGGCAAAGCTCTCCCCGGTGGAGGAAATCTTCAAAGATACCCACCACAAATGAAGACGCGACGAACGAGGCACAGGCGGATTGATTACGATATGCCTCGTGCCGGGCTAAAATGACTATCGTCACAAAATAAGGGGCCAGCAACTGTCGAGCTTCGAAGTTGTATGCTCGCAATCTTTTCGGGGATCCATGGAAAAGCCGGAGTTCGTCAGGTAACTCTTTGGCCCAACGGTAGAGGGCGTTTTCAAGATTGGTTCGTGTCGTTCTTGTTAGTGTTTTGCGTCGGATATGCTCTGTCAAATCTGCCAGCAAGCGGATGATGCGAGAGAATGCCACAAACAGTCGTGCCTTTGCACCTTGCACTGCAAAATCAAGAACGGTCGGAGGAGAGACGTCGCTATCCGCAAAGTTGATGGTTCTCGGCCTTCCTGTGCCGATTGAGATAATGTCATCTCTAGACTATATAAAATCATGTCAGGGCGTGTCGCATTGCTCGTAGAATGTTTGATGTAAGAGAGGACGATGCTTACCACTATGGACCACCACAACCTACGTCGCAGCTCCTTGTCCTTCTGCGCAACTGGTTCTCTGTGCAATCCAACTTGGTACGCCATACCGGCAGCAATACGAATCCAAAAGCCACTTGTGCTTGTTGATATGTGCTCTGGGCCAGTCGGATTGTACCATTGAATCAAAGTGACCGCGATGATGGAGGTCAACGTGTCAATCTCGTGGCCCAGCATGAATAGCAGTCTAGCTTTGCGGTAGAATTCCTCGGCCATCGTCAACAAGGTCTTGCTCAAGGACACGCGGCTGCCTGCAAGGAACAACGCGTTGAGCAAGAGCGGTGATGCTTCATTGCCTTGAAGTCTTTCAAGCAATGAAGTATCCACAATCGGAGTCCACACAGAGCAATATTGCACGTAGGAATCCACGAGACTCGCACGCACCGACCTCTGCGGCATCTCGAGAGCCTTTTGTGCTTGAAGCAGTTCGAGATCTGTGTCAGACAGCCTCGAGGGACGGCTTCCCACAGTCACCATCTCTTCCCGAAACCTGACATCGCCGTCGCCGAGATAGTCGCTTCTGCCAACATGACTTTCTGTCGTCGCCACATACTCTGGGACGGGCAGGATCCTTCGGGGGGAGACCTCAGAATAGGTGGCCAAAGGTGTCCCGGTATTCGAGACGAGTCGTTGTGGACTGATGGGAAAAGAAGTCGGATTGGCGTGTCCAAAGGTCTGCGGCGACCCTTCGAGACTTTCATTGTCACTCCGGATGTGATCGGTCAGTATGGTCGGTTCGTCTTGAATCGTCGCGTCATGGATGCTAGCAGCTGTCTGTCTGGAGCTGCTTCCGCGGCGGTTGTTCGAGAGATACTTCGGACGTTTTCTCTCATGTGGTCTGCAGACATGTCCTCCGAGCCTACAATTGGTGCATGGATGATGGCTATCGCGACTAAAGTCACATCTGATCTAGAGAGTGGATTCGTTGTCAAAGGACGACTCTTGGATGTAGGTGAGTGCCACATACCTTTCGTTGGTGGCATATGTCGCATGCTTTCCTCGATCTATTGACTGCCGACATCTCGCCAGCATGCTCCGGGAATGCCGAAGATGAATATCTAGACGAGCGAAGGGTACGACAAAAGCCGAAGATATTTCTCTAGCTCTCGACAACCTCCGCTAAACCCCGCAAGTGGCAATACCCGATTCAGCCGGGGAAGGAGATTTTGACCGTGTCATTACAACTGGTACGATATACGGTATCATCTAATACGCTGAATACCCACCTCAGCCATGAGGCTTCAATGCCCAGCTAGGCCGATCTACAGTCAATTTACTCTGTGGAATGATACCGTAGCCCTCTTCCTCATACGCTACTGACGAGTGCCGTTTATCTCCGACATTCATACAGGTACCATGTGTCCGTCTATGCTTTGAGCTGCCGAAATCTCCGGGGTACGGGGACCCCAGTGAGGGACATTATGCCGGACCGAATAGGTATTGTTATTAAGTGTATCCCTGATCCCAAAGCAATTTTTTCCTCCAGACGTGATTTCGTTGAACTCCCTTTACGTTCTGCTTTCGTGTCACAGTACTATGTCTTTCTCCAGGGAAGCTCGCGCTCACTTAGAGCAGGAGGGTGTGTACATTGGGGGCTGGAGTCTGCGCAATGTCCTCTTTCCTAGGCAAGAGACTTCAGAAAATCAGGGTATTGCCTTGTGACCATGCATAGACAGTCTCTAGCTAATCAGTCTGTAGCCAGTACGCAAGCCGTACTCGGGCAGATGCATGGCTTGGAAAGAGATTGGACAGCGGCACAAGAAAAGGCATTGGTTCGCAAGCTCGATTTACACATCATGATCCCTTGCTGTGAGTTGAGAACATTTCGACTGGTATAGTCCTCGCTGACCTGTCCTCTTGAAGGCATCATCTATGTCCTTGCTTACCTCGACCGTTCCAATCTTTCAAACGTCAAGATCCTCCAGAAGGACACACCTGATTCTTTCGAAGAGAGCCTGGGCCTCCAAGGCCTAGACTTCAACTGGGTAGGTCCAAATTGACACTCTTTCAGGGATGACACTCATGCTGTTACAGGCGGTGTCCATCAGTTACTTCACGCTCACGGCAATGCTCATACCTTCGGCATTATTGATGAAGAAGATATCGGCAAAACTATACTTTCCACTGTGCATGGTCATTTGTAAGTACCTCGTCTCTTAAGCGTCGGCATGGCACACTGATGTGATGGACTAGGGGGTATGATTGTAATGACCATGTCTGCTTGCAAAAGTGCCCCTGGCTTGTTCACTGCACGGTTCTTCCTTGGTCTCCCAGAGTCGGGTATTTGGCCTTGTGGAATCATGTATTTCTCGTTCTGGGTACGCTCTCATTAGCCCTCCCTGCCTCGACTTCGCGTGTGAAGGGTTTCCTAACATGCTGTCTTTACAGTATAAGCCCCATGAGCGCGCCCACCGCATCGGCGTTTTCTACAGTTCAAACTCCATCGCGCAAGCTATATCTGGAGTCCTCGCTGTGGGCATTGACAATGTGAGCAAGAGCTGCGGAGTGGAAATCCAAAAGCTGACCTTGTACCTATGATAGCTCAACGGACATCTCGGTCTCAAATCATGGCAATGGGTCTTCATCATCGAGGGAGCTCTTCCCATTGCACTGGCCATACCCATCTGGTGGGTTCTTCTCACTTTTCCGGAAGACTCCAAAAATTTGACCGATCGAGGTGAGACAGACCGCATTCGGTTACACCAATGCTGTCGGCACGTGCTTACATATAGCTACAGAACGACATATCGCAATCAACAGACTCGAGAGAGGTAGCACCCGCAAGACCGATGTCACATGGGATACAATGGCTTTCTTCAGGTACCTCAGGCAGACCCTCCGCTGCGAACGCCTTGTGGAGGAAAAAGGACAGTTACTGACAGGGGCAGAATCATGTTGCGTCCTTCGACCTACGCCTTTTTTTTCAGCTACATATGTATCGGAATAGCCGCTGTGGCACAGGCGACCTTTTTGCCTACGATATTGTATTCCGTATGTTCTCTTTGGAAGCCTTGACCCCATCCGCTGACACTCTGTCTCCTAGTTGATGAAATTTTCCGTTCAAAAGGCCAACCTCTACACCGCCATCATCAACATCGTGGCCGTTCCTATCTACTGGACGTTTCCACTGCATTCCGACTGGACCAAAGAGCGCATGTGGCATTATCTCATCCCCGTGGCGGCATCGATTCCGTGTTACGCCGTCTGGACTTATCAAGGTTACCACTCCGATACCAGCACAATCAGCAACATGTCTCTGTACGGGATGGCCTTTTTGGGACAGTTGCTACTCATGGCACAGCCTGTGATGCTCTCTTATCGCAGTTCCACCCTCTACGGGGCCGCTGAACAGGCGGTTGGAACTTCAGTGACCGTGGGAGCATTGTCCATTTCAAGTATCATCGCACCACAGGTGAGTCTGTTTTTTTTTTTTTTTTGACTCCGAGGTTTCCGAAGCCCTTCCACAAGAAGGAAAGATGCCCAGCTGCTTATTCTTGACTGCTACAGATGTATCCCAATAAAGACGCTCCGAACTATGTCCAGGGCTTCTCAGCTACTGTGGGTCTTCTGGCCGCAAGCCTTGTCATCTACGCCACCATCCCATTCTGGTTGCAACTGGAAGCTCGGCAGCGGAAACGAAAGACCGGGCATGCTCTGCCTCTGAGAAGCTTGGAGGACTCGGAGCACAGCGCCGTTTCTCCCGAGATGTTGCAACGAATGCGCGAGATGCAGGAGCTCGAGGTTCACCAGGGTCCAGAGGGGAAAGCGCCGATACAACAGCATGCCACGGAGGTTGAGTATTCTGTTCAAAACGTCTCGAGGGTGTGAAGTAATACGCTTTCGCTGTGAGTCAAAGTAGGTCGCTTCACAAAGAAAAGACCTTGAGGTAGAGATAGAAGCCATCCATGGTATTTCGATTGTTTTGATCTTCGGCGAGACGATACTTTGTGAGCTTCTAGAGTTTAAAATGTCCAATGTCTTAGTCGAGAAAAGAAAAGCACGAAGCCATTGATGTCTTGCTAGAATGAAAATGAATGTGGAACACAGTATATCCTTTATATAGATTGCCTAAGCATCACCTACAGAGGCAAAAACACCATAATGAGCACGACTTCTGCTACTGTTTAAAGCCAGTAAGCTCTAACCAGCACTACCCCACTCGAAAGTTCAAAGTAAGAGCCATGTGAGCTCACAACTTTGCTCTTACCGGTGGTTCGAGGTGATAAAATTGACAAAATTTCCTGAGACAGTCTGGATTTACAACAGTCGAGCTTATCGTCTTGGGCATCTGCCCTGTTGAGATGACCTCCTTGACCAAAGTTTCGACCTTTTTCCCGTTCGAGGTCATGGGGATTTCGTGGACCGCGAAGACGAAGCGTGGAACGTGCCTGGCGCTCAATCCTTGACGGATCGCGTTCTTGAGCGAAGCTTCAAGGGTCTCGGTGAAGAAATGTCCGTCGCGCATGACGACAAACAAAAAGACAGACTCATCACTATCGCGGCCTCGTCTCTTTCGACCCACACAGAGCGTGGTGGCGACCGTGTCGGTGAACGGCACAGCTTCCGTGATGGAATAGATTTCTGCCGAACCAAAACGTATACCTTGCGGGTTGAGTACGCCGTCACTAGTGGAGACCGGAGAGGTTGTGTTAGCATTTGGGCGTACGTGGATACAAAAACCAAAGAGGCAACAACGTACCTTCTCCCGTGGACCGTCCAGCCTTTCGTCGAAGGATTCACACTCGCCCAATCGTGTTGTGCCCAGCAGGGGAAATTGTATCGGCTGAAGTACGACGAATGGTATTTCTCGCCATTCTTGTCACCCCAAAAGTATACCGGCATCGACGGGAATGGTTTTCTGCAAATGAACTCTCCAGCTTCACCGGTTCCTTTGATCGAATGGCCATCAACGGGGTCTGCAATGTCCACGTCATGTCCGAGAATGGGCATCTGGATTTCTCCTGGGTACACCGGACCGGCGGGATCGGTGCCGCACCACGAAGTCACCAGGTCAGTTCCTCCCGTTACGCTGGTTAAGTGGACTCTCGAAGGAAAAACCCTGTAGAACCAGTGATACTGGTCGGCGGAGAGGTGTGAGCCGCCCGTCTGCACCATCCGGAGACTCGAAAGATCATACTCGGATCCGGGTCTGCAGCCTGTCGATTCGAGCTCCTTGAGGTATTTCGGAGAGACACCCCAATAGTTTACTTTATGATTCTGGACGATCCTGAGGAGGTGCTGAGGCTGTGGCCATGTCGGCGATCCATCGTACATGATGAGAGTGGTACCCATGGCCAGGTGGCCTACCATGATGTTCCAGAGTACCCACGACGTGCTCGAGTACTGGAATACCACTTCACCGGGTTTGAGAGAGTTGTGGAGCATCCCGATCTTCTTGTGTTGGAGAATGGCTGCGTGACTGTGCACGAGACATTTTGGTGGTCCCGAAGTCCCGCTGGAGTAAAGAATGTAGAGAGGTGTTGTGAATGGGAGTCTAGCGAATTCCAGCGAATCTGTGTCTTTGGACCTGCGAAGGAATTCTGATACTGGTTGGAAGGCCTCCAGATCACCTGTCGGAATGACGAATAGCATTGTTGTTGGGTCAAGCATTTTCATGATATCCGAGATCTTGCTCGTGTTGGACCGTTTTCGACCTTTGTAAGTCGAATGGCTATCAGCGAACAATATCGAGGGTTGCACTTGTTGTAGACGAGAAACACAACCCTGTAGGTATTAGTCAGTCAGTATATATGCAAGTGCGTAGACGGCGTGGATCTGCTAACATACCTCAAGTCCAAGGTCTGGGGCAATCGAAGTGAAAATGGCGCCAATACTCGCCGTGCCCAACAAGAGAGCAACAGACCAGACAGAGGTCGACACCAATGCGGCTACACGATCTCCTCGCTTGATTCCGCTTCTCAGCAGGGCGCTCCTCACTTTCCTAACGTTCTCGCGGAGTAGCGCCCACGACCAGACTTCGCCGTTGAGGCCCTGTCCTTCCCGCAGACCGACGAGAGCAGGGCCTTGCTGGTCAACGAGTGGTTGCGTCAACACGTTCTCTGCATAGTTGATGGTTGCCCCCTCAAAGAACGGCGGTACTTTCGAGATTGGCGTGTCAGGGTCGTACGCGCGATCGATCTCGACCGGCAACTCTGGCACCAGGCCAACATAGTCCCACAGATCGGACCAGAAAGCTTGTGGATCTGTAACACTCCATTCGTGAAGTTCATGAGAGTCTCTGAGATTCAGATGAAACTTGTCGTTGATGTGATTTCGGTAAATGTTCATGGGGATCTGATCTGCGGGCACATCCGGTTTCCATACCGGGTGAGGCCGCATTGAGTGTGTCTCGAATCGATCCTGCTTACAGGCAGTGTGCTCTGTTGTTGATGCCATGGCTCGAGTGTATCCTGTGGTCAACAACGTCAACCTCGAGGATCCTTGTCAGAAGAAAAGACTTACCTACTTGAAAGGCCAGGACTAACAAAGTAGGTCGAGGTTGAACTTGGGGTGGTGCAGAGACCCACCTTGATGTGCCGCATTACGCCGAAACAACCGAGACTGTCAGACACGATATCCCTTCATTCGCCGAGACAATGAGGAGAGTCTCGGTGTTCGGCGGCATAAAGGAATTAACTGTATTGCTTCTCCCATCGCCAGATGAAATCAGTGAAGATTTGTTCTACATAAGTGTCCGGGGACGATGCCTGGTACCGTGAGGTGCTAAGACAGACACTGCAACATGTCATCCCTCAAGCCTTCGACCGCTGACAACGGCTTCATCCTCACTCCAAAGCCGCTACAAAACCCTTTTACATCCGACGAGTCATATCAGCGCGTTCTGGAATGGTATCTTCCACGAGATGTCCTTGCAGCAATCAAGCCTCGCCTCGCCAAATTCGCGGAAGAAGCCGTCTCGGATGAGATCAACGAATTCATCTCAGACGCCGAGTCTCACCAGCCGCACTTCAAAAGTCGCAATGTATGGGGTGCTCGGTATCCATATGATCGTCTAGTGACGGCTCACGGGTGGAAGGAATTGGGTAAATGGGGATCCAGAAATGGGTAAGTGTGGTCTCAGATGCATCACTTAGGAAACGGCCAGGACTGATATTAGACTACAGGGTGATATCTCTTGGTTACGAGGAGGAGTTTAAGCAGTACCGGAGGATTGTTCAACATGCATTGTCAGTATTGAATTTGGTATATCCTGATAAACACCTTCTAACCATCTCTCAGCAACTACACATTCTCAGCATCTTCGGCGGTCTATTCGTGCCCTGTTTCCATGACCAGCGGGGCTGGGAGGCTGATCGGGAAACATCTAAACTCGGTCCCAAAAGATCATCCCTTCCATGAGTTGTATCGGCTCATCACCGCTCGAGAAGGGAACTGGATCTCATCACAGTGGATGACAGAGCGACCCGGCGGCAGCGATGTGCAGAACTCGGAAACCGTGGCCGTGTATTCTCCCTTACCGAGTAAGACTGGCAGATACGGCTCCGTCGAAGAAGGAGACTACCTCGTGTCGGGCTTCAAATTCTTCTCGTCGGCGACAGACTGCAACATGGCTTTCATGTTGGCCAAGACAGAATCCTCTGACCAGCTTAGTTTATTTGTTGCACCAACGAGAAGGACCGTCGTGGTCAATGGGAAGAAGCAGCAAGTGACCAACGGTGTGCGGATTCACCGTCTCAAAACCAAGATGGGCACGAAAGAACTTCCGACGGCAGAGTTGGAGCTTGAGAATGTCCGAGCACATCTGATCGGTCCCCTTGATAGGGGAATAGCAACAATTGCCCTCCTCCTCAACGTCACCAGAACCCACAATTTCATCACGGCGCTCTCATGCTGGCGTCGCGGTATGGCCATTGCAAAGAACTTTGCCAAAGCACGAAGCACTCTAAATCAGCCTCTGTGGACAATGCCGATGCATCTGCGCCTCCTGGCAAACATGGAAGTCAAGCAACGAGGTGCACTTCAGCTTGCCTTTTTCACCACGTCACTGCTCAGTTTTATCGACAACGGCTTCCCGGACGAACGAACCCAAAAGAATGGCGACTACGTCCCGCTACCGGATTCGCCTGAAAAGGCCGAGATTATTCTCAGGACTCTGACCGCGACTGCAAAGGCTGTGATTTGCAAGACCGGCACCCTCGCACTGCAAGAATGCCAGGAAGCCATGGGCGGTGTCGGGTACCTGGACGAGCCCGAGGAACCTGAATTCAACATCTCGCGCCTCATGCGCGACACCGCCGCCAACATGACCTGGGAAGGGACGACGAACGTGCTGAGTAGCGAGGTCGTCCGACACCTGTCGAACAAAGACGGACGTCATCTGAAGGTGTTTGGCGAATGGGTCCAGCAGGCGACGTCGCGAGTCAAGGATGCCGAGTTGAAGGACGCCCTCACACGAGCCTGGGCTGAATTTTTCCGTATGGTAGACAGCAATCGTGGAGACCTGGTGAGTGCTCTGGCAATAGGCCGACAACTCATGTTCAGCCTCGCATGGATCGTTTCCGGTGTCCTCCTGGCGCTTGATGCCGAGAGGGACAACGACGCCACCGCCTTCGAGATTGGTCGACGATGGGTCCTCGAGGGAGAAGGAAATATTGGGGAATTTCACCTACCAAACATTGTGAAGGTTCGTACGCGCATGTTGTCGGCCATCACGGTTCGGGACAGAATCAACTGGGATTGCCGACTGGTTTGGGGCGTGGACTTGCCCATAGACGCTGCGACGGGCTTTCGTGCTCCGAATGTCGATAGAATCCCAGCCAAGCTGTAAGGTACCTAAGAGTTTTGGTCGAGCAGCAAAGACTCGCGTACACGCATTGTGCTAGCTATATTCCGTGGATTTCCATGGTCAAGATCCATGTGGTACAATCGTTAATTTCTACCAAGTAGTTGGCGGCGGTGGTCCTTTACCACACTTGTTGT